GCTCACTCAAAACGAGCACCGGAAAAGAGGTCGCAGTAGCTTGCAAACGCGACAATCTTTACTCAGTCACGCTCAATAGCACAGTATCGGCTTTGGTGACTGCTGAGAAGGTCGACATACAGGTTTGGCACAAACGTCTGGGACACATCGGCAAGAACAGCTTGGTGCGCCTGCCTGGTATGGTCGATGGTGTGTCATTGGACGGCGAGTACGACAACTCGCATTGCATTGGGTGCGTCAATGGCAAGCACACGCGAAAGTCGTTTCCATCGAGCGAGACGACAACAACAAAGAACCTGGAGTTAGTACACTCGGATGTGTGCGGGCCAGTGCAAGTGGCAACTTACGGAGGTGCCAAGTATTTCGTCACATTTATCGACGACCACTCGCGAAGGGCTTGGGTCTACTTCATCCGGCAGAAGTCGGAAGTCTTTGAGAAGTTCCAAGAGTTCAAGGCGCTTGTGGAGAACCAAGCTGACTGTCGCATCAAGGCGCTCAGATCAGACAACGGTGGCGAGTATTGCGGCAACGCTTTCGAGAAGTATCTCAAATCTCACGGTATTAAGCACCAGACGACAACACCACACACACCACAGCAAAATGGAGTGGCAGAGCGCCTCAATCGCACTCTCGTGGAGAGCGCGCGATGTATGCTCGAAGAGAAGGGCTTGCCAAAGGAGCTGTGGGCTGAAGCAATCAACACCGCTGTTTACATCAAAAACAGAATTCCAATCACGGCACTCAAGGACAAAACATCAGAAGAAGTATGGTCATCTCGCAGACCAAACTTGAGTCATCTCAGGGTATTCGGTTGCGACGCGTATGCGCATGTTGCGGACGCCAATCGACAGAAGTTGGATGCGAAGTCAAAGAAATTGGTTTTGGTTGGTTATTACGAGGACAGCAAAGCATATCGACTCATGGATTTGGATACACACAAGATTACAAAGGCGCGCGACGTCATCTTCATGGAAGACCGAGGAGACAAACGCGACGTGGTGTACGTCCCACGAGAGGAGGACGCTGACGACGACAACACGAGTGAGGCTATCATCGACAAGCCTACTGAGTCGCTACCAGCCAAATCGAAGGAGGTCGCTCACGCTAAGCCAACAAACGCTACGAGCTCAGGTCAAGTTCGACGCTCTGCTCGTCTGACTCCCGTCACGCCAGTATCGCAAGAAGATCCGGATGATGACATTGATTTGCTACAACAGGCATCATCTCGTGTGCGCGCAAATTTGGTCATCACAGAGCCAGAAACTTACAAGCAAGCGATGGCTGGTGAACAAAGGGAACAGTGGGAGTCTGCTACCAATTTGGAATATGCATCACTGATTGAGAACAACACTTGGACGCTATGTGAGCTCCCAAAGGGCAGGAAGGCCATCGGCAACAAATGGGTCTTCAAGATTAAACACAATGCCGACGGATCGATTGAGAAATATAAGGCACGGCTCGTTGCTAAAGGCTTCTCGCAGAAGGAGGGAATTGATTACAACCAAACATTCGCCCCTGTCGCCAAATTCAATTCTATCAGAGCAATCGTCGCTATGGCAGCCATGTACGGCATGGAGATTCATCAAATGGATGCCATCACAGCCTTTTTGAATGGTAAGCTTGAAGAGGAAGTCTACATGGTGCAACCTGAAGGATTCAAGGTAGGCCAGGACTTGGTTTGCAAGTTGAATCGAACACTATACGGTCTGAAACAGTCAGGACGAGAATGGTATATGGAGATGCACAGAGAGCTTGAGTCTCAAGGGTTCACAAGGAGCCAAGCAGACTTCTCGGTTTACGTCAAGGGCAGAGGGCAAGTCATCGTCGCAGTTTATGTGGACGATCTTCTTATCGTTTCGAAGGACAACAATCAGATATCAGAGGTCAAAAGGGATCTCTCGGCCAAATTCAAGATGAAGGATCTAGGCGAGGCACACTACTGTCTCGGCATTGAGATCATTCGAGACACGAGTTCTGGAAGCATCAGGCTTTCGCAGCGCAAATATGTTGACGACATTCTTGAGAAATTCAACATGACTACTTGCAAATCGGTCTCATCGCCAATGGATTCGGGCACCAAACTCAGCAAGATCATGCAGACTGATGAAAGTGGCCAGGATGACGATTTCGGCGAACAAGATGCAACAATGTATCAAAAGGCAATCGGCAGCATCATGTACTTGATGACAGGCACTCGACCAGACTTGGCATATGCAGTGGGAGTCGTCAGCCAGTTCATGGCAAATCCAGGACCACAACACTGGAAGGCTGTCAAGCGGATCTTCCGATACATTCAAGGCACAAAAGACTATGCATTATCGTTCAGTGGGAGCACAGAGACACAACTACTTGGCTACACTGACTCGGATTTCGCAGGATGTATCGACACTGGCAAATCTACAAGTGGCTACAGTTTTAGTCTCGCTGGCGGATCAATCTCATGGAGCAGCAAGAAGCAACAGACCGTTGCTCAGTCGACCACAGAGGCTGAGTACATGGGTCTCTCTGCAGCATGTCGCGAAGCAACATGGCTTAGGACATTGTTATTCGAATTGGGCTTCAACCACGACGGTCCAACAATTGTGCACGGTGACAATCAGAGTTGTTTGGCATTGGCGGAAAATCCAAAGTTCCACAATCGCACGAAACACATTCAGGTGAAGCATCACTATGTGCGACAATGTATCGAACTTCAAGTCGTCACTGTCAAGTATCTGCAGACGGACTTGATGTTGGCAGACATCTTTACAAAGGCGCTGGCTAAGGACAAGATTGAAAGGTTTTGCACGAGTCTAGGACTACAAAGCCTGCCACGCAACAACATCTTGCCACGCTCGCAGAGTGGGAGTGTTGGAGGTGATGCTACTCGCGGTCAGGATCTCACGACGTGATCGGCAGTGGCAAATCGCATGTCTATGAACGACCATCATGGAACAACACAGAAAGCGAGAGAAAGCAATAGAACAACAGATGTTCTATTGGCTTCCATGGACACAACAAATGTTCCAGCAGCTTCCATGAGCGCAAGTATATAAAGGTGGCAAGGTCTCATAGTAACATAGTAAGGAATCCCAGTATCAGCTGAACACGCGAAACACCTAAACACCCGAAGAATATGGGAACCCGACCTGTGTCCGAAAGCTTGAGAGCTTTTGTGGTGCAGTGATAAGGCCGTCCCTAGTCCAACAAATCCTGCAGCAGCTCGTGTGCCCTTTGCATAGATATAAGTGCAAAGGAAGGAGAGCCAGAGAGCGATGTGCTGAGCGCGAGCCCAGAAGCTGTTGGACTGGGGACAACTTTCCCGCTGCATTTCAAAAGCTCTCGAGCTTTCGGATACAGGGTCAGTGCTCCATATACCATTGCACCTGCGCACTGTATCCGAACGCTTGAGAACTCTTGTGGTACAGCGGGAAAGTCGTCCCCAGTCCAATAGGTGTATGAGTCAATCCGAAGTTCGAGTCTCGATGGGGACAGTGAAATATCGAATGCTGCTGTCGCGAAGGCTCGGGGTCACAGGCATGGGTCGACGATAGATCTCCATGTAGACCTCAGGAAGCTAGGCGCAGTGTTGATAGACGCAAAGCTATGATCCGAGAGGGGATATAGAATCAGGTGAAGTGTTGTGCGCTGGTGCAATGGTATATGGAGCACTGACCCTGTATCCGAACGCTTGAGAGCTTTTGTGGTGCAGCGGGAAAGTCGTCCCCAGTCCAATAGGTGTATGAGTCAATCCGAAGTTCGAGTCTCGATGGGGACAGTGAAATATCGAATGCTGCTGTCGCGAAGGCTCGGGGTCACAGGCATGGGTCGACGATAGATCTCCATGTAGACCTCAGGAAGCTAGGCGCAGTGTTGATAGACGCAAAGCTATGATCCGAGAGGGGATATAGAATCAGGTGAAGTGTTGTGCGCAGGTGCAATGGTATATGGAGCACTGACCCTGTATCCGAACGCTTGAGAGCTCTTGTGGTGCAGCGGGAAAGTCGTCCCCAGAAGCACCAGCCTTTAGTACCAGAGGGATAACCGACGAAGACTACCTCTTTTGCGTGGTCGTCCAGCTTCTTGCGGGTTGCGCCTGGTACGTGGATCCAAGCCTTGCATCCAAAGACGCGTGCGTGTGAGAGATTAGGCTGCTTCCCATACCAGGCTTCGTAGGCGGTCATGTCCTCAAGAGCTTTGATTGGCGACCTATTGCCAATGTACACCGCGGCGTTGATGGCAAACGACCAGAAGCTCCCGTCGAGTCCGCTTGTAGCAAGCATTGCTTTGGCGCGCTCAGTAAGGGTGCGATTGAGGCGCTCTGCGACTCCATTCTGCTGCGGCGTGTGTACATTGCTGAGGTTGCGCTGGATGCCTGCGTCGCGGAGTACCTTGTCGAAGTCTGCGTTGATGTACTCGCCGCCGTTGTCTGTGCGGAAAACTTTGATTTTGTGGCCGCTTTCCAACTCTGCGCGCTTTTGAAATTGCTCAAAAGCATCCAAGGCAGACGACTTCTCTTTGCAGAAATACACCCAGCTGAATCTCGACATGTCATCTGTGAAAGTCACAAAGTACTTGTGGCCCTGGACGCTCTCAATTGGCATGCTGCATAAGTCCGAGTGCACGAGGGCGAGTGGTTCAGTTGCACGGCTGAGACTTTCTTGCGGGAAAGGGCGTCGAGCAAGCTTGCCTTTCAGGCACCCGACACACGCGCTGGTGTCAACTTCTCCATCTCCCATGTCGACGCCTTCGACCATGTCTTCAATACGATCCATTGCCTTGGTGCCAATGTGAGCAAGGCGCTGGTGCCACAGTTTTGCCTTCCCATCTGCTTTCATATTTAACGCAACGGCTTCCTCCTGAGGGGACAACCAGTAGAGGCCATCCCCTTCCTCTCCAGCGGCAAGCACCTGTGCACAACAGTAGCTTCAGTGTGTCACAGTACGAAGAGGGAGAGAAGCGAGCGAGTTGCCTGTAGAACTATGTGTAAAGGATTTCACGCTAAACGACTCGCCTTTGCCTGGAAATCCCAAAGTATCCTATGCAGTCGATGGAATCTTGAGCCTGCATACAGCATAGATAGCATCGCAAAAGCCATAGCCACCTCTTTTTGCCCCAAGGTTCATGTTCGAAATTGTGACTCGCAGGGCCCAGACTCAAACGTATACTTTTGGGTAACGGAAGCCATACTATTACCAAACTACTCTACTCTTTGCCAAAAGCCTTCTCAAAGTCTGTTAGAACAAGTCGGTAACGAACGTTATCGTTGTTGTAAACACGCTCAACCGCCTCCTTGCAAGCCTCCGCGGAGATAGGTAACTTCATAATCCACGACTTGATCTTCTTCTCCTCCACTAGCTTGAGCATTTGAAGCATCTCTTTCTTTGAACCGATGTGAGATCCAGTGAGTTTACATGCATTTGCAGCAAAGAGCTGCGCTTTGATGTCATCCAATGGATCGTCTGGCAGGCCAACGGAGTGGAACTCTCCGCCAATGCGAAGACACGAGCAAAACTGCTGAAGAAGCACTCCTTTAGCTGCATCAATTGTTGACAACATAAAGTCAAACTTCATGGCGTGTTCTTTCTCCCAGCCTTCGTTGGCGGTCACGACAACCTTATCGGCTCCCATTTTTTCGATATCGTCCTTCTTACTCGCGGAGTGAGTAAATACTGTCACCTCAGCGCCCATTGCCTTGGCAAATTGCACAGCGTAATGTCCGAGGCCTCCTACACCAGCGATTGCAACCTTCTTGCAGTTCTCCTTGCCAGCTCCTGCACGTACAAGAGGACTGAAAACGGTCAAGCCAGCGCACATAAGCGGAGCGGCTTCAGCAGAATCAAGCCCTGCTGGAATGGGAAACACGAACTGTTCGTGAGCGCGGATGCGGTTCGAGTAGCCGCCTTGTGCTTTTGAGCCGTCCAGACCGAGGGCCTTTCCGTTCTTCACGCCAAAGTCTGCTGCTTCGGATTCGGTTGGGTATGGGGCGCCGTACGTGTCGACCTTGTGGGGACAGTAATTTTCGTCGCCGCGTGCAGAGGTACATGCAGTACACACACCGCAAGACCACACTTGTGCACCCACTCCTGCGCGGTCGCCGACCTTGAACTCCGTGACCTTGCTTCCGACGCGTTCAACGCGACCACTGCATAGATGTTAGTGTCTGTATCGAATGAAAAGAACGAGGAAGACGAACACAACTTCGTGTCCGGCGCACACAGGCAGAGGGGCGGCTCCCCAGCCAGAGCTGATGGTGTGTACATCAGACGAGCACACGCCACAGCACTCGGATTTGATATCAATGTCGTACTCGCCGAAAGGCTTGAGCTCAGGTGCTTCCTGCTCCTTGAAGGTAGACCAGTTCTTGGCATCGGTCACATAGAAGCCTCGGAATTTCTGCTTGTCGTTTGTCGCACTCATACTGTTATTTGGTTGGTCGTTAAATTACTTGTCGTCCAGCAGAAGCCGGCTTGTATAAGTAGCAGCATCGTACAAACAATTTTCTGGCTCGACGTCATGGCACGGTCATGCCCTGACTTATGACGGCAGTCATGACGTGGTCTCGCGTCTCGAGTGCCGTTGTCCCGGGCATGAACCAAACTGGCATTGTTCAGATGGAATCAACATACACTTGCTTGCTGAGTTGTCTACTTCAGTGCGACACCTCTCTTGCAGACTTGCAGTTTCAATTGTTGACATAGCACTTCTGCATGCTAATATATAGCTTTCAATGTGGTGAAAATGGAGGCGGAGTGAAGTCAGCACACTCGAATTCGAATCAAAGGAGTATGAATCTCCACAGATCATCACAAACTCAATGACCAGGCTTCTCATTGTCATTGCTTGGACGTCCGATGTGCGTACCTGTAAATACATTTCAAGGAGAAGCAAAAGAGAGGGAAAGCATCGTTGATATGGGTTTAGGCACTATATTCGCCAGGTGTGAGGGGCAGGCGCTTTCAATTGACAGGAAAGATGCAAAGAACGATGCTAGACCACTTCAAATGACCAACATGTCAGTATCGCTTCCTTCCTCGCCGTCAATCGCTGTTGCATCGTTGCCGTTGTCCTCGTCATCGCTGTCACGATTGGCATCTTGCTGGAGCAATCGCTCCATGACACGGTCACGCACCAGATCCTGAGGACGCAATTGTTGTGGACAACCCGCGACAGGACAAGCTTTTTGCCTACCATTCAACATCTGCATGATTGCCACTCGAGAGAAGGTGTGCGGGCATTTTTGAGACTTGACCGGCTCGACAAGTCGCGCCAAAGTCAACGGACATTTCAAGCTGCGCGCTCCACGCGACGTCATCTCAACGTCGTCGTCGTCGTTCGCATTCGCCTCCCCTGGTTGCTGGAAGAAGGCCGACATGGGTGGGGCCTCTTCGTCTCCGTGCTCCACCGACCAGATGACTGTCTTGAAGGATGAGAACATATCGTTCTTCATGTAGCGCGACCTCTCGTCACGATCGCGATAAGTTGTCTTGGCAACTTCAAGTTGCTCTTTTATGTAGTCGTTGAGCGGCGCCGTCTGTTGAGCATCGGTATACTCCATTGCGCGATATCCTGCTTGTTGAAGCGCCATAGTATCGTGTTGCGCGTCTATGAGACTCTTCAGTGCTCGCTCACAGGCTGGGACCTTATCTCCATCGTTGAAATCAGCATCAAATGGCGCGACAGCAGCTAGGCGGTCAAGCGCCAACGCTAGCAGTTTACTTGACACATCAGAGCTCACGAGCTTGTTCAATTGCGAGCATTCTTGCAACTGCAGTCGCGCTGGGAGTAGCGGCCCACCCGGCTCCTGTGCCACGCTGGGACCACCTGCGTAACCCTGCATCGCGACTTCTGCCATGTTGGTGCTTGTCTGCAATGTTGAGTTTGTGGTCGTCTGTGTCGCGAGACGCGCCGTGTTGCTCAAATTCGCGCCAAGAACGCGTGCGACTCAATTGCAATTGCAAGCTCTGTGTCTCTCTGTACCAGGACAGTGTCGATTATCACTCGGCTGCTGCTCCTCTACTACATCATGCCAACTTGATTGTCTTCTCAACTCTGCCCTGGATCCTGACGAACCTCTCCTTGCGGACAGTTGAACTGCACCGCAAAGCCTGTCGAGGCTGGCGAAAGTTCCCAGCAATGGACGCTGCTAAAACTACGACACCGGTTCGTCCCTGTACCCTGATTGCAACATACTGACCAATCAGCTCTTCTCGGCATTGGCGGTCTCCTTGAAACCGTTGCAAGATGTCTTGAGGTGCATCCACTTCAAGCCCACGGCATTGTGTCAGATCAATCACGAAGGAATCAAGATCTCCGTTGAAGATGCCAAATCGCTACAGGCGCACGCCTTTCTCGACACAAAGTTGTTCAGCACGTTCAATCTTGATTTGGCAGAGACAGGCGATGAAATGCTTTTGTTTGGGATATCTCTGGCAGCATTGATGGAGATGCTGAATATCTATACCCCGAGCAGTGGCAGTTTCTCGCAGATGAAGGATGGACAATATGTGCGAACAAGTGCTTATCAAGCCAACGGCCCAGGAGGGCCCCTGCGCCTTGGCAACACGATTCGTGTGACCTATGCGGAACTCGGAGGCACCCTGGACCTCGTTTTGGAGGAGCATGGTGTGCAAACCCAATGTCGTTTGACTACCTACGAGCCTGACGAGATCGCCGAAATCTCGTTGGAAGCTGATCCGGTACCCGATCGAATCATCATGCGCAGCGCGTGGTTGTATGAGGCACTGACAGAGTTGGAGCTCCACCAAGGCGACCTTCTCACCATCCGCCAGTCACCTCGACAACCATTCCTGAGGCTAGCAGTTAAAGGCATTCTTGGTGAGGCGCAACTCGATTATCCAAATGACAAGCAAGTGCTAGAAACGTTTTCTTGTGCAGACGACGTCAAACATGTATATCGCTTCGGCATGATCAAGTAAGCTCCTCAACAATCGAGCCCTGCTGACACTCAGAACGTGTCTCAAGGCCATGAACCTATCAACACGTGTCAGCATCCGTACTGACGATGTCGGTACAATGGCAATCCAATTCATGATTGATGTTGGTGACAATCGCAACGCCTTTGTAGAATTTCGAATGGTGGCGCTGGATGAGAATGGAGTTGAAAGTGCTTCCGAAGATGGGGACAGAGATGATGCAGAGAATCGCGAATTGGACGAGACTCTCGTGTTCTGATGCATCTTTGCTTCTCAGTAAGGTACAACGAGAGCCGCGAAAATGCTATCATCAAAAGCCTGTCTGGCGTTTCCTCTTCTTTGCTCTCGCAGTGTGGCGGTCGGTAAGAGGTAGCGATGGACCGCCTTGCGACAATTCGACGGTATAATCTTCCGAAGCACCTGTAAGAGAAGATTGTGGCCTCGTACTCGAATGGAGTATTGTTTTCGCATCGACACTCTCATCAAAATCTCTTTCAGGGCTACTTGAGTTAGTAGCGGATGGTCGAAAGACAGTCCGGGGACTCCCTGAGTAACTGATGGATTTTTCTGATGTGCCTTCCTCAAGCGGGCTGACGGGTAGCTGTATCGAGAGAGCAGGTTGAGGTGTTTCAACTCGCTCAGCATTAGCGGTCTTTGATGATGCCCGCTTGCGCCTTTGTGTAGAGACTAAATGAGAGGCATAGAGCTCTGTAGCAATGCCCATCGCAAGCATAGCTGTTTCCTCCATGATACCAGCCTCAGGAAGATTCTGCTGAGTAGAAGATGCAGTGTATAGGTGCGCGGTGGCGCAGTGGATAGCATTTAGCAGCGCATCATCCGGCAGACCAGAAACAAACCTGTCTGGCAGTTGCACAACACTCTCTTTGGCGGTGTGCTGTAGATATGAATCAGCCGAGGGCAATTGCCATTTCGCTAAGCGAAGCTTGCGAGCTAGAGCCTGTTCAGGGCCTATTCTGTCGGCTGCTCGGTGCTCCAAAGTGTCTGCAAGTCTGGCTTTCGTCAGATTGAGCACGTCCTGGGACGGATCTTGCGAAAAGTGTGTCAAGTAGTCAAACAATGTCAGCTGACGCTTTCTCTTTGACCCCGCTTCATTCATGTGAGCAGAAGAGACCTGTCCTATGCAGTCATTTGTTCTCAGCACCAGCTTGCTCAATCTTGTATTTTTTGCTAGCAGAGAGCTGAACTGACAACAGCACACCTCCTGAGTCTGGAGGTGATTCGGGTGTAAGAGTCAATATCAGTCAAGTCTGGATCTGACGCGAAAGTTTGTCCATGCGTCAGTGCGTCATGCGCGCAAACGCCAAGAACCACGAATTCGGACATCAGACACTACTCTACTTCTGGTCTCGACCACCAGATTTATACAGCCAAGAGTTACGTTTACTTATGTCGAGCGAAGTCAAACTGTCATCGAAACAAGCGGCGGCCTTGTTCCACTTCCTATGTCAAGAGGAAGCCTTCCTGGAGTTCTCGAGCCTCAAAATTCCTGGTCGCATCGCTGCACTGGGCCCTCCCTTCCTACCAAACGCCAAGTTCCCCAACTGCGATGCGTCACCTTTGCTGGAAAAATGTATACGGCATTTTGTTCTGACAGATACATTGCCGGGCTTCTGTAAAGTCCAAGACGACTCCAACTTCTGGGGTGGCCAAGTGCAAGGCATCCTCGAGCGTATGGCTGAGTCAAGTCTGTCAGATTCTTATGATAAGGGCAAAGTCTCCAAACGCAAAACTTTGGGTATGGCCGTGAGTGTCTTCCTTTCAAATATTGCCCGTGGTTTATACGGCAAAGTGCCGACAAATGCAGAAATGGCCGTTGCACAGGCCGAACAGGGTAGACCTCCAACGGACCCATCTTCCCAGGGCAAAAGTTTTGATGCGGAATCGCTGACAGAGGCGTGGCAAGCCTGGAAGCGGGATATGGTACACGAGGATCACTTGGAATCGCTTCTCGTATTGATACGTGAAGCGCGACCCTGTGAGCAATGGCCAATACAACACTACCCTGCTGCGCTGTACGTGAAACTTACTATTGCCTCACTGCTGCACTACATCTTCGTTGCGTCACCTGATGGCTCTGAGATTCTATCCATCGTTAGCAGATTACACGCAAAACTTCCCTATTGGAGTATACGCCAAGCTTTGAAGATGCCATACGCAACCGCGATGATACAAGGCCTTTCCAAGGTTTTCTTGGCAAAATCCATGTTTGGCGGCTCAAACTTGATGCAGACTCTCATCTCTTATATTCTCGGCGGTGACCAAACCCGGCTCGAAAAGGCAATTGCTCAAATCGAAAAGTCTGGTATCCATGCAGAATACAAGGCACAGATATTGAAGTTTGTTCACGAAACAGGCCGGGAGACGCAAGCCTCCATGAGAGATGAGAGTGTGGCAACGGGGAAATCAATTGTGGCCATCATTGTTAAGACTATCAATATGCCCTTTGAAGAGCATGAGGTACTACTCAAATACCTCGAATTACAGCTTGCTCGGAGAGATCGTGTTGAACTCATACAAATCCTGACTGGGGACGAAACGTTGACTTCGCTAGTGCGCCAATTTTTGGACATATTCTTTGGCATCATCAGCGACCTCCACAAGGCAGTGGATCTCCCCACTGGTTTGGGTGCAGCGCAGACATTCATTGGTGCGCTTATCACATGTTCTGAAAAGCAGGGCGCAACAATTTTCGACTTTGTTGACTTGGTAGACCGCTTCGAATGCGAGTTTCTGCGATTTGGTACACAGATTCTGAACAACTCCGAAAGCTTGACGATCGGATATACAAAGTGGTATGATCATTGCTTGAGTGCTTATCGTGGTGAGCCGGTGCTTGACCTTCAATCAGCGGTCGCCAAAATGACTGAAGTGGAGCAAAAGCAAATCATCGCTCAGCTGGATGCATATCAACAGTATCTCAGTGACAAGCAGGCTGTGTCGCAGCGCAACCTCTCTTCTATGCTTAAATATCGTGAGAAGAAGTCGGCTGTAAAGCCATGCAGTTTAGGCTTCGGTGTCTGGCTTGGCATTCTTCGAGATGTGCAACAGGACGCGAAGGTCACTCCGAAGCAGCCTCAGGGGTCATTTGACAAGTCTGTGCGGCCAGACATGCAGACGTCCAAGAATACAATACTGCCCGTCTTTGCTTTGGGCCTCGGTGCGAATAAATGACGGCGATGGCATACGATATAGATTGCGGCAAATGTACATGAATTCTGTGACTGGCTTTGTCTGCACTCACGTGACTTGGCTTTGTTGAAGGATCCGCGCTGGAACATACAACTCGGAGTCTGGACATTGTAGAGGCCCTAGACGTCTCAAGATGCAGTCGCTTCTATGCTCTATCGCGCGACTCAGCGCTCCAACGGCTTTGCGATCCGTCGGATTACGCTCAAGTCGCTTGACAGCAGTACAACAACGCTTCGCTTCCCATGGTTCTTCCTTTGAGCCACCGACCGGGCGTCTCTTCAATGAACCGGTAAGTCTGCCTTCGACTCATATCTTCCCGTATTGACACGTTCCGCATCAGATCTTGAAGCCGGGTCAAAAGCGTCAGAAGGAGGATTGGGAGAATGTCTTCGTTTACGGATTTGGTGGCACCACTTTATTCGCCGTCCTGCTCTGTATCTACAGGCAAGATGAAACGTGCGTGCATGCGTGAAGGTTCTGATTGACATACTAACAACTTCAAGAATCCAGAGCTGGGCACTGAAGGAGGCAAAACAACGGCAAGCCGACGCTGGCACGACCCCAACGTACACAAAGCAAGGATAAATCGATTTGTGGAGAAGGATTTCAAAACTAAACCGCTTGCTCGTGACATGCATTTGAATGAACAAGATTGAAGCGAACGTTTGTATGACAATCGAAGCGTCGTGGAACTACCTGACCAAAACGAGGGAAAATAATGTCAATCGACGTCGTGCCAGCCACGGTCACTAATGACCTTTGATTCGAGCTCTCCAGATAGCTCAGTCCAAACCTACTTGTCGAGTCCTGATGATGTCGTTGCCTTGGTTCTGCTTGCCTGCCAAACTTGACTGATGAGTTAGCGTTGGACTTTTGCAAGCACGAGCCACCTACCTCAACGACAAGCGGGTCAGTGTGAAACATTGCATGCATCGTCGCTTGTCTCCTGACCATCTTCAATTGTTCTAAAGCATGGTCTTTGGCTGTAGCAATCTGAGTAGCATCTTGCAACTGCCTCGCCTCGCGAAAGGCGTCTCCAGCGCGACGCTTTGTGTACATCCGAAAATTGTACGGAAGAGGCTGCGCTGAGCGTAAAATCTGCCTGTAGAGCGATAGAGCCGACTGTGAGGACATTATGTGTGGACTCGAGTACGTGTTAGGGACACAGGCTCGATTGCGCTGGTGTACCATCCATGTACCTTAGAGCGTGTGACGCCAAAAAAAGTTGCTGGCTTATGTGAGCAGGGTGGCTACACTTTCACAACTGCCTACTATCTAGCTGAGTCTTGCTTGTATCGAGGTCGCTACTAAACATGAGAGAACTCAAGCATCACGAACGAAAGCTGCTGAAGAAAGTCGATCTCTTCACCTACAAGTCCGAACAGAACCACAGAGACTTGCAAGTCATCAGGCGCTACCATATTCAGAATCGGGAAGAGTACTTTCAGTACAACAAGCTTTGCGGTGCTCTGAAGCATCTCGCGCACAAGCTAGCGGATCTACCACCGGAGAATACCTTTCGAAAGAAGCACGAACGACTGCTTCTCGACAAAGTCTTCTCGCTTGGCCTTGTCCCGTCCGCAACGAAACTCTCAGAGATTCAGAACAAGATCACAGTCTCTGCCTTCTGTCGTCGTCGGCTAGCTATTACTCTTTGTCGACTTAAAATGGCGGAGACTGTGCGCATCGCCATCACCTATATTGAGCAAGGGCACGTTCGCGTGGGTCCAGAGACTGTGACAGATCCAGCATATCTTGTCTCTCGCAACCTTGAAGATTACGTTACATGGGTTGACAGCAGCAAAATCAAGCGGACCATTGCCAAGTATAACGATAAGCTCGACGATTTTGATTTGCTGCAGGTGTAATACTATGCAAGGCGCGTTGACTACAAAAGTCTACACCACTATTCCAATTCTAGCACACTCGCCAATTCCCGCGGCCAAATGGAGAGCTACTTCAGGTCGCAGCACCCATCACTGCTTTTCGCAGACTACTGAGACTTGCGCCACTGGCTTGTCGCTGCAAGCCAGGCCTATCGCCTTGCGCTCCTTCCAGCTCTTCTGCGTCGTCTACACCATCGTGTACCGGCTCTAGTGCGCCAGATAGTCCCACTGTCGCTGGCTTCCTGCGCTGCTCTTGTGCTGCTTTCAATGAAATTGTCTTGGTCGTGCATGAAGAAATGACTGGAGTCGACCAGTCTCTACCGATTGTGGCTTTAGTCATGGCAGTCATCCACTCTCGCATGAGCGTCGCTGACTCTGCATTGAAATAGACAGTCTTTGGCGGTGTGAAGTTCAGGCTGCGACTGGCACCAGGCGCTGGAGGCACCACCTTGAAAGTCAATTTTGCAGGTCCGTAGAATAGAAGATCTTCGACTTGTTGAACCTTGTAAGCGTTGATATCAATTATACCGCGCTCCTGAGTGTCTTCATCTGTCAAGTAATACGCGAGTCTTGTGCCTTTAAGTACAAAAAAACGCAAATTCCATTGATAGTTGCGCTCACTCCTCTTTCTTAACCAGCCTGAAAAGTCGGCAGCTTTCACTGCCTCGGCAACAGGCAATTGTTCAAGATTCTCGGAGACTGCGTTTGGCCGCCACTTGGGTTGCCGGCGCCCCAGAATGGAGCGCTTTTGTTGCAGGCCGGACGATGATGTGCCAGCGCGTGGTGAAGAATGTGATTGACCTGCGCTCGACGGTGATGCAAAACTAGGTGATTTGAGATCGCTGGATGAATCTGTGGATGCGACTGATCCATTCAGCTCTGGCACTGAGCCGAGAGCATCAGAACGGCGCGCATCGGATTCAATAGCGGATGAAGTTTTAATTGTATCATGAGACCAGGCGCGAGAATGGTGCTTGTCAACACCGTTGTTGCCAAATGCAAGTGACGATGTTGAGAGTGCTTTCTTGTGCGATTTCGTCGGGGACGATCCGGGACTGCTTGTCATTGCTGAGTATGCAGTGCGCGGAACATCGATGCCACCTGCAATCTGAAGTGCAGGCGTCGTATGGCCAATGGGGGAAGCGACAGAGTTCATATCTTTCGCAGTATTCGTGTTGATGCGCAAATGCTGGACACCATCAACCACTTTTGTTCTCTCGTAACTTGGCCGTGGATTCTCAGGAGCAAGGGGCTGCCGAGACGTTATTTCGGAACTTTGATTTTCCGCATGTGGCGTTGACTGCTGGGAACGCAGCTTGTCAATCTCTCGCATCACCTCGAACCTTTTACCAAATGCGACAATATCAATCTCGCGCAAGTCTGCATGATGCATTGCTAGCAGGACATGTCCACTCACTTCGTGTTCCTTGAACTTTTGGGCCAAGTCGAACCCTAAGTGCGCAAAGTGTTGCGAAACCTGCTCTGGTGTCCAGACTTCGATATCTAGGGGCAGACCTGCGCTTTTGGGACGTTCTGCTTCGTCAGGTGCATCAGATCCGGCTGAGTGTCGACTTTGAGCGTGCGATTCTGACTCGTGCGTATCTTGCAACGCGTCGTCGGGGGCATTGTAAGAGCTGTCCGGGTCGAGCATCCGGTCCAAGTCTATGGGCGCCGCTTCATATGCACTGAATTCTTCTGTCCCATTGAGCGGTGGTTGGAGGTCGGAGAGGCTCTCATTCTGCAGGCTAGCTGCGCTTGTCGCAATGAGACTCGGTGAAGGCATGTGTTCCGCTGTGTATATCTTTGGGAAGAGGCCGACTCGGCCAGTCTCTAGCGAACGACCCTCCCACCAGCCATCACCAAAGTCATCATCCCGGGAAAGAACTTCAATGCGCTCGCCGGCGGTGAGGGGCAGGTCCTCTTCTGTGGTGCCTGGAAAGTTGAAAACGGCAAAGACAACGTTCTCCATGTAAAGGTAGGCTACTGGTGTGTGTGCCAGAGATGCTCAGGCGTCGATAGGCTTTGATAAACAGCGCGCGCCCTGCCAACAGTATGCGACAATCAGTTTGCTAGAATGTCGGAAGTGTGTTTGCGCAACGAGGCGGACTAGCGCCTGAGGAGGCTGTGTTTGTTGTCTAGACGTCGGTCTAGGGCAGACAGTCACTCAGACAGAACAGGAGCGAGAGAGAAGAGGACAGGGCCTCGGAGGCGAGCTTTCCTAGAGCTTGTGTCGGTTCGTGCAACAGGCCTCGCTCACTGTCTTTGTTGCGCCGCCAGCCTCCGATGCACGTGCACCCTGCTGCCTCCTTGGCCTAACCCTGTGTCCCATATCAAATTATCACTAGCAAGCCTACTGGGCGAGTGTGGCCTGAACTTCCTGAAGGGAGCCCGCGAGTCAGGCCACGAAAAAGTTGAAGAGAGAAATCCACGACCCGACCTCGTCCCTCAACCCATCATGTCGCGTGTAGGAATCAAGGCCCTCGAGATCCACATCCCCAACCAGTGTGTCACGCAAGCTGACCTCGAGAAGCACGATGGTATCCCAGCCGGCAAGTACACCATCGGCCTCGGGCAGACGCAGATGGGCTTCTGCGACGACAGGGAAGACATCTACAGCATGTGTCTGACAGCCCTGTCAAAGTTGCTCAAGAACTACAAGATTGACACCAAAAACATCGGCAGGCTCGAGGTCGGCACAGAGACCCTCCTGGACAAGTCCAAGTCTGTCAAGTCCGTCTTGATGCAGCTCATGGGCGACAACCACGACATCGAGGGCGTCGACACTGTCAACGCGTGCTACGGCGGCACAAGTGCGCTCTTCAATGCTGTCAACTGGGTGTCCTCGGAGGAGTGGGATGGACGGGACGCCATCGTGGTCTGTGGTGATATTGCCCTCTACGCTAAAGGTGGAGCCCGCCCGACAGGAGGTGCAGGGTCTGTGGCCATGCTCATTGGACGCGATGCTCCAATTGTCATCGACAGCAAAATGCGTGCCACTTTCATGGACCACGTATACGACTTTTACAAGCCGGACTTCACAGTGGAATATCCAGTTGTCTTTGGACAGTACTCTGTCGGTTGCTACACTAATGCCTCAGATGAGTGCTACAACTTGTACCAGAAGAAGTTTGCACAGAAGCATGGTGTGCAGGATGCAGACAAACTTGGTGTTGACCATTTTGATTATCTGATTGCACATTCTCCTACAGCCAAAACTGTGCAAAAGGCTTATGCTCGTATGCTCTACAACGATTACTTGCAAGCCCCGTCCAACCCAGCATTTGAGTCTGTTGGCGATGCCTACACCCTTGCAAAGGTTTCACACGAGCAATCCCTCAGCGACAAGCAGCTCGAGAAGACTTTTGTCGCGCTTTCAAAAGAGCGTTACGCTCAGCGTGTCGCACCATCGATTCAGGCATCCACGAACATCGGCAACATGTACACCGCCTCACTCTACGGCGGTCTAATTTCGCTCTTGACAAACGTGTCATCTGCTGATTTGCAGGGTAAGCGTATCGGAGCTTATTCCTATGGATCAGGCCTGGCATCATCGCTTTTCTCTTTCGTTGTTCAAGGCGACGTATCACATATCGCCGAAGTTTGCAACTTGTCTGAGAAGCTTTCCCAAAGGGCAATCTTGAGCCCGGTCGAGTACGAGGCATGCATCGCATTGCGTGAGAAGGCACACTGCAACAAAAGTTTCGAGCCACAAGGAAGCATTGACAGGCTAGCACCAGCGACTTACTATCTGGTCAAGGTCGATGAGCACTATCGGCGTGAATACGCTATCAAAGCATAGATGTTTGTATTGCATTCATTTAGACGGTTGAGATAGAAATGTATTATTGGCCAAGCCAGAGTCCTTCACTTCATCTAGATTCGGCCAAATGCATTGCCGACTGGCACCACTCTTGCGCCAGGAGAGAGGAGCGCAGCTTGGACCTGCCTTTGCTGGCGTTCCGCTTCTCTCAATTGACGGACAGCGAAACGTTCTTGCTCTCTCTCCAGACGTCGCACTTCAGGACCGGTAAGGACAACACTTGCGCCACGAAGCGCTCCATTGTCAAAACCGTTGCTTGAAACAATGACCGGCTGTACTGCGCGGCCTCCACCGCCAATTGCGACGCCTCCAGTAAGACCTATGTTGCCTCCACCGAGGCCCACATTGAGCCCAATCCCAGCCAGCTGGGCAGATGCCACTTGAGCCATCGTCAAGAGGAGAGCTGCCTCGTAATGCATTGTGAAGATCCTTGGTGCGTTGCAAGCTCATTTTATAGCATCGGTCGATGTGTCAACGCCCTCGAAACTGTTTAGCTCTCTTGCCGTTTCAACGTAGCGATACATCACATGAAACGAACGGCATGTTCAAATTTGTCGACTGAGGCTTCCTCTTAGAGTTTCGAGTTTCTGTGTCACCTCCTGCAAGCTTGCTTTGTCCTTCGCAAGAACAGCAGCTGGAACTTTTGCCAGATGGATCGGATCACTCAAACGCTTGATCAGCTTCTCCTGTTGTCGCTCGAGGAAAGCAATGCGTTTTGCAGACTGCTCCATGGAAGTATTGTCAACTGTGGTTTGCGATTCAGTACGCTCTCCAAGCACGGAAATCGTGAATCTGTTGAGCCCAGTCTGTTGAAGAGCTGTGAGAGAGTCGTTAACATCCGCCACTTCGAGAGCTTTTGCTTTTGCCATTTGCTTCAGCTGTCCCTCAAATTGTTTCACGAAACGATAGTCTGAACAGTCTGCCATCTGAATGAGCACAACAGCCTGTCGCACACCATCAAGCGCTCGAAGCTCTTTCAAAATTGTACACAGCAATTTAACTTGCTTCTCAAGTCTGGCATCAAATTTGGTGACATCTTTGCTTGCAGGAATGTCGGACGGCAAGTCTCTCAGCCTATACGTGACTGAATCGGCTAGGAAAGGCATAAATGGCTTGATCAGTAAGCTCAACTCAACCATGATTTGCCGTAGGGTCGCCAAAACTTTGCAGCGTTCCTCATGTGATGTCAGACCTTTGAGATCATACTTGAGAAACTCCAAGTATGTATCACACAGGTCATTGACAATGAAGAACCGTAAGCTACTGGTCGCTCGGTGCAATGTCCGTTTTGCGAAAGACTCGTGAACATCCTCTTGAAGGTTGAGAAGGCGCTGCAGAATCCAATGATCCATGATCTGAGAGCGATTTTGAGGCTCAACACAGCTAGAGGCCTGCGTTTGCTGGTGAAACTCAATGAAATTGAGTACATTCCAAAGCTTCCCGCCCACATATCTGGCAGCCTTGACGCTGCGAATGTCCAGATTCAGCGTCGAATCTTGTACAGTAGAATCAACAAGCGCAAAACGGAGCGCATCAGCGCCATCAGCCTGAATCCCTTGCGGATAGCTCCTGGCAAGATCTTGGCTTGCACGTGACACTTCGCCTGCAGAGAGATTACCAACCGCCAAAGCAGCCTGTAATTCCTCTAACGAACATCCATCAATGATGTGCAAAGGATCTAGGACATTACCGAGCGACTTGGACATTTTTCTCCCCTGAGAATCTCGTACGAGGGGATGAAGCAGAATCTCCTTGAAAGGCGCAAACCCGGTGAAGTGTGTACAGAGCATAGCCATTCGCGCAAGCCAAAAGAAAAGGATATCGGGTCCACTTTCGATGAAGCTCAAGGGTCGCCATGGCGATGTATCGTCACGAGGCCAGCCATAGGCTGATAATGGCAAAATACCAGAACTGAACCATGTGTCAAGCACATCACTCTCCTGTACAATGGGCTTCCCGTTCGCAGCTTTCTGTGCATCTGCGAAAGAGCGAGCAAAAAACCATCCATCTGTATTCACGATGCGGTACAGTGGAACCCGATGGCCCCAAACGAGTTGACGACTGACGCACCAATCTTGGACGTTTTCAAGCCAACGAAGCCATTCCCTCTTTGTCTGGATTGACATCTGGATTGTGTCTTGTTGCAAAACCTTATCTGCGAGTGGTTGCATATGGATAAACCATTGTGGCATCAAACACGGCTCTATCACTGCGCCTGTGCGGCTACAGACGCCTAAGCGCAGTGAATGTTGCTGCACAGTAATGAGTGCTCCTGCAGCGGCCAGTTTCTCAACGACTTTCGAGCGTGACTCTAGGCGATCATGGCCCACCAGGTCTGGTAGCCCACAGCTTGGAAGAAACTTGCCATGCTTATCGAAAATGGTAACGAGCTCGATAGCATGACGTCGTGAAGCTGCATAGTCGTTTGCATCGTGAGCAGGCGTCAGTTTAACGGCTCCAGTGCCGAATAAGGGATCTACCATTGCATCGGCGACAATGGGTAAGGAAACAGATGATAGAAGAGGATGCTGTACGCATTTGCCAATGAGATCTTTATAGCGCTCATCGTCTGGGTGGACAGCAATAGCCCGGTCACCAGGCACCGTTTCCGGACGAGTTGTCTGAACACAGATTTTGCCAGACCGATCGACCATTTGGTATGCAATCGTCCAAATCTTACCAAATTCAGCACCTTGGATTATCTTTGGTGTATCGACAACCAGACTATCGACTTCAATATCGCTGATGACGCTTTGCAGGCGATCCGACCAATTGACCATTCGGACGTCTCGACGGACCAAGCCATCTTGCCAAAGCTTTCCAAAAGCTTCAATCACGGCCTCAGATCGTTCTTCATCCAGCGTAAAGTATTCTAGGTCCCAATCGAGGTCAGCTCCAAGCCGTCTGATCTGGTTGGTGATCTCGGCGCCGAAGGACTGTTTATAGCGCCATATCTCAGCGATGAAGTCCTCCGGGGCCAATGCCGAGACATCGACGCCCTGTTTCGCCAGCATCTTGGCTACGACAGTTTGAGTCGCGATGCCAGCATGGTCCATACCCGGCGCCCATGTGACTTGTTCGCCTTGAAATTTGAAAAAGCGCACATACGCATCCTGAATTGCGACAGTCAGAGCGTGACCGATATGAAGCGTGCCAGTGACATTGGGTGGAGGAAGAATGAACCTCTTTGCAATCGATGAATCAGTCAATCGACGGGTATTCTCTTTAGACAAATATTTGTTTGCCCATGCTTCAATCAGTGCAGGGTTGTATGGCCCACGAGGCACATTCTTCCGGGCGGTGTCTTCCAATTGCGCCACCTGCAAGAGTCGATGGACTTGACCGATAAGATAGAGGCTGCCGCAAATGTATACCTTTCCTTTGGCATCCTTGATAGCACCAGAGACGTCGTTCCCATAGTCTGTAGCATCAAGTTCTCGTGAGATGACTGTGGAAGAAGCAGGGACAACCCAGGCCATACCGTCGACTGGTTCGAATTCAACAGCGAAAGCCTTGTCACCAGATCTGAGCAGTGGTTTGAACATGGCAGCATCCTTGCCTTCTGTCATAGCAAAGATAAATGTTGACTGCTGTGATGTACCCTTCACTAGACTGGCCAGGGCATTGATCGACTGCGGGTTGTGTGCGCCATCCAAAGTTGCGTCCTGAACGCCTCCGATAAGTGATAGGTCGAGATGCTCAAACCGTCCTGGCCATCGTGTGGTAGCTATTCCTTGCTCGATAATTGCTGGCGTCAAATGAGTAAAGGATTTTGCAAGCTGCTGTAGTGCAAGTCTTGCAGTGCTTGCGTTGGCATCTCTGTAATCATCGTGAATGTCTTGCGTCGTGTGCAGCGCCATTCCAGGATTCACCCTTTCTTGTATCTCATGAAGGACACGAAGAACATTCGCGGAGTCTTGCTGTCCACTGACGACTACAGGAGCCCCGTACTTGATAATACCGCCCTTTTCAGCAGCTATTTCTTCAAGGGTCTCGCCAAGAAAGGCAGTGTGATCAAGCCCGACGCGAGTAATGACAGAAAGTACTGGCGTGATCACATTTGTTGCATCCATTCTACCACCCATCCCAGTCTCTACTACAGCAACATCTACCTTGGCTTCAGAAAATGCCAGAAAAGCAGTAGTAGTGAGCGCTTCGAAGGGGGATAAATTGTGCCGCTTAGTTTTACGCATGATCCGCTCGAATGCAGCGTAAGAAATGGCAGTGCCATTGATTGCAATACAGTCCCGAGGATGAATGAGGTGTGGGCTTGTGTAAAGCCCTGTGTTCAAGCCAGCAAGTCTGAGTGTATGGGCAATGATCGCACTGACACTGCCTTTCCCATTGGTTCCAGCGATATGAATAGTTTTATAAGCCAGATGAGGGTCATTGAATGTTTTGAGAGCATGTTTGATGCTAGCTAACCCAAGCTTTATGGACATGCATGTACGGTGTTCAAGTAATGTACTGCAAGGGTTATTGTTTTTGTTGGTCCGCTGTATAATTTTCGTACGTGTGCACGCAGACTGAAATGACTGAAATGCCCTGCAACAAGTACAAGCATGCTTCGCGATGAAAGCGATCTTGTACAAGGGCCAACGACTGTTTAGGAAGCGGCTGGCAAAGGAGGACGAGGTGACACATGCATTTATGCAACTATGGGGCACATTGATAGGCACGCCGATGGCCCTCTATGGCCAAACACCTCAGGCTGTCCTGTGGTTGTCTTGTTCTGGGCGTAGTTGTCATGGTCAGCAGTAGTTTGCCTGAGTGTTGAGCGTAGTCTCAGACTTACCCAATGCTTCACTCTGATGTGAGACGGACTGACGTACCGATGCCTCAGCTGAAGGTTCCGTAAAAACCCAAGAGTGCTGCATTCATATAGCAAGTTCGCCCAGGAAGAGCGTCTTGTCCGTTGACCCGGATGCCAATATTGGCTGTTCAGGGTGAAAGTCCACACAATTGACCGTGCCTTTGTGCCCGGGCAACTTGTAGATGAGGGAATTCCGGCGCGTCTCCCAGACCAAGACAGTTCTATCTGCTGAGCCGGAGGCAACACGGGACCCATCCTTGTTCCAACAAGCTTTGATGAGATTCTGCTCTCCCCCATGAGCCACACCTGAGAATGTTGCAACTAAGCGGTTCTCGGGTGCAAACGGCTGGACATTCCAAGTTTTCATGGTGCTATCCATAGAATTTGAAAGCAGTGAGTGTCCATCAGGCGAGAGTGCCAAGCTTGTGATGGTGTCTCCATGACCGGTCATTTCGTATACAACTGCTCGCTTTCTGATGTCCCATACTTTGATCTTTTCGTCTATGCCACCGCTGAATATTTGCGAGCCTGTGCTGTCAAAGGCAACACTTGTGACGGAGTAGCCTGATTCGTAATGATCCACCGCGCCCTTGACTCGAGGGTCCCACAGTCCTATTGTAGTATCATCAGAGCCTGAGCAAAGCAACTCTGTGCCACGTCTATGCGCGTCAATCGCATTAACGACATCTGTGTGGCCTGTGTGTCGTTTCAACCGCGTCCCCGAGTGAACATCCCAAGTAGAGACATCATGATCTGAAGAGGCAGAGTAAATGGAACGTCCATCCCCTGACCATGCCAAATCAAGAACCGCATTCTTTGAGCCGCTGAGTATGCTGTGATTATCGCAGTCGCCGAACGAGTGCCAAAGAAGTATGCTGCGGTCGAATGAGCCTGACGCTAGATGCTGACCATCTGGACTGAACTTGCAGGCGTATACAAAGCCTTCATGACCTGAAAGCAGCATGATGGGCGCCTTTAAGTCGGATGTCCTGGTGATGGATCCATTCTTGTTGGCTTTCTGCAGCGATGTATGTGAAGGCTTGGCGCGCTTGATGAGCTGAGATGGTCCTTCATTAGTCGCACGCTTCATCGAGAAGCTTGCTATCAAAAGCTAGCTAGAGCAAGGCAGTGGTCGAGAGTGTCCAGTATTGAAGCGGTTACATTGTCGCGCAAGTCAATTTTGTGTCGGGGCGTTTGAACACCCATCAGCTTCGACCAAGTGCTTTTGTGCATTGTACATGTACAAGTTTTGCTCATTTGGACACAACGAGCAGGCGAGGCTCGTACAGAAAAGCTGTGCTATGCAAAAGATAATCGTAAACATAATCAGTATGCGCTGGTAGCACATATTTTGGATCTGGTTGCTTTCAACGCCAGACAGAGGCAGTCTTTCCACCTCCATCATTCCGTTCACCACTCAAACTCACCATTCGCCTTTGAAAAGGCATAGTCGCGTCCATTCAGGCTCACGAGGCCGTCTTTCAGGACGCATTTCCACTTGTTCTTCGTCCGTGCGACCTTGTCATAGAGGCAGAGAACTGTTTGCATATCGCCTTCGTCGCCTTCAGCCTCATTGCCGCTGTTGAGCGCGTCGTCATCGGAGTCGTCTAGATCTGAATTGATTGCCTCGTCGTCCAGGTCAATATCGGCCCGCCGTGTCTTCTTTGGCCGTATAGACTGTTGTGATACAGACTCTCCCGCTTCGCTCAAGGCACGCTTTTTCGGGCTTGTGTCCAAGACAAGCTCCTTGTCTTCCTCCTTGACATTTCCAGGGAACGCTTTTCCTGAGTCCTCACCAATGGTGTGATTCTGCCGCGCCTGATGCGCCTGTGCCTGTTGCATCAGCATACCAATAGCATTATCTGCTTGACTCTGCTCGATGTCGCCATTGCGGACAGCAAGCTGTTGAATCTGCTGCGCCGCACGTATCGCCGCCAGTGGGTTGCCAGTAATTGGACCTGGGGCTTCATGACCAAGAGCGCCATTTGCACGCTGCATTGTGTCGTGCAGCGGCGCAGGTGCCTGTTGCTTGGGCACCCAAGGGAAACTGGCCGTACCGCTCCCTGCAACTTTCGCCATCCAGAGCTGGGATTGTTAGCGCTGTGCTCTATCGTCTGATGCATCCCGTACAGCACGGAATTCTTGCAAAGTCGATTCGTCATAGCCCTCCTCCTGGAAATCGTTCCGCGCGGTCTCAGTCACCTCATTGATGATGGCTCCATACAGCTCGCCCTAGGCTGAGTTAGTCAAGTTGCGCTGCATTTCGCGAGTGAGCATACGACAACAGCATTGCTCATGACGGAGGGAGTTCAGAATGATCCTGAGACCTCTGTACAGCCGCGACAGAGGGTATCCCGGTCGTGGTGTCGGTCTTGGTCCTGGATGCGCTGCGACACACCCAAACACGTGGACGACTTCGAACAAAGCTGGACCTGGGTCCTGGGAGCTGCTACCACTTAAGTAGCTACCAGTAACTAGCCTGCTGGAGAACAAGCCATAATACTTCGCAGCTCATGTCGTCGCAGCAATTACCCGGCGGAACTGTCCAAGATCTGCCACCCAAGGGTAAGGCCCGATTTGACACCCTTTCCAATTGCTAAAGAATATCCCAGGCGGCTTCGCGCCCATCCAGTACAAGCGAAACTTGCCGGCTCGTGGATTCCGGCCCTCATACTACCTCTTTGCAGTCGTTGGCCTATGCACTTACGGTTTCTACAAGCTCTCGCTCGTATGGATCTCCAGGCTACCAAGCGTGTCGTGAAACTTTGCTGATTGTATAGGGTATGGACGAGAAGCGCGAGCTGCAGCGTGAGCGATTGTGGTCGCGCATATACCTCACTCCCATGCTACAAGCCGAGGCAGACAGGGACAACTACAGGCGAAGATTGGCTTCAGAAGCGCGCAGTGCAGACATCATGAAGAACATCCCAGGATTCGATGCGGAAGCCAAGGTGTACCATGGTAGACATGTTGAACCAACATTCGTTCTGACACCCTCCGCCAAGTAGAATACATGCGCAGCTCTGCATTTGTCTTGTTCTGCTGGTAATGGTTGCCTGAGCAGGCTCAGACCAGCTCATAGCTATTGCACCTAGCTTTGCTTCACGCTTCTTGAACGAATGGAGGAGCTGCCACTGACCTTCTTGGTAGAAGCTTTTGCAAAATTTGACGTATTCTATACTCCGAGTAGTCTTTCCTCATGCCAAAGTACCATACCAAGAACTCTTGTAGCTCCCTTGCTGCCCGGTGTCAATCGATCACAAGAAATTGACTTTGGACTGTGATCATGGGCAGACGAAGCATGTTGAGCCGGGTTAAATGTGATCATTATTTATAAGCTAGACTATACAAGGGAGTATCTAAGTCATACCTGATGACCTATATTTGCAAGCTGGTGACCTGCACGAGCCGTGCAACCCGAGTATTGGAAGTGAGATGCATTTAATTGTAAGCGTAGCTTGCCGAGCGCCGGATAGAATTGATTGTCATAAGATGCGTGCAGCACAGTGAAGAGAGCTTTGCTGAAGTAGCGAACTACAGCAGACGCTCCTCAATGCTGGTGATGTGTGTTTGTGGTTTGTAAGAGGTGATGGCAGAACGTGCCTTCGCGCTTGGCTTTGCGGGCATGAGCGAGCGAGGCTGGCCTAGTCCAGCTGAAGGACCACCAGCCAGTCTTTGTCCAGCACTGGAACGTGCATAAGCCTGCAAGTCGCGTGGTGCAGCAATACCGATGCGAACATCTGCTTGCTTTGGACCAGCAAAGTCTCGCTCACGGGTCAATCGCCTGCTGGAGCGGTTTGACTTGATGGACGAGGCACATGAGGCTGCCGGTGAGGGCAGCTCAGACTCCTGGGGCAGGCTTGCGAGCGAGGTAGAGCTGTTGTTCTGACCACGATGAAGCTGAATGCGAAGTGCCTCGACCTGTTCAAGGACTTTGGCGTGGTAGACAGGAGTTTGCACAGCTCGTCCTCCAACCTTGACGCGCTTCAAAGCGTTACGGGCTGCAGCAAGTTTGAGCTTGGCTTCGTGGGCAGCTTGGTCCCGCTGCGTTTGTTGCTCCCTAGACACCTTAAGACCTTGCATGGACGCCAGCGATGATGCTGAAGATGACAAACTCGGCGTTTGCAGGCCGAGCCGGCTGTCGGTAGACGAAACGCTAGAGCTTGTTGCGCGGGCTTGCCACTGGGGTCTAGCAAGGCTTTCCAGGAGCATACGTTCACAGAAGTCTTCGTACTCTGTGTCTTGCTCGACGACAAGCGGTGTCAACTCGACAGATGGGAGCGTGAGTGGCGCTTCGTAAATGAGGGCAGACCGATCAACAGCAGCAACCGAGACACGAGCTTTGGCAAGAGCCGCTCGCCGTACGCTCTTAGGTGGGCTTGGTGGAGGGGTTCTTGATGTCTGCCGACGGACAACTTCTTCAGCAGTGTCGACCGCTGCAGCTTCGGCAACGACAGGAACTTCTGTAACAATGAGGGAAGGCGCAAGGGTGTTTATTTCTTGGTCATCTTCCGAAGTCTCTGCACTAGGCAGTTCGTGCACCTCCTCGACTTCAAAGGCTTCGTCTAAGGGGCTATCGGGAACAACGGCTGGGACGACAGTGGGGATTCGTGGACGGACAGCTTCGAGCATGATTGGGATCTCGACGGTATCTGCGTCAGACAAGTTGTCGTCCTCGTCGCTCTCGTCGTCGCCATATATGGATTGTGCCTTCGAGTCTTCGGCTGTTGTACATTGGATGTCGGCTTCCTCTTCGTCGCTTGCGGACCACATCAGCTCCTCGTCCAGACGCTGGCGACGACGCTGGCTGCGGTATGTTTGTAGTGATCGCGTATCGTCCTGAATAGTCGGTTGAGCTTCCAGGCCCAGTAGCCAAGCTACTTTGCTAGACTGAATCGACGCCGGGCTTGAGATGTTCAAGCGCGCATCAACAACGTGCTGTGCTTCAGCGAGACCCGCTGCTGGAGGGCTCTGCGTGTTTTGCGACCTGCGCTTGAGGCTCATAGCATTCTTGACGCTGATGAGCTTCATGGTTGTCTGAAGGGACAAGCTCTAAAGGGGAGTCAATGCGCTGGAATAGAGTCAGAAGAAGGGCAAGGTGAATAGAGGGACGGCGAGGGTGGGTGCCGTAGTTCCCTTATACGCATGTGCCATTGTCAGACCGGCTGTCCTTTGCGCTCGGGCGCCTCTGCCTCTGTCAGGATCGAGCCTTGTCATCGCTGTGTTAAGTGTGAGCCTCCCCCCGAATGCCGCCCATTAAAGCGCTGCAGCCCTTAAATTATTGGGCACCGTCGACTCTGCTGCTGAGACACTTATTTCGTCCGTGCTTCTCTGCTTTGCACAAGGGCCGGCAGTCTCAGATGCTCGAACCGGGGCCCCGGTGCGCTATGATGGACAGCTACTGTGTTCTCTTCTTGGAGGGCCATGCCTTAAGCGTGTAGGAAGCCCTCAAATGGCCGGTCTTGCCAAAATGCGATCATGTCATCTACTAAGGAGGTCTGAGTTAGGTTTTTGACAGCCATGCGACGGCTGCTGAGCAGAGGCTTCTGCAGCCTGCAGCTCGCAGCTTGCAGTTGTCCATCTTTCACAATCCGCCGCAGACACCGTTTTAAGCGACTACGATGCCTACTTTATTTCCCAATGTGCTATTACCAAGCAGTCCAGACCAGGACTTCCGCAGTTAACGTAGGCTGTGGCATCACTGGTATGATACTAGTATCCCGTAACACAGCGGAGCGCGCTAAGCAGTTATGCAACACGACCGCTCTACGCGTGGAGAGGGACGCTGACCTGCTGAGTATTGGTTGAATATGCTCAAGACTAGGCCTTTCGACAAGGTACATCCGCAACGCTGAGCAGCTCGGTAGCTGTGCTGAGCGATGGTTTCTCAATACTTTCGTTTCGTCTTAGCTAAGCCTACAGCGCACATGGTTCAATACTGCTGGCCTGTCGCCGTCATTGTAGCGATCGATTGTAGACCGCCCCTCCAATTGCAACTTGCAAGGGGCACTTCGGAAAATTTAAGTCTCTGCGGCTTGCCAGGCGCTTTTGGGAAATCCACTACCAGGCGCGGGGAGTCCGCAAGCTTTAGGACCAAAGTCACTGACTTCTATCCGTACCTTCGGGCGGAGATAGTAGCATTATGGGCTGCCAAACAGAGCTGCGATCGTCGGGCTGAATCGTGGTGGACGGGTGGTCTTGACTCTTGATCTTTCGCGAGGCCGACTGCGTGGCTTCTGTTTACACATGGCCAGACTCTACGGGTCTGCGACGCGCACATATACGCAAAGGCAAGCTGAATAGACTCGCTGATACAGTGGTTCGTAACCTTGAGATACACTGCCCATCGTTACAGCTGAATGTGATGCATAGGGGCTCGGTGCTTCGCTTGTCATGATGGGCCAGCTGAAGAGTTAGTGAAGACCATCCACACAGAAGCTCTTTTGACAGTTTTGACGCGCGTCTGTCAAACCAAGCCCTACTACGGTCCACGGAGCAAAGAATTTCAAGCTAGGCTTCCAATTGGAAGCTGTAACTTGTAGGAACTTGGCTACATTGGCTGTGATCCCTGTGATCGCTTGTTGACACGGGTGGTTTCACAGCAGCTGCAGTGAAACATGGTAAGAGACAAAATTTCAGGACACTAAGCGCGCCCTGTGTCTCGGACTCGAGGCAGTCCGCAGGTGAACAAGCATAGCCATAGGCACGATCATAGCGTACGTTGCCGTGGTTGAAGCTAGGACGAGAGACCAAACATTACTATTTGCGAAAAGCCACTTAGCGCAAAGCAGAAGGCCTTGCTTGCTACAGACCGTTTCCGGGTTGACGAGAGTTCGAGCGCCCGGCGATCGAGAATAACTAGGCAAGCTGAAACTCTAGAGCTTACCCTTGCTGCTTGCAATTCCGAGGCCCACTCCAAGAGCCACAGCAACGATGATGACAACCACAATCCAGAAGCAAATCCACTTCTTCTTTCGTGCGGCACGTGCAGACACAACCGCTTTGTCGATGTGCTTGTTTCCCTCCTGCACGTCTGTCTTTGTTGCTTGTGCCTGTTCGGCGATTGTCTCGACCATGGGTGCTTGTTCCTGCATCATCACATTCATGTCTGCAAACAACTCGGCAAGCTCGGCGATAGTCTTCTCGATCTTCTTGATGTCTTGATGACGTTCCTGGACCTCTCTGAGAGCAGATCGTGCCTCGCCGTGTCTGTTGGTCTTCATAGTGGCTTCTGCGAAGATCTGTTGCCCTTGATCAGAGTCCACGATTGACTCAATCTCCTCTGAGGTCAAGTTGGGATTTGTGATTTCAACTTGTCGACGTTGCTGCGCGCGGTACTTGTTCTTGTACTCCACTTCGACGCGCTGGAATCGCTTGATGGTTTCGAGCATCTTCTTCTTCGTCTGATTTGTCTGCAGCACACGCGACTTGTTGTCTGGTCCGGCCTGCATACTGCTTGTCGTGTGCTCGAGCTTCTTGATGGCGTCACGGATGTTGTTTTGCAAGATGCGTGTCTCGGTGGAAGCCTTTTCGAGTTCGCGATGATTCCAAGCAGACTGCTCATCGCCAATCTCTGTTAGCGAACGCGCGTGCAGACCTTCAATGTGATCGATATTGGAGTTGAACTGCTCGATGGCAGTGCGCACTTCACCGATGCGCTGGTAAAAGTCATTCATGCTCTCAACAGGTTGAGTGGGCATGGTTTGCATTTCGTACGCTTGCGGAGCGGCAGCACCGGCCTGACCTGAGCGTGCATATGGGTTGCCTGCCGTAGCACCGGCAGTAGTATTGTTCTGATAAGCGCCTGCGCCATATTGCTGGCCCTCTGGACCACGGTTGGCGTAAGCCCCGTTGATGGGCGAACCAGTCCTGAAGTCACTTGTTGCCGTTAGCATCTATCCTGTGAAGACGGCGAGGAGAAAAAATGCGTACCCGCTTTCTGGGTAGGCGCTTTGGGCTGCTGGCTATAAGGAGTTAGTCGAGGGCGCGCGCGCTTCTAAAACGGGCATACCCTAATATCGTTGAGTCTGTTTCTAGACATGACAAGATCGGAGAAGTAGAAGCGAGAGTGTGTTTGTAATTAAAGACGGTAAGCTGAAGACGCACGAGGGGTTCTGTCTCTGTTTGCCTGGCTATTGAGCGAAGCTACTTGGAGGTATAGATGGATGGGAGTCGACTGCTGCTGTTGGCGCTGAAGGAGGTCGTGGCTGGCGAAATGCACGTGACTGCGCGAGAACAATTTTGGTCTTCTCAGCTGCTGCTACATACACTAATACTTGACTACTCACTCAGCTCTCTCAGTCTCCTCTCTGCTATGGCTATGCCATTTATAACGCTGTCTGTCCAGACACCCGCTTCAAGCTTCTCTGACGGAGCTACACAGCACATCTTCATGCGGCAAAATGTGCCCAAGCCCCCGCTTCAAGATGACGGGCGCATGCTCTTCATGGCAAATCTTCCATCAGATACCACAGAAACCCATCTGCGGCGGTTGGTCACAGTTCTTGGTGGACGTGTCGAATCTGTTCGGTTTCTGCGGCAGTGTGGCGTAAGTCTGTCGCTTGAAGATGTGGCCTTGCAATTGGACGAGATCACAGACCAGGACTTTAGCGCAGAGGTACAGCGTCTCAAAGTCGCATCCGCACTCCCTGCAATATCAAGTCGTACTCTACGTGCGACTGGGAGCTCTGCCCATGTTGCCCTTGTCGAACCCCAGGAGCTGAAGCGTGTACTCAAAAATGCTCGTCAGGCTTCAGCCCTCTCCTGGGAAGCTCCAGACGAGCCTGAACTTGGTAGAAATCTCTACAAGAGCAATCTCTCGCTCAAGTTTCCGGACCCAATCATTTTACAGCAATCGGTTGATGCCTATATGGAGCTCTTCAACCAAGAAGAAATTCTCCGCCGTCGCAAGCAAAAGCGCATGAGAAGCGAGGCTGATGAAGACGGATTCATCACTATCACTCGCGGGGGCCGGACAGGAGCAGGGCGTGCTTTCAATGCAGTGCAACAACTCTCCGCCAAGCAGCAAAACAAAGTAGGAGTACTCGACGATCTGTACAAATTTCAGCGCAAGGACGTGCAAAAGCAAAAACGAGAGGAGACACGCAGTAAATTCGAGCAAGATAAGCGCCGTGTTGCTGAATTGCGAGAAAGACGCAAGTTCCGCCCGCTGTGATTGCGCAAGCTGCATGGAGGCCAACATTCAGCACTGTCGTTTTTGTGGCCATGAGCAGCAGCTGAGTTAGATTCGAGTCGGTCTGTTCTTGCGCCGTCATGTGCGTCAAATTATAGCCGCGGATGGCGTTTCTCGATCGACCCTTTCGCATGACGATGAAGACGAATAGCTGAGTCTTACGCCCCAGCACTAGCCAGATTTCCAATTGTTTCTACAGACCTGAGGCTACATCACCGGCATCCGTTCTTTCGCTGCGGACCTGCGCAAGCCATCCTACTCCTGAACCGCACCTGATGTCGGCGCTTGTTCCTGTTCCAAGCTGAGGTTGCTCTGCTCTTCGGTGTCCCAGCTGTCTTGGTCTCCCGAGTTTTCTTGTGGAAACCAATACAGTAAGTCTGGAGCGTCTCTCTTATCTTTCACCTGGATGTCTGTGAATGGCGCCTTCACTGAGACAATCGCAGGTGTCTTGGTTTGGGTATTGGCATCACTCGTTTCCCCAACGCCAACATGAACAAGATCGCCAACGCTGACCTGCAGCCATGACAACCAATCCTGAAGCGAACGTCTGGCATGAACTTGCGACGGCCTCTGCGTGCGTTCCACAGGCACAGCACCAGCGAACTTGATTGTCATCGAAAGGAAGCAGAGCGTCGCGGGTATGAAAGGCTTCATAATCAATGAGTGGATGGTTTACGCTCACGTCAAGTGGAGAAGTCCTGTATTTAAGCTATATGGTGGCCATGTCGGTACCCAGTAAGTCCAAACATCTTGAAAACATCAAAGATTTCGACCTGTTGGTCAACAAGCACTCTTGATGGAACGACATATTTGCGGTGAACTACCAACACTTTGCATGTGTACTCAAAATTGATAAATATGGCATTCCCCAGAGGCCGTCGACTAGCGCAGATTCATGTCTAGCAGCGGAAGATCGTTTCTTCTTACCTGACCGACGTTCCATTCGAATTCGAATTTCCGGAAACTAAGGACGAATCTGCTTGATTGACTGTATCGGCACCCGCAGACGAGCTGCCAGACACTGTGCTGTCGCCCACTGTCTTGTCATCAGTCGTCTCCTCGCCAGTCTCCTGTGTCGTTGTTGTCGTCGTCTCAGTGGTAGTAGTGCCAGAGCTTTGAGCAGACGGAGGAGCTGTATGGGTGCCCTTGCTCCCCTGTGTGCTACCCAGATTAGCAGACGTGCCTACATGAAGGGCAGCAGCGTCTGCGACGTCCGAGGGACGTGCTCCAGGAGCATTCGAGCCAGTAGACTTAACAGTATTTCCTTTGAAGATGGCTCCAGCCATATTTTGTTGATCGGTAGTTTTGGTCGTCGATGCCGTCTGTGTGCCAGCAAGATTGGCCGACCCAGCAGGCAAAGGAGTACCACCAGAGCTGGCAATACCGCCTCCAGTACTGCCCGATGAGCCGAGACCAAGGCCGATCCCAACGTCGGCGGAAGCGCCACTTTTGCCAAAAGAGTGTGAATGGCCTTGATATGAATCTGAGACTGTTCCTTGCGTTTCACCTTGCAAGGAGACTGATGCAGGAGTGGGAACAGCATCATGACTGGTCGTTGCGCCTCCGACATCACCTACTAGGCCAAGACCAACGTCGCCTGACAGACCCGTCGATCCAGAAGGCAAGAGAGCATGACCAGAACCGGCGATATCACCTCCAGCGTTGCCCGATAAGTCAAGACCAAGGCCAACGCCAGCTGAGGCGCCATTGCTGCCAGAAGATTGTGATTGCCCTTGGATTGAATTTGAGACTCCCTGAGTTCCTTGCAATGAAACAACTGGTACAAGACTGGGAACGGCACCAAGGCTCGTCGACCCAGCTCCGGTATTGCCAGCTAGACCTAGACCAGTGTTGCCTGCTAAACCGAGACCGAGACCGGCGTTGTCTTCGATACCGAGACCGGCGTTGCCTGCTAGCCCGACACCTGTATTAACACCCGACAAACCCAAGTTGGCATCACCAGAGAGGCCAAGACCGGCATTACCTGCCAGACCAGCGGCCGGTGTCACGACCACACTCGGCATGCCAAGAGACCCAAACACTCCTAGGCCTGTGAGAGCATTTGATCCAAAAGCATGCTTAGAGTGTTTCAGAAACTTGTCTTTCCAGTAGTGCTTAATGGCGTGCAAATCATACCATGGCCAGAAGAATGTTCGCTTTGCGTGTGAGCTCATGGCTCCTGGAGCCACACTTGGCGACGTCGCCTCCGATTGACTTTCAGATGACATCAGGGGTGTGGCATAGACGGACCAGAAAAGAATCACCCACATCGACATCCCGAAAACGAACATCGCTTCAGTCTACCACCATATAAGTAGTCGATCGACCTTATATATGTTTCTACTACTTGCGCACACTGTCTTGTTTGCGGGTCGTTTATGAATAAATATGAACATACTGCTTAAATAATTGCGCTTCATGATATTGATGCAAACAGTGTCAAGCATGTCATCAACACGGTCTCAGAGGTTGAAGCATGTTCAATACACTATCAAGTCTAAACTACGCCCACGCAGAAGACAATGGGTGGGAAGCCAAAGAATTCACCAAATGTTTGAACCAGACATGTGTCCGTTGAGCCGCAGATGCCCTTCCATGTCTGTGCGATCAATCAAGGCGTAGACCTGCTCCAGTTCCAGCTGAAGTTGACATCTGACCCAAAGGTGAGCTCATTGTCGTGGAAGATCCCGAGAGACTAGAAGAACTGCTGATGCCACCCATGGGTCCAGCCATGCCGCCATTCATGCCCAGCATACCGATGCTGCCCTGGGATGAGCCGAAAAGACCATTACTAGATGCCGTGGAGCCAAATGGAGTGACAGAGGAGCCAAAAGAGCCCAAAGGGGATTCCATGGACCAACCAAAGGTACGAGAAGTTGTGCCGGAAACGTCTTCTCCAGAAGCCAATCTTGGGTCAGATTTAGAGCGAGGTGTTGGCAGGGCGTAGATGGAAGCCAGCAAGATAGAGATTGCTGCGAAATGCATTTGATGACTTCAGCGCTTCAGGATCAGGCGTAAGAAGTCTCTTATGCTTCGAGCGACGGCTCAGGCCTGCATCGCCAGACTGCGAAAGCGTTCCTGAAAAGTGCGTAGTCCGCTAAACAAGTGTTTCACGAAGCGGTTGGCCCGCAAGTGACGGCAAACAGTCACGATCGTAGATGGCAGAGTAGCAAAGAGAGATCCTCCTAAATTATTATTGTCAGTGGTGGCAGCGTATCCTTGAATGCAATGGCGACTAGGAGTGACATCGATTTGGGCCGCTCAGAATCGAAGCGTAAGAATGACAGTTTCTGCTCATTGACTCGATGGGCATAACAAAAAACGACGCTGTTGTCAAGACAAGACGATGGGCTCGATGGCACAAGACAATGTCTAATTTCACGTACATTTTGGCTGCAAATAGGCTGAAGCGCACTGCTCGACAAGTGCGTGCTCGCATCACGAACATCCCAAGCGACAAGCAATTACTTCGCAGGAGGAGGCCTCAAAAGGCCGCCTAGTAAAGTCGAACCGAGCATTGTATTGCCACCTCCAAGACCGCCAAGTGAACTTGATCCAAACAGAGGACTTCCAGGTCCAAGGCCGACATTGGTATTGGCTGTACGCTGAGGTGCTACTGGGCGTGTAGTACGCAGGGCTGGACCATTGACATTGACCAAACCATTTGCGGCGACAACATTGACGCCATTGGGACCAACTCTTACGCCACCACCAGGGAAGCCGACCACCAAGCGTTTGCTGAGAGCCCCTTGCTCCTGAATGGGCACAGCTACTGCATACGCCAAGAAAAGGGCGAGTGGAATTTTGAATGGAATCATAGGGATCAGGTCAGGCAGTCTCTGACTTCTTTTATATGATGCCGGCATGTCAGAGGTATAATTGTTTCAGGTGAGAAACGCATCGGGTACGCAATTGAGTACCACTCTAGCTGTGATGAAGCCACGGAAGGCGGACTTCGATAGACACAAAATTCGCCATTGGTCATCAGCTGCCTGACCTGAAGGAAAAACGGGTTTTCTTTACCGTTGCTGCCTGCTTTTTTACCTGCTCGTCCATTTGCCGCTTGTGAAATTTGACAAGGTTTTCGACTACCGCTTCCAACGTCTCTTTGTCTGTTTGAGCAAGCTCCCGTTGTTCCAGCCAGTACGTCAGAAGATTTGAAGCTGCAAGAGTATGCGCCTTGAGTGTGGCAATATGGATAGTCTTTTCGCGATCGTCCATGTTGTCTAGCGCAGCCTCCGTAGTCTGGCAAAGTTGGCGAGCAAGATGCAACTCAAATTCTGGCGGCGGTGGAATCTTGCGACGCCTCGTACTGCTGTTTTTGTCCTTCTTTTTGGTTGAGGGCAAGACAAGCTTCTTGTGGGTCATTTTGGGTAGAATCTCGTCCAGATCGAGTGGAATACCAAGACTTACAAGGAACAGGCGGCGTACGCGGGAGTGCTTCCATGCGGGCGGTTGCAACGGTGGCGCTGCGGTCAGTTGCTTCCACAGTGAGATAGCACGGTCGGTCAGCATGAAAGGTGACTCGTCTTCAAACTCGTCCTCGTTCTCCGTAGCGATTGTGTTGGAGCGCTTAACTGCCATCGTAGATTCTGACGAAGGAAACAGCACATGTATAGTATCCTCCAGGAAGTCTGCCAAGCGCTCCTGGTCCGATGTGTCTGGAAGAGGCGCCAAGATAGAGGCCTGAGAATGAACAGATCTCTCTTCGACAAAGGGACTTTGTTCTTCATCTTCAAAGTCTCCAAAGTCTGACCCATCCTCGCCTTCCTGGAAGTCGTCGAACTCGTGCGCAGACGAGAGGACACTGGACCGTCGAGCGCCAGAGGTACTTGAACGTCGGCTGACGGCTGAGCTCCGGCGCCTGTGACCAAAAGTCGCTGAGGGACTTGTCAGTGTCCGATCACCAAATTTTTCAGTCCCTGGAGCCGGCGATTCGTCTATAGAGACATCGGACGAGCTCGCAACTTCCTCTTCTTGAATCTCCGTAACAGTTCCAAGTGCTGAGGTCCCTACGTCCTCTACATCGAGGGATAAGCGACCTACGCTTGTCGCCTGTAAGTCTGGGTGATCCTCTGCTGGGCCCATCGTTGCTTCTGACATCGCCCGCCTCCCGGTGCGTGTTGTCGAATCAATGTCGATGGTGTCCTTGATCGTGTCTCGTCGAACGCGTCGAATTTCAAGAAACAGAGACAGCTGCAGACCTCAACACAACTCGTCTCCCACGACGAAGCAACGGGCGAGCACAGATGTCTTTCAATTTCGGAGGCACGGGTGGAGCAGGAGACAAGAAGCCGACCTTCACTTTTGGCGCAGCATCGACGCCCGCTGCGGGAGGACCTACGAATGTGTTTGGCAACCAGGCATCAACGACACCTGCTGGACCGCCGCCGTCTAACACGGGATTCAATTTTGGTGGAGGGCAAAGTAGCAATACTGCATCTAGCGGTCTATTTGGTGGAGGCAATGAAGGAAAGGGAGGCAGTGGCGGGTCAGCTCCCTCAAACGCTTTCAGCTTTGGCGGTACAAGTACGACGCCGGCTGCTACACCAGCTCCTGCTTCCTTCTCATTCGGAAGCAAGCTCGCTGCGGACTCGGGTGCTGCAAGTAATACCGTGACGCCTGCTGCAAGTGGCACGTCAACACCGTCAGGCGGCTTCGCTTCTGGGGCCGTGGCCCAGGACAACACTACAAACCCAACCAGTGGCTTCTCGCTTGCAGCGACGACGACGACAACAACAACAGATAAGCCGGCAGACAAGCCAACTTTCTCATTTGGGTCATCTGTACAAAAACCAGCGGAAAGTAAAGCTCCTGAAACAAAGACGACATTTAATTTTGGCGGCAGCGCAACGCCTGCTGCAAACGAGAAGCCAGCCGAGAAGCAGGGTGGATTCTCATTTGGAACACCAGCAGTATTGTCAAGTGAGAACAAACCTGCGGATAAGTCAACCGGGTTCTCCGGGTTTGGCGCTCCGACAGAATCAGCCAAGACTGATAAGCCAGCTGAGAAAACTGGAGGTTTCGGTTTTGCCCTGGACTCGAGCAAATCAGAGAAAGGTGCGGATAAGCCAGCTGCTTCGGGCTTTGGGTTTGGTGCGCCTGCAGCCCCTGCTTCGGGCAATAGCAAGGCCACAAATGACACCAAGCCATCATTTGGCTTCGGAGGTGCCACTCAAACAACCAGCGACAGCAAAGCTCCTGCAGCACCTGCGCCGGCGATTTTGAAGAACAAAACACTCGACGAGCTCGTTACAAAGTGGTCACAAGATCTTGAGAAGTATGCGAATGCCTTTCAAAAGCAAGCGCGGCAGATTGCAAATTGGGATCAGACTCTGCTCAGCTCGGGAGACGCCATCTCGAGACTCTATGCAGCGACGGCGACTGCAGAGCAAACTTCTGGTAAAGTAGACCAGGCTCTGACATACATCGAGCATCAGCAAGACGAGCTCGAAGCTATGCTGGATGTGTATGAAGCCCAAGTCAAGGAGATCTCGAACGAAGTAGGTGTCTCGCAACCGGTCGACCTCGAGCGGGAAAAGGCATATGGTCAAGCTGAAAAGCTCATCACCGAACTCGACGGTTTGGGCAAGGATTTGGGCGGCATGATGACGGACATCAACAAGTCCGCAGAGACCATGAGTCAGTTGAAGGAATCGGATGCACTATCAACCATTGTCAAGACACTCAATCAGCATGTCGAGTCACTGTCTTGGATCGATGAAAATGCAGCCTTGCTGTCCGACAAATTGAATGGACTGCAAGTCTTGGAGGCGGAAAAGTCACGTTTACCTACACAGAGGTCCACATTTGGAAGCATGAGGTTGTCATAGGTAGACGAACTTCATATCTAAAAGTTCATCGCCTGTTTGTTCCACTATTTCTATGTTGTGCTCTGTTTGAGAGTCAAAACGGTTTTGCGTGTGGTTCAAAGGCGTATGCCCCCGACGACGAGAGAAGCCAAGACTCGGATGGGTGCTGCCCAATCATATCATGTGGAAAGCCGAGCGAGAAGTTAGAAGCTTTGTTGATTCTCGATAGCTCGTCCTCGCTCAGCTTGATATCGAGTGCGTCGATGTTGTCTTGCAGGTGCTTAGCAGTGCGAACGCCGACGATAGGAAATACATATGGCTGACTGTGCAAGACATAAGCCAGAGCAAGAGAAGTGATTGACTTGCCCTTCGCTTCAGACAGCTCACTCAAGACTTTAGTGACAGCGACATCTGCTTCGGTGGCTGGTCTGAAATTGCGACCCTTGTCGGCCTGTTGTTTGCGCTGTTCGTCTGTCTTGAAGTTGCCGCCACCCAGAGCACCCCAGGGACACATCGCTAGTCCCATGTCACGACACATAGGCAGGATGTCGCGTTCGACATCGCGCTTAGCAGCTGACCACTGGCCTTGGTACACGCTAAAGCCACGTAAGCCGTGTGCCTCGGCGTACATGTTTGCCTTGACGACAATCCATGCCGGAGTGTCGCTAATGCCAAGATAGAGGACCTTGCCAGCGGTAATTAGCTGATTCAACGACTGCATGAGCTCAGGGATAGAAGTAGTATGATCCCACCAATGAACGTAAAGAAGATCAATGTAGTCAGTCTTGAGCTTGGCTAGCGAGGCTGCGACAGAGAGACGTAGTGACTTGACGTGATTGCCCGTGAAATTGGCATGAATGCCAATGGACTTGTCATGGGTGTTGTATGGGCTCGTATACTTCGTAGCAAGTGTGATTTGATCGCGGTTCTTGCGGGCGGCCATCCATTCGCCAATCCAGGTCTCGCTCTCTCTAGGAACATGGTCAATCTTTGTAACAGTAACCCGGGACATCTTACTCGGATTGGTAGTTGTTAGCGGTATCAAAGAACGATCCACCTTGCTTGAAGAAGAGATCCATGATCTCAAAAGCGGTCTCTTTGGTCATGTCGCCCATGTTTTCGCTCCAGGCTGTTCCAAAAGTCATTGTTCCAAGACATAGAGGAGATACGCGAATGGCTGCGTTAGGGCTGAGTACCCTCAAGCGTCCCAATGCACTGGGAGGGTCGGGATATGGGGCGAAGAGAGACATGGCTGCAGAATCAGTTGGTCGACGTAGAGGAGATTGTATGGCTGCAGTCAGCAATTATATTCGGGCCGGGCTCTTTATAATTGAATGGATGAATGGATTACTGACAGGCCTCTCTCCACCCTGCTTGAGATAATTACTCGTTGCGGTTTCCCCGCGCCAGATCTGGGCAACCCATCTGAAGCATCTGAAGTGCAGATTCGCTGACATAAGCCATGAGAGTGCAAGATGAATGACGAGAGATCGCATGACGTAGCTGTATCGAAGAGATGCGACATATAAAGATGCGCAGGTGGCAAGTTCTGGCTCTCTACTGATGCTCTGCAGACCTTCTCTTTGCACCGCGTCTCATTTCTACAAAGCAGATAGAACCATGTCCACGATGCCAAACTTCAAATCCCTGCCCACGCGAGAGGCAAGTGGCTCTGAGAAAACCATCATCGAGGAAGTTCTCTCGCTCTACCAGTGCAAGCCTACTGAGAAGGCCTACTCGCATTACGCTGAAAATGCTGTGTTCAGTGACCCTGTCTCGATCGCACAGGGAAAAGCGGTAAGAACACAACCATGTACCAGGTCTTTTTTCTAATGACAGGTCATTCAAAGTCAATTCAACGGCATGCCCAAAATCTTCAAGCAGAGTGATACCAAGGAGTGCAGAGTTCTCGATGACAAGAGCAAGCCAAATGCGATTGTACTCGATCTGACTCAACACTATGTCTTCAAATTGGGCAATTTTGAAAAGACCCTCAACTCTCTCATCACCCTTGAATTACAGAACGGCATGATTCAACGCCATGAAGAGCAGTGGGACGGCAAGCCCAACGCAACTGCGGCAGATGGATTCTTTGGCAAGCTGGCAGAATGGCGAAAGATCGCGGGAGCGAAATTGATTCATGCCGTTGTTGGACCCGACCCTAGCAAAGTCTAATGCCCAATACCTCGGCCTATACTCCGGTAGGCCTGCACCCGACAGCCATATTGCAACCATAAGAATTAGTAGCGAGATACACTATTGACGCATTTAGTACGAAATCGCTACAATTGTGGCAACACACTCTCGCTACATGTTCATGAGGCCGAACCAGGGAGAAGTGACCCTTGTAACAGAAAGTCCTCGCCAGGTCCATGAATGACCAGACCTCCATTACGCCCCTTGGGTTTCGCCATCTGAACCTGGCAATTTCACACGAGCTCCAAGGCTCTGCGCGACAGAAGACATAGATAGCAGCGGCACTGACTTGCATATAGCAACGCAACAGTGCCTGGAGCTCATCGACTTGTATTTTATCCATCGGCTCTACTGCCACTTAATACTTTAGACCAAGGCGACCAGCTTGCGGCAAATCTCGGCCACTGCCCAGCAAAGGGCTACGAGGCTCGCGCATGGAGGCAGAGCAACTCAAGGCTCTTGGTGATCAGCATTACAAGGCAGACAACTTCAATGAGGCCATCATAGCATACGAAAAGGCGTCGCTGCTTGCATCGGAGGCCCAGGCTCCGACCTATCTGTCAGATCTATCTGCAGCCTACTACGAGCTCGGCGACTATGAACACGCCCTCGAAGCCATCGACCGCGCCTTTGAGCAGCTGCATGTCATTACACCGACAGAATCGAGCGTTTCGGCTCTTGATCTGAAGCTTCGACTGCGAGAATGTCGTTGTCTCCTCCAAATGCAAGAGTTTGACCAGCTTCTGGACGCGATACAAGAAGTGGCGCAGACTGTATACGACGAGCATGTCGAATTTGGTGTCATTGAAGACGCAGCTTTACATTCTCTTGATCAACTCTCCGTCTGGGGCTCATCTAAAGCCAATAAGTTTGTTACAAGTCTACCTCGCAAGCGTCCGCAAGCCAAAGCCAAGCGGAAATGTCGCCAAGCTATGTCCTATGACAAGGTTGGAGCCACAAGCTTCCTCTCAACGCCAGGCACGGACGAGATCATCGACCCAAATTGCCACCTGCGCATAGATGAGCTCAAGTGGAGCCATCTCAGCTTCTTTGGTGGCAACGTGGACATGCGACATGTAATCGCCACAATGATTGATGTCTACGATCAAAATCCAAAGGCTGGATTCAGTCTCAAAATGCTACTAATGGACGAGGACCCCTGTGTCGTTGCCCGGAGTACCATTCTCTTTTTCCTCATTGACGAGCTCAGCCGGCATGATCTCGACAACCCGACAACGAGCTCGGTAGAGCTGATGACCTTGATGCACTATACTTATGTCGGCGCTATGATGCCTCTTTGGGTACATGAAAGGCTGCTTTCTACGATCCGCGTCATTAGCACAAAGCTCTGTTCAGGCCAAGGCATTCCTGCATGGCTTGATTTTTCGCTAGAAACGATTGATCAAATCATGCCAGTCTTCAAGTACTGGACTGGTGCTGCAGTGGATCAAGTCAGTATTGAGCAATGCATGTCAATGCAAAAGTCCGCTGCAGGACCGATGGACGAACATCCGCAGTCGGCAGCTGGAAAGCAGCAGGCAGCCGATTTGCGCATCTCTGCCCGGAATGACTTGCAGATGGTGATAGGGAACTTTTCAGCAGATCAACTTGACCACATTTTACACAAATCTTGTCCAAACTTGGCTAAAATGACTCTCAAGGGGAAGCGCGAAACGGCTCTCAAGCTGTTTGCAAATGATGAAGCACTCGATGCCTTGAATCGCAAGCGCTGGGTGCCGGATGGTCTGCTCATTGAACACTCAACATTCTACCAAGGAGGTCTGAAGATGCTCTACATGCCTGCTCAGGTGCACCACAGAGAGCCAAAATTGGCAGAGCACGTTAAACAGCTCTGGAATGGCTGGGCCAATTTCAGTAGCGGTGGCAAGCGCATTTCCAAGAACGAGCCTCAGCTTGCTCCGCTCGAGGCCGCTATCGAGTACATCAAGCGGCATTGGAAAACCAATGTCACGCTTTTGCCACTAGCATCGGATGAAGCGGACCTTTCATTTGATCCCTTTGCAATCATGCACTTTGCTACGTCGCGCGAGCCGCCACTTGCAAAGCCATTGTGGTTGTATGATTACACCTCACACTGGTTCACTCGAGCGGCCAAGTCAGTAAAGAAACATGGCTTCGTTCTCTACCTTGAATGGCGCATAGGCGATTCTCATATTGCACTTGAGCAGATCTTGAGGTCTGAAGAAGGCCGGTTTGACTTGTTTGACCGCATTTACTTGTGCGAAGAAGCCGATCAGCACGGAGGTTTATTGGCACAAGTCTTTGACTCTTTCCCAAATCTAAATATTGGGAACCACGCCTTTTTGGCCTGTCGACTGCCTGAGACTAAGGCAAGTGAGTACGAGCGCATACTGCTGGATGGTACTGCCTTGCCAGATCTTGCTACGCTTCAAGAACACCTTGGAATCACTATGCATGGATCGACACCACTAGCGAGCCGCTTTTGTAATGAATACGCCCGATGGCGACCACTCGCGGGTCTCAACACAGCGAACCGTCTCGGCGATCGGAGCGGACTGAAACGTGAAGCACTGACAGATTGGCTCTATCAAGTTTTTCTTACACTCGCACTACCAAGAAAACGTCCAGCCAAGTCAAAGGCGCCCTTACCCACCGAGCCACTGAATTTGCATGCATTCTTCCGGCTCTTACTCTATCTTCAATCTGTCGGCATCCCCGGGCATTGGCTAGGTCAGGTAATTGATAACTTGATCCAGCATCGCGTTGTGACACGAGCGCGTCCTCTGCCTGCCTGGCAAGAAACATCCTCCGCAAGCGCCACACCCGCAGTGCAAGGAGCAACACCGTCTGGCTGCGTGTCATCCACGACAGCTGCTAAGCCCTTTTGTGTCATGCCTTTTGCGCTGGAGATGGAGGCAGCCTTATGCATTTGGTTCCCGCTGTTGACTTTCGGTGTCACTTGCGTTGATTTCCCAGACGCAAATGGCATCAGGCTCTATACGGTTAAATTTGGACCACCTCCCCAGACAACTGCGAATAGTGCCTCTGATGCCGACGATCAGGCACCTTTGTCTCTTTGGTTCTCGCAAACCAACAAGCGATCGCTTGGTATCGATCTATCTCGGGATCTCGTCGGCTCTCATGCTGCTGCGCCAGGCATCCGACTGGTGTCATCCTTCAACTGGGACCCTATCGAGCGGCAGGCAAGCTTCCTTTGCTGGGGACTGTCTATGGACTACCTCGTAACCCACGGCTGGTACCTCAGGCTTGTCAAGACAGGTCTCTGGGAGACTGCAAGTGCTGTGGTCAGTGTCAAGATGTGCAAAGCCGGTATTGCGCTGAGTGAGTATCAAGAGCCGCTTTGATGGTATTTGTTACTTTATAATTTACATATGTGATGTATATGGGGAATGTAGAGGGTGATTAAAAGTACTCACAAGCCAATCGATACAATGGCAAAAAGTGTGGAATCCCTGCTGCTTCGTCTTGCAAGTAATCTTTGTTGCAGTCATTCCCAACCGGGTATTTGCCCACGAGTGGACGGGTGGGACTTGCGTCCTCTGAGAATGAGCAGGCAAGATTTGCGTGTTGCGAACAGACAATCACGAGACGAGGAGCGACATCCCCTGTACAAGGAACGCTGTCCTCTTCTCGCATTGTTCTGCTCATGCCATAATTCCAAGATGGCGATCGCGTTGTCAGGTTGATGAAAGGGAAAATCCTGCAGCGCGTGAAGGGATGTGTGCCGTCTTAATTCTCACGCGCAAACCATCAAAAGCGGCCAGTTTCAAGTCTTGCTATTACAGGATGGTTTGCTACCAGAGGTATGGAGCTAGTCTACTATTACACGGTCGAGGGAGTCTTGATGGTGGTTGACAATATGTCGTAAGTGAGCGCAGTGGCACCAAGATTGCGCTGCTAGGCTGAGCTAAGAGTGAGTGGGTGAGCTTGCACATGACGAGGGCTGGAGATTATCGAGAGCGTAAGGGATGCGCGTGGTTCATGAAGCGCAGGAATGCAGACAGAGCCTTCATGGCTTCTTGAACTCCGACAGCACTGGGTAGATACTCTCAAAGGCTTGGTAAATCTCTTCTCGCACCTTGGCACCAGTCAACACAATCTTGCCAGAGACGAAAATGAGAAGCACAATTTTGGGCTTGACCATGCGGTAAATGAGACCAGGAAAGAGCTCTGGCTCGTATGATGAGAAATTGCCGTGTGAGTAAGCGAGACCCTCGAGACGAATGGGAAACTTGACGTCGCAAGAGCCGACGATGTTCTGGATCTTGAAGTCGGTGAATTTTGCATTGAATCCGAGCTTCTGAATGATGCGCGCATACTTACGACTAGCCAACTTGGAGTCGTCTTCTGACTTTGCACCGGTTACGACCATTTTGCCGCTTGCAAAGATGAGAGCTGTTGTCTTTGGTTCTCGGATACGCATGATGACCGCGGCGAAACGCTGTACGAGCATGTCAGCTACCATTCAAAGAAGGGCGCGCAATGAGAAGAACGCAAGGACAATCGCTCTTACCTTTGGGTTATACTCGGCATTCCTGGCGTGCAGCGCGATGGTCTTGAGATCCAGCCTGCAGTCCAAATTGACGGTTGCCACGATGTTCCTGAGAAGGGTCAGCAGCCATCACATAGGGCAAATCAAGAAGGCGCATACTGCAACGTCGGGACGATGCCAGAGACACCCTGCCAGCCACCTGTTGCTGCATCCTGCTGCGTCTCTTTGCCCTTCTCTGAGAGGGGAGGTGTGAGGGTGTCTGGCGCCGAGCCTGGCTGCATGATTGCAGTTTGTTTCATGAAGGCGGATGCCTGTGCTGCCGTTGTTGGCACGGGAGCAAGCGAGTCCATGATCAGCGGAGAGAGAGACGGAGGGAGAGGAGAGGGAAGAGCGTGAGCTACTGCAGGCGATGTGCTCCGACGACAAGTGAATGGGTCGCAGCAGGCAGTGAGGCTCTTCTGGTGTGGGTCACGTGGGGGGAAACGCGACAGAAGCGAAAAAATAAAATTCTTTGGGGCGGGCGGCGCGCTCTTTATATAGTCGCGGGCCAGAATTCGTGCACGTGCACACAGGAGCACGGACGACTCGAACTGGGGCTGAAGGAATATCAGAAGTATATATAATGCTATCATGTGCCTGAGTGAACAGATATCGCTGGCTGGTGACACTCGAGCCTGCATCCATCTCTGATGTGAGACCATTGGCTCCAGGTCAACTGACAAGTGTCCACAGCTTTGGATCACACATTCCTGCGGTGCTTCCATACTCGCTGTGCCTCACGCTGTATCACTTAGCCAAGTGCATTCTGAGCCACTGCATCCTCTCGTCAGTCGCTACATCGGGAAGCCTCGCAAAATCGGAGCAAGCGGATGCAGCTGCACATGCCGCTTGGCAGGTGTTTGTAAAGCTGAATCCTACTGGTCAGTAGCCAGCTAGTGGCAATCACTGTTTGTCCAGAGTCCATTCAGGGGTACCATGACAGGCAGCTTGCATCAACCAGTCAAAATCGCTCGTTGGCGCACAAGGGCTGCTATGCCTGAACGGAGGGCTCGATGCCAGATCACGACTACATCTACAAAGCCGCCCTTGGCTGAAGATGATTTTCCAATTATCCACCAACTTTGGGAATGCTCTATCAGTGGATTGCTATTGCCGCAATACTATCAACAAGTTGCTCATCTGCAACTCCTCTCAATCTCGATGACATCCCAGCGTCGGGTGTCGAGGCAGTCATTGCTTCTGGAACGACACCAGCATCAGAACCACACAAAAGCTTGAATGGTAGTAAAACAGTGTCTGCTTCGGGTCCGCGCTTCTCTATCCTTTCCAGTATCGGCAGCGAGAGAGCAGATACAGGCGCATGGGACATCCATGCGCAAGTCTATCAGCAAGGCCTGAAAAAGGTCCAACCATTCACCCGGGGTTTCCGCAGTACATTCAGTACTCACAGTGAGTGAAGACTGGGTAACGCATTTGAGCTAACAGCCAGAGCGCGGTTGTTACTCACAAGAAAAACCCGATTACAATGTCACGTTTGACATAACCGGTCCATGGGGACGTCTGAAAGATCCCAACTCAACAACAGTCTATGCCGAGGAGCCGCAAGTGCGTTACATGCTGATCAAGGCGTTGGCTGCTACACTCGAAGCCCTCAGCAAAGGTTCTATGTACAATGTATACACGAATTGCATTGGCGGTACTGGAGCGCTTGGACATCGCTACGGCGCGTCTTTGGACTACTTCTGTCCAGATGACCTCGACGTGGATTGTGGACTATTGACAGGCTGCGGTTGGAATCCACGAGGCGGACAGACTGTACCGCATTGTAGTGAATCGTGTCCGGAGGCTGCTGATCCAAATGGCGAATTGGGACCGTGTTTTACTACGAGGAAGGGACTGATACTTCCCACACAGGTCGATGTGTACATCTACGCAGATGGATTTACAACTGGCAACGAAATGCACATTACCATCAAAACAGATAAGGTGGAAACTCCCCAGAAGTGCAGCATATGGATGAAGATCTTTTACGCGTCATTGAATTTTGCCTCTGGCTTTGCCGCCGACTTCATGAAGACCACCGTGTTCTTGACGTGCGCAATGGAGGATTAGTGAATCGCTCGTGGTAACAGTTCGTTGTGCCATCGGCATCGCTCTCATGCTTTCTTCTGCTCCTCGAACCAAGGCTCGAGACTTTCAACCGCAAAGATCTACGCCCTCGCGCGGCGAATGAGCTGTCAATGCTTCTTGGAATGCCGTTTCGCATACATCATATCCGGTTTCGAGACGCTTCTGGTCGCTGTTTGTTGTATGGCCCTCGTCCTTGACGCGCATCCATATTGTAAGGCCTTAGGTTCCTTACGTCGCTGCTCCTCCACTTTCACCACTCAAGCAACTATACGTATGTAGTAGGCATGAGAATGAGATGTGGAAGAGATTAAAGTATGGAAAAGGTAAGAAGAGAGCATATAAAGGAGCTGCCAGCACAGCAAGTCCGGGAGCACGTGCTATGCCATCTGATCGGTGAGCCTCCGAGCTGATGTGAGGTCGCATCTCACCCTGCGGCCTTACATGTCCCCCAACCGAGATAAAGTCTCGTCCCCGAGACTGTCTTTCAACCATGATGAGCGCTTGTTAGCCCTCACCATCACTTTGAGCGTCGGGAGGAGCAATGAGTACATTGGCAACTTCCACCTGGCAAGGTGTTCCATTGCGCCAATGATAGGTGCGGCAGAATCGACACCAAGGCGAACCTTGATCATTTCCGCTGGGGAGTCTGTTGGCTGTAATGACAGGCTTGGGAATGGCCTGATTTGCCTCACTCAGCGTTGATGAGGCGTCGATCGCCATCATTGTTGGTGCGTGACCCCAATTGTCGAGGTTCATCATGACCATCGAGGTGATTGCCCCTGGTCGCTTCTGGTCCAGGCTGACCAGTTTTGGAAATATGAATAGAACCTGCGCACTGGGTGGCGCCTGCTTGTCGGTTGCGCCGAATGGCCCTGTGCGCGACGAGCGGTCTTCCTCCTTCTTCTTGACCCCAACGGGGTGAGCCTCCTGGAGAACCGAGTCGGCGGCCTCCTCTTTGACCTTGGAAGCCAGTGTTTCCCCCAACTCATTCACCTTGGCTTCCACCTCCAGCACCTCCCGTTTTGAGGCCATATCCTCCAGTTGTGGGTCAAGCTTGGCCTCACTTTCCAGAATGTCGTCCTTGGAAGTCGAGTCAGCCGCCTCCTTCTTGACTGGAGAGGGCGAGATCAACTGTTCGAGCCTCTGACAGAGGGCGGCATGCGATTCCTTTGTGAATTCAGCCCACTTGTGGAGCTCGAGCTGCATCTCGGTGATCACCGTCTTCCCCATCTCATCCACCTTGGCTTCCATATCCAAGACCTCCTGTTTTGAGGCCTTGTCCTCCATTTGTAGGTTGAGCTTCGAATCAACCTTCAGCATGTTATCCTTGGAGGCCTTGGTGTCGGCCAATAAGGTAATTGGTTTGGAGAAGACGGGATTGTTGTTCCTGAGGCGTTCCATCCTGGCTTCCAACTCCTGCTGCATCTGCCTCAACTGCTGGGTAAGCGAGGTTGGTGGGTGGGAAGCTGTCATGGGAGGTCCCTTTGGCGAGGGCGGTGGGTGGTCGCTACTGAGGCGTTCCATCCTGGCTTCCAACTCCTGCTGCATCTGCCTCAACTGCTGGGTAAGCGAGGTTGGTGGGTGGGAAGCTGCCATGGGAGGTCCCTTTGGCGAGGGCGGTGGGTGGAAAGCTGTCATGGGAGATCCCATTGTGGTTGGCGTGGTGGGTGGGTTTGTGCTTGGTGCTGCTGCTGGTCTTATCACTCGAAACCAATCTGTAAGGCCTTAGGTTCCTTACGTCGCTGCTCCTCCACTTTCACCACTCAAGCAACTATACGTATGTAGTAGGCATGAGAATGAGATGTGGAAGAGATTAAAGTATGGAAAAGGTAAGAAGAGAGCATATAAAGGAGCTGCCAGCACAGCAAGTCCGGGAGCACGTGCTATGCCATCTGATCGGTGAGGCCTCCGAGCTGATGTGAGGTCGCATCTCACCCTGCGGCCTTACACATATGCACATTGTTGCAAGAAGCTCAGTTTGCTCATTAGAGCTCCGCTCGCATTCTACGACATCATGTGGAAATGGTAGATCATGTAGGGTACCTTGTTTACATGGCTGCACTTTCTCCTGACCACGACAGCGTCTTCCAATCAGCAACGCCAGTGCAAGCACAAGGCAACATCTTACGACATTTGGTCCACCTCTCGCCCTCTGGATTGTCCTGTCTCTCTGAGATGAGCTTCATCCCTCCAGCGTCCTCAAATTTGCGTAAAGTCTGCTGCCACAGCTGTCGCTCCTATCGAGCTCTGTTCAGCAAGGTCACATGAACTTATCTCTCCGAACACTTGCCCTTCTATGTCTTGTATGGACCTGCACCTGGTCTTTGCCAACCAATCTGGAAGATCTATTTCCTGCCGGTCCTGTGCAGCAGCCACCAGCTCCAAGCCAGACGGACTCGTCTACAAGTGTCTCGAACCTCCAGCCAGCTAATTTGTCTTCTCTTGGAACGCAGAGTCATAACTTGAGCGATGGACAGCTAGTGCACGCTTTACCGCCACCGCTCTACCACATTTTAGCCGGCGTCAGCGACTATCGTACAGATGTCGGCGCGTGTGACCTACAAGAAAGAATCTACGACTATACGATGGCCAGACTGGAGAACTTTACAGGCAGCTGTAAAGGATCTTTCCACACGCAAGGTACGCTGCAAAAATGCCTGCTTTTGTCCATCAGCTTACTCTAGCACATGGTTGTCATCTGACCTATGACTCAGATCTGGAGGTCTCTTTCGAAATCAAGGGCCATTGGGGTATTCTGTACGACCAGTATGGAGAGAAAGAGCTCGTTAGAGAAGCGACTGTCCGCCGGCTACTCGTGCACGCGATCGTCGCAGTACTGGAAACCGTCAGTGGTCCATCGAATTATCCAGTATACACGGATTGTTCTGATAATGGAGTGTACGGCAGCAACCCCTCGACCATTTACCCGTACTTTTGTTCCGACAATAGCGTAGCAGAGTGCTCGTCTACTCCGACTGGTTGCGGCTGGAAAGACACGAAGCCATGTCCACAGACTTGTCGAGATGTTGCTGCCCCTTGTCACAGAGAGCTGGCTGGCAGGCTGCTACCGTCGGAGCTGACGGTTGTCATTTACAACAGAGGCAGCCCAACAGCTAACGAACTGACCTTCACCGTCAACTCCAAGATCATACACAAAGAACAGCCATGTTCAATCTGGCTGCGTATGGTCTACGTTTCGCTCAACTTCATTCCGATGCCAGACAGTTTTATCAAGTCAATGCTCTACATCACTTGTACCATGCAAGATCAGGCGCAGTTCAAGCAAGCAAACCCACAGTAATCGTTGGTAGATAGAATCGATCTATTCAGACCTTGTGAGACGGTCCTCCTTAGGCTGGTTAGACTCTAGCTTCTTTGTCTTCAAGGCAGCCGATCATCCCTCAGGCATGGAAGCGATAGAACTACCCCTGACGGCATGCGCACATTCCGAAATGCAACAAATTTGTTATGACAGCTTTGAGATCGCTCGCAGAATGGGTTCTTGCAGCTCGAGTAGCGACCACATACCAGTTACTTTCTTGGATGCCTTGAAAGTCCTGATCTATTAGGACGGATCAAGCCTGAATGAAAAAACGAGCTTCTTAGGCGGCATTGATTTGCTGACAACATCACAAGTTCACAACACAATGTCGCACAGATGCGACAGTGATGAAGAAGATGTCTTTGGTCATGCGCAGCTACCACGTCAATTCCGAATCATTGTATGTTCATTGTGCAAACATGTACCACAAATCGTCAGATTGCACGAGTGTAAGTATTTGCAGCTAGTTTCCACAATAACGAGCCTGACTGACGGCCAGATGCAAGATACTACGTAATCGATACTCATGTTATCGAATCTGAAGTCAATCATTACATCGGTAGTGCATGGGGCGACCTCGCTGGCCACAGAGACGCTCTACTCAGAATTAATGACGCGCAAGTGGATGGTGCGGAACATAGTTCTGGTTCTGAAGGCATTGACCTCTGATGAGAGTGGCAGCTATCTCGTGTGTCTGAACTGTGCAAAAACGAAAAACGGTCTTGGTCAAGTAGCTGCTCATGATCAGACCGATTTCTGCTCCGAAAGCACTGCAGTGGGCACCTCTGCATCAGATGGATGCGCATGGCAAGGTGGACTGGCATGACCTTCAGTCTGCTCAAATACATCGGCCGGAGCAAGGCCATGCCGACCAAGTGCTTGTGGCTTGCTGGTTCTAACTTCGCTACGGATGCAGAGACATGACGGCAAACCTATCATCGCTAATCACTTCACGAACAAATTCTCGTCTCAAATACTGGCCAGCACGTCGTGTTCAATTCGAGAAAGAGTGTTCTACGTTTCTCTTGACTTCTTTCCGGGCATGGGTGCGACCATCATGACGTGCTTCGTCTCCTCAGAATGCTCTCCGACGGACGACAAAGTTCGACTCGATGGCCGAATCATGAGAAACCAATGCATGATTGAGTGTGCAAGCTTTGCAAGCAGTCAAATGACTATTCAAGTAAAGCTACTGACAGAAATGCCTTTAGTTCGCTACTTGTGCATAAGAGCTCATGCATTGTAATCATTTGACGCCTGCATCTTGACCATTCATGGTCGTGTCTTTGACAATGTGTCTGCACTAACTTTGCAGATATTGCAATTCGTACAGGTCACATTCCCCCCGGGTTTCAAGCCTTTGCCTCCAGCTGCTGCAGGCAATGCGAAGTCAACAAGCATTCAGGGGTCATCTCTAATCACGCAATCACGGAACATCAGCACGCATCAGCTCTCTACTGAAGTGTGCCAGAATTCATACCACCTGACATCGAATCATCTACAGCTCTGGTCAACAAATCGTCCTGGCAAGTGGAGCAAAGATTTTTCCTTCTGGTAGCATCTGGTTCGAGCACTCCGAAAATCTCAGGGGTAACCGAATCGAGCCAGAGACAAGGGAGCATTTTGCCAGATCACATGAGCATTCCATGCAGATGTATGGTGAAATACGACCGTATGTGTATACGAATAGCGTGCTATTCCGGAGAGGTCAGTGTGTTTGTTCGTTCATGCGAGCAGGTTGTTGGAGGTGCTCAGGTGATCACTGGAAGTATAAGAGGGCTCCGTCCGAATTGTCGATCATGCTTCCAGAGACATCTTCAATGCTGACAAGGACGATACTACTTTTGGCAGCCATGACAGATTTCAAGGGCCCTTTGGCCGTCCCCTTAGACGACAACGCGATACCAATGGGACCCATCACGGCCGAAAGCAGAAATAAACCAGCACTTTCCACTTCGGAATATTCCAATGAAGATTCCATCACCCTCAACGGACACACCTTCATTAAGCTCAAAGCCAACTTGACAGCGGACGAAATGCCCAGGTTCAATATCAAAGTGGCTGTAAGTGATGTGACGGTCGACGTCGGGGGTTGGGACCTCAATACTGAAATACATGATTGGGCGGTCTCAAAATTCATTCCGTTCACTGCTGCAATCTCCAAAAGAATGAAGGTGTGGAGTAAGTCTTGAGCTCACTCGCTTTGTCGCCGCTAATAATAGCTCAAGGATGCCATGAAACAACAACTCCACATGAGCTTGAGGTCAAAATCAGAATCCATGGAGCGTGGGGCGCTTTGAAGGATTATCATCACAAAAAGGAGCTCGTCTCAGAAGAAAAAGTCCGGGGATTATTGTTGAATGCGCTTATTCAGGTTTTGTACGAGGCAAGCGCACACAATTCTTATGAGGTGTATACCGCATGCTTCAACAACAATCCAGATTACGGTTCTGTCCCTGCAGCAGGCCACCCCTGGTATTGTCCAGAGCGGAATCCCATATCGCAGTGCCAAGAAACTGGGAAAATATCTGGCTGCGGGTGGAAGGAAACCCAGGCTTGTAACTCAAGTACTTGTGGCCTTAAAGGGACTGGGGTGTCTGGTCCTTGTTTGGACAAGCTTCCTGGAATGCACTTGCCCAACTTTGTTCAAGCATACATCTATGACGGTGACGAAAAAGCGGGTAGCGACTTGAAAATCTCTTTCAAAGCTAAGCACCTCAAGAAACAGGAAGGTTGTAGCTTCTTTCTGAAGGTGCTGTACGCGATGACTCTGATGACGACCGGATATGCCATGGGTCTATTCAAGGCTGTGCTTTATGTTGGGTGTGCTGATGTGGATTTGCAGAAAGCGACTAAGGAGAATCATGATGACGACGACGACGACGATGACGATGACGACGATGCTTGAGCCGACGCTGTTCTCATCAATGCATATAGGAACGAGATACAAAATGTCCTGAATCCTGATGTACTAGTACTAGCAATCGAATGATTCTCTTTCTTTGGTGTACAGTATTGACCAATCTTGTTCATCGTTGTACAGGCCCGATTGCAGATGAGTGAGCTCACCACGGATGCCGGAGCTAAGAGTTGCCCTCATGCGATCCATAACCTGCCGACCAAGCTTGTGACGACAAAGAAAAGATACATAGAAAGCCGCCTAGCCAAAATTTTTGATTACGAACGCCATTTGCCATCCTCCATTGCCCTGGACCTCTCCCTGCGTTCGAGAATGCTGCTATGTGCACTGCCGCTCCAGCTGCCACTACTGTGCAGTCGAGCCCCACTTTCGTTGGCCACGAGCATGCCACGCTGATGCCGCATCTTACCCAACCAATTGACAAGAACACGCTGAAGTCGATGCCGTGTGCCACGCTCATGAGCCTTTCGAAGGCGTTCTGCACGCGCATCTGCCTTCTTCTGGTTTTCAACCAAGACCGAGTACCGATCTTGCCAGCGTGTCCACATGCGCTCATAGAGGATATTCTCCCTCTCTTGGAAGAGGGCATCAGCGTCTGCGCAATTCTCGCGATAGTGGGAGACTTTCCGTTCGAGTGCCGCCACTAAACGACCCAGTAGACCATCTGCATCCAATTCACCTGCCTCGGAGAACTGAGCACCTCTCCGAGTCGCTGTTTGATGCCAGAGGGTCATTACATCCTGTTTTGCCTTGAGTTTTGATTGCCGTACAAAGACTTCACCCTGTGCTCGCAATGTCAAAGCCACTTGCGCTTTGGTTCGCCAGTGCTGAAGTCCACGAATCAGGTAATTGCTTTCCCGTGCATGCTGGTACCTGGCAACGAGGGTGTTCTCGTCTTGTTCCTTCTTGCGCCGTGTACTGATTTGCCAACGTTTGAGGAATGTGCTGCCCAGCCGAACGCTGTCGAGTGCTTTTGCTTCTGCTCGCATAGCGGAAATCTTACTGAAGCGCATTGAGAGTTGCTCGGTCGCCCACGTTGCGGTACGGGCATTATACTCTGCGTCGGCAACAGTTTCGAGGGATCGATGATCTGCCAAGCGAATCAACCAGCTGTCCAGCGCAGTCCTGCGCAACCGTGTCGCTTGCCTTTGTCGAAGCAAGAACTCGGCTTGCGCTAGAGAACCACTTGCACCGCTTGCATCACGAAGCTTGTCTGTCCAGGCGAAGAGTGCACGTGATGCAAGGTCAACATCTTGTTCTGCTTGTAGCTGTCGCAAGACTGCTTCGCGTTGCCACGCAGCAAAGAATCGCTGTGCAAGTGCAAAATTGGCATCTCTAGTGAACCGCGTACATATAGTCTCGCGGCGCCAAGCTTGATAAATGAAACTGAGTTTTGCGAATTGCCCAACTTTTGCCACAGCCTTGCGTTCAGCTCGTGCGGATTGCCATCTGATCAAAGCCTGCGTGGCGAGTCTCTCATTTGTTCTTCGAACAATCGGTTTTGCCATCTCATGCAAGGCAAGAGAGCGTCTCCAATGTGAGAGGAAGCGTGATGCCACCATTTCATCGGCCACTTGGCCATCTTCATCGTGAGCAATCATCTTACCAGCCCAACACTCAAAGAAGCGCGCGAGAAGCATATCGTCACGTGAGGCATCGACACGAGCTAGACTGATCTCACGCACTTGCTTCTTGACACGCCAAGCTTGTAGGCATTGTCGCGCTAGCGAATCTTTGTGGACAGCAATGAGACTTTGCTCGCAAGCGCTGCAGAACCATATTTTGAGTGACCTTTTGCGTGTGGTGCGTTGATAGACACGAACTGCCTGCTTTGAAGCAATTTGATGTCTTGCAAGCTTTGTACGCCAACGCAAGGCAAAGTCATGCAGGCAGCGTGCATCTCGTTGAGCAGCAAATGCAGCTTGTTGGTTTTCTTGCGCAGCAGCAATTTGATCGAGCCAGCGTTGTCGTTTGACTTGCTGAACCTTGAGTGACCATCGGTACAGGTGCTTGTCCAGAAATGCATAATCAGCTCTTCGCCCTTGGATGCGACTCGTCTCAAGCGACCGCACAGTCCTATCATACCAGAGGTTGAAGGCAAGTTGCACAACCGAAGTGTGATCAATACGCACTGCCTGTTCGTATTGTTTGTGCTGTAGTCTGCGTATCTCTTGCTTCTTGTACGCATGCTCTCGAAAGCGACTGCGCCAGTGATCCAAGACTGCCTCGAGCAGTCTACCGAGTCTGTAGCTTTCCACATCGAGGTAGATACGCGTGAGTTCCGCTTGTTTCGCAGTCGTCACTTGTGGTTCTTTGAAGGGTTGCGGCTGTGCCATGCGTGGCGGCGAAAGTGAACGAACTTGAGAAGGTGCTCGAGTCGCTGAAGGTTGTCGACGCTTTTGAATACGCTGCAGGTCTCTGCGCTTGGCTTCCTCTGCTTCTTCGAAAGCAAGGCGTTGCGACAGCACAGACTTGTTGCCTGCGCGTGCATTCATGCGCCTTGAGGGAATCACAGACGATGGCCCTACCTCACTTGCTGTAGCATAACCGCTTCGGTGCTGACTCTGTCGTTGCCCATACTTTGCGCGACGCAACTCAGGCTGTTGCGACGCTGATTCTGACCGATACCCTGCAATGATGCCTGCTTCGTTGCCCTCATCCTCATCCTCATCGTCTGCATCGTCATGAGGATCTCCCACTGCGCCTGCCTGTGCAGCAAAGGACAGCTTCTCTGGCCATGATTCTCCGGGAAGTCGAGCAAGTTTGCAGACCAGTGTCCACAGGTGTCGCCCGAGGTCTGACTCTTCTTGGATGTGCAGTTCCTGCTGGACCACTTGGAGGGCCGCGAGTGCTTCGCCGAGTTGAGGCGGTTGAGATGGGAGCGAGCCTGGGTTGTCGGTGTGTTTACGTAGACACTGGCGGACGACTTGCTGAAGGAGTGCATGTTCCTGGTGTGAGAAGAGGGTTGTATGTTTCTGGTGATGCGGCATGGATGGAGGACAAGGATGCGCAGGATGTGAGCATGGCGTGACTATGCGGGTGCTGTCTTGTAGGCTGTCTCGTCGCTGTCGCTGGATTTTGTTTTTGTTTTCGGCGACGGGGGAAGATGCTTGATACTGCGTAGGGTATATACTCTTTCTTGGATCTATGTCAACACTGCTACAGCCTCTCTACACGGCTCTCTTGACCCGGCCTCCCTCCCATCTAGTCCCCAGCAGAGCCCACCGTCAGACTCTCTTGTGCATCTCTGCTGAGGCTTCTTTTCGTCGCGAATTTCTCTTCAGACGCGACAACCAAAAACTGACGCGACCAGCTGCCACCACCCACATCTACCAGCATCCATCCAATGCCAGGCAGCAAGAGGCCCTTCCAGGATATCACAGACACCTCAGTCAATCAACTCGCAGGTTCCTCCGATTCCAAACACAAGCGACGGCCAAGACAGATCCAGCAGTCGCTGCAATGTCCACGTCGCGCCCCCTTCAATAGACGCGCCCTCGAACGCTCCCTTCATGGCCGTATTCCCTACTCAGCAGCCTATGCAGATCTATCGCTCGACAGTCTTGCTTTGTATTGCCGTCCCTCAGATGTCAAGGAAATCCTTCACGAAGACAGTCTGCATATCCCCTTTGCAGTTGCCACTGCCAATACTTGCACACTCGCCGCAACGGCCGATGAGCCTGGTGTTGTGCGCATCTTTGACCACAGTGCGAGTCCGGCACATTGTAAAAATGGCATGAGTGCACACTGTGCGCTTGAATCTGTGCCTCTGTTCAGCTTGCCCATGCACAACAATGCCATCTTTGACTTGGCGTGGTCGCAAGACGACAAGCTGCTTGCAACAGCTTCAGGGGACCAGACCATTCATATTCTGGATGTACAGACCCAAACTGTCCTGACGACTTTGCAAGGCCATACCTCCACCGTCAAGCAGGTTCAATTTGACCCGGCCTACAACAATGGCAATCGCCTCGTCTCTGGTGGGCGCGATGGTCGCGTCTGCATCTGGGACTTGCGAGATAGAATGCCCAATGCAAGTGGTCTTGCAATCCATGCACCCGCTCAAGCCATGGATGCCGCTCACGGCCACACGGAATCCGTCAAGCATGCTAAATCAAGCAGACGTGCACAAATTCCAGCCGTGAGTATTACAGCGCTCGCATTGCTTCCGTCAGGCAACTTGATGACTTCTGCTGCAAGTGGCTCGAACCTGCTGACATGGGATCCACGCATGTTTCCAACATGGCCTACCGCTGCCTTGTCTAGTCAAGCACGACAGCGTGCTATGATAAAGTCACTGGTGGGCAAGACTGCTGCTGTTCGGTCCCTCAACAGGCCAGCGAGGAGCTATGGCGTTGCATCCATGGCCTTATCAGATGACAAGCACACAGTCTATGCAATGAGTAGGGATAGCAAGATTCATGCCTATTCAACAGCTCACCCGGATGCTGGACCACAACAGACATGGCAAATTCCAGAGATGCGTGTTGAGTCGTTTTACTGCAAGATTGATGTCTCGAACGATGGATTCCTGGCGTGTGGCAATACCTCTGGGTCACCTGTGATTATTGATACGCGCTACAGCGAAGAGGCTGTGGTGGACGTCTATGGAGACAAGATGCAGGAGCGAACATCGACACTGGCACGGACACTCTCCGACTTTGACCAAGCATCTCGCACGCCCCCTGTGGTCGTTAACACTGACACGGCAAGGCCTCAGCAACGAACTGCTGGGTACAGGATGCTGAAGAATGCGCATGCAGCAGAATGCACGTCCGTGTCGTGGTCGCATGATGGCCAGGCACTGTTGACGATTGGCGATGATTGTATAATGCGGACCTGGCGACGGGACTTGACGAGGAGGGTGGAGCGAGAACGGCTGGCCCTTGACTATGGCGAAGAAAGCAGCTGGGGGTGCATGGAGACGATGCCTGTATAACTACTGCATCACTACTGTATAACTACTGTCTATTTACTGTGTACTAACTGTATCTCTCTCTGCTTCTCACCACTTTCTTCAGATGGCACAATCAGGCACGTGCTCCCAACAGCAATCAAGAGCAAGAGGGCATCCATCTTCCCATCTACCCATCCTACAGCTATGGTGGACGCAGACGAGAGCAGACTTCTTGTGCTTACCCGTATGCTTCATTACTATCGCTAGAACAGCCACTAACACACAGGCCACGGACAGTCCGAGTGGAACAAGCTCAACCTCTTCACTGGATGGAAGGACCCAGCTCTCACTGAGCTCGGTGTGGAAGAGGCGGAAGCCGGTGCTGTGCGCTTGAAGAAGAAAGGACTCACGCACTTTGACATTGCCTTCACTTCTGACTTGCAACGTGCACAAAAGACCTGCGACATCATTCTCAAAGGTATTGACCAGCCAGATTTGGAGACCATCCGGTCGCAGAAGCTCAACGAGCGTGACTATGGAGATCTCTCGGGACTCAACAAGAATGATGCCCGCGACAAGTGGGGAGAGGATCAGGTGCACATCTGGCGTCGCTCCTTCGATGTACCCCCACCCGGTGGTGAATCCCTCAAGATGACGGCTGAGCGTGTCCTGCCGTACTGGGAACAGGAGATCAAGCCGCGTCTGATCAAGGGCGAGAAGGTTCTCATTGCAGCACACGGCAACTCGCTGCGTGCGCTCATCATGGAGCTCGAGGGCTTGTCTGGAGAGGAGATTGTCTCTCGTGAGCTAGCTACAGGTGTTCCCATTGTGTATAAGCTGGACAAGGAGGGCAAGTACGTCTCGAAGGAGGTGCTCGACTACGATGCTTAGACTAGCGCTGTAAGCTGTCTCTATAGACTGCCGTAGAGGGCCATAGTCGGTCCATCGGATCCTGTGCCCGACACTTTCTCTCTCTCCGCAATCCGCGACATCGAGGCGCCAACTGCTGCATCGATCCACTCGACATCTACAGCAGATTCTATACTCTCGAGCTGCAGACAGATGCAGAGTCTCATTCGACAGAGCAGGCAGGCTCAACGGACAGGCACCTTGCTTCCGTTCCGCAGAATGATCTCTAGCCAGTACAAGGACAAGCTCAATGAGCTCGAGTCATGGATGGCCTCGCCTCGTTTCAACAGCATCTACAGGCCCTACAACGCAGAACAAGTCTTTGCCGCCCGCAATTCACCGTCTGTACCCTCGCTCAATGTCTCCTTTGCCAATACCCAAGCCAAAAAGTTGTATGGCTTGCTTCGAGAGCACCAGAAGCAAGGGACACCCTGCCATACGCTGGGAGCCATTGACCCAATTCAAATGACACAATACGCGCGGCATTTGGAAGTCTGCTATGTCTCGGGCTGGGCGGCCTCTTCTACCCTAACACCCACCAACGATGTCGGTCCAGATCTCGCTGACTACCCCTATGAGACTGTTCCCAACTGCGTCGACCGTATTACACGGGCACAACTGCTGCATGATAAAAAGACATGGGCCGAGCACTGCAAGACGGGCGGTAAGTCGGAGTTTGTGGATTACCTGCGGCCCGTCATTGCGGACGCTGATACAGGGCATGGTGGCTTGTCGACTGTCATGAAGCAGGCCAAGTTGTTTGTTGAGGCGGGCGTGTCTGGTATTCACATTGAGGATCAGTTGCATGGCGGCAAGAAGTGTGGTCACCAGGGCGGCAAGATTGTCGTACCAACGGGTGAGGAAGTGGCTCGCTTGATTGCTGCACGGCTGCAATTCGACTTGATGGGTACAGAGACAGTCTTGATTGCACGAACAGACTCAGAGTCGAGTAAACTCATCTCCTCTTCTGTTGATGGACGCGACCAGGAGTTCATTCTTGGTGTGACAGACACCAATGTCATGCCCCTTGCTGAACACATTGCCGCTGCTGAACGATCACGCTCTGGCGCAGCCGTTATTGACGCAGCAGAGAAGGAGTGGACAACCAAAAACAAGCTTGTGACCTTCAGCAAAGCGGCCGCAGAACAACTGGCTGCAGAGGGTATCACCAAGGATCAAATTGACAGTACGGTCAAGGCACTCACTGGGCTGAGCAACTACGAGGCGCGGCAATACATTCGCGAGCATTTCAGCAAGGAAATCAGTTGGAACTGCGATATTGCTCGAACGCGTGAGGGATTCTACAATTTCGCAGGCGGCATTGATGCTGCCGTGAAACGTGCGATTGAGTTTGCACCGTATGCGGATATGCTGTGGCTCGAGACCAAGACGCCTGATTTGGCATATGCGCGTGAGTTTGCGCAGCGCATCAAGGCAGTGCACCCAGACAAGATGCTTGTTTACAATTTGTCGCCTTCGTTCAACTGGTCTGCACAAGGCTTTACGGATGAGAAGCTCAAGTCCTTCATTTGGGACATGGCCAAGGAAGGCTTCGTCCTGCAGCTTGTGTCTCTGGCGGGTTTGCATTCGGCTGGTCTCATTGCACACCAGCTTGCTACAGCATACAAGACGGATGGTATGCTTGCTTACACCAACTTGATTCAGAAGGTAGAGAAGGCATCGGGTGCTGATATGCTCAAGCACCAGAAGTGGTCCGGTGCCGAGCTGGTGGATGACTTGCTGAGCATTGTACAGGCTGGCAACAGTGGAGCCAAGGCGATGGGTGGAGATTCGACGGAGAACCAGTTCTCGTAGTGTACGTCTCTGGCTCTGTACGAATGCTCAACCTGATACAGTAGATACTATCAAACAGTAACTATTTGACTAAATTGACTTGTTCCCTGTGCTGCCGACCAAAACACAGAAATTGAGCAACGAGACAATCAACACGCAACAGCACCCAATGCGCGAGACGAGGGCATCGCGGTCTCGCTCTCAGCAGCAGGTCCTAGCACTCTCAGTCAAGCCAGAAAGTCAACGACAGCCACTAGGTGAAGCAAGCGGCAATACAAGCCCTGAACAAGCCGCGGCAGTGTCAGATGCGAAAATCAACAAAACTCGAGAGCGCCCAACTAGGTCAGCCTTGGGCCTCTCTTCTAGTCCTGCGAGACGGCGCATAGCTGTTGTCATTCCGCATCGTCCGGTCACCAAGTCCAACGCGTCGCCACCTCCTGCGTCACGCAGAAATGTCTTGAGCGAGTCTCAGGCGTTTCTGCTTGGTCCACCTGCGCCGAGAGTGGCACCATCGCCAGCAAGGAAGGGAGCATTGGGATCGCCTGTCCGTCAGGTGAGCAATGACTACAAAGCCTCTGTCCAGCATGGACCGTCTTTGTCTGGCTATAACGCAGGCACAGGTGCATCACCTCTCAAGCAGCCAGCTCAGAGACTACCGCAACATTCAAAAGTGGCAAGTCCTACCAAGCCTCCCGCTGCTGTCGTGACAAGTTCACCTCAGAAGACAGTCTTGCCAGCTGCTGCATCGCCACTCAAAAAGCCGCCGACACGGTTCCTACACAACACACCAAAGAAGACGCTTGCCAAAAGCAATACGGAGCGCGCCTTTGCAGAGGAGGATGCAGAAGCGATTGATGAGCTATCTCTACCTCTCCAGGCGCCAATCACCACGAACCGTCAGAGCACTCAATCAATGATCAAGCCTGCTGCTGCTATCTCATCGCGATCAAGTCGAACTGCCCCGCAATCGCATATTACCCCTGCAAGACTGATGCACCGGCCGGCCAAGCAAGCAGTACGCCAACCATCTGCTTCAATCTTGGACGCAGAAGATGATGATGACGATGACGATGTTGACGATGAGTTGGCCATCCAGCAGCTGACGCCTCGCGTTCCGCCCTCACGCCGAACGACGGAAACGCCCCATGTCATTGAGCAAGAGCCGGCTCTGCATTCACCTCCAACCGACATGGATCTTGTAGACGATTGGCAGCCGTCACTTGGCTTGAGTCACTCTTTCTCTGAATTGACGCTTCATCAGGAGCAGCAACGACTCCAATCCTCCGTCGTCGATGAAGAGATTCAGGCCTACTCTCGCTCGCCCAAACATATATCCTTTGATGATGCAGGCGAAGCTCTTCCCGTTGCTCCTATTATCAAGAAAGAAGCAAAAGATATGGTCCTGTTCATTGACGTGCAGCCGACAGGCGTATTGGCAGACACGAAAGCAGCACAAGAGTTTGGACATGCACTCGAGAAACTCGGCTGCCGTATTTTCACTCGATGGAATTGGAATCCAGACACTCAGACTCCCGCAAAGACGCAAGCCAGCCTTGCTCGTCGCATCGAGGTGACGCATGTCGTCTTCTTCAATGGTTCAGCACGCACGCTGAGAAAAGTTCAGCGAGCACGACAATTGGGTATTCACATCGAATGCTGCGCCTTATCCTGGGCAGTTCAGTGCCGTACTTTGCAACGTTTGACGGTTGGCACGGCTGGTCATGAGATTGATGTGGATGAAGAGCTTGATTTGCTTGCAAAGAAGATGAAGGTGTCGCCAGCCAAGCAGCACCAGCAGCGACCGCCACAAAAGAAGACGCCAGTCTCATCGCCCACAAAAGCCGTGCTCAAGACACCATCGCCCAAGCGTGCGACACCAGAAACGCCGTCTATGCAAATTGAGGATTTGATCATGGAGGAGTATCTACAGCCTGTGCAGTTCGATGATGGCGGCGACGAAGATGAAATTGCCTCACCGGGTCCTTGCATTGATCCAGCACTTCTAACAATCAGTGCAGATCCCGTGATGAAGGCAACACCCACACCCTCCTCCTCCCCAACAAAGACTGGGCCGCCATTGCCACCTCGTTCTGCGCCAGCCAAGAATGCCCTTGCACTGCAGCAATCCCTCACAGAGCTGGAGCAACGTGGTCTGCAGCTTGCTCGACGCAACAGCTCCAAGTTCAAGCCACGACTAAGTTCACCACTGACCAAGAAACACTGGCGCGGCTAGGTAATGTTGTTCTTCATATTGTTTCATTATACATTAGGCTACTATTAATCCCGTTGAGCTTGATTGGCTCTAAATTCTGCTGCACGCGCTCTAGCTTCTCTTGCATCCGTCGCAGGCTCCTCGGGTGATGTTGAGCCAAGCTGGTGTGTTTCCGACTGTGTTCCACAACTCGACACCAGACTTTCCGTAGGCACAAAGACCTCTCCTGGTTGAAGTGTATGACCTGCCTCCCATCGCTGAACATCCTTTGAATGCTTTCCAAGCAAGGCAAAGAAGTGCTTGTCGTGCTCGCTATGAACATTGTGCGTCAATTCGTGCAGCAGCGTCGCTCTCACACCTTTGTAGTCTCGCCAGCCATCGAGCGTGTCCGTACGTAGACGCAACAGTATCTCTTGGCCGGCATTCTTGTTCAGCCCAAGAGTCTTGCTATCATGAGATGTGTGCAGTCTTGGGTCCATCTCTGTCAATAGACCAACAGTGTACTTCTCTTGCTGCATAAGTTTGCAAATACAGCGATCCTCAGCAAGCCTGTGCAAGTACGCCAGCGAACGTTCGTGGTTCGGTAGATGAGTGAGACACGTGATACGATGGAATCGAAACGCCGTGTCGGTACTGCTTGCAGCAGTCTTATTGATCTTGCCAGCTTGTCTATTCTGGCGAGCAGCTATCTTCTCTGCAGCTGCGCGTGCCGATTGATTCATCTCGGCGACCGCTGCTTGCGATGATACCAGTAGCATCATCTTTCCTTGTTCCTGTGAAGGTACAGGTGCATCATTGGAGAGGGTGCGTCCTTTGAAGATGAGCTTTTGAATGGCATGTTCTAGTGAGAGCTTTTCTTCTATCGCCTCCTTGAGCGCCTCGACTCGTGCATTACTTTCGTTCAAGCTGAAATGATGCAAGATTCCTTTGTGAGAGACGAGAACATCAACCATGATCAAGCGGTTAAGTGAGAATGAGCTTTAGCTTGAGTGGTTTGTGGTTGAATACGGCCGCGCGTTTTGTGGCCAAATAGAAATTCTGGAAGCAGCGGCTGACTAATTTGCCTTTCTAGTCACTATGAGGGTAAGGACGAGACCGATACAAGCAGTAGAGATGCTCTTCTGGCCTCTCGTGAGATGTAGAATGCGCCGCAAGCGCACTTGGACCTCGACTTGAGCTGGCGACAGGACGCTACCTTGTAGCTGCTGCAGTGGCACTGATTCAGATGACACTTCACCATTGTTCAGGGGCGATAGCAAAGCATCGTCCGTCTCCGTTCACCAGCAGAAAGAGACTGAAAGTTGTAAGCAGGAAGAAGAAGCATCATTGCCGAGACTGCTGCTGACCTGGATGTACTTGATCCTGCTTGAGGCTGTATTCCGGGCCAACAACGAAGCAGCAAGTCCAGGAGTTCGGACATTGAGGTCACTAAGCAAGGATGCAAACACCATAGGTAGCCCTCTACGTACGCGTATGTTATGGACGTAGGCTGTACCTCTTAGCCTCTTAGCTGCTTGCCTGTCTTCTGCTGTTGTTCGGCGGCTTCGGCCTCGGTCTCCGAAACCCGGGGAAATTGCAAGTCACAAATACTATCATTCTTGGAAAATAGCTGAGAAATACTCGGTCAGTACGACGGCATAATTCTATTGATTGAGGCCTCATTTCCTTCTGACTGACTGAAGAAGAAAGGCCCCATTGCTGGTTTGCTTCTCGGGTCTCCGCTCTCTCCAGCACAAAAGCAACCGACAACCAGCAGCACTTCTCCCTCACACACCATGTTGGCACAGGCAAGAAGGACTCTCCTCGCAAAGCCAGTCGCAGCATTCAAGCCAGCATCTGCATTTTCACAAGTCTCACTCAACACCCTCCGTGTCCGCACCATGGCCTCCGCACATGAACCTCCCAGCAACAAAGTCCCCGAGTACGACGAAGTCATCAAGAAGATTGCCAGTTACGTGCACAACACCAAGATTGACTCTGACTTGGCCTTCTCTACCGCCAGGTACTGCTTGATCGACACCATTGGTTGTGGTCTCGAGGCTCTTCACCACAAGGAATGCACCAAGATGCTCGGCCCCTTGACCGAGGGAACCAGCGTCACCAACGGTGCAAAAGTCCCAGGTACCCCCTACGAGCTCGACCCTGTTGAGGCTGCCCGTAACTTTGGTACCATGATTCGATGGCTCGACTTTAACGACACTGTACGCTCCCACTGCTGTGATGATAATAAGTGCTAACAGACAGTGGCTCGCTGCTGAGTGGGGACACCCTTCAGACAATCTCGGTGGTATTCTCATGGTGGCAGACTGGCTCGCTCGTCGTGGCCAAAAATTGACCGTCAAGGACATCCTCGAGGGCATGATCAAGGCACACGAGATTCAAGGTGTCCTCGCCCTCGAGAACTCCTTCAACCGTGTCGGTCTTGACCACGTTCTCCTTGTCAAGGTGGCTTCCACGGCTGTTGTCTCCAAGATGCTCGGTCTCAACGAGTCGCAGACCCGTGATGCCGTCTCGCAGGCCTTCATTGATGGCCAGTCCTTGCGTACCTACAGGCACACACCCAACACCATGTCTCGCAAGTCTTGGGCTGCCGGTGACGCCACCTCGCGCGCCGTCTACCTTTCTCTTATTGTCAAGAAGGGTGAGAAGGGACTCCCCTCTGCTTTGACTGCTCCCATCTGGGGCTTCTACGACGTCCTCTTCAAGGGCAAGCCTTTCAAGTTCCAGCGCGAGTTTGGCTCGTACGTCATGGAGAATGTGCTCTTCAAGATCTCCTTCCCTGCCGAGTTCCATGCGCAGACTGCCGCTGAGGCAGGTATCATCCTCCACAACAAGCTCAAGGAGATGGGCAAGTCGATCGACGATGTCAAGTCTGTGCGTATTCGCACACAGGAGGCTGCTATTCGTATTATCGACAAAAAGGGTGAACTCCACAACTACGCTGACCGCGACCACTGCATTCAGTACATTGCTGCTATTGGTATGATTCACGGTCGTCTCGTTGCTGAGGACTACTTGGACGATGTTGCCTCTGACCCACGCGTCGATGCTCTTCGTGAGAAGATGTACTGTGTTGAGGACAAGACCTACTCTGCCGAGTACCTTGACCCTGAGAAGCGTTCCATTGGAAATGCCCTGCTTGTTGAGCTCAATGATGGCACGAAGCTCGATGAGGTGGCCATTGACTACCCTGTCGGCCACAAGCGCAGACGCGAGGAAGGTATCCCACTCCTTGAGAAGAAGTTCCTGCACCACGTCAAGGGACACTACTCGCAGGGCCGCGAGAAGGAGATTATCGAGACTGTGCTCAATAGCAAGGGTCCTGAACTCCTCAACATGCCTGTTGACAAGTTTGTCGATCTCTGGCACAAGGAGTAACCTTGCTCCTTGCACCCAATAAAAAGCTAGTGTTACACATAGACAGTGATTAGAGGATTATGCTCTGCCTGTTTCTATAAACCTCGATACAAATACTACAGATCCTCTCGCTCCCTTGTCGGGCTCCATGGCCGAGGCACATCCTCCCAGCTGCCTTGTCTGCTTTCACGGCTTTCGGGCCACTTGTCCGGCATCCTCCGCATCCAAAGTCTTCTCACGCACAAACCTCAACGAGCAGCCGTGTGGGGTTGCAAGCTCATCCACCTCTTCCTCCTCATCTGCATACACTCCATCATGTCTTCCCGTCTCCTCGCAAGGAGCAGCTTCAAGCTCGCACCAGCCGGTGTCCGCCATTCATCCTCAGAGCTCAAAAAGGCCGTGGCAGCGGCCATTCCCGAACGTAGGGAGCTCTTCAAAAAGGTCAAGGCCAAGGGAGACACCAAGATTGGCGAGGTGACCATTGCCAATGTCATTGGTGGTATGCGTGGACTCAAGGCCATGCAGTGGGATGCCTCGGTCCTCGATGCCAATTCCGGTATTCGCTTCTATGGCTTGACCATCAAGGACTGCCTCGAGAAGCTGCCAAAGGGCAAGACGGGCACGGAGATCTTGCCAGAGTCGATGCTCTGGTTCCTCTTGACCAAGCAGATCCCAACTGCTGCACAGGTGCATGGTCTCTCGAAGGATCTCGCCGACCAAGGTGACTTGCCCGCACACACACAAAAGATCCTCGATGCCATGCCCAAGACGCTGCACCCAATGACACAAATGTCCATTGCCGTGGCGTCCCTCAACCAGGACTCGGCATTCGAAAAGGCATATTCGCAAGGTTCGCTCAAGAAGTCTGACTACTGGGAGCCTGCCTTTGACGATGTCATCTACACCATTGCCAAGTTGCCCACTATTGCAGCCACCATCTACAAGAATGTGCACGGTGTCAACACAACAATCAAGCTTGACAACACGGTTGATCTTTGTACAAACTTGGCCGTCATGCTCGGCTGGGAGAAGGACAACACTGACTTCATTGACTTGTTGCGTCTCTACATTGCCATTCACGGTGACCACGAGGGCGGCAACGTCTCAGCACACACCTCGCATTTGGTTGGTTCTGCACTCTCTGACCCCATGCTCTCGTACTCGGCTGCATTGCTCGGTCTGGCTGGACCTCTGCACGGTCTTGCCGCACAGGAAGCACTTCGCTTCATCCTCCAAATGCAAAAGGGCTTGCCCACCGACCCTACCAAGGCCAATATCGAAGAATACCTCTGGAGCAAGCTCAATAATGGTCAAGTCATCCCAGGCTATGGCCACGGTGTCTTGCGTGTCTTTGACCCACGTTTCGAGACTCTACAAAACTGGGCTACTACCAAGGACGATGTCATGAAGAACAAGGCCTTCCTGCTCGTCAAGCACCTCTCCGAGACTGCCCCTGCCGTCCTCACAAAACACGGCAAGACCAAGAACCCATACCCGAACGTCGATGCCACATCGGGTGTGCTCCTCCACCACTACGGCCTCACGGACTTCAACTTCTACACCGTTGTCTTTGGAGTCTCGCGTGCATTGGGTTGTCTGACGGATTACGTCTGGTCGCGCGCTTTGGGAAGTCCTATCGAGCGGCCCAAGAGTGTCTCGCTCGACGACTTGTACAAGGAGATTTCAAAGTAGATTTTAGGTTGCAGGCATCACATAGACAAGTTATAGGCCTTGTCGCAGTTGTGCTGTTCTTCTGTCGTACATGCAATGGACATCGTCATTGCTGCCCATCCACGACTTGTGCAGCTTCCGCCTCCTTCTGTGCAGCTAATGTTTGTGAGTGTTTACGCGCCAAGACTCGGCGGTCTTCGCCGAGAAAGACGCGCTTGTAGAGGAGATAGCTCGTCACAAGGAAGAAGGGTATCGCCACAATCACGCCAGTCAATTTGCGTTCTTGCGACTTGTATTTGTACACTTGACGCGCTGGCGGGAGAGGACGCGCGCCTCCAATGCGGCCCATTGTGATTCTGCTGCTGAAGAGATGAGTTTGGCCTGCTTGAGCTTGTTCGTCGTCGCGATAAAATTGAGGTCATTGAGCGTCAGATGGAGATGAGAAGGCCTACTCTTGACCTCGAAGCTCGACAATTCACTACTACTGAGCTCTGAGATGATCATGCATGTAGATAAGAAGGACTACCAGACAAACAACTTCTATACTACACCGCTGCGTCGACCAAGTACATAGACGAGCACAAAGAAAAGAGCCATGCATCCGACAATGCCAAAGAACCAGGTAGTTCCCTCGCTCTCTTGCCCTGGTACCGGCACGTTCATGCCCCACAAACCTGTCACTAGCGAACAAGGAAGCAGCATCGTACCAACGACCGTCAGCCGCGATAGGACATCATTCGTGTCGTTGTTGACCTTTGTCATGTTGATATTGATTTGAGCAAGGTAGTTGGAGTGGGAGCGCGAGAGAATCTTCTCGTAATGGTTGAGATTCTGGACCATCGTTACAATGTGGTCCTGGATATCACCCAGGTAAAGGCCAATTTCACTCCTGGGCGCAACATCCCATTGCTCATTGCACCGTTTCGCAAAGCCCTTGACGACGTCTGCTTTCGAACCAAGCAATCTCAACAAGCCCATCACCTTCTTTCGGCATGCACCGATGCGACGCAACATGTTGGTTTGCTCAGAGTCGCTGATGTCGGAACCTTTCGACTTTTCGTGCGTTTCCTCTTCAATTCCAAGCACATTGTCATCAATCAAATCTACCTCATAGTCGATCCGATGAATGAGTGGCGAAAAGGCATCGACGATATCGTCAATAAGCGCATATGAAATCCAGTCAGACGAGACTGTGATGTAGTCTCGCAGCTGGCGGATTCGCCGACGCACATTGGCAGGGTGTGGTGTCGGGGTGAAGTGAAACGAGAGGACGCCGTCTCGAAAGACGACAATATACATGTTGACGGGCTCGAGATAGTCATCCGAATTGGGATCTTGCTGGAAGGACCGGAACGAAATAAGGTAGTAGTTGCGAAACAGCTCCACCTTTTCACGCTGCTCCTCCATCGACACGTCTTCACACGTCAGCGGATGAATGCCAAAAGCAGAACTCAAAATCTTCATCTCCGAGTCTGTTGGCGAGTTGACGTCAAGCCACCAGGTGTTGCCAGTTGTGAACAAATCTTGGAAGGACTGATCTTCTTGTGGTAACTCGTACAAGGTTGGAGAGTGGATAGTCGATTGCAACTCATCAGAAAAGAACGTGAACCGGAAGGGCCGCGCATCTTCATCGTTGCGATCGTACGACGTCCAACCACCGCGGTTGCGGTACTTTCCATTGACCAGCATAGGTTCGCTGAGTTTTCGATGACGCCACTCTAGGTTCGTTGCGCCGTCTTCCTTTTGCTCGACCTGCTCACGCGCCCACTCTGTCAATTCTTCAAAGTCAATATGGCCGTGCACAGCGCCGTCGTCGCTCAAGGGGAAGCAAACGTCCTCTTCAGCACGAGACATGAGCCGACCTCGCTTATCGCCATCTTCCGCTTCTGAAAAGACTGAATCAGTAGGTTCCTCTCTCGAAACGCGTGATCCACGACGCTGCTGGGGCGGGGATGTCGAAATGGCATCCGGCAAATCTGCAAGGTTGTTGACTTGATCCGGAAGCTGTTCACTTCCGGCAGCACCTTTGTGATGTGCATACTCGAGCACGCGCTGAGCCATTGACATGCTGAGGGTATCGCCATTCTCATCACGACCACTAATCGATCCGCGAATGCGACCGGGCGCTGAGGCAAGTAACTCCGCACTGGCTCGGCTGGAGCCAAAGGAAGAAGGAATGGAAGGCGGGTAGTTTGGGTTTGGCCCACGCTCAGTCTCATCTGTTGCGCCATACACATTGTCAGAGTCACGACGCATATAGCCACCAGGCATAGGCCTGAAGGAGTGTTGAGAGGACGACGTGCGCCTGTTCTGTCTATTGTTCTTGTTGATTAGAGTCGAGCGTTCATTGTGGTCTGAAGAGTCGTCAGAGGAATCCGTCGCATCGCGACCATCGTTATTGCTATATAGGCCAAGATTGCTTTGCTTGCGGGCAGACCGGCTGCCGCGGTGCTCAGTGCGCTTACCCTTGCGACGGGAGGTAGAAGGTAGAAGGAACGAAGGACGCGGCAATGAGCCGATATGCTGTCGATGATCATTGAAAAGCGCTTCAGAATCAAGAGAGGTGTTTGAGCGATTGCGCCGCATATGCTCATTGCCATAACCCATACCGAGCGTCGGTACTTGGCTGCGCGAGTTGTTTCTCGAGTTGCGCTGCTGCCTGTCACTGCCCCGAGACCCTGTCCGCTGGGGCTCTGCGGCTTCCAGTGTTTGGGACTGGATGGTGCTCATGCTTGGTCGCGACTGCATTGGCTCTGACCCTGTGCGCGGCGACGCTGGCACCTCGTCCTCCCGCAGAAAGGACTCCCTTCTAGCAGACATACTATCTTTTAGCAGGCTCTCTCTAATCAGAGCCTGGGATAAGTCAAGAGAAGGATGTTGAGTTGATGTCGTGCGTCGTCAAATTTCTGCGACCTGCGACGTCATGAGCAAGAGAGCATCAGGACTGCTTGTACAGTATAGTGTACATGGCTGATTTTACCTGGGAGATGCTCCTCCTCTATGCTATGATGCCTGGCTATCCACCTTGGCCTCGGCACTGACCTTGTCCTTATCGCGTGACCCACTGACCAACGAGAACAGCGTGTTGATGACTCCCGTCTTACCGCCCTTGCTCGTCTTGTGCAAAGTCTCTGCATCCTTGAGAGATGCACGACCAGCCAATGCAGCAGGTGGTGGCACATCTCCCTCAAAGTTGCCAATAGCGAAGCCTTCACGTTCTGCACGCGCATACTCACGCGCCCGCTGTCTCTGCAATTTTGCCTTGCGTTTGCCATATCGACGATCATGCATTCCGCGTGCCGCCATGAACTTCTTGACTGGACCGGGCTTGATGACACCAATATCGTTTGGGTCCAAGTGAAGCATAGACAAGTCCTTGACAGGTTCCATCTGTCGAATCTCGCCGTGGATGCTGACACGCTCTCGGATCATGTGGTCGACATAGACCGGCTCAACGCCTGTGACGGTGACTTTGGGCCGTGTTGAGCCTTTCCTGACCGCCGTCTCTTCCTCGTCAGAAGCATCATCGAGATCTGCACCTGACTCTGTCAAGTTTTGCTCGACGAGATGCATGCGTGTGAGCAAATCCGCAATGTCTGTCTGTTGTGGTCCTTCAAAGCGAGCAAGCGCCCACAGTGAAAAGTTGGCAATAGCACGGTACATGTACTTGGCAGGCCGGCACATGGCAATTGTCGGCGTGACGTGACAGCAATCATCATACACTTGAAGGTGTACTTGCGTAGGCCCATATTTGTTGAGCATTTCGCGCTGTCGCGGGTCTGCATCCAGATACAGATCCATGGGCGGGTAGGACGCAGGATTGGCAGCCTTGTGTGCAACGTAAATGATCTCATCACGTAAAAGCTCGCTTCCGCCACACATGACAAAGAGCGGACACAGACCACCGAGAGATCCTGCGATGACGGGTGAGACCAGCGGGTGCGTCAGTTGCTCGTTCGTGGCATACAATTGGACCTGATCCACAATCTTGACAAATTTGCCATCAATCAGCAAACTGCCGTCGTTGCCCTTCATCACGAGACGTCTACTGCTATGCAGTGCATAGTCTGCCTCGGTGGCTTCACGGACCGTGTATCCGAGTCGATCATTCACAGTGATTTCCTCGTGATTGTCTCCCTCGGCATCCTCTTCTTCATTGTCACTCGTTGCGGCAGAGTCGTTGTTTTCGTTTTGAAGGTCGCTGAGCGTCATGTTGCGTGCAGCAGCAATGTCTTCTGTGGTGGGCGGTGGCCAGGCGATGGACGGCTTGTGCTGGAATCCAGAAGGCGGGATGTAGTCGCCAGAACTGTCCGCCATGATGCTCGGGAAAGAATGATTGAGGTCGACCCACGGAGAGATGAGAACACAGCCTGCTGGGAGAGGGAGGCCCTGGTCCCGAATGACGGTGAGTAGAGAGAGGCACATGCCGCCACCTGCAGAGTCTCCTGACAGGATGATCTCCTCTGGTTTGAATTGCTTGAGAAGGTAGAGATAGCATGCCAGATTATCATGAATACCACAAGGTGCCGGATATTGGGGTGCCAGACGGTAATTGGCGGCGAAGGCACGACCACCGAGTTTGCGGGCATGTCGCTGGATCTGATAGCGGTGTTCATCCACTGAGCCAAAGTAGTATGCGCCACCGTGGATGTAGAGGATGACACGCTGAGGCTTGGTTGGATCTGCCAAACGACGTTGCTGGTCCTTCTTCATCTCAATCCACTCGCAGGTGAGTGCTTCAATGCGGTACTGCCACCACTTGCTGCCGCCAAAAACAGCGAGACCTTGTTCTCCGAGTCTTTCAATCAAATGCTGAGCAGCTTCATCCAGGAAGGATTGCTCCATGACGACTTCCTGCTTGGAAACCCATCCTGGCGTGGGGATCTTGTTGGCCGTGAATGACTGGACCTGCTCTACGGTGTGTTTTGCGCCGTACTCGAGGAACTTTTTAACGAGAACGATGGCTTCGTGGTAGGCAAGCTCGTGCCGTGGGTCATTGGTGGGGGGCTTATCTGCAAAGTGCTGAAAGAATGTCTTGAGGAAGGCGGGTGTCGTGTTGACCGCGACCTGGAGGAATGGTCAGTCCGGATATGTGCAGGCCGTGAGTGCGACTTACACTTGCGGTATTGAACGGCATGAAGAGAAGGTGGCCTTGGTAGATGGGCGTATGGAGGGGTGGTTGTTGTTGCGGCTGTTGAGAAAGGAAAAGAGCAACGGCAAAACATTTCATTGTCGTCATCGGCCCAGACTACTTGCAATTTGTACTTCAACTCAGGAACAGCGATAGAGGAACAGCAGGTCAGCGGTATATGCTGGATTACCGGCAAGTCGCTTACACAGCTTTGAATGAGCACTCGACAGTTCTGTAAGCAGCCCGACTCGGTGATCATCAAGCTTGAATTGCTACAATTGCCAGCGAAGACATGCACAGTTGAGACTGCTCCTGCCAAAGTGTGCAGATGAGGTCTAGACTGTGTAACGAACACGCAGTTCTGCTCTTCCATTTAACACAGTCTGGCTCGTGCTCTGAGACAGACTGGAGCATTTCATTGTACGTTGAAATGATGGCAATGCTGTGACTGCAGCTGGCGAAGAAAACGGACTTCTTGGAGGCTGAGCAAGTGCCAAATCCTGTGACGGTCATGGTCATCCCCGCCTTTGACAGCCTCTTCAGCCTATACGCTTTAAATTCCTTTTGTGAAAGAAAGCTACAGGACTTGGGGTGCGTGACAGCTACAGGTCACATCACGTAGCAATTCTGAACCCAAATGTGATTATAAAAATCAAATTCTCGTCAGACTATTGTTGGTCGAAGTGTCCACTACAATTGCAGCCGGCTGCGTAGTAGTCTACAGCTGCGTCAAACTCACGCACACAGTGCAATTACAGTCGTAGCAGCAACTGGCCGAAGCAGTATAAGCTGAGCTTATTTGTGTGTCATATTCAGGGGAAGACTTTATTCGTCAAAAGTCGAATCAGGGGAACTTGTGTATTTGCCAGGCGACATTCATAAATATGAACAGCAATAATCGATAGTCGACGATATCTAAATTGCACGCTTCAGCGCTTGCTTTCTCATATGATTCTCTGTACTTCCTGAACAAAGACCGCATTCTCTATTGGCCGATGGCAATCACGCTGGTACTCAGTCTTCTTTTATGGACAATCTGTCTGCCTTCGACAGCTGAGCCCATGCATATGAGGTCACGCAATAAGGAGATTGCAAGCACGAGCGATCCGTTACCGGTAGGGGCGCAAGCAGGTACCTCAGCAACTATTGGTCCAGCACAAATTTCATCTGTAGCAATCCTTGGGACGCACTACTGGATTCTCCCGAAAGGAGAAGATAGATCATGCTACAAGGCTACTTTCACTCTTGTGGGGATGACTACAAAACCAATACTTTGTACGCATGAAAATTTTTGGCTGACCAATCAGCAAGATCATAAGTGTGCGGAGAAGTGTGGAGAGGAAAAGGCCGCATATGAGACAAGACTGCTGAAGAAAATCAAGAATGACAGTTTAATGCGCGAGGCTTCTTGTTTGCAAAGCTATCCCGAAGTCAAAAGCCTTTTTGGCTTTGAGTTCTTACCTCTGAATTCCCAGCGACAGATTCACCATTGTTCAGTCATCTGCCAATGCCAAATTGTGATCACTTGGAAGAAAATCAGGATGCCTTCTCTCAAGCACTTTGATCAGATCTACGAGTTTTCGCCCAAGACAACCAAGAGCTTTTGGACAGATCAAAAAATTCCACTGAGCAGCCAACGCCCCAAATCTTGTTATCCAACCGAAATCATCGCAAGGGTCTTATCAACAAAGCAGTTGCCAGATATGGAGGTAGAGCAATGGGCAATAAGGCCTCCTGTGGTTGTCGAAGAGCGTACACGCTGCGATTGCCTCATTTGGAGCATGAAATGCACATGCAATCCGTACGGTGGCACTCAGCGTGAGCATCGATATGTGCCTGATCACTGCATTCTGGGCTTTCAGACCCCCCGAACAGCTGCAACAAGCATCTCGCAAGATTTACAAGCTCCAGCTGGTGCGATCGTCGCCAATACACAAACATGTCCTACACAGCCTTTGATAGCAGGTCAAGTTGATACCAGTACGACTCAGGCATCAGGCTCTGGCGGCCATAGCCATGACCAATCGCAGCTGACAGATCGAACACCAGCTGTGAATGAACCCCAAGGGCCTACAACATCTGCAGAAGTCAATCAGTTCCTTCAGAATACACAATTCGGTTTCAACTGTCGAACAGACATCTTACCGGATGAAAACGGATTACCACAATGGTCCACCAGTCTATATGCCATGGAATGCTTCCTCATGTCCGACGGAGCTACCCCTGGACCGTTGCGAGAAAACTGCCAGTGTCCATGGCCGTTAGCCGACCCACTTGAGTGCGAACTTTTACAACAGTCTCAGAACAACACATGCACAAATCTCGATGCCCAATCGCGATCGCAAGAAGGTCAATCGAAGAGGCAGAACACTCGAGGGATGAATTATGGTGAACAAGGCGGCAGATTTGGAAATCTCCCCAACTTCATTTGATGCACAGAAGAGATGGTCCTCCCACAACTCTATATTACTTATCCTTCTCGCTGCACTGCGGAAGCTTCAGAGCCATGAACAGCAACTTTGTGGCCACGTAGCTGACACTTGCTTGAATCTGCATAGTTAACCTTCTTTCCGAAATTGAAATTTTGCAAATCAAAGCAATTGCGCGGCGCCCCACAAAGCAAACCTTAAATCCAGACCCACAGGCAACGACAACGAGGTAGCACACCCAGATCTAACGGAAGCGACCAGGCCAGCATGGACGCAGTGATTCAAGGTCAGATGAAAGGATGGCATTCCACAGCCGCCGCAGCAGACCGCACGCCTCTCGTCATTGGCGCAGGTCTACCACGCACGGGAACCAGCTCTACCTTTGAGGCACTCAACACTCTTGGCTTCGGCGCCGTCATGCACATGGCCGTCAACTTTCAACAGCCCTGGCGCATCGATACCTGGAGAAAGGCACTTCTCGCCAAGCGTCTATCCCTCAATCAAGGCGAGTTGAAGCTTAAGCCGCACTACCACCCTGGACCTGCGGAAATGCCAGACTGGTCAGTCTTCCTGAGTGGCTACGGTGCCACCCTCGACAGCCCGGCATGCGAATTCGTGCCGGAGTTCTTGGAAGCCTTCCCTGATGCGAAAGTAGTCCTGACTGTGCGTGACTCTGATGAAGCCTGGTGGCAGAGCTACATGGGAACGGTCGGCAAAATCGGCGAGGCCTTCGGTTTCCACAGGCAGAAAGTGGCGTTGATTCCCCGACTCTACAATCAAGCCTGTCTCGCGGAAGAGATTGCAGAGTATTGGCGACAAAAGTACTGCTCTGACTTGGAGCAACAAAACTCAGCTATCGTTCATTCGCGACATAACGCCTACATAAAAGAGATCGTCCCAGCTGATAGGCTACTCATCTTCAATGTCAAGGAAGGCTGGCAACCACTTTGTGACTTCCTCGGTGTTCCAGTCCCAAAGACGCCCTTCCCTCACGTCAACGATACACATGGTGTCAATAAGATAATCACGACTATGCAAAGGCTTGGGCTCGCGATGTGGGCTTTGTCGCTCGGCGGTGGTACTGCTCTTGCTATTTTTGCGGCCAAGCTAGTCATTCGCCATGGAGGCCTTGTCGCTAGCTGGCACAAGCTTGCCGCCCAAGGTGGCCGTCTGCTCGGCAGGAAATAACAGGACAGCGTCTGATAGACCGAATGGCAGTTCACGACATTCCACTAAATCTTCCTTTCCCGCTGATCTTCTCGATCAGTTGGGCAGTCGTCACGACAGCTTGTCAATCTGTGTTCGAGCTGATGGGTGCATCTTAAGATGCAACAGCTATTGTCGACCATCAGACTTTCATGCCATACACTTTTGAAACGACTCTTCTTGGCCTGAGACTTATCTGCCGTCATTTATGAGATCAACAGCTTTTGTGCAACTTTGTTGGATGCATTGACCATTCTGAAGAAGTGGCTTCATACCCGACTTCTCTAAGGAAACTCATTTCACGCTTGTGTGCCCTTATGAGACGGAGCAGAAATCGGGACAAAAGCTGCGCTGAGTTAGTCCTCGTAATTGTTCTACGGATATTGTCAATTGCACAGCTTATTCTGAAGTAGATGTACACAAAACGCAGCAAAACACAAACAGGAATCAGAAAGTTCAGAAGTAAAATGAATGCTATGAATGAAAGGTTTATGCCAATGCTTTTGCTTCGCTCCCCATGTATGCTATTCCGATGCATCATGCGCGCAAGTGAATGCAACCCATCTGAATTTGAAAGGCACCGATTTCTCCTTGAATGCAGCATGAGGTACGTTCGCCTAGTAGTGCTGGTATTGCTGGTACTTTTCCCACTCGGCATTCTTGTCTGTCCAATGCTCCAACTCTTGCTTCTTTCCATCTTCATACGATGAGTAGACCTCACCGTGCTTGTCCTTGTCATCTTTCTTGTCGTCCTTTTTGTCATCTGGCTTCTTGTAATCATCCTTTTTGTCGTCCTTCTTGTAATCCTCCTCCTTGTAATCATCCTTTTTGTCGTCCTTTTTCTCATCTTCCTTCTTGTAGTCATCCTTCTTGTATTCATCCTTCTTGTCGTCCTTCTTGTATTCATCCTTCTTGTCGTCCTTCTTGTCGTCTTCTTTCTTGTATTCGTCCTTCTTGTAGTCATCCTTCTTGTAGTCATCCTTCTTGTCGTCTTCCTTCTTGTATTCGTCCTTCTTATCGTCTTTCTTGTAGTCCTTCTCGCCATTCTTTTTGTAGTCGTCATACTGGTTCTTGTAATTTTTGTACTGGTTGTAGAGGTCTTCGTATTTGTTCTTCAAGTCGGCCTCCTTGCTTTTGTAGTCTGCTTCATCGTAGTACTTGTAGTCCTTGTACTTGGAGAATTCCTGGTTGTACTTGTCGAGTTGCTGCTTATAATCGTCGAGAGACTGCTTGTACTCCTTCAGAGACTTTTCATCATACTTTTTGTAATAGTCTTTCTTGTCGTCGTACTCGTCGTCGTACTTCTTGTCGTCGTACTTCTTGTCGTCGTACTTCTTGTCGTCGTACTTCTTGTCGTCGTACTTCTTGTCGTCGTACTTCTTGTCGTCGTACTTCTCTTCCTTCTTGTCGTCGTGCTTGTCTTCCTTCTTGTCGTCGTGCTTGTCGTCGTGCTTGTCTTCCTTCTTTTCTTCCTTTTTGTCATCACCATCTTTGTTGTACTTGATCTTGTTCCAATCGATCTTATCCCAATCGCTGCTGTAGTTCACCTTCGTCCAATCAAACTTTTCCCAGTCGACGTGAGAGTAATCAAGCTTCTTCCAGTCAAGGTGCTCGTAGTCGATGTCCTTGTTGTAGTCTTCATGACCGTCCTTGCTGGCGGCAGGTAGTGCAGAAGCAAGCGTGAGCAGGGCCGAGATGGCAATTGCTGAGGTGCGCATCTTGAAGATGAAAGGGAAGTTTGGTAGTCCAAGAGGAAGAGGCTCGAGGAGCTGGAGAACTGGAGAACAAGAGACGGACAGGACGGCCTACTTTATACTTTTCGAGCAGCGAAGTGTTGAACTCGGGTTGAGCAGCGAAAGGGCCACAGATCTGTTGGGGATACCATCTAATCTTGGCAAGTATGACGCGACTCCATGCCCTACGCATAGAAACGCAGCTTCTGGAAGAATCAACCTGGCGAAGGGGCCTTCATGGTCGTATGCAGGACCTCGAAGCGCGCTTCTTTGCTGCGCTGGGACGGGTTTGCGTTGCTTCATGTCGATGATTGTCGATTCATGCCACCTCACTTGGCTTCTGTGCAGCTTGCCGAGATTCGAGCACAGCAACTGCACAAATTGTAGCACTGTGTATTGTTCCTGCGGGGTTGATCTGCCCTCTCAGGCCTTTGAAGGGAAGGCGGCAGCTTGGGTCGCCACCCAAACAAGCGCAATAGAAGAGTATCGAGGCTTGGAGATGGGAACATACTTGGAGATGGGAACATACTGTTCGAACGCGTCATGGCCGGGCCTTTTACGGGAAGGTGGCAGCTTGGGAAGCGACCCAAACAAGCGCAATGGAAGAGCATCGAGGCTTAGAGATGGCAGCATACTATTTGATAGCGTCATGGAAAGATCAGATATCCTCAGTGATCAGCAGCGCTCGCAGTCTTCAGTTGTGTCGTTGACGTTGAGAATTCAAACAGCGCGCAACGTAACTGCCCCTGAATGACCGCGGACGCGCACATGGCAGCTGTAGGCTCAAAGCGACTGACGTCAAGACAGAGGCGAGAAGGCTCATTGTCACGGTCCCGAAGATGGATCTACATGGCTGAGAGAGAGGCGAGACGATCTAGTTGCTCGCTGAACTGAGTTGTCACACGCTGACACCCGCGAAATTTGCCCATCTGAATAAGACACTCGCGCAAGAGCGTCCGCTTCTCGAGACCGAGGACGTGCGGTTCCCATGAAGCCGCAGCAGCAGCTTCCAGCTCGACTGGTGGACCCATGAGTTCTCTGCATAGCTCTTCTACACGGGCCAAGTAGCCATCTTCTGCAGCAATCCTGCGAGCATAGAGCATGAGCGCTTCACGATATTCATCTTGTGATCGCAGTAAAAGTGCAGCAGCAAGCCTGTTTTCAAGATGCGCAATAGAGGCAGCTGTCTCGAGTCCTTCGAAGCCTTCCCGCGTGAGAGCCTGCTTGACTATCCGCCCGAGTAGACGCCCTCTTCCTTGTCGCATCAGCTCATCATTGGTCTTGCGCTCCAATGCCCCCAATATGCCACCAGAGACCGCTGTCCGTGCAGTCCCATTCGCTGCGTGAGTGTCAGAAGCGCCGTTCCACGTCGATCCACCAGCACTACGAGGCACCGTTGTGCCGTCCCAGTAATTGCTTGAGACTGCCCACCAGCTCTCTGACAACTTGACAAAGCTGAATAAATCCTTATCGTAGATACAGCCATCGCCATTGCTTAGCGTGATGATGGGTATACCCTGGTCTGTAATGCCAGCCTGTGTGATGCTTGCGCCACGCGTCAGCTTGTCGTATACGCTTGATGCTGCATCAAGAATGGGCGCCAAGCTGACTGGAGCAAACAAAGCTTTGCGTTCACGCAAGTCCCAGACGCGCAACATGCCAATGGCGGAAATGGTCATGAGGAACGTCTCGCATCCTTCGAGAAATGCAGGTGCCGCCTCAAGGACGAGCTCTGACAAAAATCGTCGTCCCGACAGAGTCCATATCAAAAGCCCTCCGTCCTCGCAGGCTGCAGCGACGTAATGATCAGTGCCAATGAGCAACACCACAGGTGACTGAATGTAGTCGATCCACGCGACACGACCTTTGCGAACAAATGAGACACGCACGGGATCTTGGCTGGTCTCCTTGGCAGGATTGCGCGCCTCGAACACGTACTGTATCCCGATTGTATTTATGTGACTGACGAGAGACTGGATTTTGGGTATACCAAGACGGACAGCGGCAGTTGTTGCAGCCGGATTGACTGCAGCTGGACGCATAAACTCGGGCGCATCTCTTGGATCCCCAACAGAACCATCAGCTATACGCTTTGCACTTGGCATGTCGTCTTGAGACTCGGCTGATCTCTTGTTGCCTGCAATCAAGGTCGGCAGACCACCTCTTGGCAATGCTAAACTGGGTTGCGATATCTCGAGTTGGTGCTGATGTATCATCGAGGTTTGCGGCGGCGCATTGTGTCGCGATATCGAAGGTGACTGAGCTGGGCCGCTTGATATGAGTTGAGGCTGAATGCGCTTCTTGCCATTAACCATGGTCACCTTTTGAACATAGGGCCGAACTGGCGAGGTAGGAGCACTTGGGGCAGTGACTGTTGTAGTTGCCATGGCGGTGCCTTCTGTGTGGTTGATCGCCGAATCCTCAGCCACGACAACGGCTTCGACAGGCTTCTCGAGCGGTAACGTCCGCATTGCTAGTGCTGCCTCATGAGCTGAAGTTCCCATTAGGTCTGCAAGACGCTCTTGCTTACTCTCCTCTTCGGCATGGCGACTCCTGTCCTCTAGTGCGAGCTGCTCGACAGACTCTGGCAAGATGTCGCCCTGTCTTCCAGCGCCATACTTACTGAGCACGGACTCATTGACATCTGACCCTTGAGCTTTGCCAAATTCGGCTTCTTCAAAACGCAATAGGGTAATGGATCCATCAAAGCTGCAGATGAAAAGCGACAGGCCATCCGGTGTCCAGGCAAGATCAGACGTACTCTGCTCGGCTACATCAGCAACAGTTGTGATGGGCCGCGATCGAGTTGTGTTCCAAATTGACAAGACGCGATCTTGTCCGGCACAAGCGATGACGGTCAAAACATCTTCAGTGTCCGCGCGCTGGAACAAGACGGGGTTGAATTTGACTACTTCCACAGCGCCCTCGTGTCCTATCAGTGAGATCTCACTCGTCCATGTTCCTCGGTTGATGATGGCAGCTGCACTGACTCGACCATTCATGGCGTTCGCACCGCCAATATGCGAACCGTCAGGGGACCAAGATGGTCTGCGGAAGTAAGTCGAGATGGGCGAGCTCACAAATGGGGTGCTGATGGTGGCCTCGCAAACATAGTCTGATATGCGCCAAACTTTGATGGTCCGGTCGTCTGATTCTGTCGCAAAGTACTTGCCCGCAGGATCAAAAGTGACACCCTTGACGGATGAAGCATGAGAAAGCGTCTTGATCTTCTCGTACGTTGAACCAGACCACACAATGACGTTCGAGTCCAGTCCAACGCTCACAAGCAAGCTCGAATCGTATGACCATCCCAGATCCACAATATCATTTTCGTGCCCTACCAAGCGCCTGTACACTTTCCAAACTTCCTTGACCACGTCAGTCTCGCCGTAGCTCATCTTTGGAGCGACAGACCGCTCGTCCCGCTCCCAAATGATGAGCATTTTATCGTCTGATCCACTGGCGAGCCATCTGCCATTCGGGCTGAAACGCACGCTCAAAACACCTCCAGTATGCGCTGGCATGGTCGACAGAAGCCCTGTTTCTGCCTCGTTCTCATCCGATGAATTGAGACACGCTGGTACACTCCAAACGCGAACCTTGCCATCTAGGCCGCCAGTTGCGAGACGCGCGCCATCGGGCGACACATCAAGCGAGTAGATTGGTTGACGTAGTCCTCCTTCGTCAAAATGACCTAGCCAACCAGGCCGGATGTTCCACATAGATCAGAGCACAGGCCCGAGAAGGAGAACAAGCACTCCTTGTTGTGAATTGGCGCGACACTTTGAAAGTAGTCGCGATCATGGTCGCATCAATTTGAGTCAATTGTAGTTGCGTTTCTCGCAGTCACATGACATTTTCCCAAGTTCGTCTATGCTAAGTTGAACAATGTTCAATGTTGTCAGACCTATATGCATTCATCATACAAGCTTATCTGCCCAAGAAAGCTTCTGGGCTTGGCCGTCTGAAATTCTCAAGAGAACCAATTGCAACGAGCTCTGTGCAGTGGCATGCAGGCGTTTGAGCAGATGCAATGATCAGTCTTTGTAGTGCTTCGAATTCCGCAGCAGCATTTCTTCGATGGGACCTGCGCAACCCAATGTCATCGGCAGCGCTCATGAAAATAGAACGACAGATCGCAACCATATTTTCCACTGGTCTCCGTGCTTTATCGACAGAGAAGGCTTCAACAGTGCCGAAAAGAAACACTGGAGCAATCGTCATACAAGCGACTCCTGCCAAGGGAGCTCCGAGTCTTGATCATCTGCGAGGTTATAACGACTCTCGAGCACATCAAGCAAGGACTTTGCGGTGGCGTGTGCTCGCTTGAGGAGACTCAGTTGCCCATCCCTGTAGTGCTTTAAATTCCTCAGCAGTTCTTCCTCACCTGGGCCCAAGTCTCCGGCAACTCCGTTGCCGTCAATGGCAGAGAGTTTTGACTCCAGCATTTGAGCGAGCATGTCAAAGACCTCCAAATCAGCCTGCAAGCCAGGCGAGTGGGATGTATGAAGCTGTTCGAGCTCAGTCTTTCCCATGTTGGCCTGATGTGCTGCTTGTTCTTCGTCCATGAAATGTCCACGTATAGTAGCCACGAGCTCCCAGGGAATTACGCCGAACACGGCATTTGCATCGTCGGTGTGCGCTTTTAAGAAGAAGACCTCGGTGTTCACCCCTGCCCTTTCGACTTGAGCACTTGTTGGATTGAGGGCTTTCGCCATCTTGAGTGCAACGGTGTCGTAAGGGTTGTCCTTGATTGTGAAGCCATAGCCAAGTAGAAGCTCTTCATTGGGCTTGGGCCCGTAGTTGTTGAACAACGTGGCACCTGCATCAATCGCCCTGCCAGTCTTAAACGTGACGTGCCGCGCTGCAGGGTCGCCAATCCAAGCGATGGGAAGATCTGGGGCGTGATCAAGCATGTCAAGAAATGGCAGTAAAATTTCTTCTGGTTTGTCGAGGTCAGTGCCCTCCAAGTGTAGCAATGAAAGGCTGAATGCTCGTGAGGTCAGTACAGAGTGAGCCCAAGCGTAGCGATCCCAAGGAATGTTCAGGGACATCTTCTTACAAAGACTACCATGTTGTTTTTTAAGATTTTCCAGTCGAGCTATGCCCGCACCATGGAGGTTAGTACCCTGTAGCAGCTGCCACTGCGAGTCCGTCCAGTGAAACGGAATGCCCGGGAAACTTGTCGGCAGTGAAGCAATGTAAGCTTGATGCGCAACGTTCCGTACATCATCCAACAGATACAAGATGAGAGCATCATGCGAGCAGATAGAATCAGGCAGCTTCAGTGTTTCGAAAGCCAATTGAGAAGTGATTATGAGTCCGTACGGGAGGCTCAAGAGCGATTCCCCTTCCGCGATGGGCCCGTGCGCTTTTATGCAGCGATTTGCGCACAGTGTAGCGTTCTTATGGAGAGAAGCTCCGTTCGAGGTGGCCCAGTGATACAAGGCATCCATCTATAGCTCCAGCGAATGTTCTTGGGTAGGCAGACACAAGGGGTTTGCAATTGACTTGCGCATGCAGCGTTCTCAACAGGCAGCGTTCTCAACAGTCACAATACAGACAAGGGCTCGTGGGTCCCATTTGTATCTCGCAGAGACAGAAGAGCCTGTAGCTGAGTAGAGCTTTGGTCAGCCCGAGAAACACCTAGGTGAAAGCGGAAAGCGCTAGGTCGAGTTGCTGTACACAGACTCAGCCTGCACGCGGGGAAATGCGCTGCTGGCTGCACGACGGAAACCATCACACGAGCACTGCGCACTGACACGACAAGAACGCGCTCGTCTCGAACTTGGCATACACAAGCCTGGCTTTCTATCTCCTGTCATCTTTATTCGCTCCTTTGCTACCAATGGTACGCATGCTCACTCACTTTACTCTTCTGTCCACCTTAATCTAACCTCGTTTTTTGCAGATTGGCAAGCTCGTACATTACTCTTTTGATGCTGTCGTCGTCTCTGCGATGCTCGCAGGCATAAAGCGCTCCACGGGCTTGTCTCCAAAGACCAGTAGTATTGAAAACAAGGACATTCGAGGCGCAGTAGACCGCTATCTCGGCGTTGGAGAATGGGTCATGGACGTCAGCATTGGCTACATGAGCAGCAGTGCTTACTTTGAGCGCAAGCGTTAGCACGATTTCTACAAAGCGTTTTACAATAGCTGCAGCCCTGCTTCAAATCATGCAAAGTGCTTGTCCTTGACTCGCCGCATGGTGATACTAATGCGATCACGACGGGCAATGGTTTGGCCATCGATTATGTCGCTTTCGATGCTTTCTATGCAGTGCTCCCACTTATACCGTGCATGACCTGAGATCAGGAGCAGTGAACGCGGGTGCAGTACAACAGATTTTGTGACAGATCGGTGGTCAACTCGCCGAAAGAGCATTCGCACAGAGCTCAGGAGTGACAAAATTGCGATTCCGTCGTCAAAGCGGAGCAGATCAACATGCCAGTCGATGCCTTGCCCGGGCTTATACCGCTGTATGATGGCCGCCTCGCAGTCAAAGCCTTGCCAGTGCTCAGTCTTCCAATCGTCTGGGATGACGTCCTCGGAAATGAATGTGAGGTAGTCTGGTAGAGGGGAGAAGTGGTGCATCTGGACAGAGGCCGTTGAGCTAGAGCCTTGCGGTGTCTTCAATTGACTATTGTCATTAACGAGCACTTCTCTCGGCAGCAAGCGTAAAAGTTGGTCGGCATACTCGGCGCTGATTGCGTCTTGAATCAGCACCAGACCATCAATCTTATCAAGACAATTGTTTTCTCTTGAGTTTGTGAAAGCTGCGGTCTGCATGCATAGACTCGAGGGCACACGGAAGAGCACAGACGTCACTGAGACGTGACGAACTGACGATGTGAGCGACTGTTTGTTCCAGGGTTTTACTGCCAAGATGGGGTTATTTTACCAGTACCCATGTGCATCGTCGTAGCGTGAGAGGCCTGTGCACTTTTGGCCGTTTCATTTGCGAGCAAACTTGGCAGGCGTTCTCAAAAGCAAGTACCGCACTTAAGACTGGATGAGCTTCTAATTGTGTTCAGTACTTCAGAACTACTAGCTTTGGGGACGTCGCAAGCTTGGGAAAGGGGATAGGTCATGTCGAGTCGCAATCGCGACTTAAGCTTCATGGCAGGCCGTCATTGCTCGTCAAACGAGGCTCAAATCCAGCAGTTTGGTAACTACTGACTGGGGTGGCCAGCCGTCCGATTTGAGACATTCGCAGCCGAGCACACTTACGAAATGAGACAGCCGCGAGCTCGAGCTCTGCGATAATGAAGAACGCCATAATCATCTGGAGCTCCAGACTTCAAGAGACGGCTGCGTCTGTCTGTCAGCTCTGTATATAGATAGTCAAGGCTGGCCCTGACTGGCTTCAAAGCTCAGTGATCATGGCAACAGTTCTGGCAGCCGCGAGTGCTATCGCAACCAGTCGACCATCGACAACTGTAGCGCTGCTTCCTCCAGCTTCGATCGTGCTCCAATTTGCAGGCCACATGCTTGTTGCTCAACCGACGCAGAACGCTTGGCCGACCCAAAGGAAACTCCAGTGGTGTGTTCAAGAAATGTGCCTACGTTGTCCAGCAGATCGATTCATGTGGGGAGACAAGGCCATGCACAGCTTGACGGCTCTGAGAGTGCTATCCACCTTGTCGATGGCGCTGATGCTGATTCTGCTTGCCATCTACATTTTCTTGCCGAAAGCAACAACACAGCGGTCCATCTTCAAGGTCGGCTACGTTGGTTCGGCCATCGCGCTTGCCCTCGCCTTTATGGTCGGTATCGATAAAGGTGACGGTGGACAATGTTACGACGAAGCCACGCGGGCCGACGCACTTCATGTCTCGCGCTGTCTAATCTCAGGCTTACTCTTTGTCGGAGGCTACCTGGCGGAACGTATGTGGGCATTGCTTTGGACTGTCGACACAGTTTGTCTGATTGTCTTTGACGTGGGCATTTTTCGCAAACGGCCTTGGATACTGGCGCTCATCGGCATCGTCTTGCCCGCCAGCTTTGCATTGGCCTCTATTCCCTGGCTGCGATCAGACTATGGACCAGTTTGCTGGCCGAGTCACAAGAATGCCGTCTTGTATGTGATGCACATTCCGACAATCACGATCGACGTGCTCAGCGTGCTGCTCGAGATGGTCATCTTCGGATTCGTTGCGACCAAGTTCGCGCGAGCGGTACAGCAAACTGGTGAACGTAGGGCTCGCCTGGTCGCCATCAAGCAGACTGCAAAACTGCTTTGGAGACCTCTCACATTTACCCTTTTCAGCTCTTTTGGTATGATTGCCTTTGTCGTTGGATTTGTACCATTCAAGGACATCTACGTTGATGCTGGGTATCTTGAAGAGTCGACCCTTGCTGGGAATGCTCCACCACGCATCTATGCCTACCGCGATTGCCTCTATGCGAACCGCTTTGACTACAATGCGTGCTCAATCTTCAGCGACTCTATCATCAGCTACTCCAAGGGCATGTCTCCGTTCATCTATGCATTTGTCCTGTCTTTTTGGTTCTTTGCAACTGCGGTGCGTCCTGAGATGCTTCGCGTTGCTTGTTCGAAGATGCCATGGACGCGCCACACAAGCCCGTTGACACCATTGACCGGTAGCTCGCCGCAATTTGTTGAAAAGAGTGCTCCAAGCATTTCTCTCAGCAAGATAACCACAAATACCACTCGTGAAGGAACATCGGTCGCGACATCGTCGCCTTCCATCGACAAGAGATTGTCCAGCGCATCCATTGACAAGGGCTGTGCGAGCTTCACCGTTCAAGAGGACACGCCAGCATCGCCGCTTCAAAGCCCGTCTAGCGATACCTCGACGAGAGTTGATGCTGCGACACCGATGCTTGAGGATATCGAGTCTGCCGGGGAAATACAAATTGCATCAGTCGTGCCAATCAACGAGTCTTGGCCTGAAGTCCCTGGAACAGCTGTTCAAGTGCCAGAAGCAAGTTCACCAAGAGCCAATATCGCTAGACATTCGTTCCGACCGCGTCGAGTGTCTGCTGTATTGGGGCTACAGCCACCGTTGTCTCCCGAAAGAACTGGTCCTTTGCCCCCAATTCCACAACGTTTAAGCGATGGATCAAGGCCTGTGCTGTCTTTGAATCCAAGAAAGGAGTCTACAGCTTTGCCATTGGTCGATCGAGAGCCTTCCAGCAACGATAAATGAAACGACGATCCTTCTACTGAGTGTTGTTTAGCTAGCATGTATGTATATTCTTTCGGTCTCACCTTTGGTGTTTCCAGGCGCAACCACTGACACGACATCTATTGCTGAACTTCAAAACGACCACAACGTCGACCACCACAGCAAATACGTTGACTGTCAGCTCTGAGCTTCTATGTGATGCGATCATGTCGCTCTACTCTTCTTTTCACAACCCGGACAGCCCTGCGAAAGGACAGCCTGCTCCCCGCAAAGAGAAAGCATCGCTCTATCATGACACGCCAGTAATGGCCGAATTGCCTGAACACCTTGCTAGGCGCTCTCCCTCTGTCGAAAAGCCTTCTTCATTACACAGCTACAATGCAGCACTTCAATTTTATCCGCCACGAAGGAAGACTGTGGACAAGCAAGCTAAAACAAGTCGGCCTTTGCATACCACAGCCGCCGTTCTACCATTTGTTGCGCCTACAAAGGCCTATGAAGCTTATACGAACTACGACTTGGAAGATGTCGCTGAAGAGTATCGTCAAAGCAAAAAGCAAAAGATTAAAAAGGTTGCGCCTGCGAAGACCAGTCTGATTGACTGGCGAGCAAGCTATGACCCACGCCGGCCGATTGAGTTGAGTGACTGGCTATTGAGTGATGAGCGACTTGAAGAGCTTGAAGAGTGGAAGAAGGTCAAACAGAGGCGGCTTGCAGCCTCGATTGTCAATGCTGACGACACAGAGGCATTGCCACCGCCGACTCCCGGTATTCAGCAAAAGAGGCGGTCTGTTTCTCCGCAACAAAGGCCTCCCACACAGCCTAGTCTTGCGCCTGGACAAAAGGGTTTTGCAGCACGCTATATGGCCGCTCAGGGTTGGCGTAAAGGAGACGGTCTAGGCACAGCAGGTCAAGGTCGTCTTGCTCCGCTCTTTGTAAGGCCGGGCAAAGATGGTATCGGTCAAGTAATCGACAAGGACCGCCAAACGCCTCGAGAACGGCCAAGTAGATCAATCTTGCTCATGGGACTCGTCAAAGCCGGGCAGGAAGTGGATGAGATGCTACAGCAAGATATTGGAGATGCCTGTACCGCGAGTTATGGCGCTGTGGAGCGTGTTCAGTTGGACTGGCGGACTGGCAGAGTCGTGATTACCTTTGTGGATATGCAAAATGCCGCCCAGTGTGTCTCTAGCATTGGATCTCGGCGATTTTGGGGCGAGACGGTGCATGCCAGCTTCATCACATAGACCGTGCCTACCCATGCTGGCACTGCCCCTGTCACCTTTCGCGTGGGAAATTTTGTTCGTGACCGCGACGCCCAATGGATGAAGCTTAGCCAAAGATAAGCTACATAACCCTCTATATACATACAGATGAGTGCAGAAGCACTAGCGAAGCTCTCCCTCAATGACTCGCAAATCAAGGATTGCCTCAAGAAACCAAAATTCGCAACGTCTTTGCTTGAAGTGCTTGCAGAGTCAGGTGCCGATGCGACAGACAAACCGACTGGTGCGCTCTTGATGACGCTGGCGTTGACGGCAGAGAAGAAGAAGCTCGAGCAGAGCAAGCGTGCCTATATTGCGCGAGCTATAGTAGATGGTCGTATCAAGACGGCGACTCAACTAGATGGTATGCTAACGTTTTGCCATCAAAACTTACTTGCTAACAAACAGCGGCTATTGCGTACTGTGTCAGTATCAAAGACAACCAGGTGGATGATGATTCATTCGACCAGGCTAGTGGTGTTGGCGTCACTGTCTCAAAGGAGCAAGTACGCGCTGTAGTAGACGACTACTTGACGCTCAACAAGGCCACACTCGAGGAAGAGCGCTACAAGTTCCTCCCAAAAGTAATGCAGACTGTTCGAGGAGATGAGCGACTTCGCTGGGCAAACCTCGCAGACCTCAAACCGGCGGTGGATGCAGCTGTGCTTGCCATGATTGGACCCAAGGACGAGCGTGATCAAGTTGTCAAGAAGAAAGCAGCACCCAAGGCAACCGAGACTGCAGCAGAGATGACAACGACAACAGATATCTTCAAAACAGGCTTCCTTGGCGCTTTGCATCCTGTTGGTGGCAACCCTCAACTCTCAGAGTCGCTCCGTGAAGCGCACCTACGAGCCTGTGGTGGCAAAGTACAGACGCGATTTCCTCCAGAACCTAATGGTTATCTCCATATTGGACACAGTAAGGCCATCACTGTCAATTTTGGCTATGCGCGTGCACACGGCGGTGTCTGCTACCTGAGATTCGATGATACGAATCCCGAGAAGGAAGAGGAAAAGTACTTTTTGGCGATTGAGGAGATGGTTGCTTGGCTCGGCTTCAAGCCATTCAAAGTGACTTACTCGAGCGACTACTTTGATGAGCTGTATACCTTTGCTGAGCAACTGATCCAGAATGGCAAGGCATACACTTGTTCATGCACAGATGAGGAAATCAAGCGAAATCGCGGCGGAGAGGAACGTGGCCCTCGACTTGCATGCAAGCACCGTGATCAAAACCAAGCACTCTCACTTGAACAATTCAGAGGGATGCGTGATGGTGCTTACCCACCACGCTCCATGACGATGCGCATGAAGCAGGATTTGGAAGATGGTAACCCACAAATGTGGGATCTGATTGCGTATCGCGTCTTGAGCACCCCGCATCATCGAACAGGCGATCGTTGGAAGATTTATCCAACCTATGACTTTACCCACTGTTTGGTGGATTCATTGGAAAACATCACACATTCGCTATGTACGACGGAATTTGTGCAGAGTCGTGTGAGTTATGAGTGGCTCTGCGATGCACTGGCCGTATACAAGCCTGCTCAGCGTGAATATGGACGTCTCAACCTACAAGGTACCGTCATGTCCAAACGCAAGATCGAGAAACTCGTGAAGGACGGATATGTGCGAGACTGGGATGATCCAAGATTGTATACACTGGTGGCCCTTAAACGACGCGGTGTACCGCCTGGTGCTATTTTGGCCTTTGTTGCAGAGCTGGGTGTGACGACCAATATGACGAGTATCTTGACGGACAAATTTGAGGCGATTGTGCGAAACTACCTGGAGTTGTCTGTGCCGCGCCTCATGCTGGTGCTCGAACCACTCGAAGTGGTTTTGGAGAATGTTGCAGATGACTTTGAAGAGGTGTGCGAGGTGCCCTTCAATACAAAAGATGCAGCCATGGGAAGTCACCCGGTGATACTGACGAAACGATTCTTCATTGACAGGTCTGATTTCAGGGAAGGTTTGAGCAAAGAAGAGCAAGCTGCATTCTTTAGACTGACACCCGAGCAGCCTGTTGGCCTTGTGCGTGCTGGACATGCGATTCGCGTGCTGCACGTTCAACACGACACGAGTGGTCGGCCAACCTGCATCAAGGCACATTACCAAACAGAGCCGGAATATGCAGGCTTCAAACCACGCACGCATATCCAGTGGGTTCCGTCTCTGGGTGCCATTAAAGCAACAGTGCGCGTTCAGTCTGCTCTGTTCCACTCGGACGATCCAAGTAGCCATCCTGATGGGTTCTTGGCAGATGTCAACAAGGACAGCGAAGAAGAGTACAAGGATGCATTGGTGGAACCTGGCTTCAAACATGTTTGGCAACATCGGTCATGGCCAAAAGCGAATGCTGATGCTGTGGCTGCCGGTGAGGCCGGTGCTGTGGCTGCTCAAGCGGAAGCGGATTCTGCTGTGCCTGGTGCAGAGACGTGTCGATTCCAGGGTCTGCGCGTGGGCTACTTTGCGGTGGATAACAAGGATGCGAAAGTGGATGGCGAGGGTGAGGGCATATTGGTGCTCAACAGGATCGTCTCGCTCAAGGAGGACACGAGCAGAAAGGCGGTCAACAAGCAAAAGTAAGGTAGATGCAATGCAATGAAGTGAAAGAGCAAGACATATAAGCAGTTCTACTTGTCCTTCTTGGAAGCTGGCTTTCCCTTCTTGGTGCCACGGACCTTCTTCTCCCTGTTCTTGCGCTGCTTCCTTTGCTGCCTTGAAGCCTTGTCGACCTTGGTGGCGAGACCCACACGGACCTGCCTGTAGTGTGGCTCAAACTTCTTAAGAGCATCGACGGAGTCGTAGATGAGGGCAAAGCCAGTCGACTTGCCGCCACCGAACTGTGTGCGGAAACCAAATGTGCTGACGGCTTGCTTGTCGACATTGTACATCTGAGCGAGCTTCTCGGCAACCTCGGCCTTGCTGGCGTTGGCCTTTGCTGGGTGTAGGACATCGACAATCATTTGCTTACGCTGCAAAAGACGGTTGGTGAGGAACCTGCGGGTGCGGAGGGTGATGGCGTCTGACTATAAAAGAGAGAGTATTAGAATCGGGGGGAACTTCAGCACTTCCATTTGAGCCAGGGCAGACTGTGTATCCAGGTGACAAGGGCGTCTCATGCTGCAGCTGTGCGGATAAGTGTGAAGACGGAGGGATTTGAGACCCAGTCCATCGCCTGCTTAGGTTGCGCTGTGTGCATGGGATGCCTTTGTCATGGATGCCTGCCCTGGTAGCTGATTGCGTACCATGATGAGAGTATATGAGCTGTCTGTGTTCTGTTCTGCTTCCCTCCAGTCTTTCCTTCTTGTCCTCTGACTCTGCCCACAAATTTGATTTTTATTTATTTCTTTGTGACTCGATTTGTGGCTCAGATGGACGCTACCATCATGCCATCACAGTACTAGCATACTCAAGTACTACGCCTTGATCCGACGATACTTCCTGTCCGTGAATCCAGCCTCAGGGTATCCAGCCATCACCTCAGCCAGCTCAGCATCCCACTCCTGCCGCCAAAAGTGCACACCCACAGCATGCAAGCCATTCTGCTGTGCATAGTGCTGCGGGTGGAAGCCAACCCTGCTAATCGCACCAGGCACCTGACTCGCAAGCGGAGCATTCGGTTGCGGTGGTGTGTCCGGTAGTTCCCAAACAAGCACACATAGACGATGGTACGGTGTGCCCTTTTCCGGGTGTGGCGGCACCCAATCTTGTAGCACAACACCATCCTCTGGTCCAACTGTCTGCTTCGTAGGACCTACAGTAATCCCAGTTTGTAGATAATGCAATCGCGTCGTGAAGCTGTCATTCGCAACATCCGGTACATCGGCATCGACAATAGCCATAGCGAGTTTGCGTTCGTGTGCTTTGAAGGACTGAATCAAGATACTCGGTCGTCCACTCGCTTGCCGTGACCCAACAAACGCTCCAGGCTCAGGCCGGATTTCTCTACCCGTCACACGATCCGTCATGAGGATGTCCACCTGCACACCCGGGGAGATGAGGGGTATCAAGTCTGGCGTGACGTGCATCTGCTCAACACGCTGCATCAACATGGCAAGTGGTTTCCCGCGCCACGCTTCTTCTGCTAGGAAGCGATACACTGGCCGACTCAGGTCATAATCACCATGCCGCGCACGCCACCGTACTTCTGGATCATCCAAATCCAATTGTACAGTCAATGTATCGACTTGCTGCTGCAGGGCGAGTTGTCGCGCACCCTGACCAGTTGCTTCCGATGCAGCGAGTCGTTTTAGCTTCGATTTCGTTGCAGCGAGCTTGCGTTGTGTTTGTGCGCGTTCCTCTGCAATCAGCTCGAGCGCAGCATCATACGCAGGCACAACACCGAGTGGCGGCGGTCTGTACTGCAACCTAGGGAAGCTCTTATTTTGTAGCGCGTCTGCATCTTGATTTGAGGCAGATTTTTTACTGTGCGTGGATGGGTTGAGGCCTGGTGCTTGGGTCGTCAAGATGTCTGGGTCATCGGGGATCCTGGAAGTCTCTTGCTGGAGACCCGCCGTATCTGATGCCATGGCCCGTCTTTGATTGAGTGGATGCGCGCTGCTGCCTTTGAGTGTGTGCTGCCGGAGGTGTCCATGCAGTCGACAGAGCACCTGCCTGCTACGAGGATGCATGCTGCTGCCCTTCCCTTGCCTCTAAGCAACAGTACCAGGAGTAGACTGTCTGTTGAGTAGCAGCCTGCTTGGTGTCTCTTTTTCTTTCTGCTGACACTCAACCACCACCAGCACCACCACCAACACTACATCAAGAGGCTACAGCTGCAACCATGGTCGGCGCACCCTCTCTCGCTTCATACATCCTCAAGTCAAAGTCCCTCACCCAGACCCTCATGCCTCTTGCAAAGACGTACGCTCGTCTCGCGGGATACCGCAAGATGGGACTCAAGTAAGCCGCTCCCCGCCATCACCATTGCTTGGCCTCTCGGTTGCAATAGACTAACACCTGCACAGGTACGACGACTTGCTGCCCGAGGAAAACGACACGATGCAGAAAGCCATTAAGCGTCTACCGGAGCGTGAATCGTATGATCGCGCTTTCCGCCTACGACAAGCTCTGCAACTCTCGGCAAAGCACCACCTCTTGCCTGAGCAGGATTGGGTGAAACCTGGTGAGGATACACGCTACATGACACCTTTGGCGGAGGAAGTTGCCAAGGAGGCGAGTGAGCGTGAAGAGTTTGATACCCTCAAGGTGCAGAAGTAGTGGCTCCATTAACACAGTGATACTCCAGCCCGCGTACAGAACAAATCTTTCTTTTTATCCTTTGATGTGTATCCTATTGCTAGTCCTTGGCCTTCTTGCCCTTCTTCTTCTTGCCGCCCGCTGATGGCTCCTTGACCTCCTCGCCCGTCTCTGTCAAATCAACCAAATCACCACCTTGGTTGCTTGTGCTCGTCTCTGCCTCAGCAAGACCCTCGGGCTCCATCAACCTCTCGGCGATCTTGCCCCGGCCATCCTTCACGAGCCGTTGCCGCCAATCTTCCATTGTACTGGAAACGGATGCAGGTGCATACGCTCGAGCCAGTAAACAGGCTTCCGCCTCTCTTCCAGCTTGCTTCAATGTCGACACGCATCCAGCTGCATCGCCCGTTGACCATTGAGCAGCAAAGGCAATATTGAATAACCCCGCTTTCCTTGCATCTTCCGCCAATGCCTCTAACCCCTCCACATGACCCGTTGCACTGTGCAACAACAAGAGCGAGGGCAAATCACGCGCTTTTGTAAAACAACGCTCTGCCAAGGCGAAATCCCAATGCGACAATGCAGCATCACCCACTACTTTCCATTTCGCTTCAGAACCACTCTGCTCTGCAATGGCAGAAGCAGTCTCGAGTTGTCCAAGCGATAGGGCCAATTCAAAGCGTTGTTCAGGATCCGTTGTGACACTGAGTGCTAGATCCTTCAACCCTCTACTCTCCAAGAATCGTGCAATCCGTGGTTTCTCCTCCTCTGGCATCGTCGCTAGCATCTCTGCCGCTTCCGCTTCTTCGCCACGCGTAATGAGGGTTTGGTATTGAATGAGCTCGAGACTCAACTTGTAGCCAACGACATGCATATCCTTGTCGGCAAGGTACACACGTCCATCGCGGGGGATGTACCCTAAAAAGTAGTATCCACCATCAAAGTGACTGACGGTGTGTGTTTGATCGCCAATGAGGTATTGCAAACGATTCGCACTATCCGCATAGATGAAGCAGTCGCCTGCCCATCGACCATTCACAACGCGTTCATTGATGGTGGCAATGACTTCAAAGGCGTCTTCCACACCGGCATCATCCTCCGAGGCTGTTCCTGCAGCTACTGCTTCGTCATAGGCAGCACGATCAAAGCGAAGCACGTAGAATGCATCATCGACGCACAGTGCAAACAAGTCACCCTCCTCTGACCAGAAAATGTCTTGACAACCAGCAACGTCAATGCGACGCACCAATTGACCCGATGTCCAATCAAACAAGCTGACCGACTCACCGGCACTCACACCCAATAGCTGACCGCCAAACAGGGACTCGCACGCGAATCCGAGATCCAATAATCCCACACGTTCGCGGAATTGCTTAAAGACCTTGACACCGCCGTTTGCCTCACGAATTGCGTATTCATTGGAATCCACAGACCACACGAATTGCGTTGCAGCGCCAAAGGCCTTGTTGCGCCAAGCAAGGGCCGTGTAGAGGATATACTCACCATCGCCGCACACCACCACAAAGCGTCCATTGGGTGAATGCTGCAGCATTGCAGGATACACTTCACAAGCGCCGAGATCCTTAACTGTCAATGACAAGCGTTCGCCATCCTTGAGCGCCTCATCCTCTGCCTTGACAATGGCAGTCTGGATTTCAGTACCGCGCGACCAGATGAGTTTTCCAGCGGCATCCATAGAGACTGCTGGTTCCTCACGACCCATCTTGAGAACAACACAGCCTTCATCGAATCCCATGCAGATGTCATTACGACCCTTCAAGACACCCACACACCAAGCGCGTTCGAGACCATACGACAAGGTTTGTTCAAGACGGTAGGTGCCGCTGTGCCAGATTTTAATGGTTCCATCTTCTGAGCCAGACACAATGACTGGGATTTCAGGGTGGAAGACGGCAAAGGAGACATTCGAGGTGTGTCCCTCTAGAATCTGGACGCAGGCTTTTGTTTGATAGTCCCAGATTTTGATTTGCTTGTCGTCACCTGTTGTGATCATGTAGGGTTTATCATTTTGTGGGTAGTAGTCGACGTAGTTGACACCACGATCATGTGCATCAAGCGTGAAGTTGGCGCGAGGAGAACCAATCGACCAGGTCTTGACCGTCTTGTCCAGGCAGGAAGAAGCAAATGTATTGGTGTCCTTTGGGTTGAAGGCCAACGACATGACATAGTGCGCGTGTCCCTCAAACGTCTGCTGCAATTTCCAGCTCTGATCAAAGTTCCAGCATCGAATTGTCATGTCATCCGAACCAGACAAGACAAGTGGTAAGGTTGGATGCACGGCCAAACAACGAATGTAATCTGGGTGTGCCTCGAATTGAATCACCTTTTCACCAGTGTTGAAGTTGAAGCAGCGCAGCATGAAATCATCACTACCACACACGAACCAGTTCTTGCGGGCAATGAAGCGGCATGCGCGAATGGGGACGTCGGTAATTTCAAATGTCTTGATGATGGCGGAGGTCTGGTAGTTGTAGAGCAGGACCTGGCCATTGTACATGGATGTCAAGATCCATGGCTCTGTTGGATGAAAATCAATCTGGGATTAGTATTCTGGTTAGGAAGTTGAATGGCGTACAGCCTTGACTCGATCGCTGCGAGCCAGGTGAATGCGCTGTTCGTTAGCTGGTTGCGTTGTGCAATGTGCTGAAGAGGTACCTTGACATCGAGTTTCATGCCCATGCTGACTGGCTATACACACGGGGTGCAGATGGGGCTGGCCTGGTCTGTGTCGCCTGCCTTGGACACGTCGCCGTTGTTTGCTGGGTGTCGCTGGTGAGTGAGTCGCTGTCGCTCGCTGTACTTCTGGCGCGCGAAATTTAGCCGAGTGGAGTTCAGGGACTTCTACTGCTGCTACTACTCCTATTACTATTACCGCTACTACTACTGCTCTACTGCTACTACTACTGCTACTACTACTGCTACTACTACTGCTCTACTGCTACTGCTACTGCTACTGCTACTACGACTGCTACTGATGCTTCTACCTTGCTCATCATGATACTCGCTAGACATGCTATTAGTCTGCAACGCCGTGCAATACGCACCTACGCAGGCAGATCATACAAATCCTCCATCAAGGATCTCAACAGCCTACAGAGCAATGCTCAGACCATCCAGGCACTGCGTGCATCAGGCAAGATGAATGTCGATGCCATTCCAGAAATGCGCAGCTGGCTTGCCAAGGCAGGCATTCAGCAAGCAGACCTCGATGAACTCAATGTCATCCATGTTGCTGGTACAAAAGGCAAAGGATCCACGTGTGCCATGACGGCGAGTATCTTGTCAAAATACAGACTTGCTTACGGCCGATCACCGCGTATTGGACTCTACACAAGCCCTCATCTCGTCTCTGTGCGAGAACGCATACAAATTGACGGCGAACCACTCCCAGAGGAGGAATGGACAGACTACTTTTATCAAGTCTGGGACGCACTAGCTAAACATGGCGACGCGAGACCCGTCTACTTTCGTTTCTTGACTCTGCTTGCCTTTCGCTGTTTCATTGAAGAAGGCGTCGATGTGGTTGTACTGGAATGCGGCGTCGGCGGAGAACACGACTCTACCAATGTCATTACGAAGCCAGTCGTTGCTGGGATTACGAGTCTCGATATCGATCATGTCCATGTCCTCGGCCATTCATTACCGGAGATTGCCTGGCACAAAGCAGGTATCTTCAAAGAAGGCGCACCTGCCATGACCGTCGAGCAGCCCACTGAGGCAATGGAGGTGCTTGAGAAGCGTGCAGCCGAGCGACAAGTGACTAGTTTCAATGTTGTTCCGATACACCCGGCACTCGATACTGTTTCGCTCGGCGTCGGTGGCAATGTCCAACGCATCAATGCGTCCTTGGCAATTGCACTCGCAAATGCATACCTCACAACACAAGGCGTGGACGAAAACCTTGGCAGGACTTTGCCGAAAGAATTCATTGACGGTCTCGAACAGGTACGCTGGCCGGGACGGTGCGAGCGCAAAGTAGTGGATTCAGTGGAGTATTGTCTTGATGGCGGCCACACGACAGCATCATTGCAAGTGGCTGGCTCTTGGTTTGCATCATTGCCACAAGCAGATGGTAGTCTAGCGCTCATCTTCAATCAACAGTCGCGCGAAGCGGATTTGTTGCTCAAAGACCTGCATGCAAGTCTGGCAGGATTGTCCTTTGCAAGCGTCGTCTTTTGCACAAACAAGACATTTGCGCAGGCAGGATATGCAGATGAGTTGACGAGTCTCAACAACGCTACGGACTCGGTGGAGGCACTTGAGGTTCAGCACAACCTTGCCAAGACGTGGGAGAGGTTGACTGGGCAAAAGGCAGAGGTGTTGCCGTCCATTGAGGAGGCTCTTGCACATGTCAAGAAGCAGGGAAGCAAGCGTGTGCTTGTGACTGGCAGTCTGCATCTTGTTGGCGGTGCTCTGGCTGTTCTTGGCCGCGGTCCTGAGTAGATACAAGTCTAGTCCATGAGTCTGTCTATGTATGTCAACTTGTGAAGTGCCACGCCATCTGATCTCTCACGTGCCGGCCAGCGAGCGACGTGTACACAAGCAACCACACCGACACCACAGACTCCATTGCAGCCATGGCCGTTGCCCAGCAGCCTCTCCTGGGCCCGCAGTTCTTCGAAGAGGCAGAAGAGCAAGACGGCATACGCTTCTCCTGGAATGCCTTCCCCAGTACACGTGTAGAGGCTTCACGCACCGTCGTCCCTATTGGTGCCATCTACACGCCGCTCTTCAACAAAGCAGAGCCTACAGCTCTCGAGTATGAGCCTGTTGCATGCAAATCACCCTGCCGGGCAGTGCTCAACCCATTTTGTCAGGTGGATATGCGCGGCAAGCTCTGGATCTGTCCATTTTGTCTGACGCGCAACAACCTTCCGCCTGGATACCAGCAAATCACGCCGCAATCGTTGCCGCCAGAGTTGATGCCAGCATTCAGTACGGTGGAGTATACCCTTGCACGACCGGCTCAAGTGCCACCCATTTTCTTGTTTGTTGTGGATTTGTGCCAGGAAGAGGACAACCTGCTTGCCCTGCGCGATGCCGTCCAGACATCCCTCTCTCTTATCCCAGAGACATCGCTTGTTGGTCTCATCACCTATGGTACCATGACGCAAATCCACGAAATTGGCTATGCCGAATGCAGCAAATCGTACGTGTTTCGCGGCAACAAGGAGTACAGCGCCAAGCAAGTCTCGGAGATGCTCTCGCTCGGTGGTCGTGCACCCACCTCCACGGCTCAGCCTCAAGGTGCGCGTCAAGGACCTCCACCAGCGTCCATGTCTGCTGCAGCACGATTCTTGTTGCCAGTCTCGCAGTGTGAGTTGCAATTCAGCAATATCCTCGATCAGCTACAGCGTGACCCATGGCCCGTTGCCAATGATAAGCGTCCACAGCGATGCACAGGTGTAGCCTTGTCGGTGGCTGTGGGCATTATGGAGAATAGTTTTGCACAGGCAGGTGGACGCATCATGCTCTTTGCCGCTGGTCCAGCAACAGAAGGTCCCGGTATGGTCATTTCTACAGAACTCAAGGAACCCATTCGCTCGCACCATGACATTGACCGTGACAACATCAAGTACTATAAGCGGGCATCCAAATTCTACGAGGCGCTCGCCAAACGAGCAGCCACGAACGGGCACATCATTGACATCTTTGCAGGGTGTTTGGATCAAATCGGTATGCTCGAGATGAAGTCCCTTGCGAATGCGACAGGCGGCCACATGATTCTGTCAGATGCATTCAACTCGACCATCTTCAAGCAGTCTTTCCAACGGGTCTTTAACCAAAACGAGGATGGCTCTTTGGAGATGGCCTTCAATGCTTCTCTTGAAGTCATGACAACCAAGGAACTCAAAATATCCGGCCTGGTGGGTCATGCCATTTCCAACAACAAAAAGTCCAGCTTTGTTGGCGAGACTGAAATTGGTATTGGTGGAACGAGCAGCTGGAAGTTGTGTGGCCTCACGCCAAAGACTGCTGTTGGCTGTTACTTTGAAGTGGTGGCTGCACCAGGACAAGCTGGTCAAGGACAGGCGCTTGTGCAATTTGTCACGCAATATCAACACTCCTCTGGCCTCATGAAGTTGCGCGTCACAACTGTGCAACGACCCTTGGTTGATGGCAGCTCGCCCATGATTGCGCAAGGATTTGATCAAGAAGCTTCAGCTGTCATCATGGCTCGCATTGCAGTCTACAAAGCAGAAGTAGACGACGGACCAGACGTTCTTCGATGGACAGACAGGATGCTTATTCGGTTGTGTCAAAAGTTTGCCGACTACCGCAAGGACGACCCAAACTCTTTCAGGCTTGCACAAAACTTTAGCCTCTACCCACAATTCATGTTCCATTTGCGTCGGTCGCAATTCTTACAAGTCTTCAACAACTCGCCAGATGAGACGGCCTTCTACCGGCATGTCCTCAACCACGAAGATGTCAACAATTCGTTGATTATGATTCAGCCGACGCTGTCCTCGTTTGCTATTGACGAAGCGGAAGCACAGCCAGTACTACTTGACTCTGTGAGCATCAAGCCCGATGTCATCTTGTTGCTCGACACCTTCTTCCACGTTCTCATCTGGCACGGCGAGCAAATTGCTGCTTGGCGGAAAGCTGGGTACCACAAGCAAGAGGACTATGCCAATTTCGCCGAGCTCCTCAATGCGCCCAGTCACGAGATTAGCGAGCTCTTGAGCGACCGTTTCCCGATTCCGCGCTACATTGTCTGTGATCAAGGTGGCAGTCAAGCGCGGTTCCTCCTAAGTCGAATCAACCCTTCCACCACGCATTCAGGCGGCGGCTATGGTGGTGCGCCGAATGCACAGGCTGTGTTTACGGATGATGTGTCGTTGCAGACGTTCATGGAGCATCTCAAGAAACTTGCCGTGTCTCAGTCCTCGTAGTTGCATAGACTAGCTCTCTGTCGCCAAGTCTTCTGTTCCTGAATATTTCCTCGTCGGCGCAAAACTGACGCAACCCAACGACTACGTCCATAAATCGCGGAGACATCGCACAAGTGTCAGCCCGTCTGCGCTTTGAGAGGGCAAGCATGCGTGGGCCGCAGCGCATCGTCGTCAAGTGGACATCCTTTGCTTGCGCATTGCTCAACTGCCTTGTCGCCGGCTCCGTGGTGACGTTTGCCCTCTATGCGCCACAGCTACAGCGGCATTTGCATTATACGTCCATCCAAGTCAATACGGTTGGCATCGCTTGTCAGCTCGGTCTCTACCTCACAGTCCCGTATGTCGCCCCTCTTTGGTTAACATGCTCACTCTAGTGTCCTTGGCATATTGTGCGACAGCAAAGGACCCCGTATCGTCTCTGCCTATGCCGCAGCACTCGCGCTACCAGCCTATCTCATTGCAGGCAAAGCCTATAAACATGCATGGCCGCCTGCTGTGCTCGTTACTTGCTTTGCAATCCTTGGGTCAGCGACCGTGGCGTTATACCTCAGTGGTATCAGCACTGTAGCCAAAAACCACCCGCGATCGCGCGGGCTGGCCATGGCGGTCGTGACTGCAAGCTTTGGTCTGAGTGGACTATGGGAGACACAGGTGGTGGATCATTTCTTCAGAGACAAGCATGGCGAAATCAATATCGAGGGGACGTTTCTCATGTTTGGGCTCTTGCTAAGCATCACGGCTGTCATCTCCAGCTTTGGATTGCGTATCGTTGCGCAAGAAACTTTTGAAGAAGAGGATATGAGTGATGCTTCCAGCGTTGATGAAGCCACCGCCTTGCTCGCTCAAAGCGGCGTCCTTGAGCCGTCAGAAAAGCTGTCGCTCAAGGACAAGATTCGCATATTTCTCAAAGACCACAGCTCCTGGTGGTTTTTTCTCGCCTTTGTCCTGTTGGCTGGTCCAGGGGAAGTCTACACCAATAATCTTGGCATTCTCTATACGGCCCTAAAGGACCAGGAAACACAATCAGTCTCGGCATCAGTTCAAGTTTCCCTCTTTGCACTTTCATCCACTTTCGGCAGGCTCTTCTTTGGTGCTCTGTGCGATATTCCGTCGCAGTCGCCCATTACCCTGCGCATGACCATCCTCATCGTTGCTGCAATGGTTCTTTCCCTCGGCTTCAGCATTCTCGCATGGACAGACATCACAACCGATACCTTCTGGCTCGCAAGTGTTGCAACGGGGCTTGGCTATGGCGGTCTTTTTTGCATCTGGCCAGCCGTCTCCTCCCTCATCTGGGGGCTTGAAAACTTTGCCACGTATTGGGGTTGTCTTGCAACAGCGCCCGCGGTCGGATCTGTCCTGTTTGGGCTGCTCTATGCATCCATTTATGATAAGGCTGCACAAGAACAACACAATTCATCTGGTCTATGTACAGGGCATGTCTGCTTCTCGCGCAGTACTGGCTATTTTGCCATATCCAACCTGCTAGGCGTCTGCATTCTCATATTTGCTCTGCGTGTTTGGCGACGGCGATTCCCTGCTGCATAGCTCTTTCGTCTATTGAAATTATAAGTGATTGGGCTTTATATGATTAGGCCTTCAAAGTACACAGCTAGAATCCCATCCAGGCCGTTCACGCTGATGTGTGGTGGTGGTCGTCGTGCTGGCGGAGACCCCAGACAACGCAAATACAAGCAAAGCCCTCCACAACCGACATCAGCTCCCGCTCCTTGTCCTCGGCTGGATCTGCTTGCATCAAGCTTCGAATCATCTTCATCTACGGGAAGGTATCAGGGCTGAACACTCAGCTCTAAAGCGCGACAAGCATCCCTGACTCGTTGTATAAGACGACTATAACATCATGCCGCCCAAGAAGCGCGCGCCGCGAAAGCCGTACTGCGACCAGTGCAAGGAGCGCCGAGTCATCTGCGATATGGAGAAGCCAGCCTGCTCGCGCTGCGTCAGGCGAGGTCGCGAATGTATGTCTATACAGAAAGAAAAGAGCATCCCTAACACACAGGCTACTATGCGCCGTTTCCTGGTCCGCCAGTAAAGAAGAGCCCAGCTGGAGATGAGAAGCTGTCTGGATCTACGAGTGCACTGACACGTCTGCAACCGCAACAAAGACATCAAACTCCCATTGATCTACTTGGACCAGAGTTGCTCGGTGCAGAAGGACTACAGCCTATAACTGGCAAGCGCAAAGTACCTTCCGAGTTCACTGAGCCTGATCCACAGCGAGAAGCAGATCACCTTTATCCTAGCGAGCCTGCCGTCAAGGAAGACTCCATCGCTGCATCAACGCCCGCCGTGCCGGACGAATTGCTGACACTCCTCTTTGGGAGTAGCGACGTCAGTAAGGCCTTCTTCGCAGACAATGCTCGATTTCATGCTCCAGGATGGGGACCACCTCCGCCCATCAAGCCATTGCAAGTCAACGTCGCGCCTGAGGATATTTATGCGAATGCCTGGGTGCATCGACTCATGACTGCAGGTAGGGTTTTAAGTCGGCCCGAGGGATGGATTGCCCATCTACCTCGCTTTCGAAAGACTGAACTTATCATCTCTGGAGTTTGGGCGTGTGGTGCACTCGAAATGGGCCACGACTTGCAAGCAGCCAAGTACTATCGTCGCTGTCTAGAATTACTGGCGCCACGCATTAGAGCTACGGGTGAAGTCATCAATTTTGAGGAGTCTGTTGAGACGTGTGCTTGCATCTTGCTGCTCCTTGCATACGAGATTTGCAACTCGAGTCTGACGCTGCACAACTTTAATCTACACCTCGATGGACTCGGGCAGATCTTGAAGAGCCATGTGGCGTATGTGGTCAAGCACGGCAAGTTGACGCGGTACCGGATGATGTCGCCAAAACCAGACTTTCCAGGACTTGTCTATCAGAGTTTTCGCGAGATTGAGAGTGTGGCCAATGTAAGTCACCCAAGCAAGGACTCTTCTAACAACAGTTGATGCAAGGACTACGGCCGCGACTTTCATTGAAGGAATACGAGATGCTCATCAACATTGAAGATTGCGAGTGAGTTTGCACATCTTCCTCTTTATCCGCTGACATTAGATATATCACCGATTTCGAGATTGTCAAGCAATGGAACATCATGCACAAGGCCGCCACGGCAATGCATCTACCTCTCGCACAACGTCTGGGAGCGCTTGACGAGATTATGACTGCCTTCAGCCGCTACAGCTGGTCTGGACCTGGTCGCAAAGAAGTGGCCTCTTCAGACTTGTCCAAGTGGGCAGCGGTACCTGGCTTGCACAACCCCTTCACGACCAACCTCTGCTATACTGGACAAGATTTCCAAGACACCCTGCGACGCACATCGATTGCGCTTGTAGCTCGCTCAGCAGCCTTGCGCATCGAGTCATCCACAATTGAACGAGGTAACTTTGGAACAACCGAAGAACGCGAGCAGCGACTGACGCGTGCTGATGAACTGGTACAAATCGCTCATTTTTGCCTCAGTGAAGCAGCCATCCCACCCTTCTCTTGGCTGTTGCTTGGCTTATTTTGTTCATGCGAAATGTACAACCTTATGTGTGAGTCTGGAGATCCACGAGTGACGTGGACAAAGTCGTTGCTTGCCACCGTCACCACACGTATGGGCTTCACACCATCGAAAATCAATGAGTATATTCGCAGCGTCAAGTCCATGGAAGGTTTCGATCTCGCGCCGATGATTGAGCCTCGCGCCATCAGGCCAACACATCAATTACCGCAGCTGCCGGCCAATATCCTTCCCGGTCAAAGGACTTCACAGGATCTCAGTGGCATGTCAGACACACTGAGTCTACGCCGACCATCTTTTGCAGGCTCAACCACATCGTCACTTGCAGGAGGCCCATTGTCTGTAGACATGGCTGGCAGTAGTGTTCTTGGTGTTCCATTACCAACAGTCGCTGTGTCACCTTTGCCAAGCAGAATTCGACGCGACTCGTCCACTTCCAACAAGTCGTTTCGTTCAGAAACCCATCCACCGAGTGTCTCAGGCGACGCTGACTTGGTGCCACAGCCAGTGATGCTACCTGGTCTATCAGAAATTGATCCTGCCTTGGATGATGCCAATTTTGCGAAACCATTTCATCACACCCATAGTGCGAGTCAGGCACAAAGTAATGCATATCAGCCGCATCCAGCACCTGCATCACAAGCTGGCAAGACTAGTGGGAAGCATGCTGAACCTGTGCCGGGCGCGCAGGATTCCGCGATGGCTTCTCCAAGCCCGACCTTGAAGCAGGAGTCAATACCTGATTGGATGCAGGTTGTAAGGAACCAAGGCAGGGCGTAAATCTTTAGGGCTATTTAGGCTTGCAATGTCGAATCGACAGTACGTACTAAACATATTGCATGAAGCATTCTAGGAGCTGCCAAAGAGTGTGCTGACCCGCATGATCTGTAACCACACAACAATCAAGCCGACCCCTGAACTTTTCGACAGCCATTTGGAATCGTTTCAAAGACATGATGGTCTCATACCACCGGCCAGCGATTCTCACATGCCGGGCGCCTTGCAAACAGGCCAAGAGGAGATTCGCCGTAAAGTCAAGGACTGCCTGACAACCTTCAAATGCTGGCTCATCAGTGTCAACCATGATGATGTCGCCTATATGCCAATCTCAGAAGAAGGAACCGCAAAATCTGGCCAGCAGGATGGCGCATCGACCAAATCAGCCAATGGGTATGTCGGGATCGCTTCTGATGATGAAGAGGAGTAGACGGTGCAAGGGCAATGAGCGGGCGTTTCAATACCGAGTGACGCGTATATCGAGGGACTCGTCAGACAATGAAGTATACCAGGTGCATGGCAATTGCAGCCAGCAGGAAGCATGAGACGGTAAGATTGACTTCAGCTCTCATTGCGGCTTCCAGGCTTGATTCGTCCTTGAAATCCTTGACCTTGCGGTCCATGTGCTTGACGTTGTGGATGTGTCACGCCAGCTTGTGGTCTTGGCGATTGTGTCCGTCTCTTTGATTCTACCTTGCCGGTCTTGTGATCGGCAGAGCTGCCAAATAGACGTTCTCGTGCTTCTTTATAACGCTGCTCCCTTGACGTTCCTTGATCTGCCATGAGTGAAGCATTTTGGGCAGCCGCTTGAGCACGACGAGCAATATCTTGCTCATCAGAAGAAGGTCCTTGGCGCTTCAGGATCTTGAGTTGAGGCTTGTAGGCTACGGATGCCTCTACAGTATGGAAAGGTACAGAAGCTTGAGCAGAGACGTGGTTGGCTTTTTGCCAGAGTTCAGCATCTGTAGCAGCCTTTTTGCTTGAAGCAGCAGAAGCAGACCAGTCGTCGTTCTGCCACTCAGACCAAGGATCACTCATCACTTCTTGGTTGTTGTGGTGTTGAGTCCTGTCGGCTGATGCCGCATTTCTGTCGCCAAGAAACGAACTGTACACGCGACCCATCTCTTGAAGTGGTCGGCATTTGCTCAGCTGAGCATCCGCTAAGATGGTTGCGTCTACGGCTGTATCTGAGCATACGCCGCTCAACTCTAGCTACCGATCACGGCCACCCTTGCCCGACACCCTTAGAGAAGTACCACGAAGCTCATGGATTCTGCTCAGCGGCTTGTACATTGGCGTCTTCCTATCGGCCCTCGACTCTACCATGGTCGCAACCCTAGCGACAGAGATTTCATCAGGCTTTGGCAGACAAAATGAGAGTTCATGGCTCGGCACGTCATATCTCCTGACTGTAGCTGCTTCACAAGGTCTCTATGGCAGATTCAGCGATATTGTTGGTCGCAAAGCAGCAGCGCTCTTCAGCATCAGCTGTTTCGCGCTTGGCACACTCGGCTGTGCAATAAGTAGTTCAATGAACATGATTATCATCGCTCGTGCCGTTGCTGGCATTGGCGGAGCTGGACTGACGACCATTTCGAGCATCATTGCCTCAGATCTTGTCAGTTTGAGACAAAGAGGAACGCTACAAGGCATTGCCAACATCAATTTTGGGCTGGGGGCCAGTCTTGGTGGACCTATCGGCGGCTTTCTATCGGCGAAGTACGGCTTCCGGTTTGCCTTTCTGATTCAACTACCCCTGTGCCTCATGTCCTTCGTCATTGTGATTCTTTACTGTCATATTGAGCTGCCAGCTGGCGAGACGACACCCATGGAGAAGCTCAAGCAGATTGATTTTCTGGGTGCATTGACATTGGTCACTGCAACAACGCTACTTGTCGGGGCTGCTTCAGTTGGTGGTAATATTCTGCCGTGGTCCTCCCCGTACGTTTTGGCTGCTCTCGTCTCTGCCATCATTGTCCTGGGAATGTTCATCTATATTGAGATGTATGTGGCGAAATCTCCCGTCCTGCCGCCCAGTATCGTCTTTCGTCGTACACCAGGCTTCGCAGCACTCACAAACTTTTTCGGCGCTGCTGCCTCCTTTGCATTTCTGTACACAGCACCCATTTACTTTCAGGTCGTCCTTCAAGCTAGTGCGCAAACAACTGGTCTTCACTTTCTGCCAAATGCCTTGGGCATCCCGTTTGGGAGTTTGCTTGCTGGCGCACTCCTGGCTCGCAATGGTCGCTACTACTGGCTGACATTGATGTTCCTCATCTGTGCTCCACTTTCTGCATTATCGCTTGCCTCTTGGGGCCGTCATCCACCAGAGTGGCGGACGTGGTTCGACATCTTCTTCAATGGCTTTGGCATGGCGGGAGCAACGACAACAACCTTGCTTGCAATGCTCAGTAATGTGGGATCGCAAGAACTCGCTGTGGCTACGGGACTTTCGTATTTGGCTCGCTCGAATGGACAGGTGCTTGGGGTTGCCGTCTCGGCTGCGATCCTGCAGGGCTTGCTGCAGACGCAGCTCGAGAGACGGATACCGAACCACAAGCTTGTGGAAAAGATTCGACGAGATGCGAGCGTAGTCAAGCATCTCAAGCCAAAATTTCGCGAACAGGCAATCGAAAGCTACAAGGTTGCTGGACAATGGACATTCGTTAGTATTGCTGCTATGGGACTGCTTGGTGTATTGAGTGCAACAATGATACATGAGAGACCAGTGGAAAAGGGTATGGTCATTGATGATGAGCCAATAGAAGATAGGGAAGGATAGATCCAATCACGTCATAATGTCGCCGTCAGTCCAACGTCGCTCACCTACACCTTGAGTATTCTGGTGACGTCGTGGACTTTTGTTCATTTCTTCACCTCTCCTCGCACCATGAGATGCTGCTCGATAGCTTCGGTAATCACAATGTGATCCCACACCTGAGCGAGTCCACTGACAGTGATGGTGCCAATCATGAGACCACTCTTCAGCAGGATTGGGAAGCAGCCTCCATGAGCGGCGTGTTGCGACTCGTCAATGTTGTACTTCTGGGCCAAGGTAGTTTCTTGAGCTGCCAGATCGCGGCCGACGCCATAAGATGACATGCCAAACCTGGTCGTCGTGCGGCGCTTTCGCTCAACCCAGATTTCGTTGTCAAGGGTAGCACCAGGAGTGGCACAATGGAACAGACACAGATCGCCCACGCGGATGTCAATGACAACAGGTTTTGCATCAGTTTTCTCCAACAGACATTTGTTACTTTTGGCCTGGCTAGCTGCCGAGCTTGCGCTCGAAGCGCCACCGCTTTCAACTTCGAGGATACGGTGGCGAATCTTCTGACCAATATCAAAGGCATCATTAGCGCCGAAATCATTGAAGCGCAAGCGGAGCTCTTGCTCTTTGATCTGTCTCAAAACTGAGATCTGGCCTGGGCGGCCTTGGACATCTTTGTAGGCTGCAGCAGCATCTCCATTGTGAGCCTCAGACCCAAGTTCAAGAGTGCTGCGGAAGTCTTTGGTGAAGTCCTCCACGGAGATGTGGCCCTTCATGATCTTGTAGTGCCTCAGCAAGATACTATTGGTATCCATTGTAGATCAAGCAGTTGTACAGGACAGTAGCGTCGTAGCGTCTACCTGGCACCCTCGAACGCGATCGATCCGTCTTTCAGATGGTATACGTCAATCAACACACAAATGTGAAGAACGTCGCTACTACACTCGAGCATGCTTTAACATCAACCCAGTTCGCTTCGTATATACAAATGGAGTTTCACTCTATATCTAAGCGTGCAAACTAGCTGCAGGAACACCATATAAACTCAAATATGCAGTTCACTGAGGAAACTTTGAGGGTTGAGGACCAAAGGCGAGAGCAAGTGACATGCAACCATCCAAGCCATGGGCAGTACAGTAAGCAAGTCGTTGATACGCCACTGAGCTGGTACTGCAGTCCCAATGATAATCATTGCCAGAGCCATAGTTATCCACACCAAATAGTACCACTTGTAGCGACGCCAAATCATCGGCATTTCCTTGAGGAAATGACTGTTCTCCAGCGTCTTACTCGTAGAGCCCCAAGAAATGGGGATCTCAAAGAGGTGCGCAAGGAGTGGTACTGTCAAAAACATCGATAGACCGCCGAAGAAGATACACAGGAGAGTGATATACTTGAAATTCTCCCAGAGGGACAAGAACAAGTTTCCCTTGCGTGTGCGGAACCTGAAGATGGCATTGACGACCGGCTGGAAGACATTAAAGGTCATCAGGGTACTGATGAGAATCTTGAAGGCCGATTGGTAGAGTGCGGTAATCTTGACATTGTACCAGCCCAAAATGAAGTAGTTGATGAACGCCAGCGGCCACCAAGAAGCAATGGCATAATAGGTACCCATGTACGCCAGCATGGTAAACTTTGAGAAGCCTCGAATCTGCTTAGACAGGAAAAATTGCCTAAAGAGTGGTGTGAAGGGGCCCTTGAAGAGCCAGACGCGAAGAGGATTCCACATGAGCTCTGAAATACCGTACGAGTACTTTTGCCAACGGTTGATTTCATCATAGACTGTGAGAGACACACCTTCCTTGAACTCGCCATTGTTGTAAGATGCCATACGTACGACGTAACCCAAATTTTGCAATTTCAGGGAAAGTTCAAAGTCTTCAGAGACGTGCTCCTCGGACCACCAATAGTTGCGACCATCTATCTCCCAGCCGAGCTCTTGAATAGCTGACCAACGAAGGAATGCATTGTGGCCGACAAAAGGAGCGACATCGCCGTTTGCACAAGACCACATCATGGCTGTCGTAACAAAGCGCGTAAAGTGTGCCATACAGTCCTCCCAAAAGTTGTTGACAACCTGGAAGGCATCGTTCGTATGTTGTAGAATGGCCAATTCGGGGCTGAGGTAAAACTCTGTAGCAGCATCAACGAAGCAGTCTGCAGGAATACGCGTGTCGGCATCGATCAGAAGAATAAACTCACCGACACGGACATTGCCATCCGCTTCACAGCCAGGGGTGTCTTGCAGCACCTCTTGCAGACAACGTTCATACTCTTGCACTTCCAAAATATCGGACCACTCGTCATGACGATTGACTTCTTCAAGCTTGGCTTCCACGCGGTGGGCGACATCAAGAGTGTAGTTGAGGTTGGAGGCCTTTTTGAACTTTCCTGCACGCACAAAGCCGTCCTTGCCATGAGGTGGACGAGCCACCCAGCCAATACCTTGCATTTTGTAGTAAGCGATACGTCGCTGCTTTTCTGCCGGAGAAAGGAGCTGTAGACCGTCTTCGCACACAAGCAGACTGGCAGTTCCGCCTTGTAGCTCGTAAGTCTTGATTGCTTCACCGACGGACTGCATGGTAATGGCGAGCACCTGCTCCAAGTCCTCCTTGTACACAGGGCACTGAACAGTAATATGAGGTAGGTCGTGATGCTGCTTGAGTACAGGCGCCTGGCCAGAGTAGTACTTAGAGTTGATGTTGAGCTGAGAGATGGGACCAATAAGCTGAAGAATGAGACAGCAGATGAGATAGGCAAAGAAGGAAGAGAAGAAGAAGAGCAGCGGGAAGTAGAGAATGATGCCAATGGACATATAGTTGCCCTCGGCCTTGATCTGAAGCATCACTTCATGCACTTCTGTACCGTAAAACACAGCCATGACTGCGAATGTCATGGCAACGCAGATGGAAGCCATATAGGGCTCCCCGCGCTTAGGCTCGACGCCTGCCTCGAGCTCTTGTTCGGTAAAGTTGAGAGTGTTCTTTTCTTTGTCTTTGGTGAGCAAGTCTTTGGCCATGCGCTTCTCTTTCCAAACGAGATTGACCATCTTCTTTTCGAGCTCTTCAGCAAAAGGCACGAGCGTAGACGCATCGTCAGACCAGACCAGCATGGAACCAGTCTCTAAAATGAATGCTGCAAATTGGTGGCGACGAATACTGTGCACGTCTGAATGACTTTGCAAGACTTGAATCTGCGTCCGGTCGTCGAGTGGAATCTGCTTGATGCTAGGCAGGATACTCTTGAGGATATTTTTGGTAATCTTGTTGGTCATTTGCATGATGAGCTGACATTGCAAGTGACCAGCAATATCAACAAGACCAATCAGATCCTCGTTTGTGTTGGATTCGTCAGACAAGGGCGCCGTCAAGTAGGGCACAAAGGCCAGGTCCTCCTCAGACTGTGCAAAAGAGTTGGTGCCCGTTGCCCGCAACGCCAGCTTCACCTCATTTTCATCAGCAAGCTTGAACCAACCATTGTTTCTGCAGCGCTTGTACAAATGCCGCAACATGAGCTGGTTCTGATAACTCTGGTCCCATGTCTTTTCACCGAAATCAAAGACAGACGACGAGCCTTGGGAACTGAGCTGTGATCCAGCCAAAGATGCTGCGCGGACCTTTTTCAATGTAAGGTCGAGCGCCGCTTCATGCTCTTGAACAAGCTCGCTCGGAGCGATATAGCCTTTCTCATCGCTGTCGCGGCGCACATCTGGGAGATTGGGCACCTTCTTGCGAATACCGACCTTGTCCAGAAGGCCCATGATGTCGCGCGGCTAGACTGCAAAGGGATGATGGATAGATAACTTGCTCAGAGAGTGTGGTTTGATGTCGAGTAGCGACCGGAATGTGTAGAGAGGTATATCTCGGTTGTGGAAGTTGATGTACAAAACGCGCATGCGCAACCGGTCAGAAGGTGAGACAGGCCTTTGCCCAGACGTCGTGCTCCTCCAAGTCCAGGCCTCTGCGCATCACTTTTCCCTGTCTCTGTCTTTCGCCTTTCATGTCGGTGAATTAAGGCCGCCAACCTCTTCCTCATCTGGACACGCCACCTCGCTTATCTGGATGCAGCCACAAGTTCGTCTTTCCGCCATCTGAACACCGGAAAGGAACAGACGACCATCAGCAGTCATGCGTAGCAGGTCGCGACTAGCTATAGCACGCTAGCTAGAGTGCAGGCTGGCACTGAGTACAGTCTGCACGGCGCTCAAATCCACTGTGCTACGCTGATGCGGTGCAATGGCTCCTGAAGCCACGGCTATGGCACGTTTCCTGCAGCTTTAAAGATGCTCTTTATCGTCTGTGCAGTGCGCACACGGAGTCATCGTCCCAGTCTTTTGCTGACGTCAAAACTACGGACGCAAATCAACGTACGTAAAGTCGGCCTTAGTCAGGTCGTAAATTACTGATGCAGTCTGACCGGTACCGCGGTCCGCGACATGCGCAGCGGCCCGAGTCTAGATGTAAAAGTACCTATGCTAGCGCTGTGAAAGACTTGAGCAATGACAAAGCGGGATCGCCATGCGATGCACACGCCATAGTCTGAACGCAGCTTTGTGTTTCAACAAGACGTGGGTGTCACGAAAGAACATCTTACATGTCTCGCTCTCCAGCTCGGTACACTCGACTATGCAGCTAAGTGTCTTTAGTAGGCTAGCTACAGCCTACAAGCACCGTTGAAGCACGTCGCCAGTGACTCGCCACTGACGCGCCCGACCGCGTTGTCTTAAAGATCGTAAACCACACGCGGGTGGCTGGCCTGGGACGCCGGTGGGCTTTTTCCGCTGAAACTCTTTACCGACCCTGGACCTGGTTCGAGGCCATGCGCGCTACACCGCAGCAGCACAAAGCCTAGACATGTCTCTGCTTGAGCAGTCTATCGCTGCGTTTGCCTAAAGCAAAAGCAAGTACAACCACGACCACACATCCATATCTTTCCAACGACCCTCTCTCTGACTTGAGCTTCCACGACACCCGGTCAGGGCACTTGAACCATGGCAGACTACAGCAGAGCGCCTCAAGTATCATCACCGCTCATGAGCGACGATGGTTTCTCGACGGCGTCCGACTCTGTGCAGAGCTCACCCAAGATTCCTAGCTCTCCGCAGATGATGAACATGTCGCCGCCGATGGGCTCGACCCGTGTTGCGCGACCCATGACACAAACACCGCTGTCGCGCGCCTCTTCAGGCTACTTTAGTGTTGATAGCGGACGGCGCGGACACGGTCAATCATTCAAGTCTGGTTCTTCATTCGTGCTTAATACTTCTGCGTATACTCGTCCATTCAAAACGAGGCGTGTTCTTGGGCCAGTTGACAAGCCTTGGCTCAGCGGCAAAAAATCAAAGTCTCGATTGGTTACAGACATCATTCCACTTATTGGGCTTGCTGCAGGACTTGCGATCGTTGCTGTTTATGCGTATACTGGCTGGGCCAAATACGATACTGCCAAGTTTTGCCCTGTCTGGACAGAAGACTTCTCCGGGGGTCTTGATCCCAACGTCTGGCAGCGCGAGGTGCAGATTGGAGGATTCGGCAACGGTCAATTTGAGTATGCGACTGATGATGAGGCCAACAGTCACGTCAAGGATGGCATGCTCTACATCACACCAACCGTTGGCGAACCTTGGGAGGATGGCGCAACACTCAACTTGACCTCGCAGGGCATCTGTACTGCCACTGGTGACTTGACCGACCTCGACAAGAATTGTTATGCTATTCAAAATGTAACAGGTGGCGAGTACATCCCCGTCGTTCGCTCAGCACGTCTGACAACTCGCTTGAGCAAGTCGATGAAATATGGAAAACTCGAAATCCGTGCAAAGCTTCCTGTAGGCGACTGGATCTGGCCTGCCATCTGGATGATGCCAAAAGACTCTGTGTATGGTGCTTGGCCTGCTTCTGGCGAAATTGACATTGTCGAATCGCGCGGCAATGGTCACGACTATTTTGTCTACCAGGGTGATCCTAAGGACAACAAGCGCTTCCCTGCAGGCAACAACGCCATCGGATCTACGCTGCATTGGGGTGGTGACACGGCCAGCAACAAGTTCTACATGACCACCAACGGTTACCACTACCCATCGGCCATCAATGGCTTGACCGATGCCTTTCACACGTATGGTATGGAATGGACTCCTAACGGTATTCGTATCTACGTGGACAAACAACTCACTCGAGTCGTCTACTTTTCCTTCCCGAAGCAAGGGTTTTGGTCATGGGGCAACTTTGCTACCAACATTGTCAATCCCTGGTTTGGAGGCACCAAGGCGTCACCGTTTGACCAAGAGTTTTACCTCATCCTCAACGTTGCTATCGGTGGCACAAATGGATATTTTGCTGACAATGTCAACGAAAAGCCTTGGACGAATGGTCTGAAGCGTGGACAAGCGCTTAATTCGTTCCAGAGGGCCAATGAGACATGGCTCCCTACGTGGAAGCAGCCAAGTCTGATTGTAGACAGCGTCAAGATGTGGGAAATTTGTAAGTAGATACAGTGCTGGCATTGTCATAAATAACGCATCCTTGCAAAGAATACAACAGATTTTATGAAGCTTTCCAGAGATACAAAGGATCAATCAAGCATTGCTGCTCCATCTTGATCCAGTCGACAATTAAATCGCGGTCTTCATCCTCAGGCCATTTCATGGTCGTTGCATTCATTCGCGAAAACTCCTTGAGGGCTGCTTGACGACCAGCCGTCAAGGTCCAAGGCACCTGGTCTTTGAAGATGCCGTTCATACCACCCACACCGACATGCAGCGTCAACTTGAAGGGTTTGTCGAATGGTGCACCGAGCGAAGGATACGCAGGCGCCCAGGGGTTGAAGATGCCGTCAATGTAGCCAGCGCCATTGGCTTGCCAACCGCCTTGCTTCCAAAAGCCGCCAAACTTGTCCCACTGAATCAGAGCCACTGTGTTGGTTGGATCGTCAACCCAAGTGCGCAAGTGACTCGGTGTCCAGGTCAAGCCATATGTATGGAACCCGTCCTGATACGTCTGGAATTTGAGCTTCTTTTGCGAACCAAGCGTCTTGCCCCAACCTTGAACACCATCTGGTCCATAGTTGACATACGAATCAACAAGGTCTGCACCACCTTGACCGTACAACACGTCATTGCCACGGTTCTGGACCAACATAATCTGGCCGTTGGCTGGATACGATCCATAGTCATTGGTGGCAGGCTCCAGCGAGATTTGAGAAAAGATCCAATCGCCACGCGGCATCTTGGCACGAATCTTGAGGCTGCCAAAATGCATGTTGATTTTGGTAGAGAGCTTTGCGGATTGCACAGGGTTGATGATGGTGCCTGCCGTTGAATTTTGCGTCATGTTGCACCAGTAGTAAGGATCCGTACAGAGTCCATCAGCACTCAAGTTGATGGTTGTCATGTCTGGATACTCTGGCGTAAAGGTTGGCCGAATGTGTAATTTGCCATCCTTGATGAACGAGTTGGCCTCTTCTGCAGTAGTCCAATCGAATGACCCAACGTTGCCACCGCCAGAGCTGATCTCGTGCATCCAGAGCTCTGGATTGATGACTCCATCGCGAAAGTCTTCATCTTGCAGCATACAAAGCTGTGGTGCGCGTGCTTCAAGGTATCCCCATATGCCGAAACCACAGAATGCGAGGAAGCCGATGATGACGCCTCCCCAGACAATGTAGGAGCCTAACCGCTCTGCGCGCGTCGTTTTACGCTGCAGCCAGTACTTCTCCGGCTCGACACCCCAATCTTGATTTTTGCGAATACGCAAGCTCGCCTTCTCAATCTCTCGAGCAGTCTTCTCGCCGAACGGTACTACGCGCGACCGCCGTCTCTCCTTGGCCGCCTCGAAAGTATCCGTTGCATCGTGTGCGTTAAGGCCTTGTAAATCAAGACCTGGTGTTGATGGCGCTGGGTCGTCTCTGAAGGAATCGAAGGAGAATTCACTGTCGTCTATGTCCGAGTAGCCTCGCTGTTGGAAGTAGTCTGACATGACTGAATGCGCTGTTCAATGCGACCGGCGCAAGAGATGCAACGATGTTGTTTGTGAAAGATATGTGTAGTAGAACAGACACGAGTATGAGCTGATATTGATGCGCAGTGTGAGTGCAATGGCAGAGTAGCAGTGCGCCTGGCCGGGTCCATCTGCACTGTGGCCGTTGCGCAAGGCGAATCTACCGGATTGCCGTTTTGGGTGAGACAGGTTGACACGCTGCAGCCACAGGACGCCACCAGATTTAAGGCCAGCCACCAGATGCAGACCGCAACGAACAGGCAAAGCACAGAGACACGGGCGTCAGCATGCGGCGGGCCTCGAGCAGGCGCGAGACACTGCGGTCTGGGTGCGCAAGAGATGCAAGACTGCAACAACACATCTATTCTCTCGTCGCTGCGAACCGTTTCCTTAGCAAACACTACTTGTCCTGCCTGGCGCAGAACTTGCTTCTACACCTAGACGACGCTAGCGCAACCGTATCGTCATGGGCATTTTCTCTCGCAAGAAAGGAGCCGCCTATGCAGCGCCGGCCGAAACACCCAGCAATACGGCCATCGAGCAGGAGACTGTGCGCGAAAAGGCTCAAGCTGACCTCGATACAACAGTGACCGGTCGACTCGAGAGTCTCTTTGCGCCGAAATGGTCGTCCGACCCAGATGCGATGCTTCAATTCGTCTACAGCGCTTGTGATGAAAATGAATGGTTCGAGACTTGGCCTGGTCGCTCATCACTTGTTGCAGTGCGCTCACATCTTGACTACGCCTGCTTTCCCGAGCCGGAGGGAGACAACTTTCTCTACACCGAAGTGGCCAAAGTACTGCAGCCAGAAGTCGTCATGATGATGTGCTCGGGTTTGGTAGAGGAGTTCCTCGCCAACGTGCCAAGCTTCATTGACGACGTCAAGCTATCCGACGATCTACACATACAAATCGTCGACGAAGTTGCCAACTTGCGCTACATCCGGCGCCATCAATATGCATGCTTTGTCCGCGAACGGCATTGCCTGTTTCTGTGGGCAGACGACGCTCGCAAGCTCATTCCCTTTGCCTCTACCGTTGAAGAATTGCTCGTCAACCGCATGTGGAGAACTAAAGACGAGAAGGACTCTTGGCGCAAGGAGCCCGTCGAGATTGATCGCGAGAATGCCAATCTAGATGGCGCGCGCCCCGTTCAGCTGCTTCTTCCATTCATGGTCACTTGCGCTGTGCTCATCAACTTTTTAGTGCTCATGCTGGCAACACGCAACATTGTCAAGATTTCCATCGAGACAAAGACCTACTACCGGTTCCTCTTCCTACTCTACACGCCACTACAATTTGTCTTTACAGGTTTCTTTACGCTCATGCTGGTCGTGGCCGTACTCAACTGTGTCGGACCCATTGGCCACATGTTTGAAAACTCTCGTCACTACTCCTGCAAGCCGCCCATCAGAATGAAGGACAACTTGCCGCATGTCACCATTCAATGTCCCGTCTACAAGGAGGATCTGGCAGATGTCATCATTCCAACAGTCGAGTCTCTGAAGATTGCCATCTCTACTTACGAAAAGCAAGGTGGTAGTGCGAGTATCTTCATCAACGATGATGGTATGCAGCTCATTTCAGAGGAAGAGCGTCGTGTGCGTCGCGCATTCTACGAGCAAAACGAGATTGGTTGGGTCGCACGACCCGGTCATGGTGTTGGTGGATTTGTGCGTGCCGGTCGTTTCAAGAAGGCCTCCAACATGAACTTCTCCATGAACGTCTCACTTCGCGTTGAAGAGAAGCTTGAACTCGTTGAGCGTGGTGCCGACTGGACAGACGACGAAGAGACGGTTGTCTACAAGAAGGCCCTCGAAGAGGTGTTAGCAGACATCAAAGCGACGACTGGTCACCAAGGTTGGGCAGGTGGCAACATTCGCATGGGTGAGTTGATTCTCATTGTCGACTCCGACACCCGTGTTCCACAAGACTGTTTCCTCGATGCTGTCTCTGAGTTCCACAACGCACCGCAAGTTGCCATTTTGCAGCACGACTGCGGTGTCATGCAAGTCAGTTGGGACTTTTGGGAGAACGCCATTACCTACTTTACTCGCTGCATTTACTTTTCGCTTCAGTACGCGACAGCGGCGGGCGATACAGCTGCTTTTGTTGGCCACAATGCATTCTTGCGTTGGTCAGCGCTGCAACAAGTCGCTTACTGGGATGATGTTGACGGCCGCCAAAAGTGGTGGTCTGAGGAGCACGTCTCTGAAGATTTCGAAATGAGTCTCAAGCTTCAAGGTCTGGGCTACATTTCTCGCTACGCGACCTACAGTAACAAGGGCTTCCAGGAAGGTGTGTCACTTACTGTCTTTGACGAACTTGCTCGATGGTCCAAGTACGCTTATGGCTGTTCTGAGCTCGTCTTCAACCCTTTCAAAGACTGGATTCGTCACGGTCCCTTTACCACGATCTTCAAGACATTCTTGAAGTCTGACCTCAACTCTTACTCAAAGGTGACTATGATTTTCTACATTGGCACATACTATGCCATTGCGCTCTGGCCGCTACTGATTGTCAACCTGTTTGCAGTCGGTTGGGGTACATGGAAGCTGGAGAAGGGCTGGGGCTTTTACAACGAAGGTTTTGGAATCTTTATATCCGTGCTCATCGTCTTCAACATCATCTCACCCATCACAAACGCTCTCGTCCGTTACCGTGCTCGTGGCGGCAAGTTCTTTGAGATGCTCTACGACAACTTCAAATGGTCGTTCTTGCTCATTGTCTTCCTCGGTGGCCTGTCCATGCACCTCTCCCACGCACTTGTGGCTCACATGTGCAGCATGAAGATGGAATGGGGAGCCACGGCTAAATCACTAGAGGCCGGAGACTTCAAATCAGAGCTGCCCAAGATTTGGAAGGCATTCAAGGGCATCTACTTTGTCATGGCAATCCTAGCAGCCCTCCAGATTGTTTTGGCAGTCGTTGTGCCTGTCAAGTATCGCATCTTGAGCATCACCGCCAACGGACCTCTTATCTTCCTCATGCTGATGCATTCAATTATGCCTCTGATTTTGTCACCCAATTCGTACGCGTCAGAGTGGCACGCAGACGCAAAGGCGACCGTTCACGACATGTCTACCTGGTTTACTATGCAAGTCAACAGTGTCAAGGCGAAATTGGTTGATCTCAACCTTATTTCGCTCGGTGAGCGTGATCAATATAGGCGGTTATAGATTTGCTGCTGGACAGAATCTCTAGGTGTAGCTTCGGTGTAGATACTCCAATACAATGATTTGTACTGTAAAGCATTTCTTTGGAGTGACCCAAACTGGGTTTCAAAATGTTCAGCGGCGCAATTTGTAGAGCTGACAGCTTCACCGTTTGTATGTACCATAGATTCATGCAAGACGCGCTACAGTATATACGTAGTTTTTAACTAGCTTGAGCTTACAATCCAGTCTTCGCAGATCGCTTTGCTTCCCATGTGGCTGCATTGTCGAGCTCAGACATCTTGATCCAGTCAATCACCATAGATCGCTCATCCTCATCTCCCCAATCACTCATCCATTTGGGATAACTCTCCCACATTTGCTTGAATGCAATCCATGGCGTTGCAGAGTTACCGTAATTGGCACTCTCGTCAGAGGTAAAATATCCAGGAACACCTGCAAAGGCAACGTTGAGAATCAAGTGGAATGGCTCATCAAAGGGTGCTGCTTTGAGTGGAGAGACTTGCCAAGGGTTAGCAAACGGCTCGCCATCTGGGCCATTGTTGGGAAGACCCCACTGCACAAAGGGAGACTTTTCGAATTTGTATACCATGGTTGTGTAGATGGGCTCGTCAATCCAGACACTGATGCCTTGTGGCGTGATGTCACACCCGTAGGTGTGATACTCCTTACTCAAATCAGCCATTGGAATGGGAACGACAGGATGTGTGTCATAGTTAGAGTCTGCGTATGCATTACCCCATTTGCCAACCGGACCAATGTGCACAGAAGATTGGATCGTATCACGGCCACCACCTGGAAAGCCAGGCGGATTACCTCGTGACTCGACAATATCAATCTCTCCAGATGCAGGCCAAGGACCGTACTTGTCGACACCTGATTGCTCAGGCAGCAACCAAATGGCGGACCAGAGCCATGAGCCCAAGGGCAATTTAGCATTGACTTCCACCCGGCCATACTTGAAGAAATGTTTGCCTTTGGTCGTCAGACGACCAGACTGCACGGGGTTGACATATTGTCCCTTTGTTGTATTTCTGCGCGTCACACAGGCTGATTCACTATACGACTTGGAGCAAATACCTTCTGCCGTCAGATTTCGGAAATAGCCCTCGACGTTGGCTTCAGGTGGCGTGATTGTTGGTCGAATATATAGCTTGCCGTTCTTGACAAACGAGTTGTCATCAGAGTCGGTCGTCCAATCGAGTGAATCTGCTCCCCATCCATCGACGGCCACATCGCGGTTGAAGTCATTTTGCAAATCCAGCACATTGCTAGAGAAATCCTCGTACCAGATGACTTTCGAGAACTTGTGCTGATCCACCTCTGAATATCCCCAGTAAGCGCCCAGCGCTGTCATGATGACACCAATACCAAAACCAATCCATGGCATCATGCGCGCTATTTTGGCACGTCTTGTCCGTGGCTCCTTGGCCCAGTTGTAAAAGTCATCAGGCTTGACACGACGACTCTTGAAGGGTCGCAGGTATCGACTGTGCTTTTGGACGGGTGATGGGAGGCCACTATCGAAAGCGCTGCTGGCGCTCCCATTGCTCTCGTTGCTTGGCGCAAACTCAAAGTTGGCCGGCGGCATATGCGCTCGAATAACAGTACGCAGACCAGCTGCGATGAGTGTCGTATGTATGTGGTGGTTGTAGCGCAAGATTGTGTCTATCAACAATTGCTCGAATTCAGTGCGCAAGCTAACGCTGGCTAGGCTTGCCTAGAGAATGTCTTTGCCGCGCACGCGTTTGGACGCTTTGGCCGGACACCGAGAGGCTGGCGATGCTGGACGGGTGGCTGCCACTAGCATTAAGCCCACTAGCCGCAAACTGGCCCGCAATGAACGCGTAAAATATAAGTCCCCGAACAGCCTGGGCGGTCGAACCGAGACGCTGCGTGCGGATCAGCACCAAGTTTAAGGTCCGATGTTTGGGGTCTTTGAGTCTTTCATCAGCAGATTCAGCACTGCTTCAGCAGACGAGAAGTCATACATGACGCATATGTGCAGGCGCTTTGTCTCAAGAAAGTCCACGAGTCTGGAGCACGTCACGTAAGCATATGCTAGGATCTTCCGGTAGATGCAACCAAGGCAGATTGCCGGAGGAAGAGGTGAGCTGCACTTGAGCAGTGAGCACCTAGCAGTGAGCAGTGCCAGTTAGCAGTAAGTCAGTGAGTCAGCAGTCGTTGTCTCGTTGCAGTTTGTCGGTGTTGGTGGCTGCAATGAGGCGTCTGTTGGCTGCAGCTTCCCAATCCAGCAGCCACAAGCGAAGAGGCTTTTCCTGACCTGATCCGGACCTCCAACGACACAAACCGGTACCAAGCAGCAGCCGGGGCGAGGGCGCGCACTGTAATGCATCTCGAGCTCGTGGGCCTTAATCCTCGTCGCCGGGGCCAGTCCTCAGAGCTGAGACCTTCTAGGCGACCTGAAAGTATAGCGCGCGATTGCATGGTTCTCTAGTTTACTTGCTTACTTCACACCGTACTTCTACTTACACAGCTACAACCTTCGCCGCAACAACCTAGACTTCCTCCTTTCAGTCTGAGCGCAGCTGGTACTGTGATCGCAGCACGACGCCATGAGTTCTGTCGGCCGCTTGTTTTCGAGAGCGAAAAAGGTCGTCGGCACAACAGCTGTAGCGTACAAGGCGCCAGAGTCTTCGTCGCCTGTCCCTCCGCCAGAGAACCGGCGGAAGCGCTCGCAAGCAGGCCTGCTGAATGGTAAAGTCACTGAAGAAAATGCCGATCTGCTGGGCGAGATGGCCTGGCTGGCAGATATTGATGAGTCGGATTTGATGCTGGAACATCTCTTCGAGGTTGCTGAAGGAAACGACTGGTTTGATATCGACGAAGAGGAGGCACAGATGCAGCTCATGACGATCCGCGCTGGCGTGGGTCAGTATGTTTCGCGACCACTCGGCACTGAGATCACGCCACTGGAGCTTATCGCCCAGGGTCTCAATTGTGACGCAGCCATGCTCATGTGCACAGATGCGACAAGAGTATTGCTTGACTGCACGCCGCCGACCGCTAGAAACATTGTCATTGGCGGTGAGATTGTCAAGCTTGTGGACAACATCTTGCCTTTCCCAGCCTATGACGGTACCAAAGTCCGCGGCATTTGCTTTGTCAAGGAGCTCGATGGCTGTATCATTTGGAATGAGGATGCTTCAACCATCAACGACTATGCGCGAAAGTGGGACGAAATCATCACCAGACTAGTCTTCTCTGAAAAGGAGAAGCTCACGGACCAGAGCATCTTTGGTACGGAGCAAGACTTCCAAAAGAACCACAAAAACATCTTTGAGCAGGGTCTATCAGACGAAGAAGCAGCCGTCGAGGCAGAAAGGCCGACTATGATCCTGTGGCCGATGACAGTGGCCGTGACATTTATCGTCATGGGCGCTCTCATGGGTACTGTGCTCAAAGAGGTCGTCATCGAATTCATGCAAAGCAAGGATCTCAAGAACCTCCTCTTCCTCATCACCATCCCGCTTGTTGGCATGATGGTCGCCTTCTTCCTTTCTATTATCTCTGCAGGAGTATTCCAGATCATTGGACCTATCAACCACATGCAGACCAATTCTCGCAACTACTCTGCAAAGCCGCCAACTTCTACTATTGCAAGGTCTGATTTGCCACACGTCACAATTCACTGTCCAGTGTACAAGGAAGATCTCTGGGATGTCATTGATCCCACTATACAATCCTGCAGAACAGCCATCGCCACATACCAAGCGCAAGGTGGTACCGCCAGTATTCTCGTCGCTGACGATGGTGCTCAATTGCGGTCTGCCGCTGATCAACATGTTCGTGAAGAGTATTACCGAGCCAACGATGTCGCTTGGACTGCACGTCGTCCGCACGGCCAAGATGGCTACCTTCGTGAAGGTCTATTCAAGAAGGCTTCCAACCTCAATCACTGCATTCGTCTGTCTGAGGATGTCGAACGGCGCTTTCAGGAAATGAAGGGTGACGCAGAAGGCGATCTTGAAACTTACAACATGGCTCGCAAAGAAATTCTCGCTGAGCGCAACAATGTCGATTGGGCCACTGGCGACTTATCGCTTGGTTCACTTGTGCTCATTATTGACTCTGATACGCGTATCCCGGTCGAGTGTATCTTGTCTGGTGTGCTCGAGATGCGCGACTCGCCAGAAGTGGGCATCTTGCAACACACAGGTGACGCCCTCATTGTCTCTGGAGACTTTTGGGAGATGGGTATGGCACACTTCATTCGCATGGTCTTTTTCGGTATTCGCTACACAGTTGCTGGAGGTGATTTAGCGCCTTTCCTCGGTCACAATGCCTTTCTGCGCTGGTCTGCTGTAGCTGAAGTGGCTCGTGAAGGACTCAATGGTGAATTGCATTGGTGGTCAGAGGATCATGTCTCTGAAGACTTTGAGTTGGCCATGCGCCTGCAAACTGTTGGATACAGTACCCGTCTCGCTTCCTACTTTTCGACAGAATTTCTCGAAGGTGTGTCTCTCACAGTTTATGACGAGATTGCTCGATGGACCAAGTACGCTTGGGGCTGCTCTGAGCTCATGTTCAATCCTTTCAAGTTTTGGTTTTCCAAGGGCCCCTTTGGACCTATAGTTAAGGCTTTTCTCAAGTCAAAGCGTGTGCCGGTCGCTGCCAAGTGTTCATCGCTCTTTTACATGTGGACATACTGGATTATTGCGTCGTCTTGGATCTATTGCGTTGTCAACTTTGTCGCTTTTGGCTGGTTCACAAACGGCGTCAATCGCGCCTTTGTCGCTCAATTTGACGTCCTCGTCGCGGTGTGCATCATCTTTGGTCTACACGATGCGATTGTCATTCCGTTTGCCATGTGGCGACTGAAGGAAGCTGGCATCATCTCCGGTATCAGGGCCACTCTCCGCAATTTTTGGCTTCCAATCATCTTCTTCCAAGGCTTGAGCGTACATCTCTCAAAGGCGCTCTTGGCACATTTGTTCAATGCGAAAATGACATGGGGTTCTACAAGCAAGTCAGTAGAGAATAGGACCTTGGTCGAGGAAATGCCCAAGATTTGGCGCAACTACAAGGTCATGTTTATCTTGTGTGGTTTTCTCGGTGTGTCAGTCATTGTTCTAGCAGTTGCCGTGCCGCCGCTCTACCGGATAGACTCATTCAAGTCACTCTTCCCAATTGTTTGGATGATTTCTTTCCACTTGGCAAATCCCTTCGTGCTGCATGCACAAAGTTATCTCTCAGAATTGCTCACGCGGGTCGGACGCAGCATGTAGAACGCTTCTTAGTGTTTGATAGATGATATTGAAATTATTACAAAAGAGAGAGCCTCCTTTTTCTTTAAGAATACGCGTGTGTGGAAAGGCTGCTGCAGGTGTCATGTACCTGCAATATCAAGTGGTCTCTCTTTCAATTGAAACGAAAACTTGTTCTGGAGAATAGAGGTGGTGGGGAATTTTGAGTCGAATCATGTCTGAACCAGCCAGGCCTAAAGAGACTAGCAGGTTGACAGTAAAAGAATGAAGCTGTCATGAATGAGCGGCCGATGCTGCAAAGCCATGTCGAAGAAGGAGAAAAGAGGAAAAGTCAAAAGCCAAAAAGAAAAAATTGGATACCGCACCCCAAATAAGCGTCTCTTTCTGTGTCTTCATTCACCATCATCCCCATTGAAGCCAAAGTTCATTCCACCACCACCGCCATTCGGATCATCTGCAAGGAAGCTCTCAAAGTCAAAGTCCTGCATAAGATCCATATTGAGCTCCCCGGGGAACGCATCAAAGCCGGCTGACGCAGGACCACCACTACCAGGTGCGTTACCAACAGCACCATCAGCACCGGCATCCATAAAATTGCCAACTTGCGAACTACCATCACCTTGCTGTCCCGGATGCGCAAAGTGCCCTGCCTGTTGCGCATTTTGCTGTTGCTGCGCCTGTTGCGCCTGCTGCAACTGCTGCTGTTGCTGATTCAGCGCATGTGGCGTCATGGGTGTCGTCGGTGTTGGTGGCTCTGATGCACCGGCTGGAGTCGTACCAGGTGCACTCGTACCAGCAGCAGCCGCGGCTGCCGCAGCAGCAGCAGCTTTGCGTGCCTTTGCTGCAGTCTGTTTCTTCGTTTCTTTGCCTGCAGTAGAAGCTTTACGACCAGCAGGCACTTTAGCATTAGCTTGCACGGGTGTAGATGGATTCTGGTTCGATAGCGACGGGGAAGGAGGCTGTCCTGCAGCAGAAGCTGCCGTCGAGCCGGGACGAGCACCGACGCCACCAGGGCCAGCTTGTTGCATGGGTAGCGGAGCTTGGGGCGGTGGCATCTGTTGATGAGGTCCACCGAGACCCTGCATGCCTTGCTGAGCCTGTTGCTGCTGCTGTTGTTGAGCAACTTGAGCTTGCTGTGCGGCATGGTGTTGCGCTAATGCATGTTGCTGCTGCGGTGTCAATTGACGTCCTGCAAGCTGACCATTCTGGTGCATCTGCTGCATCATCTGCCGTTGTTGCTGCTGCTGTTGCTGCTGCCAAAGCAGACTTTCACGAGCTCTGGGATCACCATTGGCTGCCATCATCTGCTGCATCATTTGTGGATTCTGGAACGCAGGGTGATTGGGTGGGAAGCCTGCCATTTGAGGCGGCACGCGCATCATCTGACCGCCGGGTCCCATAATAAGTGGCATAGCACCGTTCTCTTGCTGCTGCTGTTGTTGTTGCTGCATCATTTGACGGTACATCATCTGTTGCTGTGGATCTTGTGGACCATGTTGCGGGACGAAACCAGTGACAGCAGGCGAGGCATTCCGTTGAATTTGTTGCTGCTGCTGCATAGGGTGCTGCTGACCCGGACGCTGCTGCTGTTGCTGCTCGCCAGGCGTACCAGGCACGTTTTGATTGCCCATCTTAGGTGTTCCCCGAGGCATATCAATACTACCAGGGGCAGGTGACCCGGCAGGACGTCCACTTGGTGGAGAATTGGTGAAACCGGTAGCACCGCCTCCGACAGGTACATCCCCAGGCTGTTGTAGCCGTTCTTGCTCCTGTCGTGCCATCAACAATCGTTTCTTGTTCTGCTGCTCAAGCAACATCAGCTGCATTTGGTAGTCTTGCAGAGCGTGATTGCCCTCTGCAGGCGGACCCTCTGCATTAGCCATACTAGGACTTGCACTGACCATGACTGGTTGCTGTAGCGGGCCCTTCGCTGCTTGTTGCATCGCGCGTTGTTGCTGACTGGCGAGACCCTGCACGTAGGCAGACAACTGCTTCTGCTGCAAGACGGGCGGCTGATTTTGAAAGGCGGCAAGTTGCTGAGGACTCAACCCAGCTGGATTGATGCCTGCTTGCAGTAACATCTGATGCGCTTGCGAAGTTTGCTGATTCATGGGCATGCCAGGCTGTGGTCGTTGATTGGCGGGTATTTGCGCATACGTGCCATCGGGAGACAAACGTTGTCGTTTCGATGGAGACGGCGCAGACATCGATGCAGGCGACTGTGGATTCATTGCTTGCCCTGGAAGGCCTTCTGAGTCCTCACGCTGTGCGTTAGTCAAACAAGCTGGCGGACTTTGAGAGGCACTTACTTGGGCCTGCTGCTGCAAGTACTGCTGCGTTTTGAGCTGCTGAATCTGTGCGGCCGTTGGAGGAAAGCTGCGGCCCTTGTTGCCATTATTCATCATTGCCTGACGCATCAAGGCTTCACGCGTTTTGTTGTTGATTTGAGCATTTGCTCCATTCGGATCAAGACCAGCAGCGGAAGCCGCTGCCGCTGCTGCTGCGTCAACGTTACTGGCAGTCAAGGGATTGCCTGAGAGATTGAGTCGCATAGCGTTGGCATTGGAGCCAGTATTGATGTTACCGCCCGTTCCTAATGCTGTCGCAGCGCCACCAGTCATAGCACTAGCCATGGCGGCTTGCCGTTCTTGCTTCAGTCGCTGTCACGAGTTAGCTTGCATGTACTTCAAAATTGAAAAGACAAACCTGATTGTGCGCCATGAACGTCGTTGCGCTCGCTGTGCTGGGTCTCCCTTGTCTAGCTGAGAACATGTCCCAAAAGAGGACCCACCATTCTGCCAGGAAGCCACCTTCCACATTGACAGGCACATCTGCTTGTGGCAACTCACCAGGAGCACCGTCGGCATCTGTCTCGTCTGTCGGGCTGTGCGCATCGCCGTTGACTTTTTCTGATGCAGTACGTGCTGCACGATCGAGCTGCGCAGAGAGTGAGCCCTCTGTATTCGGCCCTTGCTCTTTTCGCTCTTCGACTTGCTTCGCAGTCAATGTAGACACACCGCCTTCGGCCTTAAATTTTCGCGCCGTGTCGCCGTAGGACTGTTTGACGAGGTAATCGTATATATACGTATTGAGGAGTCTTTGGTTGGCTGGATCGAGCGCTGTCGAAGCGCCGGTACCAGACGCGCTGTCCATGATTAGATGTTGACAGGCGACTCCGTTTGATGCAAAGTTGGCGGGCGGCGGGCGAGGATGCTATCGGGCTGTGACGGGTGAGTCGATGGCTGATAACACAGCTTAGACTTGCTTTGGTGAATGGCCCCTTGGGATTGAGAGGCGCAGCCGTTCGTTCGTCTGCGAGACAGGATCGAGAGGTCGTGAACCAGGTCTCTGCGTTTGTAGTGCGAAAGACGTGTGATGCAGAGTTGCTCAACGACAGGCTGGCACGGATGGCCAAAGTATGCAATACTGGCAGTCGCTCACTTGTCTTCGAAGCTTGCGCGCCGTTGCTGGAGGATGGAGACTAGCCTAGGGCGAGTGATTCCCAGAGGAGGAGACCTGAGTAGCCTTGCAGAAGGTGAACAGAGGACCTTGCTACTGTGAAGACGGATCGCGGGAGATGGCCTGGATGGATGCAAGCCCGGATGCGTCTCGGACGGCGACAGGAAGCGCGGGCAAGCCTGCTGGGTCGTAGCTGTCTCTGTGCCTTTGTCGTCTTGTCTCTCGTTGCTGCTGCTTCGCCCGGTGGAGAGTCACGTGTAAAGTATGGGGTTAGGCGAGATTGTCCATCTGATGCCTGACAACTTCCTCTTCTCCATTCTACATCTACATCTACATACTTGTGCTGGCATGTCTACAGGGCCTCAAGGGCTACAGTGACATGGCAGAGTGCTCTTATATATTCTCTCAGAGTGGGATCGATTTGGTCTTGCCGGATGATAAGTAGCTTCTACCATTTGCACGAGGATAGACTCCCAATAATTGATGAGCTGTAGATGATCGCCACTTGCTCTGCCTTGAATTTCAAATGAGAAACAAAAAAGCTACCGAGTCTCATTGAGCTCACAACGGGCAAGGTTGTCATCAGTAGAGCAAATAAGTCCAACTCGTCAACGATCCCTTATTCATTCAAGGTATGACTGAGCAGCCAGTGAGAACAACAGGCTGCGACAATTAGATTGTACTCTTTTAAACAAGTTCTTCCTCACCGATGTAAGCAATTTTGTCTTCATCGCCATGGGTGTCTCAGGCCATCTCTTCATCAGAGAGACGCGCTCCGGTTCATCGACCAACAATATTCTGGACACTTCCATGCATGATGCGCATATGCAGTCGAAGGCTTGAGGTCAGGCTACTTCACTCATTTGGCTGAATGTCCGCGGTGCGCTCCAGCGTCGCCAATCTATCAACTTCTCTCTCCCTATCAGCCACTTGTAGCGATTTCTCTTCGCTGTCAGGTTGGCCAAACAGTGCTACATGAATATTCCTCAGGGTCAAGCACAATACGCTCTTGTTTCTTGTGTCCGGTTCTATTAGAAACCAAGCTTGGCCGAGACGAACCAGTTCCTGGGCTGTGCAGCTGTGTCTTTCGGTCTTATGTAAGGCAACTCTGCAACCAGCTTTGTCTTGCATCTTGTCAGTATCGACGACTGAATCGAAGTCAAGGGGTCAGCCACTACATCATATGATCGGATGCAACCTCATTTCGTCTGCAAGATGTGTCAGGCTGTGAATAATGCCAGCACAGCAAAGTACCCCTGAATCAGGCATTAGGATGAAAAAGGGCTGGAAAGACACAGAACACTCCAACGACACCCTCAGAGCGAAACATCAAATTGTAGGCAGCACTCTTGTCGGTGAGCATCTTTGCAAGCGCCATGCACAGCTCGCTAACGTTTTAGACAACCAGTATGCGAGTCTTCTTGATTTCAGTCGTCGCTCAATGGATGAGTCAAGTTAGCACCAGTCCTGCCCCGTTTCCTGGGGGCGACCAAACTGCACTTCAACAACACCAATGGTTTGATCTCATTGGCGTTACTGGGCCAGACTGTTTTCTGCTGCTTTGGGATGATACGTTGCGCAACTTGTATCAGTGGCAGGGCAAGATCTGCGATTGCTATGATAGATTCTACTCTCCAAATGTCGAGAACTCGACTGGATGCATGATCAGGCCCGCGGGGCGCGTGGCAGACTTCCTCGCAGCGCTTCCTGGGCCCAATGGACCATAGATATGTGCAGATGTGTCTCTCGATCGTTTCACACTACTAGCTAAGTTTTCATTCTAGCGAACAGTGATTCTAATGTCCATTTGATCGTTTGCCCCTCTGCAGCTTGTCGTTCAGTTCTCCCTTCCTGTAGATCGATTTTGACGTGTCCTGACATCTGAAGCCTCTGCAGCTCTTCCGCTCCTCCCACGACCAACCGTTGACTGATAGACTGAGACGTCGGCAGAGCAAGCCTTTAGGCGCTGCCAGGCCACTAGAGCTCGTGTCTCGAGATCCGTACAGGGTATTCGGTCCATCGAGATTGTGACAGACACCACCTGGCCCTCAAGGTTAGCAACAAATATGGCGTCTATGGACAGTCCTGAGCTGCTGAAGCAGACAGATGGCGAGGATTTGCGCGAGTTGGGCTATGAGGCTGAGCTCTCCCGCAAGTTCAGCTTCTTCTCCATGCTCTGTTTGGCCTACTGCGGTAGGAGATTCAGCATTCATTGCTTTTGCTGACTCTAGTCCTCGGAACGTGGAGCACATTCGCGCAAGGCCTAGGGTCAGGACTTTCATCTGGCGGTCCGGTTGGTATCATTTACGGGCTCCTTGTTGTCTTTTCATGCAATATGTGTATAGCGATGTCGCTTGGGGAGCTCTGTTCTGCGTATCCAACGGCTCTAGGTCAAGGTTTTTATGTTTCCCAACTCTGGCCTGGCGAGGCAGGCCGCTTTCTATCTTATGTTACTGTGCTTATCAATGCGGCAGGCTGGTGGACACTCAGTGCCTCGCAAGCAGCATTCATGGGTGACTTTATGCTTTCGATGAAGGTCATGTATGATCCCGAGTGGAAAGGCATAGACAAGGGATGGCTTCATTTTCTTGTCTATGCTGGACTTGCTATTGCTGGAACGCTCTTCAACGCTGCAGCTTGTCGCAAAATGTATGTGTTGCCACGTTTCAACAATGGTGTTTTTTACCAAAATGTCATTCTCCTGGTCGCTTTCTCCATGACGCTCCTCATTTGCGTGGGCGTCAAGGACGACTTGCAGTTTCAGTCAGGCAAATTTGTCTTTGGCAAGTTCGTCAATGAGACTGGCTGGAATGATGGTGTATGTTGGTTCATTGGGTTAATTCAAGCAGCCTATGGTTTAACGGCTTTTGACAGTGTCATTCATCTGGTCGAAGAAATGCCCCGACCCAGTATTAATGCTCCGCGGGTCTTGAATCTGGCCATTCTCACAGGTACACTCACTGGCTACTTTTTCCTTTTCGTCATGCTCTACTGCATTCAAGACCTCGATGGTGTTATCAATACAGCTACTGAATTACCCTTTATGCAGCTCTCCCTCGACGCAATTGGTCTGACGGGTAGTGCTGTGCTTTTAGCCATCTACATCTCCAATGGAACACTGCAGCTGTTCTCCATTATGACGACCAGTAGCCGACTTACCTGGTCATTTGCTCGCGATGGCGGACTTTTGTTCCATGACTATTTTGCAAAAGTCGACCCAACGTGGCAAATGCCTGTTCGTGCGACGATGCTACAAGGTGGTATTGTTGTTGTCATCGGATTGCTATACTTGTTCTCTAATGCAACGCTTGAAGCTATTCTGAGTGTCTCTACAATAGCACTGACCGTCTCCTATGCAATCCCCATTGGCGTACTCCTATTCGTTGGAAGAGACAAGCTCGAACATACAGGAGGCAGCTACAAGTTGGGCCGATTCGGGTACACGGCGAACGTTGTGAGTGTCATCTACTGTGCCATTACCACAGTCTTCTTCTTTTTCCCATCAGCACCAGGCCCAGCTCCTGCTGATATGAACTACGCCATCGTCGTTTTCGGTGCAGTTCTATTGCTTGGACTAGCAACGTGGTTTTTGGTGGGTAGAAAACGGTACTTGTTGACAGCAGCAGCGATAGCAGAACGTGCGAGGGCAGAAAGAGCTCTATTTATTCAGGGACTAGAGGCATCAAACAAATTGGGTTCAAGAGGGGAAAAGGGGGTAGAGATAGAGGCATGGGAGGCACAGAGCCGTGGTGCTGCATTTGCAGAAGCAGTTGGTGAGGGCAAGGAAAAGCTCGTGTGAGGACATATAATGATTTGGTGTATAGTGTCTTGGTTTGGAAATTGTACGATACTCATTGCATCAGCATTTGCAAGACCCAAGAGACTGACAAGCCTCGCAAATCTGTGTACATTTGTCCGACACCAACAAAGAGCACTGGCACGCCCGTGACGTAAATCATTGAGACAATCGTGCCTACCAAATCGCCAACAGTGTCTACCTTGGAGATGATGAAACCGTCCAGGTTGCGTTTCGGTCCAAGGGCATCATTGAAGTGTCTTGCTTGCGACAATGAATCAGTGCCTACAAGTGCCTCGGCGACCTGAAAGACCTTGTCAAGCTTGACGGTACTGACAAAGCGTTCAAGACCAGACATGAGCCTTGCATCGTTGTGTCGTCGGCCAGCTGTATCGACAAGCACCACCTCGAAACCATTCTTCTTTGCATAGGTGATGGCATCATTGGCAATACTGCTCGGATCCTTGCCGTAGCCACGTTCAAACAGCTCGACGCCATCTCCTGAACGGCCTTGACTTTCAATAAATGTACGCAGTCTAGTGACATGCACACGCAACTGCTCAACAGCACCAGAACGGAATGTATCGCATGCAACAATCAAGACACGCAGCTTATTGCCAAGCAGCCAGTACGCAATTTTGGACAGATTGGTGGATTTGCCAACACCATTGACGCCGATGAACGACATTGTATAAGGCCGCTTCTCGCTTGTATTGACTCGCGCGACTTCATTGAGCAAATCAAGCGACGTTGTTGGTGTCAAGATGCGTTTGAGAGCCTGCTCCATGGCAGTGCGAACCATTGTTGACGTCTTGCCGAATGAGCCAGTCTTTTGCCCTACCAAAGACGTCTTGACTGACGCACAGAGATCGACGCACACTTCATTGGCGACATTTTTAGCCAGTAAATGCTGACGCATGCTTTCCATCACTGGGTCGAGGTCCTCGGCGGTCAATGTCTTGCCCACTACAAGCTTGGAGAAGAACGAAAAGGCGCCCGTCTTGGGTGCCTCGGGAGTTTCTTGTGCCAGCATCTCACCGAGATCTTGTATGACCATCTGCCCTTGTTTCGTCTTTTGCATTGCATCGTTGCCAACAAAATCAGAGACATCTGTCGCAATGTTTGTGTTCACATCGCCAGAATCCCCTACACTGAAATCGAGCACCTCTGTCCCAGACTCATCCAATGTGCCATCAGCCCTCCATTTACGCTGTACTTTGGCTTTTGTCTTTGGTTTGGTTGTTTCGTCATCTGATGTGGGTACGCTACTTGTGTTGCCATTCACAGGCGTACTTCTGCCAGAACCTCGCTTTGTGGCCGCACGACGACCGCCAACAAGTTTTGCAGCAGTCAGTATACGAGGCTGTGGAGACTTGGAAACCTCCGGGGCAACGTGCTGGATCTCTTTGTGCATTGAATCTTGAGCCTCGGTGGATTTAGCTGCCTCCGTGGCTTCAGTCACTGAAGGAATCACAGGCGGCGACTGAGCCTCTGGAGCTGCTTCCAAGTCACGGAGCCGTTGATCAAAGTAAACGTCGAATTCAACAACAATGTTGGTTAGATCTGCGCCTGTAGTCTGCGCTTTCTTGATCTCCGTGGCATAGAGCTTCCTGACGATCCGCTTCATATTATCAAGGAACTCTTCAACAAAGCCAAGTTGAAGCAGAGATTGATAGACGACGACAAAAATAAGACCCAGCTCGTTTGCGTGTGTCCATTTGACAGTATAGCCTGACTTGGCATATGTGCTTGCAGAGCTGCCAGCAATGAAGATGTCTGTGATTAAGCCATTGACAACAGCATTGGAAACGGGCGAAAGCTGTTTCTGCCAAAGAACAACACCGCCCTGATTGACAATGGTGAAGAGATCAAGCATGGCTAGAGGAGAGAGTGCGAGCAGGATGCCGGTCAACTTGAGCTTGTGGTCTGCATTCGCGGCAGTCGCGCGGCGTGAGAGATCCAACTGTCGCACGCTCCGGGCATATTGCGGGGTGCATCTCTGTCTACCATCAGGATTCAGGACTCGAGGCTACTCGGGGACTAGTATCATGGCAGAACCTATTTTATACAGCTATGACTTCAGTCCGTATGCCTTCAAGGTTCGTTCGGTTCTCTCGCTCTTGTAAGAAACCTGGTCCACGCATCAACAAGCTCACCCCAGGAACATCAAGTACAAAGTTGTCCAGGTGGATATGGTCATGCCACGACCAGAACTGGAAGCCATCGGGGTCAACTATAGACGCATTCCAATTTTGGCAGTGGGCAAGAACATCTACTGTGATTCGCAAAGCATCATTGAGTATCTGCTATCTCGGGAGGACGCCAGGTCTATTGTGCCAGCAGGCAGTGAAACGAGTCAATTGGGTCTCAAAGTCCTTGGTGACTTGATCTTCCGTACCACACTATCAACAATGGATCCGTCTGGATCGCCACCTGCGTTCATCAAAGACCGAGCATCAGTTTTCCCGATTCTTGCATCTGGAACGCTTGAGAAGGATCCTTCAATTAGGGAACATGCCATTGCTGAAGTCCAGAGTCTATTCACCGCGATACAAGATACTTTTTGCAGTAATGGCAAGAAATGGGCATTAGGAGGCGATGCACCGTCACTTGCAGATGCGCATGTCGCTTGGGCTGTTCGCTTCGTGATCAAGGGCATCAAATTGGACCAAAAGGAGAAGGTACTCAGCAAGGAAGCACTACCAAGACTACACGATTGGCTAGAGCGATTTGAGCAGGCACTGGATCTGAACACCCCCACCTTGACTGGGGATGAAGCCAAAAAGGTTGTATTCGATGCAGCATCTCCTACGACTCAAGGCCTAGGTGTTCAAAATGGCCTAGGTGGCTTCCAAAAGAATCAAAAAGTATCTGTGTCACAAAGCGACGCCGACCCAACACACCCTGTCGACGGCCAACTCCTCGCACTAGACGCCAAGGAGTTAGTTGTTGCGCTGGACAATGGACTGCATATTCACTTCCCGCGTCTCGGTAGCAAGCTGAGTAAATTGTAGAGCTTACATCTACATGTAGGTTGCATGCTGAGCACAAAAGTGACCAAACTCTTTCGAGGCGCAGTGGAGCCGGACTCCGGTGCGACAAGACGTCATTCGAGGTTACTCAGCTCAACATCTTAACACTTCGCCTTCCATCGTAAAGCTCAGAACATGTCCTTCTTCCCATCATAGCACTCGCCATGGCGACATCAAAGACGCCACTACGACTCTGTGTCATTGAGACTGATGTACCGACTGAGGAGGAATCAAAGCACGACCGCTACGGACATGTCTTTGCAGATTTATTTCGCAAAGCCGCTAAAACACTGCCACAGCATCATGACGATGTCGATACCTTCCCGGACGTGAAGCTTACCTTTAAAGACGCGGTGCAAGGAGAACTACCGAGTGATGAGGAAATGAGAGAATTAGACGCCATTGTCATCTCTGGAAGCAAATTTGATGCGCACGATGAGGAAACACCGTGGATTCAAGAGCTCGTCAAGTTTCTGGATCACGCATGGAACCACAAAGACCCAGCAGTACGCAGCGTGAAACACTGTGGTGTTTGCTTCGGTATGCAAATCCTGGCACGGATGCTGGGTGGAGAGATTGAAGCAGGCAAGGACTGGGAGCTTTCAGAGCAAGAGATTGAGTTGACTGAGGACGGTAAGAAGTTGTTTGATACGAAGGAAAATAGTCTGACGTTGATGCAAATGCACGGCGATCAAGTCTTGTGCGTTCCAAAGCTCAAAAATGGTGAAGAGTGTCGAGTGTGGGGACGCTCTGAGCACACCCAGATTCAAGGACTGTACCTCCCCGGCAGGCTCTTCACAACTCAAGGTCATCTTGGCTTTGACGAGCAAATGGTGAATGCCAATATCGATGTTCGTGTCGACAAGGGCCTGTTGGATGCAGAAACTGCAAGAGAAGCCAAAAAGTCGAGTCACCATGAACATGATGGTCTCCACGTTGCACAGGCTATCCTTCGATTCATCCAACAAGAATAGAGTTGTCTGCGGATGTCAAGCAGCCATAGAAAAAGTACCATCTTGTATTTGCTTCCTGACAAACAAAATTTGTGTCCTTTGATCTGCTGGAAAGGCTTGAATTTGCGCATCCGTCATGCTCATAATTTGACGAGCCAGATACTCCTTTTGTGGATCGATAGGTCCAGCTTGGACAGGCATCGCTGGTGATGCTGTTTGTGGCCGTGATGCTGCGGCTCCTGCAGGTGCAGGCGAGTGTGTCTGTGCAAGTGGTGGTGCAGATGTTCTCGCAAGCCGTGGATCTGCTTGAGCAGCAACAGGTACTTGCTGGACAGGCGTTGACGTGGCGGGTGGAGGTACGCCAGGACCACCAGCAATCACGCGCGTCAAGACACCTGCATCAACGAGATTCATGAGGAGCAAAGCTTGTAGCACAGCATAGGACAGCTGTGGCGATTGTTGAAGCAGATGTTCTGCTTGGGCGGGATTTCCAGTGGCAAGCTGCTTGAATTGTGTCACAATATCAAGGAGTTGCATGGGTGGGATTGCTTGTAGAGTCTTGGAAATAGCATCTTCTGCTGTGAGTCCTGCTGCTGGTGCCGTTCCTGCTGGTAGCGGCGGGAGTGCACCAGGTTGTGGCTGCTGCATAGGAGGTGGAAAGGGAAGACCGCCTGCTGAGCCTGGTGGTGGGACCATGAAGCGGCCTTGAGGAGGCATGGATGGCATGGGAGTGTTGTTTGCATTGTTGCCATGGCCGCCGCCACCACCACCTCCTCCGCCTCCTCCGCCGCCGCCGCCGCCTCCGTGATCACTGTAAGCGACTCTGATTTGCCGATTTCCTATATCATATCCATCGAGATTCCTGACGGCAGACTGGGCTGATGAAGCGTCAAGAAATTCGCAAAAACCATAGCCTTTACAGCGCCCAGTTGCATTGTCAAACACTAGCTTGAAATTGCTCACTGGCCCGATTTGCTTGAATATATCAATGAGCTGTTCTTCGGTATAGTCATAGGGGATGTTGCCGACTTGGCAGAATTAGCAGGGATCGTCTAGCTTTAGGCAGCATACCAAAGACAGCTTTCGACATTGAGCAGCACGTTCAGCAATGAGAAAGCACGAGCAGGAATACAGGCAGGAGACTGTGAGGACAGTACTTATAAGCAGAAAATGTAAAAGCTAAGGCGAAAGCTGAGTCCAGGCAAGAGACCTCCTATAGCCAGGTCAACCGGCTGCTACTGCTGTAGTCGTCGCGGTCTGGAATTCGCGACCGTGAGAGATATGACCGGACGAGCTGCACCCGGGTGTCCTTTGAACACGCTTCAAGTCGCGACGTCACAGTCAAGGACAAGAACAGACACGCTCATGCTCTCCTGCTGTTTCAGTGCTGTATACTAAGGAAGTCAAAGTCCGTTGATAGCCTCTCAAGAGTGTGCTCCTTAAGTCTGTGTCTTTTAGCTTTAAAAAGTCTTCGTCAGACGCGTCTACTGTTCAGGGCCTACAGTGGACGAACTTAGTATTCGCTCATCAGCAGATACGAGCTGAAGTTGCACTCATGATAGGAGGATTCTGTCTACCCTAGTACCCTTGTCTGTTATGATCGTTTTCTTGGCGCACGGGAAAAGAGTCATGACGTTCTGTATGTTCGTTCCACAGCTCTGGTTTCCTGCCCTGAAAAGCTGAGGATGTGGACTAAGGAGGAGGCGACCGCGGGAGTGTCAGAGCTGTGCGAGTGATCTGCGAGGGCAAACTGCTTCTATGCTGTTGTCGGAGGCACCAGGGACGGTCCTCAAGCTTGACCTTGGGTAGAATAGGGCTGACTGAGTAGGTCCGTAGCGTCTAACTTTCATCCGACTCGACTTAGACGTTCGAATGGATGCCAGCTGATGAAGACAGTCTGCTACATGGACTAGCTACATAGATTGATCAATTGAACAAAGAGAGTGGTCAGGGATCAAATTGTGCCTTTGTCAAAGTAGACGAGTCAAATCAGCAAAAGCAAGTAGAGAGATAGACGGCCTAGCACAGGGCAAGTTGCATGCGGGCATCTCGCTGCCTGTAGCCCTCGTCCCGTCCCTTCGTTTGCCTTTTGCTGTTGGAATCGCTGCTGGTACTGAGTCAGTAGTGCACTTGGTGAAGAAAAAGTCAGAAAACATCTCGCAGCGACTCTTCCTCTACCCTCACCATCCACCACCCCCAAACACCCCTTTCACCACACTTTCCCTCCTTCTTCCCCCCTCTACATATCAACCATCATGGAGAACTGTACCGTCTTTGTTGGACGTCTGGCTTGGGCCATCGACGAATCCCGTCTCGCTGAAGAATTTGCTCAATTCGGCGCCATCACCTCAACCAAGGTCATTCGAGACCGCATGACTGGCCGCTCCAAGGGCTTTGGCTACGTCGAGTATGAAACACCAGAGCAGGCTCAAGCTGCATTGGCCATGAGTGGCAAGGACATTGAAGGATTCAACATCAACGTCGACATGTCGCAGCCTCGTCAGACTTCCTATGGAAACGGCAACGGTGGTGGCGGCGGTGGTCGTGAGTACAATGCTCCTCGTGAGCGAAGGGAGTACCCCAAATCAGAACCCTCCAACACCGTCTTCATTGGTAACTTGTCGTTCCAGGCAACAGAGCAAGACATTCAGGAGGCCTTCTCTGGCTGTGGCGCTATTAACCAGATCAGACTCCCCAAGTACCATGACACGGGTAAGATGAAAGGTTACGCCTACGTTGAGTTTGATGACCTCGAGGCTGCCAAGGCATGTGTCAACATGGGCACTGCCAATATTGCAGGCAGGGATGTTCGATTGGACTTTTCTCAGCCTCGTGCTGAGCGATCGTATGACAATGGTGGTGGTGCTGAAGAGGCTGCCTCTGCTGTGCCAGAGGGCTTCTAAAGATCTTTGCCTTGAACTACTTTACGAGATCTATGCGACGAGATATGCGACGATGACATCTACCTTTACACCCAACATTTCCCAACTACAACAACATCAACTACCCTTCGAGCACCCTCCCTTCCTCAGTGGCGAAAGCGAACACAGCCTGAGGAGAGGACTCACACATAACGGCATCACCATTCTTTCACGACCAAACACCCGAGAAGACAAATGATCCCGGGCGTGTCTCTTTCATCTCTCTCTCTCTTCCTACAGGAGAAAGTCCAAAGAGGACACTGACCATCCCACCATTTTTTGAACAAGAGAACGCAGCGATATACAGGAAACATGAGATGATTTTTGACAAAGTGAGCGAGAGGCAATAGCGAGCTGCTGAGAGATGAAACAGACATTTGAGACTATATTCAATTACCCATTGGCCCATTTCTGATTGCCTTGTGCTTGATCCTTGATCTCCGTGTCCCAAGACTGAATCTGTAGAGTCTTCTTGATCTGCTGTCTTGAGTCTCGAACCTCTCGCGCAACGACAACCGCAAACTACTCACAGCGTGTACACAGACAAACGCGCCCCACTAGCTCTGATGAAGCGCTCATGAGTCGTGACAGCATGGCCATGCCGCCGCCCGTATCGCTGCATCTAGGCCAACGCGTCCAAGCAGCCGATTACCCAGGCACCATCTGTTTCATTGGCAACACAGACTTCTCACCCGGCAAATGGGTTGGTGTTGCGCTCGATGTGCCACAGGGTAAGAATGATGGGAGTGTACAAGGGAGACGGTATTTTGAGTGTCGTCCTGATCATGGCGTCTTTGTACGGCCCATTAAGGTCATTGTGCTACAAGATGAAGAGGATGCACCATCAGCACACAGACCTAGCGCTACAACACCGTCCCGGCTTCAACGTTCATCTTCTCGTCAATCATCAGTGAGTACTAGTGCTGACAATGCGGCGCGAATACAGGCAAGTCCTGTACCATTGCAACGACGTGACTCTCTCAAACAAGTCGTCGCAGCAGCGGCATTCAATGCGCCGTCCCCTACGAAACGTACCTCAGTCGATGCATCCCCGGCTCTACGCCCCTTACTCGCCAATCGTCTTTCTTCACGGACAGTGTCAACAACAAGTACAGCGAAGTCTGGTCTGAACAAATCTCGGCACGTCTCAGCAGCGACGTCAGGGACTGCTTCGCCGTCGCCTACATCAACGCGCACAGGCACACAGCGCAGGACAATCTCTGGGTCTGCATCGCCCTCACCCAACGTCCAGGGCTCTACCACCCCTACAAGCCACGCAGCAGCAGTCCAAGCACTCCAAGCAGAACTCCAAAAACAGGCAGACGATGCACGACGCCGCGCAGAGGTGCATAGTCAACAAGTGAGTCAACTTCGACAACAACTAGCGGAGCTGGAGCACGTCAAGGCTGAGTTACACTCACAAACTGCCGTGAAGGAGTCATTGACGCATGAGCGTGAAGTCTGGCATTCCATTCGAGGCAAGTTGCAAGTGAAACTGCAGGAACAGCAACGTGATTTGTCTACGTTACGTGCATCTGTCAAGGATTTACAGAGTAAGCTGGAGATTGCTGTTGAGCAACGACGGGTGGCTGAAGCGAAAGCAGATGCATTACTCAAGGAAAGCGAAGTTCGCGAGGGCGCACTGGATCAAGATGTCCTTGAGATGGCTATGCTTGATCGTGAAATGGCAGAGGAAGAACGAGATCAACTCAGAAATCAAGTGGCTTCCCTCAAGGACAAGATTGAAGAGCTCGAAGTGGAGCTTGCTCTTGCAAAGGAGGAAGGAGCAGGGGAAGCCAAGGATTCTGCGGGAAGAAGTGTCGAAGCACTCGAGATGCAGAATGGTCGTCTACGCGAAGCGTTGATTCGGCTCAAGGAAATCACCACCGATCAAGATAAGCTCATTGCAAACCTCAACCAAGACAACGAATCACTGACTGATAATGCTGCAGCGACGGCAACCAAGGTGCAGCAACTTATGGCACTCAATGCCACACTTGAGAACCAAGTCGAGGAGCTCAAGGTGCAAGTCGATATTGCTGCAGGCTCCGAGGAGATGCTCGAGAACCTGACTGAGCGCAATTTGACGCTGTCTGAAGAGATTGCCAAGTTGCGAGATGAGCTTGCTAGTCTGGAGGCCTTACGCGAACTGAATGATGAGCTCGAAGAGACACACCAGATCACTGAGCGTGAGCTGGAGCAGGAGATTGCATTGAGAGACTTGCTGGTTTCTGAACAAACGACACGTCTTCTCCAGGCTGATGATCTTGCCTCTGATCAAGCACAGACGATTAGCAAGTTTCGCGAACTCGTACAAGCACTACAGGCAGAACTGACGGCCTTGAAGCTGCAAGACCAGCGTGCAACGCAAGAACAACAAGAAAGGTCAGCCAAGCACCAAGCAGTCATCTCGCAAAACCTGCAGTTACAGGCGACCAAGCTCAAAGCTGGACTTGGGTCATTGGCACTGCGCATGGCTGAAGCAAGAGCAGAGGCAGCTGCTGAACATCTACGCATTCTCGAGCAATATCTTCCGACAACGTACCATACCGCAGATGCGTCTGTGGTGCAGGGATACGTTTCGTCGCGTGTCTTGTCGCAGCGCTGTGGTGCACTGCAAGTTTACTTCTTGGAGCGCCTTGAAGACGTCGGCCTGTCGACTGAGACCCTTCTTCAACATTTTCAGATTTTGTTGGTTCTTGCAGATGTGCTTGACATTGCGCAACGATTAATGATTGCTGTGCAGCGAGCACCTGATGAAAAGGCCTTCTTGAAGTTTGCTTCACTTGATGCAGAAGTACAGCCTGCTCTTAAGAGCTTGGACTTGCTCATTGTGCAAATTCAAAAAGACACTTTCCGGCTTGGAGAGGCCTTGCAGACGATGACTCAAGTCGAAACTCTGCTTGGCCATGTTGCCGACAAGTTTGTTGTGGAACCTGTTGAAATGACTGCAGGCGCCACAATTGAGCAGGTCTCGCTGTATATCAAACAATGGTCTATTCTCGTCAATGCACTTACGCGGAAACCAAATTCAGGAGACACCCTCATGGACGCCTTTCGGGAAATTCAGACTATCCATAAGACTGCAGATGCAGCTTTGCCAAAGTTGGATGCGCTCTTACCTGAGCCGGATGCGGACATCACCAGCGCTCTTACCGTTTCACGACAAGACGCTAGACATATCTGCATTGCGTTCTCTGAGCTACTACAAACGTCATCCGCTTTGGACAGCCCGCCTGAGGTGTCTACCGATTTACTCAATCGACTCAAAGCGTTCACAGCCAGCCTAGCCTCTTGTGAGCGTCTGGCCTCCGACACTTCGCAGTCAAAGCAATTATCAACGCCCAGCAATACTGCATGGCTCGTTCGTGCCAAGCTTCTTCGCAGCTTATCGGCCACAGACACCGAGACTGCCAGCATGATTGCAAAGTTGCAACAGGAATCTCGAGAACTTATTGCTCAATCGCATCTTCAACAACGAGCGCTGGCAGAAGAGCAAGTCAAAGTTGTGGCACTCGAGCGCATCCAAGCCGAGCAAAGAGGCCGTCTTGGCAAGCTCAAGGATTTGGAAGTGGCCGAAGAGCAATATCTCGCTGATCGCAAAGCATACGAGGAAGCAATTGAAGAGTTGTCGAATGACTTGGCAAGCATTCAAGCAAAACTCGCAGAAGTCGAAGCCGCTCAAGAGCAAACCAAGAATGCCGGCACAGCATCACTCTTGTTTGGAACAAATGGAGCAGGCGGTGCCGATGTGCGAGAGGTACAATTGTTGCAGGATGCAGTACAGGCATTGCAACGTCAAAATGGAGAGCTCAAGCTACAGCAGCAAGCACACAAAATTGCATTCTTGCAAAACCCTTTGCGTCCAAAGCATGCTCAGAGCAAAGCAGAGACCATCGACAAGCTCAAGCTGGACAGATCAGAGCACAGGATGCGCCAAGCACATGCAAATGCGGTACGGAGCGCTATGCACGAGGTCAAGCTCATTGATATTCGGCAGTACAACCTGCTCAATACCGAGTGGCGGAAGGGCGATGCCAAACCTCAGTACGTCCACTTGCTTTTGGAGGAAAAGATGGCCAATTTGGTTTTGTCTGAGAGACATCTTGCCTCGCTATAGCCTGTCTAGATTTACTGCTTGGCGCCGTAGCGGCTAACTGCTTTTCCGTCTGGAACGTTGAAGAAGACAATCGGTCTCTCGTCACTCTCGTAGGGCTCGTCTACAATGAAGTATCCCTTACGCTCAAATTGAATGACTTCGCCATGTTTCAACTCTTTGACATTAACATCTGCGACAGCCTCAGTCTTGAACTCCGTCTCCTTGGTCATAAAGTCCTTGACATCGTCGCCTTCCTCGAGCTTCTCCTTGGTGATGAGATGGTCAAAGTCAACAAGCGTCACAGCGACTGGCTGAGGCGATGTGGAGAGCCACGTCAGCTTCTTGCTCGTCTTTCTAAAATCGCCCTCCAAATGCAATGTCATGACAAGCTCCTGCACAGCACCATCAGTCTTGATGAGCCTCGTAACGAAGGCATTTCCCCAGTCCATGAGTGTCAGCTCCTCACCTTCTGTGAGGGTGAGTGCATCCTCAAGGTCAATACAAATTTCATTGGAGTACCAAGTCGTCTTTGTGCCAAGGTCTGGATTCTTCTTGTGCTTTGGAATCGGGCTACTGGTAGGCTCTCCGCCGCGTCCCAGGATAGCAACCTTGACGGCACCAGCAATAGCCGTATGCCGTGGGGCAACAGGATCAATAGACTTTTTATTTGTCGCCCAAATAGCGGACCACTCCAGGTTGTTGTTGTTCTTGGAAGGTCCCTGCGAGAGGATGAATTCACGCAAGCCATCCACTTGCATACCACGACGACGCACACCCCGCACAGTAGGGAAGCGCGGATCATCCCAGCCACCGACGTGACCTTGGTCCACGAACCATTGCAGCTTACGCTTCGAAAGCAGTGTCCGAATAAAGTTCATGCGTGCAAAGTCCCAAATGTGCACTCTGCGGAGGTTGAGTTTCTCAAGGAACCATTCGTATTGAGGGTTACGGTCTCGGTACTCGATTGTTCTCAATGCGTGAGTTACACCTTCGATACTGTCGACCAGCGGACAGCAAAAGTCGTACGTTGGGTAAATTTTCCATGCTGAGCCAGTACGGTGGTGCGTTGTCTCATTGACACGGTAGATAACTGGATCTCGCATGGCCTTGTTTGGGTTGTCAACCGACATCTTGGCACGCAGACAATTGGACTTGCCGATATCAGAGGCATGTCGCATCTCAACTGTGAAGAGCTGCAAATTCTCCTCAATAGTCCGCTCACGTCGTACAGAGGCTTCGCCTTTCATACGCTGATCGCGCATCAGCTCTTGTGCTGTGTCGTCGACATAGGCGTCACCTTGCTTGATGAGCTGCACAGCATAGTCGTAGAGTGTCTGGAAGTGGTCTGATGTGTAGGTCAAGACATCACCCTTGATGCCGAGCAGCTTGAGATCCTGAATGATGGAATCTTCAAACTCTTGCTTCTCCTTTGTTGGATTGGTGTCGTCAAATCGAATGATGAGCTTGCCATTGTAGCGTTGGGCAAAGTACTGGTTGAGCATTGCAGCTTTGGCATGACCAATGTGTAAGTAACCAGAGGGCTCAGGGGGGAAACGTGTCACGACTTTGCCGTCCTCAGCATCCTGCAGACCAATCTCGAAGCTGGCGCTTGAAACATTGGACTTTTTACCAGAGGCAAGCTTATCGGCTTCCTTGGTCTTCTTGTTGGCAGCGACAGTTGCAGAGGTCATTGAAGCGAGAGCAGAGGTGACCCATGGGAGAGCCTCCAGATAACGGAACCATCGACCCAGGTTGACATAGGTTTTACGCACGGCACCACTTGCAATAGGCAGGCTACGGAGGATTCCCCACACCGCCAAATCCGCCACAGTGATTTTGTAGCCTGCAAAGTATGTCCTGAGTGCCAGATGATCTTCCATCTCCCCGAGAGCTGGAGCAATTTGTTTGAAATCACCCGACAGCTTGGTCAGGGCAAAGTCAATCCATTCTTCATCTTGCTTGCTCGAGATTTTGGGAAATGCTTGAGATAATGCAGTCAGGATAGCCTTGTTATCCTTGTGCGTGCTACCACTGGATTGCAGCGATGCAGTTGAGTCCTTCTTGCCATCTTCCAAGAGCGCCTTGTCTGCGAGATCAATTTTGACGCTGTCTGCCTCGACAAGATTGGCGTAGCTAGCCACCAGGTATGGAGCATAGGCAAAGGGCTTACCCTTGAGGGCCAGCGTGAGTTCTGCCATGTCTCCTTCTCGAAACACCTATAGCTGTACTGTGCTGGTTTGAGGTCGTGCGCCGTGACTGCTTGGAGCCGACATTTCTTTTCCTGACATCGACAAGCAATGAACACGGTGAACAGATCGAGCCTTAGACAAGCAGATGGCGGATCAGATCAAGGAGGCAGTGGCCGCCGTCACAGACAAGGTGCAGGCCCTGGCAACAGGCGACAAGGCCCCCGCCAACGAGGCGAATCTGCAGCTCGATGAGGTGACAGGCGAGATGGTATCCAAGAGCGAGTTCAAGAAGCGCAAGAAGCAGCGCGAGAGAGACGCAGAGAAGGCTGCAAAGCAAGCTGCGAAGCCGCCGAGAGAGGCTGTCAAGGCCAAGGTGGAAGGCCAGGATGCACAGGGAGAGGACATCTCGCCCAATGAATTCCACAAGATCCGGTCAGCGACCATCAATGCAATGCGCGGCAAGGTTGCTGAGGGAGGCTTGACCCCATACCCTCACAAGTTCAACGTCTCTCATCGCATCCCAGAGTTCATCTCACAATTTGATCATCTGGCTCGTGGCGAGTCGCTGCAGGAAAAAGTCGTCTTTGTGGCCGGTCGTGTACACAATAAGCGCGAGTCTGGTGTCAAGCTCAGGTTCTACGACTTGCACGGAGAAGGTGGCAAGATTCAAGTCATGTGTCAGGTACAGGATTCTGCAGAGGGTCTTGACTTTGTCGCCATGCACGAACGCATCAAGCGCGGAGATATTGTCGGTGTGCGTGGACACCCTGGACGCACTGCTCCTCGCGGACGCGAAGGTGGTGAGCTCAGTATCTTTTGTGCAGAAATCATTCTGCTCAGTCCTTCATTGCACATGCTGCCTAAGGCGACCAGTGGGCTGAAGAACCAGGAGACTCGATACCGGCAGCGGTACCTCGATCTCATCATGAACAACTCTACGCGCGACAAGTTCATCACGCGCACGCGGATCATCAAGTACATTCGCAAGTTCTTGGATGATCGTGACTTTATGGAGGTCGAGACTCCCATGATGAACATGATTGCCGGAGGTGCCACCGCCAAGCCATTCATTACGCACCACAACGAGCTTGACATGGACATGTTTATGCGTGTTGCCCCTGAGCTCTACCTCAAGATGCTCGTCGTTGGAGGCCTTGACCGAGTGTACGAGATTGGACGGCAATTCAGAAACGAAGGTATTGATCAGACACACAACCCGGAATTCACTACATGCGAGTTTTACCAGGCATACGCCGATGTGTATGATTTGATGGAGATGACTGAGATTATGGTCTCCGAGCTTGTCAAGGAGATCACAGGCAGCTACGAGATTGTCTACCATCCTCAAGGCCCAGAGGGCGAAGCCATGCACATCAACTTTGCCCGTCCATGGCGACGAGTTGATATGCTTCCCTATCTGGCAGAGAAGCTCAAGGTTGAATTTCCACCTGCCAAAGATCTTCAAACACCAGCCGGCAATGAATTTTTGCGCCAGTTGTGCAAGAAGCACCAGGTAGAGTGCTCGCCACCCCACACTAGTGCTCGTCTGCTCGACAAACTTGTTGGTGAATTCATTGAGTCTGAAGGTGTCAGCCCTCTGTTTATCACCGGTCACCCACACATGATGTCGCCGCTTGCCAAGTCGCATAGAGACGTACCTGGCATTTGTGAGCGTTTCGAGGTCTTTGTTGCCACAAAGGAAATTTGCAATGCCTACACGGAGCTGAATGATCCATTCGACCAGCGCGCCCGATTCCAGGAGCAAGCCGCACAAAAGGATCAAGGTGACGATGAAGCACAGCTTGTGGATGAGACATTCTGTACCAGTCTTGAGTATGGACTGCCGCCTACCGGAGGCTGGGGTCTCGGTGTTGACAGGCTGGTCATGTTCTTGACGGATTCGAGCAATATCCAGGAAGTCTTGCTCTTCCCTATGATGAAGCCGCTGCCCAAGTGATCTAGATTGCTATAGAGTATAGTATGCCTACTATCGCCAATGCTATGGAAAGTACTGAGTGTGCAGAGACTGTTCCCGAGACACGGACTGTGGCGTCATGCTTTGGCGCAGCTGTATTGGCATTGCTCAATGCTGAACAAAAGTTGATTCCGTCCTTGTAGAATCGGATACCAAGCATGATTTGATGGTCGATATCGGCAAACGAGACGGAGCTCTGGTATGTGCTTGTACCGCATGAATCGCAGGATGCTGACTTGACCGTAGTATTGCCGCTTGCTGCGTTTGCTTTGGAGATATTCGAAACTGGTATCTTGGAAACGATGAGAGGTACCTTGGAAGTTGTTTGATTCTTGACGACAGATGGGTGTTTCTGGCTTGTGTTGATCATACGCTGGTAGAAGGGCACAATATAAGTGAGACCGGGCAGGTACAAGCGATCGCGCTCTGAGGACCCTTGGCTCGCAACCTTTGGTGCGATGGGCTGACCAGGGATGATCTTCTGAATGTTTTGGTCAATGCCGTCGTCACCTAAGGTGTCTACCGTGTCATAGTAACAATCGATGCACTCTGTTCCTCGACAAGTCTGGCATGATTGTCGTTCTGGCCTTGCCGGATCAATAAAGACGGGCTCAGGGCTCTGAACTGCCATTGGCGGCGAAGCACTTGCGGGCAATACTTGCGATGCCGGATCTTCAGGAACAGCGCCGGGGACAGGAGGCGTAGCGGCAACAGACGACGGACTGAAAGCGGCTTGAGGTACAGGCATGGCAAAAGTGGTCTTCGACCCACTGCATCGGCGATCCTCCTCTCCACTACATTGGAAGACGCCTCTGCCACCGACCGTTTCATTGGATTGGAATATCTCAACGCCAGCATGCACATAGCCTGATTTGCGGTTCAGAACAATGGGCATGATATCTGAACCATGCGTGATGCGTAGATAACGAGCTTGGCCATTGACCTGGAAGAGAGAGTCGATGTAATTGGCAAGGGCAAGATTGCCAACGCGGGGTGCACCATAGGTGATGGTCTGTATCGCCACACTCCCAGATAGACTTCCACTGAAAGCAATAGCCGATAGCAAGGCAAAGCAACCACCAATTCCGTGCCCAGTGAAGGTGATGCCATAGCCCTTCTTGTTTGCTAGAGCTGCCTGAATGAGTTGGTCGAGCTCAGTGTACTGCAAAATAAAGGCAGCCAGGATGTCACTGTTGATGGCAGCTTCTGTAGGCGCTTTAAAGTTGACCATGGGCATCGCAGTCGAAGCTTGAACAAAGCTGGTCCGCTGGTCGTCCAGTTTCACGCAAGAAAGACCATGCATGAATGGATCACCGCGGAACGCAACAATAAACTCTCGATTGGTGTCATCTTGTGCGATATAGCCTGCGGAAAGCATACTTGAAGTCTGTTGCCCAGCATTCTGCCCGAATTGTTGAATCAGCTCGGCGCCGTTTGGACTTCCACATGATGCAACATAGGTGGCGGAGCAAAATTTGGCATAGCGTAGCAAAGTTGTGTATGTCGCATCTGAAATTGTTCGAAGGTCGCCCGGTATTGGAACTTGCGCTGGATTGACTCGTGCTGTAGATTGACCCGGCTGCACTGAAGCTTCCCCTTTACCGATTGGAGTTTTCGGTTCCTGACCAAAGATTGCATTGAGACCATCTGCCGAAGCAGCTTTACTAATGGCCGTGACATTGGCGTTCGTCGAATTGATCGTCGTACTGTTATTGAATAATGGCACGCTGCTGTTGATGAGCGGCAGGTCAATTAAATGTAGTCGACGGACGAGTCTTTGGGTCTCCAGGAAGTCGGCGGGCGTTCTGGCAAAGAGACCATGGAGGGCGACATAGTGTAAGTGCGACGATGGGCTGCTCGTCTCGACCGCTTTGTTCTCTGCAATGCGCTGATGCCCGACAGGCACTGCAGACAAGAGAGTAGCAAGTCGGTCAGCCGAGTCGGAGGGGCGTGCATAGAGAGCTTGCAAGATTAAATGAGCGAAGCGCATGAGTGTTGATGAGCATCTGGACGGTCTGAGCTTAAGTGAAGAGGGATCCTAGCACAGAGCACAGAGCCTGCATCTGAAGCGCGACATTTGAGCAGGACCCGTTTCAAATGGGCACGGATGCTTGATCTCTGCCTGTTACAGGCCAATATTGGTCACAACTTCAGCGACTCAGTTGCCACAGGGGCTTGATGTCAGAAGTTGACACTGGGCCAGATCACAGCACTTGTAGCTTGCCACCTGGCTCGAGCTGCGCGTTACACAAGCCAATCGCAGCTCACAGCCTTCAGCAGGCGATGTATGCTATTTTCTGAAATGACGAAAAGTCCCAAGACAAAGTAGCTGTGTTGGCTGGGAGAGCATGACACACACGCTGCAAAGCCCTCAGTCACAATGATCGCCAAGCAGTACGCCCTCATAAGCGTAGAGAGTGGCCATAGGTATAGCGTGTGTATTCGTCGCGTCGCGTCTCTCCAACTTTTTGTGTGCGCGAAATTCGAAAACAAACACACTTCCACCAGCTACTGCTGGGCTGCCCTCTCTTCTCTTGGTCTTCACCCTGCAACCCCTACTGCTTAACATTGTAAACACGCCTGCTTCTCTTCATTGCTGTCATGGACGACGCCTTTGCAGGCTTTCCGAGTCCAGGTCGTAAATCTGTCCGGCGCACGTACTCGCATCGAGGACAATGCTTGGCTGACGCACTTGCATCGCCAGGCCTGCCTACACCTCCAGCTTCCTCTTCTCCGCCTGCATCGCCTGCTGTCATGTCTCGCTACGTCAACTTTGGCACACAACCAGCTTCAGCGCTCGGCATCCTAACAGATCGCTCCAACGCCTACTCATCGATATCGCAGACACGCCAACAACAACATCATCAACAAACGAAGTCTGCGCAGCTTGTCAAGAAACGCAAGCGAATAGAACCGTTGTCTTCGTCATCTGACAAGAAGCCTTTGGTTCAGATGCAGCTCAATTTACTACCTGCACGCGTGACGTGTGCCGCGTGTGGCATGTCATACACCAGGACCGTTGCTGTTGATATGGAATTGCACGCAGCATTTCACAAAGCCGCCTTACATGGTGTTGCCCTTCCAGCATCCCTTGCAAACTTGTCCTCGACATTGAGCAAGGGCGTGCAAATGCCTAGCATCAAGGGCGCCATGCTAAACCTGATTGCCTATCGTTCCGCAAGACCCGGTGAACGAGCCTTTGTCAAACGCGTTTGTGAGATGGTCGATGTTGAACTCGGCTCAACGCTTCCACCATTGGAGAAGACGGCCTTTACCGCATTCATTTGTTGTCTTGCTGGTCGCTGCATTGGATTTCTTCTCGTCCAGCAAATCACGGAAGCCATGCCCATGACCAGCGAGCATGAACTTGACTTGACGCGCACGAGGAAAGCAGTGCTTGGTGTGAATCGTATGTGGACAGTCAAGTCGTATCGCGGCAAGGGTGTCATGCGCGCTCTCCTCGATTTCGCTCGAATGAAATTGGTGTTTGGGTGTCCGGTGGATATTCATGAAGTTGCCTTTACGCAGTTAAGTGGGTCTGGCGAGATGCTTGCCAAGGCGTACACGGGGACAAATGAGCCGTTGATTTACAGGGACTAGTCGCGAGCTGTGTGGAGTACATGAGTATCATAGTTTCTACGAGTAACACTACAGACAAAGAGCTACAGCAAACAAGACGAGACCCAAGCCGGCCGATTGCAGTGACGATGCACCACCCTGAGAAACAACGATCGAGCTCGTGTTGGAAGTACTCACGGTGTTTGCCTCCACTGCGGGCACACTCGCACTGTTTGAGACTGCATTGACATTCGACACAACAGATGCAGGTGTCACGAGCGTCTGTGCAGCAGCAAGCTTGTAATTGATCAGCGTCTTGACTGTCTGCATCCAGTTAGCTCATGATTGTAGAAAGGTGAGAACTGATACGCTATTTGGCGGGTTGACAACCATACTCATACCGGCTTTACAATGCGTGCCCTGCGAGCAATAAAACCACAATGGCTTTGTATCATTGATGAGAATCGTATAAGTCGATAGAAAACTCGCATTCGCTGCAGTGGGCATATATCCGGAAAAGATGCCGGCTGGGGTACTGCCGTTGGCTGGCAAGCGCACACAAGGTTTGTCAAAGGTTGATTGGACGACTGAGTGGTTCTTTGGGTAGAAGACAAACATAACACGGTCGCCCACCGCAGCATTGATGGTGTCTGGGTTGAACGTCAGGTCCGTCTCACCGACACTGACCTCAAAGAGCTGCTGTCCTTGAACAAGCGGGGTCAGGAGAGCAGTAGCAAAGAGTGAGAGAGTGAAGCGCATGTTGGAGTAATTGATGAGCAAGATTGAACGGATGGAGCTTATAAGAGCTCAAGAAGGTCGATGCGCAAGAGCTGAAGCAGGACAACGTTTGGGCTCGAGCCTCAAATCTCTGTGCGCTGCCGAGATGTGAGAGCAATGACGAAGCAGAAGGCGTCTAGGCAGAAGCTTGTAGCGCAACAGAGCAGAGCACATCCGACAAGGCCATCTACTTTTTGCGCTTCATTTCAGGCTTTGCCAGCTCGGCCGCACGGTCCTTATCACCCTTGACGGACTCTTGCTTCAGGATCTTGAGCTTTGCACCGGCATTGCCAGCCAGCGAGGCAAGCTTGTGTTCCATCTTGCCATTCTGCGACTGCGAGTACTTGGCAACGCGGGTTTTGGTCTGCACGGCGCCTTGCTTCTTTGGTGGAATGACACGCGTACCGCGTTTGACGGGCGCCTTTGAGCGGCCACCGGATGCTGCTGTTGTCTTGAGCTTGCCTGCTCCCTGGACCATGGCTATGAAGGTAGACTTGAGGAAGTGTAGGTCGCTGCTTGTCTGCACTTGGAAAATATCAAATTCGCTTGGACACCGCGACACGACTGAGCAGGACGATGCGCTGGGATTGTACATAGCTTGATTGCATATTCATTAGTAGTATAGTCTGTACAGACACATAAAGAGCCCTGCTCCTACAACCCAAGCACATCCCGCACATTCTTGCGCACCACCCGGACATACTGCTTGTTATCGTCTCGCCACATCTTGGCCGCGTCGATATTCGCCGGTGACTCGTCATTGGGTTCAGCCAGCATACTCATGACACTCAGTAGGACCTTCTCAACGCTCTGGACGGGACTCCACCGCTCACTTGCCTTTTCGTAGCCAAATTGATCATCACCCGGTGCATGCAAGATGGAGATGCAGACATCGCCAGACGGATAAATGTTGGGATGAAATAAGGCGCATTGAAATGTCATGGTCGGCGGAGAGAGTGGGTAGTCTTTGGGGAATTTGAGGATGGCAGGAAACAAGCCGCCTTCAAAAGGTGAGTCATCGGGCCCGGCGAGGAGGGCTTCCCAGAGATAGAAATTGTCCTCTGAGATGGGACCTGCTGTGATGCCGTCTGGTGGGTTGGTTGTGAGGTCTTGGTACTCTTTCATGAGCCGCCGTACGGCCGTCATGGCGTGAGTGAGTGAATGAGTAAATGAGTGTGCGGGTGTGGGTGCTGTCGCGTTGACGTTTGCCAGAATCGATTTGGCGCAGGCAGCAACATTCAAGGGGAAAGCTCAGCAAGATTGGCGGCTACAGCTACGGGAAGACGCTCTCGTGTGTGACAAGAGCTCGATCACATCTGCACGTCTAATCTCATGGCTGGGTTGGTGATCGTGCCTGTCGAACGTTCCATCCATAGCCCGAGTATGCAGCACAAGAGGTATCTTCAAGAATGACGGACCGTTGCTTCAAGCAGATGCATCATGGTATCATGACATTGCCACGGTACAATGGACATAGTGAACAATGCGTCTCATGTCCTTCTGGACGCTTTACCAAGTCTAGCTCATCAAGTGTGGTGGTCTCAGTCAAGTCCTCGAGCGACCACAAACGCAACAATTCCCCGCTGCCAACCGAGAACCCCGACCAACCCTCTTATAAGACCAGCTCTGTCGCCTGCCCTCCGTCTCTTGTATCCAGTCAGCCGCCAGATCACACGAAGCATGACGACACAAGGGAACGCCGCGAGTGCAGAAGCTGAAAAGCTCATTCAACGCAACCCGCATGGTGATTTCAAAAAAGTCGAGGCAGGTCGAGATGCCTACCCGGCGCGTCCATGGCAGCAATTCCAAACACCTCAGCCGGATTGGCAGCCTGGCGGTGGTGCCAACACGCTTGCTGGTGATTGGAAGACTAAGAAAATCATCGACATTGATCCCTATGAGGAAGGACGACCGGCTGCGTTCAACTACAAGATGCTCATCTCTGCCATCACGCCACGACCGATTGGTTTTTTGAGTACGTGTAGCCATGATGGCTCGAAACGCAACTTGTCGCCCTTTAGCTACTTCCAAATGGTTAACCATGATCCTCCCATCTTTGCCGTTGGTTTCGCTGGTTCGATTGAGCGTGCCAAGGACTCACTTCGGAACATCATCGAAACAAAAGAAGCCGTCATCAATACCATTTCTGATCATTTCATTGAAGCGGCCAATTTCACAAGTATCAATGCACCGTATGAGGTGAGTGAGTGGGCATTGTCGGGCTTGACACCCCTTGCTTCCCACAAGGTGACACCACCACGCGTTCATGAGAGTATTTTTACGATTGAATGCAAGCTCGTTGAGCACAGAGAATGGAAGAACCCTCAGGATAAAGTGACGGGCGTAACAATCTTCCTCGAAGGTGTCTTGTTCCATGCACGGGAGGATGCCATCAATCAGGAACGCAACTTGTTGGATCCTGCAGTCTTGAGGTCGGTGAGCCGGCTGGGTGGTATCACGTATGCTACATGTGTGGATGGATATGAGCTGCCTCGACCTGACTTTGACAAGGAGCAGGCAGAGGGAAGACTGGAGGGCCTGATTAGAGAGAAGTAGAGTAGATGGCAGGAAGGTCTCTGTAGAAATCCATCTGATTTAAATTTTATTCTACGACAATCTCAAGGCCCACGGTCGCATCGTCATCTGCTACGCTCCCTTTCTCACTCTCCTGAGGGAGCATGAAGAATCTCGATGGTGCCGCTGGCTCGTCCCTGCCATCCAGTCAGTCGACCAGACGTCGCACACCGCAAGTCATCGCGCATCGTGGGTATAAGCGACTCTACCCAGAAAACACTCTCCTTGCCTTTCGCGAAGCGCTAGGTCCTGGTGGTCATCACTGCGATGGCATTGAGACAGACGTCCATGTCTCTGCCGATGGTGTGGTTGTGCTGAGCCATGATTCAAACCTGAAGCGATGTTTTGGGGAGGAGGGCAACGTGGTTGCTTGGCCTTGGCATGCTCCTAGTGGAGGAAAAGCACTCGATTCTCTACGAACGGTTGCTGAACCCCACGTTGGTATGCCGCGACTGGTGGACGCATTGGCGATGCTGGAGGAAGATGCATTCAAGGATCGTTGGCTATTACTGGATATCAAGCTAAGCAACCACGTCGATGTCATTGGCCGCATTGCACATGTCCTCAAGGGAACACAAGGTGGTCTACAATACTGGCAAGATCGTATCGTCCTTGGCATTTGGCATGACAAGTTCCTCTCACATTGCCGACAGCATCTCGATACATTTGCCATTACACATATTGGTCTGCATACGAGCTATGCGAGTCGCAAGTTTCTCCACAACAAGGCAGTGACGAGTTTCAATATGCAATTGTATGCACTTGCGTGTCCTGCAGGTGAGCAATTTGTGAGGGAAGCGCATGCACTTGGGAAGCAAGTCTTTGTGTGGACTGCGAATGACGTTGATTGGATCAGGTACTGTCAGCATATCCTGCACCTCGATGCATTACTGACGGATGACCCGGCGTTATGCTGTTCACTGGTGGACAATCACACTACTGCTGGAACGAGCGCGACATTTGATACAGCTGTGTTTTGGACGCAAAAACGTCGATGGACTGCGTGGTTCTGGCGGAATGTGCTGTACCTAATCATGCTGGCCCGGATTTACTGGATTTACCGCGACACATCGGGGAAGAAGAAGAGAAAGAATGGTCTTTAGAAGGGTGACAAGAGTGAAACGTTTTTGTCTACATGAAACACGAGTGTGCTGGCAACATTGGAGAGACTGGAATTATAATGGAATTTGTGAAAGCGCCGTCGCTCTGGAAAGGAATGGAAGGGACTGTCAACAGAGTAAGTCTGGGCTACAATGCCTGTTGCGGTACCAAGGAGTGTTTGAGGGGAGATGTGGCCTTGTCTTTTGCCTTTCCCAGCATCTCCATGGCGAATTGCGATGGTGTGCGTCTTGGTTTGGGTTTGATGCGGTTACTGGCTTGTTGCGGTTGAGGCCTGAGGATGGCGCGCTGTGCGACTTCACGCTCGAAGGAGGTCCGTTGCGGTGGCCAGCTTGATTGTGGTTGGAGGGAGGATGCTGGGCTTGTTGGTGTGGGTGGATCTTGCGCATAGATGGGTGCGTCGTAGTTTGGGAGTATACATGCGTCGTCGTCTTCCTGCACGTTGTCCATGAAGCTGAATGGCATGTTTGTCCTAGGCAGTGTATATGGAAAAGAGGAGGATACGGGCCTTGTATATGGTCAAGTTGCTCTTTGTTTCCCAACGCGAGCCCTCAACCAAATCTCAGCCAGACTCATCCATCATCGCCCACCATCCCGGCTGTCAATCTGCCGCACCACAAACTCGAGATCCGGGGAAGTCATGTGACAGAGCCTTGGCAGCAGCAGATAGATGGCGTAGATAGAGTGGAAGTGCAGGCGTGTCTCGGCATGACCACCAGGGCAACTCGGCAGCAAGTACTTCCGGCTTCTTCTCTTGTATATCCCCGGTTTCTATGACTGCCAAATCTACCTGCGCTGGCAATAGCTAGTCACAAAACAGGTAGCTTCTACTCAGCTACACAGTGATGACCCATAATACCCTCCATCCATGCGACAAGGACCAGCCTCTCAGCCTTTGCAATGACCCTTCTTCTGCCCTGTTTTGAGCCTACTGCCATGATGACATAAGACACTACAAGACAAAGACAAAGACAAAGCAACTTCACCACAAAGCAAAAGCATCGCCCTTTCGCGCATGTCAGCAGCAGCAGGCGTCAGATCCATCGACGCAGCACGATCCTACTGTCGCCAAATCCTACAGACCTTCGACCACCCTTCCTACCTCCTTGCCGCATTCCAACCAGCTCGCAGTCGTGATGCATTTCTTGCTCTACGCGCCCTGAATGTCGATTTGGCACTCGTCCCAGACCAGGTCACGCAAGTGGCCGTAGGGAAAATGCGTTATCAATTTTGGACAGAGACGGTGGATCGTTGTTTCAAAGGTGATCCACCAGCCCAACCTGTTGCCGTTTTGCTAGATCATGTCTTGCAGTCTGGTATTCAACTCACAAAACCCTACCTCCTACGAATCATTGCTGAGCGGGAACGACGCATTGAAACTATGCAGTTTCATAACTTGAGTGCATTGGAGAGTTACGCGGAACGGACCTACTCGACGCTCTTGTACTTGGACTTGGAGTCCCTCGATATTCGCAAACCAGAAGTCGACGAGATTGCACAGCATATTGGTTTATCCATGGGTATCGCCTCGACGCTCCGTGGGATCCCGTACTATGCAGCGAAAAAGATGGTGCCGCTTCCAACAGATATTTGTGCAATCCACGACGTCAAGCAGCAGGATATACTGCGTCTTCAAGGAAAGACTGGTGCCTCTCTCTCAGGCCTACAAGATGCCGTGTTTGACGTTGCCACCCGTGCAAACGACCATCTCATCTCTGCCTCTACAAAACTCGCAGCATTGCGTTTGAAGTGGAAGGAGCTAGGGAGACTTGCCATGCTTGCTGAAGTGGAAGCAGTCGCATTGAATGCAGTCCCCAGTCAGATGTTTCTACAGCGTCTTGAAAAGGTCAATTTTGACCCGACTCGGCCGTCATTGTTGAAGCGGGAGTGGACAATGCCGTATAGGCTATGGCGTGGATTCAAGTAGCATCGATCAGCATTGACAGCATAGCATTGCATAGCATCACATAGCATTTCTTTTAAAATAGCGCGTCTTGGTCCTGAAATGCATCTTGAAAAGTCGCGTCCTACAGTCGCGTCCTACAACACCTCAACAGAAGGACACACGCAGTCACCCTACCATATCATGTCCACAGGCCGCTCGCCGCCTGCTTCTGCCGACGCAGCACTCTCGCTACCCGACCAAAAGAAACCCAAAATCGAACAAGGCTCACCTATGAGCGACTCAAAACAAGACATCCCAGCTCAAGTGGGCGGCATTGACACGGCCCTGCTACGTAAACTGCCACGCGCAGCTCTACTGGATGTACTATACCAAGCATTACCTACCAGCACGGCATTGCAAGCGATTGTTCTTGAGAAATTACAGACCGCGACACTCCTTGCTGCGGATACAGTCGAGGTAGAAGATACACTCGAGGAGATCGATGGTACCCGCGGTGATGAATGGGAAGATGCCGAGTCGGGTGATGACAATGATATGACGGAACCTGAAGATCTCTCAGGTGAGGAGGAAGAAGAGGAAGATGAGTCGCATCTCGATGAACGACTACGTGGATTATCACCCCTTGCAAAGCTCATTATGGAGATTATGAATTCTGCACCGGCGCCAGAAGGGGGAATGCCGTGGCGCGAGTTTGAAGGGATTTGGCCACCTGTCATGGGCACGGTCGCAGAGGCTATCAAGGAGTGTCGAGATCGTGGTGTCTTGGTCACGGCAGACACAGACGACGACTTTGTGGTGTCGACTATGCCGATGGCAGATCAGGCAGCTGTTTGATGGCAGATAGCTGCAGGCAAGATTTCTGATTGCATGTATAAGGAAGGTAGAAATTGCCATGACTTGGTGCCCGTTGCAGTGCATCTCATGAGAGTCGCGCAACCTGCACCTTGACCTGCACCCACACAAGCTCTCATCGCTAAGAGACCGCTCAATTCTGCTCAATCATGGGCCAAGACGCTACCCTGACCTATGCTACTATCTTTGTCCTCCTCATGACCCTCGCGGCAGCTCTCACTTTTGTCTTTGCCTTCACGCGCGCAGGAAGGCTCGTTGTCGACAATACAAAACTGCGCCTACGCAGCCTCGTTACAGGCGAAGGCCGCATCAGGCTCTCTGAAGACCCCCCTGCGTAAAGCCTTCAGGGACTGAATCGATGAGAAAAAAAGGTTTTCCCTTGTTTGTCGAAACCCCCCGACGTCAAGCTGAGCAGCGCCTTTGCCATTTTTGTTTCATAAGTTGCTTGGGTCGGTGCGCAAGCTTGCCTGGCGACTGGCGACTGGTGCCTTGTGTCTTTCAATGGCGACGCCTGCAGAGGCCTATGTACAGACTGCGCAGCCGGCTGTCGCAGCAACTACCCCTTTAGCGACCAAGAAGCAACGTCAGTGGCCATTCCCAAACACGCGAAAATGGTTCATGCAGCGTAGCCTAGCGACACGTATTCAAATCGCAGGCGGTATTTTTGTCTTTGTGCTGGCGAGCATCTTGATTGCCATCTTCTCGCACCGACTACAGAGGAATCTCGACCCTATTGCGCAAAAACTGCAGCACATCAAGGCTGGTTGGCTGATTGTCTGCAGTCTCATTGCCCTCGTCTCGATACCACCGCTATTCGGGCATGAATTTCTTGCTGCCGTCTCAGGTTTCGTGTATGGCATGTCAAATGGCTTTCTCATGGTCATGATAAGTTCCATTGTTGGCGAGTCGTTCGTTTACTTTGGCTTTCGCTACTTCTTCAAAGGCCAACTCGACCGGTTTCGTGAGCGCCACAAGGAGAACTATGGTGTCTTTGTTGGCGTTGTTGAAGATGGAGGGTTGCTGATGCTCTTCTTGATACGGATGAGCATCATCCCACCACACTTTAGCACGCCCTTGTTTTCAAGCTTGGAGACCATCACCTGGGCACGCTGGATGATGGCCAATGCTCTTGCCAGTCCAGTCAAGTTCTTTCCACCAGTCTATGTTGGCGTCTTGCTTAGAGACAAAGCACACAACTCAATTATGGGAAATATCGCATTCGTGCTATCGACACTCATTACAGTAGGTACCATGTGGTTCATTGTCAGAGCGTACCGGGCCAAGAGGCAATCCATGGAAGACGCAGCACGTTGTGAGGAAGTAGCAGAGATGGAGATCATTCCTGATCCCGCAGCTGCTGCAATGTCGACCGCATCATCACAACGTCGGAAACCAGTCATCTACGAGAGTGACGGCACCCACGCGCAATGGTCTGCGCCCAAATTACCACCACCGGCAATCATCGTCACACACTAATTTTCCGTCTTGTCAAGTACCTGCCGTGGCGCTTCTCCCTTCTCGCATAGCTCTTGTAGATTCAACTTCCGCAGGACGTCAAACTTCTCAACAACGCTGACCCCGAGAAACCCGCGAATCGCTTCAATGAGAATAATGCAATCGTATGCTTTCAAGTTGACTTGATGCGCACCGAGTCGCATGACTTGGGAAGCAGTCTCTGGAATGACCATATCGCGCGTGAGCTGATCTTGATTGCGAAATGTCGGCTCGACTCGATACTGACGCTTCACAATTGTTTGCCGTTGTTCTTCATCTGTCTTTGCAGATGATTCGCCAGACTCTGCATCGACCCCTGCTGCATTTGGATCGCGACAGCTAAAGACACTAGGCAAGACACGCTCTAGACAGGTCTTGAGACCCGTAATGCTCGCATCAGCAGAAGCAGAAATGGGTGTCAATCTGCGCACAAAGCGACCTCCGAGCTTCTTTCCTGGTTGAGCGAGCTGTGCTTGACATAAATCAGCAACCAACAAGACTGGGTTGATTTCTTTGGCTGTTTTGATGAAGACAACGCATTCGAGATTCGTTTTGAGCGGTATGAGCAAGGCTGGCTTGCCTTTTTGTGGAGCTCGTGCTTCTTTTAGAGAATCAAGCTCTTGTGCAATGGATGCTTCGATATCTTCTTCTGCATCCGAGACTTCGACAGGGGTCAGTTCTGGAAGAGCAGCTTGCAAGGACTTGACATAGTTGCTGTCGAGAATCATTTCTATGGCATCTTTTTCAGCAGCTTTCTCTTTGCCACGCACACAAGTGACAATGACACCGACGGCACCAGGCGTCAGTTGGTTGAAGCGATCATGCTGATATTTCTTGGAGCGGCGGCCATCTTTGGCCTCTGATTTGCGTTTCTCCCCACCTTCAGTCATATTCGACAGCAGTATTACAGTGTTTAGTGAAGAGTCAAGGATAGGCGCTCGTTTCATTTTTGCTGTGGCGAGATAGCCGACCGCACGAACGGCAACCACACCAACTAGATGTGTAGTTCTAAGTGCTGCTAGATATGGCGCTTCTGATGAACATTGAAAGCTGGAGACTATGCCAACCCACCCTGCTGGACTAGCTCGGCTCCCATTGTGAGCCAGCTGCGAGGAATCGTAATATTCTGCTCTCTGCCCAAAAACTCATTGAGCCAGATCGGATTGGTCAACCTTGGTCTGCCACGTAGCGTCAATGGCAAATCTGATGTTGCCTTAGGATCAATGGCATCCGTCAGCTCCTTATCAGTCTGCAGCATCGCCAAATTTGCATGGCCCGTTGCTTTGAGATGAGTAGTTCCTGGATGGAGGGCAACACGATCAACTTGCACCTCCGCAAACTCCTTTCCGTTGTGAAGAACAAACAATCCAATCTCTCCAAGCCAGACACGAATCGTGTATGGTAGCGAAAGATCTACCGAAGCTGCTGCATTGACAACGCTTCCATTCTGAACTTGCTTGACTTTTGGGTTTGTTACAAACTTGGCGAACTTCATAAAGTCTGGCACCCGGGGCGTAGGCAAGTTTGCTCGCTGCACTTTTACGTGTGCTTCTCGGGCAAACAGCTTGACTGTCACGTCGCCAGCCAGAGATACCTTTGGACGAGCGTGTGCATGAACAGATGTCTCAATCATGTTCAAGAGGGAGTCAACATTGCCCGGATCGTAGCGAATCCCGAATCGAATCATGTCTGTATTTGCTGCAGTGGCAGGGACCGCGACACGCATGATTTGATGCTCGAAAATACTGTCCATGATTGTCAAATTGAATGGCTCGACGGAGATGAAGCTTGGACCTGGTCGCGTGTTGCGCATGGCGACATCAAAGCCGTCATCTCCAATTGAGATGATGCTCAAGTCGAGAACATCAGGGTCTGGCTTCCTGTTCAAGTCCAGGATATCTGTGATGCTGCGATGCCGAAGATGCTGCTCGACTTGGGCCAGCTGGCTGTGAATCGTATTTCGCACAATGACAGGCCAAAACATAAGCACGGTAAGGAAACTACAGTCAGCTGTGATACCAATAGGTGAGGTATTACATGAAAAGGATGAAGACGTTGGAAATGAGGAAAATCAGGGTGGGCCACTTCTGCAGCCATGCTTTGCGTGTGGGATCTGAGAGGAAGGGAATAGAACGCTTTGCCCAATTCGCATAAGGGTCTGCAGTTCTGCAAGTCTCTGCTGCTGCTGTCCGCTTGGTCTTCGTTGGCTGAGCTGCTCCCATGTTATTGAAAAGCAGAAGTGGCGCTTGCAAGTACAAGACTGCCTGTACAAACGACCAACGTTTCACTTGTCCAACACTATCGTGATAAATTTGGCAAACATCTTGACTTGTCTTGACTTGTCTTGATCCGTTTGAACACCATCAACAAGAAGCTGTGCTGCTTGCGCTCTTCACTCGAATCAGGGCATTCAAATGTGAATCCTGGTTGCGTGCCATCTCGTAGATTTGCCTGTTCACATCTCGAGCTCAAGTAGTTGTACAGCTCGCCCAGGTGCTCCTCAAAATCCTCAAACTCAGAGTTTCCTTCATCTGCTGACTTCTGTTGTACAATCAGAGCTCATCTTGACCAATGTCAAATATCAGGCTAGCTGGTAAAGTAGCTCTCATCACTGGCGGTTCGCGAGGCATTGGTCTTGCAATCGCCAAAACCTTTGCTCAGCATGGCTCTAGCTGTACTTTGATAGGACGAAAGGAAGGATCACTGCGTGAAGCAATCAAGCAGTTAGCCTCGAGTGAGGCCCAAAAGCATGACATACTTGCTTTTGATGTTGGTCATGGACACGCATGGGACTCTGTCGACAAGAGTGGCAACCAAGTTGACCTTCTTGTCAATGCTGCCGGTACGGATGCCTTCAACTAGTTGAGCTGACGGTAGGCATCACACACTACAGTCTCCTGCCACGCACGCCACAGCATGTCATGGACGAGATTGTGCAAGTCAACCTGCTTGGTACCATCTATGGCTGTAAAGCAATCAGCCGCAAGATGCTCTCCAACAAACAAGGTGGATGCATCATCAACATCTCTAGTGCACTTGCACATCGAGGTGGTGCTGGCAGTAGTGTCTACGCAGCAACAAAAGCCGGTCTCTTGGGCTTCTCGCGAGCTTTGGCAGAAGAGCTGGGGCCACGCGGCATTCGTTGCAATGCAATCGCTCCTGGCTACATCGAGACAGACATACTTGCTGGTAAGCAACATCTCCTTAGGGAAGGGTTCCAGCTGACTCCAGGAATGACAGATTCCCTGAAAAGCCAGGCTGCTGGCAAGAGCAGTATCGGTCGTATTGGCACTGCAGCTGAAGTGGCCGATGCTGCACTCTTTCTTGCTACAAATCAGTTTGCTAATGGTATGACTCTCACGTTGGACGGAGGGCTCAGCTATGCCTGAACTCAAGTTTGTGACTGCGCCTGCATCTGCATCATTGTTCGAGGCAGCTATCAACTCTTTGAATAAGGCGATGCAGCATGGACGATTCGATTATCGACAATCTCCTCGACGAATGCTCGCAGCTTCGTGTCTTGATCGTCGGCGCGTCGCGTGGGAAAGCTCAGCTCATTCGCGAAGTGTTTGGCGTACATCGCATCACGCGCTATCCACCCGACTTTTCGCGTGACGAGGAGATTTATTCCAAGGAGAATGACCTTTTCATTGCGCATGTGTTTGATTCATTCGAGGGCGTCGATGCGGTGCTCGAAAGGAGAAAAAGGGGCGAGCCGGATGAGGTGATACATGCTATTTGGCACTACATTGATGCGCAGGATGCGGTTGAATTAGTGTCGGGCTCGAGTGAGCTTGCTTGTCCTGCGGCGGTTCGCAAGAGTGGTATCCCCGTGCTGACGATCTTTGGTCGGTTCGACAATATCGTGACACGATCAGAGGCGATAGGTGCACTGAGGCGGCAAGGCAAACCGTTGTCGGACGGGGACAAGGCGGATGCGGTGCACATACGGTCAATTACCGAGGCGATTCAGCTCTACTTGATGCAGTATCCCAAAACTACAATTATCACGAGCAAATTGCCAGGCAGCAAGCTCAAGCTCGTGGATGTCATGCTTGCTCAGCTCAAGTCAACACAGGCAAAGATGCTCTTCATTTCTGCACAGCGTCTGAGCGCTAGTCTCAAACTCGACACGTCGCTCTCAATTGCTATGAAGCAGTTCCTGGTTGCTACCATCAGTAGTGCGGTCCCCATTCCCATACCCTTTGCTGGATATGCGACCACGACAGCAGTGACTGAAAATATCAAGGCAGACATCGTCAAAGTCTGGAACTTGCATGATCCAGAGATCTTGCTGACTGGGACACACGACAATACGACCATGATGGATACAATTACAGCTATACCGGTTGAGACTGCCAAAATGCTCGTCTTCATGATCCCAGGGCTCTCTCAGATCAAGGGCGTGCTCTCGTTGCCAAAGCTGGCAAGGACATTGGGTGGGCTGATGATTGACTTGGCGCTCATTATGGAGCGATTGTTCCTGGCAACACAGCTTGGAGCGGATATCGGCGAACTCTTGGCTACACCTGCCCGCCTCCAAGCAGCACTACCAGCCAAGCTTGAGTTGCTCAACGGAGAACGTCCATTCAGTCCTGAAGTCCTTCGAGCGAGACGGGAATTCATGTCGCCGCCCATTTCAAGACCTGGCACGCCGTCGAGAGTTGCGCCTGTTGCAGTGGATGCTCGACCCACACCACCGCCAAAACCACCTCGACCGGGATTTGCTGTGGCGACGCCGCCTGCGAAACCTCCGAGACCGTCTCCTTTGGATGCTTGTGTCACGACGCCGCCCGCAAAGCCTCCAAGGCCAGGACAAAACTCACCTGCTATGAGAACGCCAGTTGCTCGTCAGCCAGTCATCACAGCGACGCCATTGAAAGAATTGACGAAGGACACACTTGTTCAACCAGCTGCATCGGCAGTGACACGAGAACTGTTGGATAGCGTAGTGAGGGGATATGAGCCGACCAAGCAGCTGGTGGCAGCCGAGCTAGAGACCTTTTTTGATTTTGAGGAGGGTGGATTGACCAAGTCGTTCAAGAAGGACACGGTACAACGCAAGTTGAGCGAGATTGTTCAACGTCATCGACTGAGCGAGGCTTTCTCGTGATCTGTAGAGTAAAGGGCATAGGCATAGCATGGAAGGAAGGACTTGTAGAGATATGTATCAGTATTCCACTAGGCTTGCTTGTTCTTGTTCCTGGCCACTCAACGACACTTTTCGAAAATGCATTTTGTTTCGACGCAACAGATACTTGGCTACAACACTTGAAAGATGCCGCCGCCAATGCCTATCACGATGCGCGGGACTGGTAAGCTTGCAGCACCAGTCGCCAAGGGAAAGCCTATGCGGGCGCGTTATTTTCCGGGAAAGGCACCCGGCGCAGAGGTTTCATCTGGATCTGAAGGAGAAGATGAGGATGCGCCTGGCGCCAACGATGCTGCAGACGAAGAGGAAGATGCTATTCCAGCGGAGTCAACAGCTCCACGGATACAGCAACCTTCGAATGTGCTAGGGGAAGTACCTGCTGAGGCTTCAGAGAGCGAGTATGAGACAGATGAAGAAGGCTCATCCGAAGACGAGCCATCCGAGGAAGAGGAAGAAGCACCACGTCGTGTCTTGCCCAAACCCATCTTCCTCTCAAAGTCTCAACGTGCTACAGCGCCAGCTACAGACCAGAGCGGCCTGGATGAACAGGAACGGCGTAAAGCAGAGTCACGCAAGCGGATAGAGGAGCAAATTCGTCTTGAAGCGATACGGCAGGAGGAAGAAGCCCTTGCGCGGGATGAGGGACAAGCAGAGGTGGACGATACGGATGACCTGAATCCTGAAGCAGAGCAGCAGGCTTGGCGACTGCGCGAGCTGCAACGGATAGCGCGGGAACGACAGGTCATTGAAGCGCGTGAAGCAGAGCGCGAAGAGGTGGAACGCCGTCTTGCAATGCCAGAGGACGAGCGACTCAAAGAAGATATGGAGCGTGTCGAAGCCGAAAAGGCAGAACGGGCTGCTGCGCGCGGACAGATGGGCTTCATGCAAAAGTACTATCACAAAGGGGCGTTTTATCAAGAGGCACTTGGTGATCGCGATTTTTCTGCTCCAGTGGAAGCTGAGCGTGTAGACAAGATGGCTATGCCCAAGATGATGCAGGTGCGGAATCTGGACGACGTGGGCAAGCGTGGCAGGACCAAGTACACGCACTTGGGTGACCAGGACACAAGTGCTGGCGACCGCGCTTGGCAAGCAAGTGGGAACAAGCGGCTGCTGAGCCAGATGGGCGGTATGAAGGACGAGCTTGATCAGCGGAAACGCAAGGCTACCTGATTGCTGCTCCATGCTGGGTCAAATATGACTGCTCTTGGTGCTTGTCTCACAAATTGCTCCGACTGCTTTTGGACGCGACTCATCATGCGCACAGTATAAAAAGGCCGTCTTCTCCTCTGCTCATCTCTACAGAAGCACCTGCAATATGTCATTCCTCCGTCGGCGCCCAGCAGGCGATTCACTTTTGCCCAGCTCAACCGATTCAACACAAGCGCTCAAGGACATGGAGGACAAGGAAGCATGGCGCGCAAAGCCGCGCGTAGAGAAGCTCAGACTGGCGCGTATCGAGCAACGGAGACGGAAACAACAGAAGCAGCGCAGTCCGCTGTCACTTGGCTTTTGGACATGGCAACGGATATTGCTCATGTTGGCTGGCGTGATGCTGGTGACGCTGCTGCTCTTTTTGCTGTCACAGCATAAGCAGCAGCGCATCAAGGGCTTCAGAGAGCATGGCGGCTCCTGGGCCGCGCGGATGGGAGGGATGTTGGAGGATGCTGTTGGGCTATAGAGTCTTTGTGACTGTGACCGGTGCATCTACACTTTCTGCTTACACGACCACAAGATGTTTCCTCTCTCATTCTCTTTCATCTTGGTATAGCGCATTTGCATTAGCATTTATGGACATGTCGCGACGTGTACTGCGTTCTCCTTGGCTCAGCAGACCAAGGCCTTGCTGCAGACTAGCCGTCGAGTCACCGACAACAAAGATACGCTATGCTTCCACGATGGCGCCTCGACGTATCGATCCGCGCCTCAATCAACGGCATACCAACGGTCTTCTCTACGGCTTGGCAGTGCTCATCGGTACGCTCGGCATGTCGTACGCTGCAGTACCGATGTATAAAGCTTATTGTCGCACAACTGGCTTCGGTGGAACACCCGTGACGGATGCTGAGCGATTCACGCCAGATCGTATGACAGCGCTGAGTGAACAGCAAGCGAAACGGATAAGAGTCACTTTTACATCACAAGTTTCAGATAGTCTACAGTGGAAGTTTACACCGCAACAACGACAAGTCACGGTATTGCCTGGTGAAACGGCATTGGCGTTTTACACGGCAACGAATCTATCGGATGAGGATATCATTGGCATTGCAACATACAATGTAACACCTGATATTGCTGCACCGTATTTCAGCAAGGTGCAGTGTTTTTGCTTTGACGAGCAAAAACTCAATGCAAAGGAGACGGTGGATATGCCAGTCTTTTTCTTTATTGATCCGGATGTTGTGGATGATCCACGTATGAAGGAAGTGGACCTCATTACACTGTCTTACACATTCTTCAAGGCGCGGTATGATGCAAAGGGTAACGTCGTGATGCCGGCGACGCACTAGGATTTGAACTTTATAGACCACACACGAGTGGATCTCACCATACTAGTCGAAACGGCTTGCTTCGAAGCTTTTTTCGGGGTTTTTTCGAAAAAGCATTGCGCTGGCCAGCCTGTCTGGTCTTGTGGTAGGCTTGCTACGGCAATCCTTACTACAAATACGCTGGGGAACAGCATCACTATTGAGACTAGCACTGGGAGTGACGAGATATGCTGTGTCTCTTATGACCAGCCAATTTGCCTTACGGCACTAAAGCGTTGTTCTGCGTGGAGAGCTGGAGGCACCTTGTGCGGAAGGTTCTCTGTTTTGCTTCCTTCTTATAATGGAGGACAGTAGTTGAGCTGAATACGACGTAGCTTTTTTTTAGCTAAATCCCACCACACACACTTGCATAGCAAATTACCACTCGCTTACTCGCATCTTCTGCTCATTCTGCTGCAATCATCTAGCTCAAGCTCAAGGTACGCTGTTGCCTTGCTACACACTGAATGGGCGACCGCAATCCAGAGGCGACAGTCTATGTAGGCAACCTCGATGAAAAAGTAACAGACGAACTTCTCTTTGAACTCATGCTTCAAGCTGGCCCACTCGTCAATGTCTATATCCCAAAAGACCGCGTGATGGGCAGTCATGGTGGTTTTGGGTTTTGTGAGTTTCTCACTGCAGGTGATGCAGAGTATGCCGTGAAAATCATGCATGGCATTAAACTCTTTGGGAAACCGATTCGTGTCAACAAGGCGAGTGCGGATAAGAAGCAAGAAGGTATTGCAACGAGTATTGGCGCTGAGCTGTTTATTGGCAATCTCGACCCGCTCGTGGATGCACGAACGCTACTCGATACGTTTTCAGCATTTGGTCAACTGTTGCAACCACCTACTGTGACGCAACAAGCAGAGACTGGGAAACGCTATGGATTTGTCACGCTTGCAACGTTTGATGCTGCTGATGCAGCCATTGCAGGGATGCATAATCAATTTCTAATGAATCAGTGTGTCACGGTGCAGTATGCGTATAAAGAGAATGGTACGGCAGGTGGTCAACGGCATGGCGACAAAGCCGAACGGTTACTGGCAGAGCAGGCAAAGAAGAATAATATTCAATTGGTGCCTGTAGAGCAGCCATTGGCGTTACCTGCTGGTTTCACAACAGCTGCGATGGGTGGGTTTGTACCGCCGCCACCGCCCATGTCCTGAGGACCCGCGAATTCAATATGCATATGCAGATTCTAGCATGGCACGTCTAATAGACATATGGAATGATACGCCAAGGGACCTTGGCTTTATACGCCAGCCAATCCTTGCCATACTTACGACTACACTTATCCTCATCTCTGCGTTCGCGATGAATCAACAAAACGGCAAAGTAAACGACATAGAAGTAAGTGAGCGGCATGCCAAATCCAGTGGGTAAGCAATACGACCAAGCCATGATCCAATCACCCAAATAATTGATGTGTCGTGCTTTCCCCCACCATCCATCACAGAGTAATTTTGTGCCACGCTGTGTTTGGATGAATCGCAGGTCCTTGACGCTCGCGTGCGTTGGGTCATTCCTGAAGCGATCTTTTTGTGAATTGGCACTGCGAAAGAGGTAGAATCCAATAGCTTGCGACGCTACCACTGCTGCGAGAATTGGCCAAGAGAGGGTGACGGGGTGCAAGGCCAAGTATCGTGATTGCTGAGAATACACAAACGGGACCCAGCAGAGATCACCGAATGCTAGCATGAAACCGAAGCCATCTGTTGTGATATCCATGGTTGAGAGGACTTTTTCCTCATTGATGACGGAATCGGTTGCATACCAGATTTGAAAGGCACAGACCAACAGCATACCAAGGCCCACGGTGCCTGTGGTATTATACTGATGCATCAGATTGGCGAGGTTCAGTAAGACCCAGAGGAAGAGTCCTGGTCGCAGTTCGCAGAAATACTTGACATCAAAGGATCCATTGAATAATCGTGGATTCAGGTGCCGTCCAATGAAGAAATCATAGATGAAGATGCCACTATTGCCACCATGTGCAAGGAGTGCTTTATCTTGTGTATACGACGTTGTGTAGCTCCATAACGCCAATCCAATCGATGCCAAGAGGGATGCTGTGAGGAGTGGCAAGGTCTGTTCCCATAACGGTTCCAGGAATTTTGGATTCATAAATAGCCCAGCTACAACCACAGCGAGGATGAGTCTGAGGGATGAGAAGCCATTGATTTTATAGCTTAGCTTGGTACCTGTGACGAGGGGTTGGCCTTGTACTTGCTCACCTGGCAAGAGGTAGTATAATGCCATTAAAAGCAGGAACCATGCAGCATACAGCCCACACGCTTGAAGAGTCAGGAAGTCTTGGAGTGGTGGTAAGATAGGCAAGCTGGCTGTTGCACAGTGTGTGGGTGTGCACGCTAGAAAGAGCCAATACGTGAGAAGTGGTGTGCCTATTGTCACAGCAGCTGCACCGACAGGCCCAAAGAACTCGAAATGAGTTGTTTTGGGATTGACGGTATCCATCTGTAATAGAGGCCAACTTGACTAGCAAGAGTGAGAGGAAGCAGACGCAATAGAACAAGGACTTGCAGAGTTGATTGAGTCGCGCTCTGTGGCCTGATATGTGCATTCAGATGGGAGAGCTAGGGGAGCTCCTCTTCAGATTAATGCGCGACTGGAAGATGCAAAGCGACGTGTCCAGAACAGAGAGACGCGCATCAGCAACGATGGTCAATTTGTGGAGTCTCAAAGATCTAAAGGCAGAGTCAGACGATGTCATTCCCACTGTACGTCGTGCTTCATCTTCAACAGACTTCTTTGACTGACATACCGTAGTGCTTGGAGAAGCTAGGCTACAAGCAAGACCACACACACCTGGACACACGGCTCTTCTTTGGCTTCACAGGTGTCCTTGCAGCTGTCCTCAGTGGTCTTTATGATTACAGGTATGGCTTTGAAGCAGGCAAGTTGTATACGGCTATCGGTGTGGTTGTGTACTTCCTCGCTTATGGCGCAATGCTGGGTTACCAATATTTCGTGGAGGATGGTGTTGTCTATGTTGGTAGGAAAGCAGGCCAGACGATCTCTATCCGAACCAAGACGGAAACAAAGAAACCTGTGTATCAAGTGGTGATTCAAGTTGCTGGGCAAGCCGGCAAGTTGGAACGTCAGGAGTTGTTTACAAAGTGGTTTGACACGGATGGCAATATCGTCAAGGAGCCTTTCATCACTTGGCTGGGATTGGTTGTGCAAGAGGCAGAGGGTAAGAAGAAGCAATAGTCACAGGTCATCAAGTCTTCCTTAGAAAATGAATGTACTAGCCTGATGTTGGCAGATATATGTGTGTTTTATCGTTCTTTGAGATGCATCTCTGCAAGTCTAGAGGCAGTGTCAGAAAGTCAATCGGTGTACCCCTTCACTGCCAAAAGAAAGGGTCGTTTGGGATCTGTTGTTTCGTAAGTTTGAACAGTTGAGAAAGCCGGGTGCAAGAAAAGGGCATCCTACTGTCCTTCAGTCGCAGCAGTTTCCTTCGACTGACCCTCCGTAGGCTTCAACAAATTGCGCAACCACTTGTTCTCCAACTCCAATTCTTTGACACGCGATTCGAGCGTCGTGCACTTATCCGTCATTTGCTTTGCAGTTTCTTGAAGAGCTTGCTCGCGCTGCTTCTTCTTGACTCGGAAACGCGCAGAAGCTTGCGTGTTGCGACGCCGTTTATCCTCTTCTTCGAGCGATTTCGTCATTTTCGAACCTCCTGGCGTCGATGGCGAAAACGCATCCACCTCAATACCACCAGTTGTGGTGAAGTCCATTTGAGCGAGTTTACGCTTCTGCTCATGGGATGATAGATCCATGGCTGCTGATGGCAGGGTTTGTTGCGCAGTGGGTGTATTGAACATGTAATTGAGATCCAGTGTTTGAGCGGGCGCAAAGGCCGATCGTATCGTTGGTGAAACGCTCTTACCGGATCGCTTGACACTCCCCTGCTGTTGCGGTTGAGTTGGTAGGTCATACTGCGATGAGGCGTAGTTGTTGGTTGGGAAAAAGGCGGATTCTTGGTCGAGGAAGCTGCTGTTGGTGAAGAGTTCGAGTTCCTTGGAGAGGTCGGCGGCTGCATAGGCATCTTGAGTGATGTCGTCGCCGGGCTGGGTGAGGTTGAGCAGGTTGAGGTAGTGCGAGGAGGGAGGCATGATGAGAAGATGCGCTGCTTGATTGTCTTTTTCAAGTGATTGAGAGGGGGGCGAGGAGGAAGAGGGAGAGTGGCCTGGTCGCTGTGAGGGTGTTGTCTGTTGCTGTGTCTGCTGCTGTGTCTGGTATGCTGCTGGTAGTGCTCCTTCTTGGTTGTTGGATGGGTTAGAAATCAAGGCGACCAATTTCGGGCGCTCCTCTGACTACAGCGGCTACCAGTTATTGCAGCGACGACAGCGACTGGATCAGACTGAGACTGAATCAGCGGAGATCGATCGACTGGCCTAACCCCAAGTCATGATGCCATCACACGTGAAGAGCAGTCACAGCTCAGTAAACATAGTAGTCAAAAAGATAGTCACAGATAAGTGTGGGAAGTATGCAATGAGGAGATATGCTAGAGAGAGGGAGAGAGAGAAGGAGTCTAAGCGGGAGACAGAATGTCAGAGTCACCACCGTCAATAATCGAGAGACAACCGACACGGAAGAGCTTTCCGCATGCAGTGCCGAGCTCGATGTTGTTGCCGGCGTAGTGGTGGACATCGCACTTGGCCAACATGGCGTAGTACTCGAGCTCCGACTTGCGCAGAGGAGGTGTGTTGGCAGACACAATGATCAGCTTGGCTGTGAGAAGGGGTTAGCATGTGCTCTGGTCAACTCTCATCTCGGTGTCTTCTTGTCCATAGTCACATAGTCACATAGTCATATAGTAGTGAACAATGAAGACGCGGTCAAGCAAACACCGAGACTCTCCATGGAAAAAGAAACATACCCTTTCCACTTCGCAAAGTCTTGAGCACCGACTTGTATCCCAAAAAGTACTTTCCAGACTTGATGGTCAAAGCGAGCTTTGAGTTGATTCCCTCCTTGGAGGACTTCTTGTTTGTCTTGGGTGCCATTTGAAGTAGAAGCCTTTTCCTTTACTGAACTCGTACAAGAAGGATGCTTCTCGTAGTCTCTGTTGAGGAGCAGAAGGAAAGAAGAGAAGCAGAATTTATACAAAGCAGGGTTAGGCAGCTGGGCGTGGGATATTCTTTATTTTGGACCAGAACTCAGTCTAGAAGTGAAATAGATAGACTTCATTAGCCTCCTATAGCTGGCCCTTGCTCTCATATCCCCAGCATGTCCAGCCGCATCATCGTCAAGAACCTGCCCGCCTACCTCACGCAAGAAGCCTTTGCCGCACACTTCCAATCCTTCTCCACACCTACAGACGCAAAACTCCAACTCTCAAAGACCGGCAAGTCGCGTCGCTTCGGTTTTGTTGGGTATAGCCAAGCAGACCAAGCAGAACGCGCTGTTGAACATTGGCATAATACGTTCATTGGCACAACTAAAATCAGTGCTGAATGCGCACGGAGTATTGAGCAAGAGCAAGAAACGAACTATAAACGGAAACGCACGGGTGAAGATGCGCTGGCGATTGCAACGGCAGCGCGTGAACGGCTCAAGCAGAAACGAAAGGCAGAGCCTGAACAAGAGGTGGATGCGCAATTCGAGGAGTTTAAACGGTTGAATGCAAAGCGCAGCAAGACGGGAACTTTTTTGAACGATGATGGTGGGTTTGTGCAACAAGCAGCGGTACTCCCCGATGAAGCGATGGACGAAGCAGAGTATGAAGACTTGCCACAGCCTGCAGAAGAAACGTTCGAGGTGATTGAAGCGGCCGAGGAAAGACCAGCAGCACAGATCAAGTCGCCACAGGTCGATAGCGTCAAGCCATCAGCGCCGACTGTGGACGCAACAGCAGATGATGCAGAATGGCTACGGAATCGCACGTCCCGCTTACTTGACCTCGACGACAGTCAGCAAACCTCATCTATCCATATCCCTGCAGCGACAACATCAACACAACCAGCCAAGCAAGCAGTAATACCAGCACGCAAGACTGCCCCAATGACACCTGCAAAAACAGAAGAAGAACTTGACGCCGATTGTGCCGCAGACAAGCAAGCAGCACACGACGCTGCCATCGAGACCATCAACGACACGGCCCGTCTCTTCCTTCGCAATCTCGCCTTTACCGTGGATGAAGGCGCTTTGCAATCCTTATTCAACTCTTATGGCGACCTTGAAGAAGTTCACTTGCCACAAGCTGACGGGAAGCCCAAGGGCACTGCCTTCATCAAGTTCAGGGATGCGAATGACGCAGTCACTGCATTCACCGCTCTCGATGGCAAGCAGTTCCATGGTCGTCTCCTTCACATTCTACCGGGCAAAGCACAAATACAGGTGGAACGACCCCTTGCGCCAGGTCAAAAACTCAACGTTGGTGAGAAGCGTAAAGAGGAAAGACGTAAGGAAGCAGCCAAGACGCGATTCAACTGGAATGCCCTCTACCTTGATCGTAACGCCGTCTTGGAAACAACAGCAAAGAAATTTGGCGTTGCAAAGAGTGAATTGCTGGATCCATCACAGAGTAATGCAGCAGTGACCATGGCATTGGCAGAAGCATCCGCCTTGGGTAATATTCGCAAGTTCTTCTTGCAACATGGCGTGGATTTACAATCTTTCCGCTCGACAAAGCAAAAAGATGATGCAGTCCTATTATTCAAGAATTTACCAAGCAGTGCCAATGAGGCTGCAATACGTGGACTGGTCGAGTCTGCTGGTGGCGTTATTCGACGCTTACTGATGCCTGAAGTGGGCGGACTTGCCATTGTTGAGGTGACGGACGGGAATATGGGTAAGAGCGTCTTTAGCAAATTGGCATATCGCAAGCTTGGCGACGGCATCTTGTACCTCGAAAAGGGACCCGTGGGAACCTTCAACAGCCCGCCTCCGGTACAACAGTCGGGCGAAGCAGAGGAAGAGGAGGAAGAAGACGCCAATGAACAAGAATCAACAGCCACGTTGTTTGTCAAGAATCTCAACTTTGAGACCCGAGCGCCAGGACTCACGCGCATCTTTGAGTCGCTCAAGGGATTCCGACAAGCGACCGTCAAAACAAAGCCAGATCCACGAGATTCAACAGCGCGGTTATCGATGGGTTTTGGATTTGTTGAATTTGCTACCGAGGAAGATGCACGACAGGCATTGTCGGCAATGCAAGGCTTCAAGCTCGATGAGCATGCATTGGAGCTCAAATTCTCAAATGGCAAGCAAGTCGATAAACCCAAAAAGGGGAAACTCATTGGCACGAAAGTCGTTGTCAAGAATCTTCCCTTTGAAACGACAAAGCAGGACGTGCAGCGTATCTTCTCTACCTACGGGACTCTCAAATCCTTGCGACTCCCAAAGAAGTACAATGCGCATCTTCGGGGTTTTGCCTTTTTGGAATTCGTCAGTAAGCGCGAAGCCAAGAATGCCATCGAAGCAGTGTCTGGCACGCACTTGCTCGGTCGTCGTATGATTCTGGAATATGCCGAGGAGGAAAAGGAAGGCGATGAAGGTGTTGATCAGCTTGTTGAAAAGACTCGCAAGAAGCGTGCAGCTGTCGAAAGCAATGAAGGCAGTAAACGCAAAGTCGGTCGTATCATGTTGGATACGGAACAGGAGTTTGCGTAGTTGCTTGAAGCTGAGATTGCCTATAGCGCCAGTAATGTCTTCTAATGGGATCGCGTTGCTCCAATTTTGCCAAGAGTGCTGTCGCTTCAGGTGATGATCCATGAATGCTAGCCATGAATTCAAGTGCAGGCAGGGAGTCGTGGTAAGCGACAAAATCCTTGATGCTGCTCTCGCTGCGTGCTGTCATTTTGAGTATGCCGCGCATGTACGCCCATGGACTCTTGTTTTCAGGTTCCTGGTCAATGACTGATTGCACGTATGCGAGTTCTGTGTCCACTGCGTCGCCAGTGAGGCCGTTACGCTCATGGATAAAGTATCGGTGATTCCAAGCGGAATTATTGTAAATGTCTCGAGTGATGAGTGTCTTGGTGAAGTCCAATTCACCCTCTGTACCAAACTGCTTGACGAGCCATTGTCGGTACGTCCAAACATGATAGTTCTTGGCATCATCTTGTAGAATGCGCGCTAGAAAGTCCTTCTCATTCTCTGGCAATTGACCAAGCATCCCAACAACCACTTCGCGATGATGCCATAGTTGATAGTTCTTGGAGGACACCTCTGCCATATCGCTAATGAATTGTAGTTCTGCCTTCAAATCGCTTCCAAGCTCACGCAGCGTATCAGCACGATATGTCCAGACGGTATAGTGTGCAGGGTTCATGGAAATGATGTACTGTGTCATGGCGAGCGCACGTTCAGAGTACTCCTTTGCACTCATCAAGGCGCGCAGGTAGGCCATCGCCTCCTTGTATGCTTCTGGATACATGATGGGACTGATGGCATCTTCTGGATTGATATGCGGTGCTTCGATGGGCTCGACAGCTGGACCTAGCGCCAGAATCTCGTTGAGCTCCGGGTCGGTCATTGTGTAGTTGTCGATGTGGGACCAATTTGGAAATGTCGTCGCCAAAATGACGCTGCAGACAGTAATGCTATACAAGTCAGTAATGCGACCAGCTATAAAAATGAGCTGAAATATGGTACCTTCTGTCCTCAAATATGGGATTTAGCAGGATTCAACTTTATAGACGACTATTGACCACGCTGCCCAGACTCATTGGCTGTGTAATGCAAGCCTCTGATCTGACTTGACAAAGGTCATTCAAAGCCCTTGCTTGGCGAGCATGTGAGTGATGCCAAGGTACAGCGCGACTGCGTTGAAGTTGGGCTCTTGCTGCACAAGCGACATGAAATAGTACTCGACACGATTCGTAAAGTTGACTGTGGTTAGCATACTTGAATGAGCAAAGGCAGACTCGTACTGATATCCAGATGATTTGCGTCATTGATTGTGCCTTGATACTCGCCCCAACGACTTGAATAGACCGATACAAGCCCATCATTCGGACCTTCCTTGTCATGAATGACCTTCCACGGCAGGCGAAAGGCAGAGAAGATGTTTGGCTGGAAGTAGGAGCCATAGCTAAAGTACTTGACCTTTGGATCATCTGGATTCTTAATATTGAACTCCTTGTTGGCGTAGTCCGTGGTGAGCTGTTCAAATGCCCGTATATCCATGTTCAGCTTCTCAAAGACCCGATAGATACGTGGTAGTCGTACCTTGCCGCCAATCATATCTATGCAGTAGTCTGCAAAAGGCGAACCTCTGTGGGGTGTTGCGACAGTCGACAGCGAGAGCACATTGACTTCGCGGATGCTAGAGATGAGATGCCGACAATCAAGGCCGCCCATAGAATGACCAATCAAGTTGACGGGCTGATCCTTGAATCTCTCTTTGATTTGATCGCTCAAGATCCTGGCCCTTGCCTCGACTGTTGCAGTCCGCGGCACGCGGGGTACAAAGACAGTATTACCATTATGCTCGAGCGCTTCCTTGATACCCCGCCAGTAATGTACGACCGCAAGCGGTGGAATATGATAAGTATCGTTTCTTCCGATATAGAGTGTATCAAACCCTAGCAATCCATGGCAGAGGACGACTGGATGTTTCAAGGACTTGTATGTTTCCCGAATACTACCGAATTCGCTCGACCAGGCTTTGCCAAACTGTTGAACGCGTTGGTCGTCTGTCAAGTCACTCGTCTTCTGGTTGGCAAGCGTGGTCTGCCGCCGAACAAAACGCCATGTCTTTCTGTGGCAGCAGGCATATGCTCTTGTTGTCATGGGCGATACTTGCTCATGACGTCGAAATTAAACTATGAGACGGATGGGACAACTGATGTGCCATTGTGCCATTCAGTATGGCAGCTACTATGGCTAGCATCGGAACCGTACGAGCCAGCCTCAGCCTCAGCCAGGTATCTGTAACAACCGTCCGACCAAGATGCAAGCTACAGCTAGCAGTGGACATCGAAGACAAAAACTTCAAGACATCACCTGGGCATGACCAACGCAGGCGGCCCAACCATTACGCGTCTTGGTCTCACATGCTGCTCCCTTGTCCTTTGATCTGCTTGCCCACTCCAGCTCAATCAGCGAATTCTCATCTGCAAGAGCAAGGCGTAGAGCAGTAAACCAATACACATCAGCAGGTCGCGCTTGATCCAGAACTGCTCATCTTTTGCTCGGCAATACTCTCTTCCGCAGGAGATGGAACTCCTGCACGCTGCATCTGTCTCGGCATCTCTTGCGGGTCTAGAAGCAGCTGTCCAGCCGGGAATATTGGCTCATCTCCAAACAAGCTGTTTTCGCAACTGAAATTCAGGAGATACCACCTCAGTCGTCGAGCGTGGAGCCACGTTGCAGCACGAGTATCAACAGCTTCTTGCTTTCGTATTACCGAACCTGAGCATTCGAGACTGCGTAAAGTACCATGGCGACCATTCAGCGCAGCACATTCTCTACACTATGAGCTGTCAAAAGACTCTTCATTGAATGCGCTACCAGTAAATCGACAGCTGGCACCTGATCATCCTTCGCCTTCTACCCCAAGGATTCATACAAAGAAGCAAGTCATCACATTGCTCATTTCCTCCGTTACAACGACATGCGGGCTTGTCAACGAGACGGAACATATCTTTGCCCCTGAATCAGGTTGCTCTGATCGCGCATAAGAGAAGCATCCTGCCCTCTGCTTCATAAAACCCAAGGGCCTTCAAGGCATCAGCAAGCAATCATCTCAAGCGATACAGATCTATTGGCAAAGCTTTTGTAAGTGGACACCTGCAGTAGAGAAGATCGTGAGCTGATTATTGAAGAGCTATGGCAAAGCTACTCATCGCTTTCAGCTTCTTGCTGGCTATGTCAAGCCTTCTGCCGGAAGCTAGGGATGACTATAACCCTGGCATTCTCCATGACTGTTCCTGGTTTCACGATTGGGGATACCATATGAATCGCAAGTGTAAGGGCAAGCAACAGTGCCTTCTCTTTGGCAAATTAGATCCACGTCAGCCGTGCGACCACGGTCAAAAGAACTCTTGCTACCATGCCCCGTCCACGGAAAGGCGTCGAGGCCTGGCCTCTGACTGCAGTTGCGAGTGTATATAGCAACATAGCGGTCCTTGAAATCGGTCAGAGGATAGACACACAGCACCAAACACTCATAGGTAACGGCGCGGGCCGGCCTAGGAAGACTGGATTTGCCATCTCGAGAATCTCTGAATCGGTTGCGGCATCGCGAGCCCTCGCACACCAGACTTCCCTTAGTAACCATATGCTGAAGGTACTAATCCTCTTTAAAATGTATGCTCATTGCTGATGTAGATATCTTACGATGTCCTCTCGTCTAGGTGCCTTCAGGAAGGCCGTATCACCAAGAGTTCATACCAGTGTCGGTGCAATTTCACATGCATGACTTCTGCAGCCATTGTCATTGGCTACACAAGACATTCACTAGACCTGACTCTGACTCTATCACGAGATTGAAGCATGACAAATCATACTAGTGCAACATAGTCATACACGAAGGTAGGCTGCAGGAACGGCGACAACCCTGGTTTGAGCCTACCAGCGACGTCAATCACAATCTCGTTCAGTCCAGCCTTGAGCTGCAGCGCCCCAAACGTGTAAGTTGCCGGTGAAAGCAAATGAGCACCACGAGTGAAGACTCGTGACTCGTAAACGCCCTTGCCATATACTTGCAGATGTGAAGGGGCTGGGGGCACCCGTTGTGGCGTACCATTCACTTTGACGAACGGCCGACCTCTATTCACATGGGCTGTCGTCACAATGAGAAGAGTCCGTGGGCTGGAGGCTTCTTTGGCAGTCAAGGTAAAGCGAATGGTCGTAGGATTTAGACCGCCAATCTGGGCCATAGGAAACTGACGAACGTCGCCAACACTGACAGTCCTCGGCAGCCAGGAGCTCATACGTCGATCACTGGGATGCATGCGCTCAAACTTGTCGGCATTTAAGAATCCTTGAGGCCGACCATCGTGGCAGCCAATGGACCACATGGTTGCTTGTTCTGCTGGCGCCTCAATGCTCACCTGGGCCGACCCGCCACGAGCAAGGACAAGATTTGTAGCTTGTACCTCGCGTTGATCTTGGAAGAGTCTCACATGATATGTCCCAGCCAGCATACCATTGATCCTAAATTTTCCTCCTTTGTCGACGTGCGACCAATACTGAGCGTGTTCATTATTGAGCACGACCGTGTATTCTTGGACGCCATATGAATGCCTATTGTTGGACACATGCTCGTCGTTGTGATGCTTATGCTCATGCCGCCTTCGCGCTTGTGAGAGTGACTGTACATCTGCTCTAGCCAGAAGTGAATGCCAGTCTCGAGAGCGCATGCAGCCTTTCGGCAAGTTTTGCATATTCTTGACGTTACCGCGGACTTCGCCACGATGAGCTGAGGGTGTTGAGCCTGGCAAGCCTAGGTTATGCAAGAATACGAGATCTGGAGCAGCATCTGGTCGTTGTCCAAATACAAGAGTCATGAACTTGAGACCTGATCTGTATGGCTCAGATTGGGCATGGCCACTGTATAGATATGCGCTAAGTTGCTGGTTTTCTGTTGTCTTCTGGTTCATGATATCTCTGAAGAAAGGGCCACCGGACATACTTTCAAATGTCTCTTGGCCAAGGGCAAAGTAGACGCCGTCCCCAGTCTTAGAAGTGACGCCGTAGACCTTGTTGTAGATCATGGGTACCGAAGAGTAAAACTTTGAGCGAGTGACACCGTCGACTTCGAAGACATCTTTGCCTTCAATTGGCGAGCCATCAGCAACATCACAAGCTTCGTTGACACCTTGTGGAAAGACTTTGTTGTCCAATCTCAGCAGAAAGCGTAGTTCGCCGACCGATGAACCCTCGGGGTTCACGCCGATATACATATTTTCGTCGCCGGGTCTAAAGATGAAGTAGGCATTGAGTTTTCCGGCCTGTTGATCTCTGCCGCTGATTGCGATGATGGTCGCATCATTCTTCTTGTAGGACGACACATGCGCATCTGCAAGACCACTTCCAAAGGCAGAACTCAATTTGTGGATACCGCCCCGTGCGCTGGTTTTGGCAGCCCATTGAACACCTTTGTAGATGATTGAATAGAGGCTACCCGCCTTGTCGATGCCGAGCTCTACGTCGCCGTTGGAGACACGGAAGCCACCGTCTCTATCATGCCGAACAACTTGACTCAAGACAGACGAAGCGAGTGCCAGGTACCTTAGGAACATTATAGCATAGGTATGAGACCAGACAGGATGGGCAGTTTTGCATACTCATCAGAATCGAAGCTTCAACGCGGTTGACACATAGTTGTCAGCAAATGGGAGGCTGCTGCTAGCTTTGCTTGATTATTATTGAAAAGCTTCACTAACCAAGTCTGCATGATAGTTGCTCGTCCAAATAGATGTGGTGTGTACGTTGACGTGTTTGCAAAAACATACTGCTCAAACTAATCTGGAGCCGGATCATTTACATGCAGATCGCTTTGTCGCCATGATATTTGCCGTTCGACTGCCTGTGAAGCTGATCTACGCAGAAAGAGCTGCTTGAAATGTGAAAGGTATTAGTCGCCCTTCTGCGTCTATGCTGCAGTGCGCCGCGCCGCCGCCCGATGTCGCGACTCGCGATGCCAAACAGAGCCCCTGGTTCCTGGCACCTGACTTGAAGATCTACCAAAACAGATAACGAAGAGCCTCGCAAAACCTTAAATAGAGCCCGTACGCCTGACATGTTTGACACCTCTCTATCATGAAGCACTTCTCTCTTGTAAGCTTGACTCTTTTGCTCGCGACGATTGCCTCTGCCCAGCCTACAGACAGCACGTTGCTTGAGAAGCGAGACTCTCAGTCGTGTAGCAATGATCTTTGCATCACCTGTACAGGTTCATCTTCATGCAGCAACGAAGGATGCGTATGCGAAGGAACTCTGCTCTCCTGTAGCGGTAAGTGCCTTATTGTTTCTTTGCGGTGTGCTAATTTCGTGTAGGCATAGTGAGCGGTAACCAGTGTCTAGCAAAGACTCCTACTAGGCCATCTCAGCCACCAGTCACGACGCAGGCACCGGTCACGACGCAGCCATTCATGCCAAAGAAGTCTGCTCACCCATATAAGCCACCAGTGACGGAGCAGCCATACCCACCAAAGAATGGCTTCTTGTGTTCGATCGGTCTGAGGGATTACTGCTAGAGCGTGCGTCCCATGTGGGCCATATCTAGAGCCGCAACGCAGCTCGTCTCATTAAGTTACATCTTCACTAGGGGCGGCCGTGCCATGCAATTCTGGTTCATGAGCAGGCGAGTAGACATATGTGCGTCTATATACATGAGGACTAGCTGGTTAGTTATCGTCCAATAAGATTATCTTAGACAGTCCCTGACTGCTCTTTTGCTTTGATCGATGCTCCTGGACTCATTCTCCTTCAACCCATCTGAACCCTCATCGGCCCCCGCAACGGAACGACGCAGCTACACAAAGGGCTCATCCTCAAGATCCATAGAGCCAGCAACCAGCGACACCGAGCTCACGCGGGAAAGGGCTTACTTGACGGGCCTCTTTTTCGTGTGTCAGTATTGTGAGCGAGATGGCGAGCGTTCCCAAACCACGTACTGCGAGCGATGCCAACTTAGACACACCCAAGTCATCTACAGAGAAGGCCTTTCAGCGGGCCTACCGCGCTTGTGTCAACTGTCGCAAACAGAAGGTCAAGTGTGATCTTGGTAGTATTGAAGCACCAAATGATCCACCGTGCGCACGATGCCGTCGAGAGCGAAAGGAGTGCCTCTTCCTAGAAGACCGCCGGGGCGGAACAAAGCCGTTGAAGCGTCATCGCACGAGCATGTCGGCGCGGTCTGCTTCCAATGGTTCAGATGCATCACCCTCTTTTGATACAGGCGCTGGCCGGGCAGCCGAGAATGCGACGTTGGGACGAGCAGCGTCTCCTTCATCAGAAGAGCGAAACCGGGACGCTAGCGATCCAATGAATGTTCTCTCGATTGTTGCTGGCATGGTTCAATCTGAGCGGAATGGAAACAACCAGGAGACTCTCAGTCGCTCATCTGCCAGGTTTGACAGTGCGTGGTCATCCCAGCGCTTTGTACAAGAGAATATCATCGACGCGCAACAGGCCCGCGAGTACGTCTTGTTCTTCTACAGAGAGCTCTTCACCTACTTTCCCTTCGTTTCCAGGTTTGGTCATGACCCAGAAGCTATGAGTCGCGAACCCATGCTTTGCATGACCATCATCACCATTGCGTCTCGATACCATACGCTCAGCAACTATTCTGGCCAATTACCGCAATCCTGCATACACGAGCGATGCTTCGACGTCATGCGTGTCTATCTGGAGCAACTCATGTGGTGCAACTCGTCGATGCAATTATTCGATTGTGAGTATTGACACTGCAAGCATTCGCTAACTTTAGGCATTGAAGCGCTACTTCTATTCGTTCAGTGGATCCCAAAGGCTGTCCATTGGCTCGGACACGAAAGACCTGATCATGCGGCAGAAGTCAGAGTCTCGAGCGACTACCGAACAGTCAACAGTGTTGTGAAAAGACTGGATTCGATGAGTTGGCGTATGCTTGGTATGGCCATTCGGCTCGCTTCTGAGCTTGGCCCAATCAAAGAAGATCAAAGTACCAATGCCTCGCGACAAAGGCGAGTGCTCGTGGCATGCTTCTTGTCGGAGCAAACACTCTCTGTTCGGCTCGGGCGCTCTTCGACGCTCCTCGACATTTTGCCACGAACGCGAGATCAGGGCGCTCAGTCACCGCTGGAAAGTATTCGTTTGGAGCTTGCTCGCCTCAATACGACAGCACAACAAATGCTCTTTCTCGATGAGGCGACCACCAAGCGAGTCATTGATTCGCAAGACCATTTGCGCATCATTTCCTGGCTCGATCATTCCCTTCACACAATCATGGACGACATCAGCATTCTCGGCGGTAAAGCGCATCATACATGAATTTGGCTGACTCTAGGTCTCGACAAGACTTTACTACTCATTGACTGCTACTATTCGGAACTTTACTTCAAGTCTATTGCTTACCGCGCTCATCGTGGACGTGCCGGCAATGCAGCAGGAGCAAATGGCAAGCTGGTCTTCGACTGTGTTGAAAAGGCAAAGTTGCTGCTGACCTCTGCCATCCTGGACAAGAGCCCGCAAGGTCGCAGCTGGCTCAAGTTTGCGCCAGTACGATACTACCATCGACTCATCTACTCGTGTGTCATGCTCATTAAAGTTCTCCGCGATCCAGACTGGTCGATGCTATTGGTCAACAGTGACATTCTGGCTATTCTGGAATCTACTGTTACTTTGCTGTTCAATTGTGCACCTGATGAGCTTCATTTATCGAGACGGTACTCGATTCTTTTGGGTAGGCTATCGATTCAGAGAAGATCATTGCTAACGACAGACTCACTCATTGCTCAACTCCGACCCGCAGCCGTGGACACGTCCCTAAATAGAAACCTACCTCAGACCCAGCAGATCGACACAAGTGCAATTCTACCAGGAAATATGGTACCGGGTCAGACGTCCTATCCAGCATTCGGGTTGCAGGGTCCATATGTGGAACATGATCCTGCATTCACACTTGACTTTTTGGACACATTGCTCAGTGGCCAGGGACAAGGCTGGGCGTAAATGATTTTGATAGGGTATGTACGCTATGATATACAGATGATCTAGCAAATACTCAAGCATCCATAAAGTCAGTCTGCTCTTTACTCGTTTCGAGCCATTTGACGAGCTCCGCCTTGTTGCGTGGCTCGATCTTGACCTTGAAGTCCTTTGCTTCTGCCACCAAGGCTGTTGGGCATGCGTTTGACTCGAGGCAATTAACGATAGCCAGGTCCTTGGGATTTGAAGGAGGCGTCACTTTGAAGGCCATGACGAATCGGACATATGCCACAAATTGCTCACGGTTGGCAAGGTGTGAACCGGCACACATGCGTGATCCTGCGCCATACGAGTAATGCTCGGCACCGAAACTGTCCTTCTTGTTGTGTTCCAAGTAACGATCAGGGTTGAATGTGTACGGGTCTTCGAAGTACTCCTCGTCGTAGTCTGCAGCATAGGCATTCATGTAGAACGAAGTGCCTGCTGGAATGGTGGCGCCATTGTACTCAATATCCTTGATGCTTCTTCGTGGAAGGCAGATTTGAATGACCGTGAAGAAGCGAAGGACTTCTTTGACAAAGGCAGTGACGTATGGAACACGTTCCTCAGTGAGGCATTTCTCCCAAGCATCGCCATCTGGGTAAACTGACATGATCTCGTCGTAGAGGCGCTGCTGCACTGCTTGACCCTCCATTGTAGACAAGTAACCGATGCCTTGGATGATGTTGGCTGGGACAGTGTCGAGACCAGCAGAGACCATGGTGAGACAAATACTCTTGACTTCAGCTTCTGTGAGTTTGGCTTCGGGATCCTTGAGAATGTTGCCAGTGATGCAAGGAATATCGGTGCCATCTGCAATGCGCTTGCGAAGGTCGCCAATAAGTTTGTCAAGGTACTTGTCACGCCTTTCGCGGAACTCTGCAGGAGCCGACTGCCTAAATTGTGCAGGCACCAAGCGGTATAGAGGAATATAGTCGATCCAGTTGTTGGATGTAGAACGGAAGCGAGAGATGGCATTCTCAACGGCGATAATCTCATGTAGCAGCTTGTCGTTGATGCCACCTTCACATCGGAAACCATAATTGAGAGATAGCGAGGTGTTGAGTGCGAAACGCTGGAAGTAGATTTTGGGATCCACTTCTTTACCATTGGCGCCATCTGTAAACATATCACGGATTGCAGCGTAGCTCTCCAAGTTGATGATGGGCATGTAGGACGCCACAGCAGGTCGGTTCAAGGCCGTTGCGGCTACCTTGCGTCGAAGCTTGCACGACTCATCCCAAGGCGATGTGCCGATGGTGAAGCCTTGCGAGGAAGACACGACTGTGTGGAAAGTGTAGAGCGTAGGTCGTGAGATGAGCGCACTCTGGTTTGTAATCCAGAGCTCTCGCACAGACTTGAAGCTGTTGGCCACAACGATACGCTTGTTGCCCATGCGTACTTGGAACACAGGTCCGTACTTCTTGGCCCACTTTTGGCATGACAGAGCATGCTTGTCGCCTAATTGTTAGAGTTTGCGCTCCGAATTGCATGCAGACATACCGAGACCAATGAGATTGCCAAAGATGGGAATGCCTGGGACTTCAGGGATGCCTTTGATGCGCGGCACATCCGTCAAGTTGAAGTATTTGATGCCGACTGCGAGGACACCAATCAACAAGACCAAGGTCAAGTTGGCCGAGACAAAGGCGACGACGGGCTCGAGAAGACCCATGATAGATAGCTGAGTGTTCGTGGTGTGTGGGGTTGAGGCCTTCGCGTCTTTTAAACTTTTTGGCGCGGCTGTAGCCTGACCACCGGAGATAATGAGCCGCGCCATAGCGGAGGGAGGCAGCGACCCCGGCCCACATCAGTGCACATTTCGGTCAGCAACCTGAGGGATCTCCATCGCTATGAGACCGTGTTCCGACATCAACTTCCGAGTAGACCGCCGAGTGCCCACCACAATGTATGGCGCGCATATTGTTTCTCGGCGACACAGATCCTCGAACAGCCTAGGTCTAAACATCTTGCTGTGCTGAATTCGACCATGATGTTTGCTGCAGAAGCTCTCATCAGTGAGGTGTTTCTTGCCGCAGTGAAGCACCCTATTTTTGGCTGGCAAATACCGGTTTCAGGGGTTAGCGTGCACTGCCTATCGAGGACAAGATTCATCTTGCAACTTGTACAAAGCAGCAGGAAAGTTTATGACAGACGACCACAGAAGCCTCTGAAGAGCAAGACAGTCGACAAATAGAGTATGTATGTACATAGCCTTGTGCGAAGCGCGACCGCAGGCAAGTGCACGCTTTCTTATCCAAGTATTGATGTCGACGCAACGTATGACAGGCTTACACTTACAGAGACTATCTGGCTTGCAGTGCTTTTTAGGAATGACTGACGACAAGTGAAGACTGCCACTGCCGAGATAGCAAGGGAACAGTCCTGTCTGCCCATCTCGTACGGCTGCTTCGGCAAGACACGTGTTTCGCTTCCCCAGATTTCGTCGCGCTTGATCCGAGTCTAGCCGCTATGCTGCGAACAACGCGATCAGTGATGCCGGTAGCTTGAAGTGTCTTATAGCTCGCCAGTTCCACACGAATAAGCCTTGCTCGACAATTGACACTCAAGAAGATGGTCGCCTCCGTCTTTACCACTGAGGAAAAGTACAAGTACGCACAGGGGCTCAATTCATATATCGAGACCGAAGCGATTCCTGGTACATTGCCGCAAGGCCAGAACGCGCCTCAGAAGGTCGCATACGGTACATTGACCGTGTCGCTTGATCTCTGCTAATATAAAGGTCTGTACGCGGAGAAGTTGTCCGGCACGGCCTTCACTGCACCGCGTCACAGCAACAAGCAATCATGGCTGTATCGCATTATTCCTGCCGCTGCGCACGGGCGCTTCGCTGAGGTGGATGGTGCATTCAATGTGGACCTTGGCGCTACGAAACAAACATTCAAGCAGCTGCCAAATCAGATCCGATGGGACCCCTTTGCGCTTGATCCTGAGCATACCTTTGTCGATGGTTTAAAGCTTGTCGCTGGTGCTGGAGATCCACAAATGAAAGCTGGTCTCGGTATTTACATCTATGCGGCTGGCAAAGACATGGGCAAAGAAGGCTTTTACAATGCCGATGGTGATTTCTTGATTGTCCCACAGCTCGGCAGTCTTGATGTCCAAACGGAGCTTGGCAGAATGCTAGTAAGACCTAACGAGATTTGCGTCATTCCTCGAGGCATTCGCTTCAAAGTCACTCTGCCAGAGAAACAGGCTCGTGGCTATATCCTCGAAGTCTACTCTGGTCATTTCGAGCTGCCTGACCTTGGACCCATTGGATCAAACGGACTAGCCAATGTTCGCGACTTCCAGATACCAACTGCCGCCTTTGACCGAGACGAAGGCACTGAGTGGACTCTCTTGACCAAGTTTGATGGAAAGCTCTTTTCTACCACTCAGGACCATACTCCTTTTGACATTGTCGGCTGGCACGGTATGTCTTTTGCGATGGTTGGATGGCACTAATTTCAAGGCACTTATTATCCCTTCAAATACGACTTGGGTCGATTCAACACGATTGGATCAATCAGCTTTGATCACCCAGATCCTTCCATCTTCACGGTGGTATGACCTTGCAAGCCGCACTGATTACAGACTAACACGCAGCTCACTTGTCAAAGCGAGACACCAGGTACAGCAGTAGCCGACTTTGTCATCTTTCCACCGCGTTGGCTCGTTCAGGAACACACCTTCCGCCCACCTTGGTACCACCGCAACACCATGTCTGAATTCATGGGCTTGATTCATGGCGACTATGACGCCAAAGCTGGTGGTAAAGGCGGGTTCCAGCCAGCTGGCGCTTCTTTGCACAACATCATGAGTGCGCATGGACCAGACGCAGTAACGCATGAAAAGGCGAGTGGCGCTGACTTGAAACCGCAAAAGGTCGGTGACAATAGCATGGCTTTCATGTAAGCTTTTCCTTACGTCGATATACGCTAACGACAGGTTTGAATCCATGTACATGATGGGTGTTACAGAGTATGGTCTACATACATGCGAAAAAGTACAGGAAGAGTACAATGCCCATTCGTGGCAGCCCTTGAAAAGTCACTTTTCGCCACCCGAGGGCTACTAGGCATCTAGTAGACTTGTCCGTATGTGCCATTCTTGCGTAGCCGTTCGCCGTATTTTATAATTAGGAAAGGTCCAGGAATGGATAGGATGCCGAGACCACCAAGAAGTGAAAATGCCCCCTGAATTGTCATTGCTTCAAACATGGGTCTGCTAAACATGATGAACGCCGTTGCAAGAAGAGCTCGTGACATGGCGTTGGCTGCAACTGCAGAAGCAGCATAGACTGTGAATGCATCTGCACAATACAGCATAGCTGCGATGAAAACTATTGGTCAGATAGGAGATATTGCACAACGACTTACTTGTGATGATGCCAAATCCGCAAAAGGTGCCTGCGATAGTCGGCACGATCCAGTGAATACTTCTGAAGGGTGCTGTCCAAGCAAACATAAAGAGACCAATAGGCAGAGCAAAAGTACCAAACATAACAACTTGCATGCGTTTCTCTGGATTGGGCCTACCAAGTCGTTGGAACTCTTTGATGTACAATGGATTCAAGAGGACCACAGCACCACAGCCCATGAAGACGCCGACAATGACGCCACAGAGTGGTAGTGTGGCGATCGTGTGTGAGAAACCCCTGATTCCAGCGAATACATAAGAGTAGGCCAGAAGGAAACTGTACTGGTCGTGTGAGTGGCGCCAATTGAGGGGGTACTTACCAGCAGTGCGTAGCCAATTGCTGTATATAGGGATAGAAACAGCAGAGCCGGCTCGACAAAGAGCATGTGTACTAGTATGTGAGCATTTTTAAGTGGACAGTCAGGTGCATACTTGGTCGCACAAGATATTTTGTTATGATTAGCTTGGCAGTGATTGGATCATTCTCGAGAGGTGCAACAACGTCATGGCCTTCTTTACGCATGCGAATGGCGCGACGTTTGAGAAGGACGGGCACGTATGTTTCGTGCATGAAGAAAGAAAGAATCCAGAGGATGCCTGCATAGATGCAGAGAAGCCAACTCGTCCATCTCCAGCCAACATTGTCTGTCAAGAATGATCCAATGATAGGCCCGAGTGCCGGACTTGCGAAGACTGGTGGTTAGCATCCTTCTTGGGGATCGGGCTCTTACTAATACCGACACCTGCAGCCGTGAAATATCCCCTTTGTTTTGGCTCAAACATGTCCGACACACTCGCCGTGACGAGGACAAGGCAGACCGATCCGAAGAGACCCTCGAGGAAGCGTCCCACCAAGACAGCCGCAGCATTCGGCGCAAAGCCTACCAGGAAATGGCATGCGACAAATAGGCCATACGCAATCCAATAGGGGATGTTGCGACCAACGACCTCGCTCATTGGGCCCCAAATAGGAGGCCCAAAAGCAAAGCCGAGGGTGAAGAGCGCGACCGATAAGATGCTCACTTCGAAACTCAAATCATAGATGTCGGCAAAGACAATCGCGCTGCCAGAAAAGATTGAACTTGAAAAGGCAGCACTCATTGTCATAAGTGTCACCAATGCCGCTTGAAAGCATTTGCGACCAAAGTGGAAATTCAGGGGATGGTCGGGATCATCGAGCTCCATCGTTAGAATGAGTGGGCCTTCTCTCTTTTCGTGTTCTCGAGAGTCTCTCTCCAGGATCTTTGCTGGCTCGACGGTGGCGAGCTCATCTGGTTGTCGCTCTGTCATGATGCCAGGCTTGCTTCCTCTTGCCCAGTGTGGTGGTCTGGTACTTCATGTAGCTGTTCACGAGGATTCCCTCGCTAATTAAGCTTGTCTGGCATTTGTAATCTGCTCATCGCATACATGTGGGCATTTTGCGGGGAGCTGTTGACAGGCGGCACATGCCGACGCCAAGCGCGTGAGTGGGAGACTGTGGCCCTGTGGGACGCGTCGCAGCGCTACGCGTGGGATTGAGGAATACAGACCAGCATGAGCCAGCTGCAAAGACGGCAATGAGTGCTTGAGCTTGATGGAAGCCTTTCTTGATAGCCTTCAAAGCAGTCTTGCTTTGAGCGATGAACAGATCAAAGACTACACTTCAGCACTGCGACCACAAATCACTGCAGACTATGCACAAGATGAGTCCATGATGCTGCCATCTTTCGTGTATGCGAGACCATCGGGGAATGAGAGAGGTGAGTTTCTGGCCATTGAGCTCGGCGGCACGATGCTGCGACTGGCCATCGTTGGACTCTCTGGTTTAGCATGCGCGTCAGAGTTCAAGCGCAGCAAATCATGGTCTGTACCAGATGCATTCAAGGTGACTGGATCTGGACGAGATCTGTTTCACTGGATTGCTCAGCGCGTGTCGGAAGTGATTGGCATTGAAAACCATCGCAAGTGGAAAGCAGGCTTCACATTCAGCTTCCCAGTACAAGAGACAAGCATCTCCACCGGGCAAATCAAGCTCATGGGTAAAGGGTTTGCCTCTGCCGATGACGAGAATGAATGTATCAATGTATGCTTGAGCGAAGCGTTGAAGAGCATCGGGGTCAATGTTGAGCTTTGTGCAATTCTGAATGATTCTATTGCCACTTTGCTAGCGCAAGCGTACACGACACCCGGAAAGACTTCACTCTCGCTGATACTCGGCACCGGCTGCAATAGTGCAGCGTTTGCCTGCTCGTCACTTTTCGAGGCGAAGCTCAAGAATAGAGGCTTGATCGATGGGCAGAGCGTCGTTGCCGTTAATTGCGAGCTATCCATGTTTGGCAAAATGCAGCTTCCCTGGACCAAATACGACCATGAGGTTGATCAAACCAGCACAAGGCCTGGCTATCAGCCATTAGAGCAATTCACAAGCGGCAGGTATCTCGGGGAACTCGTCAGGCGCATTTGGCTCGACTGCCCTGGCAGAAGCTCCGTCTGCCCAAAAGGCTTCGATAAGGCATTTGGACTATCTGGAAGGATAGTGTCTGGTGTTGAGATGGATACGACTCCCACTTTGGATTTTGCCATCGCCCTCCTCAACGAGTATCATGCCCTGCCTGGATCGTGGTCTCACACTGACGTTTTGCTCTTGCGCTCAATCGCCTTGCTTGTGTCAAACAGGTCCGCCGCCCTCATTGCTGCAAGTCTCGTGGCACTTGGACAAGCTTTGGAAGTTTTAAACACTGACTCCATCGTCATACCTTGCTGTGGCGCCGTTCTTGAGCGACACGCGAATTACCTCCTCAGGTGTCAAGCACACTTGAATAGGTTGAGACCAGGTATCAAGCTACAACCAATACAAGATGCTGGTCTTTTGGGTGCAGCCGTCTCGGCAGCGATGCAAGAATCTCTATGGTGATAGCGCTGGTAGGATCAGCCCACTACACTCTCCAAAGCCAACGTTGCCAGAGTCTGTGCTTGCCATGCCTCGCATGATAACCGTGTCGCCATCTCGCAGAAAGTCTTGCAGACCGAGCTTGTTTTGCAAAGGCTTCTTGCCATTCTCGCTAGCCTCAAGAAGACTGCCCATGGCGCTGGTCCCTTCTCCTGAAATGGTACCGGAACCTAGCAAGTCACCACAACGCATGGGACAGCCAGTACTGGTGTGGTGAGCCAGCATCTGTGGAAAGTTGTAGAGCAAGTTGTCAGACGAGGCACTTCCGATCAGTTCTTCCTCTCCATCAGCTATCAGTTAGCATTTGAGCAGCATAGACGCATAGCAAACCTTGAATCGAAACAGTCAGATTGAAGTGCAAATCCTTTGGTTCCTTTTGCTTGAGGTACGGCAGCAAGTGGTCTTGACTGTGCTTCGAAGCCTTCATAAGAGGCTTGACAGCCTCGGGATGCAGGACCCATGGTGTGATGGTCGTGCCAAAGTTCTTGGCATTGAACGGACCGAGTGGCACATACTCCCAAGCTTGAATGTCACGCGCAGACCAGTCGTTCATGAGCACATAACCGAAAATGTAGTCTCCGGCTTCATCGACATTGATGCGTTCGCCCATAGCATTGTCCTTACCGACAAAGGCAGCGAGTTCTAGTTCATAATCCAGCTTCTTGCATGGCGCAAAGACTGGCCCAGGGAGGATCTGACCGCATGGTCGACGAATAGGCGTGCCAGACACAACAACACTCGAAGCACGGCCGTGATAGCCAACAGGCAAGTGTCGATAATTTGGTTGCAAAGCATTCTCTTTGCCACGGAAGAGGATGCCTACGTTGGTGGCATGGTTGACACCCGCATAAAAGTCCGTATAGTCACCAATCGTCATGGGCAAACACATTTTGATCCGATCTGCGGAATGCAATATCTGATCTGGCAACGACGCATGACCTGCCATGACGTCTCGCAAAAGTTGAATGAGAGCTCTTCTTAAGCTTGCTGTCTTGCGGTTTCCGAGCGCCGCGAGTGCGTTTAATGTCGGCTGTAGCAGAACAGTTTCATCGAAGTCCTTCTCTAGTATCTCGCTCTTACGCAGTGTCGCTGAAAGCTCATGCACATCGACCACGCAGTCTCCAATGCGCGTCGCTATGTGGTGCTGTCCGGACGGATGCTCAAAGACACCAAGTGGAACATTTGCCAAGGAGAATGGACTGCCTTTAGGCACAGTGATTTCGAACATGCTCTAAGACCGAAAAATCAAGTACTGAGATGCAGAAGCTGGCTACGAGGCAGATCATATTGTACTCGGGCCCGGCAGACGTCGCGCGGTTGTTGAAGGCCGGCCGGGAAAGTGGGGCCGGAGCCGTTCAGATGGGCATTCGCCCCTTGAAACATGCAGTAGATCGTGCTCATATGCTCAAAATCAGTACGCCTCTCTATGGTTCAGAATGATCATCATATACGGAAGCATGAGACTTGATAGAGAATGACTCTAAGGGGTCTTTTCGACACCATGTCGCCGGTAGATGTCACGCGAGAGGACAGACTTTCTTACCATCGCCTTAAAGCAGGTCTGACTGCTAACTCGATGATGGGCTCGCAATCGATCGAGCTGGTAGCCATCCATTGTACGCAAAATGAGGCGTTTGATTGGAGACCGCGACTTTTCGGCCGACTGTGTGCTTCTCAGCAGAGCCGACCTAGGGTACCATAGATGCTCGCCACGGCGTCGAAGGCCTCGCCAAAGCTCGACTTTTCAAGTGCTGGTACTGATGAATCCGGCGATAGACCTGCAGGTAGCATTAGAAAAGGTAGGTAGCGCCCTGAACTCTTGATATTTCTGAGCCTACGCTCGAAACCATGCCATTGTACCTGGCACTTCAGGCTCCCGAAAATATTGTCGCTTGTGCATCTATTCAGGGATGCTTTTCAGGAGGTGGGACCTGGAACATCCTCGTCCTGCTCACAAGCAGTCATCACCTTTGACTTGAGGACGTAACTTCCTCAAGAGATGTATGTGTGCTTTCGCGCCTCCTTGGTATAGCTCGTCAGGAGATGTACATTGTACACGTGGCTGCCTGCCAACACACAAGGAGCCTTGTCAAAAAGTGTAAGGGAGAAGAGCTTCTTGCATTCGACGATGGCGAGTAAGCGTCGATGCACAATCGATGAGTGCATGAAGCACGGTATTTCCATCAGTTTGAGCATGCTCTAGCACTGACACAGTAGCTCAGGGGCTTGGCTGTATGTCTTTAAGCGACCAGACGATGAGCGTGAAGCAGCAACAAGCAGAGGAGTCCGTGACATGTCAATTATCGGGACCCAGCTTGCGCACAGCACTCAGCATTCAAGCAGCAGTCTTTGACCGCTTGAGCCTGAGAGCCATCCTGATACAAGGTCTCGTCTTGGCATGCGGGCTGTGTGCAGTCGGTTTTCAATTTGGACGGGATTTCGGCTCGACTCAGCCTTGCGCACTACACCATGCACTGACGTAAAATACTCTCAACGGCTCAGAATAGGCCTGGCTGCCTCACAACTTGTAACACCACATCCACGCAGCTGCTTCTTCATTCTTCTCTTCATCGCTTTGGCGCACCATCTACTGTTCAATGAGAGTCGGACTACAAACGAGTCTTGCCGCTTGCTTTCATTTTTCGTGCATTCTCGCGCATTCAACAAGGCGACAAGCGATACAAGTCGTCGATACGGTCGGCGACGTCGGTTTCTTCTCGCGACAATCGCCAGCATCGTCTGATGCGCCAATAGAAATCTCTTTCTATGCTTCCAGCACCGGTTCTGTTAACCTTGAACTCTCGCCTACGCCTGACTTGTTTGACAACACGCAAGTCATCTACCACGATACACAGGGCGGTTTTCTACGGTCGGAAGAAATCAATCCAGATGACTACTGGGTGTACAAAGGTTATGCGATGCAATCGTCGTCGGAGACAATGGAGACACTCAGGGTTGGTCATGCGCGCGTTTTGATCCATTCTCTGCAGCCACTATTGTTTGAAGGCTCCTTCCAAGTCGGTGAAGCCATGTATCATGTGCAACTGCTGGAGGACTACAATCGTGACTGGCAGCTGGGCGACGCAAAACCAGACACGAGTGACCCAGACACAATGGTCGTCTGGACTGACAGCAGCTTAGAGCCACGTCTGGCCAAACGGTCTGGGTCGACGTGGGACGACGAGCTACCGAGCGTTTGCAATAGCGACAACCTCGATGCTGGTCTCAATGGCTACTCTAGCTCAGTGGGCGCACTTATCAAGCGCCAACTTGTCGGTGACACGGGCCGCACATTTGTTACACAGGCACAACTTGCTCGTACCATTGGTTCTACTGCCGGATGCCCTACAGAAAAGCTTGTCGCCTTGATTGGTGTCGCTGCAGATTGCAACTTCGTCGCTGGCTTTTCATCTACACAAGCTGTCCGGAGCAACATCATCTCTGCAATCAACCAAGCCTCACAAGTCTATGAGAGTGCCTTCAACATCACACTTGGGCTGGCATCTATCGTACTGACGGAGAGTTCATGTCCAACAAGTCAATCGAGCAGTTCTCCATGGAACACCGCGTGCGATTCATCTACCACGATTGAAGACAGACTCAATCGCTTCTCACAGTGGCGAGGCCAGCAGTCTGATTCTTACTCTGCCTGGCTCCTTCTGTCTACCTGTAATACTGCCTCGGAGATTGGTGTCGCTTGGCTTGGCACACTTTGCAATGCCAACACCACCACGCAGTCATCTTCCAGTGTATCGAGTACAGGTGTTGTGACATCTGCTGCAGGTGGCACGTCCTACTGGAAGACCTTTGCACATGAGCTGGGCCACATTTTTGGTGCAAACCACGATTGTACTGCTTCATGCTCTCTCGACACCTCCACCACATGCTGCCCGCTTTCTGCAGGTACCTGTTCGTCTGCTGGCGCCTTTCTCATGAACCCTTCCAGCAGTTTCAGCGCAACACGATTCTCTCCCTGCACGGTTGGACAGGTCTGCACGAACCTCCTTCGCCGAACAGTGGCTTCATCGTGTCTTTCTCGCAACCAAAACGTCAAGCTTGAAACAGCAGCGACATGCGGTAATGGTATTGTTGAGGAAGGTGAAGACTGTGACTGTGGTGGCACAGCAGAATGTGCCAATAACCCTTGCTGTAACCCAACCACCTGCAAGTTCAACACTGGTGCCGTGTGTGATCCGAGCAATGCAGCGTGTTGCACACAACAATGTCAGTTTGCTGGGAACAGCACCATTTGTCGTGCTTCTGCGGGTCCCTGTGATCCAGGTGAGTCGTGCAGCGGTACTTCTGGCCAATGTCCCGAGGACGGGTTCGCTCGTAACGGTCAGTCTTGTGGATCAAATGGACTTGTTTGTGCTTCAGGGCAGTGTACGAGTCGCGATGCACAGTGCCAGCAGCAGTTCAACGGCTCGTCTGGTGCGTGCGACGATGTCCAGTGTGCCTTGACGTGTCGTGTTCAGGGACAGTGCTACATCGCCAACCAGTACTTCATCTCAGGGACGCCATGCGGGAATGGTGGTGTTTGCCGTCTCGGCAACTGCGACCAAGGTTCCGTTGGCAATCAAATCACCAGTTGGTTTGAACGTAATCGGAATTGGTTCATCCCTGTGATTGCCGTTGTCGGAGGTCTCATTGTGATTACTGTGTTGTGGTGCTTGATCTCACCTTGTCTACGAAAGAAGAGAAAGAATACACCGCCGCCGCAGATGACTTATTCAAGCCAGCAGTATGCACCACAAGGTCAATACCCGGCTGTGCAGCCAACGCAGTACTACCCACCTGCCAACTACCCGCAGTACCCGCCGACCGTGGCGACCCGTTCGCGGCCATACTGAGGTCGTCTCCGCGAATTCCCGTGTTTAGCATTTTGTACGTGTAGGTTTATGAAGGGGTGTAGCATGCACTGTGATTGATGACCCGTCGCAGGCTCGCAACTGGATAGACAAGCTCGTCTATCGGTATATCGGGACTATGTTGTCATGATCAATGTCTTTGGCAGGCCTGGAGATGAGATCACAGCCCGGGGAAGACGCTTTAAGGTGGCAGCAGAAGAGTGGCCGGGTCAGGCGGTTCTCCACAAAATGACACGATCGGCAAGCAGCTTGCGCCAGCCCACGTCTTTGCTCGCAGGGAGAGGTATATAACCCCCCCAAATAGCCCTCGGCCCTTCTCTCTCTACACATCAGCCCTAACATCATGTCGTCTGAACAAGAACACGGCACTGTTGGTGAGGCCAACAACGTCAAGAAAATCCACCCTCACCCTCGACTCCACGACGTCAAGTATGCTTTATGCTTCTAGAGGAAGATCAAGATTCGCTGACCTGCTAGACTCCACCCAAAACCCCACGTCAAGGACCATGCAGCTTATGCAGATCTGTACAAGGAGTCCATCGAACAACCCACTGAGTTCTGGGGCCGTATGGCTCGTGAGAACTTATCCTGGGACCGGGATTTCAAGACTGTGCAGAGTGGTTCATTTGAGGATGGTGATGTTGCATGGTTCCTTGAAGGTGAGCTGAACGCTTGCTACAACTGTGTGGATAGGCATGCACACAAGAATCCCGATAGTGTGGCTTTGATTTACGAAGCGGATGAGCCTGGAGAGGGCCGCAACATCACTTACAAGCAACTCTTGCGAGATGTGTGTCAGTTGGCCAATACTCTCAAAGCAATGGGTGTCAAGAAGGGTGATGTGGTGACTATCTACATGCCTATGATTCCAGAGACTATCGTTGCCTTTTTGGCCATTATCCGACTGGGTGCTGTTCACTCGGTTGTATTTGCTGGATTCTCATCAGAATCCCTGCGAGACCGCATCCACAATGGCAAGTCCAAGTTTGTGCTCACGTCGGATGAAGGTAAGCGCGGTGGCAAGAATATTGGCACAAAGCGTATTGTGGATGATGCACTCAAGCAGTGTCCCGATGTCAAGCACTGTCTTGTGTTTAAGCGAACAGGTTCTGAAGTGCCATGGACAGAGGGACGTGATTACTGGTGGGATGAGGAAGTCAAGAAGTACCCTGGCTTTTGTCCCTGCACTCCAGTCAGCTCCGAGGATCCACTCTTCTTGCTGTACACGTCTGGTTCAACGGGTGCTCCTAAGGGTGTTTTGCACACAACTGCGGGATACCTCCTCGGTGCAGCAATGACGCTCAAGTACATCTTTGATGTCCACCCAGGTGACAAGATTGGTACAGCAGGTGATGTCGGTATGTCACGCCCATGAACCCAAAAGCAATGCTAACACGCAGGATGGATTACTGGACACACGTATGTGGTGTATGCCCCCCTGTTGCTAGGTGTCGCGACCCTTGTGTTTGAAGGAACACCCGCGTACCCGAGTTTCTCTCGTTACTGGGAAATTGTGGAGCAGCACAAGATTACACACTGGTACGTGGCACCAACTGCCATTCGTCTTCTCAAGCGAGCAGGCGATGAGCATGTCAAGGGCGATTTATCATCCTTGCGTATGCTAGGATCGGTGGGTGAACCCATCGCACCAGAAGTCTTCCAATGGTACTCCTCTGTTGTTGGAAAAGATCAGTGTTCAGTGGTGGACACATACTGGCAAACAGAAACCGGGTCACACATCATTGCACCACTCTCTGCTGCTGTCGCTACGAAACCTGGATCTGCTTCATTGCCATTCTTTGGTATTGAGCCGGCACTTGTTGATCCTGAGAAGGGTACGGAAATTCAAGGAAATGATGTCGAGGGTGTCTTGGTCATTAAGCGTCCCTGGCCGTCCATGGCACGCACGGTGTATGGTGCACATGATAGGTACATGGATACCTACTTGAAACCTTACCCAGGTTATTACTTCACGGGTGATGGCGCAGGTCGTGATCATGATGGTTATTATTGGATTCGAGGACGTGTGGATGATGTCGTCAATGTCTCTGGTCATCGTCTCTCTACTGCAGAGATTGAAGCGGCACTCATCCAATACAATGGTGTTGGTGAATCTGCAGCGGTTGGATACCCCAATGAACTGACGGGTCAGTCGATTGCTGCGTTTGTACAGTTGAAGTCGGGTGTGGAAGCGTCAGACCAGCTCAAGAAGGATCTCATCCTGCAAGTACGCAAGTCTATCGGTCCCTTTGCAGCACCGAGCAAGATTTTCTTTACAGAACTCCCAAAGACGCGCAGTGGCAAGATCATGCGTCGTATCTTGAGAAAAGTGTGTGCTGGTGAGTCCTCCAAGGAACAGCTCGGTGACACGAGTACCTTGCAGAACCCTGAGGTTGTTGACGATATCGTCAAGGCTGTTGGTGATATGAAGTAAAGTACAGTAGTATAAAGTAACAGACAGATTTCACAAGTGTTCAAGGTCAGGGGATTTTTGTGGAAATGAGATTGTTTTCGTATTAGGTCGTTGCGTCGTAAATTAGGTCTATAAGATGCTGTTGAGAGGGGTGGGACACACCAGGTGCCCGCGTTGAACCAATGTTTTCTTTCATGCTTTCATGCTTTCATGCGTTTAGGCCAAAGGAGTGCTTTCAACCATTCAACCAAGGAGATTATTGATGGACATCTTCTCTCGAATGGGTTCCGAGACGGTGCGTGACATGAGTGGTGCGAGCTGCAAGCGTCTTTCCTGCAACATGGGTCGTTTCCAATCCACTCGAGGGAGTTGAAAGTTTGGCGTACGTTCAAAGGACGGCGAGCTAGACAGGTTGGAGGTGGCACTTTGAGGTGATGGTGACTTTGGTGGTGAGGGAACAAAGAACGGGGTGAAGTAGGATTCACCCTCCACCTTGACCGTGTCTGGTGTTGGCAATTGGAAGACATCCCTGTCATGCATAGCAGCCATGTCTGGTGTTGGCAGCTGGAAACCATACGGTGGTCTGCTGAAGGACAAACGACGTCGGTGCGAGGGAGACGAGGTTGGGTATGGCTGCGACACGGAGCGTTGCATGTAATTGGAACGATCAGCAGACAAGGGGCTTGTCTTTTTACGCTGACGACGCTGTAAGGCCGTGTTGTAGTAGTTCTTGATGGCATTGTCTGAGCGTCCTGGCAAATGTTTTGCAATGTTGGCCCATTTAGGTCCCATTTGCGCATAGAGTGCGAGGATGGTGGCTTCCTCCTCTGGCGAAAAGGGTGAACGTTTGAGGTTTGGGTTGAGGTGATTGTGGTAGCGTTCACGACACTGCTTGCCAGAGCGTGTTGCGAGTCGTTGAGCAATGATGACCCACTTCTCTGGCCCGATTTCGCGCACCAAGTCGAGCAAGAGGGCGTCTTCTTGCGATGTCCAGGGGCCTTTTGTAACGAGACGTGATCGGGCGATCCCCGCGACAGGTTGTTGTTGGTGCTGCTGGAGTGGGCTTGATTGCGAACGACGCTGGTAGGCTACCTCTGGCGTTGATTGATCAGGGCAAGTCCTGCAAGCCTGAGGGAGGTAAGGAAGCTGACGCTGGGGTGTGAATTGAGAGACGGAGTGCATCATGCCAGCAAGTGAGAAGATTAAGTAGAAGCAATAGGAGCTCTTTTGTTGGTTATTGTTTGTTACTGGGGGAAGATGAGGTAGGTGGCCAGTTGAGGAAGAGAGAGAGAGAGAGAGAGAGAGCGAGTAGAAGTGTGGTGGGCGCGAGGATGCGACGTGGTCAGGATACCTGGATATGCGGGTGAGGTGGCCTTTAAGGGCCTGGTGAGTGTTGCAGGGGGGGTTTCGGGCCAGGGGGTGTAGGCTGGCCTGGGGCTGTATCAGGTCATGGCCTCCTTCGTACGTGTGTCGGGTCACTCTTGTTGCTTGTTGCAGTTGAGGCCAGGGGTCAGCTGCAGTCAGTCGCTCAGTGTCAGGCCAGGGATCCTGTCTGCTGTCTGCTGTCTCATCGTGTCTCCCGCTGCAAGTTTCGCGTTGGACAATCTCGCGACGTGCATCACAGTTGAACGCTCTTCTCTTCGCTCTGTCTGACTCTGCTGCTGCGCTCAGTCCGCGTCCCTGCAACTTCATCTTGACGCGTCCCTGCCGTTGGAATGTGCAGATGAAGCGCGAAAAAACAGAATAGCTGCAGGGGCGCACACTGATTGGCCAATGGGCATGTTGGAATGCGCGGGACCGTGCAGCGTGCAGGAGAGTCACGGCTGCATGCATGTCAAGTTGTCAACGGCAAGAATAGTGACTGCTGACTTCTTGACACTACTTGTACACTTCGCAGTAGCTAGAAGCTATAGAGATACAGCCTAAGACACGAGCGAGATGCGACTCGCCGTTGACTAAACTAACGCATTCAACAAACAGATGCATAAAAAGTCAGCTTGCCCCTGAAAAGTCGACGAGCAGTGAGTGCCAGCACAACATCGCAGTCATGACTACTGCCAGAATCAGTGATCGTCCAAGTCTCTGCTTAGCAGCCAAGTATCCGTCTTGACCACTGAAACAACACGCCCATTCTAGAAAGGTCAGCAAGAAATCAGCAAGGTTCAAACAAGAGGCATACTCTGATTGTGATGCGATTCGGATCAGGCATACACACCACTTCCTCGACCCGTGATTGTTTCGTATACACCACCAAGTCAGCTATCCGGCCGACAGACATCTCCAACGACTGATCCGCGTCTATCGCGCCAATAGAAGCTTTTGCATCAGTCGACACGAAGCTATACAGCTGTGCAAGCTGATCTTGAGTAGAAGACTGGTAGATGGACGACAAGTTCATGGCAAGTGGGTCACAACTACCGTGTGGTTGAAAGCCATTGTAGCAATTGTTGATGCTGCACGCACACTTGAACCCCAGCTTTGACAATTCTGGTAGCATCAGTGTTCCACGAGGCGGATTGAGAGGCGTGTCACGGCCCATCATGAAGAGATCTGATGCTGGCAAGCCAACAAAGGAAACCCTGAATGGACAAGCCTTGACTTTCTCCAAGACTCGTTCAAGGTCGGCTTGACTGAATTGTGTCAGACCTGTACAGTGACCGAATGACACACCTTCGCCACCTGTATAATGTCTTGCCAGATAATCGAGTGCATCAAAGATCATACATTTCTCGTCAAGCGCGTAGTCTAGGTGGAAGTCAAGGCCACATTTCTTCTTGTTTGCATGCTGCGTCACAAATCTCATGTTGGCGAGCCCGTCCTCATACGTCTTTTCGACATAGGGAGCACTGCCAATAGCGGAGGCACCCTGCGCAGTAGACCCGCGGATCCTCAGCCGGGCTTCACCAAAGAATACCTCCATCTGCTCAATCTTTTGAGGATCGGTGATGAACGGGTCTTGTGCAAACAAAACTAGTTGGATTTCGCATTGTTTTTCGTAGAAATCCATCAGGTCCATGCCCACTTCGAAGCAATATTGTTGGCCAAGGGTGTCGGTGCCGGGTTCCACCATACATCGCATGGATGTAACGCCAGCTGCAATAGAGCGTTCAATGAGCAGCTGACCGCGCTCGTACATATCATCTAGCATAGAATCCTTCAGCTTCGCAGTGCTCGACAAGGCTTCTTCAAAGGTACCTTGCTGGAGGTCTGTTTCATTGAGAATGAAGCATTTGTCTAGATGAACGTGCGCATGGCACAAAGATGGTAAGACGAGACCATGTTCGCAATCGACTGAGGTTTCGCCAGGGTGAATCTGGTTTATTGTTGACTGAGCTTCTTGAAAGTCTCGTTTGCGTTTCTGGGGCAGCTGCTCCTTCTGATTTAAGCTTGCAGCAGCTTCTATGCTCTTGATCTTGCCATCTTCGCAGACAATGTCAACGAGTTCTCGTCTCCCATGACAGCGTGCATTGAGCAACGTCAGCTTCTCGACCATTCGGACGACTGAGTACTGAGAAGGGCGAAAGAGGAAGCTGGCATGGGAGCAGATGAAATTGCTAATTGTCGATGCGTGACATCGAGTTTAGACGCGCCACGAATTTGACGACCCCAGCTTGCGAGAGACTACTCTACCGCGCAGAAAGACATGTCTACTGACGAGGCATACAGCTCTTTTCTGGATAAAGCAAACAGCGTTCCTGAGGCGCCACCTAAGAAGAAGCCCTCGAACGACGCCCAGGTCTTGGCTGACCAATACCTCTCCTCTGAATCGGATGAACCATGGCGAGCTTTCACCTCTAACAAGACGGATGAGCTTGAAGATGCAGCTGCATTCGCAAAGCTCGTAGAACAATCTGGAGATGCATCTTTCGCAGAGATAGAAGCATATGAGGATCACAAACAAGTCATTCGGTATGTTCGCGAACGCATCTCAGGCGCTGAGCATGGAAAGGCTGAAGTGCACGTCTTAGAGATTACGGACGGTACACGGATCTATGTCTACATGGTTGCCTACAATAAGAAGCACCGTTGCTATGAGGGAGCACAGAGTCTGAAGATTGAAAGTTAGGAATGTGACTGTGGGAAATGCTGCTGCTGTGACCTTAGCCGCGAGAGCCGGAAGCTGCCTTGGACGCTCATTAAGTCAGATTGACAGTGATGTGGGCTGCCAGTGGGCAAGATGATTCAGTGCAGCGTGAAGATGACCGAGTCACCGAGATGGTGGAGTGAAAGTTTGATCTTGTGGCTGGTCCGAGATTGGCCGCGACTTCATACAACTCGGTCAGCCACAAGTCATCCTCATCAACCCGCCCACCCGCTCGCTCGGGTCGCCGACTCGCTGTGTAGTTCGGTAGAGTTCCAGCGTAAAAAGCGATTATATACCGTATAGCACCAGCTGGCCCTGGCACTAGCTGAGCAGCATCCTCCCCTCTCTTCAACATCCCTTCTCGTAGCAACAAGCTGGTACACACACTCGGCCATCACACCCTCCTGACACATCCCCCACGTCACATCGCACCGTCGCAGAAGTGACCGGCCCCTCCCCTCCTGAGTGAAAGAAGGTCCGCTGCCAACTTCGTCTGTTGTTGCTACCTCACACCCAGCTGCACCTCGCCCCCGACAAACAAGCACCCGTGCACAAGGCAAAAGCAAAAAGGTCAACCCGGGAACTGCACACGTCCTCCATTCCCTTTCTTGTCGCAACATTGAAGCACCTTGCCTCTTGCTACCTAGCCATCAACGGACATTGCAGTGTACGGCCGATCAAGCAAACGCTCCTTTTAACATCTCGCACCCTCTTATTCTGCTCTTCAGCAGATTGAAGAGTCATCTGCGACGATGAGCATGGCCCAAGCTATCCCGCTACATCAGGTACATCTCCCTTCTTCGTCGCGCCATGGCATATAGCTGACCTGCCTAGCACTCAACACTCAACCCATCGCAAAAATTAGCCTCTGTCAATGAGGAGTCCTGGCTCCAAGTCGGTGCGTCTTCTGACTGTGCTACAACATGATCAAACGCTAACAGTGACCAGGCAAGGTGGCCGAAATGATGAATGAGCTGGATCGCGCTGTCATTGCCTATGAGTCCGCGTTGCGGCACAACCCTTACTCCATCCCGGCTATGAACCAAATCGCTGCGATTTTGCGAGCGCGCGAACAGTTTCCAAGGGTAAGGCCATCTTCTCATCTGTTCAACCCATCATGCTAACTACTTTAGGCTGTCGAATTTTACCAGTCTATTCTGAACCTAGATCAGAACAATGGCGAGGTGTGGGGAGCTCTAGGTCATTGCTATCTCATGATGGATGACTTGCAAAAAGCATACTCTGCATACCAGCAGGCCCTCTACCACCTGCAGAATCCAAAAGAACCCAAGCTCTGGTACGGGATCGGTATTCTCTACGACCGCTACGGCAGCCTTGAGCACGCTGAAGAAGCCTTCAGTCAAGTCATGCGCATGGACCCTGGCTTTGAAAAGGCGAATGAAATCTACTTCAGGCTCGGCATCATCTACAAGCAGCAGCATAAATATGCCGAGTCGCTCGCTTGCTTCCGGTACATCATTGCGAGTCCACCAAAACCACTCACAGAGGTGGATGTCTGGTTCCAGATTGGCCATGTGTATGAACAACAAAAGGAGTACGGAAAGGCAAAAGAAGCGTATGAACGTGTATTGAGCGAAAGCCCAGATCACGCTAAAGTGCTACAGCAGCTCGGCTGGCTCTACCACCAGCAAAGCTCGACCTTTGCCAACCAGGATTTGGCCATTTCATACTTGACCAAGTCCCTTGAATCGGATGGTCAAGACGCGCAAAGCTGGTACCTGCTCGGTAGATGCTACATGGCTCAGCAAAAATACAACAAGGCTTATGAAGCCTATCAACAAGCCGTGTACCGAGACGGTCGCAACCCGACATTCTGGTGCTCCATTGGTGTGCTATACTACCAAATCAACCAATACAGAGATGCCTTGGATGCCTATTCTCGTGCTATCCGACTCAATCCATACATCTCTGAGGTTTGGTACGATCTCGGTACCCTCTATGAGTCTTGCAACAACCAAGTCAGTGATGCGCTTGACGCCTATTCACGCGCTGCAGAGCTGGATCCAGGAAATCCACACATCAAGGCACGTCTCGAGTTGTTGAGGAGTGGCCAGTCCAGTGGAGCCAGGCCAGGCCAAGCAGCTGCACCATTGCCGCAAGATGTGAATCCGAATGCCTACCAAAACACACCACAAGGGCCACCCACACAATGGGGTGGTCATCCTGCTGGTGGTCCTGGTGGACCACAACAACCAGGTGCACCGCCTGGTCATCCTGGACAAGGCCCACCACCGCCGCATCATGCACCTGCACCATTACAACAGCCACCTATGCACCAGCAACAAGCCCCACCAGCGCGTAGCGCCGCAACGAATCAGCAGTATGCAACGCATCGCGAAAACTCCATCAAATCACCCGAACAAAGTAAACATGCGTTGCAAACAAATGGTCATGGTCGTTCAGGTTCTGCTTCCAAGAGCTCTGCTACTATGGCACAACCTCCTGCCGTTCAGCCTCATCCGCCACATGCATCGTATCAAGCGCAGTCTGCTCCTGTACAAGCGCCTCGAGCGGAAGAAACACGCCAAGCAGTTCCTACGCCGACAACGCAAACAACGGATGGAAATCTAGCGCCCATGTTGGGCCGTACAAGTCCTGTTCATGAAATCAAGAGTCTCGAAACTGTTCGAGATGGCAGCAAATCTACCTCTCAACGCGGCTCTCCACGTCGCTCCAGTAAAGATACAGCAGCGGCCACAGAAGCTTCAAAAGAAGCACACGATGCAACGACATTGAAGAGGCCGCATTCTGTGATGGCTGATACGCAGCAGGGTGAGTCTGGACGTGAATCAAAGAAGCTGGCTGCGCAAGTGTCGCCTGGCGCAAGTAAGTCGGGGACGCCTGTCCCGGAGACGTCGGCTGCTGTACCTGCGGCTAGTGCGGAGGTTTCTAAGAATGCTGCAGCTGCACCTGCTGAAAAAGTTCCTTCGACAACGAGTAAAGCTGCGACGGAAAAGGTGGAGCAAAAGGACAATGATGCGGATGAGGTCAAGGTGCCGACCCCTGGGGATATGCCTAGCCCAAAAGCTGAGAATGTCAAGACTGGTGCAGTGTCGCCTATATCATCGGAGAAGGCTCCAGGAAAGACCGAAGCCGTCGCTGCCCCTGCTGTAGCTGCTGCGGCTGCTGCAGCTGAGAAGGGCGAAAAGGAGTCGAGCGTTGAGCCTGCACAACGAAAAGTGCAAGTGGATGAAAACTATGACGAAGAGTAGCGTCGCTTTCATGTTTCACTGCCCTTTGGGACTCTACGATCGCTTGCGTCTCTCTACCTGCTATTCAGCTACCTAGTCTGTACATCTGTAGACGCATCGCTATCTCTGCGCTTGTGACTGTCCCCTTTATGATATCTCAACCCGATTGGACCAAGACCGACAAATGCCAAGACATCGCGCTGTTCAGGAACAAATATGCTCCGGTTGAAAGCCAAGACCTCTCCAAAAAGGGCTTGGCCAGCAATGGTGCAACCGCATGGCTTCTTATAAGTGTGCGGGCAGGCCGGTCGCTTGTTAATGACCATCTCTCTCTATACAGCCTGTATGGCAACATCTGCAACAACTGCCGACCACATGTCATTCGATTTAGAAGAGCACATCAAGAGACCAGACCCCGTTCACTGCTGTCTGGCCCAGCAGGCACGCTCTAGCTTCACTCACATCATCGAGAAGCACGATGCACCGCAATTTCGTGAACGGTGCGACTCAGCAACGCTCGTCAATGCGCATTTCCTGGACGATACCACGCAAATCGAAACACTGGTTACGAGTCTACTCATTGCGCCGGCACTTGCGATAGCGGCCCTTATTTATATGGTCTTTGTTCTACCAGTTCTATGGCTTGCAGTGTTCATCTGTCGGCAAGACCTGGACATCGGTGTCAGACCGCTTGAGATAATTTGGCGGAAAGCGGCAGCGGCTGAGCCTGCGAGGGAAACGGTTCTAAGTGGCTCATTGATGCTCTTCAGCCTGGCTAGTCCATTGATGGCGATACTGCTTGCCATTGGAGCGATGCTCGCGGCATTGCAAATCATCTATTCGCTGATCTTGGCAGAGCAAACAGATTCAGTCTTGCTCAAATATGTTGCGAATTGCTGGCGTTCTTGGGCGAGGATGTTTGTAAACGATAAGTTTGATGGGAAAGGAGAAGACCCCGTTGCCATGTACCAGGTCTAGCAACGTTGATTTCTTGTTGTAGCGTTGCGATAGCGTATTGCCAAGTTGTCGTGCCATGGCTATCATCAAGTAACAAAGTTCTCTTCGCTGTCGACATACTGCTTTGAGAATGGTCCAGACGCGGCCTGCCATTCTGCAATAAGACTCGTCGCCTGCTCAAGCATGGTAGTGTAGCCACTATTGACATCTCGGAACATGGTGGTGTGCGCCGCTACTTCATCACGAGCTTCCCTGTTTTCTTGCCTGATGTACCGCGACTTGAGCAGCTGCCCTTTTGGCAAAACCACAAACGTGCGATCGGAAGCTGTCCCTGAAGTAGGTGGAATTGCAGTGTAAAAGCAAGCAAAATGAACACTATCAATGGAATTGACAGCCACAGTCCGTTGGGAGAGTCCAGCTTCATCGCGCAAGATGCTGATAAACTCAAGATGATCGGTGATCCAAGTGAAGCCTCGTGCAAGATGCTCTTTGGAAGCATAACCTGCGCCAGCAGCAACAAGCGCACCGGCAGCACTCGCAGCAGCAATCGACTTCCAACCCCATGAAGATGCTGAAGCAGGACTATCTTTGATTTGTCGCTTTTCTGCCGTCTTCGAGGCGAGCAAGCCTGAGCTTAGCGCGGTCAGCGTTGTTGCAGTATTGTACCAAGATGAACCCTTGTTGAGGAGATCCGTCGCTTGGTTCGTCCATAGCGATGGAGCAATGCCAAGCATTGGGCTGTCTAAGCAGATAACGCCGACTACGCGTGGGAAGAGCTGTCCTGGAAGAGGCGCTTCGCTATTCAACTGAATGGTAGCATCCGAAGCAACGAGTCCACCCATCGAGTGGCCAAGCAGGACAACATGAGTGCTTGGTGTCAACATGGGGTTACGCGTGCCTAGCTCAGATTCGGCATCAATGACTTTCTCAAGGACCCATTCTCGTAGCTTGGCCACAGCGAGCGCAAAGTTTCCACGTGTGTCATAGGCTGGATAAATTAGCGCACGATACTCGACGGCAGTAGTCGTGTCGTCAGGTCCCGTTGATTCTTGAGCATTGAGTTTTTGAGCTAGTTCTTCTGGGAAGTGCCCAAAGGTATCCTTGCCGCCCTTGAAGCCGTGGATGAAGATCAGCAATACGACCTTGGCCATAGCGCATGCCAGCTCTTGCCTATCTATCAAGCTCAAGCAATTCTGGTCAGTTGTGTAGTTGCGCTTTCCCAACGACTCGACATCCCACTCTTTTCCTTGCGACCACACCACACAAGAGCCAGGACATGCATTCAGCAGGCCGCCAGGTCGCGATACGCCTTGCAAGAGCCCGTCTAGGCCAGACTCGTGTCTTTTCAGCAACGACAACTCGTCATGTCGCCTCGGATTTCACTATGCCTGCCATGTCGCCTACCATGACAGAAGGTAATATCGCGAGCTGGAAAGTCGCTGAAGGTGCTTCCTACGCTGCCGGCGATGTCATCCTAGAAATTGAGACGGATAAAGCGACTATGGATGTCGAGGCGCAAGATGATGGTGTCCTTGCAAAGATCCTAGTGCAGGATGGAAGTAAAGCGGTGCAGGTCGGAACGTCTATTGCAGTCATGGCTGAGCCTGGAGATGATTTGGCGAGCTTGAAGATGCCAGAACGAACAGCTGTGACAGAGAGCAATATAGTCAAGTCGGACTCGGCTGTTGAAAAGGCAGAGAAGCCTGTTGAGACGAAGCAAGCAAATGCGCCTACACCGCATGTGTCGCATACCGCGTACGACTCGCTTGTCAACCAGGACGGCTCACCACTCTTACCATCTGTTATCGCGACTATGCGCAAATTGGGTCTTACAGAGATCAAGGATATCAAGCCAACAGGGCCCAAAGGCCGATTACTGAAGGGTGACGTGTTGGCCTTTGCCAAGAAGATTGACCAAGATGCACCTGCAAAGCTACAACAGGAAGCTGAGAAGCGCGGTAAGCTGGATCTCAGCAACATCAAAAAGGCGGCACCGGTACAGAAGCCTGAGACGCAAGCGGCCGCTCAAGCTATGGAAGTGGAGGATGACAAGATTGTTGAGCTGACGAGATCTGTTGATTTGTCTGAGCTGATTCTGCTTGCCGAGAAGCTGAGTGAGGATTCGCGTGTTCACATCTCTGTTAAACAACTTGCGGCCAAAGCTGCCCGGCGAGCATTGCAGGATGTGCCAGCGTTTGGTCTAACTGAGCGGTCTCAGGATGACTTGCTATTTGATGAGATTGTGGGAACATCGGCGTATAACAATGCGGTCTATGAGCCAGAGCCACTTGAAGGCCCTAGTGAACGGCGAGCACTTGACTTGGACGCATCTGAGTACCTGGAGTCCTCCTTCATTGAGCTACCAGAACAAGCCAATATCGATGGCATCCTCTCCCTGCAAGCTGTTCAGGTCGAAGATCCCCTCGCCTCAGCGCCTGCAAACTACGACATCCTGGATTTCCTGGCTGACAAGCCATTGCCAGCTCCCTCGCAAGCAATGCAATCAACGAGTCGCTCAAGTGTTGTTGCCAGCTTGCACTTCAGGGAAGGGTCAATCAATCCACGCACCGCGTCCATCTACCTCGACCGCGTGTCTCAATATATCGAGTCGCCTGTCCATCTCATGCTTTAAAAAGATTTATAGACATATGACTGCAACCGTCGCTCAATCCGCTGCCATGGGCTCGCCACCTTGTGCTACCTCTGCCGCGATCGCCTGAGTTGTCGAATCTTTGCCTAGTCCTGAGCTCTTCTCAAAGTAGAGGTTTGGATGTGAGATGCTCTCATTCAATGGCACATTCGGGTTCGTCGCTTCAAACACTTTTGTGCACGCAACGTGGTAGTGCTTGGACGCCACCGACTCATGAACCTCCTTGAGCGTCTTGCTATCGCTAATACCAATCTTTGCAAGAGAAGCATTGAGTGCGTCCTTGTTGAAGTGCTTGTAAGGACATCCATGACACTCGCCAGCACCAGGATTCGGACCTGTTAGGATCTGTTGACAGCTCATTGGACGATAACTCTTGCGTCCACCAACAAGTCCGTACATGTGTTGGACATTGTACCTGTACTCCTTTGTGAACTTTTCATCCGTTATCTGCTTGAAGGATTGTCGCCAAAAGATGAGGGATTCCTCGACACTGAGACCAATGGCTTTGAGGAATAATCCATATTGTTGTCTGCCCCAGTACTTGAGATGATGCGCATGCGTGAGGTTATCGTGCAAATTACGCATACAAAGTGGGAAATGTTGCAAAAGACTCGGGACCTGTGCAGCTGTCACGGCAGTCCCATCGAAGTCGCCTGATGCCGTATACTCAGGCGCCGTGAATCCCTTGGATAAATGCGTGAGGATGGGCAAGAGTCGATCATCTTCATCGAGACGCGGTATGGCGCGTGCTGTCATTTCCAACGCTGCTGCGAGTTTTGTGGAGAATTCAGCAGCGATGAGGGAGAGTTGTTCAGAGACGGGAACATAGGCTAGACCTCCCTTGACGAACACACGGCGCATGGCGACGAGATCGGCGACTCGCGTCCAGTCTACTTTGAAGTAGGATTCATGGTCAATAGATCGTGCACCGCTTGCTGCAAGAAGTTTATCGTGGAGTTGTGCTACCTCTGCTTCAGAGACAGCTTGCCAGTCGAGATCCAAGCTCTTGATAAAGGCTGTCGTGGCAGGTCCATCCTCCAACCCAAATCGATACTTGAAGAGTGCGGATTCTGTACGAATAAAACGCGCGCGCAAGTCTTCAGAGCGACAAAAGGCAAGACGCAGAATAAAGTGTGAGTAGTGATCCTTTCGACGCTCTGCATCGAGATGGTCGCCTTTTGCGTGTCGCGTACTGTCAGAGGCAAGTGGCAGGTACTTGTCTACCAAATCTGCCATGACTGTTTTGAGCTCGGCAGGGGTTTTGTTGCGGTACATGGCGGACTCAATTTCACCCAACACATGAAGCCTGTCGATAGCCCATGTTTGGAAGTCTTCGACTGTGATTTCTTGGAGAGGCGGGGTTGTGTAGAAGGAGAGCCTGGTAGGGTAGTCTGTTTCTCTGGCAATTTCCTGGGCAAAGTTGCGCCTACTGGCTGTGAGCTTGAGCTTTTGCCTTTTACTGCTGAACATAACAGCCTAGTGGATATAGCAGCAGTCAATAGCTAGTTCAGCAAGTCTAAGCAGTAGCAGCAGCGAATCTATCGCAGTCGAGTCTTGGTCTTGTCGGCGTCTCTCTTCCCAAATCCTCGAAATTCGCGTTCTTTCACCTGGTGCACGTGATCCAGAGGCCAACGTCAGCGAGAAGGCAGCGACACTAGCTACAAGACATTCATTCCATCCATCATGTTCATCGTATGAGGCGCCTAGTGTGTGCATAGGACACCTGCTGACATGCGCTCTAGATTGATTGGTTCTGGGATATGCTCGCCTCGCTAGGGTAACGTCACCTACTACCGCTCAAGAGATCATGCGCTGACGATACCAGGCTGGCCAACAAGCATGCCAAGCTCCTCTTCCTAGGTCTCGATAACGCAGGAAAGACCACTCTGCTTCACATGCTCAAGGTATGCCACATCAATTGCAAAAGAAACACTCCTAACAGCAATCTATAGAACGACCGTCTTGCCACGCTGCAACCAACCCTTCATCCACACTCTGAAGAACTCGCTGTTGGCAACAACCGTTTCACAACATTCGATCTAGGTGGTCATCAACAGGCTCGTCGTCTCTGGCGTGATTATTTCCCCGAAGTCTCAGGTGTCGTCTTTATTGTCGATTCTGCCGATTTGGAGCGTCTACCTGAAGCGCAGGCTGAGCTGAATGCTTTACTTGGTATTGAGGAGTTGCAGAAAGTGCCCTTTTTGATTTTGGGGAATAAGATTGATGCGCCTGGCGCGGTGTCGGAGGATGAACTCAGGAATGCACTTGGGTTGTATCAAACGACTGGCAAGGGTAAGCAACCACTGGAAAACATCAGGGCCATTGAGGTCTTCATGTGCTCGGTTGTGATGCGACAGGGTTACGGAGAGTAAGTCTGCTTCTACAAGAATCATACATGGCTAACAAGACAGTGGTATCAGGTGGTTATCCAACTACTGCAATTAAAGAGAAGAGAATCTCCGTAGTATGATGCTGTTCGCCTTATGCCATCCTTTCTGGTTCCTACTGTTAGTGAGTGACATGACTTTACCTGTGATGTGTGCTTCGAGTGGAAAGTTGACTGATCAGCCTTGTTGCACTGTGGATGGCGAACAAGATAGCAGCGATTATGCACTGGCGATAGATTGAGGGTGAAGGACGAAGTTACAGAGTCAAAATGTCACCGAAAGTAAATGGAAGGCTGAGGCGTATGGGATTGGCGAGACTGAGAACTGTCGGTATGGTCGAAAAAGCTGATTATCGAAGGAAGAGGAAGTATTCCACTGTACTTGCAAAATAGCTGTCGATTGAATCGAGAGAGGGAAGAGGCGTCGTCTATCGTCGTTCGTACCTGTCGCGATCGTCACGCGAGCTGCGTGCATAGTCATCGCGGTATTCATCCCTAGGTCGTGAAGAGTACGAGTCACGGTCCCTCGAACCACCACCATAGGAGCGTCGAGGTGGGTAATCATCGTAGCGACGATCATCATAGTCTCGACGACCACGAGAATCCCCACCGCGTCGATCATCGTAGCGGTCGCGCGAGTCGTAGTCTCGACCACGACCACCGCCACCGCGATAATCGCCGCCACGTCGGTCATCGTAACGGTCTCGATATCCGCCACCACTGCGACCGGGTGGACCACGTCGTTCTTCACGTTTAGGAGGACCAAAATACTTACCAGGTGTGGGTGTGCGTGGACGTGCTCGACGTGCCTTCTCAACACTCATCACACGTCCTTGCTTTTCCTGACCAGATAAACCATCCCGCGCAGCTTCAGCTTCATCTGCAGTGGCCATGGAAACGAATCCAAAACCACGCGATTCCTTTGTGTGTGGGTCCGCCATGATTTGTACGGACTCCACTTGACCAAACTGTGAAAAGATTTCACGCAGTTCAGTCTCATCGATACGCGTGGCAATACCCGTCACAAACAAGTTGGTTCCTGGGTTCTCCGTCGTGTGGCGACGCTCGCTGTGGCTATATAGGTATGAGCTGCGAGGTGACTGAAGGAGATGGATGCTTACTCTCGTCCTGCATCCCTGTCTGGCATGCGTTCGTCCCGGTCTTCGTCATCTCTGCGAGGAGAAGCTGAGCGTCTGTCGCGCCTGGGGCTTTGAGATCGGTCTCTGTCGCTCATGGCTGCTTGCCTGATGGAGAAGGGAGAAGATTGTCGTGGTTGCCCGTTGCCGTCTCCTTGGGCCGTGTCAGGGTTAGGCGAGTTGCTACACTCAAGGTACTTTACCAATACAAGAACTACTACTGCTGCTGCTGCTGCTCCAGTTCTGTATAGACTGCTGCTGAACAATGACACTAGTAGAGCTGCTACAAGCACCAAAGACCGTAAAACCACAAGACAGAGCTCGCCTCAAGCAATCCTACGCCACACTCGATGCGCCTGCCCGTCTCAGACAAGCACAACGCCATATCGCAGAGCTAGAACGGGATAATGATGGTGATGTACGCATCGATCTGCCAAAAGCTACAGCAGAGGATATACGACGCGGCCCGAAGCAACAGAGAGGAACCTCACAACAAGTGCGAAAGATCCTGACTTCGCGGCGTCCATTGGCGAATCACCTCGATGAAGCACCCGATGCCCTTGCTTGGCATCAGGCTGTCGTGCGACCAACGCGACATGCCTCACAACGCAAATTTTGCTCTGTATGTGGGTATTGGGGCAAGTACGCCTGTCTCAAGTGTGGTTTGTTTTACTGCACGCAAACCTGTCAAGTCACGCACGTTGAAACGAGATGCACCAAATGATGTTGATAATGGATGAACTAGCCATGTACCTGCTACGGCGAGCCTTCATCATCATATGATACAAGTGCTTTGCTCATAGTCCTCACAGCTTCATCCGCTGCAGACCTCACGAGGTTGCGATTCCACTCACGCCTCAAATGCCACGTCGCATCCACCGCACTCGAATTCACCTGCTCTAGCTGATCCACTGTCAAATTCTCCGTGCACGCTACCCAGGCTTGGCAATCGCGTTGAAGGGCCAACAAGTCAAGCTCATATGGAGCATGTTCCGGTTCAGGCGATGGTGGCGGTGATGGCGCTGGCGCTGGCGAGGGTGTCGCTTGTCGCGAAATGGCTGTCTGCTCGAAAGAGACTTGCTCGCTATTCGGCGCGGTTGCAACGACCAGGCCGACAGAACCATGGTCGTTGCATTGAGGCCTGGGCGAAGCTGGCTTTGCAGGTGGTTCTGCGACAGGACTTTTAGGCGAGAGCAGTGCAACGTTAGCCTCAACGCCAGTCATGGCAACATCTTCAGTTTCTGCATTAGCCACCAAGAGCTGTTGCGTAGACCCGTCACTGATGCCAGAAGGTGCACCTTCTGGCATGTCCATGACCACCTCTGTTTCTGGTGCATCCAGTATCGGCGCAGCTGCCGGCGCGACCATGGCAGTCTGCGAGTCTGGGTCAGGACCCACGGCCATCGGTACAGTCAAGGCATCTTCAATAATCTCTGTGGGCGCCATAGCAGCTGCTGCTTGTGCTGCTGTTGCAGCGGCGGCGGCGGCGGCGGCCGCCTGTTGTGCTTGTAGGCTTTCTAGACGAACCTTCTCCGAAGCTGCAAATTTGCGATGGCGTTCAACTTCACGCAAAGCCATTTGCTTGCATTCTTCAATGAACACTGGATCCATCATTTCTTCAGTGTGAATGAGCACATGCGTGAGCATTTCTTGTGCAGCCATAGCCTTCACGCGATCATCTTCATTCTTGGCATCTTGCACAACTTGCTCGACATCGTTGATGAATTGACGAGGTGTCATGTAGAGATTATTCCATAGCCGCTCCTCAATAATGGAAATATCCATATTGTGAAACTTTTTACCCGTAGTTGTCTCGAGAATCATATTATCCTCCGTGCGTACATAGATTTGATCACCTGCGCCGGGATGTAGTTCAGAGTCGAGTGAGAGGTGGACGAGTTTACGCTCATCAATCACTGGCTTCTTGAACCGCTTGTACCGCGTACGAATCAATTCCATGAGTGGTCCCAAGCGACCTTTGAGTTGTAGTTTGAGCTTCCTGTCTTTTGCCTCGACTGCTTTCCGTTCCGCTTTGGTCTGTGCTCGAGGTGCCTCGGGTGGTGCAACTTTGAGCTTTTCAAGCCGTCGCTTTCGTGGTGGCCGACCATCTGGCAATGCATCGGGTGATTTGACAATCAAGTCCTTCAAGAAGCCAAAGAACGCTTCGCGCTGGAGTGAGGTGGGTGTTGAGAGTGAAACGGACGCTTTGTCACCATGGCCAAACAGCTCGCGCACGGCATGAGGGAGTTCGCCTACTGGAATATTGGACACGCCCAGCAATAGCAAGGGCTCATTCGTCATGATTGAATTGAGCAATGATTTGAGTGTCGTTTGTAATGCTCCAGAAGCCACAGTGAACCAAAGTTCAACAGCAGGCATGTACAGTACAGAAGGTTTATGCCGTTTTGCTTCCACAAACGCTTGAATGAGGGAGGCTTCAGCCGTGCTTGCAGAATCGCTAAACATGGTGGATAAATCGAGTGTTTGGACATGGAAGCCTTCAAGATGATGAAGAATGGCTGCACCCAGATGGCCTTGTCCTAGCCCTGCTGATCCTGCAATCAACAACCTTGGACGATAGACGCGCATTTGGTCGAGCTGTTGTAACATGCGTTCTTTGTGGAAATTACTATCGTCTTGAGCGATCGAGAGATTCTGTTGTAAAGCGCTCTGTTTCTGCCGACGAGGCACAATAGCATCCACCTTTTCAGTGATTTCATCGAGCGTAGACTTGAGCAGTGGCTCAATATGTGGTGGTAGGATGGCGGCACCACTTGACGTTGACCGTGCTGAAGAGGGAATAATCTTCTTGACGGCAACCATGAAGTCTCGCGCCGACACATTGATAGTGGTCGGATCAATAATGAGTTTCTCGCTGCTCTGGTAGATTTGTGGGTATCGTCGTTGAACGGCATTGAGTGCAGCTTCCGTACACAATGCTCGTAGATCTGCACCACCATACCCTTTCGTCTGTGTTGCTAAATCGGCAATAAACGCATCTTCTGGTTTCGGTTGCCATTTACCGGTATGGATACTGAGGATCTTCTTGCGTGCATCTAGATTCGGTAGAGGGAAAAAGAATTCACGATCAAAGCGGCCTGGTCGTCTCAATGCCGGATCCACAGAATCAGGCCTATTCGTTGCACCAATCACAACAATCTGACCTCGTGCATCCATACCATCCATGAGTGCCAGCAACGTTGATACAATCGATGCATGAATTTGATCTTGTTTTGCAGAGCGCACAGGTGCCAAGCCATCAATCTCATCGAAAAAGATGATGCTTGGTTGATTGGCTTTTGCCTCATCAAAGAGTAACCTGAGTTGACGTTCCGCCTCACCCACCCATTTCGATAAACAATCTGCACCTTTCCGCATGTAAAAGGCAATTTTCCGAGACCCTGTTGAACAACTCGCTGCAAGAGCCCGCGCCATAAGCGTCTTACCAGTCCCTGGTGGTCCATGAAACAAAACACCCCGTGGCGGTGTAATATGGAAGTTTGTGAAAATTTCAGGATACAGCAAGGGTAAACTGACCATTTCCTTGAGTTGGTTGACATGTTCTTCCAATCCACCAACAGAATCAAAGGATACTTCCTTATCAATGCCAATTGGATCTGCGTCTGCCAGATTAGAACCCTTGACGCGACCAACATTGCCCGTTCCACTAGAAACAGCAGCACTTTGCATCATGGGTAAGGGCGCAGCAGCACCACCACTCGTGCCATTCGCTTGACCACCTCCCTCATCACCGGAGGAGTCTGTATCATCTTGCAATGCGCCATGCACAGGAAACCCTAAATTCCCAAACTGTTGAGCAGCACCAGCCGTCAATCCCAACCCTAATGATCCATAACTCGGATAGAGGCTCTGGAAAGTCGTTCGTGGGAGGGGTGCAGAAGCAGGACGTGGTGATTCTCGTTCTGGTTCAGGCAGAGGTGGTGGAATGGCATAGTTGATTTGTTGACGTGCACGAAGTTGTGGACGTGCAATGGGACCACTACCACCACGGCCACTACCACGACGACCCGTGAGTGCGAGTTCATCTGCTGGACTGTCACCCTCAGAGATGAAACTTTCCTCAGAAAGGCTATCGACGGTAGAAGCCTGACCAGAGTGATAATCTGAATCATCGGAGCCCTTCTTGCGCGAATTTGTGTCTTGTCCACCAGACGCATGACGACGTGATGTGCGACTCCCACGACCGTTCTTTCTACGCCCATTACGACGATATTCACGTGAGGAACGACCAGCAGATCGACTTGGCTGTTCATCTTCAAATGAAAGTCTCTTTGATTTCCTGCGAAGTGCAGTATTGGAACGGATGACCTCCGGCGGTGAATCTTGCTCTTCTTCACTCTCTTGAATACGTGATTTTGGCATACGTGCGCTGCGACGTAGACTCTGCATATAGGTCTTGCCATTTGCAATTTCATCTGAATCATGTGCTTGTTGGTCGAATGCTTGTTCGTCAAATGCCTCGTCTGCGTTCATGTGCATTGCCTCTGGTGATGCGCTTTGCATGGGCGATGGATGCGATGCAGGCATGTCTTGCGGGTGCGTTTGATTGGTTGGACTTTGAATCTCATCCGATGTACCCGTATGCACTCTCTCTACCTCTTGAATACTCTGCTGACCCGGCCGTTTCCGTAATGCAAGCTTGACAATCTTGGAGGGTGGCACATCCGGTGATGTCTCTTCCGATAATGCTTGCGATGGTGTCCGATGTCTCGTTGCTGGACTCTTTTGCGTTTCAGGTGATGAGAAGTGATGGTCTGTAAAATCGAGAGAGCCACGTAAGCCTGCGCGTCGTGAAGGGCGACGTTCTTCTGGAGATTGCGAGTCTCGTTTGCGTTTTCTACTCGATTGGTCGGAGCTTGCTTCTGAGTGTGCGCGTGGGAGTGACCTTCTGGAGCGTGATCGTGAAGGCTAGAAGGGGCATTAGCGTTGTCTGTGGCTGATGAGAGGTGCAGGGTGACTTGCCATGGGACTGGGAATCTCATCTAGGTCGTCGTCGTTATCTTCGTCTTTATACGATGCATGATTGACACTGGCTGTTCTGCGCGGTCTGCAACCATGTTAGCCAGGGATTACTTTGCGACAAGACGATGCAGCTATGACGACAAGCAGCTGGCCAGCATCGGCGGGAGCAGTGCATTGTTATTGCGGGTCTTACCTGGTGTCCATCGTTGCGCGTGCTGTCCCTGAGTTTGGACGCGACTTTCTTTCGGGGAATTGGGCGAGAGTGTGAGCAGATGAAGAGGATACTCTCTGTCTCTCTCCTCTCTCTACTGACACCCAGACTGCCTGCTTTTGGGCGTTTGGCAGTGGTGTGTGGTTGGAGCTGGGAGGGCCGCGCACCAGAGCACACACACACAGAGAGAGAGCAGGACACGGGAGGGCCATAGACACAAGAGGTGAAAAGAGGGAATAAGAGGCCTCAGTTGAGTCGCTGCGGAGAAGCCTCAATCTCTGCAGAAGAGCAGCACAGGCACATCAGTCTACACTGGGGCTACGGTGCTACGGGGTATTTATACTGGAGGCCCTCTGTAGGAGAGCAAGAGGAAGGAATGGCCCTTGCACCTTGGCTCTGTCTCTCTTGTGTCGATGCTGTGAGTCGTCTATAGCAGCCTGTCTCTTTCCCCTGTTCCTGTCTGCTGCTTCCACATGGAAATTCACTTTCTCTCCTCAGGCGGCGGCGACTCCACAGTGTCCACACACGACAAAGGCACAACGGCGGGTACCACTGTAGGAGCTGCTTCTCTAGACGCTACTACTGTAGGAGCAGCACACAGCCATGGCCTGGAAGTACACTCCCCAGCTCGCAAGCCAAATCAAGCACTTCGCTTCTTTCCCTCAAACAGGTAGCCCCATTCTCATCAGCCAGGCAGATCGAAGGCAGCTGACATTATCAGGCATCTCCCTCCATCAAATGGTCCAGTTCGGGTCCAACTCGTCCCAAGGCACCCTCTTCAGAGCCAGCCAATTCATCCACGAAGAACTCCCCATCAGACTCGCGCATCGCGTCAAGGAACTCGCCGAACTCCCAGATAACCTCAATGAGATGCCCAGCATCAATAAAGTCAAGGAATGGTATGCTCAGTCCTTTGAAGACCTGACCACCATGGAACGCCCAACCCTCACCCCGGAACTCCGGTCGATGCTCAAGGGAAACGGCAATGGGTCTGCCAGCTTACCTTCCACCACACGCAACCTCACAACAGAGCAATACAGCAGCAATCGCAACCAAAACAATGGCATGCGGCGGAGTGTCCCCGTACAAGCGCGTTACTACGGCAAAGTTGAAGACGTGAGTTGGCCACCCGAGATTACCTCGTTCAATGATCGTCTTGCCAAATCACTCAATGTCATTAAGCGGAGACACGATTCAGTGGTAACAACCATGGCGCAAGGTATTCTCGAGTATAAGAAGGCAAAACAACGGTCATCCATCAATAAAGATATCCAAGCCTTCCTCGACCGCTTCTACATGTCCCGTATTGGTATCCGCATGCTCATTGGACAACACATCGCATTACTCACTGAACCACCACGCGAGGACTACGTCGGTGTCATTTGCACCAAGACATCTGTTCCCAATATCCTACAAGAAGCCATTGACAACGCACGCTTCATCTGTGAAGACTACTACGGCCTCTACGATGCTCCAAAAGTCCAACTCATCTGTCCCAGTCATCTCAACTTCATGTATGTCCCGGGACATCTCGCACACGTCGCCTTTGAAGTCCTCAAAAACTCACTACGGGCAGTCGTCGAAACGCACGGCGTAGACAAGGAAAATTTCCCTCCCGTCAAGGTGATTGTTGTTGAAGGTGCAGAAGACATCACCATCAAAATTTCCGATGAAGGCGGCGGTATTCCTCGGAGTGCCATGCCGCTCGTCTGGACCTACATGTACACCACTGCTGAATCACAAGACTTGGACCCAGACTTCAACAAGAGCGACTTCAAAGCGCCCATGGCAGGATTCGGCTATGGCCTGCCTATTTCGAGGTTGTATGCACGTTACTTTGGTGGCGATCTCAAGTTGGAGAGCTTGGACGGGTATGGCGTAAGTTTGACATGTCCCCTTTGACACGTTGATTGTGACGTTGCTAACCATTCTCCTTTTTCTTCTAGACGGATTGCTACATCAATCTCAACCGTCTCAGCTCAAGCGAGGAGCCTTTGCCGTAACAGCAGACGGAGTGACAAGACCACTGCAAGACAGCAATGAGGGTCAACTAATAGCAGCAGCATTGTTTACTAGCCTCCAGCACAATTTAGAGCGCAGTTCAAAAGCACATTCATACACATCTACTCCAACAACACCTTCCGGTCATTGATTCCTCGAGACCTATACATCCCACTCGTCGAATCTCATTTCCTCTTGGCTGTCTGTCTACGGAACGGCCGTGTCCGGCCGAGCGTCTCCTCGGGCACATTGACCATATGGTCTCTTGTTTGTTGCAGATCGTCAGCATGCATGCTATCGACACGCGACAGACTGATTCTCCTGACAAGAGACGTCTAGCAGGGCCCTGTCAAGACAGAAGATCCACCTGTTCATTGGCATCAGCACATGAGTTTGAACATCGTAGGGGTGGCTGTCGCTTGTTGGGCATCTGCGAGACCTTCCGCCTCTTCCTCCTGATACGCAACCACGCGACTTGCTTTTGTTTGTCCATTCAGTTCCAAGACGGTAGGACTTCGGGCGATCGCATACGGCGTCAGCTCAGAGATTTTCTTAGCGCAGGCAAAAGCTTCGCGGGCTTCACGGCGGCGTGTCCTTCAGTCTTCAGAAACGAAAATCAGGGGTTGACATGGACTTAAGGGGGAGATGAGTATTCGATGTCCTGCACCATCCTTTTTGAGGGATGAAGAAGAGCAACCTCGTTGGCAGTGAACCCCCCTGCCTTCTGCACGTCCCGGAGGCCCTTGAAGCGATCGTTTCGCCCTCGGAGAAAAGCGGTCAAAGACAGGTGGATATCCTCCAAGGCTCTCTTTCCTCTATCCACATTTTCGACCTACCAAAAAGGTCGAAACATCTTTCACTGTCCTCTCGTTTGTCTCATTTTCTCAACACATCATCGCCATCGCCATCTGTCGTTCCGGGCGCCCTTTTCGCGATCGGCCCAATCCTTCACCGTACGCAAACGCAGCGAAGCCCAAATACAAGACGAGTGCATCAGAAGCTGTGACAGTGAATGGAGTCGCAAAGCTGGAACATGCATCGCTACCAGATGGAGCCTCCCGAGGCTGGTCTGCAATCGTATGGGAACATGCCCTCAATTGCCTCTAGCATGTCGATGGGCCCACCACCCGTTCCGCACCATCATGCTCACCACCATCATCATGCTAGCATGTCAAGTCATGCAAATTGGCCCGCTTCAGCACAATCCTCCTCGCCAGCGTCGTATTACACAAGCGCTGCTATTGAAGCTCAATTGGGTCAGCAACAGCATGTGCACGCTGCCTCGTCAACAGGGGTTATATCGCATTCTCCGAGTAGCATGCGAGATGCTGCACAGGTGCACGATGAGTCGTCGCATGCTTTGCCCGGTTACCATCACAATGCTCATCACCAGCACCAACAGCAAGTTCGATACGCTCAGTCCCACGCCTTGAGCCCAACGACATCGCTGGATGTTGTGAACGATCAAGGAGGAGCCGGCTCACAACCTACGCAGCACGCTCATTCAGATGTGACCTCTGCTGCTCCCGTGTCTGGCTCTAGGGAAACGGATGCTCGATCTTCTCGCTTGGCAACGACTGCGTCATCTGTACCCTTGATGCAGCAGCATTCTCAGGGAACTCATGAAGTACCCATCTTGACCTCCATCACAACTGCACCGTTTTATGCAGCTCCAGGACAAGCACTCATCATCAATGCTCAAGGTGCACCACAGCGTGCTAGTTTGACGGCTAGCTTTTCAGGCACGTTCTTCCTATCGGATGCAGAGAGTGTCATTTGCTACCGTCGCAACATGTTTCAAGTGAAAGCAGCATTGGTTGCCCCCGCTCTTGATGTATGCAAGTACTATGTTCGAGATGATTCTACTGGGTATGCACATCTGATTGCCAACTACAAAGTACAACTGTTGCCCACCAATTATGCAGATGGTTCCAGGATCGACCTCGTGTCAAAGCCAAACCATACACTCCTCACGGATGACGATCTCAGTATCTTGACAAAGGGGGAGAATTGTGGTAGCATTGGTGAGGAACGTCTGGATTTTCGTCGCCTCTTGTTTCGTTATGCAACACAAAACAATGGTCGTCGCGTTGAACTGCGTCAGTACTACCAACTTCTCCTGGTTGTGTATGCGCAAACAGTTTCTGGCTTGGAAGTCCCCGTCCTTGCTGCTTTTACGCGACCTATCGCAGTCAGGGGTCGCAACCCAGCGTTTTACGAGGACAAGTTTTTACCAACGGCTGCTTTACGTCGTCACCGACGGCGTAAGCAACAATTGCTTGCTCGTCGTAATGGGCAAGCTGGGCCTGATCAGCTCGGCGACGACGACGGTGATGACAGTCTTGAGACGAGCGGGGAGGAAGGTTCCATGGCGATGACATCAGGCAGTACATTGGCAGGTCTGTCGGGTCATCCACCAGAGAGACTGCAAACGGCGGAGTATTCGACATCCAATGGCGCACAGACGATGCAACAAAGTCCCTACCTCCCAGCTCAACCCTTTGTGGCCATGCAACCACCACCACCGCCACCTCCAGCACAATCGCCTCGTTACGCCATGGCTGAAGAAATGCGTCTTCCTGCTGCACAGCCTTCACCGACATTTGTTCAGTCCACACGACAGACTCCTGTGCAACAAGCTTATGATGAAGGCGCCACTGTGCCACAGGCTTTTGAGAATGATGCCGTTCCGCTGACTCAAGCTCACCCTTCGCCGCCGCTGCAGCAGCAGCAGCAGTCGGAGCGTGTTGAAGCGGCATCGACAGAGACTCATGGCACGCAATTACCACAGCTCTCGCAGCTAGCTCAGTTGGCTCAGCTGTCGCAGCTTGCTCTGCCTCAGCAACAGCAGCAACAGCAGCAACAACAACAACAACAACAACAACAACAAGAGCAACATCATGCGACTGGGAGTGACAGCGCTTTTGGCTTCAACAACAGCAACAATACAACCACGTCCCTGCTGAATGCTCCCGTGCTGCCATCGCCTGGATTCATTCCGTCCATGGAAGAACAGAAGGCATCCTTCTCGCCGCTGCGACTCAACACAAATACAACTTGTACAGCTGAGCAGATTGAGCTTAGACACTGAAAGAGACACGTACAGAGGACTTTAGACGCATTGGCTCATATGTGACAGAGCCAAGATTCCAAGTGGCGACATACATGATTTTTCCGTCATCACATTCCTACATCAATTAAGCGGGCACAACTGCAGTTGCGTCACTCATTGTATCCTTATCGAGCATATATATATCATCGTTCAGCTATCAGAAGCGCTACTTTTGCTGTGACTAATGCAGATCTTCCATGGGCGATGCAGGGTCTGAGTGCTCTTCGTCTTCTTGCATCACTTCAGCCTCACCCTGCCGATTCGTTGTTGGTTCACCTTTGGGTTTTGCAATCTCCAGACCAGCTTGCGTGATGGTCAAATGGACGAGGGCACGAGCATACTCTTCAGAGTGCTGCTTGCCCATCGCTAATGTCTTGGCCATGGTCGCATCCGTGGCATTCGTCGCCTCAAGCACCAACAACCCCCGCACAGCGTCAATACGAGCATTGGGCAATTCGTCACTCATGATGAGCTCTTCAAGCAGCTGCTCAAGCTCATCAGGGGTCTTGCCAAATTCGTTAACCATGCGAGTGAGAGAGACACTCTTGAAGGCTTTTGCAAATTGAATTAAGCTGCGCTTCTTAATGCGTGAAAAGAGGTGCTGCACAGCGGAAGGTTCTAGGTGCATGTCGGCGAGTAAATCGCCTCGCATGATCTCTAGTACTTTGAACAAGTCGGCATAACGAGACTTGTAGAAGCATTCAAGCGCTTCTCGTGCATTTCCTTCGAGCTCCAATACGGGCGTCATGTTGCTATTGTTAAGCAACTCGGACGACAAGGTCTTCCTGTCAAAGTACGCCAGCGCAATAACAACAGTTTGATTGGCGATATCGTTCAGACAGATGACTTCTTCCCACCTTTTTGCTTGCACTTGAGCCACAGAAAAGGCACTAATGTACGCTGTTGCAGCTTGATGATATCCTCCGTGCGCCAAATTGGACAGGCCTTTGGCAATCAGACTCTTTTGTCGATCAACCCCCTTCTCCAACTTACCGTCAATCTTGGACAGATAAGTATTGGCTGTGGCCCACTGTCCAGCAATGGTCGCAAGCTCGACAATCTTGAAAGTTGTATGGGCAACCTGGTCTGGCGTTGTGCAGACATCTCTATTCTGAATGTAGGTCTTGATGGCTTCGTCAAATTGCCCCATCTTTGCTTGGTGATCTGCAAGATCCTGCTGGCCAAGACGAATAGACTCCTTGATGAGGTTGTTCTTATATGCCTTGAGCTCTGACTCAAGTTTGACGGTCATAGCCTGCGCTTTGCGTGTAATCTCTGTTGCCCAGGTCGAGTCATAGGCCACACTTTCTGGCAGAAGCTTTGCAAGATTGGCATACGTTTCGCCATCCATCGTCTCCTCCTTCAATGCAGTCAATGCGCGTTGAAGCGCCTCACTGCGCAACGAATCAAAGGTGTTGGCAATGTGCACAAGACGCTTGACTTTGATGTAGCCTTTGTAGTTTTGTATGTACGCGCCAAGCTCCCATGTTGGCTCGGGGCCTATCTCCATACCTGCCCGCTAGCAGTCTCGGCACAGGTTTGTCGTTGCCTGTCGCGTTCTGGTCGTGTCTCTTTGCGGACGTCACTTTAAATTCGTGGACGTACGCGCATACAGCTGCTATAAGCGACCACTCTACACTTGATTGGAAGCAAGTAACCAGCGTCTATGCTCTCGTTCTCGGCATTCAAGCTCTCTTCCAAGCCATTGTTGCTTGTCGGCGAGAAGTCCCGCTTGTCCAAGGACTTTCTGGTCAATCTACTGAAGCTTGACGACAAGGCTGCTGCACGCTTGAGCCTTGCTACCAAGGCCTTCACCGCGAATGCTACAACCGTTGTAGAGCATGAATCTGGAACTGATCAGTTGGTGAAGCTGGCCTACCTGTCAAACGAGACGTCTCGCTACATGGGCATCATTCGCGCAGATTTGATTCCGAAATTGGTCTCTAGCAATTTGCCAGACTCTGATCAGCCATGCCAGGTGGTCATGTGCTTGAAGAACAAGGCTGAAGTCTTTGCAGCTTCGTCTGCTGTGGCAAAGGCATTCCCCTTGTATACGAAACGGTCTGCAAATCTCAAAAAGTTGGAAGCCAAGGTTGACATTTCGTTCTTGCTTCAAGAAGGTGAGGTGACAACGGATGAGTTGGACAAGGCTGAGAAGCTGGCAGAGAATGTGCGTCTTACACAGAGCTTGGTCGATACGCCACCAACTGATCTCAACCCAGAGGAATATGGAGCTCGCATCGCAAAGCACATTGAGGGTATGGAGCACGTTACGTCTGAGTTCATTGTAGGCGAAGAATTGAAGAAACAAGGCATGGAAGCTCTTTACTCTGTCGGCAAGGCAGCTATTCACCCAGCTCGCATGATCGTGCTCAAGTACGAAACCCCTCAGAGCGACAAGTCCAAAGCAATTGCATTTGTGGGCAAGGGTATCACCTACGATACTGGTGGTCTCAGTATCAAAACAGGAGGCAACATGTGCAACATGAAGACCGATATGGGTGGATCAGCGGCATGCCTTGGTGCATTCACGTACCTGTGGTCAATCAAATACCCTCATCCAGTTTACGCAACGCTGTGCATTGCTGAAAACGCAGTGGGCCCTGGATCTCTCAAGAACGATGGTATGTCTTCAAACTTTTGTACATACCCTGAAGCTGACGAACAGATATCATCCGGGCCAAATCAGGCAAGACCATCGAAATCAACAATACGGATGCCGAAGGACGTCTCGTCCTGGCGGACGGAGTTGCCTTCTCAGGAGGTCTTAAGCCGTCTGTGATGCTCAGCGTGGCAACTCTCACGGGAGCACAGATGGTTGCCGCTGGACAGCTTCACGCTGGTGTTCTTGCCCCAACATATGAATTGGAGCGAGAGCTCATGGATGCCGGTGTGCAAAGCGGTGACCTGACAACGCCGCTTGTCTATGCGCCGGTCCTCATGGAAGAGTTCAAGTCAGAGGTTGCGGACATGAAGAACAGCGTCGCCAACAGAATGAATGCACAGGCAAGTTGCGCTGGGCACTTTATTGAACAACATGTCCCAGAAGATTGCCTATGGGCGCACATCGACATGGCTGGGCCGAGTACATACCGGAATGGCTGCGCAACTGGTTACGGAGTGGGTCTACTGGCTCAATTCGCTTTGAACCGCAAGTGAGCTCCAATCATTGGGATTATGTGCTAGAATGTCCTTTGCACAGAGCACCATCCGTACGAATGGACATCCAAGTCTGTCTGGCATTATTGGGTATACATGTATAGCATAAAGTCATGAGTATAGATTGCATGTTCCACCGCTTGTCTCACTTGCTTTGCCAACCAATACCTGTATTGGAATGCGGCACTCAAACGGCTCTGCGTCGACTTTGTCCAAGGGCCACATCTCCACTCCATGCTTGCCTTGACATTCCAGCAGCCAATTTTCCTTCTCTGAGACCATAAACTCAATCAACAGGCTGTACTCTATCTTGGCTGCTGTTGTCTGGAAGCTCGGCGAGGCGAGTGCAGGTATCGGCAGCTCGATAATCGCTTCTTTTGCAAAGGCTGTCGTCTCGACCTGCGAGCTGAGTACGCGACGCGTAGACAACAAAGTCTGTTCGGGTGTCTTGACTGCAAGGCTTTCTGGTATCGTCTCTGATAATTCCAGAGAAAGTTCGAAACCGAAGCAATTGAGCTGTGCATCCCGCAAGTCAATTTTGCCCATGATGGTCTGGCCAGCGCTAAACAGGATGCCTGGTAATGTTATGACGCCCACTGTCCGCCCTGCGCGTGCAATGTCAAATTTGGCTGGTACTTGCCTTGTACTCCTGTAAATTGAGAGGCTTTCGTGCATAGACTCAGGATTGAAATACCCAGAGCGCTCCATGGTGGGTGAAGGGATGATTGGCTGAGCTGGCTGCCCAGCTTGCGGAAGAAGTGTCTCAAGATAACTCTCAAAGTCCTGCTTTGTGAGCGTTGACTGAATCGCGCGTGTTGGTTGCGTGGGCAGGCAAACAAGTGGCGATCTCGTAAAGAGGTGTGGTTTTTCACAAGCGTACGGCGGACTCATCTTTGTGAAGCTGCCGTAGACTCGTAGTGGTAGCTCGACAGTTTTGAATGTATTGTCGCTTCGTTGCGCAGTCAGCTTGAGGCTATAGGAAATTTTGATGGCTTTGCCTTGGTAGCCACATGGCAATGAGCTCGGTAAAGGACACTGCAGAAAGAACGTTTCTTGTTGACCCGGCCGTAGCTTGATTTCTACGCCAAGGATTGTCGGAGGCATTGATAGGATGGGAATTTGTCGACCAGACGTGGTCTCGCGCAATTCTGCAAGCGATGATTGGGCTGGGTCAAGCAAGATGCTCTTCAAATTGCTGAAGGACCATGCATCTGCGACTTTTGTTTGCGTACCAACAAGTCCTCCCGCGGCAGGACCTCCAGTAAAGGCTTTGCCTTTCAAGTGCTCAAAAGACTCTGGCTTGATGAGCGCAGGGTCAAGAGTGAATTGGCCTGTTATTTGCGCATGCAGCATGACAATCTCTTCAACCTGCGGCGGCGACAAGATAGATGTACTCTGAAAACCATTGCTACCCCTCTGTGACGAACGTCTGCGCTGATTCAGCCAGCTGGGCCGCCGTCGATGACCTAGTGTTGGACTTGTACTTGGCGATTCTGTCTTTGCGTCTGCAGTGCCAGGCTGCAGGCTCAGTCTTCTCTCAGCAGTGGGAGATGTAGCAATGGCTTCCGACAGCGATGCATCTGTGATGAGTGATAGCTTTCGCACATGCCGAGTCGGTTTCGCAATAAGGTCAGAACCAGTGGATGCCATTCTCTTGTGGCCGCGCTGGAGTGGCGGAGACCTCGAATGCATTCGCCGTGTTTCATCTAGACTATCTCTTTGTTGCTCATCAAATTTGGCGAGCGACTGTAGAGCCGCAGGCAGAGAAGCATTGGTCAGGGTAATCTTCAGCTTGAGCTCTTGCCCTGCGAAGCATTGATTTTCTTTAGCTTCTGCAGCAAGTGTGATCATTGAAGGCAGTCTTATGAGTTTCAGCTCATCAACACAGTAGCAGTTCCTAGCATGTCCAGCAGATGGCTGAGAGACAGTGAGAGTAGTGGGTGACTATTGGCAGGAGAAGACGAGGCTCTGAGGCGTTGCAGCTGTCAAATTCGCTCGTTGCACATCGCAAAGGCGCAAACAATCAACACCACACACAAAGGTGCAAAAGAGGACCATGGACCATCGCAGGCCGATGTTAGGGAGCTGGCTCTCCCTGCTCCTTCTCCTCGCACCAATAAACGCTCTTTCCATCTCCCGTTCTTTTCCAGCCGCGACTTTCGATGCAAAACACAACCGGATTGTGTTTGCAGGCGGCGCTTCTTCAACGTCTAACGTCACGGCCGACGTCTTTGCCATCAATTTGGAAGCCTTCAATCGGTCGGATGTCCAAGTCACATCCTTGGGACAGTTAGCTTCACCCGTGGCTGATGCTACACTAGTTCATACCGGCGACGGCACACTCCAGCTCATTGGCGGTACGACCAATAACTGTGCAGGCAAAGTACAGACGCAGCAGTTCAATGTCTCGAGCGATTCATGGAACATAATTCAAATGACAGGTACTGTGCCGACCATAGCAAGGACAGGTGCTCGTGCTGCTTATATTAATGGCCAAGTCTTGTACTTTGGTGGCCGCTCAGTCTCCGGCTGCTCGTCGAGCCAGTACTACTACAACACATTGTACACCATCAATTCAAAGACAAATAACTGGACCAGCTTGCAGGATGCGAGTCCGCCCATTGCACAGGCAGACATGTCATTGACGCCCTTAAGCGATGGATCCTTTCTGCTAGTTGGAGGTGAATCTGCCGGTTCAGGAGGTAAGGCCTCTTGGGTCGGCATGTCGCAGTATGCGCTTTATGGCGCCAATAGCTCTGCATGGTCCTACCTGTCGCCATCAGTCGGCTCTCTTTCCGTAACTGCACGCTCAGGACACTCTGCTGCATTCAACGGCTCGCATACATTTATTTACGGTGGCTCAGTCGGTGCTGCAGCAAGCACACCTAGTTTTATCAGCATCAAGCTACAAGATGGTGCGTTGCAGATTGCCGAGGTGAAACCAGCTGGACTGGATTTCGCCCCACCGAGCGGATTGTATGGCCATGCAGCTGTCATGACTACCAACTCCATCATGGTCATGGCCTTCGGTATGGTGGGATCTGCCAACAGTACAACCTTCAACAATCAAATTTACTTGTATGACACTGTCGCCAATACGTGGCTGAATAGCTACGACCCCACAGCCAATCCAAGCAAGAACAATAACATGGGTTTACCCATAGCAGCTGTGGCAGGCATCATCTCAGGCATCGGCATTCTCGTCATTGCATGTGGCGTCCTTGCACTCTTTTGTCTCCGGCGCCGTAAGCAGCGACAACACCAAGTGCCATTCCCACGACTCGATTCATACGCGTCTGAAGCGGGATACAGCTACCAGGGCAAAGAAATGGCGTTCAGGCCAGCGGATATGCGACAAGACGCGATGCGAGCAGTATCATTACCACCCTGGGCAGCGCTACATGCGTGTCGTGCACGTTCTGCTTCACCCACAGGTGGTTCAGATAAGGACCATTCCATCAATCAAGTATTGGATGGCTACACAGATGAGCAAGCTGAGTACAACGTTCAAGATCGAATGGTCCAAATAGCGATGCCAGCGTCCCCGAGATTCCTGACTTTCACTGCACCGAAACTGCAATTGAGAGTCGTCAACCCAAGCATCGAATCTGGTCGCTCGTCATTGGATTTGAGCTACCCAGAAATGGTTGAGATTGGAGAAGATGGTACTGGGCGAGCTATTCCTTTGTCTATTACTGATGAAGATGATCTTGAGCATTTGCGAATCACACTGGCAACGACACCCATCATCAGCGACTCTGTTGAAGACTTCCAAAACCAATTAGCTGGGCTAGGCTTAGTGCTTCGGGAGGAAGATGTATTGGAGCCTTCTACGGGTACCCTTCGTCGTGTCAGAACGCTTTCTAAAAAGTCAAAAGTGCCGCCTAGTTCAACTCCGCCACCGTCTCTACCAGCATTACCACCGTTCCGCAGGAGTTCTCGAGCACCTCGTTTATCTGTGGTGTCTACAACAAGCGGGCTTGGTCTTGAATCTGTCATTGATCAAGTGATGTCCCCTGCGCAAAAGATGCCGCTGACGCCCTTCACCGAGCGTTCCTCACCAGGATTGAGTTATTCGCCCTACCTCGATTCACCGCGACTCTCTGACCGCGCGCCTTCCCCGACACACCCACAACGATCACCGAGCAATGCAAGCAGTCGTCGCTCAGAGGACTTGCTAAGGTACATCACCTCCCCTTCACCTGATCTCAGCTTAAAGTCACCCGGCGGACAAGGTGACACTCCAAGTCGCATGTCATCCATGCACTCCCAGACTTACACCTATACACCTAATAGCCCACGTGCTGCTTCACCACCACCACAACATCGCGGTCGCAGTCCTGCACGACGTCCGGAAATGTCACCGAGCGGCCAATCTGCCGTTTCAATCTTTTCGGATGATGCGTCGTTGTTGCCTAAATTTGAACCGACTGCTGTGCCTTCGACAACACTGCAGACGTGGATGCGGCAAGGGGTCAATAGCCGCGGGACATCGTTTCGATATCCTGCTCGGCCTGTCACTTGATGACAGCTGACTGGCACCTTTCCAATACACCCTGTCTCAGACTCTCAGTACAGTTGGCCTTTCCACCTGAGCAGATGATACGAGCCGCTGGCCCGATCTTGAATCTTGATTCTTGGATTCTTGGGCACTACGATCGGCCTTATTATTCCCGTCTTGGCCCATCCGGCGGTTATTTGTTGCCGGCGCACCAAGGATTGATGTCGGCGCACTTCGAAGATTTCGGCGCGAGATCTTGAACAGACTTCTTGTCTCTAGTCCTTTCCTCTATTTTCCTAATCTAAATACTAGTTGTATCTCATTTTATAATAGCTAGCGGCATGTCTATAGCATCCATCTCATGTCATCTCCTCTGCTGAAGCTTCTACGTGTCTGCTGACTCAGTGCTGAGCAATGTTGCTGCGTGCTTACCACTCTGTGACATCGGCGGCGCTTTTTGTTGAATCTTGGCCTCAAAGCGCAGCAACAGCGCACCACAGGCACGGTCACACGAGCACCTGCAGAAGGAGCACAAGGCTCATCCTCCGAGTAAACACTACATCAACATCAAGGCCATCGATTCAGGTAGAAACCAGAGCTCATCGCCGTAGGAACGCACGGAGCAAGATTGAATTCGTTGCACACGACATCGCCGATACCGCGAGTCAACCGGCACACGACACTGTTGCTTCAAGGTGTATCACGTAGCCAGTGCCCTACGAGCTCTTCTGCTCTGCTGAGAACATTAGAGATGGAGCGCAGAAGTCCCGCCGTGCAAAATCCGCAGGCGCAATGTGCCATCAATGTTCTATTGGCAGGCCCTAGGCTGCTGCTACACATCTGGCAAACCCTGCTCAACAAGCATACGCTCTTCGGCTTGCTCAGAGAAATACTCACCAATATGATCTTCATCCTGGCGTGGATCCTGACCTTCAAAAATGCGAGACGCATTAGTCCCAATATCCGGCCGCACATACATGTCAAAGTCCTCGAGCGTAGAGACGCGCAGATTTTCGGGTATACACCGCTAGGTCTCTTTCTGCAGTGTGTCATCGCCTTCTATGGCTTTCTCTGGGTCTTCACTTTGACGCGGCGACCGCGGTTTGCGCTTCTCGGGGCCTTGCCACCCGTTCTACTCAATCTGCTGTATCTAGGCACCCCATACCTGTCAGCACCTCTGGACGTATTTGCCTGGCTCAGCTACGGCGTCATTCACTTTGTCTCTCCCTTTCTCTGTGCGGCCTGGCTCTGGTTCTTCGCTCCACCAGGCATCGTCGGTGCATTCGCTTGGTCATTCGGTCTGCAAAACTGCCTAGGCATCATCACGCATCTCTTCTTCCCAACAGCCGCTCCTTGGTATGGCGACCAGTATGGCTACCCGCTGCCGCCAGGCAACTACTCTATGCCCGGGAGTAGCGCTGGACTTGTTCGAGTGGATAAAGTACTCGGCACGCATCTCTACGAAAATGCATTCAAGGCGTCTCCACTCGTCTTTGGTGCTTTTCCCTCTCTCCACGGGGCCTTTGCCGCGTGTTGCTTTTTATTTATCGGCAGATACTCGCTCAAGGGCCGCTATGTGCTTGGCTTCTACTTGCTTTGGCAGTGGTGGTCAACCATGTACCTGCGGCATCACTGGAGAATAGATCTCCTCAGCGGTCTCGCGTACGCTGGATTCGCTTTCACACTGCTTCAAGGATTCATTGTACGGAAAGAGCATGAGTTCGAGATGGGCTTATCTGGCCAGCCTGCATGGCAACGTCTTTGGCGCGGAACGCCGCTTGAACACTGGTTCGAAGCGAAAGACACACATGCCTTCGACAAGCTTGTCACAGACGACGATGAAGAAGATACACTGGTGTGCCCTGTATAATCACGACAATTTGCTTTGTTTGCCATTCAACGACATACTTTACCATTTCATTGTTGTTTTTCAAGCTTTCCTCATAGCAATAGCATACGGTAGGTTTACACACGGTCAAGACTCCTTCATAATACGTCAGAAAGCCAGAGGCGCCAACTCTATTCTTCACTTTTTCGCCCGACTTTTCGTCTTGGATGAGCCAGCACTACTGCCGCCTGCTGATGCCTTGCCCTTCCCGGCGGGAGCCTTTTTGCCCTTTGCAGCACTCGCACTAGGCTTCTTGAGTGCCTTGATGGCCTTGTCCTTACTGATGTCTTCATCGTCCTCTACCTTCTCCGGCACAGCCGCAGCCTCTTCGTCAGAGAGCTCCAGAGCGTCCTCAATATCCGGTGCAGCCTCCTTTGACATCTTCCTTGCCTGCGTTGCAGCACCACTCGCAGCAGTTGGCAAAAAGGCAACAGGGTGTGCAGCTTTATTGTAGATGCGCGTAAAGGCACTCTTTGTCGTTGTATCGATCTGGAGTTCCTCACCCGCCATACCAAGCTCAATCAATGAATCATAGTCATCTTTGTTGAGGTAATACTCATCCATCAATTCCATTATCTCTGGAATCGCATCTTGACCGCCAACCGAGAGACGTTGTGGCAATCGTCTATACAGCGTTGGTAGGTAGTCCCGACGAATCTCAAAGCGATCGCCAGAGACTTTGAGACGCAGATGCGCATGTACTTCGCGTAGCAATCTATAGGCTTTGCCAGTCGTAGACATGCGACCCAACACGGATGGGAAACCGTATCGACCATGACCAACGCCAGCGACAAACGAACAAGGTCGAACGCAGGAAAAGACGGCATGCACAGGCATAAGACTCCAATGCTGCTGCGAGCCGTGGATCAGCTGATCGACCAAGTCACTGTCTGAGATACTGCTCGCTGCTTGTTCAAGAAGCTGCAGGTGCTTCATCATCTTACGCTTCGGAGGCGCCACGGCGCGACATCGCTCTGGATTCGTGAGGAGAAAATTCTCTTGCACCATGAGGTACGACAGTGAATGGTCGTTGAAATAAAGTTCGATCTTGTCATTGAGCGTCATGGGGCTGCGTTCGTGATAGTTGGCACCATTGAGGAACTGACCGACAATGTCCCATGGTTTCAAGATTGTATTCTTCTCAGCGGCCTTGGCACTCTCACGACCTGAATCCATTGCATTCATGGTCAAGCGGTGCATGCTCAGCAGATTGATAATTTGTCGAATGTCACTGCCAGTACCCTCGACGAGCTGATCTGCAGCTTGTGGCGTAATCTTGAGCTTTTCACGGTATGCAATACTCATAATGCGCGAACGAATCTGATCTTTCGAAGCCCGCTGAAACTTGAGATCGAGAGTAGTAAAGGTCAGTGGCTTCATCTTGACGGAGCTGCGATCATTGCAGATGCAAATGATCGGAATGGTGGTCTTCTTGATGACTGCATTCAGGGCACCCACACCACCGCGGTCACCACTGCTCATGCCGTCAACTTCATCCATAATCAAGACCATCTTCTTTTTGTTCTTTTGCACTTGCTCTCCATCTGCAGCGAAATAACCATTCAGCGACGTGTTGTCAACCACACCAGCCAAGCCGGTCTCGAGCAACTTCTTCGAACGCGTATCAGAGGCATTGAACTCCAAGACGTCGAATCCAGCCAGGTTGGCGATCAGATGTGCGCTCGTCGTCTTGCCTACGCCCGGGGGACCTGACAACAGCACCGCTCGATACAAGCCAAGGCCATCAGGACCGCCCTTTTTAAAACTGGCAGCTTGTGCCTTCTGAAAGCCAGTCAACCAGCGCTCAAGCTTCTCGACACTCGCCTTGTTGCCCATCACCTCCTTCATGGTCTTGGGAGCATACTTGGTTGTCCAGAGCTGCTCAGACGGGTCAAAGATACGTGGACCACCGATAATGCCCTCAGCTGCTTTGCCCTTCAGCAGGGCTTGTGCTTTACGACGCTCCTCGGCTTCCCGCTTCTCAAAGGCTGCTGCTTCATCCACGGCTCTCTGTGCTTCTGCCTGCCGCTTCTCAAGCACCTTCTGTGCGGCTGCGCCGGAGCCGCCAGCGCCAGGCATGGTCTGAATCATACGAAGCAAACCATCTTCGTCGACCGTACGAAGCTTGAGTTCGTGAATCTTCTTGATTTTCGAAGGACCGGCTTGTTCCCCAAGCACGACAAAGCTCGTCTTGCTGGATGGTGTCGCCGTCACTTTGCCACCGTATTCCTTGATGAGCTCCGCTGCATCTTCTCGCGAGAGGGATGTAAGGATGCCTGTAAGAACGAAGGTCAAGCCCGCAAGACAATCATCCTCTCCAACAGGAAGGTCTTTGGAGCCTGGCGCGATCGCACCACGACTTTGAGCGCCGCCACCGAATTTGAAGTCAACAGGCTCGCCGACTTCGGGAACTTCAGCACTAGGAATCGCATCCAAAATGGCTTGCGCTTCTTTGGTCCTGGCGGGTTCAGTCGACTTCTTGACAGTAGTCTTCTTCGCCGATGCTTTGGCTAGTGCAGATTTTGCAGGCGATGGTTTCGCAGGCGTCTTTGCCTTTGGTGACGATTTGTTTTCGTCCTTTTCGATGAGGCCAAGAGACCCCTCCACGAGCTGAACACCGGCCTTGGCCTTTTTAGCAGGTGTACTGCGAGCTGATCGTGCAGGCTTTTCCTCTACTGCGTCTAAGTCAATGACGGACTCTACCTTGGCCTTCTTTGCTGGTGTTGATCGTGCAGAGCTCACCTTGCGCTTCTTCGGGGACGTGTCGTCATCACTTGATAGGATATCGACCACAGGTTGACTCGAGGCTGGTTGACCGGCGCGGCCTTGAGATTGAGATTGAGACTGAGACTGAACGCGCCTTTGAGACTCTTCCTCCACTTTTGCATCAATCATTGCAAAATCCTCCTCATCCAATTCCATATTGTCAAATTCGTAGTCGTCATCCTCAAGCTTTTGGGCCTTTTTGACCACCGGTTTGCTTACCTTCAGAGGAGCCTTCTTCGTGATCTTGGTATCTGCAAAGAATACATCGGAATCGATAGTCTGGACGGTCTTCTTTTTTGGACTTTCAATACTGGGTGGAGCAGCCACAGGTTTCGACGGCACTACCTCTTCCTCTTCTGAATCTGATGCCACAACGTTCTTCCTCGTTGGCTTCTTTTCTTTGCTGGCCGAAGCGGACGGCTTGCTAAAGAAGTTGCGGATATCTCCAGGCATGCTGGGTGCTGCTTGAGTGTAGCCCGGCTTTCGCCCTTTCTTGGTAGTCGTCAGTCGTCGCGGTCGTGGCGAGTCGCGTCCAAGTTGAATTTCGCTCGACGCGTCCACAAACCAGTCCATCATACACCACTCAGTCTTCTAACTGATAAGCTCTGATATCGAGTGATCGCATGCTGCACGGTATGGTCTGACGAATCGCCCTGATTGTAAATGTCTCGATATACTCTAGAACCGCGCAGCATTGCTGGGCGCACATCGTCGCCCGCTCTTTCTCAAACAAATCTCCTTGCGCATGCCGCTGGTACAGTCATTGTCATTCGAGATTTATCTGCTTCGACGTCTGTTAATTGCTTGTCTCAACGCTTGCTACACGTTCCTAAGCATCAGTCGCAGATCGCTGAATCATCCTCGAGTCATGCACGAGGCAGCGTTTCCCCTGAGCGAAGCAATTCAATGACGCTCAATTTTGAGGAGTTCGCTGAACCAGCCAAGGGCCGCGAACGTACAAAGTCACTGGTGAGCTTGGATATAAGTCCTGATGGCCGGTACGTGATCGCAGGGGAAGCAGGACAGGCACCGCGCATCTTGCTGTGGGACTTGTCTTCTTCGAGTCAAGAGCCGATTCAAATCATCTGCGTTCATACTCACGGCGTGCAGCTGCTCAAGTTTGCACCTGACTCGAGGCGATTCGTGTCGATCGGCTACATGCACGACGGTAATATACACGTCTTTGCGACGAACAACGCAGGCTCAGCCTTCCAAAAGGTGGCCACCAACAGAATCACCAGTCGTCTGAATTCGGTTTCATGGATAGGAGATCGCATCATCACGCTTGGCACTCGGCATATCAAGGTTTGGCACTGTGAAGCTGGCAAAGGGCGACGGAAGAGTCTCGAATCGCTCGACAGGCCTACACCACAACTTGAAGGCCGCAATGCCATTCTTGGTCAATTTGTGCAGGAGACCTTCATTGATCTAGTGCAATTGCACGATGTAACATGTGCGATTGCCTGTGGAGAGACAAGCGTATGCTTATTGGACTTGGATGAGCGTCAAGTGCGCCCATTGCTCGAAGGACGGAGCAAAATCAAGTGTCTATACAGTGATTCAGGAACATTGCTCGGAGCTGGCGATTTTGGTGCCCTAGAGGTTCTTCAAAGAGGTGGCTCTCTTGCCAATCAGCTGTTGCAATTTCAGTCGAGTGCAGTGGTTGAGAGCATACTGGGGACCGATCACTGTACCATTGTGGCCACAAAAGATGGTAAATTGCGAGTCTACTTCCGCCAAGAGGATCCAATCATTCTAGCCGGCAGTACTCCCGTGATTCACTATGCCGAGCGAGATGATGAAAGCATCACAGTCGACAAGAAGGCTGTCGTGACGCACATAAGAGAAACTGGTATTCTGCAAACCCAGCTCGGCTGTGCCTCGTCAGTCACTTCTGCGTCCGCTTGGGATCGGCTAGTTGTGCTTGGGCATGCAACTGGAAGTGTATCGCTCTGCAATCTTGAAACAGAACTTTCAGTCAAGCTGAGAGCCCATCAAGATGAGGTTGCAAATGTGTGCATGCTCCGCACCGAATGTGACATCGTCTTGCTTGCCTCTGCCTCTAAAGATCAGACTGTGCAGCTCTTCCAGGCCTCGTCACCGGATGGGCAGGTCCCACCCACTCTAAATCTTTTGCAGACTTGTGACGACCACACAGCAGCCGTCACTCAGCTTCTCTTGTTGCCGGACATGCTTGTCTCTGGTGCATCAGACAGAACAATCATCTTACGTCACTTTGCACTGAATGACGGCGAAATTGTGTGGAAGTCACGCCGGACTGTCAGTCTCAAGAGTGCGCCGACTTGCTGGGCTATTCAGGAACCTGGAATACTACTGGTTGCGACAACAGATAAGAGCATGCTACGCGTGGATCCCGTTACCGCAGTCAGCAAAGAGCTATACAAAACTGACGAGGCGATCGCACGAATGGCAATTTCAGGGGATAACCTATGCTGCAGCCATCTGAGCGACCGCTCACTAGCAATTCGCTCATTGGAGACTGGCTGTTGCATCTCGAATCGCGGATTTGTACACACAGAGCGCCTCACGAGTCTGATGTGGTCGAAGCGGGACCCAACTATTTGTGTAAGCACCAGCACAGATGGTCTCACTGTTCATTGGCGATTCCAAGAGCGCATTGGCGCAGAAGATGACGATGTACCGGTTCGCAAGCCCATTGGCAAAGCAGAGCTGCTCAAGCTATCTTCTCCTCGCCAGCAGGCCTTGACACGACCAGCGAGACGGAAGGCAGAAACGCCGCGGCAGTCCAAGTCACCATCGAGACCGCTGTCGCCGTCCAAACTCGGAGAAGGCCGTCATTCGCCTTCACCATCATCAGTTCCAATTTCTGCAGCCAACAAACGATTGCGCTCGCCAGCAAGGCCATCGTCTCGCAGCACATTCACGACGAGCGCTTCTAGTGATTCTCTAACAGCTACTGACACTACGCAAGAGCGCTTGCTAGAACGGACACTCAGTGCGCTTGAATCTTTGTCGGCAAGTCATGTGCGTATTCCATTGGATGATGCAGCGCTTGCACAGCTGCGAAGGGCGTCAAGCTGGTTTTCAGGTCAGGAGAAGCAGGTGCTGGCTATGGATGTTAATGAGTTGATGAATGTGATGAAGCAGAGATTGGCAGACAAGAATGAAGCAGCGTCTGAAGTATGACACATCTCTTGATAAAGACATGGACTATGAGTTTAGGAGGCTGTATCTATAGCAATGTTGTGACATTGTTGTCCCCAGGTAATTGCCCAATGTGACGTCGCATGAAAGCGGCAGGTTCATTTGCAATTCGTCAAAGTATTTTTGGATCGAGCTGTTATCACAACACCACATACTCGAGCTCCTACTTGTCACGTATAGCTTCGCTGGAACCGCGGGAGAGTCAAAGCTCCTGTTGCTCAAGGTCAGGTGTCGCTATCAATGCACCAAGCTGCATTCACTTTGGCCATCTTCATCGCTTGTTGAGGTCTTCCACATTTCAATTCGAAGCATTCACACTTTGCACTGTCTGTCGAACTAGCGGACCTTGTCCGTGTGGGCAAGGGTCTGTGGAAACTGATCCTTGCTACAATCATTGGTTTCTCTGTCTTCTTCTTGACTACATCCAGTAGAGACGCCCAGGTGGGACATACGGCTATGCTGCCTGCGGTACCATTGCTCATGGTCCTTGTAGCCTTCACAGAAACACAAGGTGGTCTGGAAAGAGCGCCATACTTGGATGCAATTATATCCAATCGTCAAGCCTACGCGGATCGGCACGGCTATCAACTTCTGATCAAGAATGCTGCAAAGTACAGTCCCATTGCGCCAGTGAATCCGAGTGCTGTCGAGCATGATAGTTGGATCAAATTGTATGCTCTGCGCGAAGTACTCCAAGAGCACCCTGAAGCAGACTGGATATGGTACTTGGACCCAGAGGCCCTCATTATGGATCAGAGCTTATCGCTTGTGAATGACATCCTCAAGCCAAGTGTGCTCTCCAACTTGATACTACGCGACGTGCCCGTTGTGCCGGGAGAGAACATCATCAAGACTCTCAAGACTCCAGACATGGAGAGTATCGACTTTATCCTCAGTCAAGATCAGCAAGGATTCAATGCACATTCATTTTTGCTTCGCAGAGGAGACTACGCCAAGTATTTGTTGGAAAGCTGGTATGATCCCCTCTTTCGAGCCTACGACAAATTTGAGAATCATGCGACCTCTGCACTCGAGCACATGTTAGAATGGCACTACACAACGCTATACAAGGCGGCTCTGGTACCAAAGCGACTCCTATGTTCTTATATCAATGCTGCTGGGGACATGGGTTATAAGGAAGGGGATTTCGTGCTGTTTTTTGAGGGATGTAACGGGCCTGCGAGGTCATGCGAGCATGAGATTGATCGTTGGTATAGACAAACTGCCGAGGGCAAGTCTGGCACGACTGCTGCGGTGCCAGCGACGGGTGACGTACCGCATTGACGCATCGCCCGATCCTCTTCAAGAGCATGACAATAAGGGACACACACACAAAAGGAATGATAGACACACGCATGAATAGACGTTCTACAAACCTGAAAATGGTTCTAAAGTTGCGGCATGCTTTCCGGCCCAGGCTCATTTAGCATCATCTCTGCCTCTTGCTTTGCCTGTGATCGTGTACTCAATGCCTTGAGGGCCAATGCGCGTCTTCGCTCTGCTTCAGCTCGATTTGCAACATTGGGCGTTGTTCGATGGCCGTAATCGTTGCGCTCTTCTTGATCGCCGAATGGGATGCATATACCGAGCGAGACGAGCAAGTCAAAGACTTTGTCACTGATGTAGTCTATTTGTCCATGTGCGAAATCCGGGAAGAAGCCAGAGAGACGAAAGGTCTCCGAAGCATCGCCATGCAGCGAGACCGAGTGCGCTGCAAGGTCTGGAGGTGCAGGCTTGTAGAATCGGAGGTACACCCACGATGCAAAGAAGCCAGTTATTGCTGTGGGTATAGTTTGAAAGTGTCCCAACAGCAGCGCCAAGATGCTAGTGCACAGCAAGTATATCGCAGGAATATGTCTCACACGTATTTTGATGCGATCCTTGAAGAGAGTGACTGTGTGTTCTGGCACGAGTTGCTTGAATGCCACGAGAATAGCTGCTTGAAGGCCACTCGAGCCATAGATGGCGTAGTGAATATAGGCTGTATCACGGGTCAATCCAGAGAGGAAGACTAGCCCAATGTACATCGAAATGCTCGTTGAAAGGCCAACAATGAGATAGAATTGTGCCAACTCCCTGGACGACCACGCCCGTTCGAGGTACCGGCCGCCAAGAAGCAAGACGGCGAAACTAATGACTAATGTCACAAGATTGCTCGAAACCACCTGATTGGTAATGAGCGTCCATGGCAAGTAGAATGAAGAAGCCGGGACGAGCGTTACGTACTTGACGATCCCGGCATCTGTCCGCGTTTCTTCGTCACCTGTGCTTGCCCAATGCCGATACCGCAGTAGCCAGGAGAAGAGAGAAAGAGCTAATGTCGCCGCGCAAACAGCCTTTGTGACAATAGGTATGCGCTTTAGGTCGATGATGCCCATGTAGGAGCTCATCTTGCGATAGAGCCAGACGACCAAGAGGACAGAGAGAACCCCCGTGGTGGCTGAGACTGGCTGAAAAGGCCGTTACAAGCTGGACTTGTGTTTCCTTTGGCAGGCCTGTGGCACTGTCGCTGTAAAACCGGCTTGCACTTGCGTGTTGTCGCGTTCAATATTCCGTGCGTCTTGAGAAATTGATTTCCGCGTCGCGTCAGCAACACACGCAAAGCAACAGAGCATGCTCGTGTTAGGAGTAGCCTGGAAGACATGGCAATATAGGCAAGGGCATGAAGAATGGTGAGAAGGCTGGCTGAGGGCCTTCAGTATAGGTCATAGATGGTATTTTCAAAGCTCCCACATCGACAAGAGCTTCCATCGGCCATTTCTTGGAGGCACAACTTTATTAAGCTCCTTAACATAAAGTATACATAGCGCTTCAGACAGATCATGTCCTGATGTATGTGGCTACAGCTGCTGACTGCCTCTCGGGTGCAGCTGTCAGGCAGATTTCGAGGTTTGCGCGCCAAAATTGAAGGGAAGGGCGCACAGAGACAAGAGACCACCCCGTCAACAGAACACAACCACACCTACAGTGACGCTCTGCTTCGGACGCCGTGTGCTGGTTCCTGCTCTGACGCTCTATTGAACAAGCTCTGCTCCTCAATTAGCTTTTCAAATCCCATCTGCTCGGCCTGCTCTCGTTGAAGAGCGGAAACAACTCCGCTTTCCCTTGTAATTAGCTCAATCGACCAAAAAACAGCCGCACAGATGATCCACTCGGACCAGGTCAACTATATAGTCTGGCGGTACCTATGCGAATCAGGTAAACTCATCGCACGGGACATATCCCACAGCATCGACTAACACACTACCCACAAGGCTTCGATCATGCTGCCTTCTCTCTCAAAAATGAAATGCGCAATGCAGATGATTTGGACCGGCAATGGGCAACACGTGTACCAACGGGCCATCTTGTCAATAGTCTTCAGCGCGCCCTCATGTTTGAAGAATGTCTTGCACAGCTCGACGAGGTATGTCCTTCTTTTGCTCATACGCAGCTCGCCAGATGAGAAGCGCAGTCACAGTAGCTTCATCAGCCACATGTGCTGTGCCGCACTCGACATTCAGATGGCAGACTGAGTTGCAGCCGATTATCATCATGACTGGATGCTAACGTGATGCAGAACGGCGTTGAGAAGGAAGCATCCGAGGTTATTCCATCAAGTCTTATTCCGGGTGTAAAAGGAACTTCTATGACAGCAGCGGCGATAGCTGGAGCGGCGAATGGGACAGTAAAGCGGAAAATCAATACTGCAGCTGCATCAGCAGAGGGGGACAAACGCCGGAGAACACCGCCGGCATCACCCAACGGCACAAGTGCAGCTGCTACGAGTGCTATGAATGGTGCAAAAGATGTCGTGATGACAGATGTCGCGAGAGCACCAGCGCAACCAAAATATCCGGTCAAGCAACTCACTGACAGCGATACGATCTCGCTCGAGGGCCACGTAGACATCGTGGATCATTGCCTCTGGCACCCTTCAGAGCGTCAAAGTCTACTCACTGGATCTGCGGACGGTACCGTGCGGATGTGGCAGTTGCCAACGAAACAAGGCGATGCGGCATCGAGCACGACCTTTTCCTGCTTGCCGTCACGCACCACTGACAAATCTGTCACTGCGATCGCTTGGAATGTATGAAACAAGCCTCTTTTTAAGATCACGCTGACAATAGAATGCAGGAACAATGATTGCCGCGGGCTCGTTTGACGGCGCGCTACGTCTCTGGCAAGCACAAAACAATATGCCTGTTGCGTCACCTGCGAGGTTTCACACGGGCCCCATCTTTGCCGTGAAGTTCAACAAGAAGGGTGATGCACTACTGACTGCTTCTGGGGACGGATTGATTGCTTCTTGGAATACAGCAGCGATGACACAACCTATGCAACGCTGGGATCTCAAGTCGCCTGTGCTCGATGTCGAGTGGATTGCTGATGCACTCTTCATCAGCGGTAGCAAAGACGGTCGTCTTTTCCTGTGGCAGCTCGGTCGCGAGACGTCTATACGACAATTCGATGGACATCAGCAAGACATCAACGTCCTCAAATGGAATGCCGTCATCAACCTCGGAGCGACCTGTTCAGACGATACGACGGTCCGTGTCTGGCGCGCAGATCAAGCAGGTGCTACACAAGTCTTGCAAAATCACCGATCACAAGTACAATCCATCGAATGGGCTCCCAACGCTTCCGGCGATAAACGCCTGCTTGCGAGTTGTTCACGCGACGGGCAAGCATGTATCTGGGATGTTGTACGTGGTGACTTGTTGCACGTCTTGCACCATGATCGATCTCTCTTCACACTCTCCTTTTCACCTGCAAGAAACCTTCTCGCCTGCGCAGGACAGGCTGGTGAAGTGTCGTTATGGGACGCTGATACAGGCAAGATGTTGGCAACGTATAAGACACAAGGCATGTTGCATAGTGTCAAGTTTTCCAACGAGGGCGGGAGATTGGCATTGGGTAGACAACGGCCGACCGGGGCCGTCCTCATGTTGCCAGCATTATAAGTTTTGCCAACCATAGGCGGTGTGCCATGTGTATTTAAGGTAGCTTAAGGTGCTCCAATTCATGTATTCAAACAGGGCTTGCTGCCATGAGCGACTTGGCCGATGCACTTGACTCAAGGACCTCAGCAAGGCCTTTGAGGGGTTCCTGAGCTGAACTTGTTTTAGCCTGAGAGACCGACAAAGGTGCAAATGTAACGCCCATGCGCGTCGCAACGACTTCCTGTTCTTCTAGTGCACGAACACTACGCTTGAGTCTGGCAGTGGAGGATTCAAGCGCATCCAAAAGACGCTGGGCAGCCTCAGCGTAGAGTGCAGCGCGTGTGCTGCCGGCTGGTGGCGAAACGGACGGATTGAGGGCAGCGAGAGCTTCAGCCGCAGATTGAGGGACTGTCGCCAGGAGTGCATCAATGGCAGATAGCTCTGCTAGGCGATCTGCTGTCGAGACCTTGACGGCAGTCTCTGCATCTTCGTCCATAAATTCATCATCATCCTCTGAAGCTGATGCCGCTTCTGAATGAATTTTCTCAGAGATTTTATCGTCACCATCGACTTGCATATCCTCAGCATCTGGGGCTTCTGCAGACTCGCGCGACCCAGCTTCAGCAACTGGTTCGTCGCCCTCTGTCTCATCTGCTGCCATCAGCTCAAAGCCATTCCTATTGGCCGAGTCTGGAGGTACTAGCCTTTCCTCCTCTGGCGAACTATCAATTTCAATGGGCTCCATGCCTGTCGACAGGAAAGGCCACCTGCTAGAGCCTGCCTGAGGTAGGTAGGCAGCTGTTGGGTGTATGCTTGATGCGTGTGAAGAATGGACGCTGCTTCTTTTTTTTGGCGACAGGAAAGAAGACGGACAAGCGCTAGAGCTAGTGTACTCCTTCTATATTGTGCCTAGACACCATGGCCCGATCAAAGCCACCGAAGCAGTCCTTTGCAAAAGATACACGGACAACAGCGGCATCAGAAGGTTCACTCTCTGCGTTCCACCCAACGCTCCCCTTCTTTGCCCATGCTCGACTCTCCCTCGACGCCTGGCATATTCGCGTACTAGATCCATCCACGACGCAGGCGAGAAATGAATATGTCCTCGATAAAGGCGTTGCATGCCGCTGTCTCGCTTGGGGCAATGTAGAGAAGCCGCAACATGCGCAAGAGAAGTCCAAGAAGAAGCAAAAAATAGACGCAGGGGCAGGCACTACTGATGCCATGCTTGCTGCTGGACTTAGTGATGGTTCTATCCAACTCTTGAGTCCGTCGCGTGAAGGGCCCTTGCAAGTATTGAAGGGCGGACATACGGGTGCTGTGACCGGGATTGCCTTTGCAGGCGATAAAGTATGGACTGTGGGCGAAGATGGCAAGGCGATTGAATGGCATACAGCGACTGGTAAGCAATTGACAACCTTGACGATTGATACGAGTAATGCGCTACGGTCAGTGGCAGTCCGACAAGCGAGTGGCAGCGACGGGCCGTGCCTTCTCGCTGCAAGCTATACTATTCAACAGATGACCCTACCAGATGGCGACATGGCCCAAAGCTACACGAATCACACATCACCCGTTCATGCACTTCTTTTTGCGACGTCGACACAATTTATCAGCGCAGCTGAAGATGACCGCTACATGAATCTCTTTACACTGGGAAACAATACGCAAGACAAGTCGTTCGTGGCAGAAGCAGACGTCAAGCACATCACAGTCAATGGAGCAACCCTCTGTGCTGCTACATCTGAAGGAGCCGTTGAGGTATTCGACCTTCAAAAGGCCACTACGAATGGCGCCAGCAACAGTAGTAAGCGGCGGAAATCCATGGTTGCGAATGCATCTGCCAAAATCACAGTCTCAAGACCAGACTCCAACAGCACTGTCTCTGTGCTTGACTTGAGTCTACGTCCAGACGGGACGTTGGTGCTCGTCTGGCTTGAAGGAGCTCGCGTTGTGTTTGAGACGGTTCGTGTGCGTGATGCGGAGGGCCAATTGGCCGCGTCTGTGAATCTTGTACGCGCACCACAGCCTGTCTTGGGTGCCCAGACCGCGGATGGCCAACTTGAACAATCTGCGCGACCTTACCAAGATGGTCAGGCTCGTATTGCTGCAGGTCATGATGAAGGTGACTTTGAGATGGCGGATGCAGCTGATGAGGAGGCTGAGGCGGACGTTGCAGATGAAGACTCTGAAGAAGATGCAGAACCGACATTGCAAGAACGACTACATGCGCTTGAAGTCAGTGGCAATACACCAGCGAAACAGAAATCAACGAGCAAGCAAGTCTTACAAGTTCCATCGGCAGGATCCTTGACGACTGTCTTGACGCAAGCACTCAAGTCAAGCGATACGGCATTGCTGGAATCCTGTTTGCATCAATCAGACTCCAAAATCATTCTAGCGACCGTGCGTCGGTTGGATCCCGTGTTATCTGTGGCATTGCTCGAACAGCTTGCAAGCCGTTTAGCGAGACGTCCAGGACGTGCTGGTGAGCTTGGTGTATGGGTTCGCTGGACGGTCGTTGTGCATGGCGGCTACCTCTCTTCTTTACCAAATTTGGTCAAGACCCTTTCGTCACTCCATGCAACACTCAGTAATCGTGCAGCGACACTACCAAGACTCTTGGCGCTTCAAGGAAGGCTCGATATGGTGCATGCACAAATCGAGCTGAGGAGGGAAGGTGACGTCAGACAGACTATGCAAGAAGAGGCCTCGGACGTTGAGTATAATGAAGGTGATAGTGACTTTTCCGATGAAGAGGAAGTCGAGCTTGAAGATGCGAGCGAACTCGGTGGTCTGGATACCAGTGATGAAGGATCTGCTGAGGAGGACTCGGATGAGGATGACGAGGCAGGTGACTTTTCAGATGATTCAGAGGGTGGTGATGCGTTTGCACAATTGGATGCGGATATGGAGGCACACGCTGCTATGGATGATGTGGAAAGCGAAGACATGGAGCAAAGTGACGATGAAGCAGAAGCTTGATCAGATGTTGTAGACTATGTGCTACCAAATTGCCTTATTTCCGAGAAGTAGCTCTTTCTCAAAGCACTGTCGCCTTGTTTGGCTTGAACTTGCCAACAACCATGTCAAAGACCATGACATCTTCGAGCTTGGAAGCCTTTGCCGCCGCTGCGAATCCTTGCATGTCAGCTGAGTTCACTTTCAAGCGCATCGCATACCGAGATGATTCGGGTCTTCTTTGATGTAATAGTCTCGGTCATCAAGGCTAGCAAATCGCACTACAAAGCCATGCGTAAATCCTTTCGCTTTCCCTTCAATGGATACATCTGCACCAGCTTCAATGCTCTTGATGTACGTCTTGCCCTTTTTATTCTTACATGCATCAGCTAAGCCGACGAAGTCAGCGCATGTCTTGCTAACGAGATGTGGTTCAGCGTCAATCATGAACTTGAAGAAGACACAGTGTAAAATATGAGGTCCTAGTCCGACTGCTGCAGCGATAGCGTCCATATTGAGATTGTGCTTGTAGCAGCGATGTGTAGGACGTGGGAATGGTTCCATCAATCCATGGACATTTGCCCATCTCGTCATCGTCAACCGTTGCGACAGCCAGCGAGGCCCAGCGCTCAACATCGCCTCGGACTTCTCTGACTGCTCAGGAATCTACGGCCTCGACACGGGCAAGGCAGGCGTGTAGATATCTTTGAAACAGAGATGTCCACAACCAGGAATCCGATCGCAACGACGAATGGCAAGACTAACGGCGCGACTCCCAAGAAGCGCGTTGCCATCGTCGGCTCTGGTGTCGCGGGTCTCGCTGCTACATGGGCACTCAATGAGTATTCACCACACGAGGCAATAGTTTTTGAGTCTGGCGATTATGTCGGTGGCCATACACATACTGTGACTTTTAAACAGGGCGAGCAAGAGACGCCTGTGGATTCTGGGTTCATTGTCGCCAATACTGCAACGTACCCAAACTTCCTTGCCTTTTTGAAGCATCAAGGGATTCAGATCAATGAGACTGAAATGTCCTTTAGCGTATCGCGCGATGCTGGTGCGTTTGAGTGGTCGGGAGCAGGTGGGTTGGGTGCTTTACTTGCTCAATCTTCAAACATCCTCAATGCAGACTTGTATCGTATGGTGTATGACATTCTACGCTTCAATCAGTACTCGACGGATATTCTTGATGCGAGGAAGGGATCAGACGATCAAGAGTTGACGATTGGCGAGTGGTTGGCCAAATACGGCTACTCGGAGAGCTTCAAGCACAATTACTTGATTGTAAGCCTGAAGCCTACTTTGTGTCAAGGAGTACGACTAACACATGTAGCCCATGACTGCAGCAATCTGGTCGACATCGCCAGACAAGGTCTCCCTCGATTTCCCAGCATTGACACTGATTCGCTTCATGTACAACCACCATCTCTTGCAGCTTGTTGATAGGCCGTCATGGCTGACTCTCAAAGGTGGTGCGATTGAGTACGTCAAAAGCATCACAGATAAAATGCCCCTTGGCTCCGTCAGAATCAATACACCCGTCCGTGAGGTCTATCGAGCAAACAGTAAAGTTTACGTCAAATTCCACGACAAGGAAGAAGTCTTTGATCACATCATTTTCGCCTGTCATGCGGATACAATCTTGCAGATTCTAGGTGATCAAGCAACAGCCGAGGAGAAGCGTATATTGAGCAATTTCACATTCAACGACAATACTGCCATTTTGCATTCCGATCTACGACTCATGCCCATACGACGCGCTGCATGGACATCTTGGAACTACATCACCAAGTCTGAAAAGTCAGACACCGGTGACGCGAGCAAAATGAATACAGACAGCGTGTGCTTGACGTACTGGATGAACAATTTACAGCATATTGATGAAGATACGTTTGGACAAGTTCTCGTGACGCTCAATCCGCTCTTCAGACCCAAGGAAGAGTTGATACAGGGTGAGTATGCGTATGCACACCCAGCATTCACGCCACAAGCAGTCAAAGCACAAGATGAACTCCCACGCATACAAAACAGTGATGCGTTATGTACGAGTTTCGCAGGTGCCTGGACAAAGTATGGATTTCACGAAGATGGCTTTTCGAGCGGTTTGGCCTGTGCTGTGGAGCATCTCGGGGCAGAGATTCCCTTTGAGTTTGTGGATGCGACATTTATGCGCGGTGAGCAACGGGATGTGAGCTGGAGCGATTTGGCAGCGCGCGGTCTCTTTGGCGTGCTTGGTGTGGCAAGACGCGCGTATCACTTGGTGCTGTAGCAGAAATAGAAACATATTGGCGAGCCGTATAGATATCAATAGAATGGCACGTTGCAGCATGCCAATAGGGACACATTGAACGAAAAGATGGATGAATGGATGCATTTTGCGTGCAGCTACATTGTCTAGTGCTGAGCCTTCTTCGATGGCATCAATCGCAACTATAGGTTAGCCTCAACCTTACAAACATGTGAATGGCATACAGTAGGATCTGTGAAGAGGGCTCGGCCCATAGAGAAGACGGCGGCGCCAACACCAAGAGCAAGAACAGCGGCGAGTGGCACCAACTCTGCGGGAACTGCATACATTGTCAGCAAAATGAAAATAAACAAATGGGGCAAACATGGCCAGCGGGTCTCGGCACTAGCTTCATGAATGGGAGCGAAGGAAGAGACTTGGCCCGGATGTACATACCATTCCTGAGCCTGGCGAATCGCTTAGATGTGGTTTGTGCGTGGTGCTTGCGGGCTGCGTCTTCGCGGAGAACACGGGAGAGGTGCATCGCTCGGGAGGGAGCAGACACTCTGAGCGAACGGAGGATCTGTGCGTTCATGATGGTATAGGATGTAGGAGAGTAGTAGAAGTAGTCTGAGAGCTGGTTCGAGTTGGGCTGCGAAAGAAGCCGAAGCACGTGATGGCACTCAGATGGGCAGACGCAGCCAAAGGATAATATAATGGATCAGTCTTGGTTCGATAGCTGGATCAGTGAGGGTGGAAAGACATATCACAGGCATGGCAGAGGAAGGCAAGAGCATTGGCAGAGCTGGAGATCAAAGGGGCCCCTGGTAATTGAAGACTGCACGATCCTGATCTATCCTAGGCCTGATACAGGCAATAACATCGACGGGCCAAGAGTCCAACAGCACATCAACACAGCAGCTCAAGTACAACTTCACTTTCTGGCGTGTTCGAATAAGCGCCAGCAATTCACTGGACTGGCCAGAAGGCTGAAAGCATTGGCGTCACAGTCGTCTTCTCCAAATTCCACACACCGCTCGTCGTGTAGATGTCCTTCCGAAGATGCTCCCATGCTTCATCTGCAGTCTTGCATTGCATGACAAGCACAGAGCCCTTGAATGTCGGGACGGTATCAGGAGCCGGGTGTTCTGCGACCATAGCGCCTCCCCTTTTCTGAGTCAGCCATTGATACACGATACAAAGAAAGCTGACCACAGGAAATGCTTGGCTTTGTTTTGCGCCCTTGCATTATCGAGATGCTCAGTCCTCACTGCTAATCGTCTGAGTAGTCATTAGCCACATTGTAGTCCCCTGCATGCAACTGCCTCACTTTTCCTGCGCGCCTTCGTGATCTGGCATGATGCAGAGAAAGTCCTTGAGGCCCGACATGGCAGCTGGTCCTCTGGTTGACAATAAGCGTGCCTGGTGTCTGAGCATCGTTGCTGGCAGCTGGTTGTCGCTTCCTCGTCCCACGGCGCCCAAACTCAAAAAGCGCGACAGATGAGATCATCACACTCAACACAAGACTAAAGCTGAAGCTGAGTAGCTGCCATGAGAGAAGGGCTCTGATAAACGCCGACAGTGACAATGAGCGATGCAGGATTCGAGGCACCAGTCCCTGTCCCAAACTCCGTCCAGAAGGCAGCAGATGAGCAAGTTTCCACAACCCGCTCAAAACCACCCATCAGCCAGCTTCCCATTACGGGCTTTGTCGCTGGCATCTTCTCTGGCGTCACCAAGCTCGTTATTGGTCATCCATTTGATACTGTCAAAGTGCGTCTCCAAGTATCCGGCGAGCGGTTCAACAACTCCGTTCTGCAATGTCTGTCAGCGACCGTCAAGAAGGAAGGCTTTCGCGGACTTTATAAAGGTGGCACGCCTCCATTATTTGGCTGGGCCGTCATGGATGCCGTCATGCTAGGATCCCTGACACAATACAGAAGACTCTTGCTCTCGCTACAAGGAACAGGTGAGAATATGGCAGAGGGCAAAGATGCAGGTCATCTCAGCATACCGCAACACTGTCTCGCGGGACTTGGCGCAGGCTTGACTGTTTCTTTTGTTGCAACTCCCATTGAACATGTGAAAGCAAGACTTCAAGTCCAATATGATGTTGCATCGCGTGCGTTTCGTGGGCCGATAGAGTGTTCCATGCATTTGCTACGGACACGCAAACTCTATAACGGCCTCGTGGCAACCATGGCGCAGCGTTCTTGGTTCTCCGTCTTTTGGGGCTCTTATGCCGTTGCGCAACAACAACTCGACAGAGCCAAGTATACGGCGAATTGGTCGAATGGTGCGAAATCCTTCTGGGCAGGGGGTATGGCAGCTAGTATCTATTGGGTCTTTGCCTTTCCTGCCGATGTCATTAAACAACGCATCATGACAGATCACCTCACCCAACCACGCTATGCAGGCTGGCGCGACTGTGCGCGACAAGTCTGGCAAGAAGCTGGATTACGTGGTCTCTATCGTGGCTTCCTACCAGCTGCATTACGATCTTTCCCTACGAATGCGAGTGCCGTCTTTGTGTTTGATACGACTATGCGATTCATGACAGAGCGAGGCTTTTAAGCCCATCATTAGCATTCATTGATTTACGTCTAACCCCCCACTCATTGTTCAATACGCTTGCCTATATATATGATATGTACTGATAGATCTTCTATGCAGATGAAAAAAGAGTAACATGTTTGGAAATGGTCATGACCTCAGACTTGCTTTAGCATTGCAAGAGCAACAGACCAAGAGGAGGTGGGTTGTAGTCCTCAAAGAATGTCAATGCTTGTCCACTTTCAGCAACAAGTTCATACGAGACACTCTTGCCAACAGGACAAGCGAATGTCGTCAAAGTCGTGTTGGTGCCAGGAATCAAGGTACCCGTGACGGCAGAGATGCGCGCAGGCTTCGATTGAAAACTGGCATTCGCATCAGCGACCGTGGCGAGTGTATACAATGTCACGGGGACATTAGGTCCACCAGGTCCACTCACCGTCCAATCAGTCGTACCTTGCAAACTCTTGATGTATTCCTTTGTTGGGAACTTGAACTCAATCGTACACGTACCTGCTTTTTGATAGTCAAATGTGAAAATGGTCGTGTTGCCATTGCCGATACTGGCAAAGTATTGAGGTCCATAGACACGTGCCGGGTTCGTCGTTGAGACAGGTGTGATGATGCGTGGGTAAGACTTGCTACCGAGGAAATTTTGATGGGCAGTTGCAGGACATGCTGCAGGACCTGTTGGTGCAATCACAGCTGGAGCAACGATAACAGGTGAAGCTGCAGTCGGTGGAGCGGCAGCAGCAACGACCGGTGTGTTGACTTTGGGTGCAGCAGGGGTAGCGACATTGTTGGCGACCGGCGCAGGTGCCACAGGAGCAGGTGCAGCGGCGACCACGGCCGGGACAGCTTTGATGGAAGCCACGACGACAGGTGCAACGACCGGTGAAGCACCAGCAGCAACAACGACGGCTGGCGCAGAAGACCGTGCAGGTTGACCGGCAACAACAACAAGACCCGTTGGTGCTACTTGTGCTGCTGCTGATGAGCGTGCACTTTGTGTAACACCGAGGGTGGTGGCAGGGCAGTCGCAACGCGTGACGTAGGTCGTCACATAGACGATAGGTGTGCTTTGAGCATTGACCAAACCAGCGAGGCCTGCAAGAAGCAGAGAGGTACTCTGTCTCATGATGTGAGTGGTTGCAAAGAGTAGCCGGAGGAGAGTGGCTTGGGCTCTGGTGGGTAGAGCAAGTAAAGAGAGTGTGCCGGGGAAAGAGTGGATGCTAGAACAAAAGACAGCAGACGGCAACGTCTTGTCTTATACAAAGGGAAGGCAGTGAGCATGTTACGAGCGAGGGGCCCCAGTCGCAGGCAGGGCATGAGAGGAGAGCAGCATGGAGTGATTGAGCAGCGAGGAGGGCGATCACGTATTTCAGCCGATCAAAGCAAGCCCGCGCGTACTGGCAGTGTTCGTCATGGCAGGCTAGACGCCGGGTTCCAGCTAAACTGCTGCACCTGAGCTTTGTCTGTGACAGTCTGTGTGGGTGTGGGTGTCGAGGAGTGCATGATGGCTCCTTGCTGCAGCGCCAACTCCTCGCTCGCACAGTTTAAAATTTTAGCCGAATGCGCGAAATTCAAATTTGACCCCTGGCTGGGAACTTGACTTCAGAACGGAGAGCTCAGGCTACACGTCAACCACCGGCAGGCAGGCAGGCAGGCAGGCAGGTAAGTCATGAACTGTTATTGCTAATGCATCATCAAATCATCGTCCATACGCCCGAATACCTACGCTGCAAGACACTATCCACCCCAGACCTCACGCAATTGTAAACCCAACATTCCCCTCGCGTATCGCGAGGCGTATCTTGTCCTGTGTCTCTGCGAGTGACTCATACTGCGGCAGAATAATCTGGCTGAAGCAAGTATGTGCAACCGGCAGCATCTGAGAAGATCGATAACGGTCCACCGAGATGCGAAACTTGAGATCCACCGTGCCTGTTGCCGGAATTCGATCAGACCCAGTAATGAACGAGAGTAGCGCTCGTTGCTGCATTGGATCAAGAGATTCGAAGCACTGCCAGAACCAAATGATGATAGGCTCTGATAGTGGATCTTTGCTTGCAAGTGGAAACCCTTCATAATTGCATACTGCCTTGAGGTCATCCAGATTCAACGCATCAGGCGATCCACGCACCAACAACTCAATCTCTTCCGCCCGCAGCAGAGATAGTGCATTACCACCAGCCACTTGATGGAATCCGCGTGACAGATGAAACATTTGCCGCTGGCAGCACTCCTCCAAGATATATCGACAATAGCGGGAAACAAACTCCCGCTTATTGCTCTGCTTAACAAGCACGTCTTCGCCATTCGGGCACAGTGGAATCGTCTTGAGAATCTTACTCGTGCCAACTTGTCGCTCTATCACAAACGTACGGCAAAATGTTTCCTCTAGGTCATCTCCCTTGTAGTCGAGCAGCTGCTGAAGGCCATGCCAAAGTTGTGGGTGGAGAACTTTGAGATCAGCCAGTGTGCAGTTCTGCCCAACCAATTTCTTGAAAAGTACCGGAGGCAGTTGAACATCAAGAATAGTCGAGTTGTAGATAGCCAAGCCCAAGACGACGCCCAGTAAGAAAAACTCAGAAGACTGCCCGGCCGACTCGGGATTGAACCAGCAAAAGTTGGACTGCTCGTCGCGAATGAACAAGCCAAAGGACGTATCAAAAAGTTGCCGACAGAGGAGCAAGAAGAATTCCTTTCGTAGACCACCAGCGTCGACGCCTTCTTCTCCCTGAAAGGTGACCACCAACTTCTTCTTGAGGTCGTCTTCGTGTGCAGGAATTTCTCTGAGTGAATCTTCCATGAGATGCTCACGTCGAATATTGAGCTCAAAGATTGCGGACGCGTCCTTGCCAGAGTCAAGGCTCGCAAAGTACGCCTCCCGGACTTTAAGACGCTGCTGGCGATATGCATCAACGGCCAAAATTCGCTGCTTCTGCTTCAATGTGATCCAAAACGGGTACTGACAGAAAGCAAATCGATCTTGTCGATTCTTCCACGCGCTGTAATCATTGTCAAAGTCGATATAGTCAGTCAGGGGATTGTAGAAGCGCGAGACTGGCAGTTGTACGCGAATAGCATTTGCACTGAAGAACAAGGCCATGACACGGCTCGTTGCTTTGACCTGCCAATCACGCTCATATTGTGGCGAGGCAGATGATTTGGAGCGCCGTTGTAGTTTACCGAGGCGATGTGACATGAATCGATTGATTAAATCGACACGCTGAGCAAAGACATCTGCTGGTAGTCGGCCAAACCAATTGACAAGAGACTGATGGCATTCGTTGGAGAGATTTGAAATGAGGCCGAGTAGTTTGCTGAGCAGATGATTGCCCGACATTCCTTCTTGTTCGGACTTCCGTACACTGAGAGCCGGGTTCTCTAGCAAGATCATGATGAATCTAGCATCTTGTGGATGCTTGATGCGTCTGCCTGGCCGATTGAGGAGCATCTCGGTTGTCTTGATGGTATAAGAGAGTAACATGGGCTCCTCCATCAGTAGCTTGTACATCCGCCGTACTTGCACCAGATCAACGCCACTCTCCGTCAAAATGGTCGGCCCTCGTGGGAACGACAAGTTCAAAGATCGCGCTGAGCTAAAGACCACTGATATACGCCTGATGAGCACATCAAAGTCCGGTGTCGCTGCTCCTGCAGCAGCTTGATTTGCTTTCGCCTCCTTAAGCAACGACTCAATCTCGCGCAACGTTAAAGGTCTTGCTGACCCTTCCTGCTCGGGTGTCTTGAAGTCATTCACAGTCGAACAGATGGTACAACGGAAGCAAGTTAAGCCCGTTTCGTAACGAAACTTGAGTCCAGACCCACAACAGATACAGGTCGCGGAGAGTTGCTTGACAATCGCCGCATTCGCATCGAGCGGCGCTGCGAAACTCGATCGTCGACGTTCGCCTGTGTCTTTCGCTACTGGCGTCGCATGTTTCTCCTTGACTGCGCTTTTAGGCCGCCTGAAGAATGCCACTTTGATCTTGTGTGTGTAATCAGGCGCGTCGAGTCGCGCGAGTCGAGTTCTCGATGATCAGTACCACAATTTGCGGAAGGTCAACGTGTCAAATCCGGTGAACGAGCAGTCCTAAGTGTATGGGGGCTCTCTGCCTGCTCTTGGAGATTGGTAGGGAAAAGGGGGTTGCTCGGGGCGGCTTTCTTTGCTCAGCACTGCCGCCAAGGGAAGAAGGGAGGAGCTCCCACAAACGGCAACTTTTTTTTGGATTCAGATTTCACTACGCACGAAAACAGGCACAAGAGCTGGCTACTGGCAACAGAGGCAGACACCTATGGAGCGCATCGCACAGATCCGTCTGCAGTCCAGTGGCAAGGCACACAACCAGGCGCAAGTTGGTGTTGTGCTCGCCGCTATCGAGGACACAATCAAGGCGAGCGACTCACCCCTCGCCCCCACGTCGTACTTTGCATCCCTCTTAGCATTGCTACAGACCTGTGTGTCGGGCAATAGCATCACAAATAACGAGACTGCCTATGCGGCGATATATTTGCTGGATGCGGTGGTTCCAGAGACATCAGCGTCACTTCTATGCAATCAGTTCACACAAGTACTGAACTTACTCGTACCGCTGCTCAATGCGGAAGATGCTGCAACGGTTCGTTCGGCAATTGGCGTGCTACAAGGCTTACTATCAGCCCAAAGCATTGAATCTTGGCGCTCAGCGACAACAGTACAAGCACTCAAGTCTCTTCTCATGCTGGCCCTTGATTCAAGGCCCAAGATTCGCAAGAGAGCCATTGAAGCTGTATCTTCAATCCTCAAAGCGGCGCCAGTGTCTTTGGCGAAAGATGCCATCGCAACGGATATTGTGGCTGAAGAGCTGCTCAAGTCGGCCTCAAGTCAAGTCGCGCAGAACGATCAATCAGCACTGCTGCACACGCTACAGCTCATCAAGTCTGTTGCCTCAGCTGTCAGCTGGCCCGTCAAGTATGTCGACCAGCTTTGTGACATTCTACTCAAGGGAGTCTCTGAACTTGGTGAGGGCTTTGTCACCGTCACCGCATTCGAGGTCTTTGAGCGTGTCTTTGAACAAGGCTCGCAGGATGTGGATCTTGTACGGCTACAGTCTCTTCTTCAAACAATCGTCGGCATGAAACCAAATGACAAGGATGCGAATGTCCTGCCTCCGTGGCTCAATGTCATTGCTCGGGGTTATGAACTCTACAGCAAAACCGAGCCAGACAGCGCTGCAGCCGAGGTCGGCACCATTTTCAAATCCATCTTTCCATTTCTACAATCAGAACTAGCACCGGTGCGCAAGACTTGCTCTGACTGCCTGCAATCTCTGATTGTGACGTGCCTCAGAGAACGCAAGTCCACGCCTGCTGTTCAAGCGATTGTTACGACGACGCTACGTGGTCTCAACAGTGGTGCTCGGTATCGCGCGGCTCGTTCAGAAATGTTTGACATCGTACGGTCTTTGTTTGATAAGCTCAAGTCCAAGGCGAATCCTATTTTGATGGAGTCATTGACTGTGTTGGCAGAATCCCGCAAGTATGTCCACGACAAAACTCAGATTGATGCAGTCTTCGGTGCAGCGATTCGAGCTGTTGGTCCAGCACCCTTTTTCAAGGTGCTACCGCTTGATTTGACCTCTGGTTCTGGTCGCGCTTGGTTGTTGCCTATTCTACGTGATCATGTTCAGAACACCGAGCTTGACTTCTTTGTCAAGGAGCTGGTGCCATTGTCCGAGACATTCTTTCCAAAGACACTTGGCGAAGATGTGGACGCGAAAATCTTTCAGACCGTCATTGATCAAATCTGGTCATCTTTACCAGGCTTTTGCGACTTGCCTCTCGACTTGCCGACAGCCTTGACGCCTGAAATTGCTGAGCTTCTAGCTACTGTCCTCTACAAGCAGCCAGATTTGCGAGTTACCGTGTGCAATGCTTTGCAAAATCTGTGCTTGAAGCCGCAACAGCTGCTGGACTCTGAGCTGTCTGATGATGTGCTCACCTCAAGATTTCAATACACACGAGAAAAGGCATCGGGTGATCTCAAGCACATGAAACAATTCGCTGGCAATTTTCTTTCTGTCCTCTTCAATGTCTATTCACAAACCTTGCCGAACTACCGTGGCAATATTCTCTCGACCATCAAGGCCTTCTTCACTGTTGCTGATAGCAAGGACATTTCGTCAGCGTTTGCTAAAGTCATACAAACACTCGACGAATCAATGGACGTGCCTGCAACAGGTGCCAATGCTGGTGTGAGTGAGGGCATGCCACCCGTCAAGCACACTGCAATGGATCTCATCATTGCCTTTGTCCCTCACTTGGATCCCAAATCGGCAGATTTGCTTTGGGAAATTTTTGTCGCTCAAGTCAGCAACGCACAGGACGCAGTCATGCAAAAAAAGGCCTACAAAATCTTCAATGCCCTCGCTGATGCTGGTTTAGCGCTGAAGAAACGTGCTGATCAAGTACAGACCATTTTGCTGGCCAATAAAGGCGTTGCGACATCTGTACGACGCGATCGCTTGCATGCGCTCATCAATATGGTCAATTTGATTCCTCGCGAAGACCTCCACTTCATTCCTGCCATTCTTTCAGAAGCTGTGCTTTGTACGAAAGAGCAAAATGAACGAGCACGACTCATGGCATTTGACTTGCTTGTACTTATGGGCGAACGTATGAAGGCCGGTGGCAAAGTGAAGAACTCACTCGTTGATGGTATGAAAGATGCAGAAGACGCTGAAGCATCTATTCAAGAATACTTTGTCATGGTGCAAGCTGGTCTCGCCTCGCCCACACCCCACATGGTCTCTGCCACCGTCACGGCATTGGCGAGGCTGCTCTTTGAGTTTCAAGATGACTTGTCGCCCACATTCATTGTTGAGATGTTGGATGCCATGGAGCCCATCTTGGAAAGCAAAAACCGCGAGATTGCACGGGCGGCGCTAGGATTTTACAAAGTCGTGGTCATCAGTTTGCCTACCGACTTGGTTGTGTCACGTTTGCAGTCACTTGTTGCGCATCTTGTGGGTTGGTCGCATGAGCACTCTCGAGATTTCAAGTCGAAAGTCAAGCATCTCCTGGAACGTATGGTGCGTCGTTACGGCTTTGACTTGATGGAAAGGCATATCCCTGATGCAGACAAAAAGCTGCTTGCCAATATCAGAAAGCAGCAAGAACGCAAGAAGCGCGCAAAGCGTGAAGAAGGTGAAAATGCCGATGCAGCACGCAAGCTGACTGGTGGTAACGCATTTGACGATGCTATGCAAGAGTCGGATGAATCTGAGGAAGAAGTTGCTGAGGAGGAAGAAGTCACAGTCAAGCAGCGTGGCAAGCGCAGACCAGATGGCCGTGGCGAGGCATATATTCAGCACACGGATGAGCCTATGGACTTGTTGGACAAATCCGCTCTGTCACAGGTGTCCTCCACACGACCCGATTCAGCGACCGCCAAGCCTAAGGCGTTGCCCAGCGCACGCAGCAAGTTCAAGCAAGATTTGGATGGCAAGTACATTTTCAACGAAAAAGGTGAGCCCAAAGCTGAAGCCGCTGTTGAAGGGAGCAGCGGTATGGGTGCTCTTGTTGAATCACGTCAAGGGATGAAGAAGAACAGCAAAGGTCGTGTTCGATTTAGCAACAAGCGTCAGCGCGACGATGATGAGGACGATGACGGTGGCGATCTTGCTGGCGACGCAGAAAAGAAACTGCGTTTGAGCGAAGGTGCAGGACGCAAAGGCGACAAGGGCAGAGCCCCAGTCTCGTCTACGAAGAAACTCTTCACAAAGGGCGCAGGTGGCAAATCGCTCCAAGCTGGTGGCCGTAAAACGAGGAAGTAGCATTTTGTTGTAGCATTTCTGGCAAAGCGTATCCTGACTGTAAAAGGTCCAGAGCAATTTGTGCCGTTCTTCGTCTTCGAACGAACATGTTCCGACGCCAAGTCTGCTCGCGTCGCACACGCATAGGAACCTTTAGATCGATCGACTTTTCACTCCTCAGCAGGTGCAAAGGGTTTGCGATTGCGGTGCCTCATTATGACTGCAATCTCCGACCACAAGGACAATTGCTACCTCATTCAATAAATGAGGTCTCACCTGCCTGTTTGATGATGTGTCGCAGGAAAGTCTCAGGAAAGTCTGGCAGGAGTTGTGCCTCACTGTCGAGCTCAACTGCCCCTTACCCTTATTGACCATGCCACGCTGGGCAATGGTCATTTTGCTTAGCTGGCAAGTTTTTGATGGCATGCGTTCAACGCCTTTCACCATACACAAGCTTCAGTACGCATGAAGCGAGCTGAAGCTGCGGGGTTCATTCCGGCCAACTTGAAGGAGCACGATAACGAGACAAGTCAACCAGAATCATCTCGTGGCTCGCCAATACCTTACGGCCAATACTTTAAGTCTGAGTGATCTGCTCTTCCAACGCAAGATCGCCAGGGTTGAGCATGGTCCTGGCGTAGCGCTGGCTATGTAGAGTGTGCTCCAGTCAAGTACACATCTCGTTCAAGGCTTGCAATACGAAGTCAGGAAGTATTACCTCTCGACTATGACATCTCTAAACGTGTCCTTACAGATTCTGGAGCCATCACAACCATAAAAAAGAGGTTGTACCTGGAGCAAGGGCAATGCGGCATGGCTGACATGCCTTTGGTCAATCGTTCGCCAGAGCAGGTAATACTTCCTGACTTTGTATCAACTTGCAAGCCTCAGGCTCAAAATATTGGCCGTAAGGTATTGGCGAGCCACGAGATGATCCTGGTTGACTTGTTTCGTTGCCATGCTCCTTCAAGTTGGCCGGAATGAACCTCGCAGTTTGTATCAACTTGCACGCCTTGATCGAGATGTGTACTCACTGGGGCACACTTTACCTACCGTCTACGCAAGTCTGTCTTCATGAGTCATTGCTATCATGCTGTTCGGAAAAGACATTGACGTGACTATATCGAATAAGGGTGATGTACGCGGAAGGCGGTGCAGGCAGAAGATAGATAGAATCGGATTTTGGCAATCGTGTCTGCGAAGTGCAGAGCTGTGCCCTTCATTGTCGGGTTGTTGGCATACTCGATGAGCTTCATCTGGTCATAGACGCCAGAAAGCTTGTTAAGAAAAGTGTCAACGGTGGATGCACTGTCCGAGGAGCATTTGAGGTTGCTCAACTCGAGTCGGAGCCTGATGAGCTCACGTGAGGCATCATGCTTGTACTTTGCCTCGATTGCGAGGAAAGCAAGCCGAGCAAGAGGATAGCTGTCAATGAGGATGCGGTCTCCAATGTCCATGCCCGTCTTCAAAATTTGGAGGGCAAGGATGTTTCCCTGCGGGTGTTTCATGAGCACAGTCATCATCTTCTCGTTGATGACATGGTCTTTGCCAGATGCGTCTTTGTATGTGACGCTGTCATCATGCATCATGACATCTTCCAGTTTGAACTCTGCCACCTCTGATTTCTGCATTTGAGTCGTGACTTGTATCATCATCTGCAACTGCCCTGCCCACTGGTTGGTGAAGATGTACGGATACACCTTGCCAGCGGCTGCAGCCTGCGCGACGTCCTGGAACCACAACTCATAGTTTTTGTTGATTGGCCTGCGAGTAGCAGCCAGTCGTGGATCCGAAGCGGACTTGAAGTAATCTAGTGTACTTTGTATCGTAAAGGTTAGAGCATTGCTACCAACGATGCAAAGTACACTAGTTTACTTCAAGTCCGCTTCGGATCCACGACTGGCTATTATGGTGACAGACTTGCTAGGAAGGTGCAACACATCGGTTCATTTTCGCGCGATGCACTGGATTGGCCACACCCACTGCAGCTGTCATCGGTATCTTTGTCACAAATGCTCAGGTGTTGCTTATGCATAGCAGGAAACATCGAATCCGCCTCAATGGCATCGCTGGAAACATCGAGTCCGCTTCAATGGCATCGCTGGCAACTCCTTGACGAGGGTCGTATTGTTTGATGCATTGTCAGCTTGCTCTACGGAAGATATCGAGGAGGGGCGAGCAGCACTGGCCACGTCAGGCAGGCTCCAGACTTGCAGCTCAATGTCTCTGCTCCGGCTTCTTCAAGCTATCTGGCTACCCAAGCGACAAGCGCATCTTCAGATCGCACTGTCTCGGCAGGCCAACTATTTCAGCCTCATACGCGGAATCGGATGCAAGCAAAAGGTTTTAGCACTCGTGTGTATGGGCCGATGGCTCAAGCAGCGTGAGAGGCAAAGAGGAGCACAGCGCTGAGTCGCTGAGGCCATCATAGATGTATCTTTTCTTCATTGCTAGATGCATGAATACCTTCTCTACATTCTGTTCCAAGCTTCAGGTATTTTTCAGAATGATTGCTAGGGTCGCAAGGTGCGGAACCCTTCTTCGAACAACTAGACCCGCCATTTGTTCGTGTTGAAGGCTCACAAGTGAACGCAACCCGGACCTGTGGTTTGTTCGTTCGAAGTTCGGCACCCTAAGTTCCTAATTGACTGCCAGCAGATTTTGTCGAGCTCGTCTCACAACGATGCTCTCACGACTTCGGCGAGCCATTTCCTCTTCGAATGTGGCATCACTGCTCAGGAGCAAGTCCAGTGGCCACTTTGGTCGAGGTACAATCGACTGCGAGGATGTCGCTTGACCAGCTTGTAACATTTCAAACCCAGCCCAGGCAATCATTGTTGCATTGTCGCTGCACAGATCGAGCGGCGGAGCAATGAGCTGCAAAGGCTCTGCTCCTTCTCTCTCAGCCAATCGAGCAAGGGTTTCGTGCAATATCTCGCGCAGGTATTGGTTCCTGGCCACGCCACCGCTTACGACCAACGCAGTCGGCCATGATGCCTGTTTCTGGTGAGTCAGAGACGCTGCGACTTTGGCTGCCAGATGATGAAACGTCAAGCGCATGGCCTCACCACCCAAGGCTTTCCTCTGCTCCTCCGTCCAAGACCCCTTTGAGAGCAACTTGGTGATGCTATAACCGAGTCCAGAAAAGCTGAACGCCATATTTTCGTAGCGTTTACCACCCTTGTTGACTTTTGCATGCAGCGGAAGTGACAATTGCCATGCTGATATTTCTTGTCCAGAAAGCCTAATTGGAACGTACTTGCCTCTACTCTCAGAAGCAACATTATTGCGGCACCATCGCTCAAGTGCTGCTCCTGGCATAGATCCTTGCCATGGGATTTTGAGCGCTTTGGCAACTTTGTCCAGCATGTCACCGGCAGCAATGTCTAAAGTACTTGCCAAGATTTCATGATTAGCAATGCTCAGGGAGCGTATCAGAAGTGTATGACCACCACTGACTAGCAAAGAAATGTAAGGAAATGCAGGTGCTGGTCCATCATGTAGCAATCTCGGAGTTAGTGCGTGTGCTTGCATGTGGTGAACACCAAGCAACGGAACATCCAATTCCTGGGATAAGCCTGTCGCAGCGTCAATGCCTACTTGAAGAGATGAGCGCATCCCTGGACCTTTTGTGACGCATATTAGATCGACACTGCGGTCGTGTGCTTGCAGGAAGGATTTTGCCTCATCGACGAGACATGGCATGTGAGCATCGTGCGATCTTACAGCGACGATTGGATGAATTCCTCCGTAAGCTTCATGTTGGTCTAGTGATCGAGCTATAGTAGTATGCAGTATCTTGGGCCGTGAACGGTGAGACACAGGTCGAGCATCGCACTCGAGAATGCTCAAGCAGGTATCATCGCAGGATGTTTCGATAGCAAGGACTGTCTTGAAGCTCTGAGCTACTTTTGTATGCAGGCAGCATCTCTCTGATGCTCTCAGCACATAATGGGCAAGCCTTCGCATGCAAGTCTTGCCGTGCGAACAATACGGAAGAGCTGGTCGATGTCATAAGTGATCCAAGCCGGAAATCGTGCTTCGATTCACAATTTGCGAGGCATTGCCTGGCAAGCATCCCCCAAACAACACCCTCGTAGCTGCTTCTTTCGAGTCAAGCGCCGCTCGTCTACCCTTGCTATTAGCTCACTTAAAAGTGATGCTGTCAACCGCTTCAGAACCCACAGTTGTTCAAGATCGAACTCAGATCCAATGCGAACTCTTCACCCCGCAAGAGGCACCGTGACAATGCAGCTTGAGTTGCTTCATGTTTATCGGTGGTATTGGCGATGTCATTCTATTGTTTCTTCGTAGCTGAAAGGCTGTTCCTCTTCATTGAAGCTCACTGTGATACTATGGCAAATGATGCATACCAAGCATCCACACCAGGGCAAACAATAACAATAGTGCCTCATCGACCTTGACAAACGAAAAGATAGAAATCATGTGGAGCATATCAGCCACTCCATCCAAGCAGGAGAGCGCTCGTCCAATTGCTGCCCGTGCTACCCGCTGTCAGTCTACAGCGTTGGTCTGAAGACTAGTAAAGAGTATCTCAAATCGCCAGAAAACGCCTTGAGCTGATCCCCGCCCTGCATTAGCACAGGTGGCTTCCCGTCTACAACGACTTGGTCTGCGGATGCCTTTCTTTGGCCAAGCTGTTGGCGATATCGGCATGCCGCTGCCTACAAGCATGTAGCAAAGATGTAGTGGCATTGGCAAACGGCATACAGTATGATACAGATGCGTAGTTGTCATCGGCTGATGGTCGTTTGCACCAGTGTTCGGCAATGCCGTCTTCCGGGAACGTCAAGGGGCAGACTCGACAGAGGTGCCGCGACCAAGGTCTACATCTTCTCTACCTATGAGTGGGCAGCTATCTATCCTAGTGATTGGCCTTGGAGGCATTGGCTCCATCTACAGTCTTGTCTGTAAACGCGGTGAACCAAATGCCAAGCTGACGTTCGTTGCTCGCTCCAATTATCAAGCGCTGCATGATAATGGTATCTCCATCAAGTCTGCCAAATATGGCCATCACCACGTCACTCCGGATGCTGTCTTCAAGACGACTGAAGATGCTGCTGGTGTTGAGTATGACTATATCCTATGCACCACAAAATCCCTGCCGAATGCACCTCTTCCGGCCTTACTCAGGCCTGTCGTGTCCCCAAATACAACCATCGTCATGATCCAGAACGGCCTGGGTATTGAGCAGCCTGTTGCTGAAGCATTCCCAGAAAACGCTCTGTTGACATGCACGGCCTACATTGGCGTCTGGCAAACTTCGCCGGGCAATATCGAGCATGCAAAGCTGGATAAACTTGATATCGGCATCTTTGCAGATGCACATGTTGCTGAGTCGCGTAAGCAAAAGGACACAGCCGCACTTGACAAGTTTGTATCGGTTCTCAAGGCAGGAGGGACGGATGTGACTGTCCTTGAGAATATGGTTCTTGCTCGATGGCAGAAACTTGTCTGGAACGCTTCATTCAATGTCGTTTGTACAGTCATGGGTATGGACACGTTTCAAGTACTTGCATGCCCATCTGCAACAACACTCGTCAGGACACTCATGGAGGAGATTTGCGCTGCTGCAAAAGCGAATGGCTATGAATTGCCAGCTGGTATCATCCAGGGCAACCTCGACAATACGCACACGATTGGGCCATACAAGCCGAGCATGCTGCTTGATTATGAGGGCGGTCGTGAGATGGAGGTGGATGTGATTCTTGGCAACCCCATTGCACAAGCACAACAGGCTGGTGTTGCTGTGCCTACACTTCAGGTGATGAAGGAGACGCTCGAGTGTCTCAATTGGAAGACGGCAGAGAAGAAAAAGTAAATGACCACTAGAGCTTCTTATAGAGACGGGTAAAGTAGCCAACATTCTCCATCTCAAGTGGGTACTTCAAGGCCTTGTCCAGCCTGAACCATCGTCGGTCTTCCGCCACAACTTGTTCAAATCCAGGCAAGTGGTCCCAGAATCGGTATACCATCATTGTACCATCTGCCACCTGGACTTCTGACAAGTCTCCAGCCGATTCAATAAGCAGTACATGCGCGCCTGCCGGCAGGTTCTTCGCAATCGCTTCAATCAACTTCATGGCATCCACACGAGATGCAGCAAACAGCTCGTTAAAGACAAACATGAAGGTAAGCAAGGTCGTCTCACTCAGCATCGCTGCAAATGCATCCGTCGTTCCATACTGTAGAATATCTTCCTGGTGATAGCGGAGCGTGCATTGCCCTAGCTTTGCTTTAGGTGGTGGAAACGCATCTGCCATGGAAGTCTCCAACGTTGACAAGAACGGTGCATATGCAGCATTGTCAATGACATCCATCTCAATATCTCGATCGAGAACTTCAATCAAGTCTTCATCCACGTCTACATCCAATTCTGCCAGTCTCAGTCGAGGGAGTAGTTGGAGTGCACATAGTTCTGAGCCAACGCCTGCACCGACTGCTGTGATGCGAACTGGCTCACGTTTTTGTACAGCGGGTTGTAGTCGACGCTCACTAGGCCGCATGGCACGAGGTGGTGGATACAACAGGTCTAAAACAGGTTTTGTGGAGTGGAACAAGTCTGCATAGGCAAGAGCTCGACTGGGCAGATATCTCGCTGCGTAAACATCGCAGAGTTCACTATTTTGAAAGACTAGCTCGTAATTTCGCTTGAAGAAGTGCTGCTTGATTTGTTGAAGTTGAGCAGTAAAGGTCTCCATGTCTTCTAGCTGAGGAGCAACCAGTGTAGCGAGAGCATTGAGTAATTCTTGTGAAAGCGTGCGATGGGCTTGTTGAAGCGGTGTCAGTTCAACAGGTGCCTGCTTTTTTTCAATCTTGGGTTTGGCAGCTGTTCGCCGAAATGTCTTGAGACCTTCATGTCGTTTATGCTGAGACCCCATGGAGCTACAGTTTCTCTTTGCCTGATGCAGAAGGGTGTACAGCGTCGCATCGTCGCGTTGGCTCGCGAATTTATTTTTCTGGTGATGCCGTGTTCAGATCGGTGGGCAGAGTGTGTTCATGTCGCCGAGGAGCAGCAGGAGACACGGCGTGTCCTCACAGCTCTTTCAAGACCCTCGACTCTTTGAGTGCTGGTACAGGAGCAGTGTCATTCTGCAACAGGTAGAAACGCCTCAGCAACATGATGGCTTCCTTTCTAAACAAACCACTCGTAATGGCATAACCAGGTGTGTCCACACTACGCTTTGCAGGATCCGAGTGCAGGGAGAAGACGCTGCCACAACCACCAAAGCGATCATTGCCACAGCCAAAGTAGACGTGCCTGATACGTACTTGGCGCAGAGCGGCGGCACACATGACGCATGGTTCGACAGTGACATAGAGGTCTGTCTCCTGAAGAATACTCGCTGGATGTTTCTCCAGGATTGCATCAATACCAACAAACTCGGCATGTCGAGTGCCATTGAGGGAGATGTTGGTCTCATTTGCGCCAGTGGCGAGAATGGTACCTGAGCTGTGGACAAAGACACAGCCGACGGGGACTTCCTTGTCGAGGAGAGCTTGTTCGCCCTGAGCGAGAGCGATGCGCATCATGGCTTCGTGCTGCTCCATGACCGCTTCTACGCAGTCTATTCCGCGAGCAGCACAGCCCTGTCTAGCTCTAGATGGCTCCAGCCGGCCAGGTGAGCTCTGTGGTGTTGGGCAGTCACACTCGCGCAAAACAAAATTTGAGAAAGCAGCGACAGACAAGAGACACAGACACCAGCGACACTCTCACACTATATACAACTATGCTCGTACCTAAGGAGAACCGCAGGAAGATCTACCAGCAACTGTTCAAGGACGGTGTCCTCGTTGCAAAGAAGGACTTCAACGCACCTGCATCCCTCGAACTCGAGGATGTCCCCAACCTTCAAGTCATCAAGGTCTGCCAGTCTTTGACCTCCAAGGGCTTTGTCAAGACTCAATTCTCGTGGCAGTACTACTACTACTCTCTCACCAACGAGGGTATCGACCACCTTCGAGAGTGGCTCCATCTCCCAGTCGAGATTGTCCCAGCAACACACAAGCGCGCAACACGGCCCGCTGCACCCCGTACTATGGGTGGACCTCAGGGCGGTGCACCCAGGCAGCCACGTCGTGAGGGTGGTGCTGATGAGTACCGTCGTCGTGATGGCGGTGAGAAGAAGCAGGAGGGTGATGTCAAGCCTGTCTTCCGCGAGGGCTTCTAAAGCGTGCAACGACCATGCAATCATCGGATTGTCTGTCAGTCACACACCTCTAGCATAGGGACAGAGATTTACACTCTGCCCCAGTCATATATCCAACGAAGAAACGACGCAAGTCGCATTTTGACTCTCTAGGATAGTCCTGGCTTCTCCTGTGCATGTTTCTCTGTGCTCCTCTGTCCGCCTCCCTCTTGACACTCTTGTATCGACCTTGATTGGATGTGTATAGGATAGATTAGTATTAATATGTTGACACAAGTCTCTATGTAACATCGCTGCATTTTTACTTCCCGGAAATCATAAAAACAAGAAACAGAAAAGGGTCGCAAGCTCATATTGCCATAGAAGACAGGAAGAGCAACCACCCAAGGAAGGTCCAAGAAGACGCAACAGTAGCAGTCGCACCCGACGCAGTAACACGTCCCGTCGTTGCCGGCACAGCACCACCAGAAACAGCGCTCCCCGTAGCAGTAGCGCCATTCACAGGCATACTGGTCGTCACAACAGCCGTATTTACAATAGGTTGTAGTGACCCAACACCGCCACGCACACGATATCCGATTCCTGCAAGAACAGCACGTAATCCTGGCCCTAATGCTCCATAGATTGCTGCATCACTCGCAACGCGTGCAGCGTTGGCACTTCCCTGTGCGGCTTGCACGGCAGATGTAATGTAGGATTGCAGTGTGGCACCCTTGACCACTTCAAATCGCATCAGGAAATCTGGAGTTCGGTCGTATAGATCCGCAGCGACATGACTGACGCTCGATCCTGCAGAGAATGGTACAATCCCTGTTTCAAGGACGAGATTCGCGGTACTATTGCTGGAGGTGCGATTTGACAAGATCCCTGGAAGGAGTGCCAGGGTCGTTGTATAGCGCTTGACGAAGCTTTGAGCCAGTCGACGTGCGACATCAGCGACGGGTGATTGCGTTGTGAAATAGGTTGCCAAATCAGTCTCATTTGCGAACAATCTGCCACTCGTCTCTGCAAACAAGCGCGTATTCATATTGGCGACTGTGGAGCCAGTCAAGAGCGTGCCATTCACCTGAACGAACCGATCAAATGCATACTCTGAGAAGCCAGCAAATTCAAGACCTTGCTTACCATTGCTCTCTGTAACAAAGATACGCACGTTCGGCGTGACTGTGCTTGGCGAAGATGGATGAAAGTAATCCTCATACGAGCTGGTGAAGCCGAGACCATGCATCAACTCGTGCATCACGACAAAGAAAAAATCAGTTTGTGTAGATTTGATCGCTGCCGGAGCAGGTCTGCCTGCTGCACGACCAGAAAAATAGAAACTCGCTTGCGCATTGACATTGAGATTGATGTCGTACGCGCCAAGCTGAGGTTGTTGTGGAAAGTAACTCGCCATTTGCTTGACGACTGCTTGTGGGTAGTAACGGACAATGCCATCATCATCCACAAGCGGGATATTACGCGCAGGAGATGCTGCAGCGAGTGAGGTGATCGTACCACCTTCATCGCAGATGCCTAATGTTGAACAGAATGAAGTCAAGGTCGCATTGACCAGGATGGGCGCTGAAAGTTGCAAAATATTGGAAATAAGTCCACCAGCAAGATAAAGAGTTGCATTGGCATCGGCACAGTTGGCAGCACCGTAGCTGGCCGGGCATGAAATGTCAAAAACAAATCGATTGGTCGCATCTTGGTTCGCGACCGGTGCCGGTAATGCGGGTTCTTGCAGGATCGAAGAGACGGGTGAGCGAAGTCCATCTGCTATTGGCGCAAGTGATGCTTGTGAAATGAGTGATATTGTTGCACTGGCCAAGGCGCTTGATCGAGCGCCGCTGGACCGGGATGAGGCCGAGGGGAGTGCTGCGGCAGCTTTTTGCGCTTGCGGTTGCGTTTGCAAGGGTGAGCAATCGACTTGGATGGATATCCTGGGGTTGTGAGGATACGGATACTCGAGACATGTAAGAGAGAGTGCTGAGCAGAGATGTTGGAGCACACTGAGGAAGAGGAGCCGCGTAAGAAGGGCGGTTCGCATTTCGAAAAGAAGTGATGCGAGTCGGGCGAAAAAGAAGTGGTCGAGGTACGTCGGGGATATTATTACTGGATGAACAAAACAGCAGTGAGATCAAAGCCGCCTAGGCCTGCTTAGCACTCGTCCATGGCAGCTGCTACTTGGCTGTGTGTCGTTGCTGTTGTGGATGTCTTGAGCTCGTTGCTTCGGAATGCGACTCACACGAGATGGGAAGGCATTGAGAAGTAACTGGATATGGCCAGTGTAAGGCACCATCATCAGACTGGATGGAATCGTAAGGTACGTTACTATTTTGGGGCCTTGGTTCGATCAGTATCTACAAGAGGTATGAAAGCTTGCTCAATTTAAAAGCGAGGTCCAGGATTACCACAAGAGCAGATGCATTGTCCTTTTTGGTAAGATTGGCACCGGTGAAAGGTTGCGCAGCGCAGGTGCCGTCTTTTATTACGCAATGATCACCTTCATGACATCCATGATTGCGTTCGGAAATTAGACTTTTGTATCCTGGAAATGAACCACATTGCCCTCCTTTTGGTTAAAGTTGCGCAGCATTTGCTTGCATGACGAGGGAGATCGGAGCGCAGCTTAAGAGTTTCATGCTCTGAGATGAGATGTTCCTGGATGTGTTAGTCTTCTGGCTTCTCGCTGACCTGCTGATCCAAATGTTGGTAGCAGAATATCATCTGGACGATCACTTACCCAAAGTCTTAGCTGGCTAGATAGCCTTGGCATTGTTTGCATAGCTATGCATGGCATCGCGTGCTTTTCGGGAGACATGGAAGCATGTGGGTTTACTGGACTCCTTGGTTCCTAGTACCGATTGAGCGTATATTGGAAATGTCGGGTTGAAGACGGTCAATCACTATTGGTATGCAGGCTATAGCTATTGGAATACATCTGGACTGTGAAGGCATCTCTTGGTCCAGAAGAGTCCAGAATAAAGCATGCTAGCGGGCGACTTCGATTGCCGCGATTGAGTTTGAGAAGATAGTGTCTAAGTCAGGAGATCCTGGTGATTGGGTCACGTCCAGTCGTATGATGCACGCAGCTACAGATGGAGGCCTGTCGACGAGTGAAGACAATAGCCTCTATAGCGCCATTTTCGATAGCAACAGTCTTGTGTCTAGGAAGCCGATGACAACGCAGAGCACAAGAGAGCTGGCTAAGCATCATAGCCCTGCAGCCAGTGTAGCAAGTGGTGGTGGTCCTTGTCGTCGCTGTCTCCCCGCGATTTTGCTGCCAAACTTCCTCCACGACCAACGAACGAACCAGCCAACCAGCCAGCCAGCAAGACACAGAGCCGCATCGGGGCCACGACACAGTCCAGGGCCCTTGACGTCCTGAGTACAGCACAAACCGCTGAGTTCTTGTGCGCTATTGTCATCACAAAGCTTCTCTTCAAGCGCCCCAGACAATCGCTCAAACTGGACACAGCAGGCGTTCACCACGATCCTTCACGATGGACCTTCTCAAGGCCAAGCAAATCAAGACCATCATGCAGCAACACGACTCTGCAAATGCCTTTTCCGCATCTAGCAGCGATGACGAGGTAGATGACGACCAAGCCGCTTCAAATCGTCGTCGAAAGCAAGAATCCGGTCGTCGCGAGTCAACAGCGTCCGAGGAGCGCTGGGCCAATGCCGTTGCCGTGAATTTGGGTCCGAGTATTTGGGGCACAGGCAGTGCGAGTAATCCGCACCTTTTGCATGCCGACCGCGGTCGAGCAAGTCGATCGGCTTCCTTTTCAGTGGGCCAGGAGATTCATTCACCCATGGGCATGATGCAAGCTGAACAACCGCTCGCTGCATACGATGCGACGCGACTGCTTAGGGAGCAGTTTCAGCAAATGAAGTTCAAAAATCGCAGCAAGTCGAGTTATGCAGCAGCCTGGCATGCGCCAGATCTGGATGCAGAGGAAGGGAGTGAGGATGCGATCTATGAAGATGCGGATTCAATGACGGAGAGTGCAGCTGCGATGCGCATGCGACATGCTTCTACATCGGGTGGAGTGGTCGATCCGCCTGGTTTGCGCTACACAACCCCGACCAATCCACGACTGGATGATTTGCGTGGTGATCGTCGACGTGCGTCCTTCAACAGTGCTGCATCGTTTGGTAGTCCTGAAGGCGATACGAGTGGAGCACGTCTTGGCATGTTTGCAGGCAGTCGCTACACTGAAGCTCAACAGACTGCACGGCGCGAGAGCTTTACGACCCCTCAGAGCGCAGGGTCAGGGGAAGGCTACAATCAGCAAAATACTGGTCACTACGGTAACATGATGGCTGATGTCGACCGCTATTTTTCCTCGGATGATCATAGGATGCGCCCTCGATCACAAGTCATGCAAGGCCCTAGCAGTCCGTTGCAGCAACCACCACAACAAACCTACCAACAACAAGTTCCTCAGCAAGGCCAACAACAGCAGCAATCCTTACCTGGACTCTTATTTCTGGTGGAATTCAAAGCATGTCGCACAGATGTGTTTTATGTGCCTGAAGGATCGGGTATGGATGTTCATGTGGGTGATCTCGTCCTGGTCGAAGCAGACCGTGGCCGTGACCTCGGTAAAGTGACGCACGAGTCAGTCACCCTTGCTCAAGTGCGTCAACTCAAACAACAACAAGCGCGAGAACAAGCATTGGCGCTAGGTGCACAACCGGAAGAAGCAGGAAAGGCACAGCAACAAGCGGCAGTCTTGGCGTCAGGCGGTGGTCTTGCCATGTTACAACCGAAACTCATCTATCGTCTCGCACACGCTGCCGAAGCGGCGCAATTGTTGGTTAAGTCGCAGGATGAACAACAAGCCATGCTTGTGTGTCAAGCTAAGGTCCGTCAACGAAAGCTACCCATGGAAGTTCTGGATGGCGAGTATCAGTGGGATCGTCGGAAGTTGACGTTTTACTACATTGCCTCGCAGCGCATCGACTTTAGGGATCTGGTGCGTGACTTGTTCAAGATTTACAAGACGCGCATTTGGATGTGTGCAGTGAATCCAGGGACCATGGGACAACATACCGCAGGCACATCTGTACCTGCACAAGTGAGAGCTGAATCACCTGCTACTGGCATTAGTAGTGATGGTGGAGCAGGGTATGGGTATGCACCGAGACCCAACCAACAACACCCACAGCAGCTCTTTGGGCAACCATACGGCGGATATATGCCGATGGCCGAGCCGACTGGGTATATGATGCAAGATCCACAGTACGGCTATGGCGCACCTACTGGTTTGCCTGCTGCTATGCAGTTTGGCGAGCATGCAGCAACGTTGTACAGGCAAGGTGGCATGACACGCTCTGGTGCACCGCAGGGACATTACTAATCACCGCATCCTGTACAGGCATCACCAAAAAAAAAATCAAAAATATATACCCACTTGCACCTCATTCCGGCATCTATTAGAGCTACATGGATCATGACAGCGTACAATACACAATAACACAGAGCGTAAAGAATAGTGCTAGACTTTGTATTATCAAGAGAAAAATGAAGATATCTGGTACAGTAGACGTGCAAGTTCTTTCTTGATCTGGGCTATGCTAGTTTGTGTATAAGAGAATGTATTCCCGCACAAGGACACAACAAAAGGAATGCCATCTTCATCAATCCTCATCCTCTGACGAGTCCTCCAAGTCGCTACCGGAATCGGATGCCTCTGCATACCTCGATTCCTCCGGCAACGCACCACCTTCACCATTGAATCGCTGCAATTGCTGCTCCAACTGCTCAATCTGTCGCTGCTGCTCAGACTCACTCAACACGGCGCGACTCTTCTTGTGCTTCTTGGAAGGTGCAGGATGGTGACTACTCGTTGGATCTCTCGCCGCTGCAACAGTGGTTGACTTTTGTCGCTTTCGTAGAAAAGAAGGTTGAATATCCTCCATGATCCAATTCCACAAAAGCCGAATGGTTTGTGGGTGTACCTTGTCCACATCCAACTCCACCTCCTCATCTTCAGGGTCGAAATTACTCTCTGTGCGCTTCAAAATTTGAATCACCACAGGCATCTGATGTTCTGTCATGTAACCCATTTTTGTAGATAAGGCCGTTTTTTGCTCAAAAGTTGGAATCATGGGTGATTCATCCACATCATCATAGGCAGATTGACGTCCACGCTTTTTACTCGCCTGTTGCGCTGCATACGATTTGCGCTTGTTGGAGTGTTGCTCATAATCATCATCGTCGTCATCATGGTAGACAATAGGTTGTGAACGTTCCTTCTTCTTCGTTTTGCCTTGCTTGAGACCAGCAATTTGATTCTTCATTGCTTCCAATTGCTTCGTCAACATTTGCACCGTCTGCATCTTGCCATCATCTGAATCATCCGAATCAGACTCACCCTGTTGCGCTCGAGGAACGGGCTTCTCTGCCCATTTCTGATTAAACACAGCTTCCAACTTCTTACCCATCGCTTGCACCGGTGTACCCGGTGGATTGAATTTGTAGCAATTGCGAAAGATGAGACGCACATCAAACTCAAAATCCTCAGCAGACTCATACTCGCCTTGCTTCAACTTTGAGTCAATTGTTCCTAAATCCATGGGATGTTTGATAACTTTTGTGTACTCCGGGATATTCAAGGCAACTGGATCCACCGGGACGTAGAAGGGGAAGGCATACGGCTCATGCTGTTTTCGCTGCAATTCCCGCAATACTTGACCACAGAATTTGAGTTGTTGCGCATGCTTGCCACGACGAACGGGGACGTTTTGGTAGGGTAGTGATTTTGGTGGTGGTGCATGAATCTCACGTTTCGGTCGACCATCTTGTCCAGTCGTTGATTCACGTCTGATGGTAGGTGGTTGAATTGTTGTTGCAGGAACGGCAGGGGATGCGGCTTTTGCTTTACCATTCGTCGCTACGTGTGGTGTTGCCTTTTTGGATTTCTTGTTGTTGGCAGGTGCTGAGAAATCTGGTGGTGGCATACTTCTGATTTGTCGCTCAAACTGTTCCTTGACACGCAAGGCCATTTTGTTGATGGGTGACTCGAGTCCATTGTACCGCTCACAATTGCTAAACACCAAAAAGACCGCCTCCATGAATGCATCAATGGTTTCATATTCATTCTTCTGAAGTCGCTTTTCAATGGTGCCGAGGTCTTGTGGGTTCTTGATGATGTTTGGGTAATCTGGGATCTTGAGCTTGACCGGGTCGACAGGGCCATTGAAGGGTCCGGCATCCTTATTCTTCTTGAGCTGGCGAATCACAACAAGACAGTATTTTTGTCGATTGGGTGTCATTTTGCGCTGCGGATCAATAGTGTGTGCGGGAGCAGTATCAGGTTTGCTTTCAGACACATCATCCATCTTGACATCCTCCGTCACTGCAGTTGTCGCGGGTGCCGCAACAGGTGCAGACTCTTCCGTCACAACAGGTTCCGCCGCCGTTTCAATGGCCGCTTCAATCGTCTCCATGAGCGCCACACCGGGTTCCTCTCGTTTCGGCGATGCTGCTTTGGATGATTGTGGTGGTGTCGGTCCACCCGACTCAATCGGCGGGACACTCGTCGTGATGGGCGCCGGTCGCTGTTGTGCTTGCACATCACTCACATCAGCAGCAGGGGTTGTTGAAGGGGATGTGATTGCAGCGGTAGGCTCTTGCGGTGGTGAGATGGGCGCGTGGAGCGGCGCAGGCACTTCATCAAAGAGCGGGTCTAATTCCGCATCCGCTGCTCTGATCGCTTGCTTTGATTCTGGCGCCGGTGATGCGCGTACGGCGGAAGTCGGTTGTTCTACACTGACTGCATGCTGAACGGTCGCTTCTTGCTGTCCTGCAATCGACGTCGGTGCAGGCGCTGCTGTGTGGGTGTCGCTCTGTACGGCCTCTACGGCAATCGCTGCATCCATGATTGGTTCATGCGCAACAGCAAGTCCCGTCATGGCTGATTCCTTGACTTGGAGACCTGCAGGCGCATTGTCTTGTGCTGCGGCGGGCGGTGCGACCGGTGCTTGTGTCTGTATGGGCGCTGCGACCTGGTGCTGTGGGTGTTGCTGCTCGTCTGCCATGGGGCCGTTGTGAGCTTTTTTATTTTTTTGTTGTTACTTTTATGTGGAGCAGATGATGAGGAATAGCAAGCAGGAGAGAGCAGCAGGTAGAGAGCGTAGATGTGTGTGTGTGTATAAGCAGAGCAGAGCAGAGCAGGGCAGAGTCAGAGCTTGAAGTAGTTGTGACTGTTTGTGGCAGGTTGGCAGTCCCCGATGGCCCAAACACGTCTCTCTCTGCCTTTGACTCGGTTGAGTGCGACTGAGATTGCTGCTGCTGCTGCTGCTGCGTGGTCAAATTCGGGGAGAGGAATGAGGGTGGCGATGCGCGGCTATTTGTATCTCAGGGCGAAAAATTGCAAAAGGCGGAAAAGAGGGGACAGCCAGCAGCAGGGGCAGCAGGTACTTAGTACTCCTTCTGTTAGTTGTATCAGGGGGCACTGGTGATGGTGATGACGGTGGTTGGCTAGCGAGAGACAAGCATCACTACCTACGAAACCACAGCTGCATCCACCACAGAAGAGAGGAAGAGAGCGCGCATCTGGATCAGCTGGAACATGCAGTCTGTGTGCGCCGTGCTTATCCCCAACCACAACTATTGACTCTGCCAGACACACACAGCAGCAGCCTATGCACAGCCCGTATTAGCATAGCAACAGAGCCACCCGCCCATGAGCTGATCCTGTTTGACTGCACAGGCAATCACGAATCATGATGACACAGCAGACAAGACCGTGAGAGAACACGTGACAGAAACTATAATTAGCTCACCAGGCAGTCACAACTATCTTCCCGTGGCATGATCTAGTGATTGCATGGCCAGAGGCTTGCTTCTTGAGACCAGACTGTCATGCTATGCCAGGTGTTCAGCGCGTCTCACTGCTCGAGTCCTTCAATTTCACTCACAGCAGACCAGATGGAACAGCCAGCAACACGCCCAGGACAATCAGTCTGGCTCGAGTCCTATGTCAAGCAGAGAGAAAAGATTCAAATGCCTAGCGCTACTTTCCAAACTCATATACATACCTCCAAAGGTACATTCTTTCAACTTCTTCAACTTCATTCAGCTTCCAACGGGTATTCAATTCAAGTCCTGTGTTCAGGCACAGGAGTCGATTGTCGTCGTTCCTCCATCCGGCCAGCCATCGCCTGCTTCGCCGCACTACTCCTGCGAATCTTCTTCACCACTGTCACGCGTCGAGTCGGTGTCGCAGGTGCCGACTGAACAATCGAACCCACCATGCCCAACGCCGTAGCTTGTTGCTGAATCGGTCGTACACCTTGCGGCACAGCAGGTAACGGCATCCGTGCATACCGCGCCGTATCTCTAGAACTCATCAACACAGGCGGTGACAAATTACTCCCACCCGTCCATGTCCTGACCCGTCGCACACCCAAGGTCGCTGGCTCAAATGTCGACGCAGCCATCATCGTAGGACTCTGCTGTCCCCATTCCTGAGCAGACGAACGGCCTAGTCGCGGTGAAGCAGTGACAGTTGTTGAGACTTGTGCTGAAGACGCTGCTTGTGCCGCTCGTGCAAGTCTTGACTCGCTATGCGCCGTCATTGCTTGCTGCAGTACCTGCATCATGGCATGATGTTCACCTACTGTAGACCCACTACCAGCAGCAGCAGGCGTCGTGGTTGTCACCGTTCTGGGAACAGCGGCAAAAGACTCACTCGACAAATTCGGACTCGCTGCCCATATCCGATCAAACACGAACCGTGGTTCACTCGGATTACTGCTCGATGCACTCGGCAAACTGTGATATCGCGATTCCGGATCTCGTTCAACTTGTTGAAGCGCTTGTGCAGTCGCTGTACTGATGGTCGAGGAAAGTCGTAAATCCTCAACGGTCGAGAGACTTTCTCGTGATCTTAGGGAAAACGCGAGTGACGGGGTTGTGCTCATGGATGGTCGCGGCATCACCGACACGTCTGTCCCAAGTTTCCCACCATGACTCGATGGTTGCTGGTCGGCTGGGGTCTGGACGAACAAGGAGTCTGGCGGTTCTGCTCTACGACGTGTGAAGAGACGCGTGAGCCTGTTTTTACGCTTTGAAGGCGGCGCTGCATCCTGAGAGTTGTGTAGATCGAGCATACTGCTCTTTCTGTTGTAGAGATGAGGTTGTTTGTTGTTGACAGCTTGTCCGCTTTTGTTGTTTGGTCGCTTTGATGTCGCTTGCTTGCCGTATCGCACTTGACGGCGTGTCGTATAGACGTATGTGTGTGTGTTGGGATGAGGCCCTGTGTGTTGTATTATAGCAAGACGAAGGCGGTTCTGAAGTATCTTTTGCGATGTTTAATGGATGGGCCCGATGTCTCAAGCTTGTGTCATGGCCCAGGACGCAAGGATCGACGAGGTGTGTGCGTATAAGAGTGCCTTGCCGTGTGTGACAGCGAGCTGCCGCCCTTTTCTACAAGTAAGCCGTTGCACTCCGGGGGATGTGCTGTGCTGTGCTGTGCTGTGCTTTTACTTGCTTCGAGGCGGATCTTTGTTGGAATTGGCGATCGTGTCAAGCGAGGAAGGAGCCTTCACAAGTTCACAGTGGCTCACACAGATTGGGGCCATTGGGCCCCCCCGCTGCACTCTCCCCTCGCGACCGCCGTCAAGAGTGGGTCGATGCCGTGTGCACGTCCTTGGAACAATGCCCACCCATCCATCCATGACTCAATGGCAAGAGCCCTTCCGGAACTGGTAGAGAGGCAGTGTACGCACATGCACAACTCGGTAAACCGCAGTGGCCATGGTCCCAGCCTCTTTTGACACACTCAAAAAATCAAATCTAATTGTCACACCTTCACAGGTGACAGGTCTTGCATGGCTGGTCCAGCTGCTCCCTAGTACCCATTCTGGCAGGATGGCGTATGCCCATGTCATCACAGACTGCTACAAACTATACTCATATTGCTTGGCGATGATCATGACATGCCGTGTCTTGCAATCCGCTTCACACACAAATCAACAGCAGCAACTATGTTGTCCATATCGAGTGAAGCCCTAGAGCGGGATGGCTCAGCATAGAAACTCACTTGATCGTTAAAGCATGGTCTTTTGCACGCGTGCTCTTCTCGGCTACAACATCGTACGAAGGAGGAGGGGTTTCCTTCTGGGCCGAAGGTTGGGTGCAAATCAGCTTGGTACACATCCATGCACTTGATCCAATGCGGCCAAATAGCAAATCACTAGGAGGATCATCTTGACTGTGTTGAAGATTGACGGCCTGCGTCATCTGAGACATCCATCTTATTTCAGCTCGCAACGCGTAGGACTTTGTTTGAACCTGAGACATTTCAAACACACCTGGGCAGGCTATATTGCCAGGCCAACTGGCAGCCGTCATCACTGACTCGACCATGGCCGTTCGAGGGCGCTGCTATTGCCCTGTGCCGGTCGCCGATCTCTTGACAGGGATGTGCTTGCTAGTGACAGGCAGCTTCTTATGCTCGCTGTATGCTGCTAAGCCTGCTATGCATCTGCTCGTGAAACATCTCCAGATACGTTACTGTCCCAACAAGCGACATTGACTCCAAGGATCCATACTTTTCAACCATTCAACACCACTTGAGCGACGAATGTGCGAGTCTCGACAAAGCCGTGCATTCGCAAAATGACCACAACGCAGCAACTCATCTGAGACACAACTCATATCGGGATGTTCGGCTTTTCCAATGCACATCTCTCGACTTTCACGTCTCTGTCAGTGTAGCTCGCTCCAGTCTACTGTCTACATCCTAGAATCTCTTAGTATCATTAGATTCATTACACGCCAGTGTCTTAGCAAGACGGCAAGCAAGACCACCGCGTGAACCGACATGCTTAAGTTTCCTTTAGAATCTTCTGAGATGTATCATCAGTATACCTTGTCCCTGTCTTCGGATCTACCTTCAGCCGGCAAGTCGCTTCTTGGCACGGCTCGGTATGATCCGAACACGAAGCCATCCGCTCAGACGATCTGGGCTCTAGCATCCTCACTATAGACAATTGCAAGGCAGGGGCATGGCAAGCACATGTCGTATTGTTACGGTAGGCTCTTTGCCCGGGGAATTCTAGCCGTACAAGCAATGACAGGACTTCAGGTGTCAACTTGGCCTCACGTAGCCAACATGCCGGTCAACAACGGGAGGCGTCAATGACACCGGATAGGTCGTACAAGAAATCAATAGATCTATGCGGAGATTGTTGAGGTAGCGTAGCTTGCTATTGCCAGCCATCGTGCCCAGTTCGGAGGATTATTTTTATCGCGGGTAAGCGGAAGTGGACCCCCTGAGACGACGAGATGGGGCAATCAAGCAGATCCCGAAGGATAGAGGAGATGGCAAGGCAGCAGGGGTCTTCATTGGTGTTCTCAGATCGCTGAGATACCTGGAGAGAAGCTTGCGTGAATGTCACGAGCCAAATCATAGATGACCATTGGAGAAGTAGCTGCCGTGCTTCACCACTTCTCAAAATTGAGCATTGCGGCGAATCAAAACACAAAAAGATGAGCGAAGATCAGAAGATGCGTTGAATGTCTGTGAAGGCTTAGTAGAGATGCAGAACTACTATCAGGCATAGGCACATAGCTTATCGACCGAGCTGCATCACTTGGCAGGCCTGTTGAAGCAGATCTCCTAGCGAGTGGCGTTTCTTGTAGCGCCTACTTGATTTTCCTTGGCGAAGCATACCGACCGTGTCTGCCTCATGCGTAGCATGGGCTTGAGCTTGATGGGCCAAAGCTGTCATGACGCGTTCTGCCTCGAGCTTTGTCATCTGTTGCTGTGCTTTGTAGTTTGCCAAGGTAGCTTGCGTTGTTCCCAGGACGTCTGCAATCTTGTCTGCATCGTTCTGAATGCTTTGTTTGGTCATCTCAGCAGTCGCCTACAGCATTAACGTTGCTCAAGGATGCATAGAAACACCTACCAATGCTTCCTCGAAAAGTTCAAAACCAAGGTTTTGACCATGTACTGATTGTCCACCTTCAAGCAAGACTTCTAGCTCCTGTATCTCTGCATTTGCTGTTGCGGTAGCTTTTTCCAAGAGCGTCTCCTTCAAGTGCACAGCTTTTTCTGCCGATGCGTGCTGAAGCTGTTGATGCAGCCGATCTTGTTGCTGTTGCAAAGATTGCTGTTCCTTGGCTGAAGGTTTACCCCTGACGCGTTGGGCAAATTGCTTGAAGAGCCTTGATGTCAGACACTTTGTAAAGAAGGTCGCAAGGGTTCAAACATACTGTGCGTCTAAGCTAGATTCATCGCGCTCGTCGCCAGATGCGCCTTCGACGTTCGAAAGCGTTCGTTTAAGACCCCTAGAGGCACTTCCAGGGGTCTGCTTCTTCTTTGCTTCAGGGCTGGTCAGCAACTCCACAAGGAAGCATGCAAAGAATGCTGCAAGATCTTACACTGAGTTGCAGGCTGCGTCTGTCTCGAGCGCTTCGAGCCAGCCGCTGCTGGAGGCATCCTGGGCGCTAGAAGAGGTAGTGCTGACAGACAGACTTGCAAGTGCAGCGCTTCCAAGAAGGCTTCTTTGGGTCCAAGCGCGCTGAGAGGAAATCAGTGTATGCGTACGCGGAAGCTGGGAGAGCCGTAGACCAATCGCTTGTAGATCTGCACAAGAGGCTCAAGCAGTGACTTGTCGTAGTCGTTGGCAGTTGCAATTGAGCGCGTGATACAAAACTCCCCCCCAGCGACAGAGCAACCGTGTTAATTTACCGACTCCCACGGCAGCGTGCACCTGCGACATCAACTATATGGTCGACCATGATGTCAGAGCTAAGCTACGTCCCTGTCTGGCCTTACAACTGAGCCGCTTGGGAGGCACTCTCTGACTGTGCTTAATGCAGCTCTCTACTACGTAAGAATAAATCGCCAGTATGGTACTCTAAGTCACGCTGCTACACTTGATGATGAACGAGGACGCAAGCCATGTCATTCATGCACCTAGCAAGTCGATTTGCTACATACTTGCAGACAACTCCTGTCATTCTGTAACAACCTCAACTAATGAGCTGTAAAGCTCTTGTTCCTTACCCAGAGCTGCCAAAAGTGTTGACAGACTCGACAGAGTCGACACATACTCAGCCGTTTCATATCAAAGTCACACGGGTCACGCACTTTTATCACTGACTGCCTAGGGAGTCTAGGGATACAAGTTGAATACTACGTATAAGCGGCCAAATCGGGTGAATGTAATCTCCAAGTGAGACATCATGAGGGCATGTCTCATATGGGGCCATCTGACCAGATGATCACGATTCACGAATCACGACTCACGAGAGATGAGAGCTCAACACGGGATGGATGAGCTGAGTCTGCCAAGTCAGTACCGAGTGGCCAGTGACGCTGCCTGGCAGCAACAGTGTCTTCATACGCAGTCTCGCGAGGAGGGCATATGTTACTCTGTGCTTTTGAACGACAACCATGTCACGCTGTACAGACTTGTACCTTGATCGATCAAATGACATTTGCTTGAGCCCGCGATTACAGAGGTGAGGTCACTGTGCGGGAGGCGACTCGCCGGTCCCATACTTACATGCGTGTACGAACTACAGCATAGCTGCATATCATGAGCAAGCTTACGAGACTGCGGACCTAGCCTTCAGCCATCAGCATGGTTTATGTCTTGCCTATCTGTCGACCATCGAAGTCGGCTACATCTGCTAGGCGGGTGTATGGCGGTGCGGGATACACCTCGTGGACGGAACAACCATCTGATGACACTCTCGACCAATTGGTACAGTAGTGACAGTACTCACTCCTCGCATCCGACGTGTGCGCAGAGGAGCTTAAGGCCGCACTAGTGTCTCTGATAGTGACACAAGAGCGCAAGGCGGTGATACCATGGCACCTGATACATTGCACTTCGTCATAGGCTATGTGTCTCTCAAGACCAGTGGAAGCGCTCGATGGGTGATCGCCAGACGGAATGCACGAGTGTCCATCAAGTCTGCTCACGGCTCCTATCAAGGCCTTGATCGTCAAGCCGGTGATTGCAGCATGGGCCTTTCGTCAAAGTTTCGTGAATGACAGTATTCATGAAGTAGATATGACGCTCACCTTGAGCGCATTAGTGAGGGAGCTCAGATTGCAAGATCTCGCATGAACTGTGATATGACTTGTACGCTACCGAGCGAGGAAGACTTGGTTGCGATTGGTGCTTCACGTGTGTTCCAAGCGTCTACAGTACAGTAGTGTTTCAGACTGTACGGTCAGTCAGCGAGAGACCGAGAGTACTCCAGAGTCCAGAGTCCACACAAGCAAGCTGATTTTCCGCTTTGAGACACCCATTTATGGGCTAGCCAATTTTCGCCCATCAGGCTCAGCTCGCCCAGCTCGCCCAGGCCTCGGATCCCGCACTGCTCGCATATTGACAGCAGCTGACCTGCGCGGACCCAAGCCGCTCTCAATCTAGCCCTCACCTGCCAAAGGCGAAGATCAGTGAGTTGACTACAAGCGGCAGTCGGCTCTCGCTGAATCTCTGCGCAGACTCACATACAGGGTAAAACACACAGAGCCACCCATGATTCCATGTGTGTCTCCAATGACTCTCCATCATATACTCATCTTTGACTCTGCGAGGGTCTCAGGCAGTGTGTTTCGAAGTTTGCGAGGTGTCTCGTCTCCGGGTTTACGGATTCGAAGGCAAGACTAGTATTGCCAAGCCTAGGAAGCGGCAAGTTGAGCGGCTCTAGTCCTGACGGCTGCACATGAGCTATCGTCGTCAAGTTTGTCTCGCCGTATACAGGCTTATCCCTCTGATCTTTGCAAGTAATCAGGCTCGGCTGTTCACTATGCACGGCTGCCTGCATGGCGGATACCGGTGCGGGAGTGACACTTTAACTCGCAAAGTAAGGGAATCGTGCACAAGACGCAAGAGAGCTCGCATGAAGACAAGCTCATGATCACCCCACACACTTCTGGTATAAGACCCCTCCATGGCCCATCCCTGGGGACAGGCATCAACGCACTTCAACACAATACAGCAGCAAGCATCACAGCAGCCATGAAGCTTTCCCTCACATCAAAGATCTCTCGCTCGAGAAGGAGTCTTTCCCTGCCACAAGCCATCACAAAGATGCTCCGCAGGAGATCAACCAGTACCATCACCATCTACTTGGATGAATCGCCGAGCTCGACCATCTCTCGCGACGAGTACGTGGTATCGCCCATGATGTTATCCAGTCAACGTCTCAATCCCTACCCTGTCTTCTGAGCTTGAAGCCAACGCTCGCTCAATGCGAAGTTTGATGATGACACGAAAATGACACAAACCTATACCGATCCCTGCTTTTAAAGCACAGCATCCGAGACACCGCACTGCTTGGACAACGCAATTGCCTTTCTTCTCATGTTGCACGGCAGCGCCTGCACCTGACACTTATACCTTCTCCGGTCTCGCCAACCACACGCAGCTGGCCTGCCATTTGATGCATGTCCTGGAGACAATGCAAGATTACGAAGGTTTACGACCCACACCTTGTAGCCACAGTAGTTGCTTCAAAGCTTCTACAGGACAGTACATATGAATATGAATTCAAACCATTTACTACATATTCATTTCCACCCATGAAATGCATATTTAAACGCCAATAATTGGCATGCCGTTGAGTTCTGAAAAGTACCAAAGATCAGTGGCTGCTTGATCGGTAAAGTTGAAAGCGCCAGTACTAGCATTGTTAGGCCAGCCAGTCATCATATTGAAGGGAACAAAATCAGAGCCGGCACCTTGCTGCTGGTCCGACGCACCTAGCTGCGGCTGAAGGACAGACCCTGGTTGTGCGGTGCCGTCATATAGTCCTTGCTGATGTATCATGAGCTGTGCACTTTCCGATATGGGCGGCGACAGGTAAGAGCCGGGTTGTCTGTCTGATGGTTGACCGGAAGCGAAGCTAGAACGGTCTGAGGTTTGGACAGGTGCCGGTGTATATACTGTGCGGTCAGCACCACACATTTGGGGCTGCATCGTGACATTCCGCTGATTGGGATCCTTATGCATGCCGAGAATATCGAAGAGAGAATCTGTAGCATTGACCTCCGCTGCTGTGTTATACCAATGCACGATCTGCTTTGTCTTGCCAATCAACAGTGCAGTGATGTGTGATCGCGGTGCAGACCCATCCGGCACAAACAGCCCGCGTTCTACCAGTTCTGCATAGTGTTGAACTTGGCCGTCATTGATGCCAAGATGGCGCTGCACCTTTGCAAGAGCGACGAGCGCCGAATGGGGCTTGAAGGCAAAGAACGCTGGGTAGGCGGCGAGATTGGAGATGCGATTGATGGTGTCGATGACATTTTCGAGAGCGTTGCAAATGTGCTGCATCGACAAGAGAAGTTGCGTACGATCTGAACCAGCCTCTTGCGGGTTGCGCACTCCAAAGATATAGCCTTCATGCAATGTCAACGTCAGCATACCTGTGCAAATTTGCAGCATAGGATGAGTCGCATCGACGAGTTCCGCCTGGAACTCAACAATGCGTTGCTGAAAGGAGCGGACAATGGCCGGCGTCAGACAGTCGATACACTCAAAGATTTCTCGGCCGATACGTGGTACCACCGTCAGCTTTGCACAAATGCGGTCATGCTTATTGCTTGCTTCGAGTCGCGCCTTGCACGTTGAATGCCAGCTATTCCAGGGTACACGTTCTGGTTGCCTCTTTGATGCGAGCATCATACAGCTGAGAGTCATGAATACGCCCATGAATGTGCGCTCATACTCCAGATCGTCCCAGGCATCTTCGCGAACCCGCGTCGTCGGTGTGTGCATACCCAAGTCGAGCGTCAGCTCGTATGCTATCAGAGCGAAAGTCATGCTCACGTGCGGTGCCCCAGCACTGAAGCTGAACCGCTCGTTTGCGAGCAACATGGCCTGCAAGACGTCAAGCTTACGGGAACCTTGAATATAGTATTCATTCAGAATCTTGCGCTTGCATTGCGAGACGAGCTCCAAGTAAAGCTCCTTGGAGTCTTCTTGTGCACCAACAGCGACAGCACACATAGCGACCAGTGGGCGACAGCGACGAACGTCTGCAAAGCTGATCTTTTCCGGAATCGCAAGCGCTCCGTAAGAAGCAATCTGACCGTACCGTGCGCGATCAAAGAATGCCTGAGCTTGGCTTTGCGTGATCAAACCGTTGTTGATGAACTCACTTACACCCTGATTGGCTTCAGACGCAGGTACCGACTGGCCGCTAAACGTAGCTCCCAGTCCATTCTCGTGCTGCGCAGGAGGCTGCGATGCAACTGAGCCATCATACGCTGGGAGGCTCGGCAATCCGAGACCAGGACTTGTATTTTGGACTCCAGCTTTTGGAACCGGTAGATGAATGGGCACTTCGGCTCGAGCATTGCTCGTTGTGGTATACAGCGGTGAAGCAGAGCTCTGAAATGGTTGGTTGAAGGGCAATATAGCTGGACGTATCGACGAAGCGCTACTCCCCGAGACCCGCTCTCTTTGTAGCTGATTGATGGTTTCTTGCAAGTTTCTGATAGTCTCCTCATAGTGCGCCGCCTTCGCGTCCATCTTGCGCTTTGGCTTACGCTGACTGACAGCTTCGATGCATTCTTGCTTCGAGGAAGTACAGCGCAAACACGAGGCCTCTTCATCTTTATAGCGACACTTGACTTTGAGCCTTCTGCATCGTCCACAGGCGACACGTCCTGGCTGTGCGCCCTTATCTTTGCGGCCGCGATCCGGCTTCGGCGACTGGCTCTCGGGATTTGAGTGGTCTTCGTCGACGCTCATACTTGAGTCATGGTCTTGCTCATCCATAGCTGTCTGCTCCCGGAATTGCATCTGTTGAGCAGCCATGACGATGTTGAGGCTTGTGTGATGCTGAAGCTTGCAATTTCGTCGGTGAAAGAGGAGGCCGACGAGCGGTCCCCGGGCGATGAACAAAATCTCAGGTGCTGACGTACGTACACTGCAACTGGATGCAATAGATCAATGCTCAGGCTAGGCCTCGACTTATGCTTCTACATAGAAATCCTCCTCAATGACCAGACCTTGCTTCTCGTCGTTGTGCACAGAGAGCACTCGCACGTCGTGCTTCTTCCAGAGTGCAGCCACTGCTCCTTCTGCTTCTTCACCATCCACAATAGCAAAGACTGCATCAAACCCACCAGCACCAGGCACACCGTCGCAGACCACTCCTTGAATGTGCAACGTAGCATCCAGCAAAGATGTCTGCGTGTCTGGCTCAACGTCCACATCAGCTGCATTACCCATTTCCTTCATCAATCCTCGAACACTTCTGCAAACTTCGCGAATCGCGTCTTGTTCATTTGCCATGTACGTTTTGTCGCCTGCCAAACTTTCCATGAGCAGCTCATTTGCAATGGCGAGAGATGGCCACAATGCCAATGCAGACTCGGAAGCCAAAATCTTCTTGACCATACCGGGAGTACTGCTCCCTTGGGCTACATCACCCATCATCAGCCGCAATCCTGGTCGTAGCTTGACTTTCTCCAACGTCATGGGCCAGCGTTCATCTGCGAGATCTGCCAACCTGGCCGCATCAGATGCTGCATCCTGCTGAAGTAGTGAAGCTGGGAATCTTGTATAGATGCAACTCCCAAAACAAGCACTTGCAACGTCAAAGCCACTACCTACTTTACCCTGTGCAGCACAATGTGCAATTTGGGCTAGATTGTGGATAGTCCAGCGGCTTGAGTCGTCCAGTGTCTTTGTCTGGGCACTTGAATCAGCCAGAAGCATATATAGCGCCCCAACAAGTGCAGTCATGAGTGCAGCAGACGAGCCAAGCCCGGTCTTGGGCGTTTGTGAAATGGATGTATCGAAATCTTGGAAGCGTCTGGGATTCTCGACTTGTTGCGAATAGTACTCATTATCTGCATTGATTTCAATGTCAAGATGTGTAAATGACGTTCTCTGAGAGCTAGCATGGCTGTAAGAAAGGACAGTAGTGAGTGCTTCACGAACGAATGCATTATCGCCATCGCTCTTCTCTGAGTAGGTCAAGACATTCTTGAGAGCATCGTACTTGTAGATCCAGATAGCCCTCTCAAATTGTGGAGACGTCACTACGATTGTTCTGTCATCCAGCTCACTAGCTTTGGGATCTTGTGTTGCTGTCACGGTTACGTAGATGCGAGCAGATAGAGACAGGACGAGCCCTTGCTGTACGGGGTCCAGGACCAAGTACCCGCCTGCAAGTAGAACCTTTCCAGGAGCACTGCAGGTCACAGTATTCGACATACCAGCTAGATCAAGAGCGATGTTGACGAATTCTACAAGCAGTCCACAGCTGTCAGCTGATATGGTTGTCAGCAGTAGCAAAATATTCTCGAGATGGACACAAGGTCATAAGCTGCGCTCTGCTATGATGACGACGAAAAATATAAAAGGCCTTGAATAGGCGTTTACAGCTCACTTTGTCGAGAGGCAAGCCGTGTAGAGCGCCTACCAAGTCGCTCGCCACTACCACCGCTACTCGCTGAACCATTCGATTCCTGCGATGCTCGTCGACGTCGTGGTGAGCGACGCGGACTCTGAGCTCGCTCTGTAGCAGATTCGCTAATGGAAACAGGTCGAAGACGTTCATCTGGCAACACTGCCGCTTCAGTCGACGTACGTGTTGGCGTACAAGGCCGTTCTGTGGCTGTTTCTGGTTGCGATGCTTGCGTCGGTGTAGCAGCTGGAACAGACACTGATGCGAGTCGTGTCAGCATCAATAGACCTTCCGTCACACGCGCTTGGACTTGCGAAAGGACACGAATGCGTTCTTCAACCGTTCGACGTGTACTGCCTTCCATTGCTGCAATCTGCTCATCCGTCAAGGTCGGAATGGCCGCCGTTGTTGCAAGACCTTCGGGAAGACCCAGACCTGCGCCAAAGAGCGGAATGATCGGAGGTGCTCGCGTCCCATCTGGCATCCTGAACTCAGAAGGAGCAGAAGCCGTTGATGGACCTTGACTAGACGCGGCAGAAGCATCTGCGCGTCGCTCAGCAGCAGCCTGAGCAGGATTCGCATCCGTTGTCACGGGGAGCAATGCCCAGCCTGGAGGTAACTGGAATCCAGCAGGCAAAGGCACTGCATTGCCACCAAATCCACGCGGATATTGAACTGCAGGTCCTGGTGCAGGTGCTGCAATTGGCGCGTTGGGACCAACTGGAGGGTTACCAAGACCCGGTGGAGCAGCAATAGGTGCGGCGCCTGCTGGACGGGGTGGGCCTGGTAAGTGCTGATTGGCGCGATTTTGACCAGCGACTGCAGCACCTGCTGGTGCGGAAGTTGAAGCAGCCGATTCTTCGAGGACAGGGCGACGGCAAAGTGGACAACTTTGCTGGCGTTCCAACCAACTCCTCAAACACCTGAAATGCAAGATATGGTTGCAAGGTAGCTTTTTGGGTTTATCGAGCGGGGAGCGTGCTGGCTCTCCTTCTTCTGAGGGTTGGGAGGCGTGCAGCATGTCGTCGCGGCAAACAATACAAGTGGGGTCTCCGAGTGCTTCAAGTTCTGCAGGCGTTGCATCTGGATAGCGTGTGTCCATGTCGCGCGTCGCTTGTCTGAAGCGAAGGAAGTTGCGACACTTTGTGGTGAATGACCGCAATGTGACATACAAATCGCGAACGATGTGCAGTGGCAGTCCATAGAACGTGAAGACTGTCGCAAAGAAGGCAATGTAGGTGACCAGTTTGAAGAAGTCGGCGAGCAGGTCGAGATAGAAGACATACGTCTGCTTGTTGTCCCACTGCTCATGCATACGACTTTCAATGAGGTTGAGGATGTACTTGCCGGCGACAGAGAGGATGATTGACCCGAGGATGGTGAATTCGAATGCAAATAGAATCATGGCATTCGGCCCATACCTGAAGATGTCATCCAGTGCTGATTTGGCCATAAAGAAGTCAACAGCCAAGAGCGAGCCGATGATAGTGCACATGCGAACATGAAACTTCTTGGAGACGCCCTCTGTCGTTTGCTCCATGAAGTCCACACGATCGTGGGCGAGCCAATGGAATATCTTGACAAAGATGAGTGTTGTAAAATAGAGGAGGAAGCGACTATCAAATTCCTCCCTGAAGATGGTCATAGCGAGGCACGATTCAGTGACGGCGTACCAAGATCGTTCGTAGAGATGCTCTACTTCAATTGCACGCAGCCTGCCAAAGCAAAGATGCTGCAGTAGCTTACCAAACATGAGCGTTGCCACAAAGAACATGTTTGCAAGAACGATGGAGCATGCTGAGGACTGGGAGAGGTAGACACAGGCTGCGTAGAAGTTTGGACGCTCTTGGAAGGCATGAACGACGACGGAGACGGCGAGAGTTGTGCTCAGCACGCCATAGGGCACCCAGCGGCTCATGACCATGCCTCTCCCGTCTGAGCTCTTCGTAGCCCGGCACAGGGCGTGTCAATGACAGAAGTATCTCAGGTATTGGCTTCAGCTGCTGCGGTTGCTTTCTGGTGACGTTGCGAGTTTCTGGCAGAGTGCACGTGCTGCCGGCTCCACCCTTTCTCCACTGCGGGCTGTCAGATCTCAACCGTGAAGTGGATCGTCGCCCTGGTCGACGGAAAAGCAGCGTAAAGCGCCTTTCAACTGGAAGCAAAGCCCGGGCCAGCAGAAGCTTGAGGACACGTCGTCTGAATATATTCGCCCAGCTCCCATCCTTGTCGTGACTATAGACCACACGACCACTAGACATGGCGGGTACTAAGCGGACGGCCATCGATGAGAAGGCCATGTAAGGGAGCCCTTCTCTGAATGACACGAGCTAACAAGCAACAGCGTCAGGACAGTCTTCATCGCTCTGCTCCTCGACATCCTTGCTTTCACTATGATTCTCCCTCTCTTCCCCGAGATGATCAACTTCTACCGCTCTCGCGAGGTAGATAGTGCAGGGCCCTCGACCCTTGGTTTTGTGCTCCAACAGCTCAACACCCTCAAACGCCAGGTCAGCCAGTATGCTGTTGTCTCGCCTCGCTTTGACACGATTCTCCTCGGTGGCATGGTTGGTTCTCTCTTCTCCTTCTTGCAATTCATCGCTTCCCCCATCATTGGTAAGATGTCGGACAGCAAAGGCAGACGCTACACGCTGCTTGCAACTATGTGGGGAAATATTCTCTCCACCTTCATCTGGGTCTTTGCATCCAGTTTTTCGACCTTCTTGCTTGCGCGTGTTGTCGGTGGATTGAGCGAGGGCAACGTGCAGCTCTCTATTGCCATCATGTCAGATGTGACAAGCGACGCGAACCGCTCAAAGGCACTCGCATTAGTCGGTATCGCCTTTTCAGTTGGCTTCACTGTCGGTCCAGCCATCGGTGCCTTCATGACACGCTACAATGCAAGCGGTATCTCTGTCGGTGGCGGTGTGTTCAACCCGTTTTCGGTTGCTGCAGGATTATGTCTGCTCCTGCTGGTCGTTGAGACTATTTTCCTTTACGCCTACCTACCAGAGACGAACGTGGTCAAGGACAAGAAAGAAACACCAGGTGCTACAACCGAACTCAAGAACCTCGCTGTCTCTGCCGACCCGCAGGTGACTGCCCGTCGGCTCAAAAACGCTTCCATTGCACACTTTGCACACCTATTCCTCTTCTCCGGCATGGAATTTTCCCTCACGTTCCTCACGTTTGAGCTTTTCAGCTACTCGGCAGCACAGAATGGTCGCCTCCTCGGATTCATTGGCATCTTTGCAAGTTTGATCCAAGGCGGCTACATTCGACGCAAAAAGTCGCTTGAACCACTCAACGACCTCTCCCTCGCCAACCAAGGTGTTACAACGTGTCTCCTCTCCTTCATCCTCCTCGCAGCCGTTACGACGAAACGTCCAGCATTGCTATGGGCAGGCGGTGCCTGTCTCGCTTTCACCTCTGCAACCGTGGTCAACTGCCTCACTGCCTACTGCTCCAAAATCTGCGATCCAGCCACCCGAGGCTCTCAAATGGGACAATTTAGATCTTGGGGTCAACTGGGTCGTAGCATGGGACCTATCTTGATCTGTGGCATGTATTGGTTTTTGGGCAAGACAACAACGTATAGTGTCATGGCGGTGTTGTATGCGGTCTTCTTTGCTTACTTTGGTGGTGTCGTCAAGGGCTATGAGAGGACCTTGTCCAATGCCAATAAGTCTGGCGCCAAGAAAGTTCAGTGAATATACTGCTCGAGACTGTAAAACAGAAATCTCACAAAAGTCATAGCCTAAACCATCATTGAATACAGCTTTGATTTATGACTTGCCGACGTGAGCTTGAACTGCTTGTGACCATTGATCCAGTTCTGCTACTAGTGCTTCCAGCTCAGTGACGCGTTTGCATACTTCATCAATTGACGCAATGTACGTTTCAATTTTAAGCCGCTCTGCTCGAAGGACTTTGGCATCACCACCAAGCAGTCCTTCAGCAGCATCATTCATTGCATGTAGAGACTGGACCTTTTCTTGATTCTGTGCAGTTAAAGCGTCAAGCTGTGTTTGAGCCTCAGTTGGAGTGGAAGAGTCGGTCTCGAGGACGTGCTTTTCTGCATAAAGCGAGAGAGCTTGCCGAATGACCTGATGAGTAGCCTTTTGTGAGCTGGCCATCGCAGGGAAAAGATAAAACAAGAAGAGGACCAAGAAAGCTCTTGACTATGAAGCGTATGATAAGATTTGCTCGAGGTCGTCACTTCGCCTGGCAACCAAGCCTGATGAAGACTTCAGATGCCACCAACCTTCAACACGGCATAAAGACACGCCTGTATCACAGGCCTTGCAGTAGACCAGAGGCGGATGATGTAGTCAAGATGCCTTCAGTACTGTTGCCCAAGATCAGAAAAAGCTGGCGGCCTCAAGCAGCTCATTCGAGGAGGACATGTTTTGGGCGAGCCAATTTGCCAACCGCTGCAAATAATCATTCAGGATGAACAGTCCAGTAGTGATTGCGCTGCAGAGCGTAATGTTTCATTCTCCAGCAGGCAGCGGACCGACAGGAGCCGAAGGCAGATCACCTTGCCGCCGGGCGTCGCTCTCCAACCCAGTCATAGCATCATCCTCTCCCTGGCCCTGCTGTTGTCGCTGGAGAAACGCTTCTTGCTGCCAGATCGGCACATCGCTTCCAAGTCCCTGCACAAGACTATCTGACCGCATGGCACTCGCTGGCGTTACCCGCAAAATTTGCCCATAAACTTCCGCTTGATCCATGTTGTCCAACGCAGCAGCAGCATCGACAGCTTCTTCAAATTCGATATGCGCAACACGGCTATTTGTCTTGTTGCCATGCGCCAGTTCTAGTCGTTGAGCGCGCACTAGCGCGTCTTCAGCATTCGTGGTATTCGTGTCGCTCAAGTCTTCCGTGTACTCGACTTCAACAATCTCACCAAATGGCAGGAACATGGCATGAAGAACATCCTTTGTGATGGACGGATGCACATTGTCTATCCGCACCGTCGTTTGCGTACGCGGCGCCGTCATGTACACAAAGGCTTAAGCTAGTAGCTGCGAGTCTGCGACAGCCAGCATTTAAGCTGAGGCTATCATCAGATGGCACGACAAAATTCCGGGCTGAATCTGCAGCTTGAGGGGTTGCCTTCTTCATTACCTACTATAATGACTAGCAGTCGATGAATACTTCCAGTACTCAAGTTCTACAATGTATAAGCCAGCGGTATAGCCAATCGACATGATCGTTGGCTTCAAGTCGTTGAGCCACGATGAATTTCTAGCCTGAAGCTGAAGATGTCGACTGCAAATTTACCCGCATGCGTTAATCTGCGTCTGCTGATACGTCAGTCCTTCATCCAGAAAGTCTAGCCTTCTAAAGAGATGCGGACAGCTATCACCATGTGTACAGCTTCTGCAATGTAGAAGTTCAATACGGTCACCACAACGTGCGTCGCGTGCTGCAGCAAATGTAACACTTGGCACGCCGCGGACCTTGCCGTAATGGTTCACTTTCCTGCTGCCGGGCTACTGAGGCTAAGATAGCGCTTCATTTCTCTAGAGTACACCGGCGAAAGACGGCTGACTTGCATGGAACAACGAGCTGCGACCACACCAAGACAACAGGGCGACTGATGCCGAATCATTGCTGATACCTACTGCTCAGTGTTTCGCACTGCGTCATCTTTGCTTATCTCGGCTGTCCAGAAGCCGTATCGAGTCGCGTGTAAGACCATTGATCTAGCCAGTCTCTCATGCTACAGGCTTGGTAGAGAACCAGATATTCAGGGGCTCAATGTTGCCAGCTAACACATGTTCTTGGAGAAGCATGACTGATGCCAATACGAAATTCTGTGCTCGTGAACTCAGCCTCAGTCATCTGCTGGCTTAGAAAGGGCTGCTTTCCCTGTCCCTCTTCCGTCCAGCAGGATCTTCTGGTGCTCGCGACTGTTCTATTCCGCAAGCGAGCAAGACACACAAGGTAAGTAATTGTCCAGTGACACTCTGCTGCTAGCAGGTGTGCGCGCAATGCGATGAAGAAGCAGAAGATTAATTCATCCAGGCGAAACTTCAAACCGCGTCATGAAGCTTCTGAGGCCTTACTCGCTTTTCCTTGTCAGCTGGTTAATCGAGGTGCAAGGGCAAGCAACAAAATGCAAGGAGTCTTTCATATACACGCGTGCTAAACTTGGTGGTCGTTTATCTGCTGACTGTGACGAGTCGCAATCCTGTACCTTCTCAAATGGCTGTTCGATCCGCGGACCAATCCCGAACTTGTTGAAATGTTTCAAGCAGGCGCCGGATGGTTCATGTTTCTGTAAATGTTACTAGTACTTACTACAGCGGCCATCTTCCGCCCGACACGACATCTGACTAGTGACACCTCAATACACTTCGACGTGCTCTTCGATCTACAATCTCTACTCAATGCAAGGTCCTTTACTAGACAGCTGCAGTATGGTTTACCTTTGCAAGCTTGTCCTCCGTATACCATTAGCCCAATTTTAAATCCTTTTCAACTTCGCCTCATCTGGTGCACCCTGCCGTAGTCCGCTTGTCCACATTGCGCGACCCAGCAGCTGAGTAAGAACATCATCTACCAAACTTTCAATCATAGCCAATACAGTAGCAAGACTCTCCTATTTTCCCATCTGCAGCCGGTCGGTCTCTTTGAGGATCGCTAGCTGGTCGCAGACCTCAGGAGACCTAGGAATGTGCGAAACGCCATATCGTCGGCCTCTCGCTGAGACATTCCTGGATTTTGGATCACAACCCAGGAGCAATAAGAGATGAGAATGACTATTACTCAGGTATTGTAAATACGACGAGCACGCTTGCTTGGGCGAGTCGGCGTCTCTGGCATTCCCGCGACAGCAAGATCCACCTCATTCAGCGTTGCAGCCTCAGCTTGCTCGGGCTCAAGAGCCTCTTCAACTTTCCGCTTCTGTCCACTCGCCGTTATTTCAGACTCGCTTGCCACGACCCGTTTCGCTAGTCTTGCTGCTCTAGGCGACGTGTCAAGCGCAACTGGGTCGGCTTCGATAGCCGCACCCAAAGGCAAACCCGAAGGACTCGATACTTCCGTCAAGCCAGAGGAAGCCGGTACTTCTGCGCTCATCGCAGCCAGCTTTTGTCGTGCTTCAAGTGCTGCTACAGCTTCAGCGACGGCTGCAGCAATCTTGGGATCCGAAACACGACCATGCGCTGATGTCAAGCGTCGTCCAGATCGACTCGTTGAGTCAGGTGCAGGTGTACTGATCGACGCTACTGGAGTCGCAACGGCAGCAGGAAGCCTTCTGCGATGACTCGTCGGTCCCACAGTTAGTGGCGCAGGTGTCAATGCCAGCGTCACTTCATAATTTGGATCATAAAAAGGTGAATTGGGATTCTTGATGCAACGCGAATGATGACCATCGCAACGAGTCTTTTTCGTTTTACATGGAGCACAAGCTCGACTCCCGGTCAAAGGTCGTGACAGTGGCGTAGCGGGCCTGCTGCGTGACTTTGGCGCTGAACGAGGACGGTTAGGTGAAGGTCGAGGTGGATCGTCCTTCAGATTGACGGAGAGTGTTCGTTTGCGAGGTTTCGCGTGTTCTGCACTTGCTGGACGTATTGCTTTGAGTCTTTGCTGTAAGTCTGCTGCTTGTAGGATGGGGCGCGCTGGTGAGGCAGTTGGGACAACGGGCGCGGACGCCCATTGTTCGCGCTGCTGTTGGACAATGCTAAAGATGGCCGGTAACTCTGGTAACTGCAATGCAGGTCTGACTGTCCGTTCAGACGACTGTGCTTCGGCTGTTGACAGAGAGCTTTGCAGTTCGACTTTCCGCTCGTTATATTCTTCGTCCGTGTAGCCATCCTTGATCTTCTCGACAAAGTCATCCTCCACTTCAGACAAGGGCGATGCTTCCCTGTTGGCCCAATTCCAAGGACGTTCCTCGTAGATGTGCAGACCGTGCGGCTGGTACTCCTCGTCAAACACCGTTGCAGTCAAACTCTCTGGATTGATTTGCAGCACACGCTCACTCTGCCGTGCCTTATCAAGAATAGCATGACTCGCTTCCTGCAGCCGTAAGAAGGTCTTGTACTCCCTCGTAGCGGTGGGAAAGGCGTCGAGCAAACCACTCATCATTGAATTGAAATCCGTCTCAAACATGGCAACAGACAAATAATGCGTTTCCTCTACTTTGCGGCATAGCTTGGGCCAAGTGATTGCAAATGGAATGCGCTCTTCAACAAGCGGCACGGTCTTTGCTAGTGTTGACTGTATATCTGCTTCTTCCAGCGCTTCGAGCACGCGATGCAGAATCTGTTGCAAGGGCAGATAGAGCATCTCAATCAAACCATCGCGCATCTCGCAAATTTCGCGCTTCAGATTCTCGCGTTCAGCCAAGTTATCCAGGGCAGGCCTGTGAAATTGCTCAAACTCTTGCAAGAGGCGATTGGCAAAGCCAAGCTTATTCTTCTTCTCGTCAGCATTCAGCTTTGTTGTTGTGTGATCTTCAGATTGGATCTGCAAACGCTTCAGTAAAGATGCACCGCGTCTGGAACGTCGCTTGAGTGACCAGTACTTGCACATCTCAGCAATATAATCAGCCTTATTCTTGATGCGAAATTTTTGCATATACTGCAAGATCTCCTTGAAGACGATAGCAGGAATAACGGCCGCTTGCTTGGATCGCTTCAGAGAAATTGTGAACTTGCCGCCACCGCGAGGAATGACACCCGAAGCGGCACCCGATACATATTCGTCTTGACCTTGATTCATAAAGTATTGCTGAGCAGCATGTAAGGATGCTGGTACATCCACCTCTGCACGATACCAATCAGGCAGGTGCTTGTCGCAAAACGTCTTGCCAAGGCCCGTTGGATTTTGTGGGTTGTGTTGAAGGAACAACTTTGCGCGACGGGCACAAGTAACGTGGAAGGAAGCATAGCAGGCTTTGTGGCTACACTGAATGCATGCACCCACTTTGAGCTTGCAGATGTAGCAGTTGAGCTTCCAGCGTGAGCTTGGTATGTTGTTGACGCCCTCGATGGGTTCCATGAAGACAGGGTTGCCTACAGCTACTTCAGGGATCCAATTCGTGCAGAGGAGATGAGCCCAGTGTAGATCTGAAGTTTGCTTGAATGCACCTTGCTTTGCAGGACAAAACAGGCAGCTAACGGGATCAATAGGTGAGGCGAAACATTTGCGGCACAACCACTGACCTTCTGGGATATAAGGAACGCCGTAGCACTCTTGGTGAACAGCAAGGTTGCAGCCGTCGCAAAAAACGATGGCATTGGTGTTTTCACATTCTCCATCATCACAGATGGAGCACTTTGCATCCTCCGAGGCATGGTCATCTTGGCGCTTCTTTTCTGGCTTCGGGATACGCCTTTCAAGTGCCGCCCATTCCTTTTCAATCTTGGTGAGGGTGATTTCAAAGATTTCTCGTGAGATGGAATCGCCTTCACGTAGACGTCGGCGGACATTGTAAGCTTCAAGCCAAAAGTCGTCTTGCTCGTCCATATCATATTCAACGCGATCGCTCAAATCGGTTTCTGGCAGGTCGAGTGTTCGTACATACGCTTCACTTGGGCGCTCGACAGGTTTGTCTGCCTGATAACCAAATGCAATCGCATTACTATTCAGCTGAATTCTGTTGTCGCGCATGGATGTCTCTAGGATGCGAAATGAAGGCTTGTTGAGCACGCCAATAGCAAATCCATCTTCTTTGCGCAGTCGCTCAAACTTTTCTTCCACAGTGACTTCGCTGCGTAGGAAACGGTCAGAGGGCGCCGTGTGGATGCTGCCTCGTTGACTGCGCACACTCGGCGCTGGGGGTGTAGCGATTGGCAACTCATCCATGAGTGCTGGATCAATCGCGATCGACTCTGACGGAGGTACTCCAGACTGACTGGTTGTTGTGAAGCGACCATTCGTCATGGCTGTGGCTGGTCCATCCATACCCATTGGCGTGAGCTGATCAGCGACTGCAGCGGCAGCGAGATCTGGCGCAAGTTGACCGAATGCCAGGAAATCATCGCGCCTTGAGTCTGTAGTGTCGACAGAAGCGACAGAGCCACTTGTCGGCGGCGACTGTGTGCCGGTCGCTTGATTGTGGCCATTAGCAATGTCATGTGGCACTTCGCGAATTGAGTTTTGTCGCGAGTGCAGCGGGTAGGGTGGAAGCTGAGATGGCTGCCTTGAGTGATGACGAATAGCCTGTGTTGCCTGCCTGACGAGAGTCAGGGCGACAGATGTTTGGAGTGATGGGTGGTACTCGAGGAAGCTACGCTCTTCTCGCGGAATATGTGAGCGGTCGCCATCTTCCTTGAGAGACTGCCTGCTGCGTCTTGCCGCGACAGACTGTGCCATACCCTGATTTCACACACTCTCGCCCTCTCCCACAGCTGCCGACACTGACTTGGTTCTTGTTTAGTGTGTTTTGTGCTCGTCGCGCTGAACTGGACGCGACGAGTGCACGTGTCTGATTTCTGGAGCCAACTCAGCCAAGGACAAATTGGACTTGAACTTGCACCTCCTCTGTACACTCCTCCGTCTGCCCACAGTGGCCTAGCTTAGTCTCTCTCTTATATCTTATCTCTATTCATGGGCGGCTATGACATAGTCAGCGGCATCCTCGGCTGGACCTACTTCGCCGCATGGTCAGTCAGCTTCTACCCACAAGTCCTCCTCAACTTCCAGCGCAAATCAGTCACAGGTGTCTCCATAGACTACCTCTGGCTGAATGTCGCTGGCTTTTGTTGCTACTCGTCTTTTTGTGTCATGTTCCTCGCGTCAGATGACATCAAAGATGCATACAAACAGCGCAATCCAGGGTCTAGCGGTGCGCTTGTTCGCATCAACGATGCAGTCTTTGCATTGCATGCTCTTGTCATTTCATCCATCACGCTCAGTCAAGCCTACCTCTGGGGCTACAAGAAGGATCGCGATCAGCACACAAGTACTATTTGTCGCGGATTCTTGACGGGTGTGATCGTTTCTGCCATTTCTCTTATTTCCATTGCTCAGATGACAGACAAGCTCGAGTGGATAGATGTCCTCTATGGACTCTCCTACTGCAAGCTACTAGTCACCGTGTACAAGTACATGCCGCAACTCTACCTAAATTTCGAACGGAAGAGCACTCGAGGCTTTTCAATTGTCAATGTACTCCTCGACTTTACTGGTGGAGCGTTGTCGTCTCTACGTATGTTGGCTTCTGCTTCTCTTTTGTTCGCTAACAAGTAGAACTCGTCCTTGATTCAGCTGTCTCTGGAGATTGGTCCGCCATCACGGGCGATATCGTCAAGTTTGGTCTCGGCCTCCTATCCATGTTCTTTGATACGTTGTTGATGCTGCAACACTACTGCGTCTACGGCGAAAATCCATTTGCCGACGAAGATGAAGATGCTCCATTGCTACCAGATCCACGCTAGTCCTTCATCACAAGCCCATTTGGCGAATCACCGAGACTGGCATGCAGAAGCGTGGGTCAATGGCTTCTAGGCCATCATAGCCTAATAGACTCAATCCCGTCAACCCAAAACAAGTATGATTGATGTCTGGTACGTCACCAGGCCGATCACTCATACCACCAATCTGCTCATCTTGCGTGGATAAGATGAAGGCGCGTAATTTCTGCTTGTCAATCCAGTCGACGCGATCTAGCATGGCGAGGGCGGAGAGAACCCACCAGGAGTAACAAACATCTTCCAATTTCTCTGGGCGTCCATTGAGACCACCATTCTTGAGCTGTCTCAGAGAAAGCCACCAAGCCGTCCGGTTCTGATCAATACTCTCAAGCTTGCCAAGCAGTGATAAAGTCCCAAGACTGGTGAAGGCGTGTGAGGCATGAGATTCCGCACCGGGCACCATGCCAAAGCCACCATCAAAGTTGCGACACTGAAGGACATATGCAGCGAGTGCTTCTCTATTGAGTTTATCGAGTTTGCCAAGGAGGACAAGACATTGCGTGGCTGCGTAGTTGATGCGCATGTCAACTTCACCCCATACATCCCCTTGTATCGCGCCAGAGGGAAGTTGTAGCTTTGAAATATAGTCACCTGTATGCTCAGCATCGACAAGATGAAGAGCACCTTGCATGGCTAATATCTGAACAGCATGTAGTGTGCAGACAACGTGAGAATCATGACCTGGCGCTGACCCAAAGCCACCATCTGGCTGGCGACACGCCAAGATCTCCTTAATGATTTCGTCTCTGGGAAGTAGATTAGGCCTTCCAAGCAGATGAGCAGCAATCAGGGCCCAGTAGATGCCATTGATGCGGATATATTGTGTGATGAGTGCTTCGAGACAATTTGGATCGAGCCGATAGAGGCGACGAATGAAGCTGATGTGCTTCTTGCGTAGGATGGAGCCATCCAACATACTATATCAAAGTGTTCTATAGAGCTCTGGAGCTGTAAGCAAGCGTCAGGCAAATTAGCACAGGTGATGGACAATGGTCGTAGTTGTCCGTTTGCAGCACACGACAATCTCGCAACAAACAAACTGCTCCGACCAAGGCCCTCGGTGTTGTTCATTAGGACAAAGGGTCCTCTTCTGGCTAAGCTGGATAGCAGATATAGCTGAGTATGAGTCTCAAATACTTTGAAAAGGTGCTACCATCCTCGTATCATTACCTTTCCGGATCAGTCTTTTCAATATACAATCAGCCCGTCCTTGCCAGTGCCATCTTTACTCAAGCCCTCAGGTCTAAGACGAAGCAGAATGATAGACTACTACTCGCTCGACAGTTTAGAGAAAGCTTCCTTCGAAGTGGCATCTTTGGCGGCATGTCGAAGGCCATCAATGTGAGTACCAACTACATGCAAGCCACATGACTAGACTGATACTTCACTAGTCATTACAAGAGCTGCACAAGGTCATGCCTTCGGAGCTGAAAGAACCCGTGAAGCCGATGCACGACAATACACAGAGCATATCAGACCTCCATGCGCAAGGCAGTAGCTTTCTCGCTCAAGTCTACGATGGTGAGCGCGGTGCCAATATCCAGACGGCGCTACAGACCATTTCACCGAGACTTGGACACTATGCGGTTGATCTGGTGTATGGTGGCATCTACTCTGACACGAGCGCGTTGTCGCTCGAAGCTGTATATTCTCAATCAATGAGACGATGGTGACTGACGGATAGGCTTGCGTCTGCATGTTCACGTATAACTTGGCAGTAGATACGCCGAAGCAGGCGATCGGACATATAGAGTCTTCACTGCGACATGGAGCGACAAAGGATGACCTGCTGGAGGTAGGAAAGATGGTGCGTCTCATTGCAGAGATGTACGACGTCAAGCTGAAGCACTGGATGGAGGTATGCACGCTCTCAGTGGGTGAGTATATCGCTGACTGTAGGTCATGGACGCTGTCGAGTCCGGGAGGACGCTTTCTGCAACACCCTACGACATCACCTAGTCACACACAATCATGGTACAGACAACCTTGGCAGACGCGTACTTGCGCATAGCAAACGACGATGATCTTTCGAGTGATGGACTCAACCCACAGACAACGTCCAGCGACAAGCAATCAGACGTGGAGAGGAAGACTGCTCAGCTGCGCGACACATGCATGAAGCTGCTCAAGGCGCTCCAATCCAAGCTCTCCTTCCAAGTCATGGCAGCACAACTCGAGACACTCCCTGCACAACTCGAACGTCATATCGCTTTGCAGACGAAGCTCAAGAAATACCTGTTTCCCGAAGACTTTGACAGTATCGGCACTGAACTCTGGAATCTTGCACACCGTGTCTCCAAGCGCGCAGCAAGCCACGATCAAGCTACCTTATGTCACTGTATGATCATGTATTCGTCACTTGCCACTGACCACAGTACGCTACGCTGCCTTGCTCATGATTGAGCTCGGTCGTTCCTCCGCCAAGGATCTCGGCGGTACAACCAGATTACTTGGCGTGTGTCTCAAAGCTGCGACGCACTGTCAAGCCTCTGGTGTACCTGCGCTGGCACAGAAGGTCGTTGCGAAAGCTTCTATGTTGCAGTCTGCACTGATGAGTCCTGCGATGCGCAAGATGGAGGGATACAGCGCAGTCAAAACCGCTGAGCTTTCTGTGGATCTGTTTGTCACGCGCTACAAGCTGGTATGACCTACAAAGCGTGTATGTGAAAGGCTGACAGACAAGGAAAGAGCACAGAAGAACTTTGATGTCGCAGAGTTTGCGTTGCGTCAGGCGATCAGCGCATCAGAGTTAGCACGGATTGATACAACAAAGTCACTGAGCGTGGCAGAGACCTCCTTCGATCTGGGAACTGAGTGTTTAAGAAGCAATGAACTCGACAAGGCCATTGATTGGCTCTCAGAAACTCACAAAATGATCATATCACAGGAAGAAGAGATGTATGCGGATCTACAAGTCTGCACTATGGAAAACTTGGCGCGCGCTCATCTTCGACGCAACAAGGATGATGACCTGCAGCGTGTACAGATCTTGCTCGACCAAGCGCATGAACATTACCCTGTCGCGTCCTGGCTCTACTGCTTGAAGCTGGAGTTTCTGGCTGTTCGCCACGAAACCAATGAAGCGTTTACCGAAACACTGAATAGCATGATTCGCGTCGTGCAGCTGAATGGAAAGGTCTTCAACGCCATCATGCACAAGATTCATGACTTGCATACGCGAGATATGACTGCGGCTATTCAAGCACTCGATTATCTCATGCCCAAAATTGTCGACACTGGTGAGGTTGAGTGGTTGGAACGCGCTCTCGTAACTCGCATCTGGATCGCTACACAAGTGCCTGAAGACAAGCACTCTGCTGTTCTTGTGACTCTGCAGGATATGCTTGCTCGACTGGAACAGCAATTGACGAGACCTCTGAGCGCAAAAGCCGAGCACGCATGCCTTACAGTGAGTCGTGCTTGTGTGAAAAGCATTGCTGACGATAGTTCCTGTGGAAGACATGCGAGAGCCTTTTTGAGCGCAAGCTATACGCTGCGGCTATGGCGTGGTGTGCGCTTGGTCAAGCAAGCATCTTCAAAACAGTCAGCGATGTGACAAAATCTCGCTTCTTGCGCAAGACTGCAAGTTGTTACCTCGAGCAAGGAGACTACACTAATGCGCTTGCAACCTTGCAACGACTCCCCGCATCTGCATTTGCAACACCAATGACGCGCTACCTTTTGTTTCGTGTTCAACTAAACATGAATGACACTCAAGCGCTCGTTGAGAACCTGAATAAACTCGTGCAGTGTCACAGCTTTGACGTTGCCATCTTGTTTCACTGCGCCAAAGCTGCTGAGCAGATTGGTAACCAAAGGGTTCTCTTAATCATCTTTGAGAAGATTCGCGACCTGGGCAAGCAATCTGAAATGGTCAGAAAGCCAGCGCTATTGCGTAGTATTGTTCGATTGCTGACTGTTCGCCTTGATGCAGAGCCACAGGAGCCCGCTGATGTGCTCAAAGTACTCGATCAATTCCAGGTCGTTGCTTCCATGGTCAAAACTCCAGAGGCATGCATCGCCAATAACTTCAACACGAAAGAGCTGGGATGGTTTTCGCTGGCTGCTCACAATCTTGCAGTCAAAAACATCAAGAACTGGAGTCTCGAGCACTTGACTCAACTCCTGGCGGCCTGTCAAACGGTTGGTACTGTGAAGTGTGATATTGTGCTGATTTTAGATTCTTGAGGCTTACACGCCGTCACCGGATCCACATGTCAATCAAGACGTTGCAGCTCGTCTTGCATTGTGTTCTTATCTGTCTGTCTGTGCTTACTATTTTGCTTCAAGGAGCGAGCAGGATGAAGTCAAAAAGGTATTTATTGCGGCTGCCCACGCTGACTAACATCAGATGGCCTTCTCGCAAAGTATGTGCAAGCAGTCCTCCGTATTTCGTCACGCCCTTGTCCGATGGCAAGCAGCAGATACAAAGGCCCAGCTACCAGATGATTTATGCACAAAGATGGCAACGATCTTGATCTTTGAGTTTGAAGCCCGAATCTATGTGCAAGACTGGCATGAGCTGTCCTCTTTGATTGAACTGGCGAATAAATATGGTATTGCGCAGCAAACACTCGCAGCGATGGCTGATTTGACGTTATCAAGTCGCATGCCAACTGAAACGATGCTCAAGATACTTGACGGAGTATCACAAGCTACTTTAAATTCTCCTGCGATGGACATCAAGAGAGTGGCCAAGTGGTACAGAGTGCTCTTTACTACTGTTCTGAAGCATGATCAGAGCACTGGCCTTCAGTATGCAAGCAAACTGCTGAAGGTGATCCGATCTCATGCATCAACGTATCCATCTGATGAGATACATTGGCTTGCTGGCAAAGCATTCAATCACGCAGTAGATCTCCATGTGGCAGGCCAGACGGATGCTTGCCACAGCTGGTGCGATGTTGCGCTGAGCCTTGCCAATCTGACGAATGACGAGACGCTCAAAGAAACGATCCAGCAGAATTTCCAGCAGCTGCTCAATACAGGCGGCGATACATAGATTGAAAATACATAGGGAGATGAGACATTCTACTTGCGCTGTCGTAACCTTGACATGATTGTAGGCGTTGCGTCCTCTGGTCTGGCAGCTTGTGCCTCAGCCTTGGCAATGATGTCCAGCAGGTTGCGAGTTTCTTTCTTGTTGATGTCGTCTCTACGTTCGAGAATGCCTTCGATGAGCCACGCCGGCACGTCCCAGCATCTAGACTTGAGCATCGCGTAATCCTCCTGAACTGTTTCAGGATCCGTCTGAATGAAAGCAATGACCAATTCAAGTACATCGAATTGAACTTGCAAGTTCTGCAAATCAATGTGCTCAACAAAGAGATTGAAGGCCAGGCCAATCTCCTGTGTCATTTGCTCGAGAACCTTTGGTATTTTGAGCGTGGATTTGTAGTTGAGAGCAAGCGCTTCCATATAGGAGATGAGGAACGCATCGAGAAGCTCATCCAAGAAGAGCTCCATGAGATGCTCGTTGAGATGATCTTTGCAGTCGGCAATGTACTCTCGGTAGGTCGATACAATCAAGCTCATCTGCGATCCACCATACCACTCCTTTGTGAAGAATTTGGCAAAAGTACTGGTCACGTCTTGCGCAATGACACGGTTCAGCGCCTGCAGGCAGGCCTTTGCAACATCCAAAAACCCGTCTGTCGCGGTAGACAGCCCTTCAGCGATATTTGTGGCATATTTCGTCGAAACGAGTGGCGCAATGCGAGCGCTGATGGCTTCACAGTAATCTGCCGATCGAATCTGGTCATTGGCAAGTGCAATGATGTAGTCTGGGAGACCAGGTGGCACTTCATCCGCCTCCTTCCCTGCAGCTGCCTTGTTGACTGCGTCCTGAGCAAGCTTTGTTTCTTGCTGTAGCACACGGATCCAATTCGACTGGGTATCCTTCATGATGCGTACACATTCAGACACGACAGAGGCGAGGACTCTACCCTGGCCAGAGTCTGCCGCGACATCAATCTGTTGTGATACCATTTGAAACATAATGACGGCGCCTTGCATGCCGTAAATTCCATCGGGTGTCATTTCTGGCTGTTCTGTTCTTTCCGTGAAGCTCTTGACTTCAGTCTGCTTCAGGTTCAGCATCCATTCTTCCATTTTGCTGACAATAATCTTGAGGTAGTCTTCAACCAGGTCATTCTCCTTGCCGTCAAGCAAACGAGGCTCGAGCGTCTTAACATCGATGCGGAAGTCCGACTTCATCATAGCTCCGTATAGCTTGACCCATTCGAGCAGCTTAAGGAGCGTGCTGCCATCAGGCTCCAAGGCGAGGACTTTGTTGAGAACGTTGTAAGTCTCCTGATGATAGAAGCCCAGGAAGACATTGAAGATGTCCCAGTCTTTGGGAGTCCGCACTGTGACTTCCTGCTGCACCAGAGCAAGATCCTGAAAGATCCATTCGAGATTCTCAAGAAGCTCTGAGGGATCAGGGAAGGTGCTTGCGCATCCTTCAAAGTCAAGTTTGATAGCAGTGTGTATACTTTCAAGAAACTTTTGCTTGTAGTTGCGCGGAGCGCGCGCATCGCCAGCAATGACCCGGTTCTTGTTGACCCCTACCTTTCGTGAAGATTGGGCATCCTGCAGAATCTTGGAGCGAACATCGCTTACGTCTTCCACGTACACAATCTTGGCGATACGAACGACCAACGAAGGATCACCTTGACGGAGGGTGTCGAGGAGAATAGCAGAAAGTGAGAACAAATGCTCTTCAAACTGTCGCGAAAAGTCTTCGAGAGGTTTGAAGTAGCGCCTGAGGGTATCTTGTACATCTTTCTTCGCAGAAGAAGACTGCCGCACGGCTGTATCGCGAAAATCGAGGAGCTTTGACAATTGAAAGTGCATGGTAAGCAAATTTGAGCTCGAGGCATCTTGTCGATCTTCGTCCAACTGCTGGCGAAGCTCATCGAGCGTCTTACCCAGGTTCTCTAGGCTCTCGACCATTTCGATTGTCTGCACAAAGTTGATGTGACACTTTGAGATTGCATTGATGACCTCAAAGTTTTTGACTAGCGCCTGAGACCCTTGACAGATCTTGTCTACGCGGTCCATCTCTTGCTTAACGCCAGTCATCTCGGCTTGGCCTTGGTTGATAGCTGACAAGCCAGACTGAATCACCTCAAGTTGCGCTTGCACTGCCACATTCAACTGTGCGTCCATAGTAGCCTTTTCGCGCTTGAATCTTTCTATGAGCGCATCGACTTTATCCAGATCCTGTTGTCAGCTGAGGTTCGGGACAGCGGCTTTGAGGAGCGTACATCAGGCTGTTTCAGCAATTCTGATATACGAGCGATCGTATTGTCTGCTTGGATGCTGCCATTCCTGGCGGCAGCTGCAGCTGCCATGTTAAAGTAGATGTGGGACGCGTCTTTCTGAGAGCTAATCTGAGCTAGTTGCAGTGATATTTAGCAGCTTCAACAAGAAGTAAGTGCAAATGAGCAAAGCATGTGTTTACAAGTGGTTTCGTCGCGCGTGGTTGTGCTATGTGATGCGTTTCAAAATCTAGCCGAATCGCCAGACCACCTGGGGAAAGGGTCGACTCGTCGACCTCGAGCTCATCTGCTGGCTGCCACCTTGACGTTCCTTTTAATTGCTTAATTCTAAGCCTGATGCCAAGCTCTGATGCAGGACAAGTATCTAGAGCTAAATAAGGGCTATGTAATTCCCTGAGTTCCTGAGGTGACGACAGCGAATTGAGATCGGTTATGAAGGGGGTGCACCGAGTCAGATCCCAGTCGAGAATTGACTGATACGTACTTTATCTGCATTCGAGCTCTCCTTCCATTCTTGGCCGTATCCTCGTACGACTGCAGCCAGTCTACGCGAACAGGGCGTACGCTACGCCGCTACGGGCATGGCAATTATTGCGGTCTGTGTGCCGGAAAATTGGCTAAAGCGCAAATCTTCCGCTCCCGCGATCCGCTGGTGCGGCGGACCCAATTAATGCCACTGATAGCCTACAGACTAGGCTACAGTAGGTCCGTAAGTCCAGGCCGTAACTCCCAGTGATTGCGTATGCATCGGATGGAGGTCGCGCGCTGGCGGTCTTATCATGTCTGTGCTGAAATGTGATGCCTTAGATGTGTACACTAGGCGAACTGTAGGCTGATGCGAATGTTGTCGCGGTCCGAGCTCCAGCCGCTCACAATGCAGCTTCAACAGCTTGTCTTCGTCGCAAGCTTAGCGCAATAGTAGCTGCCGCTTGGGGATGAGATGAGCCGACAACACAAGTAGAAGCTGTTGTTGCACTGCGTCATTTGACCTACTCGGCTGCGGTACCCCTGAGACACCTCCCAAGCCATATGCCAGGACGTCTTCCTCGAAGGGGTCTTCCACTTGCTAGACGCATATATGGCCATCCAGTGACTGCTTTGGTGCCCTCAAGCTCATTCCCGTGCTCTAGACAATGACTACCAGTTCTACCACAGCTGGTCTAAGCTCTGTTCTGGCAGCATTCGACTTTGCTGCCCAAGCTCGAGCCTGCCATCACCCCACGAAAGCGGATGCCCATAGCCCGAACCCAGCCTCTGACTTCTGACATGTGCCTGCTGTCACTCTCCGTACAGGACCCAGCTTCTCCAGGTTCCGTCAACTGAGTACTTTGACCTTGCGCAAATCAAGAGAAGTCTTGGCATAGCGGCTGCCGAAAACAGCTTTTGCGACAATAGTACAAGAAGCAGTAACGTACTTGAAAGGCATCTTTTGAATCGCATTCTGAACATCTACAACAATCGTTACAAGCAGGCTCTCATCACAGCTACAAGAATGGCCGAAGACAAAGTGAATGGCGCTGGCAAGTACAAGGAGATTCCTGGTACCTACACCAGCGACTTCTTCCTGGGTCGCTCGCAGTTGGATCTCAAGAATCCGCTCAACACTGCCAATCTCTACGGGAAGCTATATGGTGAAATCTTTAGGTATGGAGATTTCTCATAGAAAGGCTTGCGCTAACTGTAGGATCCGCTTGCTAGGTCAACGCAAGACCTTCGTCGGCTCACAGCGAATGGTGAATGCCATCCTGTCAAGACCAGATTGCGAAAAGGCTGTTCACGAGTTTCTGGACATGCTACGTCCTGCAGTCGGCACCGGCCTCTTCACAGCGCGCATTGACGAACCCGAATGGGGCATGGCTCATCGTATTCTGGTGCCAGCGTTTGGTGTCATGTCTGTCAGGGGCATGTGGGACGATATGTCGGAGATTGCTTCAACAATGTTGACGCGTTGGCATTCTCACCAGGGTGAGGTGATTGACTTGCCAGATCAGTTGACAAGACTCACACTGGACACCATTTCGCTTTGTTCTTTCGGCTACCGCTTCAACAGTTTCTACAAGGAGGAGATGCATCCATTTATTGGCGATATGCTCACATTTCTGGGCTTGTCTGGTGAGCGGACGATGCAGCCAGTGAGTCGACCATTCAAGGTCGCCAGTAATTGGCGTCGTCTAGCTGCAGGTGACCGGATGAAGGCTTTCGCTCTACAGATTCTCGAAGACCGTCGAGCCAGTACTGAGAAGCCCAATGACCTAGCGACCCGCATGCTTGACTTTCCAGACCCTGAAACTGGCAAGACGCTGCCTGATGACAATATTGTGGAACAGCTCATCACATTCTTGATCGCTGGACACGAAACGACCTCTGGTTTGCTTTCATTCTGCCTCTATTACATGGTCAAGAACCCGCACACAATGCGCAAAGCTCAGGCTGAGGTGGACGCAATTGGAGATATCACGCTCGATTCATTACAAAGGATGCCATACATCGATGCTTGCCTCAAAGAAGCGCTCCGGCTGCAGCCAACAGCACCAATGATTGGTGTTTGTTGCAAGGGAGAGGTACCATTGCCAGATGGTTACACCATGGAAGCCGGAGAGGAAGTCATGATCAATTTGCATGCCCTACACAATGATCCTGCAGTATGGGAATCGCCAAGTGAGTTCATGCCTGAGCGAATGATGGACGGCAAGTTTGAGGCATTGCCACCAAATTCTTGGAAGCCATTTGGTCACGGCATGCGCGCTTGCATTGGTCGTGCCTTTGCTATTCAAGAAGCAATGCTTGCCGTCGCCAGCATTATTCAAAACTTTGACATTGAATTGGCTGATTCACAGTATGAGCTCAAGGTCAAGTTCACCCTCACCATCAAGCCAGATAATTTGATGGTCAAATTGAAGCGTCGCCAGTCAGGGCCGCCCATCTTGCCGGTTGATTCGAAACACAAGGCGACCAAGCCTAATGCTGCGTCTGAGAAGCCGATTATTGCCACTGAGGTGGATGGCTCTCCGCCAATGCTTGTCCTCTATGGCTCAAACTCTGGATCATGTGAAGCACTAGCCAAGGAAGTCTACTCAGATGCGAATCGTTGGGGTTTCGAGGTTACCTTGGATACACTTGACAGCTGCAGGAAGCTGCCAATCGACCGACCTGTTGTCATTGTCACACCATCGTACGAAGGCAAGCCGGCCGACAATGCCCGTCAGTTTGCTGCGTATCTCGACTCGAAGCCCGACTTGAAAGGTGTGCAATATGCCATCTTTGGTGCTGGCCACCACGACTGGGTCCAGACCTATCAGAAGGTTCCGCGCATGTTTGACGAGCAACTGACAGCGCTTGGTGGTAAGGCGATTGTCCCTCGAGCTGAAGGCGATGTGGCAGGTGACTTCATTGGCGATTTCGAGTCTTGGAAAGCCGATATCGCTGTGCAGCTCCAGAAGGCGACGAGCGGTAGCAGCAAGACTACCAAGGACCGTCCATCCATGTCTCGAGCTGCGTCTCGTGCAGTCTCCCGAGCACCGTCGATGACGGATCTCAAGCAATTCTCCTACGAGCCATTGTCGTCTGGAACGCTCAACTCTGTCGTCAGCGCTGGCTTGGGTGTTGGTACCGTCGTCTCGAACGAAGAGCTCGTTCAGGCAAGTGAGCTTGGCCCTTCCAAACGCCACTTGACCATCACGCTTCCAGAAGACCAACACTATCGCGTCGGCGATTACCTCAGTATCTTGCCAGTCAATCCTGAAGCCAATGTCAAGCGTGTCCTTGCTCATTTCGGTATGAATGAGACGACCAAAGTTCTTGTTCGTGCTCGTGGCCTCGAGAACTCTGCAACATCCCTGCCTGTCCGTGCCTTCGACATCTTACAAACTTCTGTCGAGCTTGCCTCGCCGTTGTCGAAGCGTATGCTTTCCAACCTAGCAGATTTGTGCGAAAATTCAGCGGACAAGGACTTTATCAAGTCATTGGACGGTGATGCCTATCAAGAACAAGTCCTGGACCGCCGCATGTCCACTATTGACTTGCTCGAGCACTGCAAGAGTTGCAAGCTGTCCTTTGACGACTATGTCAAGTCGCTACAGTCTTTACACCAGCGACAGTACTCCATCTCGAGCTCGTCGCTGGTAAACGCAGAGCAAGCGACGCTCACAATCGATATACTGTCTGGTCCTGCGATGTCTGGCACTGGCGACTTTATGGGTGTGACGAGCAACTTCTTGGCTGGTCTCAAGGCCGGTGACAAGATTGCATGCAGCGTTCGAGCTTCAGCCAACTTTAGTCTACCAGAGCGAGTCGAAACACCTGTGGTGATGTTTGCTGCCGGTACGGGTATTGCACCATTCCGTGGATTCATTCAAGAGCGAGCATTTCAAGCGATTGCTGGCCGCAATGTCGGAAAGACTTTGCTGTTTTATGGCTGTCGCACTGAAGAAGACTTCCTGCACAAAGATGAGTTGCAAGATTTGTGCGCAAAGAGTGAGGGTCGGGTGGAAGTGCGGCACTGCTTCTCTCGGGCCACGGACAAGACACAAGGTTGCAAATACGTTCAAGACTTGATACTGAAGCAGCGAGCTGAGGTGTTGGAGCTATTCCAACAAGGTGCTCGCTTCTACACATGTGGGAGTGCTAGCAAATTGGCTCATGGTGTCAGAACGGCTTTTGAGACGATTGTCAAGGAAGCTGAGGATGACAGTGCTGAGCAAAAGCTGGCCAAGGAGGTCTTGGCAGCCTCGGGTACAAACAGATATGCTGTCGATATCTTTGGGTAGGCATGTAGCAGCGTAGCACTACTGCCATTGTCAATCACGCTAGGCTTGCGTATGACTGGCTATACAGGGCTGTGTACCGAATGATGCCCATAGGCCATAAAATCGGCGTCATTCAAGCAGACAGTCTGAAGCAATACACGAGACTCATGACATGAGCTGGATGGTAAGACTGATATTGCCAATTGCCATTGACGGAGGAGCTGCCTCACACGCTAACACATGCATCAGCAAGGAGGCTCAGGACTAAAGATAGTTCACATCGGCGACCATCGGCGACTTGTCGTCCTGTGAAATGGCTTAGCACGGTAGCAATAGTGACCTCCATCAAGGCAAGCTTGCCGCCCATCGTACGAAAGGCTGCTGGCGACAGGTCTTGGCTGTTTTGCGCATGCCAAGCCATGTCCAGAGAGGCTGATGTGAGTCCGACTAGTGCTCAGTGCATCTTCCATGGGCCCAGAGCCCAGACTCGCACTTCGCAGGCGGATCCACAGAAATTGCTGCTCCCACAGACGGACGGACCCGTCTCGCTCTGACTTTGTGCGACTGTGGGGCCGCAAGAGGGCCGACTCTCATGTTTATCAGGCGACAACCCCATCTGTTGTCCTGGCGGTCTTAGTACTTCTTACACATCTTTTGTTTCAACTGTCAGAAGACCGCTTTGCACCCAAAGAACTGCTCCTATCCACATATCACTGCACAACCGCTTGACAGCACCTTTAATCAAAATCATCTGGTATGGTTGCGCCCACTCAGAAGAAGAAGGCAAAGACCAATGGCGCCGTGCGCAAGCCTATCCCTGGTGCGCACATAAGTGATGTTCTTATGGGTCGCTTCAGTGTCAGCATTGACAATCCATTGATTACTACGAGTAATCTACGAAAGCTCTACGGAGAATTATACATGTATGTTTACGACCAAAATTAACCAAGCGCTAACCTTAGGGTCAAAATCGTTGGACTGCAAAAGACGTTTGCTGCATCGCAGCGCATGGCCAATGCAGTCTTGTCTCGACCAGACTGTGTCAAGGCGACGCATGAGTTTCTTCAAGTGCTGAGAGATGGCCAGCCACAATCCGGTCTCTTCACGGCATACAACGATGAAGAAGACTGGGGTATCGCGCACCGTGTACTCATGCCGGTATTTGGTCCTATGGCAGTCCGTGGTATGTGGGATCCTATGGTGGAAATCGCCGCAGTCATGGTCTCGCGCTTCAATGCTCATCAAAATGAGATTATTGACTTGCCCGATCAATTGACTCGACTCACATTGGATACGATTGCGCTTTGCTCGTTCGACTATCGCTTTAATTCGTTCTTCAAGGAGGACATGCATCCCTTCATAGGTGACATGCTCACCTTCCTCAAGCTCTCTGCCGAACGATCTCTCTTGCCTCTAACAGCAAAATTCAAAGTGGCCAAGAACTGGCAGCGTCTCGCAGCTGCAGAGCGTATGCAGCAATTTGGTCTGAGACTCCTCAACGAACGAAGGGCCAGTGGCGAAAGGTATGATGACCTGGCCTCCCGCATGCTGGACGTGGCCGATCCCGAAACTGGCAAGAAGTTGAGCGACGATTCAATTGTTGCTCAATTGGTGACCTTTCTCGTTGCTGGACACGAGACAACATCGGGTCTTTTGTCGTTCTGCTTGTACTACATGATGAAGAATCCCGAAACCATGCGCAAGGCACAAGCTGAGGTGGATGCTTTGGGCCACATCACACTCGATTCTCTTGCCAAAATGCCATACATCGATGCTTGCTTGAAGGAGGCCCTCAGAATGCAACCGACTGCTCCGATGATTGGTGTCTGTTGCAAGGAAGATGTGGAGTTGCCTGAAGGCTACATGCTACCAGCTGGTGACACCATGATGATCGATCTGCACGGCGTCCACAACGACCCTGCAGTCTACGACAACCCAAGCGAGTTCCGACCTGAACGTATGCTCAATGGTGGCTTCGAAGCATTACCTCCCAATTCTTGGAAGCCATTCGGACATGGTATGCGCGCATGTATTGGTCGAGCCTTTGCCTTACAAGAGGCCATGCTGGCCGTTGCGACAATTGTGCAAAACTTTGACCTCGAGCTGGCAGATCCAAACTACAAGTTTAGAGTCAAGTTTACACTGACCATCAAACCGGATGAGCTCAAGGTCAAGCTAAAGCGCAGACAAGCTGGACCTCCCATCATGCCGCTGTGCGTTGGACAAGAAGCGCCTAAGCGCCGTGAAACTGCCAAGGCGAATGGTGGACCTACAACAGGGGCCAAGCCCATGTTGGTCCTCTTTGGCTCCAACTCTGGTGCGTGCGAAGCTCTTTCCAAGGATGTTGCTGCCAGTGCAGCAAACTGGGGATATTCTGCGCAACGAGACACGCTGGATAGCTGTCGTGAGCTGCCCACTGATCGGCCTGTTTTGATTCTCACACCGTCCTACGAAGGCAAGCCAGCAGACAATGCACGGCAATTTGCAGCATACCTCGAATCTGGCCCTGATCTCAAGGGCGTCAAATATGCCATCTTTGGTGCAGGACACTCTGATTGGGCACAAACATATCAAAAGATTCCTCGTACCTTTGACGAGCAAATGAGCAATGGAGGTGCAGAATCACTCATTCCTCGCGCAGAAGGTAATGTCGCTGGCGACTTTGTTGGTGATTTTGACTCGTGGAAGGCAGACTTGGCCGAGGAACTCTCTGATGGTGACGTTACAGCGAGCGAATCAGCCGACTCGAAGCGTTTCATGTATGAGCCCATCTCGTCCAAGACTGCCAACTCAATCGTTGGTGCTGGACTTGGCCTTGGTAAGGTCATCTCGAATGTTGAGCTTGTCAAGGCATCAGAGCTGGGCCCATCGAAGCGACACATCACACTTGAGCTACCAGACCAACAAGAGTACAATGTCGGTGACTATCTTAACATTCTACCCATCAACCCAGATGCGAGCGTGTTGCGCGTTCTGAAGCACTTTGGGATGGATGAAAGTTCCAAGGTCAAGGTGGATGTTGGCGAGGGTGCTACGTCCAAAGTTCTTGCCGTACGTGCATACGACATTCTGCAGACCTCAGTGGAGCTTGCAACGCCAGTGTCGAAGCGCATGCTGTCTCGTCTGGAGGAGAGCTGCGAGGACAAGCAAGACAAGGCGTTCATCAAGTCGCTCAGTGGCGATGCCTACCAGAGCAAGGTCATCAACAAACGTATGTCTGCCATTGACTTGCTCGAACACTGCAAGTCATGTCAAGTGTCCTTTGACGACTATATCAAGTCCTTGCAGTCTATGCATCAACGACAGTACTCCATTTCCAGCTCGCCCATCCCAGAACCGCGGCATGCGACACTGACGATTGATGTACTATCTGGATCTGCATTGAGCGGGACGGGTAACTTCCTTGGCATCACAAGCAACTTCCTCTCTACACTCAAAGCCGGCGATGAAATTTCGTGCAGTGTGAGAAGTTCTTCGAATTTTAGTTTGCCGGAACGAGTGGAGACGCCTATTGTCTTGTTTGCCGCTGGTACAGGTATCGCACCCTTCAGAGGCTTCCTTCAAGAACGGACACTCCAAGTGTTGGCTGGCCGAAAGGTTGGCAAGACAATCTTGTTTTATGGTTGCCGCACAGAAGAAGACTTTTTGCACAAGGAGGAGCTTCAAGGTTTCGCCAAGGAGAGTGGTGGTGTGATTGATGTGCGTCACTGCTACTCTCGCAAACCGACCGAGACGGGAGGTTGCAAGTATGTTCAAGATTTACTGTTGAAGCAGCGCAGTGAGGTTTTGTCGCTATTCAAGCAGGGAGCGCGACTCTACACATGCGGCAGTGCGAGTAAGCTTGCGCATTCGTTGAAGAAGGCTTTCGGCCAGATTGTCGACGAGGCAAAGGAGGGCGAAGAGCGCGAGGCTGCTCAAGAACTGGTTGATGCCATGGGCACAAACAGATACGCGGTAGACATCTTTGGTTAAAGTTATTGCTTATTTCTTGTATGTATGCACGTAGATGGCGTTTGAATACCACTTTGTCCACGATATGAGCGTGGAGAAAAGACCATCTCAGTTGACGAGAAGTCTGAAATACATGTAGACAAGACGCTCGTCTACTTCTTCTCTGGCAGAGAGCCAGCAGGAAGACGGCCTTCGATGTTGGGGTACATGTCATTGGACTGGTTGTCGACACTATTGAGATGTGCCTGCTTGTGAACACCAATCTGGTTGAGCATGTCTTCATCCCTGTCGAGCTGCCTGAAGTGGAAGTAGAAGGCTACACCTCCGACGAAACTCAGAGCACCCATGACAGCGTAGCTTAAGGTTAGCCAAGTCCAAATGATTGAGGCAGTAGACTTACTTGATGACCAAATTAGGGTCAGAACTCAGCGACACGAAGGCCTGTCCCAATGCTGTAGAAATTGCAGAAGTGAACAAGAAGAGCGATGTGACAATAGAACGCATCGACCTAGGCGCCTTGCTGAATGCGTACTCCAGTCCGGTGATCTAAGTAGAAGGGTTAGCATACTTGCTCATCGTATAGTAGAACTGCATACAGATGCGAAAATCTCGGAAAAGGCAATCAACACATAACTTCCAGTTTGGATCCAAACGCTCAGCGGCGATACACAACGAATGGTCTTTGCTGCATCGAGGTAGGGGTTACCTGCGTAGTTGCCACAATTGGAAGTCTTGTAGATGTAGTGTTGCACGACAGCCGCCCAGATCATGGCAGCTGTACCAGTGAAGAAACCGAGGTAGATCTTCTTGATAGGCGAAAGAGGGAAACCGATGCGGGCGAGCCAGGGGTAGAGGAATTGGTCGCAGATGGGGATGAAGATGATGAGGGCGAATGGATCCAAGTTTTGGAGCACATCGTTGGGAACACCATTCAATGTCATTGTAGCGGCTTGGGAAGTCAAGTTCCCGATGATTTGGTTGTACCTAAGCCGTTAGTCAGACCACAGAAGAGAGAGACGTACGTGAGCCACCAGAGTGGGTAGTACATGAAGACCTTGCATGCGGCAATACCGCGCTTCAATTCATCCACAAAGACATCGTCCCATGTCAACCAGCTAGGCATGACCTTGCCTTCACGTTCGTACGTAGAAGGCTTTGCGGCGGCCCAGAAGTCGCCTCGTTGATGGTCCTTGTAGGTGCGAACGGGGTTCAAGTGCCAGCGCCCCTTGGAGGCTGCTTTGATGGCGCGCCATGCAACAGGAACGACGGATCCAGTTGGCTTTTGCACAACCAGGTGCTTTCGGGCGAAAATCAGGACAGCTGGGCAAGCGATGAAGACGAATGTGGGCAGAGCAAAAGCGAGCCAGAAGCCAACATACTTTTCCACATAAACCATACCGAGTTGACCGATGAGAGCGCCGACGTTGATCATCAAGTAGAACCACATGTCTGAAATTAGCAGCTGAGGCAATAAATGCGGGAGGACAAACAAATGCGTGAGTAGGTAGCGACAGGGTCGACAATGACGCGCTCACCTGTCTTGAGAGTCTTGACGTGCACCTTCTCGCGGTACTGCTCAGCAATGAGAGGGGAACAGTTGGATTTGAAACCACCCGTGCCCACGCCCATCACAATGACAGCCAAGCAGAAAACACCGAGGGAAGTGTTGGGTTTCTCAATAACGCTTGGAGCAGCAGATGCAGCCAAGATGGCGTGACCGACCAAAGCGATTGCAATGGAGTACATGATAGTCTTGTATCTGCCAAGATAGCCATCAGCGACCACTGCACCAGCAATGGGCATGACATATGCCCAGAAACTGTTGAACAGGTTGAGCGCGGTGGCGGTCTGCTGACCCAGACCAAGTGCTCCACTCTGGCCATCAGTACCACCGGCACCGGTCCTGGAGCCCATGGGCAAAGGCTGTTGCAAGAAATTACTGATCATGTTAGCAAATCCAAGCTAGAAACATCGTCCAAGATACGTGAAAATGGCTGTCACGCCGTAGTAGCTGAATCGCTCGCACAATTCAACAAAGCCGACGGAGTATGCCTGCCAGGGAATATGGCCTGCGACTTTGCGCAAAGTCTGCAGCTCCTCATCTGTTGGGTGGTCTGGGTGACGGTAGTTGTCGTCATCCTCGGCTTCGTAAGCAACGACACGGTCTGAGTGGTTTGTCGTCGATAGACCCAAGTGCTTCTTTTCTTCAGCCGTGTCGGTTTCTTGGTAAGGCACAATCTGCTCGTGTCCAGCGGCATAGTCGACCTGGTCTGCCATGTGAGCCGCCATGAGGGATAATTCTACCTCTTGGTCTTCTGTAGAACACTGTCTATACTTGCGAGAAGAGCGACTACTGCTTCCGCGTTGATTGTGGAGAAGAAAAGACAGGTTGGGCGGGCCCGACAAAGCTGTTATACAATGTCAGACGAGCACCGTCACGAGCGCGCTAGATAGCGAGACAAATATGGTGCCTGGAAATCTCGCTGCTTTGCAGATCACGCGATGAGTTGCCGACGGATGGCTGCACGAAGTAGGCACAATTAGGCTAGTTCCGAATCATCCGATAGCGCGCACGATTTTGTGTAGATGGCAGATGCGGTCGTCGTCTCTCTTGGCAGTTGCGCCGCTACGAAGATCTGCTTCCCTGGCAGCTCGGCAGAACCGACCGAGTCGCCTGGCCAATGAGAAATTTGGATGGAAACGGCCCCTGCAGCCCTGAAACCTAGGGCGCAACATGTGACTGCTCTATCCACTACAACATAGAGAGAATACATAAATCAAGGCGATCTTAGCGAAGGTCCTTGATTGAGGCTTATCTACTATCTCGTCGTTGTGAACCTTGACATGTTTCGTGATATATCATATACGGCAATGATACATGCCACCTCAACGATGCTATCTGTAGACGGACGTCGGAAGTGCTGCTTGATATGCTCCGCGATGGCTCGTATGCTCACGCTATACTGACATGGGTTATGCACAAAGACGAAGTAAACTCCCTGTTGACAACAGAGACAACTGTACAACTCTACTGCAATTTCTACCTCTAACCCGACTCTCGACCAACAATTACAGCTTTTCCAGGATGCTCAACAGCAGTCAGCAGATTATTCCCCCAAACCAACAACTTCCTGAGTGCGCTGGCATGTTCCACAATTCGCCTCACCACCAAATCATCCACAGCTCTGATCCAACTGACGTCCAAAACCTCACAAACAGGCAATGCCTGAGATCCAGCAAGCATCAGACAACCCTTCTCGGTAACTGTATCCCATGAATTCAACACAAGCTTTTGCAACGTCCCTCCGGAATGTCGTAGAATAGCAGCAACAGCTTCATCACCCAACGCAACGCATCGCTCCAGTGCAAGCTCACGCAAACCCGTATGACCTTGCCAATTTGAGAAGAGGGCAACACAGCCGTCATTGGTGAAGAGGTCACATTCATTGAGTCGTAGAATCTTCAAGTATTTGCAGTGTTTCCCAATACTCGCAAGCGTTGCATCCGTGAGTGACGTCAAGCCTGACAGGTCTAGCAACTCAAGGTTTGGATCAGCAGAGAGAATCAAGTCAATAGCTTCATCAGTCACTTCAAGACCTGCATGACTGAGATTGAGGTGCGTAAGTTTTGAGAGACCAGCAAGGAGTGTGATGGCTTCGGATCCGAGATGCGTGAGTCGTTTGAGTGTCAAGACGCGCAGGTCGGGACAATGCTTGACGAGCTGCTGCATTGTTTCGTGGTCAAAGCGTGAGGTATCGCTGACTTCGAATTCCACCAGATTTGGTGTTTCTTGAAAGACCTTCTGCCAGCAACCTGTTGTGATGAGGAAAGCACCAAAGAGGGAAAGCGCTGTGAGGTTGCCCAAGCGAGCAATGAGAGACATGAGTACAGCATCTGTAATTTGTCCACAGAGATGCAAACGCAAAGCCTTGAGACGCGGACAGAATTGGCCAATTTGAGCCATCGTGTCTTTATGGAGATTGGCACAATCGTACAGCGACAACGTCGTCAAGCTAGCATCCAAAAACAAGGGCAGCGTCTGTGCAGAGAGCTGACGATTCTTGCAAATGATTTGACAAATCTTGTCGAGGTTGAAGTGGCCAATATCACCGAGCGCTTCGACTTGGTCAATATGCTTTGCAATCGTGCGAATCGACAAGTCTTGTAGTTTGGGAACAAGGAAACGTTCGCCGTCCAATGTTGCTTTTGCACGCTTCTTGCGAGCAATAGGGGCAGCTCTGGGTTTTGTGGGTGTAGTGAGTGCCTTACCACAGGGCATGCATAGTAAGCCTGAGCCAGAGGTGGCTTCTTTGTTATACGGCGTCACTGTGAAGCGAGTATTGCACTCTGCACAAAACTCAATTTGTCCTGCACTAGGACGTGGAAGTGGTTCATAATCACCATCGCTCTCATCATCACTGACTTGGTTCTTCTTGCGCTTCTTTGAGGATTTCCTGGTTGCAACTGCTGTGGGAGGCGTTGACGCTTCAGCAGTAGATTCTAGCTCTGCTTGTTCCTCAAGCGTTCCAGTCGTCTCTTCGCCAATAGCAGGGACAGGCACAGCGGGACGAGGTCGGTTACGTCCTTGGTTCTCAATGCGGATGCCTCGTGAGCGTAGAAACTCTGTCAACGCAGACTTTGGTTAGACTGGTACTAGATAGAAGAGATGACATACGTTGGGTCCTCTGACATTGCTCCTGGCGTTATTCCTGGACATGGTTGTGCTTGCTAGTCTGCTGCTTATTTCTTGAGGTCGCGTCTCTGCCTTTTTCTCGCCACCAAATTCGCGTGAGAGGGCGGAGAAGAAGAAGTGGCGACCGTTGCATTCTGACCACATAATAGGGGAATAGTAGTCAAGAGTACTATAGAGGGAGAGAGAAGGAGAGACAAGATGCCCCCAAAGAAGGCAGCCAGGAAAGTAGTCGTCAGGGTCAAGCGTACTGCACACACTCAACAGCAGCAGCAGCAGCAGCAGCAGCAGCAGCAGCAGCAGCAGCAGGACACCGAGGACGAGGAAGCACGCATCGCAGCCAACCAGCTCAAACGTGAACACCCCTCAGACGACGAGCTAGACCTCTTCTCCTCACCCTCAAAGGACACTCCAGAAACTGCAGGAACACCTGCAAGGAAGCGTGTCAAGACTGCATTGAGCACACCTGCTCTCTCCATTAACATGGTGAGTCCTACAGACACGCGAGAGACATCACAATCACCAGAGACACCTGCCAGTAGTGTTGGATCACCCCTCATGTCCAGTGCCACCCGTGCCAAGCGTGCCACTCGAGCAAAAATCCAGTATACCGGTGACAGTGCAGGAGATGAGTCAGAGGGTGATGACGCTGCTTACAAAGAGGAAGACGAACAAAGTGTTCTGTCTGAGCTCGAGTCTGTCCATTCTGAGCACGAGGAAGTCGCGTCACCTGAAGCTGAAGTTATTGTAGCGCAGGTTCGACGACGCCAACGCAATCCGCGCAATTCACAGGGACCCTCACAGTATGAAAAGACTGCCAAGAAACTCATCCTGCATCACCCAGAGCTCGAGAATGTCTGGGATGACTTGAGTGAGCGTCGAGTGCCAGAGCCAAGGAAAGCAGCACAACCAGACATCTTGACATTGCAACTCCTGCCGTTTCAGCTAGAAGGTCTCAATTGGTTGCGTCTCCAAGAAGCTTCTGACTTCAAAGGTGGCATTCTAGCAGATGAAATGGGTATGCACCTTCTTTCCCCTTCTTTGTGTACTAACGGCAGGTATGGGCAAGACTATCCAAACTGTGGCACTGCTTGCAACAGACACAACACGCGTCGAAGGCGAAGCAGGCACACTAGTGATCGCACCCGCAGTCGCCATCATCCAGTGGAAGAATGAGATTGAAAAGTACACCAACAATGCCCTCTCCGTCCATATCTACCACGGCAGCGCACGCAGTACCGATAAGACGAAGCTGATGTCCTACGACGTGGTATTGACGACTTACAATCTACTCGAATCTGCCTATCGCAAGCAGCAGTTCGGATTCAAGCGAAAGACAGGACTTGTCAAGGAAAAGAGTTTCTTGCATGCAATTGAGTGGCATCGTGTTGTACTGGATGAAGCGCACTCCATCAAGGATCGTGCTTGTAACACTGCAAAAGCCATCTTCGCCCTTGAGACTGACCGACGTCTCTGTCTCTCTGGCACGCCCTTGCAGAACCGTGTCGGCGAGTTGTTTTCTTTGCTGCGCTTTTTGAAGGCAGACCCATTCTCCTACTATTACTGCAAGAATTGTCCCTGCAAGAGTCTTTCGTGGAAGTTCAAAGATAATCGCCAGTGTGATGATTGCGGTCATTCTCCCATGGTGCACACCAATTGGTTCAATCATGAGCTCCTCAAACCCATTCAACGATTCGGCGCACAAGGTGAGGGACGTGTGGCATTCTCCAAGATCCACCAGCTCCTCGGCAAACTCATGCTGCGTCGTACAAAAGTCGAGCGAGCGGATGATATGGGTCTACCACCGCGCGTTGAGATGATTCGTCGTGACATGTTCAACCCTGAAGAACTTGACTTGTATGAATCATTGTATACCGGTGCAAAACGTCAGTTCAGTGGGTATGTCGCTCAGGGAGTCTTGCTCAATTCCTACGCCAATATCTTTCAGCTCATCACTCGACTTCGACAAATGGCAGATCATCCAGACTTGGTGTTGCGTCGATTGGATCTGCAAGCTGAAAACAACCTGGTGTGTCGACTTTGCGATGATGTTGCTGAAGATTGCATTGCTGCCAAGTGTCGGCATCAGTTTTGTCGATCCTGCGTCACAGAGTACATGGATACGTGTATGGCTGTGCCGGAATGTCCGGTATGCAATACGGCGCTGTCTATTGATTTGTCGGCACCAGCCATGGACCCACCAACGGAGGAACGACTACAAAAGAGCAACATCCTGAATCGCATCGACATGACTAAATGGAAGTCGTCTACCAAGATTGAAGCGCTTGTCGAGGAATTATACAAGTTGCGCTCCAACAACTCCTCCACCAAGTCGATTGTCTTTTCTCAATTCACGTCATTTTTGGAGTTGATTGCGTTTCGTTTGCGAAAGGCAGGTTTCAATACGTGCAAGTTGGATGGTAGCATGACACCCGAACAGCGCAACAACACCATCATCAAGTTCTCCAATGACATTCAATTTCCAGTCTTTCTCGTTTCATTGAAAGCAGGTGGTGTGGCACTCAACTTGACGGAAGCGTCGACTGTGTTTTTGGTGGATTCTTGGTGGAGTCCTAGTGCTGAGTGGCAGGCAGCCGATCGTATTCATCGATTGGGTCAGTATCGACCTGTTGCTATTAAACGCATTGTCATTGCTAATAGTATCGAGGAGAGGATTGTTGAGTTGCAAGCAAAGAAGGTGAATATGATCAAATCAACGCTCGATCATGATGCAACGAGTCTTGATCGGCTTAATCAAGAGGACATGGAGTTTTTGTTTACATAGATTTTAGGCTTCAGCGACTAGTGTTTGACTTTACTTCACGGCCTCATTGTGCATTTGATTGAGGCGAAGGACGTCGCAATCTTGCCATCCAAGACGACTTCGTATCAACACTCAAGACAAATTTGACAGATCAAAGGTATAGCGTACGAGCACAGATGTCATGATATCAACTACAAGACTAAGCCTTGTATAGAGTGTCCAAAAAGCCCTCCGCCAAGCTCGATACGATACTCTTGTCTGGTAATGAGCCAGCACCATAGAGCATTGCCATGGTTCCGGCATCACCACCACCACCTTCTGCAACGACCTCTGCTACAGCCGTCTTCAAATCTGCAATCAGCGTATCGACCATCGTATTGGTCGATAAGCGCGTACATGCAATATGCAGCGCTGGTGGCAATTGCAAACCATTCAAATGCCAACCAGCCTTTGACATCTTATCACCGACCGAGTAGATGTTAATGACATCCGACGTGAAACTCACCACCGACACCGCTGGTCTCCCCAAAATCTTGAGTTCCGGAATCTCACTCTCGATACGAGATTGGATTTTTGCGCGAGCACCGACAATTTCTCGACAACTTTGCAGGTAACCATCATCGCCCATGGAGACCATCGCTGTCCAACAAGCAGCAATGAGTGCACCAGGTCGAGAGCCTGCAATGGTAGGTGAGGCATAGACGCCACCTGGCCAATTAGGTTGAATGAAGTATTGATGTCTCCTCATACTGCGACTCTTGTACATGATGGCAGAGGTTCCTTTGCTTGACATGAAGTACTTGTGGAAATCTGCACTGATGGAGGTGACACCAGGCAATCTGAAATCAAACAACGGTGCATAGAATCCAGCACGCTCGAGGAATGGTACCAAGACGGAACCGAGACAGGCATCCACGTGAAGTGGCACGTTGTACTTGACTGCCAGTGCCGAGAGGCCCGTTATATCGTCAATGATGCCATGCGGGAAATTGGGTGCAGAACCAGCAATCAAGATGGTGTTGCTGTTGATGTAGCGTTCCACTTTCCTCAAGTCGATTTGGTAGGTGACGGGATCGACGTCAATGTGATGAATCTGAATACCAAAGTACTCGGCAGCTTTGTCAAAGGCAGCATGAATCGTCACCGGCACAACCATTTCTGGCTTCTTGATGCCCTTCTTCATGCGACCATATTCGCGCGCTGCTTTACAGGCCATCAGGATACTCTCCGTACCGCCAGAGGTTGTGGTGCCACCAGCTCCCTCGGGCGCATGGAATAGGTTGAGGGCCATTTGTACCACTTCAGCCTCCATCTTGCGTACACCAGGGAAGATATCTGGATGCAGTGGATTTGCCAAGGAGAACAAGGCATATGCTTCCGTCAGCAATTCACTCAATTCCTTGCCACCGTGATAAATGGCTCCAGAGACTTTGCCACCTTCCCAATCAACCTCATCGCCCATCTTGTGCAGCTTTTGTAATTCAGCGCGTACAGCTTCTTTCGAGAGACCTTTTGCCGGTAAATTTTGATAGCGAACCGTTCCAGCAGGCGGCAGCATCTTTTCATCGAGTTGCGCCAAGGCATCTGAGACTTGTTTTTGTACTTTTTGCTTGATACCCGGTAGCTTGATGAATGTAGAGAACAAGATACGCCGGATATAGGTGTATGTGCGTAATGCGGTGCCGCGGAGGCCATACATACGCAGCCGCGTTGCTAGCATGAGGGTGATCCGCAGGACGGTGTAGAGCGTGAAGATATTGCGTAGTGTTTGGACATGGAATGAGACGGACCTGTAGTTTCGCCTGACTGCAGTGAGCATCTTGGCCATGGTTGAGGATGCGTTGCTCGAGAATGCGCAAGTCACCTGTGTCTCCTTATGTAGGATCCGGCTGTTTGGTGGTTTACTTGGCAGATGGAAACTAAACTCGAGGGCAAATTCAGCTCAATATCCTCGACCAGTATACAGTAATAGCAGTATTCAGCATGGCTCGACCTAGAGCAGTCTAGAGATGCGCAGATGCAGCCTCCAACGCTCCACTGATGACACCCATCGCAGCCAAGACTTTCTCCTCCTCAAAGCGTCTACCCACTAACTGCAATCCCACTGGCAAACCTCGACTTTCATTCAAGTCATACGAATCCCACACCTCCTTCTCCACACCTGCCTGGGGAACATACCCACTAGGCTCAGCATCCTTCGGTTGTACTTGCGTCACTGGGAATGCACAGCCAGGGTAATCGACTAGATTCCAAACACTCGTGTAGGTCCAATACTTGCTGGTCCCTAATTTGGGAGCAGGTCCAGGACCCACAGGGCACAGCAAGACGTCAATCTTTGTACCGTGCTTTTCTTCCTGTGCGAGCCAATGGCGCGCATAGGCCGTTCGGTATCTGTTACGGCGAAGGAGAATCTCATTGGACTCATCGTGTGAATGTTCTTTGACGCCTGGTTGCGTGAAGAGCCATTTCGTCAAGGGCAGCATCTCCTCACCACCATCCTTGAAGAGTGCAAACTCATCGAGTGCACCATTCGTGTAGTATAACTGCGAAATGATATCCCACGACTCGGCATGGTTGTATGGCTCGAAATCAACCGTCTTGATACCAATCCCACGCATGGCATCGGTGACTTTGTCCATGGCTCGTTGAATAGGCGGTAGGGGTTTCACAACACCATCTGACCAAATAATACCCACAGTCAGTGTCTCCTTCGTCAATTCTGGCATATGCCAAGGGATCGGTACGAGTGAGGGTTCTTTCCGCCAAGGTTCAGCATCCACCAACACCCGCATAAACAAAATCAAATCTTCCAATGAATGACACAACGGTCCATTCGTCGCTAGGATTGTTTCTCGACCACGATGCAAACCTTTTGTACCACCAGGGATTCGATTGCATGATGGCTTGAATCCCCACAATCCCGTGAGACTGGCAGGATTACGAATACTACCACCAATGTCACCGCCAACACCTAGAGGACTGCCGCGTAAGGCGAGCAACGCCGATTCACCACCTGACGAGCCGCCGGGAGTGTGGTTGCGGTTATAGGGGTTTGTAGTGTGGCCATAGATGTTGCTATTGGTTTCGAGATGCATCACGGCTTGTGGTTGTGTTGTTCTGCAAAAGGGAACGCAGCCGAGCATTACAAGCGTCTCGTAGATGAGCGAGTCGGCAGGCTCAATGTTGTCGAGCCACGCAACGTACGATGAATGCACAATCTTGTCCTTGATGAGGATGTGTTCCTTGAACGAGACTGGCAGGCCGTGTAAAGGCCCAGAAAGCTTTCCAGTCATCTTGTACTCGTGGTCTAGCTTCTTTGCTCGTAACAATGCTTCATCCGCCATGATTTCCGTACAGCAATTGACGAGCTGCGTGGCAATGGAGGCACGCTTGATGAAGGCAAGGGTCACTTCCTCCGATGTCAAATCACCGCGTGCAATGAGACGCAACAAGGCACTTGCATCGTAATTCTCGGTGATTTTGAGTTCCTTATCAGTCAATAAGCCGCTGCCTTTGGGTACGTCGAGGACATTCTGCACACTCTCGGCAGGGGGAGCAGAGAGTCTTGCATAGTCGGGAATGGATTTGTCCCTGCGTTCTAGGGTCTCTTTGATTTTGGCAGCATGATCAACCATCTTGTTCAGTGAAGGGTGCTAGTTTATCGCGAGGTCCAGGTCGTCATTGCCTGTCCCTGGTTTTCCTCCCTCCCGTGTGGAGTCGCCGGGTCTGCCGAATTCTCACGCTGCGGCCCATCTGTTGCTCTATGGACTCCGATGCAAGGAGTTTCTGAGTCAATGCACAGACTGCAAGGCATCTGATGGCATTCGCAGTCTTCCAGAGAGCCTTCCGTCGTATTCGCAATGCTTCGCATACCTTCCCTGTTGTCTAATCATACTGCTGGAATTTGGATGAGCTGGCTGGTATGATGCCGCATCTGGGCGCCTGCCAGAAATTCAATTTTGGGTCGCGCAAGGATGGATGACTGGCATCACGATGGCAGCTACATGAGAGTCTTCCTTACTCAGGCTCTCGCAGCATTGTGTCTATGAGTCATGTAGAAAGCCAGTATGAGTCTGTATGAGCACTCGTATAGCTACAGAGGCCATGTCAAAGGGGGGCAATCAGACACATTTTTGGCAGGTTGAAAGAGACGCGCTGAGACCTGCCACAGAACAAACAAGCTGAAACAAAGCAAACCTGGGAAGGGCCCGGAAGCAGCCTTCCATGCTCAGGCTTCAGTCCTGAATAGCTACAAAGACCCTGGCGGCTGCCTCGACCTCTGCTTCCTCTACTCATCACCTCCTCACACTCGTTCATCCTCTCACAGTCTTTACGCTTCTTTTGTGCAACAATGCGCTCAACGCTTGTCTTCGCATGTCTTGCCATCACCACCTCGGCGCACATGCAACTCAAGCAGCCGCTTCCCATCAATTCAAAGTTTGACACGAGCAATACAAACCCAGATTACTCCATGACTGCACCGCTGAATGGCGATGGTAGCAATTTTCCCTGTAAGGGCTATCTCAATAGTCCCGGTAAACACATCACAGCACAGTACACGGCAGGCGGCCAATACAGTATTGCTTTGGAGGGAACAGCAACGCATGAAGGTGGATCTTGTCAATTGTCTCTGTCGTACGATAATGGCGCCACGTTCAAAGTCATTCACAGTATTGTTGGTGGCTGCCCACTGCAATCTGGTTACAACTTCACAATGCCTGCTGGCTTACCAGCTGGGAATAATGTCGTCTTTTCATGGACATGGTTCAATAAAGTTGGCAATCGAGAGATGTATCAGAATTGTGCACTTGTCAATATTCAAGGATCCGGTACATCACAATTCGTGGCTGCACTGCCAGCTATGCAGATTGCAAATGTCGGCAAAGGTTGTGCAACAATAGAGGGAACAGAAGTCGTCTTTCCAAACCCGGGACAGAGTATTCAATTTGGTGGATCGTACAGCAATGGTCAGATCAGCGGCTTGTCTGGCGCAGGTTTGACAGGCGCTTGTGGTGCTTCCAGCGGCAGCAATACACCAGTTGCATCAGCACCCATCGTAGCACCCTCTCAACCACCTCTCCCAAACACAGCTACATCGACCCCCAAAGCAGTATCGCTGACGACAAACGCCGCCGCAGCCGTAGCTACAGGCGCGTGCACCGGCAATGCCATTCAATGCTTAACAGCCACGACATGGGCACAATGTGCAAATGGTGCCTATATCAACATGGGTGCCGTTGCACCGGGAACAGTCTGTCTCAGGGGTCAAATGGTTCTTGCAACACCAGACAATGTCGCTGCTGCAGGACCAGCACCTTCCGCTACACTGGGCACGACGCGTTCGAGCGTGACGACAACGACTCGTGCTGCTGTTCGTCCGGGACCTGTGACAACGGCTGTGCAGACAGCTTGTCGAGTGGTGAAGCGTGCGTATCGTCCGGAATGTGAGGCATTTGCAACACGTTGTGAGGATGGTGGTCTGATGATGTGTGATGCGGGTTCTTGGCAAGCACAGGGACTGCCGTGTTCGGCTGAGCGTAAGCGGGAGCAGGTGGTAGGATGTACAGGGACGGGCATTATTTGTGTGGAGGAGGGAGCAGCATTCACGATGTGTGGTGCGGGAGGCAGGATTGCTGTGCCTGAGGGGACACGTTGCATGATGAGCGGGATTGGGGGTGGTCTTGTTGCTATGGGCTTGCTATAGACGTTTTTAGTCTGTATACGATATACTGTACTGTACAATATATACTGTATCCTGTATAAATGTTGACACGCCCATCTGGTTGCTGATTCTGCCTCCGTCCAGCTACGTCATCCGGCCCTCTCCAAAGTGTCGTCAGCTCGCCCACGAGTATAAAGCAGCTGCCCCCAATCCCCCTCCCTATAAAGACCCCCCCAAGCAACCCAACTCACGAAAAATGGTCTCATCCAACTACACATCTCTCTCGTCCTCCCCAAACATCAGCATGCCTGTCTCTTACTTCCCTTCCGTCCGCCCAGCAGCGCTTGCCGTATGTCACATCTCCCACTTCTCACCCAAGAATAGCGACTAACCAGCCAGGTCGGCACCATCTACGAGCACGTCACATCTGCTCTCGTCTACGGACCTCTCTTTGGCCAGACATGGCAAAAAGTCATGAACTCAGACAAGAACTCTGAGTTCTGGCAGTCCAAGGAGGCTCAGTCCGCCGTCACCATGTACGGTACCTCCCTCGTGTCTTCCGGTATCCAGACCTACTGCATCTCGGCTCTTCTTCAGCTCACAGGCACCGTCTCTTACAAGGGCGCCGCATACCTCGGTCTCGTTGTCTTTGGCGCAACTTCCATCCCAGGCGTCATTTCTTCCACATTCACCGAGAAGCGACCATTGGAGTATGTTGCCATCAAGAGCATCACTGCTCTTTTGCAAACTTCCGGTCTCGCTGTCGTTTTGACTGCCTTTGGCCACCGTCGTGACCTCCTCTCGTAAATCAATCCAAACCTACGAGACTGCAGGTAGTCAATGATGCAATGCAAGATGCAAGATAGTTGCCCTCATATCGGGCCTTTATAATGTAAACAAAAACCACTCCTCAAAATCTCTGTCTATTTGCCACGTAACCGACATGTCTTCCCAGTCGTTGCTGTTGCTACTCAGCTCACAGCTACGTATGACGGAGCATGCAACAGCGCTCGCACTCTGCTACTTGCACAAGCTCCAAAAGCACCATACAAGCGCATCGGAGCGTCTACTTGACGATGCTACTGCTGCACTTGCTTGTCTCTCGCTCGCTTCAAAGATGGCTGAGCAACCAAGACGCCTGAGTGAGATTCTCCTCCCTGCACACACGTATGCGTTTGTGTCATTATGAACAAAAGCAATGGACTTGACTGACGTGCTAGTCATCTACAGCCAGACAAAGCACCATTGACCATTCCATCAACGGAATACGATACACTCCGTGCATCCCTCGTCAATGCTGAACTCCTGCTACTCCGAGTCATTCAATTTGATTGTCGACAAGCAACACCGTTTGAGTTTCTACCAAGATTATTGAAGCGTGCCGTCTTGTTTGAGACGACACACGCACCGAAGCAGCGTGGTGAAGGGACGTGTCGTGCCGAGGAAACACCACTTGGCTTACTAGCACGCACACTATGTCTTGAAGGGTACGTCTTTTATCCTATGCGAAGCAGAAACATACAAGGCATGCGCTGACACGATAGATTGCAATCACGACAGGTTGCATTGTTCTTTACAGCCAAGACAATTGCTGCTGCTGCCATCTTGCGAGCACTAGGTCGTATGCATATTGATCTCGTTCATGGCAGTCGTGACCCACGAGCTCAGATGGCGTTTGTTGCTGATGCGTGTAAGCTTGACCTCATCGACGTTCAAGAATGTGTGGAGGCATTCCCTTGAGAGCAGTGGCAGGTGGGCGTCGAATCTCAGATTTGATGCTCTCATCCTCGATACACGACGCACCTTGAAGACTTCCTATTTCATGACGACCACTGTCTTCGGCATCTTGACGCCCTGTTGCAAACACCTTGGTCCCTGGGAAGTGAGAGAATCCAACATTTGGCAGATGTGTTCGTGTCTCTAGCGTCAAGGGTCTACAGGCGATGCATTGAGAAATTCCGTCAGAGCCGCTGCAGCTGCATGAACGCATTGCAAAGCAGCGGAAAAGGCCCAATGCTCATCTACTTCGAATGTCGCTATCCTGATTTCATTACTACGAAGTAGGGTCCTTCTCGATGGCAGTTTAACGCTTTGCGACTATTGGGACAGCTTCAAGGAGCTGCTACAAGACATCTTGTCGTAAGAAGAGGCGACTTGGAGGCTGAATCACTACCGGAGGTGATAAATGCGACGATGGCACAACGCATAGGGTCGCATTGCTACCGCGTCGTGTCGAGTACCCCTGAATTTGCGGTGATATCTCAGAATTTCGCTTCTCTTCCGCGATGGCACGACGTATGGAGTCATGTCGCCAACGGTCGTTTGACGCTATCCCTGACTCGGCAATGCCATTTATTCTCTACTGATTGCTCCAGAGGTCCGCCACAAGTCGACTTTACCTCAGAAAAAATCAAGTTCTCTGCACGTCACAATGCGCAACGACTGCAACAAGCTCATTTTGCTCTTGGTACTGCTCTGTGGATTGGTTTCTGCGACGAGGACGTCAGGATCGAGCTCCAAGCAAGGTCAGCAGAATGGCCCGCAAGAACAGAAGGAGCCCGCCAGCAAGAAACAAAGGTACTCGAACCCCGAAGCCAGTCTGAAGGCCCGACAGGAGTGTCATCACGTCAAATTCTTCTACGGCGCTTTTGTCAGAAACGAAGAAGCTCTTTATGTGTTTAGCGAAAAACTGAAGCATAAGATTCGACAGGACGATGTAAGGCCAGTTGGCCCGTTTGCATCACCTCTACTGCCAGAGCCACCGCTGTTTCCGATGGACTTGACCATATGCAACGAGACCTGCGCAATCAAAGTTCAACAATTTGGACGAACTCTCAAGAGCTTTATCTCAGAAGGGACTGGTAAATCTATTGCCCGGCATTGTTGGAATAGCGTACAAATGTCTTTGTCTCACCGAGAAATCACTCTGTATGATTGCGGACCTGCATGCGAATATCGGATCCCTTCTCTGTGTCAATGCTCATTCACACTTGAGATCTATTCAAAGTATAAGAAGTCCATCACGGATCTCAGGTCAGAAATGACGACAGGCGAGGTACGTGGTGGTGGGCGAAAACCTCCAGACAGTCCTCTAGTCAAGTGCGAGTCGGGGCGTTTTTCGAAGGCAATTATCGAAAATATCGTGATCGGCCAACACTGGCGCCTTTTGGGAGTCGAAGAAGTCAAAGACGTACCATGTCGGAAGTCTTCTACTAGGCCTCCATCTGACTTCAGGGTTCCTCCCGAAACGTGGTGTCGTTGTAACAATTTGGACCGTAACAAGCAGCGACAGGATTGCGACCATGAAAATGTAGAATGTTGGAGGGAATTTTGGGTAGGCCGCGAAAAAAGAGTGGAGCGAGTTTCTCCAGCGGAAGTGATCTCTGCTGCTGCAATCGCAAACGACGAATTTGACCAGAAGTCTTGGCAGAGGATGTTGCTAGGTTTGAACCTTAATGAACTTGTCGAACGTGCGGCTTCGTCTGAAGAGAGGACTGAGGAATTGCGTTGATTGTTTCCAAAAGCTTTAGCTAAATTGCCTGATATTGTCGACGTAGTGCGAGTTTCTTGATCAGCTGCTGAGTAGCGACATGTTTCCCGTGTCCACAGGTCAATCAGAATCCTTCGGCGTCGTAGCCGAAAAGGCTGAGTGCGTCGTACTGCAGTACACATCATCATGTTCATCGAACGCCTGAACGACTGTCCAGGGCAGTTGTAGTTCATTGATTAGTCAACGCATCTCAAGGCATGTGAAACGGGAAATCATCTTCCTCACGCATTATCGAGCATCTCAAGCACCAGATATTCAACAGTCTGCCACCGTCGCGTACTTAAATAGTGTCGCAAGTGTGCAAATATCCAGAGATCAAAAGCATCATCCGCATCCTCAAGATTTTGGTCGACAGTCGAACACGTTCGTGTGCGAAGCCAGTTCTATGGGGATAGCGAGATGTGCAGCAGCAGCAGCAGCAGCAGCAGCAGCAGCGGCAGCAGCAGCAGCAGCAGCAGCAGCAGCAGCAGCAGCAGCAGACTGATGCTCTTGTGTAATGGATCATCACCTAGATCCTTACATCTCGTTCTTGATACACGACGCATCTAGAAGACTCTCTGTTCCATGAGGGCGAATATGACGAGCACTGGCTTCTCATCCGAAGCCCCAGTAGTCTACATTTGCCAGGTCCCAGGCATCAGGATGTACCCTTGCAAACACCTTTGCACCTGTTCAGAAAATCCAACGTCGAGAAGTTGTGTTCGTGTTTCTAGTGTCGAGAGTTTACTTGCGATACATTCATATATATGCGTCAGAGCTGCTGCAGATGCATGAAAGCATTGCAAAGCAGTGGAGAAAGCTCAGCATTCATCTTTTATTCTTGGATTTTGTCGTCCTGATCTCATTGCTATGACGAAGGTCCTTCCTGACAACAGTCCCATGCTTCGCGACTATGGAACTTGAATGGAATGGAACAGTTAAGAGACTCTTGTCAGTGAGAAGAGGAGACTTGGAGGCTGATTGACCATCTGAGGTCATCACTGATCACGATGTCACGACGTAAGGGGTTGTATTGCTAATTTGCTAGCGTGTCATTCGACAGCACCCCTGAATTTGCGGTCAAATTTCAGAATTTTGCTTCTCTTCCACAATGGCGCGACGCATGGGTCATGTTGCTAGCGTGTTCTTTGACGTCGCCCCTGACTCGGCTGTGATATTTATTCTCTACTGATTGCTCCAGAGATCTGACCACTAGTAGACTTTGCTCCACAAAGGCACCTTCTTTGTACGTCGCAATGCGTATCGGCTGTGAGAAGCTCAGTTTGCTCCTGCTGCTCATATGCGTGTTGGTTTCTGCGATGAAGACGTCAGGCCCGAGCTCCAAACAACGTCAGCGGGACGCTCCGCATGAGCAGGCTGAGCAGGTCAGCAAAAAGCCAAAAAACACATTCCCCAAAGGCGGTCTGAGGGCTACACAGGAGTGCCATCACGTCAAAATCACCTACCGCAGTATAGTCAACAATGACGAAGCTAAATTTGTGTATAAGCAAAAATTGGAACACAGGGTTCAGCAAAGAATCGGGATACCACTTGGCCCTTTTGACAACCCTCCACCGCCACCGCCGCTTGTGATGGACTGGACCTTATGCAACGAAACCTGCACAATCAAGATTCGACAATTTGGACGAACTCTCAGGAGCTGGGTATCAGGGGCTGGAGAAGGTCTTGCTCGGCATTGTTGGAATAGTGGACAACTGGCTTTGTCCCACAGAGAAATCACTCTGGTCGATTGCGGACCTGGATGCGACCAGCCAATTCCACCTTTGTGTCAATGCGCATTTGCTCTTGAGGTCTATTCCAAATATAAGAAGTCCACAAAGGAAATCGGGTTGGAAATGGACCCAAGCGAGAGACCTTCATGGTGGAAACCATCCCCGAGTCCTCTGGCCATTTGCGACTTATTTCATTTTTCGTTGGAAATCATCCGAAGTGTTGTAATCAACCAAGGCTGGTTCGTATGGGATGGCGAAGAAGTCGAGAGCTCAGTACCATGTCGGAAGTCAAAAGGGCCCCCAAGCAACTTGGTCGTCCCCCCCGAAACGTGGTGTCGTTGCAACAACGTCAAGCATAACGAGCAGCGACAGGATTGCGATCATTGGAATGTAGAATGTTGGAGGGAAGACCTCCAAGGAAGAGTGGTGCCGGTTTCTCCAGCGGAAGTCATCTCTGCTGCTGCAATCGCAAATGACGAATTTGATCTTGAGTCTTGGCAGAGGGTGTTGCCAGGTTTGAACCTTAATGAACGTGTCGAGCGTTAGGGCTTTGTCTGAGGAGAAAACCCAGCGATTACGTTGATTGTTTCCAAAAGCCTTAGCTAAATTGCCTGATATTGTCGACGTAGTGCGAGATTCTTGATCAGCTGCTGAGTAGCGACATGTTTCCCGTGTCCACAGGTCAGTCAGAATCTTTCGGCGTCGTAGCCGAAAGGGCTGAAGTGCTTGATACTGCAAAACACATCATAATGTTCATCGAGCGCCTGAACGACTGTCTAGGGCAATTGTGGTCCATTGACTAGTCAACGCATCCCAAGGCATTGCGAAACGGGAATCTTCCGAACGCATTACCGAGCGTGTATCTCAAGCTCCAGATGTTCAGCAGATTGCCACCGTCGCTTGGAATCGTGTAGCAACTAGCAAATGTGCAAAGACTCAAAGCCAGGCTTTGAGCACCTTTCAAGCTTGCAGTGCAGACTTGTCATAGTGACAGTGTGAGAATGGATCAGTTGTCAATCAGCAGTCCGACGTGTAGCCAATTCTGTGGAGGTAGTGGGATGCGCAGCGTCAGAAGCAGTAGGCTGCCAGCAACGTCTCGTGAGTCGTGCACGGTGTGGTTGAGCCCAAGCCGACACCGACCTTGACACTTTCAACGTCCAAGTTGCGATACATCGATTCGTTTGATTGCTGATGCATATCTAGGTATGCATACAAGCGTTCAGCGCGCTCATTGAGTAGTAACAGGCGACATCGCACTAATGCATCCCAATTATACAGTAGCTTTCTTCGTGCATAGACCAGGCTGCCTAGAATAGTATTCGTGACTTGCATACGTCACAAGTAGTATTGCATCATGACAGATCAGTTGAGTCTAGAAAGTCGAGACCGGTCGACACCAGGCTGTTTCATGCTGTACAGGCTGTACTCAGTGTACTGCGTAACTTGCAGTGTACATGTGCATGGGCCGGGCTGACATGGAGCCATCGCGCCACTCCAATGCAGTAGCTAAGTGAATCATTGATGCGCCTGAGCCTTAATCAGATCAGTCAGATCAAGCAGGGAGCTGAGCAGTGAGCAGTCGTCATTGACATCAAGTAGTAGATCAGCAGTCTGACATAGTTCCGAGTTCCGACTCCACGCCGAGTCCCCGGTCACGGTGACGGACTGACGGTGTCGTCGCCTGTCGGGCTCTCAGACGGGGAGTGCGCCTGTTCAGTGTTGAGTGTTTGTGGGCGGTGCAGCTGCTGATCGCTTGTCAGATCTGGCCTCCAACTTCAGGAATTCTGTGTGATGAAAAATGCTCAGCCCAGATGCCAAAAGCACGCTTCTCTCTTTGCACTGCCGCACTCGACGCACGCATCAGTTTCTTGCGTTTCTGACTGGACAGAAGAACATGCTCAAAGACCTTTCCCAAGCGCATCTGCCCAAGCGGCTGTATCTGTAAGCCATTTAGCAGGGCATCAAACATTGTCGGTGACCCAATATAGCAGCACCGCAGCAGATAATCGTCTGTTGCAGAGTGCGCATTGCCGCATGACGAGACCATCAGCTGCACTGTGACACTGTCATCTGTAGGCTGATCAGCCGCCGCGGATGAATGCTCGTTGGAATGAACACGTTCGGGAGTTTGGAATAAGCTGTAGCACACACTTGGGCGTTGCTGCTCAAATAGCCCAATGCATCATGAATCAGGAACGACGAACGTGTCGACAACTTGTCAACAACGCCCGAGGAATGACGCACCAAGCCTCAGCCCCAGCTCTAAAGCCTCTAATGGGACAGATACATGCTCCAGTGCCCGGCACGCCGGAAAGCGGACGAGACTATAAAGCTACTGCACCTCGCTCGGAGAATACTCTGTATTAACGTTCGCTCTCATCAACAACACCAGAGATGGTCTTCACTATTCTCCTCCAGGCACTTGTCGCCTCTGTCGCCGCCAACCCAGTTGCAGAGCTTGAGAAGCGTCAAGTACCTGTCCTTCCAGATGGCAGCACGACGCTCGCTCAAAGGGCTACCTTCTTCTGCCCTCCAGGTATCGATGCTACCATCGCCCTCAACCAGCCTGGATCTGAGGCAGGTCTCAGATTCTGCTCCAACCTCGACCGTTGGAGCCCAGCAACTCTCTACAGCAGCCAGGTCCTCGCCAACGTCGGCCCCGGTCAAATTCGCACCGCTGCTATCCGTTGTGCTGCTGCATGTGTCAACCAGTGCCAGACATTCTCCGTCGCGGCTTCAACGCCCGGCAATATCACTCACTTTGGCTGCAACTTGTACAACGCAACAGTGGCATTCCGCGGCAACACCAACGGTGGTCTCTTCTACGCTAAGCAGCCTATTGCCGGTGCATTGTGTGCCGCTGCCCCTGTTGCACCAGCTCAGTCTGGCGTCGTGACGCGTACTACTACTGTCGTCTCGACCATCACCTCGGTTGTCGCACCTGGCGCCACGTTTGTCAATGCAGTCACCTCGTTCATCAACGGAGCTAGCCCCACCACAGTCATCTTTGCCGCTCCGGTTGCTATCCAGAGTGTTGGACCTGCTGCAGTCATTATCAACGGCCAGCCCGGCTCCGTTGTTGTCACGACCATCACCAACAACGTCGTCGTTGTCGTCACCGTCATCATCACACCTTCCGGCACCACCACTTCTCCTGCGCCCTCCGCTTCTGCTTCGATTTCACCTGTCAACACATTCCAGTGCCCAGCCAACATTGCTGCCAACTACGCAGACACCACCAACCCCTCTTCGTCCTACGCTCTGCGATTCTGCTCCAACACTCAGCGATGGAGCCCAGCAGACTTGTTCAACAGCACTCAGATCCCTGGCGCTACATACGCCTCAGCTGCACAGACTTGCTCCATTCGCTGCTCTGGCGCTGGCTTGAACCCCGCCGGCCAACCTCTTTGTGCCACTTTCTCCGTGGCTCCTACTACGCCCGGTGGCAGCACCTTTGGCTGCAACCTGTACAACGCTGCAAATGTCTTCAACGGCCCTACCAACGGCGGTCTCTTCTTCCAGCGTGTGGCAGCTGCTTACATCTCGCCTGCTCAGGCAGACCAGTGCATTGGTTCTCTCCCACAAGTTACAGGCGGTACCTCATCCACCTACAACCGTATCTTCTGCTCGCGCACTGAGCGTTGGGCTCCTGCAACGCTCTTTGATGCTTCTGTTCAAACTGGTTCCGGCAGCCCTGCCAGTGTTGAGGCCGTCCAGAAGTGTGCCAACCGTTGTGCTACATTTGCACAGTGTTTGACCTTCTCAACGACATACACCTCGGCTAACCCACCCATCGCTGACTCTGGCTTGCCCGTGCAGTTCAACTGTAACTTGTACAATGCTACAAGCCGTGTGCTTGGCAACACACAGGGCGGTGCATTCTACCAGATTGTGACGGCATCCAACGCAACCATGGTCGTCAAGCGTTCTTTCTAAGTGGAGATGCTCATGATGCAACAAGTACTTAATTGTCATTGAAAAACAGTGTGTCTATATTAATACCTCATCAATTGCAAAGCGTTCTTGTGACCTGTGTGCTGCAGTAGGTGTAGAGCAGTTGTATGATCTTTGAAGGAGTGCCGTCCGAAGCATCAAGGTCGTAGAGATGGAAGAATAGTGATGTGAACATGATTAAACTAGCTAGCGTACTTGACTACGATAAGCCCATCTAATGACTACCATCATCCTCGAAACCCGTCTCCTTCTCGCGACGAGCAGGGCGCGAGCTTCGGCCAACACGACCATGCTCTGACCAAGGGAATGGCAACAAAGGCACAAGCATAAACTTGAAGCTATTTTGCTTGTCTTGAATACCAGAGAGTGCGTTGATCCATGCGAGTGCTGCAGCGAGAATACCAAAGTATCCACCAGCTTTGAGACAATCGGCATAGTTGTCATCGCCCTGCGCTTCACGGAAGTAACCAATGGCAAGCATGATGAATGCCAAATCCAAAGTGAAGAAGAGGAGGAAGAAGGCAACGGTTGAGCGTAGCGTACAAATCAACAACAGGAACGTGAAGACTGCCCAGCAAATCAGGTAGATGCCGACAGCATCTGCGAATCTTCCCGAAGTAGCGGTTGTGTCGTATGCCTCTTCAATGTTGAAGAAGGGGATGAAGATGACACCGAAGGAGAGCCAGAAACCACCGTATGAGCTGAGAGCGACACCGGCAAAGGTGTTGCCGCATGCAAACTCCCACATACCAGCAAGAAGCTGCACAAGACCTCCGTAAAAGAGTGCAAGACCAATGACAATATTGGGGGTTGCAAGTTGTCGTGCGGACACGTTGACGAGCGAGAGCACCATTGTTGTCAGGGCAAATGCAGAGAGACCCAAGGGAGATGGGTTACCAAAGTCCCTGAATCGCTTGTGAGGCTCAATGGCCAAAGTACCTGCACTGGGTCCCAAAATGGTGCTAACGGTGTTGAGACGCTCAAGGTCATAGTTGTTCAGACCTCGTGTGTCAACGCTTGATCCAGTGTTGACATAGGTAGCTGGGTTATATTGGTTTGCCGTGGTTGTCCCTGCAATGGGTGCTGCTACTGGTGCGCTGCTCATGCTTGCTGACAATGACAGAGTCTATGTTATGTAGGTTGTCAAAGGGAAAAGAGGAAAGGAGCAGGAGCAAAGGTCTTTATTTGCTGCGGGTCAGCAGCTAGCGAACCCGGGGTCGGACTTTTCGGAGGGTCAGATGATGAGCCATGTCTTTGACGCTGCAGCCGGCCCAGTTGAACTGCTCTGTAAGCCGCGTAGACTGCGTGCTGCAGTGCGTAGTGTCCTGAAAGCTGAGCGACGTCATTGAGGTTGAGGCAGCCACCAGTGCACCACGTTCCCGCAACTTCGGACTTTCAAATCCCGCGAATGAGCAACAAAAGGCGAGCCGTGACGTCAACCGGCAACGGCCAGCATAGAGCGAACCCGTCTATAGCACATCACCTGCTCGTCGTAGAATGACAAGGCTATAGCAAGTAGATAGCCTTTCACAGGACAGCCGGGATTTGAGTCCAGCGTTCCTCTGAAGGTTTGTCCCCGTGGGGTAACGTTGTCATATCTGCGGATCTGCCTTCCATGTTGCAGATCTTGGCGTCCGGCTTTTAGGGCGAACGATGACATATTTCTCAACTCTCTGAGTCTCTGCTTCTGCGTATCGCTGCAGGAGCTGCAGCAAACAGCGTTGAACTGATCAAGGCTTATCTGCATGATTGTTCATAGAATTCCCAGTCATAGAAGCACAATTAGATTTCCGATTTGATCAAGTGCAGACATTGAGTTCGTGACTGTCTTCAGCTTGTACGGCCTTGGAACCATAAAGTACCCTTGTATCCCGGCGCCTGAGACAGGAAAGAGGGATTAGGTATGTCCATGTCAGTAGGAGCTCAGTAATCACACGATGAGAAGCAGCATGGCAGCTCTGCGAGTGACAGATCACTGCAGTCTCGCGACCCTGTCACAATGAGTGAGCTAGACTTTGGCCATGCGCTACGAGGACAGCACTGTCACTGCAGGCTACTTACCCTTGAGCGAGTTCAGTGAGCATGATCTCGAATTGAGACCAAGAAAAGACACACAAAAGTCACAGACACCGAGACATGCGCCTTCAAGTCTAGCCTGCAGCAGGCATGTCAACACGAAAAGTAGTCTACGCAGTCCAGGCTGACTATGCTGAAGTACCGAGTCTTGGCCTCGTAAGTTGGTTCGGCTAAATTGGATGCTGGGGCGCAGTCTCCACTCTGCGTCACTGCGACCCAGGACATACCCAGCCAGCTCTACACTCTTCCTTCCTCCCCTCATCCTACATCTTCAATCATGGGACTCGCAAATAAGATCCAGTCAGCAGGCGGCGCCGCACCACCAGCACCAGGTGGGTTTGGCGGTCAGGCACCTCCTCCTCAAGCAGGTGGTCGCCCACCGTACCCAGTCGCTGGCGGTCAACCTCCCCAGCAGGCACAGGGATACCCACCTCAGGCAAACCAGGCGAATAGGCCTCAAGGTTATGCTGCAAACCAACCCTCGGCGAATCCTTTCGCCGCAGGTGACCGACAGCAGCCACAGCAGCAGGGCCAGTATGGTCAACCTCCTCAGCAGGGACAGTATGGTCAACCGCCTCAGCAGCAGGGTCAGTATGGCCAACAACCTCCTCATGGACAACCTCAACAAGGTCAATATGGCCAGCCGCAGCAACAGCAACAGCAGCATGGTCAGTATGGACAGCAGCCACCACAGCAACAAGGTCAATATGGCCAGCAACCAGGTGGCTATGGTCAACAGCCTCCTCAACAATCCTTTGGTGCACCAGCAGGTGCTCCACCAGGTGGTGGTGCAGGCGGCTCCATGATTCGTGAAAACTTGCAACGCATCATTCGTGAGAACCAGCTTGAATCATTCTACCAGGGTCCCCGCTTTGAACAAGTTGTTCAGCGTGTTGAGCGCATTGACTTCCGCAAGTTGGGCGCAGAGTGGGAGATTCCACATGAAATTGCTACGGATCTCGCTGCACTTGCGTTGTATGACATTGTCCTCTACTGCGATGATTCCGGATCCATGCGCGCTGAAGAGAATGGCGAGCGTATCGATGATCTCAAGCTCATCTTGGAACGCGCAGCAGGTGTCTCGACCCTGTTCGATGACGATGGCATTTCTGTTCGTTTCATGAACTCTCAGTGCGAAGGTAATGGTATCCGCAGTGCTCAGGAAGCACAGCAGTTATTGCAGCAAGTGCGATTCAGTGGTATCACGCCACTGGCTACATCGTTGGACCGTAAGGTGTTGCAGCCTATGGTCATCGGTCCTGCACGTAACCGTCAGTTGCAGAAGCCTGTACTTGTATTGGTCATCACGGATGGTGAGCCTGTGGGTGAGCCCAAGGATCTCATTCGTCAAGTGATTGTTGGTAGCACCAACCAAGCTGCTCAGATGGGCCTCCCTGGTGCTGTACGATTCCAATTTTGTCAAGTGGGTAAGGACATGAAGGCACAGCGCTTCTTGGGAGAGTTGGACTCAGACCCTGTTGTGGGTAGCAAGATCGATGCAATCAGCTACTTTGAGATGGAGCAAGAAGAGATGGCGCGCAAGGGCGTCAATTTGACGGTTGGCTTGTATCTTGTCAAGCTGCTTGTTGGTGCTATTGACAAGTCGTATGATGAGCAGGATGAAGCTTGAGCTTCGTCTTTACCTCTGTATCTTAGGATCTCTATGTTCTAGCTTAATGTATTCGAAGCAATACTTGGCTGACTCAGCGTCTGTGGTGTTGCCTACTGCGAACGCAAGTGCAAACCCAACCAGCTGCAGTCTTCGAGAACCATCCAGTTCGACAAATCCTGACGTGCATGCACAATAGAGGCAGGCTCTCTATGAAAGTGGAAGGAGTACATCTTAGCTCTTCATGTCAGGGCATATCAGTGAGCCGGGAGCCATGCTCCCGCTCTCATCTGCCATAGGTCGGTCAACTTCTTCATGTGCCAAGTCAACTTCACGCTACCGTGCTGTCTTTTCTTCAAGCTAGTCCGAATGAGGATAATGCTACATCTAAAGCCAGCGGTCACCTCACTAGCTGGACCCCGAGACCTCGTCTGGCACGTCCCTTTTCGAACGTGAGCCATTCTTTGGACCGTGTCTGCAAATGAGCATGCCTGGGTATTCGTCTCCGCATGGCAACAGGCGACTTGGTCGCGACCTCGGACGGCCTACTGCCAAAGTCTTTGAGCTATCAGGACCCCCGAGAGCCTTTGCCCATCGCGATCTGCATCGGACCTGGCTTTCGGGAATTGGCCGCAGTGCGCCTTTCAATTCTCAGATGGTGCAAGATGGTGCAATTCACAGCACAAGTTTCAGGACACCCACCAGGCACCATGCAGCAATGATGACACCTTCAGATGCAACGCGAGTGTCATTCGACAGATCCGACCTACTACAACACTGGAAACCAAGTTTTCTTTTTGCCAGTTGCCATACTTGCTCAAGATGACTACGGGACCTGCTTGCATCTTGCGAGCCATCAAGAGTCACTACCAGCTCACGCACGACTACCCGCATCCCATTGCATCTGCAGACGAAGTTCTCATCCACATTGAGGCAATTGGGCTGAATCCAATCGGTCAGTAGCTTGTCTTGACGAAGAAAATCCACTAACAAAATAGACTGGAAGTCCAATGCTTACGGCTTTGGTGTCTACTCCTTCCCCTGGATCAATGGCAGAGAAGCAGCTGGTACAGTTCTTGCTATTGGCACAAATGTTGGCACGAATCGTGTTGCCGTGGGCGACCGTGTTCTCGTGGCTTCCTCAAACTACCGGGATTGTCGCAGCTCGTCCTTTCAAGAACGATGCGTTGCCTTGCCGGAGAATATTGCGCGCATCCCAGACTATATGTCTTTTGAAGAAGCAGCTACGTTGGGCGTTGGCTTGATTGCCGGTGCCGCTGCGCTGTTCGACAACTTCAAGCTGCCTTTTACAAAACCCAGCCAAACGCCTCAAGAAACATTGCTCATCTGGGGCGGAGCCTCGACTGCTGGTCTTGTGGCTTTGCAACTTGCCAAGCAAGCAGGTTTACGTGTCCTCACCGTCTCATCCACCAAAAACTTCTCCTATCTCATTCAATATGGTGCTGATTTGACGCTCGACCGCCATACGCCAGAACAGGTGGTTGAAGTGGCTCATCGGTATGGTGTACGCTATGCAATCGACTGTGTGGGTGCGGAAACCACTGCATTTGCTGCACGCGCCGTTGCACCGCTTGGTGGGACCGTTGTGGGTCTTGTCAAGCTTCCAAGTCAAGAGAATTTACCTGCTGGTGTCACGGCAGAGACGATCTTGATCAAGCGGTTCCATGAAGATCGGGTATATGGCGATACTTTGATGCGGTTGACTGAAGAGCTCTTGAAGCAAGGCAAGCTCCGTGCTCCTCGCATCAGACTCGTCTCTGGTGGCTTGGCAGGTATTCCACAGGGTCTACAACTACTCCAGGACAACCAAATTTCTGGGGAAAAGGTGGTTGTCAAGGTATCTGAAACTCCGCGGCCTGCCCAAGCAAGTAGCCATGTTGGGTCTGCTTCTGGAACGACTGCAGTGGCGCGATCACGGCCAGGCACACCAAAAGTAGAACATGTTCAACGACAGAGTCTGACTGTTTAGATGATATTTAGATTACTTTCAATGCTATTCTGATGGAGCATTTTCCTATCAATCCATATCAACACACATACACTAATGGTCAAACGAGTCGTGCAAAGGGAAGAAAACTTCTAAGAATGGGAGAGCTAACTACTGTCATCTACGTGTACCAGGTAGGCTTTGGCAATTCGCCTGTGAGCACATATCGGCCCACCTCCACCTTCTTGTACGCAATAGGGTCGTGCAATGTGTGTGTGCGCAGATTCCTCCAGAACCTGTCCAAGCCAACTGAGTTGGCTGTAGCGCGTGCTCCAGTCAGCTCAAAGACCTTGTTAGTCAAATACAGGCCATGGTCGACGATCGAGAGCTTTGCTGTAGCAACATCCACAGCAACCTGAGCACGCTGCTCAGCCGTGACAGACTCTCGTGGTGCATGGGCAAGCGCAGCAATTTGCTTTCCGGTATCATCAATGAGTGCTTCAGCCGCTCGCAGAGTCGCATACAGTTGGCCATAATTTTCTTGCAAGTACCACTCATCGACGGCCTTGTCGTGACCCAACCCACCGCAGTCTTTGGGCCACGCGCGTGTCTTGGTGGCAGAGTAATTGCGAGCAAATTCGAGCGCTCCCTGAGCGATACCAAGGTACTTGTTGGTAAAGTTGAGTTGGATGATTGGCAAAGTAAGTGAGTGGTAGGGAATTGCTTCATATTTCTTGGTGTATGCACTCCAACCAGCAGCACTCTTCCAAGGAGTGCGGACATTGTCAATGACAACACCGCCAGACTCTGTAAGACGCTGGCCAAGATTATCCCAGTCTCCCTTGAATTGAATGCCAGGCTGTCGAGTGGGCACAAAGGCAAAGATGTGATCCTCAGTGCCTTCCAAGACACCTTCCAACACAGTGATATCTGAGATGCGACCGCCAGTGCTGAAGCTCTTGACGCCAGAGAAGCTAATCTCTGAGCCAAGGTCTTTGATCTTGAGATCCGAATCGCGCGGATTGACAGCACCGCCAAAGAAGGACTTGTTGCGGACTTCATTCTCGATGAACTCAAAGTACTCTGCGTCGTTGAAGAGGACACGAGCATGCCAGAACCACACAAGATGATAGCCAAGCAGCTGTCCAATCGAACCATCTGCCTTGGAAACCTCGCGGATGAGTTTGTATGCAATATCCCATGTTCCTTCGGCACCACCAAACTGCTTAGGCCCAAGAAAAGTAACGAGGCCAGATTCCTTGAGCAGTTGCACCTCGCGCTCAGGAATTGCTTGAGCTTGTTCACGCTCGACGGCATCAATGGCAAGGATATCACCCACTTGCTTAGCGCGTGCAATCCATTCGGTTGGCGAAGAAGGCTGCTGCCCCTTTTGCCATTGGCTTATTGCTTCTTGCGTAGCTTGCTGAGCAGAGACTTTGTTGCCGTTTGATGCACTGATTCCAGGCATGATGGGATGAACTTTCAGAGAAGATATGAGCTACACTGACCGTGTTTTAATCAGTAATGCTCGAGCAAGCGCGCCATGTCAAGGAGCGATGGTGTCAACACCCTCGCAAGCCCCTGTAAGCGTGATTGCGGATCGAGCGCAAGTGTCAAGAGCGCGCATCGATCACACGAGATGTAGCATGTCACATCAATTGCTAGCCGCGGAAGATGTGGAGAGGTGAGGAAATGGCGTGCGCACAACAGTCAATTGAATGATCTGCGAAAGTTATCGCGATATACCCGAGCAGATGTCGTCTTTCAACGTTCAGTTGACACCACTTGCCAGGAACGTGAAGCTCTCTAGCGCAAGCAAGGCGTCATCTTCATGTGCCCCCAGGCGATCTAGTATATATGGCACACGCCCGCATGTACCACCTGAACGAAGCCAATACCCGAAACACAATCATGCCCAGTGTCGCTTCGCAAAAGAAGCAGCTCATTCTCAATGCCTTTGACATGGCATGCATTGGCCACCAGAGTCCTGGTCAATGGCGCAAGCCGGGTGACAAGTCTCCCAACTACAAGGATCTAGAGTACTGGACAGAGCTGGCGCAGCTGCTCGAAAGAGGGAAGATTCATGGCATCTTCCTTGCCGATGTCTTGGGCTCGTACGATATTTATCAAGGTTCGACACTCGTGACAGTATTCAACAGTGCTAACAATAGGCAACATCAACCCAGCAATCCAATCGGCGGCTCAATTCCCAGTGAATGATCCAGCTTATTCGATCCCGGCCATGGCGGTTGTGACCAAACATCTGGGTTTTGCAGTCACTTCGTCCACGACTTACGCACAGCCTTTCGATCTAGCACGCCGCTTCTCAACACTGGACCATTTGACGAAGGGCCGTATCGCTTGGAATGTTGTGACCTCTTACCTCGACTCGGCCGCTCGAAATCTCGGCTTGGGAGACAAGCAGATTGCACATGACAAGCGTTACGAGATGGCTGACGAGTACATGACTGTTGTGTACAAGCTGTGGGAGCAGTCGTGGGATGAAGATGCTGTTGTCAAGGATGCCGAGCACGATATATTTACCGATCCCTCCAAGGTGCACCGCATCAACCATGAGGGACAGTACTTCAAGGTGCCTGGCCCGCATCTCTGTGAGCCTTCGCCACAACGTACGCCGGTCATTTACCAAGCTGGTACGTCAGGACCTGGCAAGAACTTTGCAGCAAAACACGCAGAGGCCATCTTTGTGTCCGGCAACACACCTGAAGATCTTCGGCCGTCTGTGGATGATGTTCGCGCTCTCGCAGCGAAGCAAGGCCGAGACCCAAAGTCAATCAAGGTCATTACGCTTTTGGGAACAATCATTGGAGATACCGAAGAAGAAGCACAAGCAAAGTATGCCGACTTCCAAAAGTATGCTAGCGAAACAGGAGCTTTGGCGTTGTTTGGTGGTTGGACTGGAGTGGATTTGTCAAAATACCCTATTGATGAAGAACTCAAATTGTCCGCCGCAGGATCGAACGCCATCCAGTCAGCTCTTGAGAGATGGTCAAAGGCTGCTCCTGGCGTTGAGAAATGGACACCTCGAACGGTGGGCAAGCATATTGCAATCGGAGGTCTTGGTCCAGTTGCTGTTGGTACAGCATCCTCTGTAGCTGACCAGCTCGAACGATGGGTCGAAATTGCTGACGTCGATGGCTTCAACTTGTCTTATGTGGCAGCACCGGGGACCTTCGAAGATGTGGTCAACAAGCTAGTTCCAGAGTTGCAACGACGCGGCATATTCCACACAGAGTATGAAGGCAGCACCATGCGTGAAGGCATCAACCAAAATGCAGGAAGCGGTAGATTGAATGCAGACCATCCAGCACATCGTATTATCTCGGACAGGATTCCGGATCCTGTCTCAGAATAGTAGAACATAGTAAGCAGGCCATGGAAGCAAAATAGACTTCTGGCGCGTCGTTGAATCTGGCTGGTCTGCTCCATCTGAGAGCGCCACACGTCCCCCGCAAACGCAACTCGCGATGTGATTGAGCCAACGTGCGCCGGCTCTCATCTTTGCGCATACTCTACGATGGGAGGCGCTACTAGACGGGAGTGTCCAAGCTCTTCGCAGCCATATGCGCGATACGGTGGTCGTATCCGAGGTCCCGAGATCAGGCACATCGACACAGACCGTCTTGACCAGTTCCGTTCCACCGGCGAGTTCAGGGACGTCAACTTAATGTCTATGATGGAACACGGGCGCGTTGACGACACCAAATTTCTATCGCTTGAAGTGTATTCTCCGTCAAATTTAGAGCGCCCGCTCTTCAAGGATGCTGTCAAGAATCAATTCTGTCCAGCCAAGAAGGGGCAGTCTTTTGGTCCATCCTGGAGCACGCACTGGTTTCGCGTCACAATCCATCAGGTGCCAGAAGAGTGGAAGAAGCTTGAAAGGATCCAGCTAGAATTCGATCTGCCAGAAGCGATGGTCTATAGCGAGGATGGGGAGCCCTTACAAGGCCTGACTGGCGGCAGTGAAGCTCGAAGAGTGGATTTCATCCTTACTGATGGAGCAAGATCGAAGAAGACGGTCTACTACATTGAGGCAGCGATGAATGGGCTCTCAGGTCTGGGACAAGGTAGTTCAATCCAACCTCCAGACCAGAATCGATATTTTACGCTTGACTCGGCAGATCTAGTGGCTCCCAACATGACGGCCGTATGAGACTGAAGCGCCTGAAAATAGCAAAGCTAACTCCAGGTCCGTTTGTCTTATGATTTCTGGATTCTAAAAGACCTGGCCAGGGAACTACCCCAGAACGGCTTTGAATCGCATGAAGCGCTCGCAGCAGCAACTAAAATCATGAACACCTTTCAGCGTGGCGATCAGGCAAGCCTGGACGCATGCAGAAAGATTGCAGACAAGGTTCTTGGGCCGCAACGTGATTCGGCAGCGGTCTACAAGCCCGATGACAGCGTCTACGTTACTGCTATTGGCAATTGTCACATCGATACGTAAGCTGTCAGCAACCATCTGGCGAATCTAATGCACAGTGCATGGCTTTGGCCCTTTGCAGAAACACGTCGCAAGATTGGACGTTCATGGGCATCTCAAATTGACTTGATGGAACGCTACCCAGAGCATGTCTTTGCTTGTTCACAGGCACAGCAGTTCAAATGGATGCAGCAAGACTACCCAAAGTTGGCCAACAAGATTGCACGCAAGATCAAGGATGGTCAATTTGAGCCCATCGGTGGTTCTTGGGTCGAGATGGATAGCAACTTACCATCTGGTGAGTCGCTTGTCCGCCAGTTTCTTTTCGGCCAACGCTTGTATGAGAAGCAGTGTGGTAGGCGCTGTAAGGTTGCATGGCTACCAGACAGCTTCGGCTACTCGAGTCAGTTTCCGCAGCTTGCTCGTCTTGCTGGCATGGATTACTTCTTCACACAGAAGCTCTCTTGGTAGGGTGGCACCTCATCAATCAAGAACTAACATTAGGAACAACATCAACACCTTTCCCAATACAACCATGAACTGGCAAGCCCTTGACGGCACTCAGATCCTGACGCATATGACTCCAAACGAAACTTACACATCGAATGCTGATCTTGGTGACGTTATCCGATCACAGAGCCAGCACAAGTCTTTGACTGAAGCCAAAGATTCATTGCTGGTCTTTGGATTTGGCGATGGCGGCGGTGGGCCACACAAGGACATGTTTGAGAAGCTACGTCGATGTCGTGGTGCTGCCAATACGAATGCACCTTCTCTGCCCAAAATCAAGTTCAACACAGTGGAACGCTTCTTCAGTGATCTTGAGCGTAATTGTAATGGTGGCAAGGATCTTCGAACCTGGGTGGGCGAACTATACTTTGAGTTTCATCGTGGCACCTACACATCACAGGCGTTGACCAAGAAGAACAACCGCAATGCTGAGCGAATGCTTCATGAACTTGAATGGTTCGGTAGTGCTGCAGCTTTGTGCGTGAAGACGTACACTTATCCGCGAAAAGCCATCGAGGCATTATGGGAAGATGTGTTGCTCTGCCAATTCCACGACGTGCTACCTGGAAGCTGCATCGAGATGGTCTACAACGACGTGCACAAAATGCATGCAAAGGTGCTTCAGAAAGGAGTTGTACTCATCGATGAAGCTCTGTCGGCTTTAGGAGTAAGCAACTCTGTAGCTTCAGACACTGTACAGACTCGTCGCGATGTCATCATCAACAGTCTGCCATGGGACCGTTCAGCCATCCTCGAAGTCAGGGGTCAGCTGGAGTTGGTTCATTCTCGCTCCTCTCTAGGGAGCTTGACTGTCGGCGACAAACTTGGTGATGTGCGTGTGGAGCAACTAAATGATCGCGCTTACATGCTCGAAAACTCCGACGTCCGTCTACACATCGAGGATGGTGCAATAAGAGTCTTTTATGATGTCAAGACAGACAGAATGCTACATGGAGACACGATTTCGAAACCCCTCAACCAGTTTGTACTGTTCGAGGATCAGCCTCTCAACTGGCAAGCATGGGATGTTGAGATTTATCACCTCGACAAAGAGCCGCGAGTGTTGAAACCTTACGCCTCAAGAATTCTGCTCAAAAGCTCACATCGGGTCACCATCGAGTTTGAATACAAAATCTCGGAAGTGTCTAGCATGGTCAACACGATTTCGCTCGATTCATCCGCAGTGAATAAGCCGAAGCATTGCCAAGTGAATTTCGAATGCAAGGTCGATTGGCATGAAAACAAGTCATTCCTCAAGGTCGAGTTTCCAACAAATCTGCACGCGAACGAGGCGAGATACGAGACCCAATTCGGTGTCAACACTCGGCCTACACACCGCAATACAACCTGGGACGCGGCGAAGTTTGAAGTGTGTTGTCACAAATTTGCAGACTTGTCTGAGGCACGCTATGGTCTCGCCATTCTCAACGATTCAAAGTACGGGTTTGCCACACTTGGCTCAAATATGACTTTGTCCCTTTTGCGCGCACCTAAAGCACCGGATGCCACGGCAGACATGGGCATGCACCAGTTCCGATATGCCATGCTGACTCATGCGACTAGCTTCGAAGGCAGCGATGTGACGCGCCTCGCTGCCGAATTCAATAATCCGTTGAGACTGGCGGCTACTGATCAAACTGACCTTTTGGTGCAACAAATCGCACTTGTGCCATTACCCGATGCTAGGGAGAATCACACTGACCATGTCATTCTCGATACAATCAAACTCAGCGAAGACAATGATCGCGCTATTGTCCTGCGCATCTACGAGGCCATTGGCGCTGGCGGGCATGTTCGGATCTCGGTACCGACGCAATTTGGTCGCGTGCGCCATTCCTGTCTCGTGAACCTACTCGAGGACGAGTGCCTCGATCGTGGTTTGTGCTTCCCTGACGTTAAGATACGTCCATTCGAGGTGCTCAGCATCAAGTTGGTACTTGATGACTGAGTGAGGCAAAGAACTTGTTCTTGTCACAGTAGCTGCCAGAAGAATTTATGAAAGCTATATAGATAGTGAGCCACAAGATTTCGTTTATGTTGGAAGTGCAACATTTGAGCTCGCGTAGCCGCCCGATGGCCCATGACTGCCACTACCACTCGTACCCGTCATCAATGCACTCCATTCCTGATCAAGTGCGTCTAGCTCGGACCAAGAATCACCTTGCATAAATGCCAGCAGAGAACCTTCATGAATTGACATCAGACCTGCATGCGGATCCATGAGTAGATCGTTCACATTGCCATTCGCATGCTGAGCTGCAGATCCTGCAACATTGCTATCAAAGGCGAGAAAGGGCGCATAGTCATGCAACCCCAAACCTGGCGACGGGTGTGTCAAAAGACCTTGCGAATCGCGTGGTAGAAGCGATGGATCATGCATAGCAGGAGATGTGTCCTTACTGCCACTGTAGACATGCCCATCATCATGCAGCAAATCAGCAGCTTGCTGGTGTGGCTGATGCAAGGAACTGTCTCGTGCTTCGCTGCCGGTACTGATTGCCACAGTTCCTCGCATGTTGGAGTACTCATCACGCGATCGTTGTTGAGGCAGGTCCATCGGTACTTGATGCAAGTTGCCAAAGTCAAGCACTTTTGAGCGATACTCGGCAAAGTAATCGGTTGTCGTGTGCGCCGTGCGGCCTTCTCTTGCGAATTTGTGGTGAATTTCAAACAGCTTGGTGAGTGTATCGGTCCAGTTGACGACCATGCGCCATTTGTGCTTGACACTGTCCAGGTGATGATAGCCTAATTCGTAAAGAGTCCTTGCGCGTGGCGAGATAGCTGGATCTACCCAAGGGAAGGCATCCAAGTAGGCAAGAATGTTCGCCGCGCTGAATACGCTGAAGAGCAAGAAGGGTGTCGTCAGGGCATTACCAGTCTCTAGTAGTTGTCTGTTGAGTTCAATGATTTGTTCAGCTGCTGAGAAGCATGTATGCGCGCTTCTCTTCCAGAAGCCTTCAGGCTCAACCCAGCCGCGATCAGCAGCTTCGCGTGGACCCTTTGGATCTTGCTTGGTTGGTGCAAAGGTCAGATATGATCTGTGCGTAAACAGCAAACCATTGTAGTAAACGATGTGCATCAAGGCCCAGGACGTATGTCTTTGAGACAGCTGAACAAGTGTCGTATGCTCATTGTAGCGCAGAGACTTTGGAAGTCTCGCATGCCATTTGCCAATCATCTGATCCACTTGAAAGAACTCTGACGCTGGATCCCACGGTGCAAGTTCATCTTGGAGCCAGCGCCGTGCGCAGCTCCATTGCGCCATGCGCGACCAAATATCGACCAGCTCGATAAGCATAGCCATAGTTCCAGTACACTCGGGCAGAATTTCAACAGATTGCAAGTCCTCGTTGAGATGGCGCTCTGCTTCAGGTGTGCCATAAGTAAAGTTGAGATTATCTGCGGGGAGTGGGATACTAATGTCGCTGTTGCTGATGGTCAATGGGCGACCCCTGCCATTTGACAAAAAGCGATCCATGAGGTAGGCCGACCAAAATGTGCGCCTTCTGGATTCAGTGACAATCCATTCCGTCGAGTTGAGCTTGTTACGTGGCGGATAGGATCCTTCACTGCCAAGATCAAGGACTTGCGCCATTCTGATTGCGACACCAACATAAATGAACGCTGCAGCGCCTTGTGAAGCACCCCATAGGTGCAGACCTACCATCAGAAGCGCCTGTATGCGTGTCACGGACGGTTTGTCAATATCTGGCACAAGCAGCGCTAAAGTCTTTTTGCAAAAGTATTCACACGCAGCTGCTTCGTTCTCAAAATCCTTGACAACGGTATTGCAGAAGCGTGCAGACAACGTCAGTACTCCAAGCATCAAGACTGGCTCGACATCATTGTTTCGCAAGCTGCGCAAAAACGTGGGCTTGTGAAAGAAAGAGAAGATGTCATTGTTGAAGTGCTGCATGTAGAGTTCGACAGCTTCCTCCAAGATTTCTTGACAAGGTAAGCCGGTATGACCAACTTCATACCGCGACTTCTTGAAGCTAGCACTAGACCCTTCTGCAGACGGCGCTGTCGATTTCCGCTTAACAGGCGCAGGCGATTGACCTGGAGAAATGGCATCGTAGTCGTCATGGATCATTTCCGGGATAATGCATTCTCGCTTTGTCTTTTCGCAGTGTCGACAAGGCGGCACACCACGATGGTGGCATTTGATTTTTGATTTGCGGCAATTTGTACAGGCGATGGGTGTCCGCATGGGCCTGGCGACAGAAGTACGACGTGCGAGAGCTGGCGCTAGTGTAGGCGCCTGTATCGCGGCTGCATTTGGTTGCGGCGACGGCTCGATACCTGGTTGGGACGGCTCCATGGTGTAAATGTGCGCCAAGGAGTCGCGGAGAAGCTGATGAAGTGCGACTGTCGCAGGGTGTCAAAGCCTTATTGATCAAATACAAGCGTGAGGACAGCGAACAAGGCCTGAGCTGGTCGGGAGTACTTAGGTATCGTCTGTAGACTCTAGTGCTGCGTATTGCTTGCACTTTGATTTCTGGCGTGGGAAACAGGAAAACCCGAGATCACCACTAGACCAATGCCAGTACTAAAGTGAATACACCTGGAGTCTGCTACTGTCATAACGTTCATCAGAAAGCTGTGCTTCTATACATTCTACACTGTGTCTGCCTGTTCTTACTCTCTTCGTCTCTTTGCGTGTGACGTGACAAATTCCAGACGATGTTTGGCTCACTTGAAGTTTGATCTCTATCAAGCCTCTGGTACACTTGTACGATTGGCCAGCTAGCTGCTAGAGGCTTACCAGCTTGCTGCTTCGGACCAAAGTCGAGGAGTTCTTGCTAAACGACTCGAGTCAAAACCTTTCTCACCAAATAGTTGTGAAACGCCATCAAGATGACCCTACTCTTTGCACCATGAAACCTTGACAGCTGCAGAATTGAACTATAATATGATGGCTCCACTGCTCTGTGGATGGCAGACTCATGATTCATCAAGTACTACGGTTTCTAGTTCCAGCTCTTGTGGTTACTTGCGTATGCACACTTCTATTGTTTCCGGCCCATAACGACAGCGCTGAAAATGGGCTGGCTCTTCAGAGTCTGCTCAAGGAACAGTTGGAAACAATTCCAGCAGGCTGGAGTTACCACGCACCAGCACCACCAGACCATCAGATTGAGTTGCGCATTGGACTCAGCAAGCCAGACACCCACGACAAGCTTGAAGCACAGCTGCTGCAAACGAGCAGCCCGACACATGATCAGTACAGGCAGCACCTATCGAAAGAAGAAGTTGACAAGCACTCTCGGCCATCTTCACAAGCAGTTTATTCAGTCAATCGCTGGCTTGATCGACATGGACTGAAATCAAACAACCTGCGGGCTGGCCATGAAGGCATAATCAAATTGCGGCTTCCTGTGCATCAAGCAGAAAACCTACTCGCCGTCAAATTTGGCATTTACAGCAATTCGGCTGGCAAACGGATCATTCGCACTACTGAGTACTCGCTGCCGTCGTTTGTTCACAGCCATATTGCATTCATTCAGCCGACCACGCACTTTGGGACGCCCAGAGCACTTTCTCGCCGACGTGGTTCTGAACCAACCTTCTTTGACCGACACGATGGCGATGGTCTTGTTGACCTGCACTGCGACAACTTCATCACCCCGCGATGTCTCCTCGACATGTACAACATTACTGGTCAAGTAAAGGAAATTTCCAACAAGTCGCGCTTCGCTGTCGTGGGTTTCCTTGACGAATCTGCAAACAAGCACGATGCGGATCTCTTTATGAACAGATTTGTGCCGGAGATGCGTTCAGAGATTGCATTGTCTGCCAACGACTCTTTCCATGTGACTACTTTGCATCGCGGCAGCGATGATCAGTCTGCGGACAGTGGCACGGGCGAAGCGAATTTGGATGTCCAGTATGCTTTGTCCTTGGCACAAAGGATTCCAGTCAACTTCATCTCTGTTGGAGGCAGAAGGCAAATGGCTCCAGATGAGACAGCGCCGCCGATTGCAGATGAAGATGAGCCTTGGCTTGAGCTCATCGCTCATCTCGAATCCTTACCAAATGACAAGCTACCCCAGACCATGTCCATCTCGTATGGTGACTACGAGAAGGATATCCCACGGCCCTACATGGTCGCTGTGTGCGATGGCTTCATGCGTCTCGCACTTCGCGGTATGAGCATTCTCATCTCTTCTGGTGACGATGGCGTCGGTGATTCAAGGACTTGTGGCAACGACACAATGCCTCACTTTGTGCCTGAGTTTCCAGCGAGTTGCCCGTTCGTCACGACTGTGGGAGCCACGACCAAGCTGGACGAGGTGGCTGCTGCTCTCTCAGGAGGCGGCTTCTCCAACCATTTTGAAAGGCCGCTCTACCAAGATGAAGCAGTACAATCTTACCTCTTCAAGCTCTCAGGAAAGCATGCCACATCTTTTAATCGCTCAGGCAGGGCCTTCCCGGATGTAGCGGCGCAGGGAGTCAACTACATGATTTACTTGAAGGGCAAACATGCCATGACGAGTGGGACGTCTGCCTCTGCACCCACGTTTGCTGCAGTGATTGCACTCGTGAACAACAACCTCATGGTCAATGGACGGCCTCCGCTTGGCTTCCTCAATCCATTCTTGTACGGCGCGGGACGGACTGGTTTGCGCGATATCACAGCTGGGCGCAATCCTGGGTGTGGCACAGATGGGTTCGGGAGTGTGACTGGTTGGGATCCTGTGACGGGCCTTGGAACGCCTGACTTTGGTGCACTATTGCAGTTGAGCATGGAAAATTAAGTAGCAGATTGATGTGTAGGACTAATCCCATGGCCTGGGGCACAGCTAGCTTCTCGAATCTGACAGTCGACATCTTCGGTGAGATGCATAGCTAGGAGATAGATAGACACAGAGCAGCTTGAGCAGGCACAGAAGATCTCGTTGCTTCAAGTCGCGAAAAGTCTAAATTTGATCTCCGCAGAAATCAACAAAGAGCCGAAGCCTCAGACCGCATCTCCGTGACCTGCGCTCAAGACACCTCCTGTTAGAACACGCCCTGTCTCCTGAGGGCGCTTTATCGTTCGCTCTTCATCACACTCGCTCTGGAAAGCAAGCGCGCATCAGTGCTGGTCTCTGCATCGACACTCTCGACTCGGCATGCGAGCGTTCTGGAGGCGCGTGTGCTTCTTGTCATTTCTCGCACTCTCTCCTGTCGACGCAGCAGGCTGTAACGGTGATGCAACGTATGTTATCACTCTCGAGAGTCTCTGTTAACAAAAGTCTTTGCGCAAAGTCCTATTCAAATGTCACTTTTGTTGGCGCGCACAACTCTTATGCTGTCGGCTCTAGCTTGTCAGACAATCAAAACTACGATGTCACGACTCAGTTGAAGGATGGTGTCAGGCTCTTGCAAGGTCAAGGTCACAATGGAACAAATAAAGGAGGCTCGCTCATTGAGCTATGCCATACATCATGTGCTTTGGCGGATGGTGGAACACTCGAATCATATCTTGGCAAAGTCAGAAGCTTTGTTGAGGACAATCCAACAGAGGTCATCACAATCCTATGGGTCAATGCGGATAATATGCCTGCAGCGAACTGGGCAAAAGCGTACGAGTCCAGCGGACTGAAGCAATACAGTTATGTGCCAACGACTGAATCTGTCACAAGCTGGCCCACCTTGCAGCAGCTTATCGACAAGAAGACAACGGTCATAAACTTCATCACCTCACAACAAGACTTTGCCAACTTTCCCTACCTAATGCATGAATGGAGCAATGTCTGGGAAACTCCGTATGAGAATCTTGACTACAAAAAGTTCACCTGTGAACTCGACCGTGGATCGAGTGCATCAGGTCTATACATGGCCAACCACTTTGTCTACAAAGAACGCACAATCTTGGGCCTCACCATTGACTCACCCGATACTGCCAATCTGGCCAACACCAACTCACTCGATAGCGTCAACGATCATGGCGAGATGTGTGCTGCTAAATGGGGTCGCTACCCAAACTTTTTCCTTGTGGACTATTATGAGTCTGCTGGTGGTGGCGCAATGCGAGCTGCTGCACTCCTCAATAATGTTCAGTACCAGGCGGTAGCACTCGGGAATGGCAAGACAATTGGCGCCATCAAAACATTCTTCAAAGGGCCAGACGGTATTCGCAACATTGGGCTCGTTGCAGGCGGCGGCGCATTGTTGCTTGTACTTTTGTGGATTGCATGTTGTTGCTGTTGTCGTCGCAGAACCAGACGCGCAGGTCGGCGAGCAGAGTCGCATGTTCCCTGGCAGACGCAGAACAGCAGTCCGAAGCCATACGTTCAGGCTTCCAAGCCTGTCGAAAAAGAAGCCACGGAGCAGAATGCTTATGAACTGCTCGAGAAGGACTCACCAACAAGAAAGCCAGTTTCTACGGGTGCTGCTGCCATCCTTGCGCCCAAACCATTCTCGGGACCGCCATTACGATCTGCAGTTCCTGGCTATCAAGCACTTCCACTCAACCAGTCTCCAGAGGCACAACGACCATTGCCAAGTCCGCCACGTCGGGCCGTTCAACCTTATGGCAATTATAATGACGGTTCACCACATGCGTATGCACAGGGCCGACAAAGTCAACCTCGTCGAATGAGTCCAGAACGACAGCATGGGCGTATACCTGATGATATGAGTGGACCAACACCTTTTGGTGCTCGACCTGCGCCTGGTGCGATTCAGCAGCGACCGCGACCACCGCCACAGCAACAACAGCAGCGCGATCCATTTGGGCAGCCAAGGGGATATGGTCATGTACCTGGGTATGGTCCACCGCCGCGAATGCAACGGCCGCCGCAGATGCAGCCATATCCGAACTCAGCTCCTCACGGCTATAACAATGGCAATGGCTATCCTGGTGCAGGCCAGGCGCCTCGTAGAGATTATGATCAGCATAGCTATCGTTGATGCTCATCAAAAGTACATCTTAGTATTAGGCAGATCAATAGTTTATCGCTGGTGCAATTGACTGGCAGGCCATTAGCCAAGTTTGAGGTAGAAAGGGGGTAGGCCGATGTTTTCAGAATGTTTGCTTCAATACTATAAGAAGAATACAGCTATGGTCGAATGTGGAGGATGAAATGTACTTCAACTCACGGTCTCTGCAGATGCCCAGGGGACTGACTCGCAGCGCAGGACTGGCTGAGGGAGTGAAGACTTCAACAAGCACAATCGCTTGGAACGTGCCTGGTAAGGCGTCTTAATCAAGCAACCTAGATAGTGCAAATAGGATTGTTACGGATAAGGAGCAGGGTAGAGGCTCATGCTCCCTATAAAGAAGAATAAGGTGTACCCATCACGTGAAAGCACGCGATACGCGGCAGAGAGATGCACTAGCATCCACACCAACGCGAGTGGATACTAGACTGCTCAACGACTGTCAAGATCTCTTTATGCGTCAATGGTAGCGTCAATGCCTGATGTTTTGAAGCGAAGAGACCTTAGAGCTTCCAAATGGCCGATAGTTGGCAGGTTGAGTAAAGGTTGTTAATTCAGCGGATTTCAGGGGTTGCCAATCTACGACGTGGAAGAGGAGGTATGGAAGTGGGCGACGAACGGACACGAGAAGAGCTAAGTCTGCTCGCGTTGGACACGTACAGGAATCCTCAAATCAATCGTGCTTATCCGACTTGTGATTCCCAAGCCGGTGCAATAGGTTTGCGATTTGTAGCGCCTCACAGAGATTGCAATCTCCGACCACAAACTTAATTGCTACCAAATCGACGCGCGAGACGCCGAGACCCCAGCTGCATCATGGGAGTCTTGTGCACTAGACTTGTCAGGGATGCGAGATCTGTCAGGGGAATGCTGAAGCTGTGACTGCTATTTGTAGTGTCAGGGGTGTCCTTGATAAAAGGGACCTGCTGGCATATCTAGCAAGAAAGGATACGTATCTAGTGCGAAATCCACATTCTTGTATCGAAGCCTCTCCAGCTCTCAATCTTCCATCCCTAAGCACAGACTGACGTGGCAAGCTATCTCCACGACACACCAAGGGCGAGGCAAACCAGGCTCTGGCCCAAGCCACGCAGCTTATCCTAAGCATCAGCTGCTCAGGATACAGGCTTAGCTCTATCAAGAACAACTCACGCCGTCATAACTGCCGATCGACATGCGACTGAACCAATACAGCACTGCGTTGCTTGCGACGAGTATCTTGCAGTCGACACTTATTGATACAGCGTTTGCAGGCAAGTGCTACGGTACGGACAAATGGTCGCGCCACCTTTCTTGCAAGCAGATGCTGAACTGTGACTTCTGGGTAGCAGTAACCTATTTTGGGGACGCAGAGGATATGGTGAAGAAGGCATGGGAACTCTTCCGACACAACATTGGACCTGATGATGACCGTTATTATACATTCCACGGGGACACGACCAAGGAACCAGTATGGAGACGCCAAGACGGCCGCTACTACTACCACCGAGGGTTCACTTGTTGGCGAGCTTGGGACAGTAACGAGCCATGGTTCGATCATATTTACAATAAGAACGTTTCTGATGCTGTCCCTGGGCAAGTGGTCCTAATGAGAGCCCTTGTTTCTTGCCCACCGAAGCAGCACCCGAAATTGAACGTCCACTGTTGCAACAAGAGGAAAGTGTAAGTCAGATGCAGACCTTCACATGGTCCTCAAGAATAGCTCATTTAGAACGATGGCGATTGCAAGGGTTGAATCGAAGTTGAGCTAGCAGCATGAAGTCTGACGTATTCCTTAGCTTAAGTTTACTTTTACTCTTCCACATCTACGACTCACGCCTACTACATATGATCAGCTGCTTGAGAGGCGGTAGTGCAGGAGAAGTATCCCAGAGCCTTACACAGGCATCATCATTCGGTACCAATTAAGACGTTCCTTGATGACGGTCCCCTTGAGACCCATGCACCTGTTCCTCAATCTAGAACTTGAAGACCTGGTCCTTGCTGTAGCCAAGCTCAGCCAATAGACCGCCAAGATCGCCTTGATCTTTGGGTGACTTTTTATTGGCACAGACAGCTGCGTAGAATCCAGGTGGCCCACACACAAAGGCCTTGAAATCCTTGACGCCAGGTCCAGGAAGCACAGTCTTCAAGAGCTCCTTGCTAATACGACCCGGCTGTCCCGGCCAGTCGTTGGGTGCCTTTTCAAGCAGGTAGAAAGCCTTAAATCTGTCTGGGTGAAGTTGCTCAAGCTTCTCAAACTCGTGCTTGAGAAGGATATCCTCGACTGTGATGTTGCAGGAAACCAGCACAATCTTTGTCTTGTCCTCTGGGTTCTTCATAATGGCGCGAATAAGCTGGTACATGGGTGTGATACCAGTACCAGCAGCGAGAAGACCGACTGTGGAGTGCTTGTTGGCTTCGTACTTGTACTTTTCAATAGGGCCCTTGAACAAGATGCGCTGATCAGCTTCAAGCTCGCAGAGGTGCGTTGACATGGGTCCGTTAGGGTATTTTTTGACCATGAGCTCAACATAGCCCTTGGCATCTTCGTCGGAGATGGGCGTGTATGGTCGAATGGTTGGCTTCTCATCATTGGGTCCCTGATATTTTGTCAACAAGGCAGATGCGACATTGAGACCAATGACATGGTCTTCCGTTGGCAAGGCGAATTTAAGGGTCTTGGTGTTGTGGTTGACCTGCTTCGATTCAATCAGCGGAAGTGAGACCCACTCATTGGGGTCTGTTAGTGCCTTGGGCGAGACTGCCGCTTTCTTTGAGAACCATTCTGCAGAAAGAGAGTTGTAGGCACCGGCGTAGTACGCAAGTCCGGATGCACCTGCAATGAGCGATGCACCGAGCACAAACTGGTTGGTGCTGGACTTTGCAGACCGTGCCGAGCTTGAGAAGCTGCGTGCTTGTTGGGAGAAGGCCGTCTTAAACATCAGCCTGTAGATGTCGTTTGCTGCATTGCTCGAGCATGACGCCATGGAATTCCTTCAGCGAGATCAAGAGGAGCTCCGCCCAAATTTCGACTGCACGATTGCATTTGAGAGTCGGCTGCTGCGGATTTTTCAAGAAAGATTCACACGCGACACAGACAAGGCCAAGAACAAGACATAGATGAGCCTGTCATTGGCATCAGACGATGCAGTCACCGCGCTGGTGGCTGCTGCATTGGGTGTTGAGCCGGCAGCGTCTATTCAAGGCCAAATGAGCTCCCTGAAGCTCGAGGATGGGGCTGCGCTGCAAGGTCCAAACACAATTGCAACGACGCTCGCTCAGAGTAGTCAGAATCAAGCGAGAATAGGAACCACGCCGCTTGATCAAGCGGAAGTGCAGCAGTGGCTGTCCTTCACTGCTTCAGCAGGGCTCGCGGATGATCAGCGACTACTGGAGCTGAACACATTTTTGGCCAATAAGGTGTACTTGGTGTCTCAAGATTGGACTGTGGCGGATCTTGCCGCTGTCGTTCGTCTTCAGGCGGTCGTCAAGGGGATGAACGCACAAAAGAGAAGCACTTACTGCCATGTCACACGCTATTTTGATCACATGCAGCACCTCGATGTGGTGTCATCCTTCAGCGGCTTTCAGCAGGTAGAGATCGATACTACCTTTGACAGAACCGTCACGGTTGCCATCAAGAAAGGTGCACCGAAAGAAGCTGTGCCCAAAGAAGCATCAGCTGCTGATCCAGCAACCACAGTCGCAGATGCAAAGCAAGCGAAAAAGGACAAGAAAGCCGCAAAACCAGCTGCAGCCAAGGTAGAGGTTGTCCTTTCACCATCGCTTGTGTCGTTCAAAGTTGGTCTCATTGAGAAAGCCGAGCTGCACCCAGACGCCGAGTCATTGTATGTCTCCACTGTCAATCTTGGTGAAAGTGAGCCAAGAACAGTCGTGTCTGGTCTCGTCAAGTATATTCCCCTTGATCAGATGCAGAAGCGACTCGTTGTCTGTGTCTGTAATCTCAAACCAGCTGCAATGCGTGGCGTCAAGTCTTCGGCCATGGTTCTCGCTGCATCTCCTGCAGCTGTGGACGGACAGGAGAAGGATCGCGTGGAGCTCGTTCAGCCACCTGCAGGATCAAAGCCAGGTGATGTACTGCAGTTTGCAGGCTTCGAGGGTGAGCCAGAGGCGCAATTGAATCCAAAGAAGAAGATTTTCGAGGCGGTGCAAGTCGGCTTCACAACAGACGATGCGCTTCGCGTATTATACAAGGACCCTCAGAGCTCAAAGTCTGGCTTCCTCGTAAACAAAGCTGGCGAGCAATGCAAGGTCGAGTCGCTGGTCAATGCTTCTATTCGCTAGAATAGGCTGGCTAGCTATCTGCTCGATTAGTCTATGGACACTGATGGACTTCAGCTCAAGCACTTTGAACTCCGTAGTTCTCATCCACAATGCCTCGTGCAAAATCACTAAACTTGAGTTTGCGATTGCCAAGTGTGTCCTCCAAATTGGGCTGCATAAAAACTGCAAGTGTCTGGCGTGAGATGCCAGGCACGCCTGATCCAACAACAAAGTGCGGCACAGCCTTGAGTGAACGATTTGTAGTGAGTTCCAGTGCTTGACCAGTCTGGAAGGCGAGTGCATCGCGTGGGATATTGACCTTGATGACCTCGCCTGCACGGTTCCGAATGTAAAGTCCAGCCTCTGGGTCAGGACTGCTGGAAAGTTCCTGAATCTCATCTGGACTTGTCGCTGATGCGGGCTGTGTTGCTTCATCGATAAACATGGCCGACGTCAGACCAGTCAAACAACCATGATCAAGATGCTCGCCACACCACGGTTGTGGGTCTTCCTTCAATTCCTTGGCATGGGCTTCAGAAATGGCGAAGTAGTGGAGCAGTCGAGCCTTGCACGTACGGCTTCTCGTCACCATGTCGCCTAAGTAGCTCGCTTTATAGCCAGCACTTTCAGGTAGAGCACTTTGTGCATACGCGTCGCAGGCGTGTGCCACGTCGCCGCCAACACTGACCACAAACCTGCTCAGAGTTGTAATTGCATCCTGAAAGCCGTCGAGTTTCGGCCAAAGATTGGGAGTCTCGTATTGTGGAAAGTCTGGTTGAGTAGAGCTACTTGTGTACTCGTGCGTTGGATTAACATAGAATGAACCTTTGAGCTGATCAAGCTTGCCCTTGAAGTTCTCTTTTCCTCGGGACCAGCCAACGAGGTACTTGCTTTCTGCAGACTCGAGTGCACTCAGCTTGTCTGGCGATTGCTTGCCAAGAATAGCTGAATAGGCTAATGCACGATGCCGCATCTGTGGGAAGTGTTCGGGCAAATCTTTGACAATGACGATGCCAAGACAGTGAGGCTCTGGCCCAAATGCTTCACGTAATTTGGGGAACAATGTAGAGAGCTTCTCTGGTGAGGCACCATGAATGTCGTTGTAGCTGATTGAGACTGCTGAGCCTTTTTTGTAGGATGGCTCAGGGGCCGAAGCATGAGAAGCAAGTGATCTTGCTTGGAGAGAGGACATTATGGTCTTTAATCGCAGAGTACGTTGCATACTAGAGCAGCTCGAGCGAGCGTGTCGTGCACTGCAGCCCCTTTTGAGTTGTGGACAAGGTCCTCGACTCCTCGCACGAGGCCGAAATCCGGGGCAAATCCGAAGCGTCTTCTCGGGAAGAGCCTACATGCGTATAATCTCTACTCAGCGATAGCTGTATAAAACCTGCAAGAGTGAAAACAACAGCTCCAATGTAGACGACTCAAACATATGTAATGACTAGATCATCTAGCAAGACTACCTCTACAGCGTGAACATCAGAAGGCAGCTGAGCAGCTGAATCGATTGCTTCGATCCTTTGAATTTGGCAAATGAAACAGGCAGCCAAAAAGCTGCAAGACGAGGATTTAACCAGACAGATCTTTCTTTGCCAATATCAAAGGAACTGGAATCTGGCGACTCTTGACCGTGAGATATTGCGCGCACACAGATTTGCATGCCGCTCTCAGGACGTCGCAAGTTGACTCGCAATACACCAAACCTACAAAATATCTTACCTGGCAGTGGAGCAGCCGTGCATACTTCGATAGGCGAGGCAGGAGAGATCTTACTGACGGCTTATGAACAGACGCAGTGATTGCTCTGCTATCTTGTCAATTTGCGAGGTGTGCTCAGACTCAACGAATTGCTCGCTGGGTGATGATCCTTTAGAACCGCTACTCTGAAGGCTTCGCGCCTGATGCGGAATGTTCCTATTCTGACAGCCTATCTCATCGTCACTCCTCGGGTCGAAAACTAGACTGTCGATCGTTGATGTCTGCAGACTTGGTCATCATCGCCAATGCCCCAAGCAGCATCCACTCGTCATTCTAGCTGTCGACCAGTCGATGATAGGTGCTTTGAGAAGGGACAGCAATGATGGCATACAAAAATCTGATTTAATGAAATCGAGGGCCCGTGAGACGGCCTATCTGAGAGCAAACTCTTTTGTGCTGAGCTGTCCCCATCCTCCCATCCAGCAACATTGCGGTTTGATCTGGACATGGATTGAACAGGAAGCTTGGCCACGATGCTGTTGCTTGACAACATGACGATTACTCTTCGTGCTTTACCTCATTCGGACCAAGTTCTCAAAGAACGCTGGCGAAACATACGAATCTGACAAGCATCGCAACAGCGATCTGTGGCCTCTTCTCCTGATTAGTCCATGTCCTTTACGCAACTCCTTCCGCATGGTCATACGCTAACTGAAACTTCCTCATTTGAAGTCCCAAGGGCACTTGGTAGCGCGAGTCGCCCTTTAACTTCCTCGCGACAATGCTTACGCCGCCCACAGCCTTTAAACACGCAAAGGATTCTGCTTCTATGCCAACTTTGCCAAGCCAAGATTCAGGGGCTGAGCAGGGTCAAATGACAATTTGCTTTCTTGTTTGTGCAGACCACCTAACGTGCATCGCCTGATGCAAACAGCATGCTGATCATTGATCTGCCAGACAGTCAGTGTTTGTCGGCAATATGTCCTTTGGAGATTTTAGGCTGAAAAACATTTATCAGAGCTTGCAGCCAGATTCTGTTGCTTTGTCGTCCATATACACCCACATCACACACGCTCTTTAAACGCTAGTCTACAAAGCTGACGCTATGTACGGCTTCAGCTCTACAACACGCATATTTTTGGCAACGCTTGCACTTAGCAGTAGCCTTGATGCCGTTTTGATACCCGTGCAACTCAAGGACGGCCTACTTGTTATCCAGGCACATATCATCGCACCATCAGCGCCACCAACCCTTGTTGAGACTCCGGATTCCCCATCACTAACACCTTCACCTCCGCCAGCGCCGCCATCGACCGACCCTGTCGGTCCAACAACCCTTACTGTCGTGCCAGTGGTCAATCCCCCAGTGTCGGCCCCATCCGGTGAGGTTCCACCGCCGCCTGCTCCTGGCCTAGAGGTACCGCCAGTCACGACGCAACCAGGGCCACAGTTGCCAAATCCTCCGCAACAGCCAGCACCCGTAGTGGAATCGCAGCAGCCAGCACCTATAGCACAACCGCAGCAGCCTGTACCTCAACCTCAACCTCAACCTCAACCTCAACCTCAGCCTGAACCTCAACCTCAGCCTGAACCTCAACCTCAGCCTGAACCTCAACCTCAGCCTGAACCCCAACCTCAGCCTGAACCTCAGCCTCAGCCTGGACCTACGACTCCGAACAATGGACAAACAATCCGCCAAGACCTCATTCCTATCGGCAAAAGAATGACTGCGCACGCAACAGAGTATGGTGGCAATACGAACGGAGCTTGCGGTATGAACTATAAACCTCCCGCTGGCTGGGGCGGTGTCGCTGTGAGTGTCGATGTTTTTGGTGATGCTTGTGCTTGTGGACAGTGCTTCGAGGCCACGTATGGAGACAAGACAATCAAAGCCATGGGTGTAGATGAGTGCCCTGACTGTCACTTGCAGAACGGGGACGTGCACATGGATTTGTTTCTGGACAGTTGGCTTAATCTAGCGAAGGGCAAGGGCTCTACACTGTCTTTGGGCATCCTGAGAGATATCCAATGGAAGGCTATACCGTGTGGCTTCACTGAAGGCCTGAAGCTGCATTGGAAGGAAGGCAGCAACAATGACTGGGCTGCCCTTTCTGTACGAGGACACAATATTCCTGTCGTCGCTATGGCCGCCAAGCGCCTTGATGTGCCAGACAGTCAATGGATTGACCTCAAACTAGACAAGGACATGGCCTCTTACGTCAATCCGGCTGGTAACTTGGAAGGCTCGCACTTTACCGTCAAGCTGGTCGCGAATAATGGTCAAACCATTGTTCTGGACAAGGCAGAGCGACTCAATTCTGATCAAGAGTTTGGAGTCAACTTTTGATGTTATTCGCTGCAGAGCGCCGGCGCTCTTGCTTTTGATTTTTATACATTCTATATACGCGCTCGTGTAGCCGCTCAACCCGTTTTACCATCAGTGTTTCCCTTCATTGATCCCCGTCTCCAAGACTTGGTCCTCAATTGGCGTCAACGAGTTTGAGCTATCAGGAGGTTCACGTTGCGGGGAGGCTGATGTGCGCTCATCTTCCGACCGTTGAGTCAAAGGTGCTTGTAGAGTCGTACTATTCCGCCGTTTTGAGCCCAGGTATTCCTCTGGCTCTACACATGCTTCAATCTGTTCCTTGTCTTGCGGCAAGAGTGTCCGACTGAGCCATTTGTACTGCGAACTGCCATCCTTTTCGCCATAGACACGCTCCATAATAGCATGCATTGCACGTAAAATACTTGCATGACAAGGATTCCGCGCACCAGTCTTGTCGGACGTCAGGTAGAGTAGTTCCTTGGATGGGTCGCGATAAAAGGCAGCCACTTCAGAAGGTTTAGGCAGACCTACCAGAGGCGTCGCGAGTGGTGAGCCGGTTGCGAGCGCAAGTGGCAACGTGCCTCGTTGACGCGCACTAGCCGAGTTGCATAATGTATGCCAGCGCGCGGCAAGGATGGCGTGCGCATGGTATTCGCATTTGGCATAGCCGTGCGCATTGGCACACGCAGGCATGTGCTCGTACTTGAGCAATAGTAGAATATTGGGAGCACTTGTACGCTCGATGACTTGAGCGTAATTCCGCCAGCGGATCTCGAGCCATGCTTGGAGCGCATAGGGTATGGTGGACCACAGCTCAAACGTACTATACCAAGGCACATCATCCAAGATTGTCTGACATGCGGTATGAAGTACTTGTCGGAGTGAAGGCATGTCTTGGATGAATTCTTGGCAGGTACTGACTGCGAGGAGCGGCTCAAAGATGGACGCACGGGTCATAAGATATTCGGTACACTCCTCGGCGATACTCTCAATCTTGTACTGGAGTGCTAAGCGCAGAGCATCTCGAACATTCTCTGCATGAATAGCGCTGGTGAATTGCGGATAGAGGAGGGCAAACATCAAGTTGAGCCTATCCTCAGAATCGTTGAGCGTCACCTTGCGTACAATAGCACCGCGCGTGCTACTTATACTGGAGCTGTGCTTGTGTGGTGATCGGACACGACCATTGTTACACTGCGGTATGACCACAGGTAGCCGGCGTTGGCTGATGACGGGACTGCAGTAGCACCTCGGACTTGCTTTGATAAGGTCGCGCAGGATAGGTGATTGCGCAGAAAGCAATGCGCTGTGAACTTTGTAGAGAACCTTGTTGTTGGAAACGACGTGAACGTCGGCGTCGTCGAAGGCGAAGACTGCAGAGAGTCGCTCTGACAGGCCCGCTGAGAAGGAACGCATGGGAGCTTTGTCGCGAAGAAGAGGAGAAAGTGTACAGCTTTGGACACGACTGCTAGCTTATAGTGTTCATGAGATCAGACTGCAGAGTGCATTGACCGCAAGGCAACCTTAAGGTTGGCAAGACATTCGATGGGAGGCCTGTCTGGCCCACCTAAGGGCCACATTGTTTTAACAGGCGGCTTATGGCCAGAGCCAAGGTGGTCCAGACGGCGCACGAATCAGTGTGATGTAGAATGCCGCCGGGATGCGCTTCAGTCGCCGAAAAGATCGAGATTCAGCGACTCGGCATCTAGCTTCTCCCAGCTAGGCAGTCTTTGCACGTAGCAGCTTGCCGAATACCGCGATAGTAGCACTATAGAGCTGAGCCCTGTGCGTGTTTGGACCGTGGTCGAGGCTGCGGGCCAAAATTCGAACCCGAAAGTCTGGATCCGGGGCCTGGCCCAGGGGTCTTAAACCACACACGTGACACATCAGATCCTGCAATTGTCCTTGGCTCGGGCTGCAGCACTGGTACCATGGTAACGGACCAAGAGGCTAGAAATGGAGATCGATACGCCAGTACTGGGCATATGCAGTATTATGGACACACTGAGTTCACTACCGGCTGCTTCCTACAAGAACTGCTATAGACCGGCAAAAGCAGTATCTCATCCCGGGCTCATTATCCCGCGTCACATCATACTCACTTGACAGCTTGCTAGATCTAGATAATTGAGCTGATCTGGCTGGAACAGCATCTTGAAATGCCCGGTCCGGCGTGGACTCCATGCATGATGCACCACGCAGAACATATTGCTTGCGCTCAGATCCATAAGAATTGCGACTTACCTCTGGCAGAGACAGGTCTCTGCACATGCTGTGGCACACTAGTACTGAACCTTGTGCAATATGTGTCTCTTTGCTTTGTGAGACTAGGGATACATGGAGACACGCGGCATAGGCGGCGAAGAGTCGCCGATGATACACGGTCAATGTCAGTCATACGCCTGAGTAGCGCCTCGGACAATTGCACCCGTGGCTCGGCTAATTCTCGTCCAGGCAACCCCGCAAATGCATGGCCACCTACCTGAGGCTACCTCTCGACCGACACTGTGATAGTCAGATCAGCAGAACATGGGCTTCGAGGACATCAAACTACAAAAGCGAAAGCAAAAAGCAGATGCCATTGCAAAAGTCAAAGCTGCACTTCCTCCAGCACGGGACAAGGATGTGGGTATCGAGGCAACGATTGTTGCAAGTGCAGCAACAGATATCATCGACAAGATCAAGTCTGGCAAGTGGACGTGCGTGCAAGTCACGCGTGCATTTACACGTCAGGCACTTCAGGAAGATGCAAGACTCAATTTTATGACAGAGTGTCTGTTGTCTGAGGCTTTGGATCGTGCTGCTGAATTGGATGCGCTTTTCAAAAAGACTGGCAAAGTCGTTGGACCTCTTCACGGCTTGCCTTGTTCATTCAAAGATCAGTTCAACATGGTTGGCTTTGATTCTACAACGGGTATCTCCATGTTTGCCAATAAAGCAGCAACCGAAGATGCCGTTACTGTTCAACTCGTCAAAGCAGCTGGCGGTATCGTCCTATTCAAGACCAATGTCCCACAAACGATGATGACGCCTGAATGCACGAACCCACTCTGGGGCATTACCGGCAATCCTAGTAATCCACTCTATACGCCTGGTGGGTCATCCGGCGGTGAAGCTTCCAGCATCATGTCGAATAGTTCAGCTATTGGCTTTGGCACAGATATCGGTGGTTCGTTACGTTTCCCGATGGCTTTTTGCGGTGGCTACAGTTTGCGACCAACCGAACACCGTATGCCGAAATTGGGCGTGTTTGATATGTTTGAAGAGCATGAAGCGCCTACGATCGCTGCCGTGTGTGGACCGATGGCCAAAACGTTGGGTGATTTGACATTCATGTATAAATTCATCTTGGAGCAAGAACCCTGGCGACTCGATCAATCTGTCAATCAAATGCCCTGGCGCACACTCGATGCTCAAAAATCATACAAGTTTGGTTACTACAGCTCCGACACATACAGTATTGCATCGCCGGCTAATGTTCGCGCTGTGGAAGAGACGGTTGCTGCATTACGCGCTCAGGGCCATACGTGTACAGAGATTGTGCCACCTGGTATGGCGGAAGCGACACGACTCTTTGTTGAGTTGACTTCAGTGGATGGTGAAAAAGGCATGAAGAAGATTCTCGGTTCTGATCCACGCGAGGCGAATGTTGCCCTGTCCTTGACGGTTCCTGGATTACCGTTGATTGTACGAAAGGTGCTTGCAATGGTCGTCAAGTACTGGTACAAAGACGCACAATATCCTGCCTTGTTTGAGGCGTTGGGTGCACACAACACAGAGCAAGTCTACAAGCTGACCAGGGAGCGTGCGCATTACAAGCAGCGTTGGCTCGATGAAGTTTGGTATAGCCCTGATGGCGACAATGCAACACGCAGTAAAGCGGAAAGACAGCGGACATTTGATGGCTTGATTTGCCCCGTCTTTCCGGTTCCTGCATTCAAACATACCCTGTCTAAGGATATCTTGCCTGTAGCCGTCTCATGCTTCTTGTTCAACTTATTGGATTACAGCGCTGGTGTGGTACCCGTCACAACGGTGGATGCAAAGATTGACGATCACACAAATACGCAACATGCGGCCAAATACACGGGCTCATGGCGCGGCGTGTTCCACGAACTCATGTACAAGGGCTTCCTGGGCAACGAGGCAGTCTACAATGCAAAAGAGATGCATGGCTTCAATGTCCCCGTGCAAGTTGTGGGTCAGCAGTTTGAGGAGGAAAAGACGCTTGCTATGATGAAAGTGGTGGATGATGCCGTCAAGGCTGCGCGCAAGTAATTGTAATCATATAGTCATAGTCGTTAATCATGTACTTCTCGTATGCGCTGACTCGCGCCCTGCAGTCGCCGTGTAACGATATCCCCAACAATGCGCCATAAGCTGACTGCAATCTTGGCACACCCTGCAAAGAGTACGAGAATGAGTGCCAGTTCACCGAGGCCGATACTCGCACGTCCATTTTCACCACGACGTCTGCGAGGATTGAAGAGGCGCATGGTGAAGAAGCCACCGGATCCCATGAAACCCAACACGCCAATCACACCGAGTGACACGAGACCTTGTACAAAGTGCCAAATGTCAACAACAAAGATGTCGGAAAATTTGCGTGGCACAATCGGCACGAGTGCAGAAGCTGCATTGAGTAAATCCGTACCAGCATCAAAGGGCGTGTAGAACCAACCGGATAGCCAGGAAGTTGAATGGTACAGCATGGAGCCCGGTGGATAGAGCCATAAACCGAATTTGACCACGAAGCCACCAATAAACATGGCGAAGAGGAACGCAAGCGCTGTAAACAAGAAGACCGTTGAGGGTGCCGAGAGCCAATTGGCAACATCTGTGCGATAAAAGGAGTATTTGTACAGGCATTGGTCGCACTGGTAGAAAGAGCGCCTATTTTGTGATGCAATGCGCCACTGATTGAGACAAGTCTCGTGGATCCATTTCGCTGAACCTTTGCATTTGCACGGTGAGATGAGTCGTTCATCGGGCGTTTGTGGGCTGAAACAGATGCGACAGAGGCGTTCTTCCTCTTCTGCTGCTGGTGCTTCCGCAGCTGAAGCAGCAGTAGCAGGCTTTGTCGTTTGCCGAGACGCAGGACGCAAGTCTTCCCTTTGGGGTTTGAAGGCGGGATACGCTGACGACGGTGCTTCTTCCTCTAGATTTTCCCACTGCGGCAAATTCCCTGCATCGCCTTCCTCGTCATCCGTGTCTTGCAAAGTGGTATACTTGCTCAGCACCTCATCGGCCTCGTCCTTCACGACCCCGGACTTGAAATTGAAGGTCTGATTGGGCCGTGCACTCGTCCCTGCTACACTTTCTTGGGCGTCATTGTGTACCGCAGCCGACTTGTACCTGCGTGCCCTGAGCTGCCTGATGTCCTGTGTGTCCATCGGCGTTATTCAGGGACTATGAAGTAGCTTTCAAGTAGTATACTAAGTAGTGTCGACTGTGCTGCTCCGTGTCACGTGTTCCCGGGACTACGAGGAAAGGAAAGAAGCAACAGCAGCAGCAACCAAGAGCAAGGACCAGCAAGGACTCGACACAGCAGCAGCATGTACAGCCTCCGACGCACAGCAGCAACCGCAAGTCCTATCCTCAGGCAAGCAACACGTACCTACGCCGCACAGGCAAATGTTCAACCTCCCATCCAACTCTTCGGCGTCGATGGCACCTATGCAACGGCCCTCTACACTGCTTCTGCAAAACAAGGCTCTCTCGACTCCGTGACAGCTGCTCTCCAGAAGCTCACGACGACTTTGCAGTCTGACAAGAAGGTGGCAATGCTGATTGGCAATCCTACACTCTCGCAGCAGGATAAGAAGATCATTGTTGAGGTCTTGTCGAAAGCGGCAGGTGGTGATAAGGCAGTGGGGAACTTGCTGAGTGTCATGGCAGACAACAACCGGCTTGGTATGTTGCCTCAGATTGCAGAAGCCTACAATCAGTTGATTTCTGCTGGAAAAGGTGAAGTGGAAGTGACCATCACGTCGGCTGCTCAACTCGACAGCAAGGTCATCAAGCAGCTCGAAACCTCCATTGGCAAGTCCAAGTTTGCGGGACAGGGCAAGAAGCTCAAGGTGCAGAACAAGGTCAAGCCAGAGATCCTCGGCGGCTTGGTGGTGGAGATTGGAGACCGTACCATTGACTTGTCTGTGCAAAACAAGATTACAAAACTCAACAAGATGTTGACGGATGCTATTTAGATTGTTGTAGTGCTGTATTGTCTTCTCAAAATGCAATGTGTCTACCAACGTCTATTGACCAAGGACCGGCGGCGCCTTGAGGTTCTTGTAATTACCCCAGTTGACATCCAAATCAAGAATAATCTTGAGAGCATTGCGTGAGCGCAAGTACGGCAACGGTGCTTGACTCTGTGCAGCACCACCCGTCACGGCACCCGTACCATCGCTCATGGCTAGTGCTTCTGTCGGATGCAATGGGAAGGAACGTTGCAAGAACTCATACGCAGCAAGCGTCGCACCAAATTGTGGAGAGGACCGGAGAATACGTGCTGGACCTCCCTTGAATAGTGCCTTGGGACCTTCTTCCCGAAGGATTGTTGAAAAGGCGTGCGTGATACCGCGGTAGTTGGTATCACCCTTGCGTGCCTCCACTTGCAGACGCGTCTTGATGACATCGGCAGGGGTGGTCAGGTACGCGGCAGGCATACCGGCAATGGCACCAGCCGTGAGCAATTGCAAGATACCGAGTGATTTTGTGGGTGATTCACCAAAGTAGTCCTTTTTGAGGTGCGCATAGGTAGGGAAATAGATGGCACTGAAGGGAATATCACGCATCAAACAGGCGGATGCACCCTTGTATAACCCAAGCAAACCAAGAGACTTGACGATCCACAATGCAGAACGACGCGGTACACCTGCCACATTCTTGGCGAGCTCACCTTGTACTTGCAGACGAATCTTGACAATCTCAAGTGGATTGGTGAAGATAACCTGACAACCACCTGCCATACCACCAGCCAGAATCTCCCATGGCAATGTGATGGATCCATCGTCTTTCCGCGCACGTCCACGAATGAGATCATTCACCGTCAACTTGATGGCCTTTTCCGGGGCAACTCCAATCAACTGTGGTCCAAGACCACTGTACAGTCCCTTGAAGCCCTCATTACGAATAACCTTTTTGAAGCAATCGAGCGAGTTTTTATACAACAGTTGACCCACCACGGCAGAACGTTGATTTTGCATGCGTGTCTTGACGAGATCAATGGGATACACGACAGAAGCACCGAATCCACCAGCAACAGCACCTAATGCGAAATGATAAATGCCATCCACCAAATCACCGAGAAAGGCAGACGGTGCAGCAGCAGCATCTGCCAATTTCTCACCGAGTGGTTTTGAGCCAAAGTCACTGTAGCGGTCTTGCCAAGAAGGATCAAAGACGCGATTAAAGTCTTCTAGGCCAAGCCGACCGCTTGGATTGTCCAACCCTGCGAAATGAAAGAGAATCTCAACTTCCATAGGTGTGAAGAGAGCGTATCGCGTCATGCGAGATGCTTGGATGAGGAAGTCTGTCTTTGTGATGTTGCCGTCGGGTGATTTGCCTACAGCCACGCGAACGATATTATCCACCATGTCTGCTTCGCGAATCAAGTTTGAAAAGGCACGCACCGTTGAGTAGGAGATCTTGGACGATTCGCCAAGGTTACAGAGTGTTTGCAAGTTCTCGAGCAAGTGATCCGAAAGTTTGTGAGCGGCCGTGCGTTGTATAATGGTGGCAAATTCATCTGGCTCGATGTATCCATTATTGTCGCGATCAAAGTACTGAAAGGCCTGACGAACGCGTTCACCTTGCAAGCCACGCAGCATCTGTGCGAATTGCGTATACGTCATGGTGTGCCGGTTGCCAGGTTGACCGACATACAAGTTGCTCCATTTAGATTCCCAGTTGAAGGGGATCGAGTCGGGTCCTTGATTCTCCTTCAAGATACGTGTGAATGTATCGTACTCCACCTTGCCCGTCCCCTCGACATCAAACAACCGAAAGGCAATCTCATACTCTGCATCCGGCTTTGCCAGCAAGTTTGTAAAGACTGTCCATTCGCCCATTGTGAGTTTGCCACGCCGTTGTCTATCTGCCGCTTGAAAGAGGATGCCATACTGTTCCCGCTTGATCTTGTGGAAGTCTTCATCTGGGTTGGAGAGGGTCATGGCATCAATGAAACCATCCGGTGTCATCCATCGCTCACCCTTCGCATCCGCCTGCTGAGCAAAACGATCAAATGTCCGTCGTGACTCGGCTGTGATGGATGGCGGCTGATCTGTTCCGACCAGAGTATCCTTGACGGATGCAGCAATCCCGGAGGCCGCTGCTGCCATGACTTTCTTGAGTGGATGAGGGTGCTGCTGTGTGCTTGTTTGCAGTCTCTTTTTTGCACGCGGGGAGGAAATCCCAAATTCGGCTCTTGGCCCAGCATGAGATCACCATCTCAGGTCCATCTGCTCTACCGGATACTCACGAGCGAGGCATCTATCTGTTCCTGTACTGTGCTACTACCAAATTCATCTTGGTCTTACATCAAATGAGGACAACTCAAGCATCTTCATACGGCCGTCTCTCGTCGCTCTGAGCATGTCGAACCGGTCTCTATACTGGCTTACGCGTCCTTTGAGTCCAAAGGCCCTCAAGCTATCGTCAGATAAGCCCCAGTGCCCAGAAATGAAGCCAAGTCTCCCTGCTATTGGCTCAAGTAAGAGCCTTCACCAGATTCAATGCATGGACAAAGCCTCTGATCGATCGAGCTCTGTTCGATCAGTTTAGCCTCATACGCCAGTCCTCCTCGACTCACTTGATCATTACTTCACTTTGGCTTGCAACTGGCTTCCGACAAAGTACTTCAAGACTGGATTCTTGTGAACTTTCGTCTTGTTTTTGGAAGGCGCTAAAGGATAGACTCGTCGACCGATTGTTCTAGTGGACATGGCTGTCGATGCAGCAGCTACAACTTTTGTCATCTTCAATTGGCTGCGGCATTGTGTGCAACGCTTCGCTTTTGGGAAATCAACCTATCGCCTATTTCGTGCTCAATGGATGTCAGAAACTATCTTCGCTTGGCCTGTCTTCTCGCGAGCATTCTGGTTCAGTGCCCCTACTAACGACGCTGAAAGCACAAACACATGGCTTGAGGGCTTCATCATTGTGTATAGACAGGGCGACCAACTGCAGTACTGTCTTGTGCTGTTGAGAACAGATACAGGTCATGTTTCTCAGTCAAGGCACTTTCTACAAGCACTTCATCGTGTTCGGATTGTCCTGTAGGGTACCTCAGAGCCTCACCGTCACGACAGGTACAGCTGCAGCTAGTGCAAGTCTCGTTGCTCTCCCACTCCAATTCAACAAGAGATTGGCCAGAGTCGTAGGCCATTCGGACCTCCAGGCGAGAATCGGTATGCGCAAGTCTTTCTGGATGTCTTGGTTCTTCCTCATCTTCCACTGTACTTGAGCATATTTGGCTGCGGCGGAAGTTGGTTCTGGCGGGGTCGCCTAATTTGACGGCCATCAGGGGTAGCCGACGAAGACAAGTCCGAATCTCTTCAGCTTTCGGCAGACATAAAAGAGCCGACAAGCGCCGGAGCAGTATGACTCTATCAAGCAAAGTGGTTATCGCTCTTTGCAGCTCCTGTAGCTATAAAGAAAGAGGACGATGGTTGGGACTCTACGTCGTCGTGTCAACCGGAAATTGACAGGCCCGAACACATCTCTATTGCTGCAGCATGTGACAACTAAGCCGCAGGGGTTCAAACAATGCACAGCACCGTGCCAATATGAGAATGAAATAGCACACGCGTACGGACATTCAATTACTGAGAGAGTGCATATCAGCATGGGCTCATGGTCATGGAGTCACCGGCCGCAGCTGCGGAGGTGTGATTGTGTTTACGCAAAAGGCCACCTGAAAGTGACTGTATAAAGCATGCAGCAGCGTTCAAAGGGACCCCTCAGGCAAGGAGGTTACAACATCATGATCAGGAGCTCGAAATGACCACGTATGCTGCGAACAATGCCTGAAGCGACAACTTTGTGGCCTGGCTTTAGTCCAACATACAACTTTACGCCGTCCGTCGATCGCAAGTACTGTTCACGATGCGAGCGCCCAGCACAACGGCCTTTCTCTGGCTGTTTTTGATCAGTTTGTATACGGTCTTGTTGCACCACAACGTCACTGCTACAGCTGTTCGCACTAAAAGGCCCTCCAGTTCTCAAGTCCCCCACAGTCGCAAGCGTCCAAAGCTTGGGACTTCAACTAGTGCACCAGCCGCAGGAGGGACCGTGATCCCATTGCCAGGTACAGCCAAGCACTCATCGCACTCAAACGACCCAAACGACGAAGGGAATGAGCCAGAGTGCCGCAATGTGTCGGTTGGTTATCACATCATGTTCAACCCTGCGGAGGAGTCAGCAAATGAGCCAGAAACGAGTGGAGTCCGACCTATCCATTCTCCTAGTACATTGGCCTTGGCTAGCAGAGAACCTTGCTTTACGCCTTGTGAACGCAAAATCACCGATTTTATAAACAATGTGGCCCGGGCAGCGAAAGCAAGAACGGAACGACCTCCTAAATGCTGGGCGAGCCGCAAATTCAGTGTTGTGCAGCGAAGAGCAAGATCAGTGGGGTGCGACGCTTCACTGGCTCTAGGCTGCTCCTTGCCACCCCTGTGTGAGTGCACTTTCAACTTGATGGTTCCAGACCAAATGGACGACGAGAACAAGAGCGCTGCATACTCAACGAAGTCAATCTGCGATCTACATTATTTTCCCGCGATCATATCCATTGATCTGGTCTCTATAGGCAAAGATCCCAGGACGCAGTTCACGAATCTGCAGCTGCAAGGCAGGGCAGCTGTAGCTGAGCAAAGTTGGCCACTTTTTGGATGGAGGTCCATGCCGGGGAAAGCTGTCCAGGTTGCAGGACCTTATTCTTGCCCCAAGCCAGAGAAGACGCTCCCATCTTGGAAATCAAGAGAAAGCAGGGCGAATAAGATTGTCAAGGAAATTTGTCTTTGTCCCAACAATCAAGCCTATGGTCTCGAGGGGGATCCTCTGTGCAGTCATCGGGAGTTGGTATGCGAGACAATCACCATGACTCAGGCCATGGACAACTTGCGAAGGGGTGGAGGTGATCTGTTGGGTATTTACATGGGAAGGTTTCCCCAGCTGAAGGAATATGTGGAACCCATTCCAGGCACTGCAATAGCGGCCAACCAAGTTCAGCGACAAGACTGGGAAAGGATGCTCCCTGCAGCTGCTTCGAACCTTGCAAAAGGTCTGACTTTCGACCTCAACCTAGCTGCTCCAGAAAATGACGAGGATGGCCATGAGCTTTGACATGCTCAGGGTCTGATTGCACACTTCTGCGTCTCATGTCGCAGACGCCAAACCGTTTTCTTGAGCGTTCTTTCGTTGAGCAATGAAGACACCTTCACCAACCGCGAAACAGTGAAACATGCGGCTTGTCTTTCGTTTCATATCACAAATAATGTAGCCAACAATGTCTGCTGTGTGATCTCCACAATATCTGCTTCGAGAAAGATGAAGCCACGGTTGGGAACAGTGTGCTGATTCGCGACTGCATCGACGGTGTTGCGATGATCGCTGAATATGTCGAACCAGATAGGAGCTGCTCATGAGCGTGTATCCAGCCTGTTGATACAAGAGCCCTCTTCTCGTGGAAATGATGAGCTCTCGAATGCCAGCTCCAGCTCCTCCTAAAACAATATCTAAATAACGCAAAATGGTGTAGCCAGCGCAGTGTAAGTCAGGCGAATCTTTCTCCCGAGATCCTATTGCATACTTATTGGGCCGTAGACTCCAAGAGGCCTCTGACTGGTATCTTTCTGAACTTCCCTGCAAAAACGTCTTCAGCCCTTCCACCACGTACGGCCACCAAGCGTATCGGCAAGGAATGCAGGCAGGCCAGTATGTTGATGTGTGAGAAAGATCTAACGTATGAATGATAGCTTGTGATCTGTTTTGAGGAGGGAGAAGCATGTATTGCTTCCACAGTCAACGAGGTAGCTTGTATGTGCATCCATTGCAAGCAGATGAGCACGTTGTGCACGTGAGGTGAGTCGTTGTGCACGGAATGGCTCGAGTGTGACGAGCTACAAGTGTGTCAGCTCAATGCAGCAGAAGACCAGTATCAAGAGTGCTAGATTAATATCCTGGCCTGATGAAAAAATCTATAGCAGTTCGATGATCATGAGGTCGCTTCTTGCTGGTGCGACGAGATCAGATGGTCAGAGTCCCTACAAAAAATTTGGACCGGCAGATTACCGGCGGAAATTACCAGAGTAATACCGGCGGAATACCGGCGGAAAATTCCTAACTCTGCAGGCGCAGTAATACCAGCAGACTACCGGCGGAAATAAGCACGCCTTCACCAGAGCCAACCGGATGAGTACCAGAGGGTATCACCTGCCAACGGGTGAAGCTCAATAGATGCTGTAGCGACAGTAGATGTAGCAACTAGACCATCTACGACACACTACAGACGTGCTGCCGCTTTCTTGGCCTTCTCGGCAGACTTGCGCGTCTTTTTTGCTTGTGATGCTGCAGTCTTGGCCTTGGTCATAGTAGCGCTGCCTTGGTCAGCATCCTGTGCTCTACGAGATAGCTTTGATGTTCTTCCAAACTAGAAATGCATCGTTAGTATGTCATGGTAGGAGTAGTAGAAGTGCATACCATGCGAGACGAGGAGGCAGATCGATCTTTGCTTGACTTCTGGCCACTGGGTCAGTCTTATATCACCAAAAATGGAACAGACTTGCCTTGGAAACATGAGAATTCTTGTTTGCTTGACGCTACATCTTGTTAGCCAATACTGTCTCCTCCGCATAATTGGCTCACATTGTGCTGAGACGAAGTTGGCCGCAACTGAATATCTTAGTGAGGTACATAAGGCAGAAGGAGGAACCCACAATTCTCGATGCAGCCTCGTCAATACCATCGTCTTCAGAGAGGGCGTAAGCGGGTGTCTCGCAGCGGGTATTCTCATTATCGAGGCGAGCAGATGACGCTCCATGGGCAACGTCGTGCTCGTGGATGATATCATCGTCTTGGGAAGAAGCAGCAGTAGTAGTCTCTCTGTAGACTTTCGCCTTACGCGTCTGTGGGTGCGTCAGTCAAGAGCTTGCAAGGTACAAAGACACTCTCACCGCCTCATTCACCACCTTCGCGTGGGGCTGGCAGATAGTCAAGGCAATCTAATGTCCATGAGCTCGTCCCAGCACAGGGACAGCCAAATCCAACTTGTGGATGACCGTCTGGAGCTTCCCAACGCTGCGGTGACGCCATGTGACCATCCTGCCTTGCGCATCGACCACAATCTAGTGAGTGTCCATCAGGTACCGTACATGTGCCGTGATGTTGATCCATGTGGCGTCGCGCAATGGCGTTCGCGGCCAGAGTCCCATTGCGAGTCGTAGTGTCTTTGTAGAGGAACTATCGGTTCTAGAGACGCTATGCAACGTGCGCTTGGATCTTAATGTATATCGATACGCTCAATCGATCCTGCGAGCCTGGTGTAGTCTTCCAGACTGTCGGTGGGAGATCCCTCTTCCTATCTAGGTCAGTCGACGGTATCGAGCTTGCAGCGTGCGCTGCTCACGCTAGTAGTGGAGAACCTGTCTTGAGAAGAGTGATGGAGCAGCTGGAGATGCCACATGCTCGAATGGGTAAGCTCAAGGACAGTGAGGTGTTGTCTACAAGCAGCAAGACGGTGCAGGGCAGATGCGTGTGCTGGTCATCCCATCTCGTCCTGAAGTGCACGTGACGAGACAAGAGTGAAGCAAACCGCCAAAGTCGGCGACACTCAAGATTCGCTAGCGCTACACTCTTCCAGGTGTCAGCCTGCAAACGCTGACTTGGGATCGTGGATAAGATGCGAAGTGGCTAGTCGTCAGGGCACCACAAAGATCCTCGTTGTGAAGTGTGCTGCGAATGACCTCCATTCACGAAGCAAGGTCGCGTTCAGTGAGCAGACGCATGAAGCGCCCGAGGTTGACGACAATGCAATCGTGAGCTATGGGGAAGTCTCTATCTGTTTGAACACGATAGCAGGTATTTTGCGATCATCAAGGTCTCGAAGACCAAAGTGTCGTGCGGCGCAAAGTCTCTCAGCAAGCAAGGACACATATTGCAGGTCATTGTGCCAGTTTGCCGTCTTCTTGTCTAGCATCATACCATCATACGCCTCCTACAGTCTGGTAGACAAAAGGAAGCGTCATGAACATCACAAAGTAGCACCACACCCTACAAAAGATCTTGAGAGTGGGTGCGCGTGAATCGAGTGGATGTGTGGGAATTCATGGTAGGGAGCTGTGCGCGGGATTGCGTGGGACTGGGCAGGAACAACATCATAGCGCCAGGTTCAAGAGCAGCATTGGGCTTGAAGATGTGGCAGCGACCGCAACCGATAGACAGGCACAACAAGGTGTCAGGTTAGTGTTTCCTCAAGTGCCAGGCGGTGCCAGACACTAGCGGAGGTTGGAACGTTTATCATGCAGCAAAGCTTGATTTGTTGACGTAGAACTATCGCTTTGCAACTGCATGACAGCAGACTACTAGACAACGGCACGAAGCTTGGAGAAGCAGGGAATCGTTGTACCGTCAAGATGTAGACTTTCAGCTTGTGATGCCGACCGACAAGTTGTCAGTATGCGAAGCAGAGGCAGACAGACTAAAGCGCAAACTCAACTCGGTAGCCGCTGACGGCATATGTTATTAGACCAGTGGCAGCATGCATCATACTGATCAAGTCGTGATACTGGCAGAATGAGCCGACTCTTCATATCCTTGATGCTCGATAGTCATGTACAAGCCTAGCTATAGCACTGTGCACCGCTTGAGAGTTGCGAGCTTGCGGACGCGAGCCAGAACCTGTATCATCTCAGTTGTCGTGAGCCAGAACATGTATCATCTCAGTCATCGTGAATTTGAGGCGCAAGAAGCATGCAGCTTTGTCAATGTACGCAGATGTCCCGTGATCTTGCCAGAAGCAGCGCACTCTGTAAGGACTGCTGCCAGCTGCAGTGTGCTGGTGCCTCAATTCTCTCAGTCCTCAACTTCCAACCCAAACCTCAACCCACACAGTCAACAACATTGCCCTTAATAGCCTGCAATTGGCTACAAGCATTCTGATGCAAGCTCCATCACCTTACTGACTTCTACAGCTAGCTACTGAGCGAGTACGTCTCTGCTGCAAGCGCTTTTTTTGTCTCGTCAGGCAGTCTTTCCAGGCTAATATCCACCTTGCCAGTGGTATGCCGTCTCTCATCTTGCGCAAGCTTTCTCTACTTGTACTAACACGCTTTACACACTCATCAGCAGGTCATGCAAGCGCTTCTTCATCTTGTCAAGCGGTCTCTCTTTGCTGGTTCACTTTCCTGTCTGTTGGTCTGCCTTCTCTCGCCTTGCGCAATCTCTCTCTGCTTATACCAGCGCGCGTGGTATCGCCAGCTCACCTTTCATGCGAGTGCTTGCAGCAACCACTTCTCTCTCTCATTACTGGGCATTGTCTTGCACTGGTGGCTATTGTTTGATGGCTTTCCTCTCGATTTGGTCTCGTCCTTGACGCCAACCTCAACCTCTACCTCTGACTCTATTGTTGCTCTCGCGCTGGCACAATAAGTCGCACTTTGTGTCTCTCAATCAGAACCAGCTCGATATCCATTGCTTCCATCATTCACACCCTTTACCAACACGACCACGCCATTGCATCACAGGCACTACAAGTATCATTGGCGTGCTGCAGGCGATCCCTGATGTACTGTGTAGATAGTCAACCTACGGTAGATCCTGATCGCATGATAGCAAAGTGAACGGATCCACCGCGGTGACCACTTTACTAGTCCCACATGTTCACACACTTTCACGCGTGTTGCCTGATATTCACGCTCATTCACGATTCACGACCGTTCCTGCTCATTTTGTATGGTCTCGAGGGTGCCTCGTGGATAACATTGAGAGCTCTTTCGATATCAGCACTGTGTAAACAAGACAGAAGCCCAACCAATAGTGATCACCACCCAGCCCCATTGGCCGGCGCACACAGGATGGCCCGTTCCCTTGAGCGATTTTTGGCTGCAGCGGAAGTGGGTTTTAAGGGGGTAGCTCGACTTGGATGGCCATCAGGGGCAGCTGACAAAGACGAGTCCGAATCTCTTACGGCAGATGCAAGACGTCCGACAAGCTTCATGGCAGTGCGAGCCTTTCCAGCGGATCAACGGCTATAGCTATCGAGGTTGAAGACTTCGACTGGAGTTCTACATCGTCGTGTGAACCTGAACGTGCCGAAAATGTTTCGATCGGTGCGGCAGGTGACAACTAAGCTGCAGCAGGTTGAGAACAATCCACAGCACTGCAACAAAATGCATTTGCACACGCGTACGGATAATTGAATTGAATATCAGCATGGTCGCGTGCGGCCACCAGCCCCTGCGGATCTGCAATTATGTTTGCTCAAAAGGTACCTCCTGCACGAAGCATGTGGCAGCATTCGAATTGGCCCCTAGGCCACGAAAAAAGTAAAGACAACACCGTGATGAGGAGCTTGACCTGATCACGTCTGCCGCAGATTATTCCGCTGCGAGCCTAAAAAGCAACAGCTCAAAGGCTTGAGCTTAGTCTGACAGACAACGTTGGACCGTTTGTCGATCGCAAGTATCATTCGCGATGCGAGTGTGCTGCACAACGTCCTATGTTTGGCTCTTGATGACAAGTTTGTGTATGGTGTTGTTGCTTTACAACGTCACTGCTTCAGCTGGTCGCACTGCAGCTGGCGAGTCCTCCAAGTCAAAAGCCGCTTCCAAAATCAAACGTCCACGGACTGGATCTTCAATCAATTCACCAGCTTCAAAAAAGACTCGAAACCCATTGCCAGGTGAAGCCAAGCGACTGAAGTCTGCATTCCACCAAGAAAATGTCCCAGAGTGCCGAAATGTGTCGGTCAATTATCACGTCCTTTTCGACCCCAGGAATGATCCAGATACAACTCGAGCCCGACCTATCAACGCTCCACACACATCGTCCTCAGAAAGTGACAGTTCTTGCAAGACGGACTGTCAGCAGAAGATCGACCGCTTCGAAAGAAGATTGATCGAAGCAATACGGATGAAGAACCGACCCCCTGCGTGTTGGGCAAGTAAAAGGTTCAGCATCGTGCAGCGAAGAGCAACCCTGGTGGGTGACGATATCAGCACTATGCAACGAGAAGTAAGCCTGACGGGTTGCGACTCTCCAAACTGCCACATGCTATCTACATTGTGTCAGTGCAGTTTCAACTTGATGATTCCTGAGCAGATGAATGCCACGAGAGCAGAAATTCAAAGTGAGAGATTGCGCCTATCCAGAGGGGGTGTGTATACCCAAATTTCATGGTGCGACTTGCGACAGTTTCCAGCGACGATGTCCAATGATCTGGGGAACACAGGGCAAGTGTTCCAGGAGAAGATGGCGGAACAGCAGAAAATGGAGGTGGGAAAAATAGAGAAGCAAAGCTGGCCACTTCTCGGATGGCAATCCGTCCCGAAGGAAGCTGTCATACTGGGAGTTCCTTTTTCTTGCCCAGAGCCACTAGCAAAGGGCGCAGAAAGGAAGCTTTCAAGCAAAGTGGAGGAAATTTGTATTTGTCCCAACAATCACGACAATGACAAAAGGCAGTGCAGTCATAAAGAGTTGATATGCGAGACAGTCAGCTTGGCTCAGGCTGTTGACAACTTGCGAAGGGGTGGAGGTGGGTTGTTCGACGTTTACGTGGAAAAGTTCCCCCAGCTGAAGGATTATGTGGAACCCATTTCAGGCACAGCAATAGCGACCGACCAGGTATCGCAAGAAAACTGGGCAACGCTGCTCGCCGCAGTTGATTCGGTCATTGAAAGAGGCTTGGATAGCGACCTCAACCTACCTGCAGAAGCGAACGACGAATTTTGACTTGCTCGGGGTCTGGATGCGCACCTCTGCTTCTTCCGTTGCAGACGCCAAACAGTTCCATGCGCATCCCATCATTGAGCAATGAAAACACCTTCACCGACCGCGAAACAGTGAAACATGCTCAGATTTTTTATTTCATATCATAGATGATGTAGTCAACACCTCAACCAACAAGATCCAGGGACAACGCATCCAAACGTGGCCCTATCGACCAATGTTCTACTTGTTCAGGGCTCGGCCGCTTTACCTTAACACTCGAGGGCGAGGTGTCTAGCATCATACCACAGTAAGCAGCAATGACTTTGCCTTTGTAACCGTAAAAGGCCATGGCACTATTGCGCTGCTTTGCACTATGCGAGACGGCTGCAGGACCTTTGCATTGGGAATCGTCTGCAAACAGCATCTCGAGAATCTCTTGTGTCGCCGATGATGCTTGCCGTGCAATTTGGTCACATAGCTGCATACAATGCTGTACTCGTTGCCCTTTCCCACCATATCGACCTGGAAAGTGCGTCGACGCAAGTATCTTCGCCTGGCATCCCGATGTAAACGCACCTGCCACTTCAGATATATTGTGTCTCCAACTCTCTGCACGCTCTCGTACTGAAACGAGCGTATCGCTGGGTTTTCCATGCGGTGGTGGTAGCTACGCATTAGTTGACTCATGCAAGACAAGCGAAACAACGCTTCCTTCAAGGTGTGGTAGACAAGCCGAAGCGTCATGGGTGTCGCCGAGTAGGACTATTGTTCGACCAAACTCTTTCGACAGGAGACCTACTGTGCTGCCTGTGAGTGGAGCGATGGTCTGAGCGGCTTGTAGCGCTGTTAATGCTGCAATATGTTCCGCATTGACGTCGCCAAATGCGATCATAAGAGTCGTGAATGTCTGTTGTGTGATCTCCTCAAGATCATGCGGTCGATTGTGGCAAAGCTGATGCGTGTGCGCTTTCGTGCTTTACCACCGCGCATTCGTTTCTCAAAGACCGCCTTATCGACAGAAGCCTTGAGTATCGAGAAGTCATGAGGCTCAAGCGTGAACTGCTCTGCTGAGAAGCGTTGAATTGCTGCTTGAAAGATGCAACGTAGACCGCGGAGCATCCACTGTTGTTGTTAAGCTCAGTGATTGCACTGCGACGCATCTCGAATTCTGTTGTGTAGCGGGCAGCCGTGAAAGCAGCATGCGTGAGTTGATGAAGATCCTGCTGGGCTGCTTCGCGAAAGATGAAGCCAAGGGTGGGGACAGTGTGTTGAACGGCGACTGCATCGACGATGATGCGGTAATTGAGGGATATGCTGGACTAGATGATAGCTTGTAGTCTGTTGTGAGGAGGGAGAAGCCTGTATTGCTTCCACAGTCAATGAGGTAGCTTATTTGTGCATCCAGTGCGAGCAGATGAGCACTTTGTGTGTGTCAGGTGGTTTGATTTGCACAGGATGTCCCGAGCGTGACAATTCGCATATGTGTCAGACAACAGCATCAGTAGCAAAAGTGCTAGATTACAATTTTGGCCTGATGAACAAGATGTAGAGCAGCTCGATGATCATGAGGCCACTTCTTGCTGGTACGACGAGATCAGATGGGCAGAGTATGCTCAGCTGCAGCTGCAGCTAAGCTCTAGCTCAAATAAGGCCGGCCTCCTGAGAGCCGGCGAACTAGTCTATAGCGTTTCGAGTCACACTCTAGCTATAGCAGAGAAGCCTGTTTGCAGAGCCTGAGGTGACAATCAACTATACAATGGTTAGCAGTTTGATACAAAAATAGCATTCAAGTTGCCTGCATGAGTGGTTTTGCATCACCTTCTTGGAGGTCTCTGAGATGACTTGTGCTAGACAAGAGAGGCTTCTGCGGCCTCTGCTTCCCATTGAAATCGATACATGATATCGTGGAGCGAGGGGAATGGTCGTCTTTACAGTTTTTACATCGAGAGCTCTTTCGATATCAGAGAGTTTTCAAACAAGGCAAAAGGTCAACAGGACGTAATCACAAGTCAGCTCGAGTGACCGGCGCCCACGGAAAAGTTCGTTCTCCAGAGCGCTTGATGACTGCATCGGAAGTGGTTTCTGCCGGGATTGACGGCAATGTTGACCAAGGACAGCTGACGAAGACAAGTCCGTATCCCTTACGGCATAAACGAAAGAACTGACAAGCATCAAAGCAGTGCGAGGCTCATTCACCAGAGTCACAGCTGTAGCTGTCGAAGTTGGAGACTTTGAATGGAGTTTTACGTCGACGTGTCAACCAGAAAAAGGCAGGCCCGGACTCATCTCCATTGCTGCAGCATGTGACACCTAAGCTGCAGGGGCTGAGAACCATGCACAGAACCGTGTCAATATGAGAATGGAATAGCACACGCGTACGGACAGTTCAATTGCTGAGAGAGTGCATATCAGCATGGGCTCATGGTGATGGAGTCACCGGCCGCTGCGGAGGTGTAAATGTGTTTGCGCAAAAGGCTACCTCAAAGTGACTGCATGAAGCATGCAGCAGCATTCAAAGTCATCCCTCAAGCAAGGAGAATACAACATCATGTTGAGGAGCTCGAAATAATCACGTATGCTGCGAACAATCTTGCTGCGAGCCTGAAGCGACAATCTTGTGGCCTGGGCTAAGTTCAACATACAACTTCACACCGTTCGTCGATCGCAAGTACTGTTCGCGATGCGAGCGTCCAGCACAATGTCGTCCGTCTGGCTGTTTTTGATCGGTTTGAATATGGTCTCGTTGCTCCACAACGTCACTGCTGCAGCTGTTCGCACTGGCGAGGCCGCCAGCTCTGAAGCCACTCTCGGTCGCAAGCGCCCAAGGCCTGGGACTTTAACTGATGCATCATCTGCAGGAGGGATCGTTATCCCATGGCCAGGTGGAGCCGAACACTCATCGCCTCCAAACAACCCAAACGACAAAGGGATTCTCCGAACGAATCAGCCAGAGTGCCGCAATGTGTCGATTGGTTATCACGTCCTTTTCAACCCAGCACATGAGTCAGCAAATGAGCCAGAAACAAGTGAAGCCCAATCAATTCATGCTCCTAGTACGTTGGCCTTGGCTAGCAAAGAACCTTGCTTTACGCCTTGTGAAGGCAAGATCAATAAATTTGCAAGCGATTTGATCCAAGCAATCCAAGCAATGCGACAGAGTAGAAAGAAACCTAGATGTTGGGCGAGCTACAAGTTCAGCATCGTGCAGCGAAGAGCAAGGTCAGTGGGGTGCGACACTTCACTGACTCTTGGCTGCCCCCTGTCATCGTTGTGTGAGTGCAATTTTCACTTGATGGTTCCAGAGCAAATGAATGCGACGAAACAAGAAATGCAGAACGCGAGAAGAGGCCTTTCAGCGTTCACGGGATGCAATTTGCGACAGTTTCCGACGACCATGTCTCATGACTTCGACGATACAAGCATAGATCCCAAACTGCTGTTTAAGGCCCAGAAGAATATGGCAGATGTAGAAAAGCGAAGTTGGCCACTTTTAGGTTGGCGATCGATACCGGGGGAGGCTTTCGTGGTGCAAGGACCCGATCGTTGCCCCAAGCCACCAGCCACGGAAACGAAGGAGGAGTTCTTATCTTGGGGACGAAGAGCACACACGAAGGAGATCATCGCCGAGGTTTGTCTTTGTCCCCCAAACCGTGACAATGTTGAAGGACAGTGCAGTCATACACAGTTGGTATGCGAGACAATCAGCTTGGCTCAGGCCATTGCCAACTTGCGAAGGGGTGGAGCTGATTTGTTCGACGTTTACGTGAAACAGTTCCCCCAGCTGAAGAACTATGTGGAGCCCATTCCTGGCACTGCCATAGCGACCGATCAAGTTCCGCAACAAAATTGGGCAAGGATGCTTCCTGTGATTGCGTCGAACCTTCAAAACGGTTTGGATATCGACCTCAACGTCCCTGCAAAAGCGAACGACGAATTTTGACTTGTTCGGGACCTGAATGTGCACTTCTGCTTCTTATGTTGCCAACGCCAAACAGTTCCATGCGCGTTCCTCATTGAGCGATGAAGACACCTTCACCGGCCGCGAAACAGTGAAACATGCTCAGCTTTTTCATTTCATATCATAGATGATGTAGCCAACAACTCAACCAATGAGATCCAGAGACAACGCATCCAAGCGTGGCACTATCGACCAATGTGCTACTTGTTCAGAGCTCGTGCGCTTTGCCTTAACACTCGAGGGCGAGCAACGTCTAGCATCATACCATAGTAAGCAGCAATGACCTTGCCTTTGTAATTGTAAAAGGCCATGGCACCATTGCGCTGCTTTGCACTATGCGAGACGGCTGCCGGACCTTTGCGTTGGGAATCGTCTGCGAACAGCATCTCGAAAGTTTCTCATGTCGCCGATGATGCTTGCTGTGCAATTTGCTAAAAGAGCTGCATACATTGCCTTGCTCGTTGCTCTTGTACTGAACGAGCGTATCGCTGGATTTACCATCCGGCGGTGGAAGACACGCGCTTGTGGACTTACGCAAGACAAGCGAAACATCGCTTCTTTCACGATGAGATTTTAGACATGCGGAAGCGTCATGCGTGTCGCCGAGTAAAATCACTGTACGGCCACACTCCTTTGGCAGTGGACATGTTGTGCTGCCTGTGGGTGAAGCGATTGTCTGACCGGCTTTGATCGCTATTCATGCTGCACCGCGTTCCACATTGGCGTCGCCAAATGCGGCCATGAAAGTAGTAAATGTCTGTTATGTGATCTCCGCAAAGTCTGCTCCGCGAGAGATGAAGTCAAGTGTGTTGATAGTGTGTTGAATAGTGATCGCATCGACGGTGATGCGATGATCACTGTATTCCCTGGACCAGAAGGGCTGCTGATGAGCCTCCATCCGGCCTTTCAATCAAAGAGGCTTCTTTTGGTGGAGATGACGGGCCCTCAAACGCTTGCTCGTCATCAAACAATAATTCCGATGACGCGGAACGGTGATGCCAGGGCAGAGGAAGTCAAGAGAAAATTTGCCCTTAGAAACTCTTGTGTATCCAGTGGGCCATAGATTTCAAGAGACCGTTCTCCAGTACCTTCTCTGAGCTTGCCTGCAGCAACATCTTCAGCTCTCCGGCCGTGACCACCGAGCAACTCGGCAAGGAGTGCAGGCAGGCCGATACAATGGTCGGCATGTAGATGTGTGAGAAAGATTACGCGTATAGATGATAGCTTGCAGTCTGTTTTGAGGAGGGAGAAGCCAGTATCGCTTCCACAGTCAACGAGGTAGCTTGTATGTGCATCCAGTGCGAGTAGATGAGCACTTTGTGTGCGTGAGGTGGTCTGTTGTGCACAGGATGTCCCGAGCGCGACGAGCCGCATGTGTGTCAGATCCAAACAGCAGAAGACCACCAGCAAGAGTGCTAGATCACAAGCTTGGACTGATGAAAAAGATGCAAAGCAGCGCGATGATCATGAGGTCACTTCTTGCTGGTGTGAGGAGATCAGATGGGCAGAGTATCCTCAGCTGTAGCCAAGCTCAAGCTAATTTCACTAAGGCTGACTCCTGATTCCTGGGGACCCGGTCTTCACAGTGTTGTGTCATAGTCTGATAGAAGATCCTGTCTGCAGAGATCGAGGCGACAATCAACCACAAAAGATGGCCGGTTGACACGAAAATGGCAAACAAGTTATTTGCATGACAGGTTCGGCAAGACCTTCTTTCAGAGACCTGCGATGACTTGTGCTAGACAAGAGAGGCTTTTGTGCCCTGTGCTCCCTACAAGAGTCTCCATGTAGGCATTTGTCTGAGGAAGCAGGTCGTGATGCCGGGGATTGCATGTGTGTCACCCCAACGGGACACCCGCTGGTGAAAACTGGTGCACACTGGTGACTCGCGCATGACTGGCAGGTGATAAAATAGTAATGCTGGTGAAACTCTGGAGCAAGCCGAAACACCACTTCCAGAGGCTGGCGGAGTCCCGGCGATCAACGGAAGACGAATAGCGGACGCTAGTGATCACCGTTGCCTGCACTATAGTTGTGCATATAGATAGAACGACCATGTAGTCATATCCGCTGGCATTCGTCCAGCTCACGCGCAACGCTTGGAACTGAAGCAATCCTATCCATGACATGTACCAAACCACATGATTTCTCAATCTGCATAGCATGACTACCTACATTTGAGACCAACATTCTGAACCCAGTAGCCCTCTGCTGTCCATCAAGCGACCTTGTCTTCAAGGCTTCAAGAAGCAAGGAACTCGAGTAGTCGGTATGCGGTGCTCGTTGTGAAGTTGGACTTTGTTGTTTTTGAACTTTGGCACTCCTGCGACTGTCAAGCTCGCGCTACTCGCTACAGTACAACTCATGGTCGCTGCACATGCAAGCGCCCCGATCTAGACGCACATCTCTCAGTCTCTCTTTCTCTGTGTCTGTCTGTCAAGTATTCTGACCAGCAACGTCAGATCAATGCTGTTCTGCGTAGCGCGGTAGAGTCCAACATGCCAAGCAAATGGACAGCCAATATCCTCTCTCAACCTTGATTCTGGGAGAGCAAAGAAAGTAGTGCGTCTCCTAGCTCTTGCAACAGATGATCAGCATGCTAGAGTCTTGCTCAATGCCTTTGATCGAAGCGTTCTTCCCTTGTCGTTCACCGAACCAGCTCGGCAGCCTCGAGCTGGCATCGCATCAGGCACAGCCAACAGCGACCCAGTGGCTTCATCTGACAACGTCTCTATCTCTTCTGATACACTACGCTGTGTCTAACGCAGTCTGGAGGATGATCTAGACCAGCTTGAACGGCTTGCACACGACACACGCATGATCAAGGTACCAGCACGACCACGACGCGTGTCAAAGGATGGTTACAAGCGCACTGAGGTCCATGCTGTCGAATCCATTCACAAAGCGTTGCCGAGCTAAAAAAGGCAGTTCGTTATCTTGATCGCGACTTCCCGTCTCTCGTCAGGGCACAAGCGAACTGGATTTCCATGGCCATCTTTCAGCATGGTGCCAAGAATATGCAAGTCGCCGTACGTGATGACGCCCAACAACCTAACCAACGGTTCCTTACTGACACAGCAGTTGAAGCACAAGAAGCGTCTGGCAGAGGCTCAGCAGCAGGGCAATGACGACGAAAACGACAGGCAGGCACGACAAGCACAACGCAATGCACAAAACACTGCGCCAAACGGGAAGGGGGGCGACGACAGCGATACAGATACCGCACAACTACATTGTACCGTACACCACTTCTGCCCTCGCTTGTCTTGAACCCTACCGACTACTACAAAGAAACGCAGCCGTCCAATGACAGCCAGAGCTCAGCTGCTGCAGGCTGCAGCAAATAGCAGGGACTGACACGCCGCCACTGCCGACGAGATAGAACAAGTACGAAAGCGAGCAAGCGTGCAAGGCACCTTGCACGACAGTTGTAGGGAGTACATAGTAAGCGTTCATTGCTCTAGAGCTATGCTTGAGCCATTCAAAGCCCTGACGCGGTACCTGCAGGTCGCTTCGTGCTAGTCACCAGCAAAAGCCGGTCGCCACCTATCAATCGCTAGTTGACTACGCGTGATTCTGCATGACCTACTTGAAGGTCCGTGCGATGGCTTGTGCTGGTTTAGACAATCTCTGATGGCCTGTGCTCCATCAAAGTCTCTACAGTAGAATAAGAAGCTCAAGGGATAGACATTTTACCGTTTTGTCACCGAAGATCATCATTCACTGGTAGTACCTTCGCGCGAGGAGGACAAAATACACTTTGTATGGTCTCGAGGGTGCCTCCTGGTGAACATCGTGCGTCCTTTCGATACCAGCGATTGTGTGACAAAGTCAGAAGCTCAAAGGGACGTGATCACAAGCATGCTCAATCGACTGGCGTCTACGGGAAGGTGCGTTCTCTTGAGCGACTTCTGGCTGCAGTGGAAATGGTTACTGACGGGGTGGCCCGAGTTGGACGGCCATCTGCAGGGGCAGCTGACGAAGACGAGTCCGAGTCCTTACGGCAGAAACAAGGCAGCCGGTGAGTGTCAAGGCAGTGCGAGCTTTTCCAGCAGTCTGAAGGCCGCAGCTGTCGAGATTGAAGACTTTGAATGGAGTTCTACGTCATCGTGTCAACCTGAAAGTGTCGGTGCCAAGGATAGAAGTCTGGACGGTGGGGTGGACACGACCACGTGATGCACATTTCTCCCGAATTTATAAGCGCGCTAAAAACCGGTATAGGTGAATTGAGTTGACATCAATCATAATCATACTTTGCTCTAGGCTAGTCTATCGTTAAATCTATTGGAAGCACAATGCTTCATGTCCTTTTGTGTGAAGGTCGGACACTAACTCGCCCAGATCGTGTCGTGACCTCCACGAGGGGTACCTCAACTGCAGTTGTCACTTCAACAGAGCGAGTCGCTGTATCACTGCGTTTGGTGCGTGATGCAGACCTTTTGCCGGCTTGACTTGGCTTGGAATCCAAATCAGCTTCTTTCTGGGCCTGTTTGGCAGCCTTAGCGGCCTGGGAAGCGGCCTTCTTTTCAGCGCTTGCCGCATTGCGCACAACAACAGCCGCTGCACGCGCCTCACGTCTCCGCTGGACCTGAGACTCCTTGTTAGCCTTCTTCTGAGCCACTGCTGCCTTTCGGACTGCTTTGATCGCCTGCTGCTGTCGTTTGACCTCTTCCCGCTGCTCTATAAGTTCTCGCCTCAGCTCGACAGTCTCGCCGTCCGTAAACACGCCGGCCTGACTTTGGACAGCTCTCACTTGCTCGATGACGGTCAATGCCCTCTTCCTTGATCGTGTCTTCTAACTATTAGCCTTCTCAAGCTGCTCAATCCTGGCAGCTGCTGCCTTGTTCTCGGCTAAAAGTTTTGTGTGATGGTGGCCAATGTATTTGGAAGCTTTTCGCTGGCCAGGCGAACCTCTTGCAGATAACCGGTTCACGAAGGTTCGAATCTTGTGGGCCTTGGACACGGTCCCATAGCCTGTCGCGGGTCGAGCACTATCATGTTGCTGAGGCTCATTAGCAACGCTTGGAGTTCGAGGTCTCTGACGCAAGCCTTTGAGCACGACCTCTGCATTGACAGGCCAGAGACCCGTCTTTTGGAAAGAAGACTCAATCGTCTTCTTCACAAACGTCTTCTGCCATGCTTTCCAGAAGATCAAGAAGAAGTCACGCTTTTTGATGGCTGTATGTCCCTCCATAGTTGTGATCAAGTCGTTCAGGCCTTGTGAATAATATCCCGCAAGTGGACTGAAACAGCCTACATCGAGCGGCTGCAAGCTGTGCGTCGAATGAGGCGGGTAGAAGGCACATATAATCTTGAGCTCGATGCAGCGATCCAAGAATGCATCGGTCATATGTGACCCATGACCGTCGAGAAAAAGTAGCCTCCAAGACCTCCTTGCCTTCAACTTGGTCTCCTTCTCGAAAATCTTGTCCAGCCAGTCCAGGCCGTGCATGTTGGAAGTCCAGCCGTTAGGAGACGCAGCGAAATAGCAGCTATGCTCCTCACGCCTGAAGTCCTGGACCCAATCATCATGGACCTCTCCTGACTTCGCCTTGTAGATCAGGCCCGGTGACAGCGCAGTCCCATCCGCGCAGATTGTGGCCAGAACGGTAATCCACTCACGACTACCGTCTTGCACAGCCCTGGGCAATGTCTTTCCAACAAATTCCTGCTTGGTGAAGACTCTGCGCATCTTTGACAATTGGCCTAGCATGAAGCCCTTCTCGTCCATATTGTACAAGTTATCGGCAGTGATCCCGTATTTTTCGATCACCTCGCCCACTCTGATGAACCATGTCTTGTAGCTTACCGCAGAGTCCGCCTTGTGGCGCGCCAAGTCCAATGTTTGAAGAAAACCGCTGCTCACTTCCTCCTTGTGTCGCGCAATAAAACGCGTGACCCAATGCTGTCCGAGCTGGCGGCCAGCGAGTTTCGACGCGAAATTCATCACCATTGATGGCGGAGGCGAAACGCATTGATCGGTCAGTCGTACAATCCAGTCAATCACGCATTTTTCTTGATGTTTGTTGAGCGCCTGCATGTTCTCGAGCTTGACCCTCGTGGAGGTAGACTTCCCGCGGTATTGGCGCGAGAGGCTTGATCGGCCCACGTCATACTTTCTAGCTATGGCTGCTAGATTAGGCTTGTCTGTAGCATACGCCTCCGCAAGGGCGAGCTCCATCGTGCCCTCAGCTATAGAGATAACGCGTATTTAAGACGCGTTGTTTACTTATTTTATTTCGTGCATCACGTGTTCGTGTGGGCCCCACCGTCCAGACTTCTAATTCGATCGCTGCGGCAGGTGACATCTAAGCTGCAGCGGGTTGAGAACAATCCACAGGGGAGCCGTGAATTGTCCTGCGGGTAAACGTCCTGCGGCAGGACATTTACACTTTGAAACGTCCTGCCGCAGGACAATCGCACAGTGAAATGTCCTGCCAAAAATAGGCAGATCTCGCAACTTTTTCTTCCCCTCTGACACCCAGCTTGCAGCGTGCGGCCCTACATATACGGTCCACACTGACTCCATAGTGACTCCACAACACAAGGAGACCATCCTGTGACACCTAGGATGCCTATATCATTCTGCCAGAAACACTCACGAGCTTCGATTGACTCGTTCTGATCAATAGTCTATATGAAATGCCAATGGCTATATGATGTATGCCTATCTGGACTCAAATAACAACAGTGGTTTCAAGGATAGATAAGGTTGGCTCAGGATACTTGTTGCTTTTACTGCAGACGTTCGGGCTTCTTTTCCAACCGCTTTGGGTGTTGGAAAGCTGCAGATGCGACAGAGCGTCTGACCTGGTCTTCCAGTGCCTTCGTCGTCGCCACTGCCAGCTCACAAGAACACTGCTGACGCAATTACATCACTCAGGTTCGCCGAGACATGTTCTGCAGGCGCGTCAGTCTTGGATCGATCTACCATTTGTTGCTGTGGTTGGGCGTTGCCATTTCTGACCGTATTTGGATCGATATACCCAAGTCTGGAAGACTTTTAACCTCGCTACGTTTCGGACAACTATTCTGTGTTCTCTGACGAAGAAGGGCTGATTTTGCAAGCTGACTAGCTTGCTCTTTGTCAGTCTGATGGCTCGTTTGAAGAAAACATACATGTTACAGGCTGCCGCTGCAGAAAAAAACCATTGCCGAGTCTCATTCCCTCCTAGTATTCTCTTCATGCCGCTGTGAACTGGGCAGATTGAAGTGATGATTAAGATGAAGAGCCTATAAGTCGGCTGATAGCGATACGGGCCAGAGCGCTGGGCCTGAGTATACGCCGAAGTTGCTTGTTTCGCACTGCCCTGTCCGAACAGGCTGGCGGCAACGTGAGCGCCCCTGAAGCTGCTTGTCCGTGGAGGGCATGATCAGAGGATTTTGAGAGGCGGCTTGAAGCTTAAGGCATCTATGAGGATCTCGCACGGTTCATCAGCGGAGGCTGAGACTTGACTATGTTTTCTTAGCATCAGATGGCAGGCATGCAGTCAGCGGAAGTCTGGCAGCGGAACTGTCGTAAGGCGTCTGGATGCCCTGGCGAGGCTTCTAGTAAAGAGATTGACCAGATAACACGACTCTGTATGATAGCTCGTGATGTCTGTTGTACTCCATACCACTCTGCTATGTTCTCGTCTAGGCATCGAGCCGCACGGCTGGCCTTGATGGAAGGGAAAAAGCTGCGAGATCTGCTTATTTTTGGCAGAACATTTCACTGTGCGATTGTCCTGCGGCAGGACGTTTCAAAGTGTAAATGTCCTGCCGCAGGACGTTTACCCGCAGGACAATTCATGTGACCGAATCCACAGCTCTGTGTCAAGATGCATTTGCACACGCGTACAGGCAATTTGACTGTTGACAGAGTGCATATCAGCATGGTCGCGTGGAGTCACCGGCCCCTGTGGATCTGCATTGTGTTTGCGCAAAAGGCTACCTCAAAGTGACTGCATGAAGCATGATGCAGCATTTGAAATGATCTCGCAAGAAGGGGAACGACGATACCATGAGGAGCAACTCGAAATGACCACGTATGTTGCCAAGGTTTTTCCTGCAGGGCTGCAAAGCGGCATCTTTGAGCTCATCCAACACACAACTTCACGTCGTCCGTCGATCGCAAGCGTGCTCACAATGCGGGCGCCAAGCGCAAGTTGCACACGGTCTTATGTCTGGCTTTCTGTGACGATTTTGTATCTGGTCTTGTTACTCCACAACGTCTCAGCTGCAGCCGGTCGCACTAGCGCTTCCTCCGACTCTCGAGCTGCTTCCGGAGCCAAGCGTCCAAGGCCTGGATCTCCAATCAAACAGCCAGCTGCAAGAGAGACCGGAAACCCATCGCCAGGTGAAGTCAAGCGGAATTCTGGATACTTCCAAGAGAATTTCCCAGAGTGCCGAAATGTGTCGGTTGCTTATTACGGCCTTTTCGAAAAAGGAGCTGGGCCTTACCATGGAGCGCCAGGTACAAGTCGAGCCCAGTTTCCCAATCTACCTGGCATGTTTCCCCTAGCTAGCGAAGGATCTTGCGAGACGAAATGTGAGGAAAAGATCCACCACTTTGAGTTGGCTTTGGGTGACGCACTCCGGAAGTTGAAGAAGAAGCCTTTCTGTTGGACAAGTGACAGGTTCAGCATTGTGCAGCGAAGAGCAGGCTCAATGGGGTGCGACACTTCACTGACTCTAGGCTGCCGCCTTTCAGCTTCTTTGTGTCAGTGCACTTTCAATTTGATCATTCCTGAGCAAATGAATGCGACGAGACAAGAGATGAGGTATCCCAAACAGGGCGTGCCATCGGTCTGCGACATGCAACGTTTTCCTGCCACGATGTACTATCAATTCGTCGAAGGGAAAATGTTGACGGATGTGCTGAACGAGCAACGGAGCATTGTTGGAATAGAGAAGCGAAGCTGGCCACTTTTTGAGTGGCATTCTAGACCGAAAGAAGCTGTCATACAGGGAGATCCTTTTCTTTGCCCAGAGCCACCAGTCAAGGAAGCAGAGAAGGAGATCCGGCCTGGGAGAAAAAGACCAGACAGGCCGTCGAGGAAGGATTATGGTGACGTTTGTCTTTGTCCCGATTTTCAAGACAATGGTAAGGGGCAGTGCAGTCATAAGGAGCTGATATGCGAGACAATCAGCTTGACTCAGGCCATTGACAACTTGCGAAGGGGTGGAGGTGGGTTGTTCGACGTTTACGTGGAAAAGTTCCCCCAGCTGAAGGATTATGTGGAACCCATTTCAGGCACAGCAATAGCGACCGACCAGGTATCGCAAGAAAACTGGGCAACGCTGCTCGCCGCAGTTGATTCGGTCATTGAAAGAGGCTTGGATAGCGACCTCAACCTACCTGCAGAAGCGAACGACGAATTTTGACTTGCTCGGGGTCTGGATGCGCACTTCTGCATCTTATGTTGCAGACGCCAAAAAGTTTCATGCGGGTTCCATCAGTGAGCGATGAAGACACCTTCACCGACCGCGAATCCGTGAAACATGCTCAGCTTTTTCATTTCATATCATAGATGATGTAGTCAACAACTCAACCAACAAGATCTAGAGACAACGCATCGAAGCGTGGCACTATCGATCAATGTGCTACTTGTTCAGAGCTCGTGCGCTTTACCTTAACACTCGAGGACGAGGAATGTCTAGCATAATACCATCGGAAGCAGCAATGACTTTGCCTTTGTAACCGTAAAAGGCCATGGCACCATTGCGCTGCTTTGCACTATGCGAGACGGCTGCCGGACCTTTGCGTTGGGAATCGTCTGCAAACAGCAACTCGAGAGTCTCTTGTGTTGCCGATGATGCTTGTTGAGCAATTTGCTCACATAGCCGCATACAGTGCCTTGCCTGTTGTCCTTTGCCACCATATCGACTTGAAAAGTGCGTCAACACAAGTATCTTTGCCTGGCACGCCGATGCAAGAGCGCCTGCTACTCCAGGTTTACTATGTCCTCGATTTGCTGCACGCTCTCGTACCGAAACGAGAGTATCGCTGAGCTTACCGTATGGTGGTGGAAGGTATGCATTAGTTGACTCATGCAAGACGAGCGGAACAAGGCTTCAGTCCAGGCGCGGTAGACAAGCGGAAGGCGTCATGGGTGTCGCAGAGTAGGACCACTGTCCGGCCACGCTCTTTCGGCAGAGGCCTTACTGTGCTGCCTGTAGGTAGCGAGATGGCATGACCGGCTTTGAGCGCTGATAATGTTGCCCGGCGTTCTGCATTAGCATTGCAAAATGCAGCCATGAGAGTACTGGATGTCTGTTGTGTGATCTCCACAAAGTCTGCTCCGCTAAAGACGAAGCCAAGGGCGGGGTCGCTGTCTTGAATGGCCACTGCATCGACGGTGAAGCGAAGGGATGATTGCTGGATATGCTGAACCAGAAGAGCTGCTGATGAGTCTGCATCCGGCTTTTCGATACAAGAGGCTCTTTCTCGTGGAAATCGAAAATGGTGTGTCCCCGAATGCCAGCTACAGCTCCTCATAAAACAATATCTCAATGACGCGGAACGGTGATGCCAGCGCAGTGTAAGTCAAGCAAAAGTCTGTCCTTAGAGACACTTGTGTACTGAGTGGGCCATAGATCACACGAGGTCGTTGCCAGTGCCTTCTCTTCTCTGAGCTGCCCTGCAGGAGGTTTCCAGCTCTTCCACCGTAATGTCCTAGCACATCGGCGAGTACTGCAGGCAGGCCAAAGCAGTGGTCGGCATGTAGACGCGTGAGAAAGCCCTTGCGTATAGATGATAGTTTGAAGTCTGTTTTGAGGGGAGAAAAGCCGGTATCGCTTCCACAGTCAATGAGACCTTGTATGTGCATCCAATGCGAGTAGATGAGCAGTTTGTGTGCGTGAGGTGGTCTGTTGTGCACAAAATGTAGAGAATGCGATGAGCCGCATGTGCGTCAGATCGGAGCAGCAGAAGACCAGAAGCAACAGTGCTAGATCACAAGCTTGGGCTGATGAAAAAGATGTAAACCAGCTCGATGATCATGAGGTCACTTCTTGCTGGTGCGAAGAGACCAGACGGGCAGAGTAATCCCATCCTCAGCCGACGTCAAGCTCAAACAAAACCTATCTTCTGACTATTCAGACTTAGTCTACAGTGTGTCATACCATAGTCTAGTAGAGGAGCCTTTCCCTCCTCTTCAAAAGTTTGGCGATCAAATGCGCGGAACTCAGAGCCGTGAATTGAGTGATGCAAGGCGATGACTGCACCACAGTGTGTTCGCGGCAATGCGCGGGAACCCCTGGCGCGAAAGAGCGGCACAAGCCGGAACAGCGGAAATGAGCAGGGACGGTCGTGAGTTGGCCATCTCTGTGAGCGTGAATGAGCTTGAATCTCATGCAAAGCGCATGAAAATGTGTGAAAGTGTGGAACTTGCCAGTCACCGTAGTGGATCCGTTCACTTTGCTATCATGCGATCAAAATTTACAGTAGCTCGGCTATCTACACGTTTTCGGAGCATCAGGGATCGTCTACAGCAAGCCAATGATACTTCTAGTGCTTGTGATGCAATGGCGGTGGTCAGACTGATACAGGGTGTGAATGATGAAAGCAAGAGACACCGAGCTGGTTCTGAGTGCCCTACGGAAAATTTGGACCGGCAGATTACCGGCGGAAATTACCAGAAGAATCCAGCGGAATACCGGCGGAAATCCCTAACTTCGCAGGCGCAGTAATACCAGCAGACTACCAGCAGACTACCGGCAGACTACCGGCGGAAATAAGCACGCCTTTACCAGAGTCAACCGGAGGATTACCAGAGGATACCACCTGCCAGCGGGTGAGCTCAATAGATGCTGTAGCGACAGTAGGTGTAGCAACTAGACCATCTACGACACACTACAGACGTGCTGCCGCTTTCTTGGCCTTCTTGGCAGACTTGCGCGCCTTTTTCGCTTGTGATGCTGCAGTCTTGGCCTTGGTCATAGTAGTGCTGCCTTGCTCAGCGTCCTGTGCTCTGCGTGATAGCTTTGATGTTCTTCCAGACTAGAAATGCATCGTTAGTATGTCATGGTAGGAATAGCAGAAGTGCATACCTTGCGAGACGAGGAGGCAGATCGATCTTTGCTTGACTTCTGGCCACTGGTCAGTCTTATAACATCAAAGATGGGACGGACTTGCCTTGGAAACATGTGCATTTTTGTTTGCTTGACGCTACATCTTGTTAGCCAATGTTACCTCCGCATGATAGACTCACATTGTGCTGAGACGAAGTTGGCTGCAACTGGATATGTTAGTGAGGTACATCAGGCAAAAGGAGAAACCCACAACTCTCGATGCAGCCTCGTCAATATCATCGTCTTCAGAGAGGGCGTAAGCGGGTGTCTCGCAGCGGGTATTCTCGTCATCGAGGCGAGCAGATGATGCTCCATGGACAACGTCGTGTGCGTTGCTGAGCTCATCGTCTTGGGAAGAAGCAGCAGCAGTAGTCTTCTCTCTGTAGACTTTCGCTTTGCGCGTCTGTGGGTGCGTCAGTCAAGAGCTTGCAAGGTACAGGGACACTCTCAAGGACATGAAGAGTCGGCTCATTTTTCCAGGATCACGACTTGATCAGTATGATGCATGCTGCCACTGGTCTAATGACATATGCCGTCAGCGGCTACCGAGTTGAGTTTGCGCTTTAGTCTGTCTGCCTCTGCTTCGCAAACTAACAACTTGTCGGTCGGCATCACAAGCTGGAAATCTACATCTTGACGGTACGATCATTCTCTTCTTCCTCAAGCTTCGTGTCGTGGTCTAGCAGTCTGCTGTCATGGACTTGCCGAGCGATACTTCATCAAATCAAACTTTGCTGCATGGTAGACGTTTCAACCTGTTTCTGATTCTGCCGCCATTGTCTGGCACCGTCTGACACTTATGGAAAGACTAATCTGACACCTTGCTGTGCCTGTCTTTCGTATGCTGTCGCTGCCACATCTGCAAGCTAAATGCCGCTCATGGATTTGGCTCTATGATGTTATTCCTGCTCAGTCCCACAAATTCACGTGCGCGGCATCTCTCTTAGACTCTCTACCACAAATTCCCACACATCCCGTCTGCGGCATGACCCTCTTGGAGTTACCTGTGATGCTTTTGCTAGACAAGGTGAATCATTGCGCCTGTGTTACCCATCAAAGTCTCAATAGCTATAACATCATGAAGCTCAAGGAATGGAGAAGTCTGCGGTTTCTGTCTGGAAATGATTCAAGATGATCTGCAAGTTGTACTACGACGCGCAGGTTTGAGAGGGTTTATCTTGAATGAACTCGAAAGTGCTTCTCAATGAGCTTTGAGAGCTCTTTCGATTCTGCAAGCGTAGTTACCAGATGGAAAGTCAAGTGGGTGCGATCAAAAACCAGCTGGATCGTTGGAGACCCACGAGAAGGTCCGTTCTCTTGAGCAATCTTTGACCGTGGCAGGAGAAGAGTTTCATGCGGTCGTTCAATTTGACGGCCATCAGAACTAGCCGCCGAAGAAAAGACCGACCTTCTTAAAGCAGTAATAAGGGGGTTGACAAGCACCAGAGCAGTGCGAGCCTATCAAGCCAAAGTAATGTAGCTCTTAGCAGCTATGTTTGTTGAGAAAAGGGATTTTGGAATGGGATCCTACATTATCGCGTCAACCTGGAAGTGTCAATCCCAAAAACATCGACTGCTGCGCAGATGACATCTGAGCTGCAAGGGTTGGGAACAAAATCTCACATGTACATTGCGACTGGGAGCACGCGATTGCACACGCGTACGACCTTTACGATGGCAGACATGTCAGATTTCTTAGGTTGGCAACTTGCTTCTCCTTTGAACATGTCAGCGTGTCCCTATATAGGGGTAACCCCTGACCGAACGTGTCAGCAGTCACAGCTCTAGCATCTCCTAATATCTCTAACAAGACAGAGTCTATATCTGCAAGAGGAAGGGAAGAAGAAGTTGAGTTCGTGCAAAAGGCTAGCTCAAATGCAGCATTGGAAGTAACCCCTCAAGAAAAGAAAATACAACACCATAAGGAGGAGCTCAAAATGGCCCTTTATAGTGCGAACAAATTTATGCGAGCCCGGAAAGCGACAACCTTGAGCTCAGTCCAACAGAGAGTCTTACGCCGCTCGACGAATGCAAGTACCATTTACGATGCGGGCGCCCAGCACAACGTTTTGCATGTGGCTCTTCTTGACAAGTTCCTATATGGTCTTGTTCCTCCACGACGTCACTGCTGCAGCTGGTCGCAATGGCGGTGCTTCCGATTCTCAAGTCGTTTCCGATACCAAGCGTCCACGGACTGGGGATTCAATTGATACATCAGCTGCAGGAGGGACTGGAAATTCATTGTCAGGTACAGAAAAGCATCCATTCCACCAAACGAACGTTCCAGAGTGCGAAAATGCGTCGGTTGGTTACCACGTCCTTTTCAACCCAGGAAGTGGGCCTTACCGTGGAGTGTCAGGTACAAGTCAATTTCGACCCAGCGTTGCTCATAGCACGTCGGGCTCAGTTAGTGGAGAAGTTTGCAAGACGAAATGTCGAGAAAAGATGGTCGAATTTGAGAACAATTTGAGCTTCGCGATCCGGAAAAAGACACCTTTCTGTTGGACAAGTATCAGGTTCAGTATCGTGCAGCGAAGAGCATACTTGGTGGGGTGCGGCGCTCCGCTGACTGCAGGCTGCCCCATATCAGCTTCATTGTGTCAGTGCACTTTCAACTTGATCATCCCTGAGAAAATGACTGCGTTAAAGTCGGAGATGAGGGATTACAGAGTGCAAGAAGCGCAGAAGTCCGAAGCAGAGAAAGGCTTGATGACGTCAGTGTGCGACTTGCAACGATTCCCGGCGATAATGTCCTATGAACTGTTCTCCAGGGAAACAACTTTGAAGGGCGTGCGGACAAAAAATTCGGAAACTGCTGAGAAGGAGAAGCGAAGCTGGCCACTTTTCGGATGGCACTCCATGCCGGATGAAGCTATCAGACTGGGAAACCCTTTCTCATGCCCAGAGAAACAAGCTAAGGAAGCAGAGAAGGAGCTCCCGCTGGAAAGAAAAAGAGCAGCCAGGCCGAGCAGGGTCATCAAGGACATTTGTCTTTGTCCCAACAATCATGACGATGATGGGGCTCAGTGCAGTCGTACTGAGTGGATATGCGAGACAATCAGCTTGGCTCGGGCCATTGACAACTTGCGAAGGGGTAGAGGTGATTTGTTCGATGTTTACGTGGAAAAGTTTCCCCAGCTGAAGGATTATGTGGAACCTATTTCAGGCACTGCAATAGCGAACGACCAAGTTTCGCAACAAAACTGGGCAACGCTGCTTACTGCAGTTGGTTCGGGCAGTCGGAAAGGTTTGAATTTCGACCTCAACCTACCTGCTGCAGACGAAGGCGATGAGCTTTGACATGCTCAGGGTCTGATTGCACACTTCTGCGTCTCATGTTGCAGAGGCCAAGCAGTCGTATGAGCGTTCTTTCGCTGAGCAATGAAGACACCTTCACCGACCGCAAAACAGCAAATCATGCTGTTTTCTTTTTATCCTTTCATATCAAAGAGTATCAAAGATAATGCCGCGAACAATTCAAACAATTCGATTAAGAGACAACGTATTGAAGCGTGGCACTATCGACCAATGTACTACTTGGTCAGAGCTCATGCGCTTTACCTGAACATTGGAGTTCGAGGATTCTCTAGCATCACGCTCTAATAGGCAGCAATGACTTGGCCTTTGTGATCGGGGCCTGCCTAGCACCATTGAGCTACTCTGCACGATGCGAGGCGGAAGCTGAGGTATCTTCGTGTTGAGCATCGTCTACAAACAGCATTTTGAAAGTCTCTTGTTTTGCCGATGATGCTCGTTGAGCAATTTGCTCACATAGCTGCATACAATGCCTTGCCTGTTGCCCTTTCCCCCATTCTCGACTTGAAAAGTGCGTCAAAACAAGCATCTTTGCCTGTCACGCCAAAATAAAAGCGCCTTCGACTTCAGGCGTACCTTGGCTCTGACTTGCTGCACGTTCTTGTACTGGAACGAGCGTATCGCTGAGCTTACCGTACGCTGGTGGAAGGTACGCATTACCTGACTCATGCAAGACAAGCAAAACAACGCTTCGTTTCAGGTGCGGTAGACAAGCGGGAGCGTTATGGGCGTCGCAGAGTAGGACCACTGTATGGCCACGCTCTTTCGGCAGAGGCCTTACTGTGCTGCCTGTAAGTAGCGAGATGGCATGACCGGCTTTGAGCACTGATAATGTTGCCCGGCGTTCTGCATTAGCATTGCAAAATGCAGCCATGAGAGTACTGGATGTCTGATGTGAGATCTCGACAAAGTCCGCATCGCGAAAGATGAAGCCGAGGTTGGGGACAGTAAGTAGTATGGCGTCCGCATCGACGGTGATGCGATGATCGCAGGATATGCTGAACCAGAAGAGCTGTGAATGAGCCTGTATCCGGCCATTCAATAGTCAATAGAAGAGGCTTCTCCTGGTGGAATGATGTGCCCTCGAACGCTTGCTCGTCATTAAACAATAACTTCAATATCGGGGAACGATGATGCCAGCGCAATGTATGCATATGTCAGGCGAAAATTTGTCCTTAGAAACTCTTGTGTACCAAGTGGGCCATAGACCAATTGCCAATGCCCTCTCGGAGCTTCGCTGCCGCAGTGTGCTCAGCCTTTTTGCCGTATCCACACCGAGCAAATCGGCAAGGACTGCAGGCTATCCGATACAGTGATCGGCATGTTGATGTGTGAGAAAGATCTTGCGTATAGATGATAGCTTGTAGTCTGTTTGGAGGAGGGGGAAGCCTGTATTGCTTCCACAGTCAACGAGATAGCTTGTCTGTCTATCCCATGCGAGCAGATGAGCGCTTTGTGTGTGTGAGGATTTTGTTGTGCACTGCAGGATGTCCCGAGCGTGACGAGCCGCAAGCTCAAGTCTGTCAAATCAAAAAAGCAGAACCCCAATAAGTCTTAGCACGAGTGCTAGATTACAACCTTGGGCTGATGGAGAAGATGTTGAGCAGCTCGATGATCATGAGGTCACCAGTACTTCTTGCTGGCGCGACGAGATCAGATGGGCAGAGTATCCTCAGCCGAATCCAAGCCCAGATAGGGTTTGGCTCTCTGAGCCCCCGGGGCCTACTTTACAGCTCTTTGTCCATAGTCTAACAGAGGAACCTATCTGCTGAGATTGAGATGACAATCTATCATACTAGAGGGCAGTTTGGCCAAAGATGGCATACAAGTAGTTTGCATAAGTGGTTTTGCAAGACCTTCTTGCAAGTCCCTCCGATGACCTGTGCTGGACAAGACAGGCTTTTGCAAACTTCACTTCAAGCAATAGATTATTTTAAGTATGAACCGATAATGCTGATTGCGTGTTCGTTACAAAGACGATGGTATCGAAGAGGAAGCATCGAGAGTTGTGGATTCCTCCTTCTGTCTGACGTACCTCACTAGCGTATACAGAGGCAACCAAGTCAGCCTATCATGCGGAGGAGACATTGGCGAAGAAAATGTAGCGCCAAGCAAACTCGTACTCTCGTATTTCGAAGGCAAGTCTGTCCTATCTTTGTTATGAGACTGATCAGTAGGGTGAAGTCAAGCAAACGACGATCTGAAGCCTCCTCGTCTCGCAAGGTTGCACTTCTGCTGCTCATATATTAACATACTAACCATGCATTTGTAGTCTGGAAAAACTTTAAAGCTATCACACAAGGAACAAGATGCTGAGCATGGCAGCAACACTACGACCAAGGCCAAGTCTGTAGCATCCCAAGCAAAGAAGGCGCACAAGTCTGCCAAGAGGGCTAAAAAAGAAGCGTCAGCACGTCTGTAGTGTGCTGTAGATGGTCTAGTTTCTATACTCACTGTCACTACTCCATCTCATGAGTTACTGTAGCTGTCGAGATTGAAGACTTTGAATGAAGCTTTACGTCGACGTGTCACCCAGAAATTGTCAGGCCTGGAATTATTTCGATTGCTGCGGCAGGTGAAATCCAAGCTGCAGGGAATTAAGAACAATATACAGCACCGTTTTTCAACATTCAAGTGCGTTTGTAGACGCGTATGGACACTCCAGTTGCTGAAAGGGTGCACATCAGCATGGACACCTGGAGTCACCAGCCGCTGCGGAGGTTCAATCTTGTTTGCACAAAAGGCTACCTCAATGTGACTGCATGAAGCATGTAGCAGCATTCGAAGTGATCCCTCAAGAAAAGGCATAACAGCATCAATAGGAGCTTGGCAAGGCTCCGTGTGTTGCGAGCAATTTTGCCGCGAGCCTGGAAAGCGCAAACTTGGAGCTCAGTCCGACAAACGACTTCACACCGTTTGTCGATTGCAAGTACTGTTCGCGATGCGAGCGCCCTGCACAACGTCCTATTTTTGGCTCTTTATGATGACAGTGTATCTGGTCTTGTCTTTCCACAATTGCACTGCTGCAGCCGGTCGCACTGCCAGTTCATCCGGCTCTAAAGCTGCTTCCAGTCGCAAGCGTGCAAGGCCCGGATCTTCAATCAAACCACCACCTGCAGGAGAGACCGCAAACCCATTGTCAGGGCAAGTGAAGGAAGCGAAGTCTGCATACCACCAAGAGAGTTTCCCAGTGTGCCGAAATGTGTCGGTTGGTTATTACAACCTCTTCGGGAAAGGAGCTGGGCCTGAACATGGAGCGCCAGGTACAAGTCGAGCCCAACGTCTCAATATTCCTGGCATGTTGTCCTCAGCTAGCAAAGGATCTTGCGAGACGAAACGTCGGTTGAAGATTCAGCACTTTGAGACCAAGATGAGCAAAGCATTCGGGACAAGGGTGCCGTGGTGTTGGGCAAGTGACAAGTTCAGCATTGTGCAGCGAAGGGCAAGCTCGGTAGGATGTGACACTTCCCTTACTCTAGGTTGCCATCTATCGGCTTCGTTGTGTCAGTGCACTTTCAACTGGATCATTCCTGAGCAAATGAATGAGACGAGATTCGAGATGAGGCATCACAGAAAGAAATATTTTAACGGAGGTAACAACGAGCCGACGTCAGTGTGTGACATGCAACGGTTTCCGGCGACACTGTCCTTCATACTGCACGAAAAGATCAGAACTTTGGATGATCTGTCAGGAAGACATTCGAGACCTACTGAAGCGGAAACGCGGAAGCGAAGCTGGCCACTTTTTGATTGGCACTCCGTGCCGAATGAAGCTTTCATACTGGGACAATCCTTTCCTTGCCCCGAGAGACCAGCCAGCGACTCGAAGAAGGGAATTTTGCCTGTGAGAGAAAAACCAGCCAGGCAATCGTGGAAGAAGGTGATCGCGGAGGTCTGTCTTTGTCCCAACAATCGTGGCAATGGTGAAAGACAGTGCAGTCATAAGGAGTTGATATGCGAGACAATCAGCTTGGCTCAGGTCATTGACAACTTGCGAAGGGGTGGAGGTGAATTGTTCGACGTTTACGTGGAAAAGTTTCCCCAGCTGAAAAATTATGTGGCACCCATCTCTGGCACTGCAATAGCGAACGACCAAGTTCAGCGACAAGACTGGGAAAGGATGCTCCCTACAGCTGCTTCGAACCTTGCAAAAGGTCTGACTTTCGACCTCAACCTACCTGCTCCAGAAGATGACGAGGATGGCCATGAGCTTTGACATGCTCAAGGTCTGATTGCACACTTCTGCGTCTCGTATCGCAGACGCCAAGCATTTCTATGAGCGTTCTATCTTTGAACAATGAAGACACCTTCACCAACCACAGAAGAGTGAAACATGCTGGTCTCAAAATTTAGCCTTCCATCTCATAGACATTGTAGCGAAAGATGCAAACAACGAGATCAAGAGACAAAGCATGCAAGCCTAGCACTATCGACCAATGTTTTACTTAGTCAGAGCTCGTGTGCCCTCCTTGAACACTTGAATTCGAGCCATTTCTAGCATTATACTGTCATAGGCAGCAATGACTTGGCCTTTGTGATCGTGACCGCTATGCGGGGCGACTTCTGAGGGACCTTAGCGTTGAGCATCGTCTGCAAATAGCATCTCGAGAGTCTCTTACGTTGCCAATGATGTTTGCCGAACAGTTTGCTCAAAGAGCTGCATACAATACCGTGCTCGTTGCTCTTGTCTGAACGAGCGTATCGCTGGATTTATCATACGGCGGTGGAAGGTACGCGTTTATGGACTCACGCAAGACAAGCGAAACATCGCTTCTTTTAAGATGTGGTACTTTAAACAAGCGGAAGCGTCATGCTTGTCGCCGAGTAGGGCCCTGCAGCAAAGAGCATCGGCGGTTGCCGATGATGGGGCTCTTGGCGAGGACCAATGATGCATTCGAGCGGAACGTGTCTGAGCATTAATCATGCCGCAGAGAAGTCAAGCGGCATGTGGAACCGATAGGAAGAGATACCTTGAGACGTGCGGTAGCATTGAGAGCTTATAGGTGTCATCATGATGGCAGAAGGGCGAGCACTGGGAGCTCAGAAGAAACAGACGGGGCCGAGTAGACGAATGAGACGAGATGAAATAGCGCCGAGGTTAGTGCGTGACGGGTGTACATTGGTGGCTCGCGGATTACTGGCTGGTGATAGACTGGTAATGCTGGTGAAATGCTGGAGCAAGCCGGAACACCACTTCCAGAGGCTGGTGGATCACGGGCGATCGACAGAAGACAAGTCAGACGCTGGTGACCTCTGTTGCTTACACCATGGCTATACATATACGTCCGATCAGACACAAACGCTGGCATTCGTTCAGCTCGTGCGCCACGACTGAAATGTAAGCAATCCTATCTAACGAAATGTACCAAAACACAAAAGTCCTCGATCTGCGTGGCATGATTATCCTGAATGCGGCAGTCCACTGTCGTCTATCGAGAGCGGCTTTTTTCTTCCAAGGATCAAGAAGCAAGGAAGTGGAGTCGTCGTTGTGCTGTGCTCGACGCTCGTTGCAATTTCTTTTTTTTTTTTTTTTTTTTTGTTCCGTTGTCTTACATACCTACTCCTCTCAGGACTCTATGGCCTATATAGGAACTCAGCGGCACCGCCGCTTGTTCTGTCTTTGAAAGATACACGCCTCACGTGTATGGTTCTTCCAATACTTGTCCTCGCGCGCAATGGGTTGCGGCACTTCCTGCTCCGTCATTGTTGGCGATCTGGCCTAAGCCAATATTTGTTTATATAGCGGGCAACACCGCTGTCTTGCTGTCCTACTTCCGGGCAGTTCGACGCTCGTTGCAATTGTGAAGTTGGACTTCGAAGATTTTGAACTTTGGCCACTCGGCGTCGGGACCTTCAACCAGCTAGCTACTGACTACAATACAGCTCATGGTCGCCGCACATGCTTCACTCTAGATGCACATGTCTGCAGTCTCTCTTCCTCTTGTCTGTCTCTCAAGTGTGTCTGACCAGCAAGGTCAGATCGATGATGTACTGCATAGCGCGGTAGAATCCGACCCGCCAAGCAAATGGACAGCCAACAACCTCAACCTTGAGTCTGCCAGAGCAAAGCAAGTAGCACGTCTACTAGCTCTTGCAACAGATGATCAGCATTCTAGAGTCTCGCTCAATGCCTTTAACCCAAGTGTCTTGCCCTTGTCGTTCACGGAACTAGCTCATCAGCCTCGAGCCGGCATCGCAGCAAGCACAGCCAACAACGATCCCATGGATTCATCTGACAACCTCTTTATCTCTCTTGATACACTGCGCTGTGCCTAACGCATTCAAGAGGACGATCTAGACCAATTTGAACGGCTTGCACACGATACACGCATGATCAAGGCAACAGCACGACCACGACGCGTGTCAAAGGATGGTTCCAAGCGTACTGAGATCCAGACTGTTGACTCTATTCGCAAAGCAGTGTGTCTGTGGCCATCAAGCGCGGCAAGCAACACGCAGTGGAGTGCTATCGTCAGCGCTGCTTGCCATGACAGGGATGCATACAACTTTCTCAAGGACCAGCGAGGCAATCGCGTCAGCTGGAAACAACGCGACCATGCCGAGCTGAAGAAGGCAGTCCTTCATCTTGAACAGGACTTTACGTCGCTTGCCAGGGCACAAGCGAACTCGATCTCCGTGGCTATCTTTCGCTTGGTGCCAAGAAGCTGCAAGTCGCCGTACGTGCTGACGTCCAACAATCTACGCAACGGTTCCCTACTGACAACAGCAAACAAGACAAAACGCCTGGCAGAGACAGAGACTGAGCAGCAGGGGACGTCGATAAGAACGACATACAGACACGACAAGCACGACGCAACACACAAAACACCGCGCCACACCATGAGAAAGACGACGACAGCGATACGGGAACCGCACAACCACGTCGTACAGCACACTAATTCTTTCGCTGGTCTTAATGCCTCCTGACTACTACAGGGCAAACGCGACCGGCCAATGACGTCGAAAGCTCAGCTGCTTCAGGCTGCAGCGAAGGACAGGAATGACCGCGCCGCCACTGCCAGCGAGGTGGAGCAAGCACGGTAGCGTAGCAAGCGTGCAAGACACCTGGCACAACAGTTATAGGGAGTACATAGTAAGCTTTCCTTGCTCTAGAGCTATCCCCAAACAATGCCTTGCCCCCTGCAGCTCGCTGCGTACTAGTCACCAGCGATCACCGGTTGTCATCCGTTGATTACCAGTTCACTACGCGTCAATCATCGCCCTTTTGTCACCGGCGCCATATTCTACCGTTTGTCGCCTGTTTATCTCACTGCGTCAGTCTTCTGGCTGTCACCGGTTTTCCAGCTGTGGAAATTTCCCGTAGAGCTTAAGCTTAAAGACCATTGGGAGCCCTTTTGATACCATCGAGCGTGTCAAGAAGGCAAAGGCTTGACTAGACGTGAACACAGGCCAGCTCCGTGGACTGGTCCCCTGGAGAAGCTCGTTCTCCAGAGCGATTTTGTCTGCAGCGGAAGTCGTGTCTGAGACCCAAGCTTGACGGCAACTTGAACTAGGGGTAGCTTACGAAGATGATGCCGAATCTCTTTCGCAAAACAACTGAACCGACAAGCGTCAAAGCAGTGCGGGTTTATTCTGTAGATGAACAGCTGTAGTTTTCGAGACTGAAGACTTTCGATAGAGTTTTACGTCGACGTCCCGACCAAAAATAGTCAGGCTGCAGCAGCTGCAGGTGATAATCAAGCTGCAGGGGTGGAGAACAACGCACAGCACCATGTCCAGAATATGTTTGCACACGCGTACGGGGAACTCAATTGCTGACGGAGTGTAAATTTGCATGGGCACGTGGAGTCACAGGTCTCTGCGGAGGTACAATTGTGTTTGCCCAAAAGGCTACCTCAACGTGACTGCATGAAGCATGTAACAGCATTTGGAGTAAAATCTTGACCCCTCAATAAAAAAAGAGTCGACAGCATGAACAGGGGCTCGAAACGACCCCGTATGTCGCAAACAATTTCGCCGCGAGCCTAGAAAGCGACAACTTTGAGCTCAGTCCAACAGACAATATCACATCATCTGTCGATCGCAAGTATTGTTCACGATGCGTACGCCAAGCACAACCTCTTATGTCTGGCTCTTTATGACAACATTGTATCTGGTCTTGTTTCTCCACAACGTCACTGCCGCGGCGGGACGCACTGCCGCGTCCTCCTGCAGCTCTCCAGCTGCAGCTGCTTCCAGTCGCAAGCGTGCAAAACCCGGATCTTCAATCAAACCACCACCTGCAGGAGAGACCGCAAACCCATTGCCAGGCAAATGGAATCGGTGGAAATCTCCATACCAACACAAGAGCTTGCCAGAGTGCCGGAATGTGTCTGTTGGTTATTACGGCCTTTTCGAAAAAACAGCTGGGCCTTACCATGGAGCGCCAGGTACAAGTCGATCCCAACGACCCAAAGTTCCTGGTATGGTGCTACAGCTAGTGAAGGATCTTGCAAGACGAAATGTCAGGGGGAGATTGATAACTTCGAAATCACTTTGAGCAATGCATTCGGGTCAGATCCGCCGTGGTGTTGGGCAAGTGGCAGGTTCAGCATTGTGCAGCGAAGAGCACACTCATTGGGATGCGACTCGCCAGTGACTCCAGGGTGCCCCTTGTCATCTTCTCTGTGTCAGTGCACTTTCAACTTGATCATTCCTGAGCAAATGCGTTCAACGAGACGAAATACGAGATGAGGCAACACAAAAAATATTCCAATGAAGGTACTCACTCGACAACGTCAGTGTGTGACATGCGACGGTTTCCGGCGACAATGTCCTATGTACTACACGAAAAGATCAAAACTTTCTCTTCTGTGATGACAAGATTTTCAGAAGCTGCTGAAACTGAAAAAGAGAAGCAAAGCTGGCCACTTTATCAGTGGCACTCCGTGCCGGATGAAGCTGTCATACTGGGAGAACCCTTTGCTTGCCCCGAGTCACCAGGGGTGAACTTGGAGAAGGAGATCCCGCCTGGGAGAAAAAGACCAGACAGGCCATACAAAAAGGTGAATGCGGAGGTTTGTCTTTGTCCCAACAATCGTGACAATGGTGAGAGACAGTGCAGTCACAAAGAGTTGATATGCGAGACAATCAGCTTGATTCAGGCCATTGACAACTTGCGAAAGGGTGGAGGTGGGTTGTTCGACGTTTACGTGGAAAAGTTCCCACAGCTGAAGGATTATGTGGAACCTATTTCAGGCACTGCAATAGCGAACGACCAAGTTTCGCAACAGAATTGGGCAACGCTGCTTGCTGCGGTTGATTCGGTCAGTCGGGAAGGTTGGAATTTCGACTTCAACGAAGCTGCTGCAGACAACGGCGATGAGCATTGACATGCTCAGGGTCTGATTGCACACTTCTGCGTCTCATGTCGCAGACGCCAAGCATTTCTTTGAGCGTTGCATCGTTGAGCAATGAAGACACCTTCACCGACCGTGAAACAGTAAAACATGCTGTTGTCTTTTTATCCTTTCATATCAAACAGTATCAAAGATAATGCCGCGAACGATTCAAACAATGAGATGAAGAGACAACGCATTGAAGCGTGGCACTATCGACCAGTTTGATACTTGGCCAGAGCTCGTGCGCTTTACCTGGACACCCGAGTGCGAGGAATGTCTAGCATCATACCATCATAGGCAGCAATGACTTTGCCTTTGTAATCGTGAACGGCTGTGATACCATTAAGCTGCTTTGCACTATGCGAGGCGACGTCTGAGGGACCTTTGCGTTGAGCATCGTCTTCAAAGAGCATCTCGAGTGTCTTTTGTGTGGCCGAAGATGCTTGCCATGCGATTCCATCAAATAGCTGCATACAGTGCCTTGCTCGTTGCCCTTTGCCACCATATCGACTTGAAAAGTGCGTCTACACAAGCATCTTTGCCTGGCACGCCGATGCAAAAGCGCCTGTCACTTCAGGTGTACTGAGTCCGCACCTTGCTGCACGCTCTCGCACTCGTACTGAAACGAACGTAACGCTGGGCTTACCGTAAATTGGTGGAAGGTACGCATTAGTTGACTCATGCAAGACAAAGAAAACAACGCTTCGTTCCAGGTGCGGTAGAGAGGCAGAAGCGTTATGGGTGCCGCAGAGTAGGACCACTATCTGGCAACGCTCTTTTGGCAGAGGACCTCCTGTGCTGCCTGCAAGTAGCGAGACGGTTTGACCGGCTTTGAGCGCTGTTAATGCTAATGCTGCGCGGCACTCTGGATCAGCATTGCCAAATGTAGCCATCAGAGTACTGGATATCTGATGTGTGATCTCAATAAAGTCTGCATCGCGAAAATAGCCGAGGGTGGGGACAGTTAGTAGCATGGCGACTGCATCGACGGTGATGCGATGATCGCTGGATATACTGGACCAGAAGAGCTGTTCATGAGCCTGTATCCGGCTTTCCGAAAGAAGAGGCTTCTCCTCGTGGAAATGACGGGCCTTCGAATGCCAGCTCCAGGACCCCGTAACACAATATCTGAACAACGTGAAACGGTGATGCCAGCGCAGTGTGAGCCAAGCGAAAGTTTGTTCTTAGAGATCTTGTCTACCAAGTAGGCCATAGATCTCGAGAGGCCGGATGCCAGTGCCTTCTCTGAGCTTCCCTGCAGGAGATCTTCAGCTCTGCCACCATGGGCCCCTAGCAAATCGGCAAGGAGTGCAGTCAGGCCGATACAATGGTTGGCATGTAGCTGTGTGAGAAAGATTTTGCGTATAGATGGTAGCTTGTAGTCTTTATTGAGGAGAGAAAAGCCTGTCTTACTTCCACAGTCAACAGGGTAGCCTGCATGTGCATTCAATGCGAGTAGGTGAGCACTTTGTGTGCGTGAGCCGGCTTTTTGTGCACAGAATTTCCCGAGCGCGCCGAACCGTAGAAGTCTGGACGGTGGGGTGGACACGACCACGTGATGCACATTTCTCCCGAATTTATAAGCGCGCTAAAAACCGGTATAGGTGAATTGAGTTGACATCAATCATAATCATACTTTGCTCTAGGCTAGTCTATCGTTAAATCTATTGGAAGCACAATGCTTCATGTCCTTTTGTGTGAAGGTCGGACACTAACTCGCCCAGATCGTGTCGTGACCTCCACGAGGGGTACCTCAACTGCAGTTGTCACTTCAACAGAGCGAGTCGCTGTATCACTGCGTTTGGTGCGTGATGCAGACCTTTTGCCGGCTTGACTTGGCTTGGAATCCAAATCAGCTTCTTTCTGGGCCTGTTTGGCAGCCTTAGCGGCCTGGGAAGCGGCCTTCTTTTCAGCGCTTGCCGCATTGCGCACAACAACAGCCGCTGCACGCGCCTCACGTCTCCGCTGGACCTGAGACTCCTTGTTAGCCTTCTTCTGAGCCACTGCTGCCTTTCGGACTGCTTTGATCGCCTGCTGCTGTCGTTTGACCTCTTCCCGCTGCTCTATAAGTTCTCGCCTCAGCTCGACAGTCTCGCCGTCCGTAAACACGCCGGCCTGACTTTGGACAGCTCTCACTTGCTCGATGACGGTCAATGCCCTCTTCCTTGATCGTGTCTTCTAACTATTAGCCTTCTCAAGCTGCTCAATCCTGGCAGCTGCTGCCTTGTTCTCGGCTAAAAGTTTTGTGTGATGGTGGCCAATGTATTTGGAAGCTTTTCGCTGGCCAGGCGAACCTCTTGCAGATAACCGGTTCACGAAGGTTCGAATCTTGTGGGCCTTGGACACGGTCCCATAGCCTGTCGCGGGTCGAGCACTATCATGTTGCTGAGGCTCATTAGCAACGCTTGGAGTTCGAGGTCTCTGACGCAAGCCTTTGAGCACGACCTCTGCATTGACAGGCCAGAGACCCGTCTTTTGGAAAGAAGACTCAATCGTCTTCTTCACAAACGTCTTCTGCCATGCTTTCCAGAAGATCAAGAAGAAGTCACGCTTTTTGATGGCTGTATGTCCCTCCATAGTTGTGATCAAGTCGTTCAGGCCTTGTGAATAATATCCCGCAAGTGGACTGAAACAGCCTACATCGAGCGGCTGCAAGCTGTGCGTCGAATGAGGCGGGTAGAAGGCACATATAATCTTGAGCTCGATGCAGCGATCCAAGAATGCATCGGTCATATGTGACCCATGACCGTCGAGAAAAAGTAGCCTCCAAGACCTCCTTGCCTTCAACTTGGTCTCCTTCTCGAAAATCTTGTCCAGCCAGTCCAGGCCGTGCATGTTGGAAGTCCAGCCGTTAGGAGACGCAGCGAAATAGCAGCTATGCTCCTCACGCCTGAAGTCCTGGACCCAATCATCATGGACCTCTCCTGACTTCGCCTTGTAGATCAGGCCCGGTGACAGCGCAGTCCCATCCGCGCAGATTGTGGCCAGAACGGTAATCCACTCACGACTACCGTCTTGCACAGCCCTGGGCAATGTCTTTCCAACAAATTCCTGCTTGGTGAAGACTCTGCGCATCTTTGACAATTGGCCTAGCATGAAGCCCTTCTCGTCCATATTGTACAAGTTATCGGCAGTGATCCCGTATTTTTCGATCACCTCGCCCACTCTGATGAACCATGTCTTGTAGCTTACCGCAGAGTCCGCCTTGTGGCGCGCCAAGTCCAATGTTTGAAGAAAACCGCTGCTCACTTCCTCCTTGTGTCGCGCAATAAAACGCGTGACCCAATGCTGTCCGAGCTGGCGGCCAGCGAGTTTCGACGCGAAATTCATCACCATTGATGGCGGAGGCGAAACGCATTGATCGGTCAGTCGTGCAATCCAGTCAAGCACGCATTTTTCTTGATGTTTGTTGAGCGCCTGCATGTTCTCGAGCTTGACCCTCGTGGAGGTAGACTTCCCGCGGTATTGGCGCGAGAGGCTTGATCGGCCCACGTCATACTTTCTAGCTATGGCTGCTAGATTAGGCTTGTCTGTAGCATACGCCTCCGCAAGGGCGAGCTCCATCGTGCCCTCAGCTATAGAGATAACGCGTATTTAAGACGCGTTGTTTACTTATTTTATTTCGTGCATCACGTGTTCGTGTGGGCCCCACCGTCCAGACTTCTATGTGTGTTAGATCCAAACAAAGAAGACCACCAGCAATAGTGTTAGATCACAATCTTGGCCTCATGGAAAGGACGTAAAGATGCATATGAAGACGAGATGAGAGAGCGCCGAGGGTAGTTCGTGACAAGAATCTTTGCGCGAAAACCAAACACTACATTTGGTATGTTCTCGAGGATGCCTCTTAAGCTTGCAATTGCAATTGGCGACCATCAAAAGCCCTTTCAATACCATTGAGCGTGTCAAAAAGATACAAGCTTGACAAGACCTATAAAGAGGCCAGCTTGATCGACCGGTCCCCATGGGAAAGCCTGTTCTCTTGGGCAAATTTGGCTACAGCGGAAGTGGTGTCTGAAGCCCAAGCTTAACCGCAACTTGATTCAGAGGCAACTGGCGAAAATTAGTCTGAATCTCTTTCGAAAAAACAAGAGAACCCACAAGTATCAAAGCAGTGCGGGCCTATTCTACAGATCCACAGCTGTAGTTGTGAACACAAAAGACTCTGAGTGGAGTTTTACGTCGAGATCCCGATCATAAATAGTCAGGACCGAATTATCTCAATTACTGCTGCAGCAGCTGCAGGTGACAACCAAGCTGCAGGGGTGGAGAAGAACGCACAGCACCCTGTCAAAAATATGTCTGCACACGCGTACGGAGAACTCAATTGCTGACGGAGTGTAAATTAGCATGGGCACGTAGAGTCACCGGCCTCTGTGGAGGTACGATTGTGTTTGCCTAAAAGGCTACCTCAACGTGACTGCATGAAGCATGTAACAGCTTTTGGAGTAAAATCCTGACCCCTCAAGAGAGAAAAAATCGACAGCATGAACAGGGGCTTGAAACGACCCCGTGTGTCGCGAACAATTTCGCGAGCGTAGAAAGCGACAACTTTGAGCTCAGTCCAACAGACATTATCACATCATCCGTCGATCGCAAGTATTGATCACGATGCGTGCGCCAAGCGCAATTTCTTATGTCTGGCTCTTTGTGACAACATTGTATCTGGTCTTGTTTCTCCACAACGTCACTGCCGCGGCGGGACGCACTGCTGGGTCCTCCAGCTCTCCAGCTGCAGCTGCTTCTAGTCGCAAGCGTGCAAAACCCGGATCTTCAATTAAACCACCACCTGCAGGAGAGACCGCAAACCCATCGCCGGGGCAAGTGAAGCCAGCGAAGTCCGCATACCACCAAAAGAGTTTCCCAGTCTGTCGAAATGTGTCGGTTGGTTATTACGGCCTATTCGGAAAAGAACCTGGACCTGACCAAGGAGCGCCAGGTACTAGCCTAGCTCAGTTTCCCAATCTTCCTAGCACGTTGGTCCCAGCTAGCGAAGGATCTTGCGAGATTAAATGTCAGGAGAAGATCCACCAATTCGAGTTTGCTTTGGGCAACGCGATCGTGCGGACTCTGCCGATCTGTTGGGCAAGTCGCAGGTTCAGTATTGTGCAACGAAGAGCACGCTCAATGGTGTGCGGGGCTCCAGTGTCTCTAGGCTGCCGCTTGTCATCTTCATTGTGTGAGTGTACTTTCAACCTGATCATTCCTGAGCAATTGAATGAGACAAAACTCGAGATGAGGCATCACAGAAAGAAATATTTCAACGGAGTTGGACAAACGACGTCGTTGTGTGACATGCAGCGCTTTCCGGCGACAATGTCTGATGAACTGGACAAAAAGATCCTAGTTCGAGAGTCTGCGGTGTATAAAAATTCAAAGTCTGCTGAAGAAGAAGGGAAGCGAAGCTGGCCACTTTTCGAGTGGCACTCCATGCCGAATGAAGCTGTCATACTGGGAAATTCTTTTACTTGCCCCAAGCCACCAGCCAAGATTCGGCCGGGGAGAGAAAAACCAGCCGGGCAATGGAAGAAGGTGATCACCGAGGTTTGTCTTTGTCCCAACAATCGTGACAATGGTGAGGGAGAGTGCAGCCATAAGGAGTTGATATGCGAGACGATCAGCTTGACTCAAGCCATTGACAACTTGCGAAGGGGTGGAGGTGGACTGTTCGATGTGTACATGCAAAAGTTCCCCCAGCTGAAGGATTATGTGGCACCCATCTCAGGCACAGCAATAGCGACCGACCAAGTTCCGCAACAAGATTGGGCAACGCTGCTTACTGCAGTTGATTCGGTCCGTCGGAAAGGTTTGAACATCGACCTCAACGTACCTGCTGCAGACGAAGGCGATGAGCTTTGACATGCTCAAAGTCTGATTGCACACGTCTGCGTCTCATGTTGCAGAGGCCAAGCAGTCGTATGAGCGGTCTTTCGTTGAGCAATGAAGACACCTTCACCGACCGCGAAACGGTAAAACCTGCTGTTTTCTCTTTATCCTTTCATATCAAAGAATATCCAAGATAATGCCGCGAATAATTCAAACACTATAATCAAGACACAACGCATTGAAGCGTGGCACTATCGATCAATGTGCTACTCGGTCAGAGCTCGTGCGCTTTACCTGGACACTCGAGTGCGAGGAATGTCTAGCATCATACCATCATAAGCAGCAATGACTTTGCCTTTGTAATCGTGAACGGCTGTGATACCATTGTGCTGCTTTGCACTATGCGAGGCGACGTCTGAGGGACCTTTGCGTTGAGCATCGTCTGCAAACAGCAACTCGAGAGTCTCTTGTGTTGCCGATGATGCTTGCCGTGCAATTTGCTCAAACAGCTGCATACAATGCCTCACTCGTTGCCCTTTCCCACCATAACGACTTGAAAAGTGCGTCAATACAAGCATCTTTGCCTGGCACGCCGATGCGAACGCGCCTGCGACTTCAGGTGTACTGTGCCCGCGACTTGCTGCACGCTCTCGTACTGAAACCAGCGTATCGCTGGGCTTACCGTACGGTGGTGGTAGGTACGCATTAGTTGACTCATGCAAGACAAGCGAAACAACGCTTCGTTCTAGGTGCGGTAGACAACCGGAAGCGTCATGAGTGTCACCTAGGAGGACCACTGTACGGCCACGCTCTTTCGGTAGGGGACCTACTGTGCTGCCTGTGGGTAGCGAGACGGCTTGACCAGCCTTGAGCGCTGATAATGCTGCGCGGCGTTCTGCATTGGCGTTGCCAAATGCAGCCATGAGAGTACTGGACGTCTGTTGTGTAATCTCCACAAAATCTGCTTCGCGAAAGATGAAGCCAAGGGTGGGCACCGTGTGTTGAATGGCGACTGCATCGACGGTGATGCGATGATCGCTGGATATGCTGGACCAGATGGGAGCTGGCGATGAGTCTGTATCCGGCCTTTTGATGCAAGAGCCTTCTTCTCGTGGAAATGATGGGCCCTCGAATGCCTGCTCCTCATCAAACAATAGCTCAATAACGCGAAACGGTGATGCCAGCGCAGTGTAAGTCAATCGAAAATTTGTCCTTAGAAACTCTTGTGTACCCAGTGGGCCATAGATTTCAAGAGGCCGCTTGCCAGTTCCTTCTCTAAGCTTCCCTGCAGCAACGTCTTCTGCTCTTCCGCCGTGACCACCGAGCAAATCGGCAAGGAGTGCAGGCAGGCCGATACAATGGTCGGCATGTAGATGTGTGAGAAAGATTTTGCGTATAGATGATAGCTTGTAGTCTGTTTTGAGGAGGGAGAAGCCTGTATTGCTTCCACAGTCAACGAGGTAACTTGTATGTGCATCCAGTGCGAGTAGATGAGCACTTTGTGTGCGTGAGGTGGTCTGTTGTGCACAGGATGTCCCGAGCGTGACGAGCCGCATGAGTGTCAGATCAAAACAGCAGAAGACCAGTAGCAGAAGTGCTAGATCACCACCTTGGACGGATGACAAAGATGTAAGGCAGCTCGATGATCATGAGGTCACTTCTTGCTGGTACGACGAGATCAGATGGGCAGAGTATCCTCAGCCGAACTCAAGCTCAAATAAGGCCTATCTCCTGAGTCCTGGGGACCCTCCGACCCAGTCTACAGTGTGTCGTGTCATAGTCTGAAAGAAAAGCCTGTCTGCAGAGACCGAGGCAACAATCATCCATACAAGGTGGCAGTTTGACACGAAAATGGCAAACAAGTCATTTGCATGACGAGTTCGGCATGACCTTCTTTGAGAGACCTGCGATGGCTTGTGCTAGACAAGGCGATCTTTCTGCGGCCTGTGCTCCCTACATAAGTCTCTATATAGGTATTTGTCTGACGAAGCAGGCGGTGATGCCGGGGGTTGCATGTGTGTCACGCGGCTTGCGGATGCGAGGCCTCAATTTGCTCAAAGCCTTGGCTGACCAGCTTTGTTTGCCTGCCTTCATGGTATGCGAAATGAGGCATGGAGGTGGTATAGCATGAGCCATACAAGGTAGCACTGCATCCTCATCTCCTGGACTCTGGGCCTTCCTCGAGAGACGACATATAAAGGACTCTGCCTCGTCCATCGAGCCCTTTCGCCATTTCGCTGTGACTCGCCCAACGAGGAAAAGGAAAATTGGGAAGAAACAACACCCCCAGCATCACCCAACAGCATACCCCTCCTCCTTCTCTCTTCTACTCAAGCACCGGGAGACAGCGTAGCAAGGCGCAGACTGTAGCCAGAGGGTAGGCGCACTTACCTGTCCACTTTCTTGCGAGCGAGACCTCCAAAGCGCAAGTCCATCGCCCACCAGCAGAAGAGGCGCCGCCGCTTCTCTTCCCTTCTTCTCTCCCTCCCCTCTCTACCAGCCATGGCCATCCAGCAATAACATCACATCGGCTTGTCTGCTACAGACAACAGGCGAGCTCTTTTCAGCAAATCGCACTCTTCACCAGCAGTCAAGCAGCTCCCTATCATACGCAGCGATGCAGCAAGAGCAGAGCGACAACGCCAAGTTCTTTGGTCAGCATCTGCCGCTCGACTACTGGTCGACTCTCAACGCCCACTCGCCACTCACCGTTCAAACACAATTCTCGGCGTTACAAAACAACCTGCAGACCATTCAGCAGCAGCAAGAAGCCGACCTTCCTGCTCTGCGCACCTATTTCAACGATGAGCTCTCACCACTCGGTGGATCGACGCATGGCGACGGCAACCTATTGCATGCGCCACCTTGTAGGCCTTACTCGAAGATTGCCTCACCTACAGGCACACGCGCCTGCTCTTCATTGCTCTCGGAACTCCTCAAGCCAGCAGCGACGCCACCCATGCATGAAGGTGTTGCTTCACCGTCATCGACAATCGGGACACATGGCGACTTGGTCTCTGATCATGGTAGCTTATCCACACACTCAACTCCACCTATGCAAGCGTCACCACCGCCAGTCAAGCGCAAGACGTGTATCTCTTTTGCATGTGCCCCTATGCCTGATAAACACCCCACCACAACGTCAGGTACAACAAGTCATGCAGGGAGTGCCGTAGGGTCTGCGAATCGATCGCGTGCGTGTTCAATTGCAACAGACAAGTCTGCAGCCGAGGAAGCTGTCGTCCTCCCAAAACGCACAATCACATTTGCTTGTGGTGCTCAACGGACGTCACCGGAGAAGGCGGTGCAGCCTGCTGTACCTGTGCGTGCTGGTTCACCTTCACAAATTGATACGTCTTGTGAAGCGACACCGGTCCCGAAACGTACGATTTCCTTTGCTGCCGCTGCACCGAGCACGGCGACACTCCCACCCACAACGACAGCCAACACTCGCCCTACTCTTGCACGAGCGACACCGTCAGATGCAAGTGGGCATAGCAGTGATGTCCCGCTTACCAACAGCACGCACAATTCGCGTCGTCCCTCCATGGAATCTGTCTTGACGGGTGTTTCGGATTCTCGCAGGCCGAGCTTGACGAGTGTGGGTGGTGCATCCCCTGTTCTCCAGCCACGTCAAGCGCCTACGTGTAAAAGTACTTTGGACGCCATGTTGCAGAAGGAAAAGATTGCCAAGGTGATTGAACCGGTGTTGGAAGAGGACGAGGATGAAGATGCAGATGAACTGGATCCTGCCTCGCCGTTTGAGCTGGACTCTGACGATGATGGGTATGTTGAGGATGTTGAATCTGACGAAGACCCAGATGAGGATGAAGATGAGTTGGATGAAGGCGATGAGGATGATTTACTCCTCACAAAGCGCAACAGTGCCTGTGCTACGCCACGTCAAGCACCGCGTTTCGCACAACTTGACTTGGGTGGTGCTGCTGCAATGGAGGATATGGATGCACCCCTCAAAACACCCGTTTATCGACCCGCTTGTCCAAGCGAATCCGATTTACCAGATACGACTGATTTCGCTCCGGGTACTTTAGATGAAGATCAACCTGCGTGCGTTGCATTCGATTGCGCTGTACGTGATCGTGCATTGGCTCGACGGATCGCTACACCACAAGATATTGATCCTACATTCCCCGATTCAGGGAGTGGTAGTGATAGCGAAGCGGCAGTGGATCGTGTGGATGTTCAAGAAGCTGCAAAGTTGAAAGCTGCGCGTCGTGGCTTAGGTCGATCGCCTGTGCCAACGACTACAGTGATTGTTGATGGTGTTGAAGGAACGGGCGCAATGCCTGTTCGCTTGAATTCACCACCACCTGCACGCAAGAGTGCTTGGGCATTACGAGCACGCAGTCTTCCTGCTCGTCGACCAGTTGTGAGAAAGCAAACGTCTGCTATGGGTGGTAAAGAAGGCATGTATGCACCGAAACCACAACGTGCCGTGACGATCAAGCAATCCAACGAGCAGCGCGCTCAACGACGCAGGGATAAACGTGAGCTCAGGCATCAATTGCAAGGTGGACCGAAACCCGTCAAGAGCACAACTGCAGCTGCTCCAACGACGACTGCTGCAGGTGGTATGGAGAGTGAGGTGAGTGATCCTGTTGTTCGGGTGGATGTATCTGGACACGAAAAGATGAAGGCGATTGGATGCAAGACTAGGAAACAAGCTGAGAACCCATGCTTGATCAGGCCTGTTATGTCTATTTAGCACACGTTTATGGGCAGCCCTCCGACTAATATTTTGTATCATACTGCAAGGCACATATTCAAGTAACAACAGTTATTCATGAGAGTTCACTAACATAAAGAATGTGTCGTTGGGGCTAAAAATTGACATTGAAAGTCTGTGTATTGTCACCGCGTCGTACACCCGTCAATGTGAGTACTTTCCCAGTCAAACCCGTCAGGCGCATATCAAACAACGTGCCAGGCAGATCGCCTGCAGGATTGGCATAGTGCGCCATGGGTTCGTTGAGGGTCAAGGTCATCCACACACCGCCTGCGGTATCTGTACGACGTACTTCAAGCTTTGTGACGGGAACATTGTGGTTGCGTGGTGCGACAGCAGTCCACTGTGAATCAGCACATGTCTCAAGTGTGCAGAAGAACACATACGTAGTCATTCGAACCATCCTTCCAGTGGATAGAGATGCTTGGAAATTCACACGACACAGCAGTCCATGTGAGTCCTCGCAGGATACCTGCAGATGACGGTGTATTCTTACCAGCAGCCAGTGTTGTCCATGCAGACTGCCAGAGATCTTGATGAAGCGATGAACCTGCACCACCTGCAGAAGTCCATGTACACTCGGGACACAAGTCAGTGACAAAGATGCGTTTGGTGCTAGTGCCATAGGTGACGGTGTAGCATGATCCACAAGCAGCAGAGTCGCTCCAGAGAGTGCTGGAGATGGCAGTTCCGAGGAATCCTGCTGGAGGGAGGTAGTCTGCACCACAGGCACCGTTGGAGTTGCCGGTATAGAATGTAGCATGAGCTGTGACTTGTGTTCCGATAGGGAGAAGACCTGGCGCACGCTGTGCCGAGGATGGAAGACAGACTGATGCGATGCAAACGAGGGTGCAGATGGAGGGAAAGAGCGTGAGCATGGCTGACCAGAGAGAGTGAGCAGCTGGATGGAGGATGGGTGAGTCCTCGTTGCTCTCTCTCTGACTCTTCGGCGATGGGGAGTGAAGTATCCCAGAGCATCCCAGAGCAAGCAGCAGCTAGCAGCAGCTAGCGACAGAAGTAGCAGCGACAGTATCAGCAGTATCAGCAGCATCAGCAGCAGCAGCAGCATCAGCTCACTCTGCTCGTGCTTGCTCTGCCTCGTACTGTCTGCGCAACTCTGCCTCCCTCTCTGCCAGCTTCTCCTTCTTCAGCTGCGTCTTGCTCACCGGCTTCTCCTTCACCACATCCTCGCTGCCTTCCTGGAACTTGCGCCTAAGTGCCTTGAGCTCCCTTGCCTTCCGTTCAAGCTCAATCTGCTCTTCCTCTGTTGGCGGCCGCTGGACATTGGGTCTCCCGACCGTTGCGCGTGTCAGCTGTCCTTCTCTTTGTCCTGTTAGCCTCTCTACTGCTGTATCTCTGCTGCTGCTCACCTCTTTGGCATCTTGTCTCTGTCTCTCTGCTGGTGTAGTAGCACTGCAGCAAGTCTCTGCTCCTTCTCTGTGCTGGCAACAACGCATCAAACACAAACAGGCGACTCACCACCACCACTACCACTACCACTCGCATCAGCAGCCAGCAGCATCAGCCATGGTCAGGCTGCGCGAGATCAATACAAAGGCTCAATTCACATTCAGCCCGCTCACCACCCAGCTCGTCACTGCAACAGCAGCAGGCTCACTCAGCACCGACCTCAGTGATGAACCGGCCCTGGAACTCTACGACTTGGACTTGGACGCCGATGAGTTTGTCCTGAAACCTAAAGTCAGTGTGGCTATTCAAGAGCGTTGTTGTAGTATAGCCTGGGGAGGTGTCAGCGCTACCTACAAAGCAGGTGTCATTGCAGCAGCATTGGAGACGACTGTTGACTTGTATGACGCAGAAGCACTCGCGTATGTCTAAATCTTCCTGGTTTCGCGTCTCTTTACAGTTGCTGACATTTCAGGCATGGCAAGACTGCACTGATTACGCGTGGTACCGCCCATACAGGACAGGTACGGTGCTTGGACTTTAGCAAGATTCAAAAAAACCTCCTTGCAACGGCTGGTACAAAAGGCGAGTTCTTTGTTTGGGACGTCTCTACAAAAGAAGCACCGACAGCGTACAAGTCTACACGACTCGATGAAATTGTCTCGATTGCGTGGAACAACAAGGTCGGTCATATCCTTGCACTCGGTGGGAAGAGCGGTGCACTTAGTGTCTGGGATATGCGTAAGAAAGCCGAACTCATTCACATCCCAACACGATTCCCAGTCAGTGCTATCGCCTGGCATCCTTCAAAACCCACTATCCTCACAACAAGCTCAGCAGATGATGCCAACCCCATCATCCAAGTCTGGGATTTGCAAAATGCCAATGCACCACGACAAGTGCTGTCGGGTCATGAGCGGGGTGTCTTGTCAATCGCTTGGTGTGCCGCAGATCCAGACTTGTTACTCAGTTCAGGCGCTGATAACCGAACCCTGATCTGGAATCCTACCACAGGTCAAGCAGTTGTTGAACTACCTGCTGCCTCACAGTGGGTGCATGGTGTCGCTTGGTGCACAAGACAACCTTCCATCATTGCCAATGCAACACTCGATGGAAAGCTCAATATCTACAGCATTCAGGATACCCATACACCGGCTACTGCACCCTCCGTCATCGAAACGCAAGCTGGTGATGACTTTTTCGATTCAATCCCAAAGAACTATCAAGCACAAACATCAACGTTTACGCTCAAACAGACACCTGCGTGGTTGAAACGACCTGTTTCCGCTCGATTTGGGTTTGGTGGACGACTGGCCACCGTTGTTGACAACAAGGTGGAAATTGTCACGTATCAAGCCTCGACGCGTGCAACTCTGACTGCAAAGGATATAAAAGAGACCTTGTCCACCAAATCACCCGCAGAGCTATGTAAAGAATTGCATGGACAAGCTGAATTGGAAGAGAAGCAAGACTGGGAGGTGATTGAGACGTTGACTGCTGAGGATACGCGAAAATCATTGCTTGCACATCTAGGCTTTGCCAAAGAATCTGTCGATGAGCGTCTCGCAAAAGCAACAGGTGAACAAAAGAAGTCGGATGATGTATTTGGTGAGGATACGGATGATGCCTTTGACAGCATCACGCAGACCAATGAGCCTTTCAAGCTCTTTGCAGGTGATGAAACAGATAAGCTCATCACAACTGCCATCACGAGTGGTCGATTCGATGCAGCTGTGGATGTGTGTCTACGACAAGATCGTTTGAGTGATGCCTTTATGCTTGCTCTATGCGGCGAGGAAGCAGATCGCGCAAAAGTCCAAAAAGCCTACTTTGCCAAAACACAAGTGCCCTACAAGCGTCTACTTTCGAATGTTATTGCTCACAACTTGACGGATGTCATTGAGTATGCTGAGCTGGAAGACTGGAAGGAATCCCTGGCTATGGCGCTCAACTATGCGACTCCCGCAGAACTGCCTGGCTTGTGTGGCAAGTTGGGTGGCAGGCTTGAGGATGCTGGACAACGCAAGGACGCTATTGTTTGCTACCTTGCTGGCTCACAACTCGAACAACTTGTCAAGATTTGGCAATCTGGCGCACAAAAGCGCAAAGATGAATTGCTTGCGTCTGGTGAGGAGAAAGCACCCTTTGACGTGCATGTTGCGCAGCTCGGTGAACTCATGGTCAAAGTGCAAGTCTTTAGGCGGACTGTTGGCTTCAAGGATACACAGAGGAAAGAAGACGGCAAGTACCCGCTTGCTGGACTCTACGACCTGTATCTTGAGTTTGCTGGCCTGTTGGCGAATGAAGGAGAGCTAGCCTTGGCTCGTGACTACCTCGAGTACGTTCCAAGTGATTACAATGGCGCCGAAGCACTGAAGAAGCGTATTACTGGGCCTACTGCTGCAGCCGCTCAGACTGGTAAACGTCAGGCACACGCACAACCGCAACGTATGCCCTCCCAGACATTCTCACCCTATACAGCACAGTCCTTTCCGCCTGCACAACTGTCATCTGCACATCCAACTGCACCGCAGTCACAGCCGGGTGCGGCGCCTGTGAGGCCAATGTCTGCTGCGAAACCCAGTTACAGCTCACCTTATGCACCTGCACAACCTGCGCAAAGCCCGGCCGCAACAGCATCAAGCCCGTATGCACCTACCAATGCTGTTGCTAATGCATATACGCCTGCCAACGCATATGGGCAACCACCCACTCAAAATGCATATGGCGCATCACCTTATGCCAACGGTCCTTATGCAGCGCCAGGCGTTTTTACAACAAACAATCAAATGCCCCCACCTCGCGGTGCTCCGCCTCCTGCTGGTCCTGCAATCCTACCTGCTGCTCAACGAAAGGATATTCCCAATTGGAACGATGCGCCTGATTTCCCCAAACCGGCGAATCGCGGACGTGCAACACCTGTGGTCCATCGGCAAGTCTCACAGACCTTGCCGTACGGTTCTTCAGGTATGGCGACACCGCCATTGGCGGGACCATCACCGGGTCCTGCAAGTCATGCAGGACCACCGCCACCACCACCCAAGACGCGCTCTCCTGGACCACCAAAAGCTGCTGCGGTGATGGGTAGTATCGACGGTGCCGCGTCACAACCACCGGCACACATTCAGACTTCTTTTGGTCAATCTCCTTATGCGCCTCCTCAGCAGCAACAGCAACAGCAGCCATACCAAGCAGGTCCGCCGCCGTCCCAATATCAGCCTGGTCCAACAGCGCCCTATCATGCAGGCGCACCACCACCGGCACAGCAAAAACCAAGCTATGCGCCACCGCCCAAGGCTTCGACAGGTGTTGCACCTCCACCTGCCGGGAAAAGTCCAATCATTAATAGTCCCGTGTCGACACGCCCGATTGCACTTTCACGTGAACCATCGCAGCAAGGGTTCGCGAGTGAGCAACGTCGTCAGCAAGAGCAAGCAACAGCGACGATGCAATACCCTTCTGGTGACCGGACGCACATCTCTGAGGCCGACAAGGTGATTTATACATCCTTGCTGGCAGAAACGGATCGATTCGGTCAGTCTGCTGCACCGAAATACCAGAAACCGCTTGCTGAAGCACTCAAGAAGCTCAATGTGCTGTTTGACCAGCTCAACAATGGTGTCCTAACACCGGGCACGTTGGAGCAAGTCAAGGCTTACACTGCAAGTCTAGTGGCTCGAGATTATGCCACTGCGTATCGGCACCATCTCGAATTGACAGCAGACAAGATGCACGAGTGCCGTGAATGGATCGTGGCCATTAAGACTCTCATTGCTATTGGCAAGAATACGCCATAGACTTTTCTATACGATGCCTTTTTACACATCTCGCTGCCAGCCAGCTTCTTCATGTCGTTCATACACATCCTTGTCTGTCATCCACCGTTCCTGATCATCAAGTGCCGTATTGCCAACACTTTGCCATCCGCCACGAACAGCCTGTGTCCAGACTGCATCGCCACCTGCTTCTGCACCGCCAGAGCTGTACCCACCGGCCTTGTCAATTTGTTGAAGTAGCTTGGCCATACTCCGACGATCCTCCACAGCAAGCGTCTCGAAGCCAACGAGGCCAAAATCCTCAATCATAGAACAAATGGCTTGATTGAGTTTTGCAAACTTTTGCATGCGTGGATCTTGCTCGAGGAGCCGCAAAAGGTAGCTCAAGTCTTGGACTTCTGTGTAGTAGTCTAGATTGAAAGCCAGACCGCCGCCATACTTGTCGAGCATGTCAATCTTGGATAGGACATTGAGATGCGGCAAGTCGAGTTGAAGCATAGCCCGTAGCGAGACCATGAGCACTGAGATGTACTTTGCAGGATCAGTGCAGTAGTGTGCATCGACTAAATGAACCACGACAAGACGGTAGCCGCATTGCTTCTCGAGCATACAAAGTAGCGTTCGTAGCGCATCATTGTGTGTAAAGAGCTCCACTTGACCAGGCAAGTCAATGAGTAGGTATTCGCCCTGCTTCTCATCTCCCTGCAGCCCTTCAATTTCATGCTTCAGCCAGTCAAAGTTCTCCACCAGCGTCTCTATCGCATGGATGATGCCTCCATTCGGTCCGAGTCCCTCATTCTGCTGAATCTCGGCCAGCGAGATGAGATCTGTGATGGACACATCGGCTTTATACGGCAGCGCGTCATTCGCAGGGTCGAGGTTGATGATGCTTGCCTTGCGGCCTATAGCACCGAGAAACTGTGATGCGCCATGGACGTAGGTCGACTTGCCTGACCCTGGCGGACCAATGACAACCTGTCCAAATGGCATCCAGCGCGCTGCAGCAGTGTTGTCGTCGATGTCGCTTCGTAGTCGAGCTCGAAACATCTTGCGACACGACACATGTCACTGGATCGCGCTGGCAATGTCCAGGAAGTCGCAGAAACATTCCCTGCCATCCGACCAGGCGGATCTCTTCTACTTGCTTGGCAAATACGCAACAAGACTGTGCTGCTTGTAGGCGGTGGCGTTGTCGCAGCAGGACGACTGACAAAGATCTTGGAGGCGGATGCACGCTGTACATTGGTCGCGCCAAGCGATAATCTGTCGCCTGAAGTGCGCTATAGGATCGCACAGAAGGAGCCGCTTCTCACGTACAAGGACAGGCCGTTTGAGATGGCAGATCTCCAGGGCGTTGATATGGTCATGACGGCAATTGACGACAACCCACTCTCTGAGGCCATCTGCTTGGCCAGCAGAGCTGCCAAGATCCCTGTCAATATTGCCGATGTACCGCCCATGTGTGACTTCTACTTTGGTTCAGAGATACGTGATGGGCCTCTTCAAATCGTCGTCAGCACAAATGGCAAAGGTCCCAAACTTGCCAATCTGGTGCGGCGGCGTATTACAGGCAGTCTACCACCGAACGTTGGGATGGCCATTGAGAAAGTGGGTATGCTACGGCAGAAGCTACGGAAGCGTGCTCCGGGAGTCGGTGGAGAGCTAGGTGCACGGCGGATGAAGTGGATGATTGATGTATGCGAGTGCTACACAGTGCCACAGCTTGCACAGATGACAGACGCGTCCATGGATGACATCCTGGACGGCTGGGACAATATGGTCGTGCCTGGTGGTCGCAAGGGTTGCCCATTGGGATACAAGCGCAAGGAGACAGACGCAGGGTGTCCGCTAGGCTTCAAGCGAGAGGATGGCGTACTAGGCGATAGTCGGATTTTGTCCGCGCTGGGCGGCATGGCTTTCGGGGCATTGGTGATGCTGGCATGGACGCGACGAGGCTAGTCGCGACACAAGCCAAAGATGAGGTTGAAGGCGACGCCAACAACAATCGCCGCAGGCAAGCGTTTCCCGAGCCGGTCCATTTCAAAGATGGCAAACAGCGCGATGAAGCCAACGAAGAAGCCAGCAGCACAGCCAAGCAAGATTTCGTAGGAGATGCCCTGTAGCGCATCGTTCTGATCATTGCCGTCGTTGTCAATCCACGCCTCTTCTGCCGCCAAGTTTGCGTCTTCATCTGCATTGTCTTGATCGTGGTCAAATTGCTGTCGCAAATTGGCAATGTCTTGGTCCGACAAGCCAGCGTCGCGTAGTCGATCAAAACCGCGGGGTGCTGGCGTCATCACAGCGCTGTCTTCCGAGTCCGCTGCTGCAGGTGAGCCACTCAGCTCGCTGATAGAGCATTGAACAACGATCTCCTCTTCATGCGGAAGCGCGACGTGTGCAATGACTTGATCATCTTGCAGAATCTTCCCGAGGTAGATGATGCGCAGTCGCCCGGTGATGGATGTGTGCTTGACAACCTCCTCCTTGAGCTGCTTGGTCGTAAGCTCATCGCTCAAAGGCACTGTCAAGTCGCGGCCGGAGGATAGCCTGACTTTGACATGTCGCGTCATGGGCCGGTCGAGGGATGATCAGTCGCAAAGAGGTGAATCACACGCGCCAACAAAACTTTGAGTTCTGTCCAGTCAAGACGTTTTTGCAGAGTGAAGGCCACGAAAGATTTTGATCGCATACGAACAATGTTCACTAGCTTTGCGTCTTGCTGCTGCCCTGAGCTTGAAAGCTTGAGAATCTCTCAACATATTTTCAAAAAGCCACGAGACGGTCCGTACTGATCCAGCCGAATGCTTCTTGATGTGCTACGTTTCGAGCTCTTGAGTCTTAATATGTAGTCCTAGCTAGCAAACAGCTTGGTCGTTGCTTGCAAGCTGCCGACGTGACTCAAAGACAAAAGCGGAGCGACGCACCAGTCATTGCCGGCACAACTATGGGTTCTTCAAATGTCAGCTTGGCATTTGTTCAGACACCATGTGTAATAGAAGACGATCACGATTGCGATAAGTTGAAAGAGTACTTGCTAGGATAAGACTCAAGCTCCTCAAAAGCTCAGCGTAACTCAAGTGTGGTGCATGAATTGAAGCACCTCGCCTCGGGGCCTTCAGGCTAACCCTGACACGTTTTGCCCGGCCCTTGAGGCTTGACATTACAGCAATGCACAGACTTGCCAGTCCTGGCTTGGTAATGCTTGCCGTATGGTCCTGTGTAGCCGGCCGTGCAGTCGACAACGTAGTTGATCACAGTCTTGCCCGTGGCATCCAGTGGCCATATTTGACGCCCATATGCGCCATTACCCGGAACTCTCCATGCTGTGAATTGCATCGCAAACATCGACTGGCCCTGATCCTCGTGAGTAAATCGATTATCTGCACCAACAATGTAGTCAAAATAGTTCCGTTCCCCTAACCGAGGCATGATCTTGTCCCATCCATCGTCGAGCTGCCTTTCTAATGGGCTCAGGAAGAGGCAATCGATGAGCTGACGACACGATAGGTTCTTTGTAGGACAATCGCCAAGAAGACAGTGGGCTTCAGTATTTCCAATAGTGACCTTCACAGTAGAGCCATTGACAGGCTTCTGATCGGCTGAAACCTCCTGAAAGAACTTGAGCATGGCCAGGATTGTCGATACCTTTCGTGTTGGTGTGACTTTCATCGTGCAAGACACCAGTGAATTGGGTTTCGCGTATCAATTCGACTTTGTTGGCAACTGGAACTCACCTGCAAGCCTCTATCACGACTGTAATGATCAGGATCTGACAAGACGAGACGTGCAGAGAGCGATAAGGGTTTGGGCAACTGAGACTTCCAGATACAAGATAGTATGAGGGTCGATTGATGTTACTGACAAGGCTACAAAGGTGCGAGGGGCACCCTCTTTATACTTTGCCAATCTCGATCGAGGGACAGACGGAGTCAAATTTGGCGATGGAAAGACCCTGCAAGCGCGTGGACAACTGACGCTGGGGCTTTGTTGGAGAAGTCATCGACGCTTGACAGCGCGATGTGTTTGCGCGAGAACCACGAGGCATGGTGACATCAACGCCTGCGAGCATAACTTTGGAGCGCGGACCGGGAGACAGGGTGAGCTCATCGCCTGCGCGCGTAAAAAGCTGGAGCGTGGCTCATGAGACGAGGTGAGTGCGATGCCGGCGGAGGCCGCATCAAGAAGGAGATAGATCGGCCCGTGTCATAGTGCTGAGGATTCGACTGATTCATCGCGATGGAGAAGTGTCAGGAATGCTGGAAACTCAGGAGAGAGAGGCAGCAGAGGAACGGTAAATGTTTTATATGAGTTTCAGCTTTCAATTGCAAGATTCTGCAAAATTCGAAGTCGAGGCACAGGAGGTGCCTCCTGATGGGCACTGACTCCTGCAAGTAGCCTCAGAATCGGGGTTCGACGAGCTGCTGCATTGTACTCTAGGGACTATTTACAATCAGCTCAGCAGGGAGCTTGCGCCGATGAGAGCTCCGAATAGGTCTGACAGAATAATGACGAAGGGGCCAAACATCTCATCTGAAGACAAAATGAGTGGTTTGTTATGAGTGGTAGATTGAAAGACAGCAGGTCGCCGCAGCAATCGAGAGACGGTTGATGCAAACAGCGCACGCGACTTAGGACATGCTCCTCACGTTTTCATTATTGTCGGATCAAGAATAATCCGGGTTGTGCGTGGAGCTAGTGATGACGTGCCTGGTAAGGCGTCTAATTCAAGCAACCAAGATAGTGCAATGAGGAATCTTACAGATGAGGAGCAGAGTAGAGGCTCATGCTCCCTATAAAGTAAATTACAATAAGGGGTACTCGTCACGTGAAAGCAGGCGATACGCGGCAGAGAAATGCACTAGCGGTCACACCCCCGCAAGTCAATACTAGACTGCTCAACAAAGAATGTTCAACCAGAAGCAGGCCGCCTTCAGCGACTTCAGCCTAGATCTCATCACAGCTTTCAAACAATTGCTCCTGCGTTTTGATTTTAGGTCAATCCGCTACAGCTAGCCTATACTGATATTTGAAATCGATTCACAAGCACAGCGAGTATCCCCCCTGCAGTAGGCGATAGCTGCTGCATTCAAACGAGGAAGTCCACTTCTGGAGATTGTCTGCAATCAGGCTTGTCTGTAAATTGGCTGCAAGTTGGCAACTATAGAAGTTGCGGTTCAAATGCCAGTCACAATCAAGCATGAACGACTTTTCGAACGCTGTGGTTGCCAAATTGATCGTTTGCTGGTCTCCACGCGCATTTCGCCCAAGCATCGCACTCACCTCGTCTCATGGACCACGCTCCATCATGTTACGCTCGCAGGCGTCTCACTCACCTCGTCTCGTGGACCACGCTCCATCATGTTACGCTCGCAGGCGTCTCACTCACTTCGTCTCGTGGATCATGCTCCATCATCTGCTCGCAAGCATCAATGTCTATTTCCGTCCCAAACAAACCACGCTCGCAAGTGTGGATGTCTATTTCTGTCCCACAAACAATCCATGCTCACAGCGTGGATGTCTCTCTCAACACAGGCCCGGTGTCTACGTTGAGATGCTTTCAGGGTCTTTACCCTCGCCCACCTCTTTCTCGTCAGTTCCTCGTTCGAGGCTGGCAAAGTATAAAAGGAGCGCTTCTCGCACCTTTGTAGCATTGTCAGCAACATCCCTTCATAGGCAATCCTATCCATTGTTCGAAGTCTCTGCCGCCGAACCCACTCCACAGTCAAAGCCTCCTGTCTCCTTCGGTACGCCTTGTCTCGTCGAGTCGTGATCGTCACAGATCGCGATAGAATCATTGGTCTTCTTTATTTACCTTATGAGATCAATGCGGCTCTCACTCAAGATGACGATGATTGGCGGCTTCATCGCCAGCATCATATTCAATTCGTTATTACTTTGCTTCACAACCACAGCTACCCGCGCCGAGGGACTTGCAGGCATCGCTTCGGGCTCGAAGCGACCTTTAAGTGCAGTCGGCGCTCCTTCGAAAGGCGGAGTTAGACCTCAGAAGACCAACATTCCAAAGACTGCCATAGATCCCGAGTGTAGGACGGTATCAATCGGCTATCAGCATCTATATCGAAAGCCGATCGAAAAGCCTTCCACAGCTCAGCAGTCTCAATCAATTGCCGCCGTCGAGACTTCAGTGACGAGCAACTTATCACCACAATCAAAGCCCACACCGACACTGATGCTCCCAAAGAAGTGTCAAGACGCTTGTAAAATCGAAATAAACGCTTTCAAAGACCAACTTTTGGGGGTTTTCCGAAAGTACAGGCATCCTGCCAACTGTTGGGATACTACAGATTTGACCATCATTGACCGGAATGGAACAGCAATGGAACAGTTTTGTCCCGGTAAATGCGCTTTGCCTGTCTTCTGCATGTGTCAGCTCAGCCTGATCGTCCACCATCAACACAATGCAACAAAAGCTGAATTGAAAGAAGCACAGCGAAACCCCAATCCAAATCGCGCATCCATATGCGATATGAAGACATTTCCGAAAGGTTTGGGTGGAGCAATGAAGCATTCACTATTTCAGACTTGGGAAGTGATATTTTACCTCAATCGGCAAAAATATTGAATCCTATTGTATGCCCGACCTCTCAAAAAGAAACAGTTGCGAAGAGTTCGGCAGACCGAAAAAGAGCGAAGAAAATGATGATCATAGAAGTGTGCTATTGCCACGGAGTCCATGGCAAGAGGAGAAAAATCACCAAATACTGCGGTCATGCTCGAACTGTGTGTTCAGAGATGACCTACGATCAGGTTCGGAATACTTTCTTGCGAGACAAACCCGACAACGACATGCTGAAAATATACGAGGAAGTGTATCCTGAGCTTGTTAAATGGTTCAAGCCACTTCCAAGGACGGAAATTGCAAACGACCAGCTCAGTAGTGAAACTTTGGGCCTGTTCATCACCGGTATTCCCGAGCTCAATAAACCACCTCCGGAGCACGATGAATTCTGAAGTGCTGCATTTGTCCTTTGTTATAGCTAATTCACCATTGCTGATAGAACATGATTTCGAGAAATTGCAAGTGCAACATCAATGGGTCCATAGTCTTTGTCTCCAGCGACAGTAAAGGTCAGAGTTATTCTTTTACACATTGACCTACGGCTGCGGGAATCTTACGCAGACTTGAATTGCTCAACGCAAATTGGTCACTGACAGCTGCACATCCAGCCTTAGGTGAGGAAGTGGTTTCACAAGTGGTCAATGGTCAATTGCATACAATAGAGGACTCAAAAAGTGTGCAAATGACCTTCGGATGATGCACCCAGACATATGCGTATCAGTTGCACAAGCACACTGCAGCTGATGACGGCTGCTTTTGACGACAATATGAGTCCATGACACACATAAGAGCACAGCGATGCTGCAAATGCGCATAGATTTCCTTCAAGGCCATTTTGCTTGTTCTACAACGGAATTGGCTCTCCCTTGCCAGCGAAAGTTGAAGCTGCTGCGATCGAGAGTCAATTACTGGCCCTTCGCTGAAGCTAGCTCGAGTGACTCGCAAGACGAGATAGTCCAACGAAGCATCATGGGTAGCGAGCTCAGACAAGAGCGTAATTCAAGATCTTTCAAACGATCCCTTGGCATACAAAGGCGGTGAATAGCTATCCACTGCAGCTGAAGCTTCAGCAGTTGGCGGAGTTGTTTTGTGGTCAAAGTCGTGATATTGTGAAATTCAAAAAGCTGGAGAACGAGCACAGCTGCAGCGTCGGCCGAACGCGACAACTCAAAAGATGAGCTCCTCACACTAGCAGCACAAGTCCTCTGCAATGCACATCAGGCCTGGCTGCTTCTTGTCTGATCCACGCTTCACGCACTAGCCGCAGCTGATGTTTCCTAGCGTATTACTATTCGTTGACCCCTTGGCGCGATGCCGATAGAGCATCCTCATAGTTGTTATACTTGTCATGGATGTACAAAGGCTGCCGTGGCCTTGAAGCTTGCGCTAGTCCGGCATCATCGATCTGGGGATTGTCGGCAGCAGATCATGGAAGTCTCGAAGATGCAGGTCGAGACGTGTGCGGCATGCAAGATGGTGAAGTTGAAGCCCAAGCTATTCCTGAAAGAAGCTGTTGAAATACCAAGCACGAGAAATGTTAGGCATTATCCACGCTGCTGTTGTAGCTGCAGGGGAAATTTCCGACGCCGATCAAGCGCTCATAAACAGAAGACTGCCGCGTTGAGACACATGGGCGACAAATGCTTGACCATAGCGCTGGTACCAGACGGAGAATGATGGATGCGTAGTGAAGAGGCGATGAAAGGTGACGACCGGCAATTGCTGGTGTCTAGCAAGCAGCGAGCTGCAGGTGGCGAGCCAGGGCTTTGAAATACATTAGGCTCAGCTCTAGAGCAAGGAAGGCTCACTATGAGCTCCCCACAACTGTTGTGCAATGTGTCTTGCACGCTTCTTACGCTTCCGTGCTTGTCTCATCTCGCCGGCTATGGCGGCAGGGTAGTACACGTCATTCGCTGCAGCCTGAAGCAGCTGAATTGCCGCCGTTGTTGGCCGCTTGCGTTTGCTCTGTAGGAGTCAGTACAGTATGACTCAAGACAAGCAAAAGCAGAAGAAGTGTACCGTACGACGTGGCTGTGGGATTCTTGTATCGCTGTCGTCGTCTTGCTTGTCTGTTTGCGGGGTATTTCCTGCGTTGCGACGTGCTGATCGTGCCTGCGTGCCAATTTCGTCGTCGGTCCACTGGCTGATCAGCCTCTGCCAGGCGCTTTTTATGCCTCAATTGCTGTTGTCAGCGTTAAAAATGACGGACGGACTGCCTGCCTCAATTAGGCATGATTGCGTTCTTTGGTTTTAGTTGATGGGAGTGCCTCGCTGGTTCTTGAAAAGTCACATACGTCCCTGTAGTAGCGAGCAGCGCCGAAGATAGCATTCCGCTGCGTGTTGGTTGCCGCACTTGTTGGCCACAGACACATCGTCGCTTTGCTAAAGTTGCTAAAAGACTCGACCGCCTGGATCTCAATTCGCTTAGAATTCTCATTTGACACGGGTTGTGATCGTCCTAGTAACTTTGTCATGCGTGTATCGTGCACAAGGCCTTCGAATTGGTCTGGAATATCCTCCTGGATGCGTTGCTACAGCGCAGTGTATGAGTAGAGATGGAAACGTTGTCAGATAAAGCCTTGAGCCTTTGTTGGCTGTGCCTGCTGCGATACCAGCTCGAGGTTAATGAGCTAGTTCCGTGAACGACAAGGGCAAGATGCTTGGCTTAAAGGCATTGAGCAAGACTCTAGAATGCTGATCACATGCTGTAAGAGCTAGTAGACGTGCTACTTGGCTTTGCTGTGACAGTGTCAAGAATGAGGATGTCGGCTGTCAATTTGCTTGGCAGGTCGAACTCCACCCACAACATGCGCGCTACAACCACGCGATTGTACACACGACACCACACCTCAGCCAACCTGCTGCCACCGTGGCGCACCCTCTGAGAGGGACTCTGCTTTCGATAACTCATGACGGGCTATCATTTCAATGACCTCAGCTGATGCTGTGCTTCGCAGCACTGTCCATTGATTCCCTTCACGCGAAAGCTACGGTATCCTTGTGCCTCTTTTGCTCTCTCATGAGCACCTCTTTGGCTGACTCTTGCTTGTAAACAGATACAGATACGAAACGGGACAGAATCCCGAACACAAGAAGCTTGCTATTATTGAAGGATCCAGTATAACCAGAACGGACGCTCAACAGGCGTGTCCCAAGGATGGCTCCAAAGAATTCAACACTATCCAAGTGGACAGCTCTAGATGCTCATGCGTCTGCTGAGTGTCTCTGTAGAATCATAATTCCGGCTGAAAGACGCATGGATGTGCTGACTGCTCTGCGTACTTTCTACTGGCAACAGGAATCGGAGAAGAAGAAGCGCTCAAGGGACTGACTTTCACGGCAACTCCGCATTGCAGCGCTTGTCTAGGGACCCTTCTCGTCTTGATACCGCCGGAATCAGTCATATACAATGCAGTGAGGAGAGACAACACGTCTCAGCTTGCTCAAGGTACGCATCAACATCCGTCATTCTTGCATTGTATTGTGACAACAGTGCCTGCGGTTTGCTCAAGCCCCACGACCGATCAGCAATATAAGACTACTGCAAGATGTCGACAAGAACAAGTATTTTCGAGGAGCAAAATGAAGCTCGATGGCCCAGCCAAGGAAGCGCGGCTAAGTACCATATGATCTAGCTAGTCAATTCCAGACGTTCATGGTCAAGCTCTAGTAACCATGGATGACCCCTTTCTACTTCAGTCCCCTCCAGTCTACTGTTGTGAATACGGTTCATGGTCGCCTGCTTCTCGCCAGTGCTGTTGATTGCAACCAGTCGGTCATCAAACCTCCACCAGCTTGTTGCAAGTAAGTCTCCTTTGTAGATCTTTCCGAGGTCAGATGAGTTGACAGCGCACTTTCTGATGGTCTATACGCTCCAGAAGGGCAAAAGCAACAATTAAAGTTGGCACATACGTCATGTTGAACACGAGCCGGCAGCGAATATAATTTTACGCGACAAAGAACAATAGCGCTGCATCACATCAGTCGACGTTTCAATATGATCTGCCACTCCCTAATGTTGCAAGACTGAGACACAAGCAGCAAACAATCGCATAGCCACGCGAAGACGTCAACCACAGGGAATCGTATTGAGCCCCGAAACAAGATCGTTGCCGTCGGCCCGTCTTTGCAGAAGCACAATCACAAGCGTACAATGTATCTGGCAGCTGCGATGTCATGGCACTTTATCACGGGCTTTTTGGTGGCTATGTTGCTCTACAAATCTGTCGTTGCGGTTAAATCCAGTGGTGCCTCGGGGTCTTCTGCCAATTGGCCAACAATTGACAAGTCACAAGCAACTGACATTGCCAAAAAGGACATGGCCTTTATTCACTCAGCGGCCTTTCCACAATGTAGGAACGTGTCGATTGACTATTGGCTTTTGGTTCGCAACCAGGCTGCTGACGACAAATCAATCATACCGCATCTCGTTGAAGGATTTCCGCACACAGCTGTCCTCAGTGACCCTACAAGGAAGGTCACGAGCAAGCAGAATTGCATCCACACTTGCAAAAATCGCATTGATCTTTTCAATGCAGGACTGTCATCAGCATTGCAGCGTCTCTCAAGGTTCGTCCCTTGCTGGGGAAATTCTGATTTCACCATTTTGAATCGAAAAGCTATTGCGATAAAGTCGCCTTGTGTAGGGCAAGGTTCAGCTCTCTGCGACTTAGAGGTCTTCTGTGAGTGCGATATCAGTCTGTTGGTTCACTATCAGCTCAACGCGACCAAATCAGAAATGCGCCACCACAGATGGAACGACTTCCAGCCTCCAAACCCCAGTTCTCAATGCGATTTGTCAACTTTTGCGCAGAAACTTGGCGGAGCAATGGAGGAACAACAAGGGCCGAACCGTAAGAACACCATTGCTTTGCCATTCCGTGAATGGCGTTTTCGACCCGATAGACTTACTGTGTTGAACCTTGTTACCTGTCCAAGTGAATCGGAAAAGAGCCGTGGGAAACCACCTGCAGAACCCACAGCCATTGCAGAGGCTGATGCGCATGGTGAGCCAAAAAGGAAAAGGATTAAGAAAGATCCTGTCAAAGAAATCTGTTACTGTCGAAGCGTCGATGGCAAGCCCACTCCCTCGAGTGATTGTGGCCATACTGAGCTGGTCTGTCGAGTGACGAGCTACGCAGAGATCATTCAGGAGATGAAAGATCACAGAATCGATTTGCAATTGCTAGCCATCTACCTGGAACAATACCCCGGGTTGGCCAACAACTTTCAGCCAATCTCGAGAACTGATATGGAGGCAGATCAGCTCAATCAGGAAATCTTGCAACCATCACTCCCTGACCTGAATCTTCCTGCACGCGGGTCCCCAGATTATGACGAGCTCTGACACTTGCAAGCTTTTGAAAACAATCGTTCATAAATATTGTCGTCTGGCTATGCGCATGATCAACCTCATTTTAGATTATCGTTTATAGCCATCGTCGAATAATTTGCAATTGATGTAGGCTTGCTTGTCCCGAAGGCGCGAGTTCTGGCTATTTTGGCAGAATCTATTCGGGGTTGGTCGCTAATCACCACGCGCAACTGAGCAAGTTTCTGCATGGCAGCCTATCTCATGGAACCATGTTGCCTACAATGTCGAAGAGGGTCCAGATTCCGGTCCACGTGCGAAAATCACGAAATGACACGTATGCTTTTCGAACAGTACAATTAAAGCTGCAATTGTAGTAGTACCTCAGCTGTCAAATAACGTACTGTTCTGCAACTTCTTGGAAAAGATGCATTTATCATCGAAGACAACAATGACCAGCGGCTTCATCATAAACATCAATTTGAATCTGTTGTTCCTATGCTCTATGGCTACAGCTGGCCGCGCCAAGGGACAAAGAGGCAGCACTTCCGGGTCGAAGCGATCTGCGACTGCAGCTGCAATCACTGCGGCAGATGGACTTGGAACTCACGACTCCAACGTTCCAGAGACTTTCAAACGTTCGTATAAGCATCAGCAAACCTTTTTCCCCGAGTGCAGGACGGTATCAATTGGCTATCAGCATCTAGTTCAAGAGCTGCTCAATGATCGCTTTACACCTCAGCAGACGTCTTCACTTGCTTTCGCTGCAGCTTCAACGACGAGCAGCTCAACACCGCAATCAATGCCTGGACCCAAACTAATGAGCGAAGAGGCCTGCTACACAACTTGTAAAACCGGAATCGAAGCCTTTCGAGATCAACTTTCGCAAGGTATGAGATCGTACAAGCAACCTGCTCCATGTTGGGCCACTGCAGATTTCACCATCGTTGACCGAAACGGAACAGCAATTAAGCAGTATTGTCCTGGGGTCTGCCCTTTGCTAGTCGTCTGTATGTGTCAACTCAGTCTGATCATCCACTATCACTACAATGCAACACCAGGGGAAATGCAAAGAAACAAGGAGGTGTTCCTCTATAGCTATAAGCCTACGAACTTCCGGTCTGTTTGCGACATGAGGACATTTCCGAATGATTTGGGTGGAGTAATGTTTGAAGGACCAAGGACGCTAAAGGTTAAGCGTTCACTGTTCAACCTATGGAAATTGATACCTGGATCGGCGAAAGTATTGAAGACTATTGAATGTCCAATCCTCAATGATAGACAAGCAAATGATCCGAGCAATGCAGGACAAGGTACAGTAACTGCGGAGAATCCAGCAGCAAAGAACCCAAAGAGAGCGATTCGAGAAGTGTGCTATTGCAACGGCGTCGATGGCAAGAGGAGCATTGTCACTGCTCAATGTAGTCATGCTCAGGTTTCTTGCGTGACAACAAGCTATGAAGACGTCCTGAGTGCTCTTCAGCAAGGTAACTATGATCAAGCCATGCTGGGGATATGCGTGGAAGTGTTTCCTGAGCTTGTTGCGTTGTTCAAGCCAATTCCCAGGATGGCGATTGCAAACGAGCAGATCGGTAGTGGAACTTTGGACCTGTTCATTCCCAATCTGCAGAATCTTCCTGACCTCAACGAACTACCTCCAGCTGAAGGTAGGGTGTCGCACGGGCAGCTGGGCACGGGTGAAGGGCTCTTGCCCAGCCCGCCTGCCCTTGAAAATGCGTTTGTCCGTGTTCGCCCGCAGCACGGGCACGGGCTAACGGGCAGAATAAAGGCGAGGACATGCGAACTTTCGCGGCACCCTGGAGAAAAAGTGGGTTTACCCGGATCATCCGGGCATATTTCACCACTTGTCCGTGTTCGCCCGCGGCGCGGGCACGGGCAAACGAGCAGAATGTAGGCGGGGCCGGGCAAATTTTGCGGCACCCTAGCTGAAGGGCACGATAAAATTTGAAGTGCCGCATTTGTGTTTTGTCATAGCTAAATCGCAATTGCTGAAAGAACATGTGACTGTAAATACGTTTCGTATTCAGCTACAGGGCAGAGTCAGAGTTGTTCTTTTACACCTAAGTCCACGGCCGCGGAAATTCCACACATGACAGAACTGCCCAAAGCAAATCCGTGACTGACAGCTGCAGCTCCAGAACCAGCTGACGACGCGGATCAAAAGAGATCAAGTGAAGCCACTCGAAAACCCAGGGAAGTGTACAAACGACTCACTGACGATGACTGCGTCTCTGTGCTCATCAATTGCACAAAAACACTGGTGACAAAGCGCAGCTGTTTTCTACGGCAATCATATGAAGCACAGCATTGCTGCAAATGCGCAAAGAGATACGTTCGAGCCCAATTGCTTTTACTCTGCAACGAGATCTGCAGTCGGCGCCATAGATCAAGCTTAAGCCCTCAGAATCATTAGCCTTTTGCTGGCTCTTAGCTGAAGCTACCCTACGGAAAATTTACCGGAGTGTACCAGAGCCAACCGGCGGATTACCGTGAGAAACTTTTCAAGCACAGCGGATTACCGGAGCCAACCGACTTCCAAACTTGCACACCGGAGGAAAACCAGCGGATATGAAGAGGCGGATCACTGAGCCACGCCAAAAGGCAGACAACACACAAGTCAATCACTGTTATCAAGTGATCAGAGGCCAACATCCGCTCATAATCAAATCTAGAAGCTATTTATACTGGATTCGATAGCCCTCAGCTACCCATAAAGAATGCTTCTGCTCTCGTAAGCGCCGTTCTCGCTTAAGCAGCTTGCCTACTGCTCTTTTCTTGTCGAGCCCTGTTCTCTCAAATTGGCCAGTTCATTCAAGAAGACGGCAAACTGGCACAATGACCTGCAATATGTGTCCTTGCTTGTTGAGAGACTTTGCGCCGCATGACGATATGGTCTTCAAGACCTTGATAAGACCTTGATGATCGCAAAATGCCTGCCGTCATGTTCAAAGAGACAGAGCAATTCTCTATAGCTCAATATTGCATTGTCGTGAACCTCAGACGCTTCATACGTCTGCCCACTGAATGCGGCCTTCGTTCGTGAACGGAGGCCACTCGCAGCACACTTCACAACGAAGATCTTTGTGGTGCCTTGACGACTAGCCACTTCGCATCTTAGCCACGATCACAAATTGGCGTTTGTAGGCTCAAAATTGGAAGAGTGTAGCGCTAGCGAATCTTGAGAATCGTCGACTTTGGCGTTTTGCTCCTTTCCTGCCTGCCTTGCCACTTCAGGACGAGATGGGATGACCAGCACACGCATCTGCCCTGCACCGTCTTGCTGCTTGTAGACAACACCTCACTGTCCTTGAGCTTACCCATTCGAGCATGTGGCATCTCCAGCTGCTCCATCACTCTTCTCAAGACAGGTTCTCCACTACTAGCGTGAGCAGCGCACGCTGCAAGCTCGATACCGTCGACTGACCTAGATAGGAAGAGGGATCTCCCACCGACAGTCTGGAAGACTACACCAGGCTCGCAGGATCGATTGAGCGTATCGATATACATTAAGATCCAAGCGCACGTTGCATAGCGTCTCTAGAACCGATAGTTCCTCTACAAAGACACTACGACTCGCAATGGGACTCTGGCCGCGAACGCCATTGCGCGACGCCACATGGATCAACATCACGGCACATGTACGGTACCTGATGGACACTCACTAGATTGTGGTCGATGCGCAAGGCAGGATGGTCACATGGCGTCACCGCAGCGTTGGGAAGCTCCAGACGGTCATCCACAAGTTGGATTTGGCTGTCCCTGTGCTGGGACGAGCTCATGGACATTAGATTGCCTTGACTATCTGCCAGCCCCACGCGAAGGTGGTGAATGAGGCGGTGAGAGTGTCTTTGTACCTTGCAAGCTCTTGACTGACGCACCCACAGACGCGTAAGGCGAAAGTCTACAGAGAGACTACTACTGCTGCTTCTTCCCAAGACGATGATATCATCCACGAGCACGACGTTGCCCATGGAGCGTCATCTGCTCGCCTCGATAATGAGAATACCCGCTGCGAGACACCCGCTTACGCCCTCTCTGAAGACGATGGTATTGACGAGGCTGCATCGAGAATTGTGGGTTCCTCCTTCTGCCTGATGTGCCTCACTAACATATTCAGTTGCAGCTAACTTCGTCTCAGCACAATGTGAGCCAATTATGCGGAGGAAACATTGGCTAACAAGATGTAGCGTCAAGCAAACAAGATTGCGCATGTTTCCAAGGCAAGTCCGTCCCATCTTTGATGTTATAAGACTGACCAGTGGCCAGAAGTCAAGCAAAGATCGATCCACCTCCTCGTCTCGCAAGGTATACACTTCTGCCATTCCTACCATGACATACTAACGATGCATTTCTAGTCTGGAAGAACATCAAAGCTATCACGCAGAGCACAGGACGCTGAGCAAGGCAGCGCTATTATGACCAAGGCCAAGACTGCAGCATCACAAGCAAAAACGGCGCACAAGTCTGCCAAGAAGGCCAAGAAAGCGGCAGCACGTCTGTAGTGTGTCGTAGATGGTCTAGTTGCTACACCTACTGTCGCTACAGCATCTATTGAGCTCCCCGTTGGCAGGTGGTATCCTCTGGTAATCCTCCGGTTGGCTCTGGTAAAGGCGTGCTTATTTCCGCCGGTAGTCTGCCGGTAGTCTGCCGGTAGTCTGCCGGTAGTCTGCTGGTATTACTGCGCCTGCGAAGTTAGGGATTTTCCGCCGGTATTCATCCGGTAATTTCCGCCGGTAATCTGCCGGTCCAAATTTTCCGTAGGGCTAGCTGGTGCACCAATTCATCGCGAAATGACTCGAAGATGCAGCTTGACAACTGGCTCTCAAAGTAAGAGCAAAAGTAGAGGTATCTCAAGCGACATCTTGGCATATAAAGTCAGTGGCTAGCTAATCGTTGAAACTGCAGCAGTTGAATGAGTGGACAGCCGTCAATTTGCAATTGTCGGTTTCAAAAAGTTGGCCACCACGCACAGCTACAGCGCTAGCCGGATGCAATAACTCAAAAAAGCTCCTCACACAGTCAGCACGAGTGCTTTTCAATCGACCCCTGACCTGAATGCTCCATGACTGACACGCACTCTACGTGCTGGCTGCAGCTAATCCTGTATCGCGCAGCACAATTTGTTGATTCCCTTTACGCGCGATGTTGAGAGTGCATACTCAGTTCTGTCCCTGATCACCATGAGCAGTTGGCATCGACATCAATCCTCCCTCGGCAATATGAGCTGCAGCTTGCAGGAGCATGGGAATTCAGGGTCTCATTGACAGCACACTTGCGCGGCCATCAGCAGGAATCTTCGCGGGAGCTGAAGCACAAAATGCGACTCGAAGACGCACCGTGGCATATTTGGTCGATCGTCCAATCAGCTGATGTTCCTAGACCCTTGTTCTTTGTGGAGAAGCTTAAATGATTTTCAAAGAGGGATCTCTGCTCAACCTCAAGCTTGTTCTAGTCGCGAAGCAGCCTGTAAGTATACAAGTAAATGAATGCCAGATGCATAGCTGCAGGCAACTTAGACTTCAATTGAGCTAACTCAATCTTTAGCTGCGAGGAGATGAATTGGCTCTACATTTTGCCATTATTACCTATTGGCGATGCGCACAAGGAGCCGAAAGGCGATTGGAGGACCAAGGAACCAAAACCAGGCCAGGCATTTTATGGCGCATGCCGACAAAACTCCATCACCATCAAGTATTTGCACACATGCAAGCCTAGGAGCAAGGGCTCTGAAGTGAATCAGTGCACGGATATTACCTCCTGCTCATTCTCTGGTGGTGAACGATTGGTGCAGGCTGGATGTGACTGCAATTGCTACTCGGCCCATGCAAAACCATGCGAGAAGTGATTCTGAGCCTTGCCGTGACTTGCCGTTCGCATTCCAGCACGTCCATATTATACCAAAGTCAGAACAAACAGTTCTCTCATAGCTCACGAGCAGTAGCTGATTGATAGCGAAGCAATCTTAGAAGCCTTGTGGAGAACAAGACGTATGCGGGTGATACAACGGTGGCGTATAGGAATGGTCTCGGCGGCTCGTACTGCTGTGGGTCGACCTCAAAGACAAAGTCGGACCCAGCGAAACGCCGTGAAAGATAAACCACAATTCGTCCTAGACTTGCGAGGGTACAGTCGGTTACTCTTGCTCTGTCCAAGTCTGCGATTCAGAAAAGTCGAAAATCTTGTTTGGATTGAGCAGTAGCAATGGATCCATCGAGAGCTTCAAGCGTTTCATCAAGCCCACTGTGTCTTCACCCAATTCCTGCAGCAGGTACTTCTTCTTGACAATACCGACACCATGCTCGCCTGTGCACGTTCCGTCCATTTCGATTGAACGTTTGACGAGATGACTGACTGCGTCTTCGACGGCCTTCTTTCCCTTCGGATCCGCCTTGTTGTAGAGAATCTGCTGTTAGCATGGTCCTTTGTGAAGTACTTCATACAATAGAATGAGCGTTGCCATCACCAGCGTGACTGACGATACTGGCAAATACACCAATCGACGTCATTCTTTCCTTGACCTCTTTGATGAGCTGCGGTAGCTTTGAAAGCGGTACAGTGTAATCTGTGGTCCAGACAACTTCGCCTTTAGCAGGATCAGCAGCGGCCATCATACTCCACAGTGCTTCCTTGCGTGCCATCCACAAGTTGTGTGAATCTTCCTCACTCTTGGCAAATTCAAACGCTTCAGCATTCGTGGCTTTTGCAATCTTGCTCGCTTGCTTGATTTGCTCATCCACCGCTGCTGGACTGCCGGAGAATTTCATAAAGAGGTAGGGGAGTTCCTTGTAGGTGCGTGCTCCAGTACCTTTACTGGTTTGATTGACGGCCTTCATTTGCACGTCATCAAGCAGTTCCAGTGCGCCGCACGGAATGCCTGCTGCCATGATTTGAGAGACGCAAGAGGCTGCATCAACAAGTGTTGGAAAGGGTGCGATAGCAACGCGTGTGAGTTCTGGAATGACTGCCAGTTTGAGTGTTGCTTCGGTAACAAGACCAAGGGTGCCTTCACTGCCGACAAACAAGCGGGTCAAGTCATACCCAGCAGACGATTTGCGTGGTCTACGACGTGTTTTGATGATGGTGCCATCTGCCAGAACAACGGTGAGTGAGAGGACCCATTCCTTCATGGTTCCATAGCGTGCTGCGTTTGTGCCAGAGCAACCGGTTCCAATCATGCCGCCAATACGTGCGCCTGGACCAGGGTCGGGTGGGAAGAACAGATTATTGGATTTCAGCGCTTCATTGAGTTCCTGCCAGCCAATAGCAGGCTGTACGACCACATCGAGATCTTCCTTGTGCAGGGATACGATTTGATCCATGTGCGCAAAGTCAACACACACACCACCTTGCGTTGCGCTGAAATGTCCTTCGAGTGAGGTACCTCCGGAGTACGCAATCATGGGTAACCTGTACTTGTGACAAATCTTTGCCATTTTCGCAACATCCTCTGTACTTTTTGGGAAAGCCACTGCAATGGGACGTGTCTCAATATTGTACGTTGCCCAGCTACTGAATCCATGACGCTCGAGTTCTTCCTCGTCTGTCGTGATGCCTTCTTCACCTAGAAATGCCTGAATCTCTGGCATCGCTTTGTAGAGTTCTTTTGCACCGCCATACTTGGCAGGTGTCGTGTGTGTGCGAATGATACTGCTTGTATCTTGTGCATTGGCTTGACGGCTCGTAAGGAGTCCAATGGCATAGGTACTGAGGCCCGTCAAGGTTGATAGTAAGAGTGCTTTGCCTGTTGTCCAGCGAATGGGCGGGCGTGCTTGTGATAGCGGAGAGCGGACTGTGCTTGCTTTACGAGCCGCTTGACGGAGTGCTCGGGGACGGGCTTGTGAGAGCAGAGAACGGACTGTACTCGCCTGACGAGTAGCTTGACGGAGTGCTCGAGCAAACATGCTGCTGGCTCTGCACAATAGTCGTGGAGGGATGGTGCAATGGAAGTAGTTAGAGATCTGGGGAAAGCGTGGGATCCACCGGTGATTGCCGACCAGATGAAGTTGCTTTGAAGAAAATCAAGAAGTGTTGAATTGTAAATGAGCCTTATTGGCATGCTAAATGTGGTCTAAATCTATGCGCGACTTTGCTGAAGTCCCAAATGGTACTCTTCTGCCTTCTTGATGGTCGTCATATTGGCCTTGAGTTTGTTGAGTGTCTCAATATACTCATCCTCTTCAACACTATCAAAGACAATACCACCGCCTGCCTGCAGGTAGACAGAACCATCCTTGTATGTCATGGTGCGAATGGCAATACATGTATCCATACTGGTATTATCATAGCCCCAACGACCCACGGCACCGGCATACACGCCACGCTTCTCACCTTCGAGCTCGGCAATGAGTTCCATGGCACGGACTTTTGGAGCGCCTGAAACAGTGCCTGCTGGGAAGATACTCCTGAATGCATCGAAGCGTGTTTGATCCTCTCGCAGCACACCGGAGACTTGTGAAGTGAGGTGTGAGACGTGTGAGAAGCGTTCAACGGTCATGAAGCGATCGACAGAGGTGGTGCGGGTATCGCACACACGGTTAATGTCGTTACGCGCCAGATCCACAAGCATGACATGTTCAGCACGATCTTTCGTGCTCTCAAGGAGTTGAGCTGCGAGTGCATCATCTTCTTCAACAGTCTTGCCACGATGCACGGTGCCTGCAATAGGATGTGTCAAGACACGACCGGCTTCCGCCTTGACCAGCAATTCAGGCGATGCACCAATCAGAGTAAAGTCGTCGCATTTGATGTAAAACATGTACGGTGAGGGGTTGACCTGCCGAAGTTGTCGGTAGATGTTGAAGGGATGCAGGTCTGTGGTTCTGCGAATGCGTTGTGAGGGCACAGCCTGGATGATGTCGCCTTTACGAATATGTTCCTTGAGCTTTGTGACGTGTGCTTTGTAGCCTGCTTGACCAATGTTGCTTTCGTACTGGTGGTCAAGGGAGATGGGTGGTTGTTCCACAGCAGGGGTCGGTTGCTGCAGGAGATGGATGTATTGCTTGATGGTCTCTTCAGCGAGCTTGTACTCCTCCTCAAGAGGGTTGTCGAGAAAGAGGTGCGTGACAATCTTGACGTTATTGTAGATGTGGTCGAAGCAGACGACTGTTTTGTGGTAGAGCATGACTGACTCGGGTGTGCCCAGGACGTCCTTTAGATCGCGCCGTGTACGTGGTTCAAAATACTTGACGCAATCATAGGAGACGAAGCCAATAGCCCCGCCACTAAAGGGCGGCAGACCAGGAACATCGAGCTTGCGGTAGCCCTTGAGTCGCGCTTCCAAGTCAATGAGCGGGTCTTCTTCCTTGCCATGGCCGGGCCCGCTCTTGACAACGAGATAGGGATCTGTGCCGACATAACTGAAGCGGCCCAGCTTTTCTCCGCCAGAGACGCTCTCCAGGAGGAAGGAGTACTTGCTGCCCTTGCATAGTTTGAGATAGGCATTTGCAGGGAGGTCGTCTGCGGGTATGGTTGCATAGACGGGGACTATATTTGGCGAGTCTGAGGCATCTGCAATGAGCTGCCTGAGGTCCTCTATGCCTGGGCTGAGCATGGATAGCGCCTGTGGTCTTGTATGCTTGATCTTGCTACGTAGCGAGTTGATTAAATGGATCTGCACGTGCATCGACAGACTAAGCAGAACAGCGGCAGCAGTTACTATTGCTACTACTACTACTATTACTACTATTACTAGAAGATGTCCGACGCAGACGAGAAGCCAGAGCTCAGGCCATTCACCTTCCGCACTGCCGGTTACGACGCACGCTTCCCAAACACGAACCAGGTGCGTGCCACTCGACCAGCCTCGAGGCAATACATACATTCATATATGCTGACATGCCGTCCCTCTAGTCCAAGCACTGCTTCCAGAACTACGTCGACCACCACAAGTGCGTCAACCAGCGCGGCAAGGACTTCGAACCATGCAAGCACTTCTTCAAGGCTTACCATGCACTTTGCCCCAATGAGTGGTATGTCACCTTGCATACTATGTACGCACAACTAACCAAGCAAAAGGCACCAGAACTGGGACACCCTCCGCGAGAATGGCAACTTCCCTACCGATCTCGAGTAGATGCCCGTAGCAAATCGACCTCTGTGGCTTGTTTATTTTGTCTTTATACTTATCCTTGCTTCCGTCTTCTGTCTTCAGCGATGTCTCCAGCACTATACACACACCGCATGTTTATTGACCCTCTACTCGCCATGCATCAATGAAGGACAATGTACACTACCCCTTCTACCTTGGCGGCACCTCCAGCATGATCGCCGCCGCCTGCACACACCCACTCGACCTCGCAAAAGTCCGCATGCAAATGTCGGGTGACCATGCAACGGGTTTCCTCCAAACAATCGCCCACGTCGCCCGCAAGGAAGGTCCACGCGCCTTGTACGCGGGACTCTCGGCATCACTCTTGCGACAAGCAACTTATTCTACGACTCGCTTTGGTGTCTATGAGGAACTCAAAGCACGCGTAACAGATCCGTCATTCGGTGCACTCGTTGCCATGGCGAGTCTTTCTGGACTCGCAGGTGCGATTGTAGGGAATCCAGCAGATGTCTTGAATGTCCGTATGCAAAACGACTTGACCCTGCCACCGGACCGGCGGCGGAATTACAAGCATGCGTTGGACGGACTCCGTCGTATGACACAGGAAGAAGGCATCGCTAGCTTATTCCGTGGTGTAGGCGCCAATGGTGCACGCGGTGTTCTCATGACTGCCTCGCAACTCGCTTCCTATGATCTCTTCAAATCGGCACTCCTTCGGTATGGGGTGTTGAAGAAGGATAATCTAGTCTGTCACTTTTCTGCCAGTTTTCTCGCTGGCTTCGTGGCAACAACCGTGTGCAGTCCCTTTGATGTCGTCAAGACCCGCATCATGTCTGCAAAGGGTGATGCTGCCATCTTGACGGTTGTCAGGGAGGCACTTGCAAAGGAAGGGTATGCCTTCATGCTACGTGGATGGGGTCCGTCATTTGTGCGATTGATGCCACAGACTGTCATTACAATGCTTGTCCTGGAGCAGCAGAAGAAACTGTACAGGGCATTGATGTAGAAGAGATAGCTGTAGACGAGAAGCGATGACTAGACATGCAACAGGGATTGCCTCCAGGGACAAGATGAAATCGAAAAAATAAAGTCCCCGCTGCCTGGATTGAACAGGCGACCCCATGATATCGATTAAATTACAGTCATATGCTCTTCCAACTGAGCTAAGCGGGGATTTCTTATCGCAATCCACTGGGTGATACATAACACCTCAAAATACCCCCAATCCGCGCTTTTTTTTTCCAATTCAAGCTATGTTCCCTACCCCATCACCATATCCTCGAGACGGTAAGTCCCTCTTCAGTGATAGAATGGCGGAAGACACTAGGATCACTCCTGGCGCCGTCACGGGATTCTGTTCATCCGAGCAAGCTGAAGTATATGAGGTGCTTGAGTCTGGAACCCCAGACTACAAGCAACGCCGTGTAGCAATGAAGCTCGGGATGAGAGCCGCTCTCGCTAACATCATCATGTGCTCCCTCCCTCAAATGATGCCTGGTGGCGAGGAAGCGCTCAAAAAAGCGTTGTCCCCGTATGGTGACGTGGTAGGAGAGCTTGTGAGAGAGCGAAGATTTGCTACCCATGCGTTCTTGACAGGTCGTTGCTGCTTTCTCATGCGTCTCAAGGAAGAAAATAAGCTGCCACCTCGGCGCTTGACGGTGGTGTACAGCGATCACGAGGAAGAAATGACACTGACCATCAATCCACTCCCTGGAACGAAGCAATGCCATTTCTGCCACACACTCGGACATGCGCGTGCAGAATGTCCCGTAGCGCCTATTTGCAATATATGCAAAGCCTCAACGGCCCATCCACCCATCAAGTGTCCTATCATCAACCCGAAAAAGCAAGAACGATGGCCTGGTGCTTCTCATCACTTTGTGCCGACTGAAGTGGACGAGATTCCCGAAACTGAGGGCTACAAGAAAGCTTGCGCATCCATGCTCAAGCACCAAGAAGCCTCGTCTGGCCAGACTATCCTTTGCAAAATCCCGGACTTTGCAGATGAAGGCATTCCTGAGCTCAAAGCGGCCTTCTCTCAATATGGCTTGATTCCTGTCTATTACCGGGAGTGTGTCGAGGGAACCAAGAAACCCTCAGGACGCTTTTGTTTCTTGCTGAGGCTCAAGGATGTGTTTAAGCAGCCACCTAGACAAGTGGTCGTCAAAAGAGATGGTGGCAACTTTCTCGAGACAATCGAGCTCATAACCGGTGCAGAAGCCGAGAACTAGCTCTAGCTGTCTTGTTGTTTACTCCAAACCGATTCTGCTTACACCTCCTCCGTGCTGCTTCCCTAATCTAGGCAGCCGACGATTGACCATGCTCAAGGTAATAGCGCGGACAAGTGTCACCGCTTGAAGCCTCTATTCACGGCCGACATGAGACCATACCATTGGAGTTTGTAACCGACTCCTTAAACTTGAGCCACGATGGCGAAAAGAGATCATGACAAACAATGCGCATGTGGACATGCAATGCCATGCACACAAACAAAATCGAGACCAGCTTGAGATGTCAGCCAAGCCTTGACAAAGAACAGGGACCTTCATTTGCCAATGCCATTATGCCACGGACTGGCCTCTCCGCTCCTTCGTCTTGTCTTCACTCTTCTCGTCTATCGCTACCTGTCCTGAGTTCTAAGTACTCCTGAAACTGCTCCATCACGATGGTGCTCAGCATTATCACATGGCCCGGCGTATCCCCCTTTTTGATGCGGCCTCCGCTGGCATCTTTATCACCTCGCTGCATGGACCACGCTCCAACATGTAACACTCGCAAGCGTCGAGCCACGCGTCTCATGGACCACACTCCAGCATTGCGCTCGCAAGCATGGATGTCCTCTTCAACAGAGCCCCAGCGTCAGTCGTCGATGCGCTTTCAGGGTCTTTGCCATCGCCCACCTTTTTCTCGTCTTCTCCTCGCTCGAGGCTGTCAAAGTATAAAAGGAGCGCTTCTCACATCTTTGTAGCATTGTCAGCAACATCAGTTCAGCTCTCCTGCTATCTTTTGTTCGAAGGCTCTGCCACCAAGACCACTCTTACGCCTAAGCTCCTTACCTGCAGCGGTACGCCTTGCCTCGCTAGGTCGTGATCGTCACAGTATTGCGGAAGTCTGTCGCCAAGGATGCGCCTTGCTCCGCCCAATGTCATTTCATCGGCAGTGGTGATCACCATCGGCTTAGCACTGGTTGGTCATACAACTGCATTTCAACTCTCCTGTAACAATGCAGGTTGTCCCCCGGGCTGGATGATGGACGGCCGCTATAAAGATTGCCTACAACTTCGAGGCTGCCTGTTCTATGCGGAGATCAGAGATCCTAGCGATCCCTTAGACAGGCTCAAGACTTGGAATGCTTTGCGAGGCTCCATCGGACCCAACGCTGACGCGATGTTTGTTTACACGGACACGACCAATGGAGCAGCCCCGTCATCTGGGTCGAAATATTGGCAGGCGACACAATTTATCTGTTGGCGAGCTTGGGCAAGTTTTAGTGTACCGTCACTATGGAAGAATCAGCCTATCCAGAAGAAAGACTTGAGCTTCAAAGATGATTATGGTGTGCTTTATCAGGGCAGAATTGATTGTACCGGGGCTGACGTTACCCAAAAAGAGGTCCGTTGCTGTAAGGCATGTCCGATTTGAATTGGCGTCAGACGTGCAGACTTAAAGTAGCGTATATCGAGAGTCACTTTCCGCGCATACGTAAGCTAGACGCAGAATTGGTAGAGCAAGCAGTGTCTAGGTCATGCATTTACCAAGCTCATCGTGGTTGGTGTGCGCTAAGTGGATTGTAGCACTTGCATTTTCACCTGTTGAGGACAGCTCGGTATTAGCAAAGGCTCAGTATTGGCAGTTACCATAGGAACGCTTGATGAAGATGAAAAAGCTAAGCAGGGCAATTGCGGAGGTGCAAGCAGTATACGCCAGCTGACGAATGACTGTGAAGATTGATATTACTCTGTGCAGCGCTGAACGCGGTGCAAGATCAAACTTGTGCATCACAAAGAGGGCAAGATTGAATACCAAGAGGACCGATACTACAGCTGCCATAGAGTAGCATATTGCAATTGTCAAGGCGTCCTTAAAGTTTCGACACTTGAATCAAGTGCAGCGGCATGCAGATGCGTATTCTGCAGACGTCTTCACAGGCGCATAGGAAGCTTATAAGTCATCATTCACGCAGGCTGCCCAGTAATCAGAATATAGACAGTCGGCTAAGGGGGAAACAAGCTGCCATTGTGTACACGTGCATTTCATCTCATATTCTCAGGTGACAGCTGGCGTGAGGGAGGCTCATCTTGTCAAGAGTCTTGCCATCATCTGATTCATCTCTGCTTCCAGCGACAACTCTTGTGATGGCTCAGCACTCAAACTCCGTAACATAGGGTCTTCTTGCTGATTAAACCGCAGTAATACACGCTTTCAAGGCTTTCATACTCTTGAAAGCAAGCTGAAGGTCCAGATCTCAGTCAATACCTTCTCGATTGCGCACCGCTACAGCTGTGATTGCCATCGCGATGACGATTGCGGTTGTAGCTGCGACCCCTGCAGCTGAAAATTGGCCTCGCGCGCGAAACGGAGACGAACATTGCGTCTCATGTGTTGAGCTGCAGCAAATATATCCACAGATCAATCTCCGAGGTTCAATGGAGATGTTCTTTCGTATCATATGCATCAGCACATGGCGCAAAGGTCTAGCTAGACCTTGAGCATGTGACTCAAGCATGTGGCTCAAGGGCTCAAAGCGCCCGGTCCGCAAAACCACGAGTCCATGACATTGCGGACGCGTGGCAAATAAAGCCAGCCTGGGAGCTGTACATTGCGAGCTCAGGCGAACGCTAGTCACCACTTGAAGCCTTTGAAACCGACCGACATGAAGCTGCTCAACTCGAGTTCTTTCAACGAACTCCTGAAACATTGGCCCCGTTCGCGAATACGAGCTTAAGATTCAAAATGCATGCATGCGCACAAACAAGAAAGTTGAGACCAGCTTGAGATGACAGCCACTGTCAGCCAGGCTCTGAAGAAAGAACACGGGCATCAATTTGCCAAGACCCAAATAATAGGAGCCCCTGAAATATCAGCCCGCATCAATCAAAGGCAGCGAAAGAGCCACGCAATCGCAAACTCCGATCGAAAATTATCAAACTGCATTGTATAGCGGTGGTCTTTGGCCGACGATGCGCCTTCCTAACCACGATGTAGCTTCGTCAGCAGTGATGATCACCATCGGCTTAGCGATGTTTGGCCAAACAGCTATCAGCATCAGTATCACGCCGACCGACGTGTGTAAACTAGATCCGAGAGGGAAGTGTCCCGCGGGCTTCCGAATGACACCATTCAAAGATTGTCTACAACTTCAAGGCTGCCTCTTCTATGCGGAGGTCAGAAATCCTCTGGACAAAGAGGACAGGTTCAAGACCTGGAAAGCTTTGCGAGGCCAAATTGGGCCCGACAATGACGCTTTCTTTGTCTTTACGAATACATCTAATGGACCATCCCAGTCCGTGGGGTCAAAATACTGGCCACAGGCAGACTTCGTCTGTTGGCGAGCTAGAACAGAGCGTGATCCATGGTCAGTGTACACCCTCGATAAGGTCATTGGAGTGAAACAGTTGACTCAAAAAGTCGGAGGTGTGGTTTACAAGGGCTACATCAACTGTGACTTACTTGGCGTTATCCAAAAAGAGGTCCATTGCTGTAATGAGTGTTCATAATGAATTGGCGTGACACGTACAGATGGGAACGCAAGTTCAATTGAGAGTCGCCTTCCGCGCATACGTAAGCTAGATGCAAAGTTGGGAGAGTGGGCAGAGTCTAGGTCATGCGTTTACCAAGTCGATAGTGGTTGATGTGCGCTAAATGGACTGTACAACTTGCAATCTCAGACACTCTCAGCAACTTAAGAAGAGGAGAAGCGAGAGAACATGAACTCAGTGGAGCTGCCCGAGCTGCGAGATGAGGGAGCGTCGGAACAAGGCACAATAGGGTGGCCGACGAGCGAAAGTGCGAGTAGAGACAACGTGACAAGCGTTGTCGGAAGCGAGACAGATAAGAGCGTGAAGATAAACAAGTTGATAAAGACAGGCAGTGGTAGCTGTCAGAGCTTGTGCTGCGAAATCGCTGTGTGCTAGGTTTAAAGCTGTGTGTTCCTCTTACAAACAAGCCGCTTCGTAGCAAACAGCCTTGTTGTGATCGGGTCGCAGGGATACACGCTCCCATACTGCTGAAAGCAAGCTGAAGCTCTAGATGCTGTAGACAGACATTGCCTTGAGTAAGACGCACCGTCCTAGTTGGAATTGTAACAGCAATTACGATGCGGTCGCAGCTGTGACCCCTGGCAATTTCGGCCTCGCGCGAAACGGAAACAAACATCATGTGTATATGGGTTAAGCTGCAGCAAATATGTCAACATCCTATCGTATTGTAAACATTGTTTCAAGGCGCTGAAACTGAAGTATGTGGCTGAACGGCTCAGAGCGCATGGGAGAAACGAGCTCCTGAAATTGCGAAGGCGTGGCATATAAAGCTAGCCAGGGAGCTGAACATTGCGAGCTCAAACACATTTCCCTCGTCTTCAACACGATCGCCTGTTTTACAAGATGCGTCTCGATACTTTCGATTATGTTTCACTGGTAGGATGATCAGCGTCGGCTTGGATCTGACTGGCCATGCAGCTGCACACAAGTGTCCTGAGGGCTTGATGTGGGCGCCGGGGAAAAGGTGCCAACAGATTCGAAATTGCGAGTCCTATGCGATGGTGAGAAATACGTCGGATTTGACAGAAAGGGAGGAGACCTGGAAACAGTTGCGAGGGCAGATAGCGCCCGACAACGACAAATTGTTTGACTACAAACAACCAGACCACACGGAAGCATACACGCACTCGTTCGGATCGAATGGAAAAATCGATGAGACCAGCATCGTCTGGACTCCTGCAGTTTTCACTTGCTTGCGGGCTCGGACAGAGCAAACATTGTTCGTGCGCTATGAAATCAACTCCCAACGATTGTCCAAAACGCAAGGTGATGGAACGCGTTTTCAGGGTTGGATTCTTTGTAATGGGCCTAACGCTAGCCACAAGGCTGTCCATTGTTGTTCGCCTCTATGAATATCAATGCGCTCAGTGAAGTCAAAGAAGGTATGCAGTCGTCAAGATACTTGCAAAAGAAGTCTTCAATTGCATAGGCTGTTTCTGCATCTGTAGGCAGCGAGCGACTTAGGTAGTTTAAAAGAAGCTGCAATTGCAAAAAGACCTGTTCCAAGTGCGAGGAGAAGCAGCGCTCGACGCATTTGTCTTTTAAGACTACACGCGACCGCTTGCTGACGGTGGCCGCTCAAACGACATATAGAACCCTGCAACGTTGACCTGCAGCTGTAGGCGAATGAACAAGACGTGATCAATTCTCAAGTGGAAACATATGCATCGGCGGGTGCATAAAGAAGATGTCCATCACCGTAGATGGCGTGTTTGTGATTGAGCCTTGAATCCATGGCATCGAGGACACTTGCCAAAAGAAGTATCCAAAGCTGTCACCTTTGTCCGCCTTGAATCGACAAGATCTGAGGCTCGCATGCATCAGGGTACGCGAATAAAAGGCGCGGATTGCAGCTGCACCTGTCTGCAGAGCTCGAGTGGATCAGATAGGCAGAAGCTGCGAATTGCATTTAAGTCTATCACTCGTAACTTATATGCGCAAAGTAGACTGCATCTATCTCCTCCGTAGCTGGCAGTGCGGGGACTGGCACTAGGTTTGCATCTGCTTCTAGCTCAGACACTTGGGAAGAAGGAATGCCTGGACTGTGCGGCAGTGGTGTAAGCGGTACACGCTGACTGACGAATGCCTTGTGGGGTTGGCGTTTCCCTTGCAGCGCTGCCCGCTGTGCAAGAGCAAACTCGCGCGTTACAAAGAGGGCCAGGATGATGGCCAAGACGACCAAGACTGCAGCTGCCATAGAATAGAATAGAATAAATAGTTGCTGTTGAAGGGTCGACACAAGCGGTTTGATGCAAAGAAGCAAAGGTATACTGCATGGTGTGGAGCATCATATGCCAAGCCAAGCACGGACCGCAAGTCCGAGCAGCAGTGCACAGGCATCATCGCGAAGAGTCGTTAATATGAGACTGTAGCGTGCGAGTACCATGGCGTAGACGTTGTATGGGGGTGGGAGCATAGCGCCATTGTAGCAATCATACTGCCTTGAACTTGTGCGCCGCCAATAAAGAAGCGAAGCGTTTGCAGGATGAGCTCAATGGTGGCACAGTACCAAAAGATAGGCTCAGCTTGGCCACCGATTTTGCTTGGAGCACGCAAGCCATAGCTGGGAATGCTTTCGCGGCGCAAGAAAATGACAAGGAGAGCAATGGCGCTTAGATGCAAAACTTGCCAGAGCTTGTTGGTCCGTGCGGTCTTTTGCGCTGCTTCTGTTTGCTGCTTTTGCTGTTGCTGCTGATGTGAAGACATGCCTGCCGGTGACTGAGGGAAGCCTTGACCACCGCTGAAACCAAATGGATCGCCACCTGCACCTCTCTGTCCTATGCCCATCTGCTGTAAGATCGCAAAGGGGTCTTCCATAGGCATACCGGCAAAGTCTGCAGGAGCCTGTTGCATATGCGGCGGCCGAGGTGGGCCATACAAGGGTGCGCGCTGTCGAAGATGCGGCGTCATGATGTCTGTGTCGACTGTTGAGATGTCGACTTCTTCTGGGTCACTCTCGTCGCCCATGACGAGTTCTGGTTCTGACCCAGCGAGCGACACGTCTTCTATCGCCATTGCCTTTGTGTCGAGGGAGCCAGGAATCCCGCGGGACGCTTTTGTTTCTTGCTGAGGCTCAAGGATGTGTTTAAGCAGCCACCTAAACAAGTGGTCGTCAAAAGAGATGGTGGCAAGTTTCTGGAGACAATCGAGCTCATAAGCGGTGCAGATGCTGAGAACTAGCTTTAGGTACTTTGTTTCTCTTTTAACACGGTTCTGCTTACACCTCCTACTTGCTGCTTCCCTAGTCTAGGCAGCCGAAGATCGACCATGCTCATGGCAATCGCGCGGATTAGTGTCACCGCTTGAAGCCTCGGTTCACGGCTGACATGAGACCACTCAATTGGAGTCTGTAACGGACTCCTGAAACTTGAGCCACGATGGCGAAAAGAGATCGAGACAAACAATGCACATGCAGTATCATGCACACAAACAAAATCGAGACCAGCTTGCGAAGTTGAGATGTTAGCCACTAATAGCCAAGCCTTGACAAATGACAGGGCCATTCCATTGGCCAATGCCATTAAGCCACGGACTGGCCTCTCCGCTACTTCGTCTTCTCTTCACTCTTCTCGTCTATCGCTACCTGTCCTGAGCTCCCAGTACTCCTGAAGCTGCTCCATCACGATGGTGCTCAGCATTATCACATGGCCCGGCGTATCCCCCTTTTTGATGCGGCCTCCGTTGACATCTTTATCACCTCGCTGCATGAATCACGCTCCAAGATGTAACACTCGCAAGCGTCGAGCCACGCGTCTCATGAACCACACTCCAGCATTGCGCTCGCAAGCATGGATGTCCTCTTCAACACAGCCCCAGCGTCAGTCGTCGTTGCGCTTTCAGGGTCTTTGCCATCGCCCACCTCTTTCTCGTCTCCTCCTCGCTCGAGGCTGGCAAAGTATAAAAGGGGCGCTTCTCGCACCTATGTAGCATTGTCAGCAACATCAGTTCAGCTCTCCTACTATCTTTTGTTCGAAGGCTCTGAAACCACGACCACTCTTACGCCTAAGCTCCCTACCTGCAGCGGTACGCCTTGCCTCGCTGGGTCGTGATCGTCACGATATCGCGGTAGTCTTTCGCCAAGGATGCGCCTTGCTCCGCCCGATGTCATTACATCGGCAGTGGTGATCACCATCGGCTTAGCACTGGTTGTTCATACAACTGCAATCACCCTTTCTTGTAACAATGCAGGTTGTCCCCCGGGCTGGATGAAGGACAAATACAAAGAGTGCCTACAACTTCGAGACTGCCTGTTCTATGCGGAGATCAGAGATCCTGGCGATCCCTTTGACAGGCTCGAGACTTGGAATGCTTTGCGAAGCATCATCGGACTCGACGATGACGCTATGTTTGAATACACGGACACGACAAATGGAGCAGCTCCGTTATCCGGGTCGAAATATTGGCAGGCGACACACTTTACCTGTTGGCGAGCTTGGGCAAGTCTTAGTCCAACGGAACCGTGGAACAATCAGTTTATTAAGAAGAAAGACTTGAGCATCAACGTTGGTCAGGGTGTGGTTTTTAAGGGCTATATTGATTGTACCGGGGCTGGCGTTATCCAAAGAGAGGTCCATTGCTGTAAGCAGTGTCCAATCTGAATTGGCGTCAGACGTGCAGACGTAAAGTAGCGTATATCGAGAGTCACTTTCCGAGCATACGTAAGCTAGACGCAGAATTGGTAGAGCAAGCAGTGTCTAGGTCATGCATTTACCAAGCTCATTGTGGTTGGTGTGCGCTAAGTGGATTGTAGCACTTGCAATTTCATCTGTCGAGGACAAGTCGGTATTGGTAAAGGCTCAGTATTGGCAGTTACCATAGGAACGCTTGATGAAGATGAAAAAGCTAAGCAGGGCAATTGCGGAGGTGCAAGCAGTATACGCCAGCTGACGAATGACTGTGAAGATTGATATTACTCTGTGCAGCGCTGAACGCGGTGCAAGATCAAACTTGTGCATCACAAAGAGGGCAAGATTGAATACCAAGAGGACCGATACTACAGCTGCCATAGAGTAGCATATTGCAATTGTCAAGGCGTCCTTAAAGTTTCGACACTTGAATCAAGTGCAGCGGCATGCAGATGCGTATTCTGCAGACGTCTTCACAGGCGCATAGGAAGCTTATAAGTCATCATTCACGCAGGCTGCCCAGTAATCAGAATATAGACAGTCGGCTAAGGGGGAAACAAGCTGCCATTGTGTACACGTGCATTTCATCTCATATTCTCAGGTGACAGCTGGCGTGAGGGAGGCTCATCTTGTCAAGAGTCTTGCCATCATCTGATTCATCTCTGCTTCCAGCGACAACTCTTGTGATGGCTCAGCACTCAAACTCCGTAACATAGGGTCTTCTTGCTGATTAAACCGCAGTAATACACGCTTTCAAGGCTTCCATACTATTGGAAGCAAGCTGAAAGGTCAGATCTAATTCAATACCTTCTCGATTGCGGACTAAATCAGCTGTGATTGCCATCGCGATGACGATTGCGGTTGTAGCTGTGACCCCTGAAAATTGGGCCTCGCGCGCGGAACATTGCGTCTACATGTGTTGAGCTGCAGCAAATATATCCACAGATCAACCTCCGAGGGTCAATGGAGACGTTTCTCCGTGTCATAATCATAAGCACATGCTGCAAAGGTCTAGCCAGACCTTGAGTGCAGCAGCTGCAGTGAAGATGTGTAAGGCCGCAGGGTGAGCTGCGACCTCACATCGGCTCGGAGGCCCGACCGATCAGATGGCATGGCACGTGCGCCCGGATCTGCTGTGCTGGCAACTCCTTTATATGCTCTCTTCTTACCTTTCCATACTTTAATCTCTTCCACATTTCATTCTCAGGCCTACTACATACGTATAGTTGCTTGAGTGGTGAAAGTGGAGGAGCAGCGACGTAAGGATCCTAAGGCCTTACAAGATGGCACTCACCTCTGCAGAAGGGGTGCCCCTCTTGGCAGAAAGCCCGCAATTATCTCTGCTTCGATTGACGGCACTCATCTCAGAAGGCAATGTCCGTCTTGGCAGGAGTCTTGCAATTATCTCTGCTCTCAGCTGCAGCTCCTGTCGTGGCTCAGCAGTCAACCTCCGTAACAAACAGTCTTGTTGCTGAAGCAATACACGCTTTCAAGGCTGCCTTACATGCTGCCAGAAGCAATGAAGGAAGCCTTGAAAGCAAGCTGAGGCTCGAGATTCCAGTCAATACCTTCTCGAATGCGCACTGCTCCAGCTGTAAGTGCCATCGCAATTTCGATTGCGGTAGCAGCTACGATCCCTGAAAATTCGATGTGCGAGCGAGCGCGCGAAACGGAGACGAAGACTGCGTCTACATGTGTTGGCTGCAGCAGATATATCCACAGGTCAATGCCCGAGGGTCAATTGCTGCAGCTCAACACATGTAGACGCAATCTTCGTCTCCGTTTCACGCGCTCGCTCGCACATCGAATTTTCAGGGGAGGGGTCAATGAAGACATTTCATGATGTTAAAGGCACATGGTTTGAAGGCCTAGACCTAGGCTATGTGGCTCAAGGGCTCAGAGCGCAGGTCTGAAAAAAAAATGAGCCCCTGAAGTTGAGGACGCGTGGCATATAAAGCTAGCCAGGGAGCTGAACATTGCGAGCTCAAACACATTTCACTCGTGTTCAACACGATCGCCTGTTGTTCAAGATGCGTCTTGATACTTTCGATTATGTTTCACTGGTAGCGATGATCAGCGTCGGCTTGGATCTGACTGGCCATGCAGCTGCACACAAGTGTCCTGAGGGCTTGATGTGGGCGCCGGGGAAAAGGTGCCAACAGATTCGAAATTGCGAGTTCTATGCGATGGTGAGAAATACGTCGGATTTGACAGAAAGGGAGGAGACCTGGAAACAGTTGCGAGGGCAGATAGCGCCCGACAACGACAAACTGTTTGACTACAAACAACCAGACCACACGGAAGCATACACGCACTCGTTCGGATCGAATGGAAAAATCGATGAGACCAGCATCGTCTGGACTCCTGCAGTTTTCACTTGCTGGCGGGCTCGGACAGAGCAAACATTGTTCGTGCGCTATGAAATCAACTCCCAACGATTGTCCAAAACGCAAGGTGATGGGACGCTTTTTCAGGGTTGGATTCTTTGTAATGTGCCTAACGCTAGCCACAAGGCTGTCCATTGTTGTTCGCCTCCATGAATATCAATGCGCTCAGTGAAGTCAAAGAAGGTATGCAGTCGTCAAGATACTTGCAAAAGAAGTCTTCAATTGCATAGGCTGTTTCTGCATCTGTAGACAGCGAGCGACTTAGGTAGTTTTAAAAGAAGCTGCAATTGCAAAAAGACCTGTTTTAAGTGCGAGGAGAAGCAGCGACCGCGTCGACGCATTTGTCTTTTAAGACTACACGCAACCGCTTGTTGACGTTGGCCTCTCAGAAGACGTATAGAACCCTGTGAAGTTGACCTGTGGGCGAATGAACAAGACGTGATCAATTCTCAAGTGGGAACATATGCATCGGCGGTTGCATAGAGACGATAGCCATCACCGTAGATGGCGTGTTTGTGATTGAGCCTTGAATCCATGGCATCGAGGACACTTGCCAAAAGAGGTATCCAAAGCTGTCACCTTTGTCCCCCTTGAATCGACAAGATCTGAAGCTCGCATGCATCAGGGTGCGCTCATAGAAGGTGTGAATCGCAGCTGCACCTGTCTGCAGAGCTCGAGTGGATCAGATGGGCAGAAGCTGCGGAGTTGCGTATAAGTCTATCACTCGTAACTGATATGCGCAAAGTAGACTGCATCTATCTCATCCGTGGCTGGCAGTGCGGGGACTGGTACTGGGTTCGCATCTGCTTCTAGCTCAGACACTTGGGAAGAAGGAATGCCTGGACTGTGCGGCAGTGGTGTAAGCGGTACACGTCGACTGACGAATGCCTTGTGGGGTTGGTGTTTCCCTTGCAGCGCTGCCCGCTGTGCAAGAGCAAACTCGCGCGTTACAAAGAGGGCCAGGATGATGGCCAAGACGACCAAGACTGCAGCTGCCATAGAATAGAATAGAATAAATATTTGCTGTTGAAGGGTCGACACAGGCGATTTGATGCAAAGTAGCAAAGGTATACTGTAAGGTGTGGAGCATCATATGCCAAGCCAAGCACGGACCGCGAGTCCGAGCAGCAGTGCACAGGCATCATCGCGAAGGGTCGTTAGGATGAGACTGTAGCGTGCGAGTACCATGGCGTAGACGTTGTATGGGGGTGGGAGCATAGCACCAATCGTGGCAATCATACTGCCCTGAACTTGTGCCCCGCCAATAAAGAAGCGAAGCGTTTGCAGGACGAGCTCAATGGTGGCAAAGTACCAAAAGATAGGCTCAGCTTGGCCGCCGATTTTGCTTGGAGCACGCAAGCCATAGCTGGGAATGCTTTCGCGACGCAAGAAGATGATGAGGACAGCAATGGCGCTTAGATGCAAAACTTGCCAGAGCTTGTTGGTCCGTGCGGTCTTTTGCGCTGCTTCAGTTTGCTGCTTTTGCTGTTGCTGTTGATGTGAAGACATGCCTGCCGGTGACTGAGGGAAGCCTTGACCACCGCCGAAACCAAATGGATCGCCACCTGCACCTCCCTGTCCCATACCCATCTGCTGCAAGATCGCAAAAGGGTCTCCCATAGGCATACTGCCAAAGTCTGCAGGAGCTTGTTGCATATGCGGCGGCCGAGGAGGGCCATACAAGGGTGCGCGCTGTCGAAGATGGATGTCTGTGTCGACTGTTGAAATATCGACCTCTTCTGGGTCACTCTCGTCGTCCATGACGAGTTCTGGTTCTGACCCAGCGAGCGACACATCCTCTATCGCCATTGCCTTTGTGTCTAGTCTATGAGAGCAGCTGTAGAGAGCAGTTGAGAGTGGTGCGTGGTTTGGTGCAGTTTGGTCGTTGATGTCGTGGCATGAAGCAAGTCACTTCTACACTTCTACTGGTTTACATTTAGACTTCTAGACAGTATCATCCAGTATATCACGGCTACAGGCTAAGACAGCGCATGCTCGTTACTGAACAACTGCACCTCACGCGGGATCCAGGTCACAGTCTCCAGGCCCTCAATCGGATTGCGCTTCCCATGATGCAGCTTGCGAGTCTTGACGGCGGGAGCAGGAGCCGCAGACTGGCCTGGCTGCTCAGTCGCTTCCTCTGCTACACGCTTGGCAAGCGACGCCAGCGCAGAGTCTTGAAAGGCCTCTGCGCCAGAGACCCGGACGTTCTTCTGCACCAAATCTAGCATGTCAGCGCATTGTCGTGGGCCATCCTTGTAGAAGAGGTCTTACGCGTCAACCAGTCGGACGAGGCAGCCTCGCCGAGCTCATTCTCACCTTCGCCAGCGACACGTCGCATTGCCTGTGCCTGCTCACCCGTGATCCATCGGCCGAATCCCAGTACAGCCTCTTGCATATGTTCTTCATGCGGCGCACTCCGTCCAGACTCTCGCAATAGCCCAACCAGATCCATAGCTAGCCTGACATCCGATAGATCAGCACGCGGCCTGCCTGTGTGATTCGCAGCGTGCATGGCTTCTGTAGCGAGCAGGGAAAGCATATGGACGAGTAAATCGGCGAACGTGTCCACGACGGTGCGACTGGCGCGGTCGATACCGGCGGCTCTCAAGACTTGCGTTGCTGTGATGCGCGCGACGCTGAAGTGAAAGTGCGCATTCTGATCCGTCATGCAGGCATAGGCCGTCCAGCTGGTTGCAGGTTTTGTCTCTTGGTGGTCTGCTGCTTTCCCTTTGACCCGCGACGACATGTCCCTCGACGCAGGCCCGCAGGTCACCATCAAGGAGATTGGCAAGGAGCATGTCGAGTTTGTCCTATCCAACGTCGACCTGGCGTAAGGGCTCCGTCTTTCTCTACCTAGAACACCAAGCTAATCGACGCAGCTTCGCCAACTCGATCCGCCGCATCATGATGGCAGAGATACCCACCATCGCCATCGACATTGTCGAGATACACAACAATACAAGTGTCCTGCCAGATGAGTTCCTTGCGCATCGTCTCGGACTGCTCGCATTGCACTCGGAAGAGATTGATAAACGGCTCATCTACTCACGCGACTGCGACTGTGATGAGTTTTGCGAAAAATGCTCCGTTGTGCTGACCCTCAATGCGAGCTGCTCTGCGAATGCCTCAGAGACCATGAATGTCTATGCTTCCATGATGACGGTCGCCTCAGCAGGCAGTTTTGGCACAACAAACGAGTTTGGCTCACCTGTCATTGCGGATGAAGCAGGGAAAGGTGTCTTGCTCTGCAAACTCGCTCGTGGACAGGAACTGCGGATGCGGTGTATTGCAAAGAAGGGCGTGGCCAAGGAACATGCCAAGTTCAGTCCTGTGAGTGCTGTTGGTTTTGAGTATGATCCACACAACAAGCTACGGCATACAGAGTATTGGTTTGAGGAAGATGCCAAGAAGGAGTGGCCACGGAGTAAGAATGCAGACTGGGAAGAGGCGCCGTTGGAAGGTGCGCCCTTTGACTATACTGCAGAGCCGGATCGCTTCTACTTTGACCTGGAAGCTGTTGGTCAAATCCCACCAAACGAAGTCATGGCACAGTCCATCACCTACCTACAGCAGAAGCTCGCTGTTGTGCTGCGTGAGCTCGAGAAGGACCAGCAGGTGGAGCAGTATGACGGTATGAATGCACAGTACCCGGGCGTCACTGGCAACCTGGGAGCATCCGGCACAGGGGTCCCCTGGTCATAGTCAAAGCAGGAAAAGAGGTGTGAAGGAGTCGTCTAAGAAAGGGAAGAGGCAAGGTCATCGTCAGCATTCATCTCAAAAGTAGTGCTTCTCCGGTGTCAGTGGCATCGCCATAGGCAATACATCCATCGTCGTCCGCCTTGCCTTGTGCACACTACTCGCTCGCCGCTGCGAGGTGACTGTAGGTTTCGCATACGATGGCACATCCAAATGTTTCATAGCACGCGCCGCACTCTGCAACTCTTGATCAAGCAATTGCTCTTCTGAGGGCTCAAGCAGCTGTTTTCTGCGTGTCCGTGACGACACTGGCCCTGAGCGAGGCGTTGGCAGTGTCAAATTGCGATCACTTAGCTCATGCTCCACCACTTGCGTCTCTGCCGCCACAACAGCTTGCTCATACAATTGCTGTACTTGTTGATTTTGTTGAGCTTTTTGCTTCTTCCGTGTGGAGTCCATCAGCGTTTGCTTCTCCCGTTTCACGGCATACGCGGGCGACGTCACGCGAATTGGTGAGAGTGGGCTGACTTGCGGCAGAGCAGGCGCATACCCTTCCGTCCTGGGTTTGTCCTTTCGCCTGAACCAAGATTGTCGATGCGTACTCCCGTCCTTGAGATTATCCAACGAATGCTGCATCTTCCCCAATAAACTCATCCGCTTCTCTCGCTGTGGTGGTGGATTGAAGAATTCATGCCGCAGCGCTTCTTGGGAGGTCGGTCGAGCTCGAGGATCCCAGAGCATGCAAGAAGCGGCAAACGTCAGCAAACTTTGCGGCCAGCTTCTGCCCATGATGTCGCGCAGCGCAATCGGTGGCATCTTGGGAAACGTGAAGCCAAGTTCAAAGGCCAGCTTGTCTGCTTCAGGCCAAGGTCCACCACCCAGAGGTTCATTATCCTTGCCATGCCAAATACCAGGTGAGCCGAGGACCTCACACAGCTGCCACACTTGGTCCGCTTCATCTTTACCCGGGAAGAGAGGTTGCAACACGGCAATCTCAACAGCCATCGCACCCAATGCCCAGATATCCACTGGTGCAGAGTAATCTGGTGCACGCAGCAGTACTTCTGGAGCCCGATACCAGCGCGTACTCACGTACTGAGTATAGGGCGGTCTGCTAGTGATTTCTCTAGCCAAGCCGAAATCAGCCAACTTGACAACACTGCCACTCACGAGGATGTTTTCTGGCTTGATGTCGCGATGGAAGTAGTTGTGCGCATGACAGTGGTGTAGTGCTTCGAGTACTTGCTGCAGGATGCTTTTGATGGTCACGAGGTCGAATGGACGTTCTTTACGCGACTTCATGAGCTGATACAGGTTCTGATCCATATACTCCATGACCATGTGAAAGCAGAACGTGTCTGGATCGTAGAAGGACTCTGAGACGGAAATGATGCTGTTGTGAGGCGGAATACTGTACAGCGACTGGTACTCGCGCAGCTTGAGACACTCTTCAGGCGGTTGGATGGGTTTCTTCATTGACTTGATAGCCTAGCCGCAGTGGTTAGTATAGGCTTGAGATATGCAGATGTGGGCTGTCTTACCACTAGGACCGCACCCTTTTGGCGCTTCTTGCCAAGCGCGACTGTGCCAAAGCTGCCGTCGCCAATCTGCTTGAAGACTTCGTACCGTTTTGCGAGGGTGTGCTGGGAGAGCATAGGCAACTGGCGCCTGCCCATGCCTGCTGCTATCGCTGCTGCTGTATAGAGAGAGCGTGGATGGGGTTGCTGTCTCGTGTATGGTGTCTTGTTGTTGCTTCAGGGGCTGCCACAAGACGAAAGCAGCACACTCTGAAACACTTCCTCGCCCTCAGCCAACGACTTGTATAGCTGTCTGGGCGGTCTGTCCTTGTGGATTCAGCTTCGTCTCTTGCTTCATGGGAGCAGCGCCCGCTTGAGTGGTGCTGATACTGGCTCTGGCGCCGATATAGCTCGAGGGGCGCTCTCACTGCTTTTCACTGCTTTCTCAAGAGCCAGCGAAGCTAGCGTGCCAAGAAGCTACAGCTGCAAGAACTGCTGCTGAGTGAGAGTCCGTTGGCAAGACTCGAGCGGCAGTCGTGATTGCAGCATTGCATGCGTAGGCAAACCTGATACATGAAACCATATCAAGTCTTGAAAACGCACTGCCCATTCTCTGCTTTAGGAAGCGGCCAGTACGTCTTTGCGAACAGTCTGGATGCAGTGCCGATGCGTTCCCTCTTGGCGGGACCAGATGAGTGGAACATGGTACTGCAGCGCTGACTGTCGCGCAGTGCGAAGACTCAGCGTGCTCGTCGACAAGACTCGTCTTGTCCGCCATCGGCGTAACAGAACCAGCACATCACGTCATGCTCGACAGGCAGATTTAGCACCATCTACTGCGCGATGTTTGTTGTCAACCTGTGAACCGCGATGTCGAGAGCCTCAAGGGCAATTCGCGGGCGCGCGCGTATGTCGTTCAGCTGCGGTTTCTACACCTACGAGGATTTCGCAACCACAGCATACTTCACAAGTGAATCATACGCGATACTTGACGCATTGAACCAAGCGTGTCCAGTAGACGACTCTCTACTATGGAACTCGTCGTCCTTGCGCAATCCATTGATCAGGTCATGACGTCTGCAGAGACGCCTTGGCAAGCTAGTCTCGATCTGTGTTGACGCTCAGCAGGAACATCACTAGCGCTGGCCGGGTCCTGTTGCCGGTGAGCTGGACTTTTGTCTTCCAAAATGAGCGCCAGCTGGTGGCCTCACTCCTTCTCCAAGACATACCGTATCCGATGCGCATCACCGCAACGTCGGCGCGGCGCACAGTCACCGGCAGAAACGAATGGCATTCATTGTTGTCTTTGCATTATACGACAGGACAGCCCACAAGATAATCAAGTTGGCTTTGGGAGCGCTCAACGTTTCTTCCTTCTTCGCTGGGAGACCTCTCGTTGTATCAGCTACCTAACGGACGGCTTGGCTTCACTTACAGCTTTCACTCTCTAAGCAAGTTGGTGGACAGGCTGAGCCCATCTTCGTATGCTTCGTCACCTGGTTCTTGAAATGCTTCGCTTCTGCACTTCTTTGGCAGCGCACAACAGAGGTCGAGATCAACAAGTCGCCGTGCACCGTTCATTCTTTGTCGTACAGACGAATCCAATATCCGTTCTTGAGCTCACGCTTTTCTTCTGGCCGTGTGATCCGAGCTTGGACTGATCACCCGACTTGCCAAACGGAGAAAATGATGGCCTTGGAGCCAGCCTTTGTTACGTCCAATGCACGCAAAGTTAGCTTCTGTCTACTCGACCTACTTTGCATCTATCTGTGCAGCCAACTTCTGATGAATTCCTCACAGCGTCCAAAGGCTCCTTGCCCCTGTTGCTGAGTTAAATTCGAGATTTGTGGTAGCAGTGTACCTTGTTTCCCAATCTTGCTTCCCTTTTTTACTGGTGATTGACCTTATCTTGCCATCAAAGCTTTATCGTTCCTTGTGGAATTCTTCGGTCCTTCAGTTCGCCAGGCAGTCAACATCCGTTGCCATGAAGCTTGACCGTCATGCACAACTGCTTGTGTAGAATCCTAGGCAAAGGAGCGGTTGTCGTCTGGGTCAAACTACCCACGCACGGAATGCAGATCAAGTCCAGATCATTTGTCTCATCGGCAACCTTCTGTGGCACGATAAACAAGCAGGTGGAAGCTGTTGGCAGTGTACTCCTGCCCCGATCGGTCAATACCAATCTTTCTCAAGTGTTCTCTCATCGCCATACATGAGTCAAAGCAAGTCCCGCTACCACTTGCATTTGTTCCAGTGGAATCGGATACCATGATCATAGTTGCGAGCGAATGTACTGAGCATGAAGGCACATGCTTGGCTTTTTGTGCAATGTGGTATTGTGGTACTTGTCGAGTGAATCTTTGAAACTGTCATCGACCTTGTACGTGACAGGCTTCTATTTTGGCATCATGTACTTCTCAAAAGCTCGGCAACTGACTGGGTCATCCCTCTGTTCGACTTCCTGCCAAGTACTTCGCCGGCGCCAATGTTGCTTGTCACGACTTCAAGGCAGAAATTTCAGGGGTCAGCAGCAGCTACAGGATGCGCAGTATTCAAACTGCTTTCCAACCCAAGAAAGTTCTAAAACCTGAGCTGAAGGATGCGACTGAGATTAGCTTTGTTTGGAAAGTCTGTGCTGTGTCTGAGATTAGCTTTGTTTGGAAAGTCTGTGCTGTGTCTGCGCTATGTCTGCGCTATGTCAGTGTTGGCTTTCTTGTGGTCTTGCGAACAAAGGTTTTGGGGTGCCATCATTGTGACACTGCAGCTGTCCGAAAGCTTTGGTCCACGGTGCACGTATCGATACTGTTTATGCTGATTAAAACAGTGCTTCAAACATGGGGCCACTTGCGAGTCGCTCGCGTTTATCATGACAGCTGCAGTGGAATGCGTGCGAGTCTTACGCCTTTGCAACTATTTGTCCACAAAATGATTCGCCACAACTCGCCGGACACATAAGCTCCTATAGCCAGCCCGTCTCAGCTACATCACGAGTCAGTGTTATCCTATCTATAGTCCTCCGTATGATAGATATTCCTCTATTCAAGTTTGAATCTTCATACTCCTGAGATCTGAAAATTGAAAATCGCAAGTTAAACCTTGAAATTCATGAACTGAGAGTGAGTGCAGTCACATGCATATGGCGTACGTGTAAAGGATGATAAGATTATGGCATACATGTAAAGGATGATAAGAATGAATCCACCGAGAGTGTGAGTTATATTCTCGCTATACGCAGCTTTGACTCTCGAAAGAAGAGCCGTGGCTAATAGTACTTACACTGATTACAACAGTAGACATGCTTTTCTGACTGCTTTTGTAAACGAAGAGTTTCAGGGTCCTGCCAGTTGCAGTCGACAACCGCTTCGTACTTTCCATTCACCAGGTTTTTTTTACGGAAGGCTTCTGTCTTCCAAGCTCGCCAGCAAGTGATCCGTAGCTCAGTGTAATTGTATTTTGGATTGAACAGGTCCTCAGCTGACTCTTTCCAATGCGGATATGTGTGCTTCGGAGTCCAGACTTCCCAGTACCTTTTATCGTTTGGGCCAATCTGTCCGCGCAAGTTGATCCATGTTTTGTGTGCGTCGTGAGGGTCGCTTTTGTTGTTGATTTTTGCGAAGAATTTGCAATTCCTCAATTGTTTGCAACTTTTGCCATCTGACTGAATGTCTGTGCCGTAACACTTCCCGATATTGTTCTCGTTGCACGGTGGAGCTTGATATCCAGCCGTCTGCTCGATCAGCTGCAGCAGAATGACCATCATTATAGTCAGGGTGAGGATGCCGGGAGAAGCAGAATACATATTGCCGTTGAGTGAAGTGCGATGGCAATGGCACTGCGAAGTATTTGTTCAAAAGGAAGCTTGCGATTGAGAGCCTTTCGTCACTCTTTATATGAGAAAGTCTAATACAAGGAGTCTCAAATCCGAGATCTGCACTTCATGAACAGGGGAACTTTGGCGAATTGCTCGCAAATTGCTCGCATAGATACTGCAAAGTTGCAATTTTCCTCATGCGCTTCTGCAAATATTTGTCAATGGCTAGGTAAGATATGTTATGATCTTATCGCCGGACATCTACAAAGTCCACAAGCTGCTGCAAAATTCAGCTGTGGTCGCAATGGCTAAATCTTATGTTCGTCTTGATGAATTATACTTGTTCCGACATTGACATCTGCAATATGCCTCTTATCGGGCTACAAAGCATTTTTATGCGTGCAAATCATGGGTCAATTGATCGCGAGATACGAACGCACTGCGCAGACAGATACCACCTTGATTGAGGCTGCAGCAGAATAAAAGGCCTCAGTCGTAATGGAGCACATTTCAAAATTGCCTTGCCCCTTATGCAATTGACAGATCAAATCAGCAATTGGGGGGCAAAGATATCATTGACCAATCATGACAAAGCTGGGGAGGTCTTGCTGAGATCTTTGCAGTCAGTCGTCTTGCATGACATCTCCGCGGTAGTCTGCATTCTTCTCAAGCGCCTTGTCATCATCGTCACTGCTCACCATTGCAGCATCTTCTTCGCCAAGATCGTCTTCGGAGACTTCATCCTCGTCATCAGCGATTGCCACCGTGCGATCACCCTCAGCGGCCTTAGCAATACTGGCATGACTTGCATATGCTTTCCGTACAGCTGCGTTGGTGGCTGTATCCCAGACTCGGACAACACCCGCACTGCCACCAGCAACGAGGCCCATCGATCCACCACCATTGGAAGCAGGCAAGAAGCCAAGAGAAAAGACTTTACCAACATCAAAGTCACGCGAGGTGAGCATATTAGGTTTGCCATCCGCGGTCGTCCATAGCTTGATGCGTTTGTCTTCACTTCCACCAGTCGCAATCATGCCTGGCACCGCCCTGTTGACCGTAAAGGCTGAAAGTGGACCATCATGTGCTTGGATACGCCAAAGACTAGCTTTGGCGGATTTCTTGACTTGCCGAGTATCGTGACAAATGAGCATACCGGCATCTGTGGCAGTGTAAAGCAAATGGCTCTGATGCGGGTCCCAAGCGAGGCCCTCGACATCACTACCAACATCCCAAGAGGCGGTGATTTGTTCTGGCATGCGCGCATCTGAGAGAATTGTTCTGTGATCGTAGCCGCCAGATGCAAGGACAGTGGCTTCTATTGGGTTCCAACATACGGCAGATACCTTGTCGGTGTGATGACTGTAAGACTTGGCGCATGTCCCACTCGCAAGATCCCAGAGCTTGAGCGTCTCGTCTGCCGAGGCACTGAGTAGCAAATTGCGAGCATTAGGGTTCGCAGAAAGAGCCAAGACTGCATCGACGTGATGGCGATCATTCTTCTTTTTGCGGCGCTTCTGGGTAGGATTTGAACCGGCACCGAGGATCTGCACTGGGTACAAGCTGTCGAGGACATCAAGATCCCAGATTTCAATGTCTGGCTCAAATGTGCCGATGGCGACCCTGTTGCCGCCTTGCTCTGGGTTGGCATAGTTGATCCACTCTAGACAGAGCGGGAAAGAAGGAAGTAGAATGTCGTGATGCACGTAGAGGTTGGAGGAGTCGTCTTCGTAAACATAGACTTCGAGATGAGAGACGTCATCTTCGGTCTTTGCAGCAAGGATGATATTGTCAGTAGGCAGGATTTGTAAATCTTCGCGATCGTCTTCGTCTTCCTCGTCGTTGCCGGGTGCATTGGCAAGTGTGATATAGGGGTCTGCCTCGCCATGCGCATGATATGCGAGGCCCTTGATGTTGTTGAATATGCCCATCGTTTCGCCGCCCTCTGGCTCATCGTCATACTCATCGAGCTTGTATTTTGCCATTTCATCGTCCTCCTCCGCTTTGTCTGATTCCTCAACATCTTCAAATGCCTCGTCGCCATCATCCTCGACTGGCTCGCCTGATTGCGCCGCAGTCAGGGCTTGTTTGGCCTCCGTCAGCTGCAGTGCCGACAGCCCTTGAATGCGCGCATATTCATCATCTGAGAGATTGTACTTTGATGGAAAGGCAGCAGCATGGCCAGGTGGCACAAACGCGACTGCACTGATGATGGATGCCATGCTACAGAGGCCCTCTAGCTTCCAAGTCCTTTGCTATAGCTGCTGAACGTCGCAAAAGATATTTTTTGGCTCGATAAATCTGGGAGGAGCTCACACTCAGATCAGATGGCAGGAAATACTCTGCAAGCTCGTCTAGTACAGTACTAGTAGCTACTTCACAGAAGTGTACCATTAGAGACATGACCCTCAGAGGGTGGAGGCAGAGCCATGCAACGAAGATATTTGCAAACATACATAGCTGCTCTATAGAAGTCTACCAGCCAGATGCACGACGCTCAGTGGGTGGGTTGCCATCAGGACCTTTCCTCAGGTGCATAGGCACATAGGCGCCCTTGCTAGGCTTGGCACCATCCTCCGAGGCACGCGGTGTCTGCTCACGCGAAGGCACGGGGGTCTCTCGCCTGCCGTAGCTTGCACTGCGCTCACCCATACCGCCTGTAGCACCCGCACGATCGCCGCCAGCACCAGCAGCACCACCTCCACGGCTCCATTTGCCCTGGCCAGGCCTGTAGACATTATCACCTCCAGCAGAAGCAGCCGGCGCAGCAGCACCGGGCACAGGCCGACCTTCCTTCTTGGCGCGCAACTTGGCTTCAGCCTCTTCTTCCCGTGCGCGCTGCTTCGCCGCCTGTTCATCGAGTTTCTTCATGCGCTCAGCCTGTTCAGCGGCCTTCTTCTCTCGCTCAGCACGTTGCGCCTCTTCCTTCTCTGCACGCTCAGCAGCTTCTTGTTCATGACGCTTCTCTGCTTCACGGTGCTCCGCTTCCTCACGCTCATAACGCTCTTGCTCCTCGCGCTCGCGGGCCTCTTCTTCAGCGACTTCCTTGCGGTACGCCACACGACGCGCTTCCTTTTCTTCATCAAGCTTGCGCTGCGCCTCTTCAACACGTTGCTTGTAGGCCACTTCACGCTTCGCAGCGAGTTGCTGGCGGTACACGTCAAAGTCTGGCAAGACACGCGACATGCGCTTCTTCATTCGCAATGCTTCTTCATGCTTCACCTGTGCCGTTTCCAGTGCTGCCTTTGAACGAGCAGCGTGATTCTCCTTGTCTGCCTTGACTTGTTCCTCTGCATCCTTCTGAACGAGTGGCATTTCAGCACGACGGTAGGCACGCTCGAGATGGTCGATACGCTTGGCGGTGATGCGCATACGCTCATTGATATCCTTGGTGGATTTTTCAAGCTGCTGCAACTGCATTGCGCGCAATTTGGTGGTATCCAGACTTTCAAGCTCTGCTTCATCCACACCAGCCAGTGCACCAGAAGCCTTGAGCTCTTCGCGCAATTTTTTAGATTCATCCTGCTTAATCTTGTCTTGCTCACGCTTGATGCGCTCCAACTCTCGACGTCGCGTATCTTCTGCCACACGACGCGATTCAGCCTCTTGTTCCTTTTGCCGCTGCAATTCACGTCGCGATGCTTCTTCCTGATCTTTCTTCATTTGTGCGGTTTGAACGAGTTCCTTGCGACGCTCAATGATGGAAGTGCGTGCAAGGACTTGTGCATGTTCTTGCTCGGCATGCTCAGCGGCGCGCGCAAGAAGCGCTCGTTTCAAGGCTGCTTTCTCCTCAACAAAGGCAGGATCCACGTGTGAGAGCGTGGCATACAGGCAGCGTGCAAGACGTGTGAGTTGTGACTTGACGAGATCCGCGGGAGATGGTTGGAGACTGCGAGAAGCGGTAGGCAGGGCTGTTTGTTCAAGCATATTGTCGGCTTCGAATGTCAGACAATTGTTGGCGTGGTCAATACGGATGTGGAGTTCACCCTTCTTGCAGCCTGCCATGATGAACTTTTCAAGTGCAACAGCGTCGATGGCGTACTGTGCAGGGAATGAAATGAGCTTGGTGATGAAGTCAAACGACACGGTCTCGTAAACTTGCGACAATTGCTGAAAGACGCGAACAAGAACGACCTGCTGCAAGGGCTGGATGTAGCCCTGGAATTCGGGCGTTGCAAGTTTCTCCAGCAAGGGCGAAATGCGCTGACAAATGGAAAGTGGGTGGAATTGTGTTTCGAGAGCAACATACACAGCCTTGATGTGTTCTTGCACACGCGCATTCTTGTGCAAGGCTTCCTTGAGGAGACCAGCGCGTGTAGGTGCGTGTGGCATATTGAGCAATGCAGCCAATCGAGCGTGCTTTGTCTTGTGATCATCAAGGTCAAGCTCAACACCACGACCCTGCTGGTCACGCATCACTGGAATAGCAATGGCACTGAGCAGCGCAGTAGAACCCAATCGCTCCAACTCTGCAGCAGAAGCACCTTTGTTTTGTGTACGCACAAGTGTCGCGTACTTGTTGAAGGCCGCTGCGTGGAAGAGGTAGTTGCCGCTCACCAAGAAGATCTTGCTGAGCTTTTCATAGTAATTAGCCATGACGGCTGGCTTTGCAGGTCGTTTGCTGATGGTCAAGAGGTTATGGATATCCTCCACTGACCTGAATGCTTCCTGCCACAGCTCCATGGCAACAGCCGTATTGAGCTGCACGAATCGCGAGTCGAGATGACGCTGCAAGGTGTCTGGGTCATTGAGGTTGATGCCGTTGGCAGAGTTGGTGTACTTGGCTGCGTTCTGCAAGTGGTTCCTCAGCAAATCACACAGACGGCGAAACTCCATCTTGCGCTCAAACTTTTGGCAAAAATCAAAGGCCTGGTGCGTGACATCCTGGTAGGTTTGTTCGAGTCTGCCATTGTTGCGGAGGATATCAAGTACGGTGCGGTAAGTCTCCCAGAGAAAACGCAACCAGGGCGTCACGACGGCGCGGTCCGTCCTGTCCTTGCCGACATCTGCCGTGACAGTGCTGAGCAAAATCGACTCTGGCGTTTCTGTTGCCTCCAAGTCATCAATGGCTTCAAGGGAGAGCTTCTCTGCCTGCTGCTGTGCCTCTGCAAACTTCTGCTGGGATAGCTTGATGAAGCGGTTGACGACGACGACAAGCGTCTCGACGGATGTGTTTTGCGCAATATTCTTGTACTGGTAGAGAGACTCCTTGACAATCTTTCCCTTGCGCTGCTCAACGGCCAGCTCCACGAGCCTGAGCATGAGGGGCTCGAGAGATGCAATGGACGCGCTCTTGCTGCGTTTTGAGATGATGAGCTCATGGAGTGATTGGAGGGCGGCTGCTTGCTGGCCCACGCCGACGAGTTCCTCTGCCCGCTTGAGGACATTCTCTGGCTTCTGGATCATAGGTGCCATGGCTGTTTCTGGGCCGATGAGCACTACGTCTACGCTCTCTGGTGCCTGCTCTCTCTCTGTCTGTTCTCTGTCGTCTGAGCTGAAGAAATTATTGCCAGCTATCGGACACACAGAGAACGGACACACAAAACCCTAACCCTGACCAGAGTCAAACCAGACCCAAACTCGATTATTTATTTCACTTTCATTCTTATTGCAAACCCAAGTCAAACCAAATCAAACCAAATCCCGGCACAGTCGACCAGCCCCCAGCAGTAACAAGCAAGCGCAGACTGAGCAGTGAAGGGAGCACGACCAAAGCATCGACTCACAGCCAGCGCATACCACCCACACCACCAGCCATGGCAGTCGCAGGCACAGCAGGCTCAGGCACAACAGCAAGCGCAAAGAAACAGTCCATGTCCGAAATCAAACTCAGGCGCCTCTCAGAGCTCAACATCCGCCTCAAGGAAGACCTCGACCGGCCCAGAGTCAAGGTCAGCGAAGCATGCGAAACCCTCATTGCTTTTTGTAAAAACACAAAGGATCACATGGTTCCAAGTGTCTGGGGCCCTTTGGAAAAGCACGAAGATCGTATGTTCTTGTCTACTCAAATACCATCTTTATGTTGCTAACCCCCTTCAACAGCCTACAACCTACAGACATCAAAGAGCACTGGCTGCTGTGTCTGCATGTAGTCTTCTACCGCCTGCGCCTCTTCTTCTCCCTTCGGCCATCTCCTATCCGGCCAATTTTAATCGAATGCAGCGCACACGCCAACATACATGCCGGCTCATGTCCTCGCAACACACGGCGCTCCGTCTCCCTTCAGTCTCATGTACATAGCTGTACTTTCTTCTCCCAGAAAGATAAAAAAAAACTTGTTTAATCTTGGTCTACAGCAACTGTTTTCCGTTCACTTGTCTGCGCATCGTTCATCACACGCAGCCAGCCAGGCCCGACTTCTTGCTTGAGTTGCTCAATCTTGCGCCGATACGCGTCGCTTCCCTCTGCACCATAGCTGGCCGTGCGTGAGGCTGTCAGTTTTGTCGTGTTACTTGGACTGGTGAGTGGACTCTGCCCACTTGCATCACTTGCCGCGCCGCCATCCTCGCCATGCAAATCAATACGCCGTGACTTGTGTGTCTTCTTCTTCACTTGTAACGTCGCCGCTGCTGCTCCTTGACGTGTCTCGCTGCGTGCGGGTGTTCCTGGCATGTTTTCAGCTGCTCGAGCAACCAAGCTGCGTTTTTCAAGCAAACCAGGACGCTTGCCATCCAAACACACATCCCCTCCCTCCGGTGCAATGGGATTTTGTCGCAATAGGTTAAAGATGGTCAGCCGTGCTTCTGGTCGAGCAGCAAAGGGATTCCCAGCAACGTACAAGTCACACAGACCAGGCGCCTGCGCCAGTCTTGCACATTCTGCAACATCCTTGATGGCATTGTCGCGTAGATCGAGCCGTTCAATAGACGGTAATCGTTCAATACCGCATAAATCTACCAGCTTATTGGCACGCAAGTTGAGCGTTGCGATACCGGGAATCGGCTCCACGAGCAGTGTCCGTAGATTGTCAATAAGATTGTGTGACAGATCGAGTGAGCGTAGATGTGTACAGGTCGCCAGCGCCTTGGGAACACTCGTAAACTTATTTTTTGATAGATCCAGAAAGCTGAGTGCATGGAGTGGCGCAAGCGCTTCTTCTGTTAAATAGGTCAAGCCATTGTCGCTGAGACTAAGAAATCGCAGGAATCGCCATTTCGTGGATGACAAGACGAACGGTACCTCCATCGATGCATGCCGCCCTCTCGCACTGCCAGGCCGGGTTTGTGCTTGTGTCAGGGTGGGTGAGGCAGACCTCGGCCGTTCAAACTTGAGCATACTTTGAGAGAAATGACCATTCGCTGATCCGGAACGGCTCTCCAGACCAGGCCTCGGACTACCACCGCCATCGATTGTATTGTTGAGCGTTTGCCAATGCCGCGTTGCACGTTCAGCTTTTCGCCGTTTCCGCTCATGCTCATCTTGAATGATGCCGCGCGTGAGCTTGGCGACATCAACCAGTCCACTGCGCTTGATGACGAGGGAGCGTAGCTGCTCAGACAATTCATCCCAGCCCGTCAATGCCGTGATGGGGTAATCAAAGACTTCCAGGCCTTGTAAATTCTTGAATGCCAACAAAGGAACGCATGTATCGAAGGGATACTCTTCGAATCCAGAGATTGGCTTGAGTTTTGCATCCGGTGCGAGTCTGATGCTTGGGATTTTGCAGAATGCACTGTACAGCAGTTTCAAGTCCTCTGTCACTTGTTGTTCAGACCTCGCCGTGCCTCCCCACAGCCCGAGTCCCGTCCAAACAGTCGATACCGCAGTGGACATGACGCTGCGAATCGAGGACACACTTTTGATGCTCGCAGCATCGCTGTTACGCTTGCTGAACGAGACATACGTATCAGACGCATGCGCATGGTGCTCCTCGCCGATATCTTGCAAGCGAACATTCAACGGCCCCGTCTGTACCTCGAGGACGTCATCAAAGCGCGACAGTAGGTAGTAGAGGTGATGGAGCGTCAAGGATGCCGGTTGTACCGGGTTTCGCTCGGCGAGACGCTTACCCTCTCGAGCGATCCAGGCGTTGAGCGCGCGGACATAGGCCTCGCCATCCATGTAGCCCTGGGCGCCCCTCGTCGCTCTTGTCTGCCTCACTCGCCTTTTTGTTTGTGGATGTCGCTCGTCGTTGTCTGGGAAGATTGCGAAAATCACAAAGGGGGAGCTCTCTCAACCGCAGTGGACGGGAAGGGTCATGGCTTGATAAAGGGCTCTACCGATCTCATCAAGACTATGTTGTGACCCTGTAAGGCCTCTGCTTCTCATCCACAGAGTCACAGACCAGCTGTATGTATCTACAAGACTTAGACGGCGTACCCGGTGCATCCCACCCTTTCTGTCCATAGCGCGCCAGGCCGTGTCACTCGTGGCCTAAGCTATCAGATACGCTGCTATACATACAGATTCAAGGCCATGAGACGGCCTATCAGCTACACTAGCCATCTCTCCCGCATGTCCCGTGCTGCCGACTGCGGATGCGTTGTCGCGGGTGACGTCGTGAGCATGCTTTCTCTTTTTCTTCATCGAAACTTCACCAGGCGAGATCCTCCTGCCCAGCGACTACGCACACACTGGCAGGCACCTTGACCCAGCGGGCCCTCATCCATCTGCTTTGATCCATACAAAGCAAAGATGGTCGTGTACATGGGCACAAACCACGAAACGGTCGAGGAAAAACGACTCGCTGCAGACAAAAACCGCACAGAGTACTGGAAGCGTTTCGGTCCCTACCTCTCGGAACGACAATGGGCTACGGTGCGTGAAGACTACAGTGACAATGGTGACGCATGGTCCAATTTCCCGTTTGATCATGCTCGTTCGCGCGTGTATCGATGGGGTGAGGATGGTATCGGTGGTATTTCAGACAACCATCAGTTTATGTGCATGTCGTTTGCCTTTTGGAATGAGGAGGATGATATCCTCAAAGAGCGCCTCTTTGGTATGTTTCTATACGTATAGACTCGCGCTGACAGTAGGTTTGACGGGCCACCAAGGCAACCACGGCGAAGATGTCAAGGAAATGTACTACTACCTCGACAGCACACCGACCCACAGTTACATGAAGTACCTGTACAAGTACCCGCAGCGTGCCTTCCCCTATCAGCAGCTCATTGATGAGAACGGCAAGCGTGATCGTCTCGTAACGGAGTATGAATTGACCGACACGGATGCCTTCAAGGATGACCGCTACTGGGACATCTATATTGAGTATGCAAAGGACGATGCAGAAGAGATTCTCATGCGTGTTACAGCTTACAACCGCGGCCCAGAGCCAGCACCGTTGCACATTGTGCCGCAGATGTGGTTCCGCAATACTTGGTCATGGGGCATTGAGCCAGATGAGAACAAGCCTCACCTTGAAAAGGTGAACGCTACCACCGTCAAGGCGCATCATTGGAATTTGGGAGAGCGCTACATGCAGTGCTCTACCTCTCCTGGTGTCACTTCTCGATCACCGGACGTAGAGCCTACTCTGCTCTTTACAGACAATGAAACCAACAAGAAGCATCTCTACAATGTCGAGAATGAAAGCGAATACGTCAAGGATGCATTCCACTTTCACATCGTCGATGGCAAGAAGAAGGTGCTGAACCCGGCCAACAAAGGAACCAAGGTCGGTGCGCACTACCAGTTTGATGATTGCCCTCCCAATGACTGTGTCGTTGTGCGTCTCAAGCTCACCAACAAGACCTGTGCCGATCCTATTGATGAGGAAGCGTTTGATGACCTCATCGACAAGCGACGCACTGAAGCAGACGACTTTTACTGGCGCGTCTCACCCATGCCCATGTCGGACGACTTGCGCAATATCCAGCGTCAGGCTCTTGCTGGCATGATGTGGAACAAACAGTACTACCAGTTCATCTGGGAGCAGTGGGCCAATGGCGACCCGACGCAGCCTGCACCACCACCCGGCAGGAAGAACATCCGCAACCAAGCTTGGCGACACTTGCATATTGATGATGTTTTGAGTATGCCAGACAAGTGGGAGTATCCCTTCTTTGCCGTTTGGGATACTGCATTCCATTGTATTCCCCTTGCCATGATTGATCCAGAGTTTGCAAAGAAGCAGCTCGACCTCATTACGCGCGAGTGGTACATGCACCCAAATGGACAGATTCCTGCTTATGAGTGGAATTTTAGCGATGTCAATCCACCTGTGCACGCATGGGCCGTGTTTCGAGTCTTCAAAATGGAGCGTAAAATGTACGGCCGCGAGGATCTCGACTTTTTGGAGCGCGTCTTTCAAAAGCTCCTACTCAACTTTACCTGGTGGGTCAACCGCAAGGACAATTCTGGGCGCAACTTGTTCGAGGGTGGTTTCCTTGGTTTGGATAACATTGGTCTGTTTAACCGGTCGGAGGCATTGCCAACGGGTGGTACCCTCATGCAGGCAGACGGTACATCGTGGATGGCCTTTTACTGTCTCAACATGCTCAACATTGCATTGGAGCTTTCAAAACATCGTCGCACATATGAAGACATTGCAAGCAAGTTTTTCGAGCACTTTTTGCTCATCTCGGATGCCATGTCCTTCAAGTCTGGCGATGATGAGGAGATTTCTCTATGGAATGAAGAGGATGGTTTCTACTACGATGCCATTACCTGGGGTGGTCCATACACACAGCACTTGCCCATCAAGTCGCTCGTTGGGTTGATGCCCTTGTACGCCACCATGACGCTGGAGCCTGAAATCATTTCTCGCTTCCCATCCTTCAAGAAGCGTCTGGATTGGTTTGTTAAGAATCGATCAACGGTTGTCAACCGCAACATTGCAAGTATCTCAAAGCGTGGAAAAGGAGAGCGACTCTTGTTGGCACTCGTCAGCAAAGATCGTCTTGTGCGTATTTTGGAAAAGATGCTGGATGAAGATGAATTCTTGTCTGACTATGGTATCCGCTCTCTCAGTAAATACCACGAGAAGCACCCCTACTCAATGCACGTCAATGGCGAAGAATTCAAAGTCGACTTTGTCCCCGGTGACTCGAATTCTGGCCTCTTTGGTGGCAACTCCAACTGGCGTGGACCCATTTGGCTTGCCACAACATTTTTGCTGATTGAATCCTTGCAGCGCTTCTACATGTACTATGGCGAGACACTCAAGGTGGAATGTCCCAAGGGATCCGGAGAGTACATGCACCTCGGTCATGTTGCTGAAGAGATCCAACATCGCGTACAGCACCTCTTCGCCAAGGACGACGAAGGTCGTCGTGCCTGCAACGGTAGCTCCGATTTGCTCGACTATGACCCACACTTTAGAGACCACGTCCTGTTCCATGAATTCTTCCATGCTGACGATGGTCGTGGACTTGGCGCGTGTCATCAGCTGGGTTGGACGGGTTTGGTTGCCAAGATGATTCACGATACGGGTATGACTTGTCGATTGCCCATGACACCACGAACGCCCAGTACTGCAGCTGCTCACTACTTTGACGATACGTTTGGCAAGATGAAGGCAAAACCGCATCATGAGCGTCGTGGCACTGGTCGAAGCATTGGAAACCGCAGCGATATCGATACGGAGCGTGATCACGAAGAAGAAGAGGAGTCCAAGTCCATCAAAACCAATGATGGCCGTCCAATGGAGAACAAGGCAGATGAAGATTTGATTGGACACATCTCTGGTAAGCTTGAGACGTTGCAGACAAAGGGTTTCGCTGGTCTTGAGAGGGATGAGATGGTTGCTGAAGGCGACGACGATGACTATGAGTCGAAGCTTGACTTGTAGACAGCATAGCGAGATAGACGTTCATTTCTTATTATTACTTTTCCCAGCTATGAACGTATGGCTGCTGCTTCTCCCATTGATTGTGTTGATGATTTGATTGCATCGGCGCATGTTGCTGATAAGCGAGCCATTGCATTTGTTGCATGGGCGACAGGTGTGCAGACATCATGGCAGCTTGTGGGACTTGCATCGGTGGGTAGCCTTGCCATGTTGGTATCGGTGCGTGTACTGGAGCTGGAGGGATTTTTTCCTTGCGCTTGGATAAGCATCCGAGAATGCGCTTTGTAATGGCATACACAATGAAGAGAGCCGGGATGAGGATGATGAGGAGGACGAACCAGTTGATGCTCGATTTAAGCGTGGTGCTTGCTGCTGAGGCTGTTGCAGAAGCGGATGGTGTGGCCGCTGCCGAGGCTGCTGCTGTTGCTGTTGCTCTGGCTGAGAATGCAACAGGCCGAATTAGCGTTGGCAGGGCTTCAGAGGATGAGGTCAATGTGACTAGTGTAGTGGAAGCAATTTCGTCCGACATGATGGCCTGTCTCAGCGTGGCTCTTCATCTTCTTAAGAAGCAATATCTAGTAGCATGGAAGCAGCTTGAAGACCTTTGATGGACACTTCCAGGCCATTCGAGCAAGAGCTCTTTTGACAATTTTGGTTGTAGCTCAAAGAGGTCAGCAAGAACAAAGACAATTCGACGAGCACAAGACAAAGATGGGTTGCTTTGTGGGTGAGACTGGAGCTTTGTACAGAGCAAACGTAGATAGCTTGATATAAAGAGAGCCTCTGTCGATGTTGACAATGCATCCAGACAATGCCTGCCACGATGCCCGTCTATGTAGAAGCGTCTTTGGGTGCTGCAGCTCCATTACCTGCGCCAAGACCAGCGGCACGAGCGGCCAACACACGCATGCAGCAGATCCTCCGGCAGCTGCACCGGGCAGACGCCGCCGTGGTCGAGCAGATGGGCCGGTGTGTGCGGCGTGTGCGGTGTGAGGTGCTGCTGGTTGGCCTTGCACTGTGAGTCTATGACTGTTTCTGCTGAGTCAGTCACTGCTGACCTTTTCCCGGCTCGTCCCGGCGGCAGATCAAATTTTGGCCTCAAATTCTTGTACGATCTCTTCTACCAACATCCACAAGACCAACACAGATTCACCATGGGCTACCAGGAAGGCGACAAGGTATGCAGCAGAGCACACCCAGAGCATCACTGACCACTTCCAGGACAAGGGTTGCAGTCTCTTCAAGCAGAGGTGTGCGCAGTGCCACACCCTCGATGAAGCCGGCGGCAACAAGGTCGGACCTAAGCTTCACGGTCTCTTCGGCCGTACCTCGGGCCAGGTCGAGGGCTTCACCTACACCGACGCAAACAAGAAGAAGGTATGTTGATGCTACCGGTCATCTAATGCTAACAATTCAGGGTGTGCTCTGGCAGGAAGACACGCTCTTTGAGTATCTCGAGAACCCAAAGAAGTACATTCCCGGTACAAAGATGGCCTTTGGCGGTCTCAAGAAGCCCAAGGACCGAAACGACCTCATCACATACCTCAAGGAGGCTACTGCCTAAGCAACGACCAGGTGTCTATTGCAAAAGTCAGTGTGCATGGTGCATGGCGTGGCGACGGGTGTCCTTTGAGGCAAGACGATAGACATACATCATTCAGCATTCATTCGGGCAGTCATACTAGATAGAGAATCATCCCTCCTCTTACCAAATGAGGCCCCCTTGCTCTCCAATCTGTAGTGGCGGGCCGAAAAGCGTGTCCCAACTCGGTGGTTCTCGCCACGTCGGACGATCCACCTGCAACAGCGCCAAAGCAGCTTCACAGAGCTGCCTCGCATCAGATCGATTGTCTCCTTGATAGGCAAAGCGACAAACACCAAGCGACTTTTGACAGGCGGACACGGCATCCATGTATCTGTAAAATTTGCCTGATCCATACAATTTTGGTCGGTCAGTTTCTTCTCTCTCGAGACCATCTAGACTCAATTGTCTGAGACGACTTGCCAAGCCATCGGTGGCTTCAAAGGCTAGTATCGGTGTTTGCAACTGCGCATCATCCCTGAATGTCGCGTCTGCCGATGCCAGCACACAAACATGCTTAAAGGCGCCAATTCTACTGATGAATGGCTTGAGAACTTGCTCCAAAAAATCATTCGTGGCGTGTGGAAGGACTGGCGAGCGTTGATGCAGCACAGTCAGTGTCTCATTGCCATAGACCTCAAGCGCTGTACAGAAGCCTGTAGATGATACGCTTGCAGAGGTCGTAGACTCGCGTGGACCAGCAAAGGGATAGAGCTGACGGCCATCTAAATGACCGAGTAGTGGCAGAGAAAGTGAATGTATGAGTAAGTCTGTAGCGAGCTGAGGTACATTTGCAGCAGAGATCGTGGGTATCAGCAATATTGGAGCAAAACTTATCGGTTCTTGCTGCTTGACTGCAGGGAAGAAAAGAGTCTCTGTCTTTGTCTTTGTTTCTGTCTCAGACATCAGCAAAGACTTGATGGAAGGCAGGTGGATAGACGGCTACAGGCTGGAAGATACGAACAATTGCAAGCGTACGTGTATGAGGGACGGTCATTGAGGGTGAAGTCCCCAGATCATTCAGATGCCCGCCAAAGACAGTGACGGCGCAGTGCGCACCATCAAGCAGAGTAACCTACCACCAAAAGAGCAAGCCCCCACGTTCAACCTTGCAAACCATCCTCCTGGCTCACTCTTCAAATGAAAATGATTCATCCTTTCTCAACGACCCCTCTCTCGTGCCAATCGAGTCGTGCAACCGGTCTTGAAACGTCTTGGCGCTGATGTCACGGGATCACCCACCTATTGGCAATGTGCGAGAGGTGAGCGCAGCACGGTACCCACTTTGGCGTGCTTGCCTGCCTTGCTTGTGACGCACACTTTCGACGACGACCACGACCCTGTTTAGCACCACCTCTGGAAGACTGCTGACAGTGACCCATTTGAACCAGGCGTCTCTCAAAGAGTTGCACGAGATCGCAGGCGCCGCAACCTGATTGCACGTCCTGACATTGCTGCCGTCTACTGCCAGAAACGGGTCAAGCTCTTCCTCAACCGTGTGGCTGGCAACGTATGTGGTCTTCCAAAGCTAATTGAACACTGGCTGCGCTATGAATGGTAAAAGCGAGGCTCCGTGCATGCACACCTCGTGATGTGGTTTGGAAATCGACTAGACGTGACTTCGTTGAATGATGATGCTGACGCCATGGCCGCTGCTGCCGCCTTCTTTGCCAAGTTATCTCTTGTGAGCATCTAGATTTGGAGCGTGCAAGACGAACAACAGATGACGAAAGTCTTCTAACGACTCACCCTTCAGTGCAGGATGATTTGATTGCCTTGGTCAACAGGCTTTGCTTTCACAAGTGTAGCAGGTACTGTACAGAAGACAGCGACGACGATGGCCGGCCTATCTGCAACCGAATGTTCCCCAAGCTTCTGCGCGACGAAGCAATATTGGAATACGATGCGCCCACCAAAGACCTCTTCTTTGCGCCTGCGCAGAACCACGAAATGCTCAAGAACTTTTGCGCTCCATGGCTCTTGGCTTGGCGCGCAGAAATGGACGTTCAACCCATCACCAGCAAGTTCAGACTGTTACTTTACCTTTCCAAGTACGCCAGCAAAGGCAACAAATCGAATTTCGACGACCTCCTAACAACTGTTCTCGACAATACGGATGACGAAGCGCGCTTCACGCATCTCGCCAAGAAGCTCGTTTTTTCGCAAATGGCTGTTGCCGAAAGGCCTAACCAGGAGGTCATGCACCACCTACTCGGACTTCCTCTCATTGAATCATCACGACTCGTGGTGACGGTCAACTGTCATCCAGATCAACTCGTCATGCTCGAAAGCGATGAGCTTGTACCTGCCATGTGGCTGGCCTACGAGCAACGCAAGCAACAACACGAAGCGCTCTCCATGTGGGAGTATGCAAAAAGGTTTCACCCTACCGGCACTC